AATAAACCCTAATAAACCCTAAAAACCCTAAAAACCCTAATAACCCTAATAAACCCTAATAAAAACCCTAATAAACCCTAATAAACCCTAATTACACAACCTCAAACCTTACCTTCAACTCCAAGCAAGATAGTATTATAGGCTGTGACACCTGTGGTAAGAATCCTTGGTGAGGAAATTTGTATTTTCAGAGTGGCCACTATATTTCTGCACTGGGCGTTGAATGCTTGGAGTTGAAGGTAAGGTTTGAGGTTGTGTAATTACACTGCTGGTAGGAGGCGTATTGAGATGTACTGAGGGCTATCGAGTGGCTAGTGGTTGGATCTCTTAGCTTGGACCGCGGAGAGCCCACCGTAGCAATTGAGATGAGGGGAGCGAGACAGCAAGAGGTTACGTCAGGTAATAAGAATGGGGCTTGAGATCTAATCATCTAATGTCTAAGACACCTTTTGCAACAGTCTGACATATACTTCGCAAACCCCATTACAATACAGTGACAAGAAAGACGACAATGAAATCTTAGAAAAAGAGCAGGCTCAACAAGATCGTTACAGTAGCGACTGATCAATCACTGAAATTCAACGACAAGCTTTGTACCTCGACCTTCCCCTTTGCGAAGTGTATCTAGACCTTCGAATATCTCATTGAACCCGCCTTTGATCGATGTGATAGGTGGAGGCCTCAGGTTCAAGCTTGGTAAGTAACCATAAAATTGGCCGATGACTTCGCGGTCTACCGGCTTCACTGGGAACACGGGCCCAAGGGGCACCAACATCTGGAACCTGCGACCGAAGGCAGTGTAAACCATGAGGAAATCATAGGTCACATTTGCCTTCTTCGGCTTGCCTTGATCAAGAAGCGTGATCACTTTGCCACCCTCTCGAAGCACATCAGCACAGAAGGCGGCAGAAGTGCCTTCGGAAAAGCAGTCCAGAGCTTTTGTGACGTTCGGATAGGCTTTCTTAATCTCACCAATGGATACAGATGTCCGATAGTCGTATACTGCATCGGCACCATAGCGCTTTGCCAGGTCGAAGGAACGTGGCGAGGCCGTGGCCACAACCGTGTAGCCTGCTCTCTTGGCTAATTGAATAGCGAAGAGACCGACGTTCGAGCCTCCCGAATAGATGAGAATGGTTGTTTGGTCACCTTGTTGGGCGCTGCATCCGTTCTCAATATCCACCCGGGGAATGTCAAGGTGTGAAAGGGCCAGCATCGCGGTGGCTGCGGGAACTCCATAGGTGGCGGCTTCGCTCAGGATCGTTTCATCAGGCACCTTCCAGGCCAAGTCTCCATCGACTTTGAGGTACTCGGCGAATGAGCCAACATCGGGATACAAACCACCGTGGACAAAGCCAGCGATTCTGTCTCCAACCTTCCAACGCTGTCCTGAATTCTTGCCGACCCGAGCCACCTCGCCTGCATAATCGCAGCCAATGGCAGAATTGCATGGGGAAATGAAATCGATGTCTTTGAAGTCGATGGGATTCAACGCGACAGCGCGTACCTTGACCAAGACCTCATCATCGGTGATGCTTGGCATTGGGACATCCTTGACTTGCGCGCCCTGTCCAAGAGGACTACGCAGAGCGAGACTCAGTAGACGCCTAGGCAAGAATCGATGTGTGATGACCGCTTTCATTATGGCGGGTGGTTTGGCAATGCTATGATCGCAAGAGGAAGACAGGAAGTAAGAGATACTGAACAAATGGAGCACTGGTGCGCAATACTAAAACAAACCAGGATACTGGCGGAGACTGACGTATAAATACTGGAAAGGGTGGCTATTTAGAAGCTCGATTGAACCTCAGATCGACGGGAGCAAGGTACAATCTGCAAGGTGCCTGGACCAGGAGCGAAGTATCGTGAAGGTGCTGTGCTTACAGACCACCGCATTACTAAAACATGGAACCCGCTTTGAATCGCCGACTTGAAGGAGGCAATGACCTTGTCCACGGCCAGGGTAAACTTTCATTTTCACTGGCCGTCATTGGCTTTGGCAAAGGCTGACAAATTGAACAAGACCTTGCCGGTCCCATTGTTTGGCGAATCAATTCCTCTGCCGAGGATTCTCAAACAGGGATTAGTGATATCCCCGATTTGCTAGGATTCAACCCCCCCTTATACATCATTTCATCACCCCATCTTTCATCATTCAGCGGTTTTCTGCATACTTTTTGTTCCCGTAAAATTTATAAAACTTTGATGAAAATTATTGTGGAAGTCACTCTACCATTACTTATTGATCCATAGCGGGCCGAATATCAATAGATTTATAATTTATATGACTGACTATATTATACAGCATTGCTTGTGCAAAGTACTAATTTCCATTTCTATATATTGTAGACTATACTATTCTATGATGAGGACCTATATAAGTTACTTAAATACTGATCGAAAGAGAAATGGTAGGGATACCAGAGTTCTCAAGTAGTTGGCATGCATAAAAACTACATAGTGTTTGTAGGTGGCCTGCTGGCTTGCTTGGCTCGTTCGAATGATGACTACGTTCCTACCGACTGTGTTGGAATCCGACAGGTGTTTGTTTCCTGATCGACCCATTAGTTAGATATTTCCTGGAATTGGACGAACGGCTTTAACTTGCCCCGAAGGTCCGACCCTCCCGTCGGCATGTTCACTAATCAGTGCCACCGTCTTCCCGTCCAAACTTAGATGCTTACAAATGCATTTTGAGAAAGCAAGGGGGACTGCTAGAATCCCCCCCCAAAAACGGCGCTAGGAATACAAGAAAACATGTTACACCAATCAACGGAGCAGGACATGATCAGATAAGGAAAATTGTGGCTTGTATTGACTCGGCTTCCTCCACAACGCCGATCCCTGTGCATGCCAAATGTGGTCAGAGGTACGAATACGAGCCTAGCCTTGCCCTTAATCGGATCCCGGAGTACACATCGCCTTCCACTGTCACACTCTTGATCAGTCGGACTAGGCCCGAGTGGCCTTTGGCGACGCTGGCTACCTATCCATCAACTCCCAAGGCCGTTTGGTGCTGATACTCTTGGGATGTTGGCGCAGAATGTACTTCTCTAGATTGAAACCAATGGATTTACATGCATATGAGTAGGGTAGTATAGGTCCAAATCTCCGCAATCGCGACAAGTAAACAATGGGCTATCATAACGGATCCCCCGAACTAAGATTGATTCGTATTTGACTATACGTGACAGATGTGTCGATCCGCGTACCTAAAGAGTCTCTCCAACGTTGTAAATTAGTTTCGCACCACTGACTTTGTTGGCCCTGAGCAGGTCTATTCCTTCCAAGACACCACGCAGACCATCCTTTCTAACCTTGGGCGGATGAACTTTGATCTTGCCCTGATCCAAAAGAGCCTGAGCCACTTGGGTGAACTTCTTGGCGTGCTCGAAATCCTCTGCCTTAGCGGGAACAGGCATTTCACCGAAATTGAAGGCCTCGCCAAGGGTGGTATAGACCAGGATGAGGCGACTGTTGACATTCGCACGGTCAATTTTCGCCGGCAAGAGTGAAAGGTACTCGCCGCCGTCTGATGAAAGTGCCTGGTCGCTGAAATCAACACTAGAAGGAAGAGAAATACAGTCCAAGACCAGCTTCAAGCTGTTATTGGTCTGCTTGCGAATTTGACTGGCGGACTCGGGGCTGTTATAATCAAAGACAACGTCCGCACCAAGGCCACGGACAAGGTCGAAGTTGTGCGGCGAGCAGGTGGTGAATACTTGGTAACCGGAGAGCTTAGCGAACTGGATGGCCAAGGTACCTGTGGCAGTGGAACCGCCATATATAAGAATCGGAGTCGCATCTTGGATAGGTTGCGTTGGTAGAGCCAGTCCTAAAGTCTGATACAGAGCCTGGCCTACAGTCTGGATACCTGCTCCAAGTGTGGCGGCTTCCTGGAAGCCAAGGTCTTGAGGGATTCGGAGTTGGATATCACCCTTGACAACAATGTACTCGGCGAAAGAGCCATCCTCGGGCTGGACAGCATTACCACCATGGGCAGAACCGCAGATACGGTCGCCTTTCTTCCAGGGTAGCTTGACGTCCTTGCCAACGGCCTCGACAACGCCAGAGTAATCACTTCCGAGCAGTACACCGGGTGGAGAGAGGTAGTCGATGTGCTTCCAGTCACTGGGGTTCAAACCCACGCTGACAGTCCTCACAAGGATGTAATCATCGCGGAGCTTGGGAATAGAACAGGAACTGACCAAGCCCGCAGTCTTGGGTTCGGTAATGATGACAGCGTTCTGAGTAGTAGACATGATTGAGGTGATAAGATGAACTATGAAGAATGGTGACATCTACATTGGTGTGTATAGAAGCATATTAAATACAACGGTTGGCCAAGGCTTGTTTCTGACACTTCCCTCAAGGTCGAATCGGACATGAATAGTAATCAGTGGCAATAGATAAGAAACCTTCACCCATCTGGGTCCACCTTATGTCGATGACAAATTTCACCGTTTTTGGTACAGTCGAATGTTCTGGATGAGATGACTTGATGAATAATAACTGAGGTCCCTAACTATCTGATACTGATGACCATCAGGCTCGATTTGGGCCGGTGGCCAGTCATGGTACCGTCATATCGAATATTTGCGTCCCCATGTCCGGCGACAGTAATTAATAATCAATTTACTCTTATGCTATAAAGATGGCCCAGTTCCTGGTTCAACATAGATCATAGATCATTCAGTCAAACTTATCATTATCAAAGTACCATTCCACCATGCCTGCTCCCTTGATTTTCATAACCGGTGCTACCGGTTTCATTGGCAGTGCCACCGCCGTTCAAGCTCTCAAGTCCGGATATCAACTTCGAATCGCCGTTCGCCAAAAGTCCGAGAAACTTGAATCATTGTTGTCCGAGTACCGCGAACAACTGGAATTCGTCATCGTCCCAGCCCTCACCGAGGAGGCTGCGTTTAGAGGGAAGCTTGATGGAGTGGACTATGTCCTCCACCTAGCATCGCCTCTTGCCAACGGTACAGACAAGAATGCCTTTTTCCCCCCCGCGGTGAAAGGAACACTGGCTGTACTCAAAGAGGCAGCCAAGGTTCCAAGCATCAAGAAGGTTGTGGTCACTTCATCTATCGCTTCCTTGATTCCTCTTGTTGGACTTCCCGACGGTGGTGTCATTAGAGGTATGTTGAATGCATATAATTTCGGACTGTTATGGTTGCCATGCTAACATCAGCCACAGAGGATAACGACTGGGATCTCGCTGTGGACCCCACTGCAAATTTTGTGGATCCCAACAATCCTGCGGCAACACCGATGACTTTGTACCGGGCGTCCAAACTGCTTGCGAACAACGCGACATGGGACTTCTGGAAGACAGAAAACCCGCATTACGCACTGGTGACTCTTCATCCGTCGTTTGTCTTTGGGCACAATCTCGTGCAAGCTTCCGCCAAAGAGATTGAAACAGGCTCCAATGGAATCATCTGGGGTAGTGTTATAGGAGGCGTCCCACTTGGAGGCATCACGGGTGTGCACATCCAAGATGTTGCTGAGGCCCATATCAAGGCGTTGGACCCGAAGATCAAGAATGGTACGAAGTATTTGCTCTCCGGGCCGTCAACAACATGGAAAGAGGTCGCTCGATTTGCGCACGAGTTCTACCCCAATATTGGTGTGAAGCTTACGGAGCGTGCCGAGGGTGCCTCTATGCCGACTGATACCACCAAAGCCGAAGTTGAACTGGGAATGCAATGGCGACCTTGGGAGGAGATGGTGCGGAGCGTGATGGACCAGCAATTGGGCTTCCTTTAGGTCAGGCCATGGAGAGCTTGTAACTAGATCTTGACTTTATGGTTTTAGAGAACTAGCTTGAAGTGTATTTGAAACAAAAAGTTGAGACTTCTGCTGTCGTTGATATCGCGTGTGTACTTTTCAGCGGGTCTTCAATGCTGACACTACAGTTCAGGGCCATTTAGTTGACATCGCTCAAGGCTAGGAGATTTAGAGTGAACAATTAGCCAGCAACCCTTACCAAAACATTGTCCTTATACACCACCCTGCACGTCATCCAATCTCATATGGGCCCTTTCCTTCAGATAAGAAAATGAGGTTCAGCCAGCGCAGAGAGCAAATCTTATGTAGTTTAAGATTAATTAAACATCATACTCCGGTTATTCTATACTGCGTATTATCACCAAGACACAGACAGAAGGTTACTCATGTACAAGATGTGCTAACCGCTTCCTTGTTTAACACCCAGCACTAGCTTAGCCGAAAGTCAGGATCGAACTGGTTTTGTCTCCATTCGGGTATCTAAGTCCAACATGATGTGTCAGACCAACTAGTGTTTGGTTGATCGGGTTTTGAACATGTCGTTTCTGCTGAGTAGTTAATGGACAAGAAGTCTGGTTGGTGTATCCTCTCTATCCGCTATCGAGTTAGCGAGCCGACAAGCTATGAATCTGACACAGAAGAGTAGAACAATGGAGATCGATTCATTAGGTTATTGGTAAGTAGGAAACAGTACATTATGATCTAAGGTATCGGACATTATGTGGTTGATCAATGCACATTATTTACTACTGGAAGTGGTGAAGCAAAATCAGACAGGCGTGTCGGTGATTTCAACTTGCTTGGCATCCTCCGCGACCACTTCTATCTCATGGCTATGCTCCAGCTCCGAGATAATAATCCAAGTAGGAATAAAGCAGAGGAGGGTGATACCAAAGTTAAGGCCAATACTCACAAAGTGGTTCGCGTTGCCTTCGGATTGCATGCTAGAAAGGTTAGCAATGTGCTCACCAGGACAAGGTAGAGGAACTTACGCCCAAGCAACGGTCTGGCCCAGCGCCTCAAAGCCCCTAAGAATACCGCAGTGGTGGGACAGGGAGGAGATATCGGTGGCGTACTGGCCAACGAGCCAATACAGGAATTGTTGAAACGCTTGACCTCCAAAGTTCCAAAAAAAAACTAGAGCGTAGGTTTTACCGAAGCCACCCTTGAACCAATCAAAAACGGGGGATCCGGGGCTGTCGTAGTAGAATTGATACTGCAGGATGGTGGCCCAGATCCAGGTACCTGTAAGGACAATCACAATGGCAGAAAATGCCACGCGCGCTCGAGTCTTGATGTGGATCGATTGCCGATCCAGCAGGGTGGCGATCATGAAGGAGGAGAAAATTCCAGCAAAGTTGGAGAAGAAGGATGAGAACGCGCGAGCCCGAACTGTAAAGTAGGTAGTCAACCAGGTGCTGAGGAAGCCATTGTAGAAGTAACTGATGAAGAAGGCAGGAAGAAGCAGGACGACGCGGCGGCTGGCAAGCAATGAAAAGACAGCCTTGAATTCGGCCAGCCATGAGGCCTGCCGATGCACCACGATGAGAGTTTTATCCTTTCGCTGGACTTTCTCTGCTGGACTTAGCAGGAGCGCAATAGGCAAACCCAGGCACATGATGACGATGAAGACGATGTAGGTGCCTGAACTGACCGATCCCTGCGTCGAGGTCCGTGCATTGAGTCCCAAGTTGATCGCGCCCCCGACTATCGGCCCTGCGGCCTTTGCCGTTTGCCAGATCGCTATATGAATTGGAGTCAGAAGTGATCTGGTGGTTGGAATTGGTATACATACCCAAATAGAAGGCTCGGTCTTTAGGGCTGGGGTATCCGATAATGATGGCTGCCTCGGCAGCCCAGAAGAAAGCAGCCGAGAGACCGCACAAGGCGCTGCCAAAAAGCAGAAACCAGGTGGTGGGTGAGTAATTGTTGGTGTATAGCCCTGCGCCGTAGATAGGATAGCCAATGGAACCCAGCGCCAGGCCAATGCGAAGGCCGATACGGTTGTTGATGGCGCCGGCCGCCACGCAGACCACGGCGAACAGGGCATACAGAACAGCGTTGGCTGCCGACACTGCATACGGCTCGGCGGCACCTCCAGCCCCCAAGTTGTTCAGGGCATCCCACATGCCCGGGGCCGTAAATGAGACTCCGCTGGCGATGGCGATTTGGAAGGGGATGGACCGCCACGCCGACACTAACCGCCTTCCCAGCGGCATGGGTTGCGAGACATCTGCAGTAGCCATGATGACACGAGAATCTACCTTCTCCGATACTGTGAAAATACAAGAAAGAAAAAACAGGTTGTGCCATAGTCGGCCAAGACATTTAAGTACGGAGCGAACATCGGCCCGATAGTGGGACACCTCAATTGCGTGCTTGTCAGTTGAGATTTTCAACACACCACGGACCTTCTTGGCAGGGCCAAGTAGCTGACATGGAGGTATGACTCAATGCCTGTTGATTCTCCTGCATAATGAAACATCATATCTGTAACTCGAACCAGGGCTGCATGCAAGTCACTCACTTGGCCGTGGAATATCGCCACGAGCTCGCGTAGATCTCTGCTCTAAGTGGGCCAATTCCACAACCATAATAGGGCTGGCACCGGCAGTTGTTCAAATAAGGTTCTACACGCACTTCTGATCTATAACATCAGATGTACTTGCGTTGGGATCGCACATCACTGCCAGATAGTGTATTTCCTTATCCATCCGAACTGATGCAGCTACGGTCACAATCTGGCACGGATCAGGGAAAGCGATATATAAAAAATTCAGACCAAGCTATAACCAAAGATTATAGATCAACCAGCTTGTCAAAATGCAGATGTTCATCCAAGCGATTTTCCTTGGCTTCCTGCATCTGCACTGAGACCAGCTTGTCCAGCTGTTCCAATGAATCCGGCGACTATAGAGAAAGTATCCTGAAGAGAGCCATTTCCAAAGTATCCTTCGTCAAGAAAGGTCCATTAAATATCATCAAACATGAAACTCCTCCTGGCGGCCAGACAGACGCAAAAGAGCCCGTTCTCCATCGACTGCGCCATCCGAGGGAATAGTCGTTGAGACTCTGGAATTTTTCCTTTTGGCATTTTGTCGTACTCGCAGGACCGGAATACCTTGAGAAAGAGTTGCAGACGGGGGTGTACCGGAGTAGAAGCCGATTGAAGTCTGCCTCCCATGCCTCGGGACTCTCGAAGAGAAGCCACCAGGGGCAGTGTAGGTGAACTGCGCAGGCGCCACATAAGTGTACTCCCAGTCAATTACACCCGTAAGGGGTAAAATCGGGCCCCGAAACCAGCACGTTCGACGGTCGCAGATCATCACATTAAAAGTGTATTAGGGTTTATTTTATTACTGCTCCGTTTGAATGACCTGGGCCATGCCACGATAGGCCTTTTCGATGTCGGAGTCTGAAGCATCTGGATTCAAGCTGGGAGAATTAACGGTGGGGTCTTGGAGGTGTTTAGGACAAGGAGGTCCCCTCCAGGAAGGTCATAACAATGTAGGTTCATGGGGAATGGGGAAAGTCTCGGTTCCATCTGTTTGTTATGGATTATCGAATGGGAGTTGGGGCGCAGGCGTCTATCGTTCTATTCGGTACTATGTTGGATTATGACGGATATTGCGAGTCTGGGAAGGCGACTATATGCAACTCACCGGAAGTTTCGCCGATTCCGGAAGGCCCAAGTTCTCGTACGGAAGTTCAGGGCCAACTTTAAACGACTGACTGTATAGCCATGGTATAGTTAGAAAGATGGGGATCTGTCAGAATGGTAATGCTCCTCCATTCTCGCCACCAGGGCAATGAAGATTGATGACTCGTTCTCAACTGACCAACTATCGATCCTGCACAGCTCAATATCGCCCATAGTGGTCTGCACGGCACCTGTCCCCAAGCAAGGAGTAATCGATACCGTCGGGGCGGTGTTGGTATCCGATGGCATCGGATGTGCCGATCTCCGGGGATTGTCCGATGCGGACTGTGATCTGGGGAACCATCCGATCGGGATACCACTTAGCTTGAAAGTATCATTATATGTTCGTGGGCGGGTTTACTACAAAGGAATTGAAGATTATTGTGTCGTTGCAGTACATATCACCGAACTTATAAACATGGCATTATGTAAAGTCTAATTAAGGTACACATGCATTCCCAGTCATCCCATCGTTTCTTCCTCCCCGTATCATCCATTACCATCCATTACCATCCATTACCCATGCGTCGTGATCAAAACATCGCTAAATATCTCAAATGCTGTATGCAGTCTGACCATGCTCCTAGTTCTCCACCAACTTGTAGCTCACATAGGGAGCGTCTCCGTCGAGGCATCCGGTGGTGGTCACGTTCTGCTGACCTTCCTGGCAGTCCGAATCGGTGAAGAATTGTGCTAAGGGGGGATTAGCTGCGGCTTGCAAAGAAAGGGGAATGTAGTAGGAGCTTACCGGCATAGCCATCGATGACGAATTCCGTGCTGATGGAGCGGATGGTGTCGCTGCCGAGGAAGGTGGTGCACTGGTTGAGGGTGGAACGGTACAGGCCGAGTTCGCCCAGGTTCTCCTCGGCGCAGCCATTTTCACTCCAGAGACGGAGCTGGATCTCTCGAGTGTCACCGGTGGGCAAGGCGAGGGCCGAGATGGCCAGGGCGACAAGGGTGTAGAACAGAACGGTGAACTGCATGGTGGAGAGTGATTGAGGATCGTGGATGGCTTGATTGTGTGAGAGTGGTAGTGGAAGTGGAAGTGGTGATGGAAGTGGTGATGGAAGTGGTGATGAAAGTGGTGATGAAAGTGGATGTTTCTCAGAATGATGAGGAGATGTGGAAGCCCTTTATATCATGGGTTGGTAGCTATTTTTACCGGGGCAATGAAAGGGTGGCAGGGTGGCCTCGGAGGGGTCAGTCAGTCATCTGCAGCTGCCGGCCTGGAATCCGACTTGCGGGGAGGATCGGCGGGGCGGTGCGCTGATCCCTTCGCTAGCGGGTGACTCCGATGATGCAACGAGCAGGTTTGGCTGGACCGTCCCAACCTTAATCATCATGGCTCGCGGCTCTTTCTTTCATCGCCTTTGCCAGCTGGATCAACCCGTCCCGACAATGGGTTTCGCGTCATTGCCCTCCTAGTCATGGTGAATGGCCCCCATCCCCCGATTTCTGCCGCGGAATGAGGGTTCTGCCCGGCTGCCTGCCCGGATGGCCTGGTTGGGTTGCCGCGCGGAGGCTGGGAGGCGGGCCAGGCATGTCTCACCAGTCACCCGAGGCCAAGCCCGTCAGCCCTCCAGCAGCAGCAGCAGCAGCAGCAGTAGCCCATTCAAAAAGCGGGGGATGGACATGCGATGCAAGTGCGGTGTGCAGTCGTGCCGGGCCCCGACTGGCGTTGGGACGTCGATCAGCCTCGCCCGCTTCCCACCATGGCCTAGACGGTGCTCTCGACTCCACCAGGGCCCAGCATCTCCCCCCACCGTCTACCCGTCCGGATTCCATCGGGCAGAGGATGACTACTGTTAGTCGGGTCAAAGGACCGATTGGCGATCACGAGAATCCACGCATTGTGCCCGGTGCTAACAATAGCACAAAGGGTACTGTGTACTATTACTATAGTACAGTGTAAGCCAGCTGGCGGGTCTGCTTCGCCACGTTAAGTCACCCGACAAAGGAAGGACAATGAACAACAACTGAGGGCGTGGCACAACCCTGCCCGCGACCGTGTGAGACCGCCCAGGCGGATTCGCCGGCGTCCGTCAAGCGGGCCCGGCTACTACTGTGTAAGTATGCTGCTCCATCCTGCAGCGTGATGCATCGGTCCCTACCTATCAGAGCCCCTGCTAAGAATAGACCCGATGCAACCCGGATGCTTGTCAGCCTCCCAGCCATCCCGAACTGTTGGATAATCCCTCGGCTGACCAACGTCGTTGCCTGCCGATAAACCCATTCACTGCGGTCCGCTTGGTGACGGTCGCATCCTGCATGGCCAGAGGCTGCATCCGTCCACCGAGTCGATGTGCCCGATGGCGGTGCACAAGCATACAGCAGAAGGGCACAAGGACGAGGGATTGTGTCCAGTGCTGCGGATTTCCACCCTTCTGGAAGCATCCAGGCGCAATGACTCATGAGGCGATTCACCAGGTGCTGCGTCCCAGCCTCGCGACAGAGGCGCAGATCGTCCGATTGGGAATTTCCACGTCCACCTGTGCGTCATCGTGATGTCTTCGGCCAGCAGTCGGACCGGCCCCCGAGTCGATCGCCATCCCCAGTGCCAAGGGCAATCCAGCTGGGTTCCCAATGGCCACCACCTATCAATATCCCCAGCCTCCCGGCAACACCGATAGTTACCGTGGGTGGTATCTAGGAAACCTCGAAGGGTTGGGATGTGAATTAACATTGTCCATCTCTCTCGACAGTGCACGTTCTTTAGGTTCGCTCTCCAATCAATCTCTTGCATTGTATGTCCGCCATAAGACAATAAGGGCCGACGAGAGATCGGGTGATACCGTCCCCAAAGGCCATGGCAAGGCAAATCTGGGGGGAATGGAAGAACCTGAGCAATAGCTACCGAGGATGAACATCATTGTCAGGACCCTCGCATGTTCCAGTTTCCAAAGATAGGGCATGGAGCGGACCGAGCCGAGGGAGGAGGCACTTATGCGCCGACGGGGATAATCGCCGAGCAGTCACGGTTATGCCCCGTGGACTGCCTCCGATCGGATAGTGGCCGAAATACCATCAAGAGTACTCACTCCTCTTCATTGTCATGAAAAAGGGAGGCATATCCGATCCAAACGGAGGGCCATTCTCTCCGCAACCTCATCGGCCACCCATCGACACCATGACCGTCATCCCTCCCACCCCCGTCCGATCGGACCCACCTCAGCCCTGGCGGGAGATTGATCGCCTCGTGAAGGAATACTCTCTTCCCCCAGATGGCCACCACCCCAATCCCACCGACGCGGTGGTTCTTCTCACCGGAAGCACGGGAAGCCTGGGGTCCCACTGTTTGGCCCACCTGGTCCAGTCCCCCCAGGTGAGGCAGGTCATCTGTGTCCTGCGAACCGGCCAGGCCGCCAGCCTCTCGGTCGGCAAGCATGCCTATCGCGATCAGCTCCAAGCCAAGCAGATCCCGCTCTCCGAAGACGAATGGGCCAAAGTCACGCTCCTCGAATGCGATCCCACTGACGCTCGCCTGGGCCTGGGGGACGAGGAGTACACCGCGCTCCAGAACCGTATCACCCACGTCATCCATGCCGCCTGGCCCATGGACTTCCGTCCGGGGCTGTCCTCGCTCGGTGATCAATTTCAATTTCTGCGCCATCTGCTACTCCTGGCCTCGTCTGGGGGCCTGCGACGGCGGTTCCTGTTTGTCTCGTCCATTGCGGCGGTGGCGCAACGAGGCCTGACCCCGGCTCATGCCGGCGAGTTGATCGAAGAGGCCTCCATGTCCCCCACCGAGTCGGCGACGGGACTGGGATATGCGGACGGCAAAATCGTCTGCGAGAAGATCCTCGAGCGAGCGGCCGCGGCCTATCGGGACGAGTTGGAGATCACCATTGTGCGCGGGGGTCCCATCGTGGGGTCGCGGGCCACGGGCATCTGGACCACCAAGGAGGTGGTGCCCATGATGCTGCGATCCTCGTTGAGCCTGGGCAAGCTGCCCCAGCTCCGGGGGGTAAGTCCACTGGGATCCTCTACCGAGTAAAGTGCCGGCTTACTAACGCTGTAACGGATCCAGACCTTGTCGTGGATGCCGGTCGATGACGCCGCGGCCGTCTTCTGCGAGATCCTCTTTGCGCCCCATCCGCTGGTGCCGGTGTACCAGGTCGAGAATCCCGTCCGCCAGCCGTGGGGCGATCTGCTGGACACCGTCGCCCCGGTGCTGGGCCTGACCACGCGGATTCCCTTTGATGAGTGGCTGGCCGCTGTGGTGCAGGCCGCGGAGACCGAGGGCAGCACGCGCGGGTATCCCGTGCTGAAACTCAAGGGCTTCTTTACCCGGCTGTTCCAACCGGCCGTGTGTGGGCAGGTCATCCTGGCCACCGATCGTTCGCGGGCTTGCTCGCCCACCCTGCGTCGGATGCGAGCGATCGAGGATGAGGTGGTGTTGAAGTTTGTCCAGCATTGGAAGGATATTGGATATTTCCCGTAGATTGATCGTGTTTGTATTTCACCCGCTGGCTATAGCATGAATGGTGCTATGTTAATCCATTTGCTTTTCCCTGCATACTATTGGCCCAACCCATTGAAGATTCACATCCTGGGGGTTACTCGTTTGCAGGGAAGGATACTGTGCATTGCGTGGAAGAATACTACTCCATTTCCCACTTACTATGAGACTATCTGTTCTTTTATTTTTCTTGAACGAAATGAAAAACAAAAATAAGAAAAAATAAAAAGGAAAAAAAGAAAAAAGGGACAAAAGAAATAGTAACACACTTCTTTCCACCGGTGGATGCTGGTTAGTTCTTTGCGGAGGTTCGCGTACAAAATATATTCCGGGAGATTCAAAGCACGGCATCGGGTATCCGAGATCGCAGAACAAAACAAGCAAGTGTTCGGGACTCACGGTCCCCTTCCTCCCTGAGCTTAATTTTCAGCCAATCCTTCCATTTCAACATATCCCTCCTGCTGACTTGCTAATTAAATGGTTGCCACTCGCCCGAACTCCGTGATGGGGGATGGAGAATGACATTCCTGAATTCTACCGACCCCCGTAAGCTACCCGCGCGGCTCAGCCAATCCAAGCCAACACACCGGGCACCACCCCACAACACAATAAACCCAGAGAAAATCAATGAATCCCCACGATGAGAGAGAGACGGACGAGCAGAACATGGAGAAGGAACACTGTATAGAACACTGTATAAATTATCGGAGCAAAGAGAACTATGTAATGATCGTATTAACAATCAGGATAAAAACCTCTCCGTAGTCTCTCTCACACACGGGGCCGGAAACACAGCATGGGCCCGTGACCCCCCGCCGTGACATGATCGGCCACCACATACTCTTCCTCTTCTTCCTCTTCTTCCTCTTCCTTCTCCTCCTCCTCCGCATCCTTCTCATCTCCCCGACGCAGATCAAATTCCCAGAACAGTCGGGCCATGGTGAGCATCACCTGTGCCAATGCCAGCGGTTTGCCAATGCAGTTACGAGCCCCCATCGAAAAGGGCATGTACGGCCGTCCGGGGGATTCCCCAACCCACCGGTCGGGGTCAAAGTGAAAGGGATCCGGCCAGTCGGCCGCCCGGTGGTGGATGCTGTAGATGCCCACCCCGACTTCACATCCTCCCGGGAGCCACTGCCCATCGATCCAGGCTCCACCCGGTTCAATCTCCCGCCAGAGAGAACTACCCCCCGGCGGCGACAGGCGCAGCGCTTCATCTATACACGCTCGCAGAAACACACACGAGTTGAGGGCCGGCCCCAGCCGGATGTCCGCCACCGAGGCAAAGGTCGAGCGCACCTCGGTTACCAGCCGCTGATAACAGCGGGGGGAACCCGTCACGTAGTGGCACACGGCCGCCATGGTTGTCGACGTGGTATCCGATCCTACTTGGGTCAGCCAGAGCCTGCTGTGCAAAGGGGGTTAGCGGAGGCTCACGAACCGGCGATGATGAACGTGGCAGTCTCGGTGCTGAGTTCCGTCAGGCTCAGACCCTCGCCCGTGTCCGGGTCCTTGCACTGCTGGAGGAAGGCAAAGAGGTCCCCGCTCATGCCAGACGCTCGAAGGCGTCTTCCCAGCAGACCTCGGATGAACCGAACGAACTGCGTGCGACCCGCAATGGACGCGGGGAACAACCAGCTGTCGAGGTTGGCTGTTGCCAATTCCTGAGCCTGCAGAAGTACACTGAGGCGGATGTTCGAGGCAGCAATGGCCTCCATCACGTACCGATACTCTGCCGTTCGCAGGGTGTCAAAGTGCGAGTCGAAGGACACCGAGGTCATCGTGTCAAAGGTCAGATGATTGACTGCGATGCACATGAGTCGGGGTAAAATACCGAGGAAGGGAGAGACTTGCAGGTGCGTGCCATATCCAAGGATGTCGTCCATTCGGTTGGCTTTTCCGAAGAGGACATTGAAGCCAAGTGGCTGCGTATCACTTGCGACAGCCGATCGAGCTGAGCGACTATCTTGGGCTCCCACGATTCCAGACTGCGGGCGGAAAAGGCCTGGCTCAGGACCCGTCGTCTCCGGCTATGTTGTGTTTTGTCTTGCATCGTCAGGGTGTTGGGAGCCTGCTGGGCCAGCACTCTGTAGTTCTGGAATTTCTTCACCGGAGCATGATGGCTGTAGATATCTTGAACCGCCGCGGGCGTGTTGATGAGCAGCCGATTCGGCGCGTACCGCACACGATCCCCTGTCTCTCATTAGCCGCCAGTCACTGACGACCAGGGTGTTTCCCACCGTATCTCTTATGGCATCGATAGATATCGACGTGAATATCGCCCGTCCATGCATGATACGCCGAATACAGGTTGGTGAAGCGAGCGAGCAATGGGCCAGGATACCGGGCCAGCGGATGGAAGAGGGTCAGGTACACAGCCCGAGAGAGTAACTGCAACCGTCACACGGCAGTTAGCATGGACAGTGACCTTGGCGGAGAAGACGTACGAGGATGAGGGAGGCCGCCAGGAGGCTGACTATCACTGTTTCTCGACTGATGCAGCCTGGCTGGATAATTCTATCCAGGGGTCCTATGTTCTTCATCCCGCGATACAATATCTGTCAGAAGCTCCCAACTAGACCAACAGAGATCTCTCCCGACTAGGGGAAAAACTTCAAAGGTGGGTAGATCCCAACAATATCTAGTCCGACTGCCAGGGTTTGGTGATGGACACACGTGGTCGGGTGTACGGTTGGACTATGAAAAGAACAACATCGCTCCGATAGACGTCGTATATCGTCCCTCGGCGCATTTCCGGCGATCGCATCCGGCCAACATGACGCCATGGTTCCGACCGGAGGGTTGATGCAGTTCCCAACCGACCCGGCTTATGGCCCGAGATGGTTGGGGCAGATGGCATCGGGGCCTATCCGGCGATTATCTGCAGCCCTCCTTTCGAGATACACTCCGACCCTGGAAAATCATTCCCCCTTGGACTGGCTCAAGAAGGGCGTACCGAGCACCTCCGATATCAATCAAGCTGAAGTTGTCTCAAGTGTACGCCTGATCGATTTATCCACTTGAATCCACATGGCCCTTCAATACCTGCAATAAGCATCGCGAACCACCCCCTTTTAATCTTCCGACGAGTCCACAATAGGGATATAGAAATACGTCCATCTCCATCATTTTGATTAGCAATTTTGCCGGACGCCTGTCGTTCGAATTTACGCCATGGGCATCGAACAGGACCCTCCATTACCCACCCGGGAGCCCATCGCCATCGTGGGCATGGCCATGCGTCTGCCCGGCCGGGTGCACGACGGGGAGGCCTTTTGGAACATGTTGATTGAGAAGCGCAGCGGGCTGTGTGACGTGCCTAAAGACCGGTACAACGTGGATGCCTTTCACCACCCGGATGGCCAAGCCGGAACGGTGCGAATGAGGCAGGGATACTTCCTCGACGACGTGGACATCCAGCATTTTGACAGTTCCGTCTTCTCCAGCCCCAAGAAGGAGCTGGAACGGCTGGATCCGCAGCAGCGCCAGCTACTAGAAGTGTCCTACGAGTGCCTGGAGAATGCAGGATGTACCTCCTGGCGGGGACAAAGGATCGGCTGCTACGTGGGAGACTTTGGCCAGGACTGGCAGGACCTCAACGCGAAGGAGACGCAACACATGGGCGCCTATCGTGTCACGGGCTATGACGACTTTGTCCTGGGCAATCGAATCTCCTACGAGTTTGACCTCCGCGGGCCCAGGTAGGCTGTTCTCCCACTCACCCCAACCGCGAGGGGGCTAATGTCTCGGCAGTATGACGGTCAAAACGGGCTGCTCTTCATCACTGGTCTGCTTGGACCTGGCCTGCAAGGCCTTGCGCGATGGCGACTGCGATGGCGCACTGATCGGCGGCACGAGCTTGATTTTCTCGCCCACCATGAGCCTGGCCCTCAGTGACCAGGGCGTGCTATCCCCGACGGGGACGTGCAAGAGCTTTGATGCATTGGCTGATGGGTACGGCCGTGGGGAGGCTGTGAATGCCATTTACATCAAGACGCTGCGCCAGGCCGTGCAGGACGGGGACCCGATCCGGGCGATCATCCGGGGCACGAGTGTCAACTGCGACGGTCGCACCCCAGGAATGCTGACCCCCAGCCCCCGGGCGCAAGAGGCGCTGATCCGACGGGCCTACGAGGTGGCGGGCATTGCCGACCTGGGGGAAACGGCCATGGTCGAATGCCATGGCACCGGCACCCCCGTCGGAGATCCCCTGGAAACGACCGCCGTGGCCCAGTGTTTTGGAGTCAAGGGCGTCATCATCACCTCGGTCGGATCTCTCCATCAGCTCATGAGTCGAGGCGAAAGCTAACCAAGCTGAGAATCTAGGTCAAGCCCAATGTGGGCCACTCGGAGGGAGCGGCCGGCCTCACCAGTCTCATCAAGGGCGTGCTGGCTCTCGAACACCGCCAGGTGCCTCCCAACATCCACTTTACCACCCCCAATCCGAAGAGTGAGTCCACTGCATCACTGCCTCCATGGTTCTTTCTGACTCTCTCAACAGTCCCCTGGGACACCGGAAAGCTCCATGTCCCTGTACAGGCCGAGCCCTGGCCCGCGGATCGCGCCGAACGAGTCAGCGTCAATTCGTTTGGCATCGGGGGCGTCAATGCCCATGTAGGTCCCCGGCACGATGTGTTGGAGCTATCTCTCACGTCGTACAGGTGATTCTCGACTCGCCTCGCCAATGCGGCATCATCGTCGACCCCGGTGCACTTGCGGCCCCCGTTCCGGTCCCAAACCAGCCACACCTGATGCTGTTCTCCGCCCACAGCCCGGCCTCGCTGCAGTCCTCCATCGTTACGTACCAAGAGTACCTTAAGCAAGGCCATGCTTCCCTGAAGGATGTGTCGTACACTCTGGCCAACCGGCGGGCCCATCACTCCCACCGTGGCTATGCGGTCCTAGACGGGCCCTTGTCCTGGGAAGCGTCCACAGGGGAGACGGCCCCGTCATCGCCTCAGATTGCCTGGGTCTTCACAGGGCAAGGGGCACAGTGGCCCGAGATGGGAGCAGAGCTGCTGGAAACTAATGCCGTCTTTCGGGACACCATCCACAAATTGGACCGCTTCCTCCGGTCCTTGCCCACGCCACCACCCTGGACTATTGAAGGTACGCCCCTCCCCATGGTTCGGAGGGGGACAAGGGCTAACGGTGGAGACAGAGGAACTTCGCAAGCCGGACGGGGTTAGCCGAATTCACGAGGCTGTCATGGGTCACCCGCTGTCCATTGCCCTCCAGATCGGGCTAATTGACGTGCTGCGGTCCTGGGGAATTGTCCCCACAGTCGTCCTGGGTCACTCCTCGGGCGAGATGGCAGCGGCGTATGCCTGTGGTGCCATCACCGCCGAGGGCGCCATGGCTGCAGCCACTTTCCGGGGCACCAGCCATGAGACATCCTCCCGCAAAGGAGCCATGGCGGCTATCGGACTGGGCGCACCGGAAGTGACCCCCCTGCTGGAACCGGGCGTCGTCATTGCCTGCGAGAACAGTCACCAGAGTGTCACCATCTCGGGGGACACTCACCACGTCGAGCGAGTGGTGAATCGCATCCAGAGCGAACAACCTGACGTCTTCGCCCGGTTCCTCCGGGTAGAAAAGGCATTTCACTCGCGTGAGTGTGCCCAACCTGTCCTATCCGCCGGCAGCGACTAACCCTTGAATAGATCATATGTGGGAGTACGGCCCCCGGTATGAGGAGCATCTCCGGCCCTTTATCCAGAGCCACCACCCGCAGATCCCCATCTACTCGGCCGTCACCGGAGACCTCTTAACGGGTGAGGATTCCCTCGGGGCCCCATACTGGCGGCAGAACATGGAAAGCCCCGTGCTTTTCAACGCCTCGCTTCGCTCTGTGTTGCGAGACTACCCCGAACGGCTCGTCTTTATCGAGATTGGACCGCATCCGGCGCTGAAGGGGCCCATCCGGCAGATTCTGCAGGATGTCGGGCGATCCGATGCCATCCACGTCGGCACCCTCCAACGAACCAAGCCCTGCCAGGAGAGCCTGTTGCAGTGTGCTGGCACCCTCTTTCAGCAGCAAGTATTCCTCAACCTTGCGGCAGTCTGCCCGCCAGGTCGTTTGGTGAAGAACCTGCCCCGGTATGCCTGGCAGCGCGACACGTCCCACTGGGCCGAACCCCGCGTCGCCCACGAATGGCGCTTCCGGCCACATCCCCCGCACGAGCTGCTGGGCAGCCGAGTCATTGAGATGGGAAGTGAGCCTTCGTGGCGGAATGTGCTGGCCTTGGAGAATGTTCCCTGGCTGGCGGGCCATCGGGTGAGCGACCAGATTGTTTTCCCGGCCGCGGGATATGTCGCCATGGTCGGGGAAGCCCTCCGCCAGTTGGATGGGGAGTCGACCTACACCGTAAAGAATGTAACGATTGCGTCGGCGGCGGTGCTGGAATCTGACAAACGAACGGAGATCCTGACATGCCTTCGACCAGGGTCGTTGGACTCATCCGAGCAGTCTCCGTGGTATGCCTTCACCATCAGCTCGTTTGATGGAGGCCAATGGTTCCGAAACTGCTATGGCGAGGCTCGGGTCTCGGTGGACAAATCGGTCTCCCTGCAGGCTGATGAGCCAAGCAAAGGCTTGCCTCGAATCGTCGATGCCGACGCCTGGTACAATGTGTTGCATCAAGTGGGCTTCGATTACAGCGGCGCCTTCCGAGGCCTGCAACAAATCTCGGCCGCGACCGTCGAGGACCAAGCAGCCGGAGCCGTGCCATGGCATGAGACTTACGGCAATGGCAGCTATGCCCTCCATCCCGGCGTGATTGACCAGTGCTTCCAATTGTTCACCGTCTCAGCCTCCCGGGGTCAGGCCCGGAAATGCCGTCATCCGGCAGTGCCGACCTTCATCGAAGAGATGGTTGTTGCACCTACCCAGGGAGACCTTCACGTGGCGGCTCGCGTAGGCGCCCTCGAGAGGGGATCCTATCTCGGGGATCTGGCGGCACAAAGATCGGGTCAAGTAGTCCTCGCGGTCAAGGGCTTCAAGACGTCTGCCCTGACCAGCGCCGGCAGCGCCTCGGAACAAGTCCCCCTCATCACCCAGCTGGAGTGGAAGCCGCACGCCGACTTCGTCAACATGGCTCAGTTGATGCATCCTCGTGAGGACTGCCCCCCGGAATGGCCGTTACTAGAGGAACTGGTTCTGCTGTGCATGCTTTCCCACCACGACCAGGTCCAGCCTGGCCCTCAGACCCCTGATCATCTCCGAAAGTTTGTGGCGTGGCAGGAGGCTCAGCTCGACCGCTATCGCTCCGGCTCCAACCCTTTCGTGTCCAAGGACCTCGGGCTATGCGAGATGAGCAGCGCCGATCGGGTGGCTCGCATCGAGGCCATCGTGAGTCGGGTTCTGACTTCGCCCTATGCCCCTTTCGCCCTCGCCATTCATCGGTTGTCCGAGTCGGCAGCCACTATCTTCACTGGTGAGACCCATCCACTGATGATACTCGGTCAGGATGATACCTTAGCGGAGTTCTATACTGTCGTCGATAGTCTGGACTATGCGGAGGCAATTGCGACCATCGGGCATACCAATCCTTTGCTGAAAGTCTTGGAGGTGGGCGCTGGGACGGGGGCAACCACCCAGAAGATCCTTGACGCCCTAACCTCGTCTCAGGGAGAGCGTCTGTACGCCAGTTATACATATACCGATGTCTCGACCGGGTTTCTGGCGCCCGCAAAGGAACTATTTGCAGATTATGATGAGATAATCTACTCGGTGCTCGATATCAGCCAGGACCCAGTCGTTCAGGGATTGGAGTTGGGAAGTTACGACCTCATCGTCGCAAGTAACGTGAGTCACCATATTGTCCGCCTCGGGCTAGGCATGGCCGTTGATGACAACAGGTTTTGCACGCCACCCCGTCCTTGCAGACTTCGCTGCGTCATCTTCGAAGCCTTCTGCGCTCCGGGGGTCGCCTGTTTTTGGAAGAGCCTTGTCCCGGTGAGTGCCCCTATCTCGGACGTCCCTGGCTCCAGCCCGGCACGCTAATCTGGTACAGAGGCCACATTTTACGACTACGTAATGGTAAGGATCCAAATGCCCTTCTCTCACCCCTCCATGCAGCCATGATGCCAGGTAGCTAATATGTGTGACATGAAGGGATACCTACCAGGCTGGTGGGTTGGCTCCGGCGATGGCCGGGCGGATCAGCCTTATATCTCCCCAGCTCGGTGGTCCGAGGAGCTGGTCGCGGCAGGCTTCCAAGCACCGGATGCCATGGTCCTGGATGGGATCGCTCCGTATCACTCCAGTGCTGGGATCGTTGCTTTGGCTGCCCCCCAGAAGGCATCCCCTTCACGAGTCACCTTGTTGTGTTATAATGCAAATGGGCCATTCGTCCAAGAGGTCATGTACCGCCTTAGAGCCCTGGACTTCTCCGTGGACATTTGCCTACTCGGACAGCCCCTTCCCCCCTGCCAAGATGTCATCTCACTTCTCGACCTAGAGGATCCCGCGATCCATGGCATGTCACAGCCCACGTTCAAGGCTCTCATCGGGTACCTGCATGCCGTCGAGCGCAAGATGGTCTGGGTGACCCGGGCATCGCAGGTCAACTGCGACGATCCCCGAGCTGCCATGATCCTTGGACTAGCCCGAACGGCTCGGAATGAACTGGGCCTGGATCTGTTTACCGTGGAAGTGGACAGCGCCACCCCAGCCGTCGTCGCGGCAGATCTGACTGCTAATCTCCTTCTGCGGGCCAGTTCAACCGAGTGCGACTCGGGGGTGGTGGATCCCGACTGGGAATATGCTATCGCCAACGGGGAGATTCTGGTCCCCCGGGCCCACTGGCAGACCGTTTGCAATGCTGTGGCACATTCCAGCCAGGCGGGTGGCTCCTCCCAGAAGCAGCTTGCTATCCAAACCCCCGGCCTCCTCCACACGATGGGGTGGCGGAACCAGGAGGCCGAGACTCTAAAGGCTGGCGAGGTACTCGTGCAGACGAAGGCCACGGGGCTAAACTTTCGAGTAGGACATTCCGGTTCTTACGGATGACGACCGCATGCTGACTCACGGCAGGATGTGCTGATCAGTCTCGGAGTGTTGGACAACAGCACGGCCGAGCTTGGACTGGAAGGCGCTGGCATCGTCCAAGCGGTCGGTCCTCACGTCCACCATGTTTCTGTGGGCGACCGGGTCATGTACCTATCAAGTGGCTGTTTCGCTACTCATGTCACACTGCCCGAGACGTCGTGCGTGAAGATTGATGATTCTATGAGCTTCGAACTCGGAGCCGCGTTGCCCTGTGTCTACGCCACGGCGACAATGGCGTTGATCGACAAGGCGCGCTTACAACCGGGCCAGGTAGGAATTCGGGATGGTATTCATTCTTGATTCCCCTGCTGATGAATCTGTAGTCCATTCTGATACACTCGGCTTGCGGTGGCGTCGGCCTGGCCGCCATTCAGATTGCGCAGATGATTGGCGCGCAGGTAAGTGGTCTGCATCTGCGTGGAATCACAGGGGTAACAGTCGTAGATCTATTGTACCGTCGGAAGTGAGTCGAAGGCTCAATATCTTGTCGAGAAACATCATATCGAGCGCGAGCGCATCTACCACTCCCGCGACGCGTCCTTTGTCCCGGACATCATGCGCGTCACCAATCAGCAGGGAGTCGATGTAGTGCTGAACTCCTTGTCAGGAGAGCTGCTCCACGCATCCTGGAAATGCGTCGCCGAGTTTGGGACCATGATCGAGATTGGCAAGCGGGACTTTCGGCGGAGAGCCAAGCTGTCCATGGAGGCGTTTGAGGCCAACCGGACGTTTGTTGGACTGGACCTGTGGCAAATCTCCCAGCAGCGGCCCAGACAAGCTGCCGAGTACGTTCCCGTTTCCCTGATCTTGGTGAGCTATCCCCCCTGACCGTCTAGCAGACTGCTGCAGCGCTGTGTGCAGTGGATCCGATCCGGGGCCATCAGGGTCAACGAGCCCGGCAACCGCTTCCCGGCCCATCAGATTCAAGACGCGTTCCGCTTCATGCAAGCCGGTCACCACGTGGGTAAGATTGTGATCACCATGCCCGAGCACTGCGAGGATCTGGCATCGCTTCCCATGTGCCCCTCCGCTACTCTTCGGCCCGATCGGAGTTACCTGCTCGTCGGTGGTTTGGGAGGGTTGGGCCGCGCTGTCGCGGGATGGATGGTGGAAAACGGGGCGCGGCATCTCATTTTCCTCTCGCGGTCCGCCAACCTGCGTCCAGACACCCAGACCTTCCTGGAGGAGCTCCAGTCGCAAGGATGTCAAGTGCAGTTGGTGACGGGTAGCGTGGGCGAGCTGGGCGATGTCGAGAAAGCCGTTGTTTCCGCGGTGGTGCCCATCGCGGGAGTCATCAACATGTCCATGGTCTTAAAGGTGCGACACCCAAACATCCTTGGTGGTGCAGGTCGAGACTAACCTCAGCAGGATGTGTCGCTCACGGAGATGGAATTCTTGGACTGGACCATGGCCGTGGAGCCCAAGGTGCAGGGCACCTGGAATTTACACCACGCCATTCGAACGAATCTCGATTTCTTCATCCTCTTCTCCTCGTACAGTGGAATTGCCGGGCAATGGGGCCAGGCCAACTACGCCGCCGCCAACACCTTCCTGGATGCCTTTGTGCAATATCGGCATCGTCAGGGTCTTGCGGCGTCCGTGATCGACATTGGGGTCATGGGCGAGGTGGGCTTTGTCTCGCAGAACCGGACTCTTCTGGATCGACTTGAGAAGAGTGGTATGCATGTGCTTACGGAGCAGGATCTTCTGGATGCCATGGCTTTGGCGGTGGCGCGATCCGCCCCGGGCCTCTCCCCGACTCCTCCTGGGGCCTACTGCAACGCCAGCCAGATCCTGCTGGGAGTGAACACTACGGTGCCGATTTCATCGCCCGCGAACCGGGTGGCGTGGAAGCGCGACATGCGTCTTAGCATCTACCGAAATATCAATGGTGCCCATGAGAGCTCCGCTTCGGGAGTCTCGGATCAGAATAGTCTCAAGGGGTTCCTTGCTGCATGCGGCGCCCATCCCGGCATCCTGGCAGAGGAGGCCGCCACGACCAAGATTGCGCAGGCCCTGGCATCGGCGCTGGCCAACTTCCTCCTCCGAGACTCGGCCAGCGTCAGTCTGGACGATTCCCTGCCGAAGCTCGGGGTCGACTCATTGGTGGCGATGGAGGTGCGGAACTGGATCCGGCAGCAGCTCGGGGTGGAGACCAGCGTCTTCGTGCTGCTGCAGAGTGCGTCCCTGTTGCAGCTGGGCGATCACCTGCGCCAGGCCCTGATTGCCCGCCTGGGATGAGACGGTTTCAGCTGGTGAATGCGTCAGGGCTCCACCTCCCGGTTCCTCTGCGTTGGTGAGTGGAGATGAAATGTCCGGTAGGATCCCAATTTTGGGGGCTAGATAAGATCCATTGGTCTGATAGTGCACAGTAGTTGATTGACCCAACATTTTGGGGTTGAGTAGAGTGGTCACACACCAGTGGGCCCAGCTTAACTGCAGATGTTTCAGTCCGATGGGAGACAAGCAGGAGTGGAGTTCAATTTGGGGTGAGCATAGGAGGGGAAAGGAGAGGGTTTCCGGTAGCCAGCATCGGGGGGCCGGGTGTGCTTTCCACCGGGGTTTGAATCTTGACTGGTGGGAACCATCTTGGTTAGTGGAATGCCTGGATGTGAAAGGATATTCGTCGATAGAATTCAATAGAGCATGCAGAGGATGCCTCATAGGGCATCTTCACCGATCATGATCGGGAGATCTTTTGGAACTAGTAATTGGAAATGAATCCACCCAATCCTGGGACGGCGTGATGACGATAGGCTGCTGGTCAAGGTCATTCATTCTCGTCGATCAAATCATGTCTCTCATCAGCCATCTGGTCCATCCTCCAGATCCGCCAACTTGGAAGGCTCGGGCCTGCAAGCCTGCAACCCTATCTGCAATCTCGGTCCATTCCCGGCCACCCCCTCCACTCCCTCCACTCAGGCTGACGCCAGGAATGGGGGCCCACCAAGGAAGAGCCTTCTAGGACCCCTCGGAGTTGGGGCAGAGGGCCGAGTGGAGAGGGTTTACTTAGTGGTTGCCACTAGCTGGGCCTTCTTCAGCCGGCAGCCCCTCCGGGCCCAGGCGATCTCTCTACAGCTGCTGCCATAGGATGGACCGGTCCTCCTAGCTATCGATCCTTTGCCTGGACTTTCCACCACTAGACCAGCTTGGCCAACCGTCCGTGCACGAATCAACCGGCTGGGACGGTCTATGTCGTGATGGACCCGCTGCTGGGATCCCCTCCTTCCACTCACTGCATCTGGCAATGGCTTCGAGTTCCTTGGCCCCGTGGCCACCCGACACCTCGGTGGCCATTCTTCATGGCCCAAGACAGGGGTGGTTCCGCCACAACGTCAGACTTTCTCAGCTGAGGTTCGTCGCCATCGAGCCATTGAGACCTGCCATTTGCTGCGGGTTTCTCCCCCAGTCTGCGAACTCGTAGACTTGGCAAGTTCCTTTTTCCAATCGTCGCGTCATGTGTCACTAGTGATAGGGTCCCACCTTCAAGAGAACGTTCTGCGGAGTCGATGGGTCAAATCAGGATTTGTCAGTCTCTAGCACCTGATGCAGAAGACCAATGGCCTCAGAAAACCCCATCCAAAGAGATCATCTAATTCCCGAGGCCCAGGATCTGTCCACTGCGAACGGATACTGGTCATTCACCAGCTTGCCATCTACTCATCGAGGCTGCGTGCGGTAGACTCTTGCTGGAAAAAAAAAAAGCAAGGAAGGGTCCTTGTCGTTGGCAGTTGTTACACAAGCGGACGGGGGTGTATACATAACTGGCAGTTCGCCCACGACGATGGAAATGACCAGCGAAAATCCCTCCAAAGATGCCTGAGTCCCCGCTTCGTGGTCCATCACGGGCAAGGCGCCTCCGTCTGGCTTGTGATGCTTGCCACAATGCAAAGATCCGCTGCACCGGTGGTGATCCATGTAAGAAGTGTGAGACTGCGTGGGTGACCAAGGCCCCGTCAACTGAGCGCAACTTGCTGAACCACTTTCAATAGGGATATAGTATGCCAATATAGCTATACCGCCAAGCTGGGCAAGCCGAAGGGGAGTCGGAATAAAAGGACGCTGGCCAAGCTGGATGCCGGGAACCGTGTGAGACCGTCGGATGTGCCTCAGCACGATCATCATGTGTCCTCGGTGCCTACCAGTCCCATCGTACCCTGGAATCTTTATCCGCCTATGGGAGATGATCTAGATTACCCCGGGGCAGAGCTGCTCTTTGATTTGAACATACCAATGTATCCTCCACCGCCGGACGGGGGCCTATGCCAGGTAGGTACCACCGATGACCATCCACTCGAGCAGCACCGGTCTAATACACCATCTCCTAGTCAACCCTGGTAGACACAATCACGGATGGTGATATATCTGCTGCATTGGGTAGTAAGAGAAAGTCCCACTGATTTCAACTCCCCTTCACTGACCAAACATCGCCTGGTCCTCAGCTGACCACAGCAACCCGGCATCAACCCCTGTTCTATCTTCGTCGGATTCCACTCTGCCCTCCACCACCAATCATGCTGCCGCAAATACTATCGACAGTGAGCCATCTGAGCAACCTTCCTGTGCGTGTCTCAAGCTCCTGACAGAGCAGCTATGTCATCTCAATGCCACTGAGCGCAAGCACAGCACCATCTCGCCGGACCGGATTCTGTCCCTGGCTTGGGTGGTTCTCAGCTGCTCTGATAGTGCGCTGGCGTGTGCCTTTTGTCGGCTGGACACTACAGTGCTGCAGCTGATCACCAACACCTTGCAAACGATCTTTCATTGGGCCAAGGTGGATTACCAGGACGCCGTTCAACATCCCCTTCCGCCGATCCAATATGGCGACTGGATGGTGCCTGAAGCGGAGAGCCACCTGATAAAGCTGCTGCTGACGAAGCGGGTCCTGAGTCTCAGTCACTCGGTGGTCACGCTTCTGGGGCTCCGGGTGGAGGAAATCCAGCTGCTGGCCAAGAAGCAGATGAAATACCAGTTTATAGATATTGGGCATATGCGACAGGCGGTCAAGAGGCTTTTTCTCTCGTTGACCGAGCTGGATGGGATTGTCCAGCGTTGTGGCAAGGGGAAGCAACAACTTGGTCTGGATGGTCTGTTCGCGCACCCCCCTTCAGAGCCAACCCGGCTTGCCTCGGACTGGGATTCAGAGTAGGCTGGCTGGCTCGAGTCAGGCCAGCTGTCAAGGTGCCTTCCTGGTAGCACGCTATCAAGGAAGACGCTACGCCCACACTTACCGCATCAAGAAAGAAACCGTCTGATAAGTTATTATTCAGACTACGTTTTAAGTCCTGTGTAAGATATCTCATACAGTATATTGTACAAGGCCTCATTCATAATCTCGAAATATACAGGGCTTCACACAGAACATGAAATCGGATCTGAAGCAGGGCCCTAAGTCGAGTGTCAAATTTAGCTTCAAATGGGACTCGTGATAACTGGGCCCCAGTGGTTGCCTAAGGCATAACACATGCCTCAGGCATTGATGAAAGCGGCAAGGGTGTTGCTTAGCTATAAAAAGTAAGGGTTGCCCAATCTGATAGCCGGAGTACGCAAAAGGTATGCTACAGATGTGGCTGTACATGATAACTTATGACCCTCAACGCAGATCTATGGTTTTCGTGTCATCTATCCGACGATCAACAGGTGTTGTGGATCACGGGGGAGGCCGCGCGGAATAGATCTCCGGCTACTGTCTTCCCCATCACGTGCCGAAAATTGCCAGTCACTCAAGTGGGTCTATTAAACGTAAGTAGGTACTAATAGGTATAAGCAAGTGGACCAGCCCATGGGCCGGTGACTGGTCAATGCGAGCTCGCTCGGAGCTCAGTTGCCGATCCTCGGGGGTGGATGGAGGGCTGGCAGAGGCGGGGAAGATAGTACCAAGTACTCCCCGGTCGGATTCACGCAATTAGATTAATTCTAGGCAGCTAGATTCCATCCAGAGAGGCAATAAACACCAGGCAAGCATAATGAATGTTTTTTAAACAGATGTGCTCCGTTCTCAACTGTACCATGGCTCGACGCGCGGGGGTTCTATCCAAGTCATTAGGGCTGTACTCGTAGGATGCTCCCTATCTTCCAATAGGATGAGATGCATCCTCCAACAGCCCTACATGAGAGCCTCTTTCATCAAGCCACCGGCCCAAAATTCTCCATTCACCTCAGTGATATGGATGTATTCACTCCCCACCCTCCGATGTGTCAGAATCCGTGCAGGGAATCCCACCTATAGTCCTGCATGGATGGAAACGGCGTCCTTGATCCCTGCTGGGTCCCCTCTCGACCCCACTCAACTCGCTCATTTAAGCCGGCCTCTGTCCAGAGCTTTTTCTCTCCTCCACCTCCCCAACACCTTCGTGTCAATCTCCTCAGCGCCATCAGACATTCTCTCCTTGTGTCTTGTCGAGCGCCATGACCCCCAGCATGTTGCCAATCGCCATGGCGGACCTTCGGGCCAGCCTTCCTTGGGCCCTGGTCATCGCCGTCGTGGGCTATTCCATCGCCAGAATCCTGTACAATCTCTTTCTCCATCCTCTGCGCCACTTTCCCGGCCCCTGGTGGGCGGCCTGCTCCCATCTGCATGAGTTCTACTTTGACGTGATCCAACGCGGCATGTTTATGTGGCAGATCGAACGCATGCATCAGCAATATGGTGAGTAACACGATCCCCCCAACAGCCTCGTACTGACCGATGAACCAGGTCCGATTGTCCGCATCAACCCTCGCGAAATCCACATCAGTGATCCAACCTTCTACAATGAAATCTACGCCGGGGGCAGCCGACGACGCGATAAAGATCCCTACTTCACCCCGGCATTCTCGGCGCCCTTGTCCATGGTAGCCACCAACGATCATGACCACCATCGCTTCCGACGCTCCATCCTGAACGGCTTCTTTTCCAAACGATCCGTCCTGCAACTGGAGCCCATGATCCAACAGAAAGTGGACAAGTTGCTGAGTCGCTTCACGGCGGCCCATGACGACGGAGATATCATCGCCACCGAAGACGCCTACGCTGCCCTAACTGCCGATGTCATCTCCTTCTACTCCTACGGCCACAGCTTCAACTACCTCGACCACCCGACTTTCAACAGCAACGTCCGCCGAGGCGTCAACGGAATGACCCACGTTGTCCATTTCAATCGCTTCTTCCCGGTCCTGCTCGGGGTCCTGCGAATCATCCCCCTGGAAGTGGTCCGAAAGGTACAGCCGTATGCGGCGCTGGTGATTGACATGAGAAATACTCTCAAACAAATGGCAGCCAGCTCTGTGGAATCGCGTGAGACCAAGGCTAGTCGAATGACCATGTTCGAAGCCATGAATGGGGATGAAATCCCGGCTGTGGAACGTACCATTGAACGGTTGACCGATGAAGCCCAGATCCTGATTGCCGCAGGAACAGAGACCACCGCACGTGTCCTGGTGATTTTGACTTATTATCTCTGCCTGCATCAGGATATCCTTCTCCGACTGCGAAAGGAACTCTCGAAGCTGGGAACCGATCGGCCGACCTGGACAGACTTGGAGAATGTGCCCTACCTGGTCAGTATCCCTCTATCCCACCCAGACAGACATCGCTAACCTATCCAGAGAGCGGTTATCAACGAAGGTCTTCGCCTGTCCATCGGCTTGACCATTCGTCTTCCGCGCATTGCACCCGATGAAGACCTAGTATACAAGAACTGGGTCATTCCACGCGGAGTAGGTATTTTCCATCTCCATGATCCCCAATACTAATGGAGTATACATCCAGACCCCAATGAGTTCATCATCGTACCTCATCGCCATGAACCCCGAGCTCTTCCCAAACCCCAAAACCTTCAACCCGGATCGCTGGCTCGAGGCTGCTGACAAAGGAGAGAACCTGACTCAATACCTGACCAACTTCACCAAGGGCAGTCGGTCGTGCGTGGGGATCAAGTAGGGCCTTAGCATACACCCTAACTTACTCATCGGGGACAGGACTAACGGATCTAGTTTGGCCTACGCGGAACTCTATCTAACCACTGCGGCGGTAGTGAGTCGTCTGGACATGGAGCTGTGCGACACTGCCATTGAGAATATCTGGCCGCAGCGGGACTTTGGCGTTGCTTTTACCAAGGATGATTCATTTGGGGTCAAGGTGGTGGTTAAGAAGGCCTTGCATTAGCTCGAGGGTGAGTATGTTCAGGAGGTGATGAGAATTGGTTTGTTTCATGCCGGGTCAAGTAGCGAATAATGGCTGCTGACTATCTACTATGGTTCATGGGATGTTATGGACGTAATATGACCCCAATGTTGTTAGGTCTTCATAGTCCATAATCTGACTACATGTACGTATTCCTGTAGCCAAATATCGTCAATGTCAGAAACTCTAGCCCAAGGCAGATCGCTCCCTATCATCGTGGTGACTACACAGGTGAATCCTTACATTCAACAAAAACAACTACAATTGTTAGACCCCGAATACAAGACCCCGAATCCACATCACGCCACCGACGGCTGCCCCGAACATTCACGGCCATGGCCCACAGCCCTTTGTTCACCCGACTGACTAGACTTTCGGTGTTCAAACAGAGTAGCCTTCATCAAGTCCCCAGCCTCCCACGCCTCATGGATATCCAGCTCCACAAGTCGATACCGCGTTTGCGAAAGATGATACGGGATATATCCCTGAACCAGATGTTCAATATCCCGCTGCATACCGGGCATCATCGAGAGAAAACACCGGACACGCTGAGTCACCCGGATAGTCTTCTGACAGATATCCTCCAAAGCGCGCAGAGGAGACACAGCATTCACGACAGCGACATTACAAACAAAGTTCCCCGTCTCATCTCTCACAATCGACTCCTTATAAAAGGAGAAAATATCATTCACCGCTTTAAAGAAATACGTCAATTCCGGAATAGCCAGCAAATAGCCCCGAAAATGGCTTTCATCTGGATAGAGATCCCGGGGAAAGGCCAGGAAAGCATACGCCTCAGCGATGCTCGTTTTCAAGCGCAAGTAATAAGGGAATCCGCGGGCGTCTGGTGGCAGCGTAAGTGCATGAGCGCCTTCCAGCTCAACTTCCACATAACACGCCGCGATAGACTCCAAAGTCGCCTTGAGGATCATACCTGTTGCAAACTGGCCATATGCATTGCTGATACTATCATCCAGAAAGCGGACAAAAGACCGACGCAGGGGATTCTCGGATGCCTGTCCCTTGAATAACACCCTGGCCACTTGTTTCAAATCATCCAGGATCTCACCCGCCAGATGATCAATGGCAATCAGATATACCGTGAAGATGGCAACCACGCGCTGAATCCCCGGCGAGACATGGGGATAGGCTGTCAGGGCGATGGCGGTGCTCCATTTGATGATTGGAGGGAGACGCGCGGTCAATTTGGAAGGAAGGTCCTGGGCAGTGAAGTATTCGTGCACCCGGGTCTCCAGGGTAAGGTTGTATTAGTAGTAGTAGTAGAATTTATAGACCTGATATAGCTGGCTGTACTAATAGCCTTGCTGTGCAGGTATTCTTTAAGCTTTAAAGAGGCTATTTATATATATATAAACCATCAAAATATTATAAAACATAGTATTAATCTTGCTGGATCCTTAGATCCTGTTACACGCCTATTAACTGCACGTCTGTTTCTTAATTATATAGCTGTTATATTTATCTTACTATCTGTCTTTATTTAGATTATTATTATTATTATATTATTACTAAGATACTGTATTAAAAAGCTTGATTTTTATATATCAAAAAGCTAATTAAAAAACATATCCTGTCCTGTTTTCTGATTTTCTAAGTTCTTACTAAAACTATACTTAGCTCTATTTAGTACTTCTTCTACCTGGTTTTTATATAGTATAATATATACTCAGATCTTGCTTAATCTTATTTCAATTACTGTAAATCTTTTATATAATTATATATATTATGATTTATTATCTACGATAATCTTTAATTACTATCTATATAATTTATATGTTCATTATTCTTTCTTTTTATCTTATTTATTCTTCAGTAATTAGCAGAATCTTACTGAATTGATTTAATAATCTCGTTTTCATTATAAAGTTAGTAATATAGCAAGCTGTAACTAGCTTACTTACTAATATATTATAATTATTTTAGTTAACTGTAATCTTATACTTTCTAAATCTTTATTAAAATTCTTACTAAAGCTTCTAGAATCTCCTACAGTTAAATAATATATATTTTAGAATCTAGAATCCTTAGTTATATCTATATTTATCTGAAACTTTTATCTTAATCTTATATAGAAAGTAATTTAGGCTTATTCTGCCTCTAGATTAACTAAATTAATACTGAGCTCTAAAACCTATTAAGACTTTAATAAAATTTAAAAATTATCTTAATTAATTCAGATATAAGATATTTGATCAGCTCAATAAAGATTAATTATTACTTTTACTATTTCTTTTATCTTTTCTAGATTAGTTAACCCGCGGTTCTTCTTACTATAAAAATTAGGATTATTATATCTACTTTAAATAATTCCTGATTTTTAATTATGTTCTTGATTATTTTATTAATAAGTTTATTATTCCAGACTCTCTTATAACTAGAAATCTAGTAGTAATATGATTTAACTTTCTTCTTCTGTAGTTACTTTAATCATTAAAGTTAAATAATTAAAATATATTAACTAGAAGAAATCTTTAATATTTTTATAGCTTTAAGTACTGTCTGACTGTTATTAAAATATAGATCTCTTTTTTTCTGCTTAACTATCTCTGTTAACTATTATATAACTTACTTTATAATTGTAAGGAGCCCTTCTAGCTTGACTATATAAATATTATTTACTGTCTCCAGGCCTAGATAATATGATATCTTTTTTCTTCTCTAAACTCTATAAGTTCTAAATATAATCATTATTATACTAATATAGCCTCTATATCTGCTTTTATTTATATAGAAAGTAATCTTTTTTTCTTACTTTAATAAATATATATATATATTAATCGCCTGCTTGCGATTCTTAATAATTATTATAAATAAAATATATTATAAAGATTAAATACAAAATTTTCTTATCTTTTATCTCAGCTTTTATATCTTTGGATCCTGGCCCTGACTCTAATCTTAATTTTACTAATATCTAGAATTTTTGATCTCTATCTTAAATATCTCCAGAAATATATGATATTCTCTTAACTTTCTCTTTTATTTTTTATATAACTTACTTATTACTAGTCCTGTAATTATATAAATCACTATCTTTTCAATCTCCTACTTCAGAAGCTAGAGAATTAGAGTTAGATAAACCTCAGTATTAAATATATTCACAGTAATATTTTTTAAAATCTTACTAATTAAGACTGTTATCTACTGTTATATTTAATCTAGATATTAAATTATATTTTTTTATATTACAGTATCTTTTACAAGTTTTTATAGATTGTACTACACCAAAAAGTAGTATAAAAACGGTAGGACTATTTTTATATTATAAGTTATATATATATTAAATAAAGATATTCTCTATATAAATACTGATATTAATTAGAGTATCTTAAAACTAGTCTCTATCTTTATAATTATTCTTCTATAATATTTTCTAAAATTAAGCTTTAAATCAAGTTAAATATTAAGATATAGTACTGCTTTAGTGAACTTAATTATAATCTTATCTATATTGTTTTTTATTATAAATTCTGTATTAACTAACTCAGACTTACTATAATCTAAGTAAAAAAATATATTAGTTAGTATTTGATTGAGATGAATATTAAACTATACTATTAAGTGTAGTTCTGTATTTAAAAATATATTTTTCTAAATATATAGACTACAGCTCTTTCTAATCTAATTTTAATAAAATTATTATTATTATTTATCCAACTGTATATTTTAATTATTTTTCTAAGACAATACTTGAAATAAGCTTCTAGTAAAGATATATTATATAATAAGTATAATATAGAAAATAAGAAGAACTCTTAAAAGATCCCTGTAAGTATTAATATTTATTTAATAATAAGTTTAAAAAAATATAGCTTTATCTTTCTATTACTAAAAAAACTCTTTAACCAGGATATTAAATATCCCAGTTATTACTTTTTTAAGATAAAAAATAAATTTTTATATAATATATTTGTTACGGACCCCTGCTAGTTAAAGCTACTAGTAAGGCGGACTCCTCAGGCAGAAGGCAACGTCCGGAAGGACAGCAACTCTTATCGAGTAGAATCCTGATCTGAATAACCGACGCCCGGAACGGCCATGCATCACGTGACTACGGTATATAGACCAGCTTATGGTATATGGTATATTATCACGGTCTATGACTACCATACTAGTATATGACAGACCTGATGGTATATGACTTGGTATATAAAGGATAGGATATATAAGGACATTCTTTCATATACTTAGCTAGTTCTGTTCTTCATGCTTAATAACACTGTCTTTAAGTACCCATAAGTTTAGAAGCTTAGTGATAACACTTGTCTGTACTCACTTACGGATAGCTGCGCGGCACTATTCAGCCTTACTTCTCTTCTCTTGTTCACGACCAGTCATTCCTAGATAGTCATTAGTCTGATACATCCTCGATTCAGTTCAAAGGTACGTATACCAGTGAAGCTAAGCTAACAGGAACAGGGAAGCGATCCTAGGGTTTGACAGCTAACTACTCTAAAACTTTAAGTATAATGAGGAAAAAAGGAAAACAGAAAGTGTTATAAGTGTTTGTTAAAGAAAAACAATACTGGCAATAGCAAAGCAAATAGAACAAACATGATGACATAAGCATCACGTGATACCTGGCGTAGCTGCAGTCACATTTACTAAAATCTTATATATCTTAATAAGGATAATATCCCGAAACTTGATTACAGGCCTGAAGTAGTACAGCTTTAACAAGTTATTAATATAAAAAAGATTTATAGATAATGATAAAAAAATATTTTTAACAATCCTTATCTTTATCTCTGAAGTATTAACTTTCTTATTATTATATATTAATATTATTATAGTCTAGCTACAGTACTAATCTCTAATCATTACCCAGTATTTAATTTATTAAAGACTGTATTTATTCTTTAATATATATTAAGTATAATTTTAATAAGTTCTTTACAGGGTCTTTCAAATAATCTATATTTTCTTATTTCTTATTTATTTATACAGTTCTTTGTACTTTAGCTTATAGTTTATTAAGATCTTGATTAGTTATTATTAGATTTTCTATACTTTATAAATCATCTTTATATATTTTAAAATAAAGTTAAGATTTACGTAAGTATTTAATCGTACTTACAGAGTTATCTTGTTTACTATTTTTATAATAATTATAATCAGATAATAAGTAACCTGATTAATATTATTCTCTGTCTATTAATAATTATATATTATTAATTTAAAAATATAGAGTCTGGGAGTTCTTAATCAGACTTTGATTAATAAAATAAGCTTATTTGTATTAATCATCTTTCAGTTTCTGTGCTGGACTATTTTAGTAATTCTTGTATAAATATTAATCTCTATATATAATAATTAGTAATCTGAATTATTATTTATTTTATTTACTTATTTCTATTAAACTACTTTATCTATAAGGTTTCTGGATATAAAAATAAGATTAATAATAATATTTATTCCAGTCTTAAAATAAATAATAATACTAGACTTATTTAGCAGCTCAAGCTTATATTTGTTGATCAGTTCTAGAAGCTTTTTTATTCTTTATTTAATATTTATCTTCAGTCTTTTCCACGTAGGGTAATAAAGATTAAAGTCTTTAAGAACTATATATTTTATATAGTAATACTATTAGATTTACTTCTTTATAAGACTTATAATTCTTGTATTAAGTTTATTATAAATATTATAAATAAAGATAATTCTTATCTTATTAATTCTGGTATAATTAATCTAGAATTATTAATAAATCCAGTTTACCAGCTGGTATTTCTAGATATTTAAATATAGTCTTTCACTAATATATAAGTAGACACGTACTCTATTATTATTTTCTAGATTTAAAAAATAGTATATATCTATATTTAAATTATATATAATATTTTAAAAGGGATTATCTTAGGAATCTTGATAAGTAATAATATTTACTTCTCTTGCAATTATTGTTTACAGAGATAATATTATAATCTAATTTCTTAATTAATTATAATTATACTATTGTCAAACCCTAGGATCGTTTCCCTGTTCCTGTTAGCTTAGCTTCACTGGTATACGTACCTTTGAACTGAATCGAGGTTGTACCAGACTAATGACTATCTAGGAATAACTGGTCTTGAACAAAGAAAGAGAAGTAAGGCCGAATAGTGCTGTGCAGCTATTTATAAGTGAGTACAGACAAGTATTATCACTAAGCTTTCTAAATATATGGTTATTTAAAGACAGTATTATTAAGCATGAAGAACAGAACTAACTAAGTATATGAAAGAGTGTCCTTATATATCCTATCCTTCATATACTAAGTCATATACCATCAGGTCTGTTATATATTATTATAGTAGTCATAGACTGTAATAATATACTGTATACCATGAGTAGGTCTGTATACCGTGATCACATGATACCTGGCTCTTTCGGGTGTTAGTTACTCAAGTCAAGATTCTACCCGATGAGAGTTTGCTGATGGTCCGGATGTTGCCTTCTGCCTGACGAATCCGCCTTACTAGTAGCTTTAACTGGCAGGGGTCCGTAACAACTATATAATATAAAAAGTCTCTGGCTTATTACTATCTGATTCTTTAGATATTAAATAGTACTTTCTAATTTATAAAAATACTCTCAGAGATTCTCTGTAATATTTTTATTACTTTAGCAATAATTCTCATAATTAGAGCTGTAATAAGATTTACTACTATTAAGATAGAGAATATTTCCTTTAGTATTTTATATTTTTTAAAGAATAAGGATTGCGTGTTTCGAAATACTAGAATTTACTTATTATTAGTATTAATAATATGTCAAACCCTAGGATCGCTTCTCCCTGTTCCTGTTAGCTTAGCTCCCGTTCCAATACGTACCTTGAACTAAATCAAGATAGGTCAGACTGATGACTATCTAAGAGGTGACTGGTCCTGAACAGAAGAAGAGAAGTAAGGCCAGATAGTGCCGTGCAGCTATCTGTAAGTAAGTACAGATGAGTATTATTACTAAACTTTATTAAAACATATGGTTACTTAAAGATAATTAGATTGAGCATGAAGAACAGAACTAACTAAGTATATAAAGAAGTGTCCTTATATATCCTGTTCCTCGCATACCATTCTGTATACCATCGGGTCTGCTGTATACCTGTTTAGTAGTTATAGACCATGATGGTATGTCATATACCACATGCTTGTCTGTATACCATGGTCATGTGACATGTGACACGTGATGACTCAGCTCGGGACTTTAACGTATTCCACAAGCGAGTCGGCACCACAAGCGAGTCGGCACCCCAACGCGTTTTCACCGCGATCAAAAACCTCACTCAATTCAACCACCAACCATGCCTCCAAAAGCGCGTCAAAAATCAAGAAATTCAGCCGAGCAGGAGGGGAGAATTTTATTAGCAATCTCTGCTATAGAAAATAAACAAATTACCCAAATTGCTAAAGCTGCACGTCATTATAATGTGCCTCGTTCTACTCTACAAGATCGACTACGCGGAAAAAGAAATCGCTCAGAAACACGTGCCAATAGTCATAAAATGACTCAAAATGAAGAGGAATCGCTTGTACAATGGATTCTATCGCTAGATCGTCATGGAGCACCTCCCCGGCCATCTCATGTACGAGAAATGGCTAATATTCTGCTTGCTAAACGTGGAACTACACCTATTCAAACTGTTGGAGAGAACTGGGTCTCTAAGTTTGTTAAACAACGCAATGAATTAAAAACCCGCTATACTTAATGCTATGATTATCGACGTGCTAAATGCGAGGACTCTAAGATTATACAAGAGTGGTTTAATCATGTACAAATCACTATAATGCAACAGGTGATTACACAGGAAGATATCTATAACTTTGATGAGACTGGCTTTGCTATGGGTCTAGTAGCTACTACACAAGTAGTTACTAGAGCTGATTACTATGGAAAAGCACGCCTTGTACAGCCAGGTAATCGGGAATGGGTTACTTCAATTGAGTGTATTAATGCTTCTGGTTGGGCGCTTTCTCCGTGTATCATCTTCAAGGGGAAGGTCCATATAGAGGGGTGGTATCAGAGCAACCACCACATGACTGGAGGATTGAGGTTAGTCCTAATGGCTGGACTAGTGATGAAATAAGCCTTCGCTTGCTTCAAAACCCCTTTATTCCTGCTACTACTGGCCGTACAACTGGGAAATATCGTCTCCTAGTTCTTGATGGCCATGGCAGTCATTTAACACCTCAATTCAACCAGATATGCAGTGAGAATAATGTTATTCCTATCTATATGCCTGCTCATTCTTCGCATCTACTGCAACCTCTGGGTATTGGCTACTTTTCACTGCTAAAACATGCGTACGGAGGCTTAGTGGAGAAGCAGATACGCCTTGGGTTTAATCATATCGATAAGCTTGACTTCCTTGAAGCTTTCCTTCAGGCGCGTACAGATATCTATACTACTAGCAATATCTGCAGTGGTTTCCCCGCTACTGGGCTAGTTTCATATAATCCAGAGCGAGTGCTCAGTCAGTTAAATATTCAACTAAGTACTCCGACACCACCAGGCAGCCGGTCAACCAATTCAGTGCCTAAGACACCCTATACTATCAGGCAGGTGGAGAAGCAAGCATCTACAATTAAGAAGCTGCTTAGGGCGCGTACACAAAGCCCTTCCTCTCCTACAAAGGCTGCGCTAGATCAACTTATTAAAGGATATATAATAGCGATGAATAGTGCTACTATTTTAGCACAAGAAAACCATGATCTACAAGCCGCATATGAGAAGAAGCTTCAAAAGCAAAAGCTATCTACTAAGCAGCTTACTGCTGCAAAAGGTCTTTCTATCCAGGAGGGCCAGGAGCGATTCCAGCAAGAGAATCAGGTTATTGAAGCTCAAGATACTGTGTCTAGGGATCCGGGGCTTCCTGCAGTTGGACCGCGCGTACGCGCGCCACCACAGTGTTCTAATTGTCATATTCGGGGGCATACTAGGATCAGATGTCCTAACCCACCTAGTAATTAGTTTTATAGAGAAATGCAATTGTTTTATTGGTAAAGCGGTGCTTGAATCTAACATAGTCATGGAAATCGGAGCGGAGGTGGCGGCTCGGTAGTGGATTACGTTATTTCTTTAATTCTCTTAATAATATTTATTAGGGGCATAGCCCGGAGATTTTTAATAAGTAGATAGCTAGTAAGTTTAATAATAATTTCATTGTTTTTATTTAACTTATAAAAAGTAATCTTAAAAATCTTTATTTCTACTGTACATATTATTATAAAAATATCTGTAATTATTAAAGATAATAACTAGATTCTTTTATATATTATATCTGTATAAGTTTTCCTGCTTATGATAGAGAATCTTATATTTTTAAGATTAGTCTGGATTTTAACTGCAATAATATTATGATAGAGTTAGATAAACTCTTATTAAAAGTACTTACTAAACTTTCTCAGCTTATATTTTAGATTATGATTTAGATTAACTATAGCAAGCAATTCTGTGATCTTCAGATTTATTTTAATAAATTACAATATTAATTTAAAAAAAAACTAGCTTTACTTATCTATATATAATTAGAAATTATTCTAATATAATATTACTGGTTAACTGCGCGCTATATTAAATTTAATACAGAGTTTTTTATATCAGTTATCAAGATTAATTATGGATTTGTTTAAGATACTATTTTAACACTATAATAAGACAAAATCTTATAAAAGTAATATTAAAATATTGTTAGTCATGTTAAATGTAACTATATAAAATATAAGGCCTGTAAGCTGTTACGGACCCCTGCTAGCTGAACGACTAGTAAGGCGGGCATGTCAGGCAGAAGGCTACGTCCGGACAGACGGCAACTCTTATCGGGTAAAGTTCCGATCCGAGTCGTCACATGACCACGGTATACGGACAAGCATATGGTATACGGCATACCATCATGGTCTATGACTACCGCGCGGGTATATGGCAGACCCGATGGTATATGATATGGTATACGAGGAATAGGATATATAAGGACACTCCTTCATGTACTTAGTTAGTTCTGTTCTTCGTGCTCAATAACATTGTCTTTAAGTAACCATATGTTTTGGTAAAAGCTTAGCGACAACACTCGTCCGCACTTACTTACGGATAGCTGCGCGGCACTATCTGGCCTTACTTCTCTTCTCTTGTTCAAGACCAGTCGCCTTTAGATAGTCATCAGTCTGACTGCCTCGATTCAGTTCGAAGGTACGTATTGGAACGGAAGCTAAGCTAACAGGAACAGGGAGAAGCGATCCTAGGGTTTGACATAAGCCTTGTGGTTATGGTGTAAATTTCAAAAATTTGATTCGCGCGTGGGGAGTTGTTTATTTTTCGGTAAGGTCGTATTGTTGACGAGGAAGTTCATAGTTGACTTGGTGGAGGAAGTCTCAGAGAAGAGTGGTGTATTCGGTTTTCATGTTCACTGCGAGGATTATGCAGAGGGGGAAGGGGGGAAATGTACGGAGGGAACACCCAGTGGGAAGTGGGCTCTGGGATCAATTTAACGGTTGGGTGTTATTGTATCCCCGGCCATCAGACCGGCATGTTAGTGTGTGGACCTGTCAATTCCAGGGCCGAATTGTACCTCCACTTAGCCGGGGGGCTCCACTTGGGGCTGTGGCCAGGCCAGGCCAGCCCGGGCGAGTGGTGGCGACATGTTTGCTATGCCACATGCAATCACCGAGCAGAGGAGGGGTAAGACCATCTCATCTCTCAAGAAATGTTTACTCCTGAAGGCTCGAGAAGGAATTGCTGGAGAGAGTGTTTTTTTTTTCTGCGCTGATTGTGACTAAGCTAGCCTGAATGATGGACTCGTGAGGGTATCTCTCTTGCCGGATCATCGTACCGATCAATCTCCATCCTACAGATTGCAGACACCCCGGCTACAATCATATAATTAACTTGTTATCGTCCGGCATACGTCCAATGGCGCTTTCGAAGGTTCCCGTGTTAGGAAGGTCCAAGGAACTCTTTGCTAACCTCTCGTGAGATAATGGATTATTACTATTACTATAGACAGGGTGGGGTATACGTGGTTATCTCTCTCTCAACCATACCATGCAAAGGGGGGAAGGGGTTGTATAACCCAGAGAGCGACATATGCCATGGTAGTCCAGATCTCTGTAAAAGATGGGCACAGGACCAGATTTCTGGTACTATGCATCTCCATTGGACAACAATAGCAGGAACCAAGAGAGCGATGGCATCTATTCCGACATCCGCTTCGAGGTCACGGAATACTCGGTGGCCATCATAATGGCCGGCTCGCCACTCCCATCATCCTGCTTGGTCATCTCATGCAGACTCTCCACATCGTGATTGGTCTCCGCCGCCGTTGTCCCCTTCAGGGTCGTGAGGTGGTCCCAGTTGCGGATCACCTTCTTGCGCGAAGCTCCAATGGTGTCCTTGCCATCGGCCCGTTGAATCGGCTTAAAACCACTGTTGTTCTGGCTCCCGAAGAGATTGGGGAAGATCCGGAGCAGCAGAGGGCGCAGCACCGGGAGACAGGAACAGATGATACCCACATTGATTTCCACCATGCTGTGCACCATTAGCTGCTGAGCCTTTCTGTCTTGGAATCCGAGTGTAAGAGCGGGAGGGGAATACGTACGCCCATTTGGCCAAGGTCACCTTGTACCAAGTCAAATCCATGTCGTCCACGAACGGCATCATAGTCACAATGCGCACGATGGCAATCACACACGCGCTGGTCACCCGTCAGCCCGTGGACTCTTCATGGCAAGCAAGAACTTACAAAGAACCCATCATCAACACCAACATCAGCAGCACCCTCTGCTTAATCGTGGTCTGCAGCGACCAGCAAAGCTTGATGGGCAAGGCCAGGGTGATCAAATCCGAGAAGAGGTTGAACGCAGCGTTGGCATAGACAAAAGAGAGTTGCTGCACACATTTGGCAGTAGGCATCAGGGTCACATCCCACATGGCCTGCACCGGGAGACAGCCAAGCGTGAATACGAGAAGACTGATGATGTTGTACAGGGCGACAAACACCATGATGGCATAGGTCATTTGCCGGAACCGCTTCTCAGGGCTTAGTCGCAGGTAGAACAGCAAAATGGAAGTCTTGACCAGCCAGATGCCGACCACGAAGATGTCCTCGGCCGCGAGGTCATACTGCAAAAGTTAGTGAAAAGGGATTTTCTACCCGATGGAGAGGGTTGCTAGACAGCATACCTGCTTAAAGGGCTTGATCTCGCTCAGATGCAGGTCCCACATATGAACGCCGTACCCGTTCCGAATATCTGCCATCATCAGTATTCTGTAATTGTGGAGGCAACTAATGACACTCACTCAGCATACACAGAATGGCAAACAGCCACGCGCATATCTGCGCTCCGATACAAAACCCTATACACCGTCAGCCAAGCCAATCAACGGGCTGAACACTCCTCACAATCATCGATCGCGATGGTCTTCTGCAAGCGGATCCGCGTATAGAGGCGCAGCAGCAGAATAGTGGTGCCCGTCAGACATAGCGCGATGTTGATGGAATAGATCTGGTAATTCTGGTTCTCCGGATTGACAAAGTTGGCCGTCACCCCAGGAGGAGGCGTCGAGGCCGGCACTTGGCTGAGATCCAGCGTCGATGACATGATGAGGTGCCTTTGTCGTCCGCGAGAGGCCTGCTGTCCAAGTAAACTGCTAAGGACAGCCGACGAGTATCGCTGCTTATGTATCTTGGCCAACATGCTCGACTACCCTGCTGCTGCGCGGAAATATTTACCGGGTTCCCTGCAAGCGTCGCGACTACTGGTCGATTATTCTTCCCTGCATCGCATAGTTTGCGATCCCCGCACAGCTTGATGCAGCAGTTACCACCCGTTCTGGAAGCACCACCAGCATCTCGCTTCGACCACCGCTGGCAAGTCGATTGCGATGCGGCTGACATTGCACCCCGCGCCTCGTCGTCCAGCATTCTCTCCTTCGGATTGGCCCGAGTATCATTGTCAGGAGCATCTATAGACATCTCGGCTGCGCATCAATTGCATCTATCGGACGCAGGGGCTGCGGTATAGATTGCGTGCAGGGCCAAAAACCGGGTTTTAGATGACAGGTTCGAAGATAGTCTTGCTGTTCGGGGAGAGATCACAGACCCTAGCCGGCTCGTGACGCCCTCCCTGTCGATCCGATCCTGTGTGAAGCCTGAAGAGCAGCAATCTGGAGCAGGGCCTATACCGCAATGGCTGTGTGTTGGGAGGGGATCGGCGGAGACTAAGGCTTTCTTCCGGATGCCTCTGGATGGGCGCTCTGGATATGACCAGTGAGTTCCTTCGGACACAGACCCATCCGGGACTATCAGCCGAAGATTATCCCCATTTCTTCCGTACTTTGGTCTCTCTCGTATCCTAAGAAGAGCTCTCAGCCAATGGCCGGCTGGAACAGGGCAGGCATCCGCGGGGAATTGACCTGTCAGTTGGCGGACGGGGGGGCTGCCTGGCCGCCATCCGACGCTATGGCTGCCGATCGCGTTGCCTCTCCACTCAACCCGCCAATGACAGGCACCAACGGGCTCAACTGCCCAGTCCAAGGGCCATAGCGTCACGATAGTCATTGGCTGGTCCCTTGGGCGGGCCCCGAGTGTGACGAGTATAATAGGCCTGTCCCCTCGGCAGCCGGGGGGACAGGGTTCTGCACTCTGCAGACCCCGGTCCACCCCCCTGACCCTTGTACATACTAGCCATGGCCACTGCTCAGCCCAATCTCGATCACATCCAGCAGTGTCTGGCCGAAGTCACTGCCGCCGTCGACCAGTATCGCGCCGCAGCCTCCTCCCACACTGGCCAAGATGCGCGATATCAGTTGACGGTCCAAGCAACCCGGCTGGTGCGCGCCATCCGGGGCCCCGCCGACCTGGTGTTTGCCAATTTTGAAAACGTGAGTCGGCCAGAAATCCCGGGAATGCTCGGGGAATCCGGTTCAATAGCTGATGAGAGCCGCGGGTATATGTTTGTAGATGGTGAAAATGGGGGCTATCCGCACACTATTGGAGGCCGGAGTATTCGACGCCATCCCGACCGGGGGCCAGAGCATCTCGGCTGCCGAGATCACGGCCAAAACCGGTGTGGATAAGGAGATCATCGGTAGGGATCCCGAATCCTTTGTTCCCCCCATGTCCCTCTGCCAGGGGAGTCCCTGCGGTGCCAGACTGGGCTGACCCAGCCGCAGTGCGCCTCATGCGGGCCCTCACCCCCGTGGGACCCTTCCGCGAGACGGGCGAGGAGCAGTATGCCCACACCCCCGAGTCGGAGGTCCTTCTGGCTCCTCAAATGCGGGCGGTTTTTGGTCTAATGTGAGTGCGGCGGTGCCTTCAAACCTCCATCCCTGCGGCGTTTCCGATGCCTAACCGGTCGGGCTGGTCAGGATCGACGAGTACTCGCCCGCCATGCTGCGGACCCATGAGTTCCTGCAGCAACAGCAGTGGCAGCATCGGATTGGGCTGCGGAGCAACCCCTACACGCTGGTGCATGGCTGCGATGGCCAGACCATGTTCGAGCATATCTCTCAGCGTCCAGCGCGGGCCACCCGGCTGAACGACGCCATGGTGGCCGAGGACAGCCTTTTGGCCGAGATTGGGCTGTATCCCTTCGTGAAGACCCTGGGCCCTCTGGCGCAGCCCGACGGGGTGACCGTGGTGGATGTCGGTGGGGGCCGGGGGCATATCCTGCGTCAGCTTAAGGAGAACATGCCGAGCCTCCCCGGCAGGTTCATCCTGCAAGATCGTGACATGGTGATTGCGGATAATGGATCCGACATGGAGGCTCATGGCATCGAGCCCATGGCCCATGACTTTTTCGAACCCCAACCGGTCAAGGGTAAGTCATCATATCCATCAATGAATCTCCCTTGGGACAAAGCTACCATTAACACTAAATGAAACGATGTAGGAGCCCTAGTATACTTTGTTCGGCGGGTCCTGCACGACTGGCCTGATGAGGAGGTGCGGCAGATCCTGGCCCATCTGGCAGCTGCTATGGACCGGGAGAAATCGCGCATCCTCATCACCGAGACCATCATTCCCGAGGTGGGCGCCACAACGACCAATGCCTATATGGATCTCACTATGATGACCTTTGGCGGTAGGGAGCGAACGGTCAAGGACTTTGCCCATTTGTTTGATTTGGCGGGTCTGAAACTGGCCAATGTGTATCAGGCACCAGGGGTGCCCATGGTGGTGGTGGAGGCTCATTTAAAATAAATCGGGTGTAGTCCGAGTTGATTAGTTCGACACCTCTTCCCTCAGGTGCTTGACTGGAATTTAATTGTCCGTTATCTCGGCGGTTTCGATCGTCCGATGCCCATCTGTAGCCTCTAACCTCTCCCTCGCTCGTTCCCTCTTATTGTTTTATTTTTCGGAGTCTGGGTTGTGAAGACTAAAGTAAATGATAGAATATAATCAGCGACACTGCAGAACTGGATACGGCGGATGGGATCACTGGGGAGGGGAGAGATGGGTGAGGTGGATGAGGTGGGGGAGATCCCGGGGATAAGTATTGAAGTTCCACACGCCATCTCGGAAAAATATATTTTTCACTCCAGTTTACTCCGAGTCCTCCACTGTCTCGTCTCCAACCAGACCACGACCACCCAAGAATTTCAAGACAACTCCAATCGGTCTATTTTGATCCGTTACTTGTTATGTCGACTTGAACAGCTCTGAGCATTCCAATCCCGCCCCTCAAACAAATTCTACCAGGCGATATTTGTGTGTTGGTTTCCCCTCAATCTTCTCTTAATCTTCCCATCTTCCCCCCACTCTCTCCTCAACCCCCTCCCAATCTCCCTAGTTCCATCTCCCCCCTCCTCCTCTCACCCCCTCGTGGATTCCAGCTCTTCCGAATACCTCAACCCATGCTGTTGACGCACCTCGTCCAACACCCTCATCATCCACAGTGTATCCTTCAACGGCATTCCCTCCGAATCGATTCGCCCCTCCCGAATGCAGCGAGCACTTTCATCGGCCTCCCAGAACAGTCCATGCCCCACGGGGATTGGAAAGCTGGTCGTCTCGGGCGCCTCCGACGACCCATAAGTCACAACCCGGATCCAGTTCGGACGAGCAGCGGGTCCATACACCTGAACCTGCCCCTTGGTGCCGAGAATTCGCACTCCCGGCTCGCTGGGGTCCGCCGTGACGCGCAGACTGGCCGTCGCGACGCCCTGCGTCTTCGTCTCGGGGGAGGTGATGACCACTGTCACCGTTTCATCGACCCCGGTCGCCTCGTACGGAATCACTGCGCTGGATACCTGCAGGGAACGTGAATTGTTCTCTCCTTCAGAGCCGAGGAAGAGCCGGACCCATGTGAGGGGATACACAGCCACTACACTCATCAGCAGTCATCACATCGTCTGGACGAGTTACTCACAATCCAACAGCGCCCCCCCTGCAAGGGCCGGATTTACCAACCGATGCGAAGTCCCGTACAGCCTTTCCACATCCCTCCCCAGATTCCGCTCAGCCACAACGCGCTGGACCGTCCCGATCCTCCCCTCCCGCACCAACTGCTGCACATGTCGCGTCAACGGGAAGAAGCGCGTCCATAAGGCTTCCATAAGATACAATCCCCGCTCACGAGCCAGCTGCACGAGAATCTCCGCCTGTCTGGCATTTACCGTAAACGCCTTCTCCAACAGAACATGTTTGTTACCAGTCAAGGCCAGCCTAGCATGAGGGAAATGGTGCGAATGTGGCGACGCGATATACACGATCTCGACATCGGGATCAGCAACCAGGGCCTCGTAAGATCCATATGCCCGGGCAGTCGAGGGCGCACCAACAGCCGACAGAAACGATTGGGCCTTGTCGAGCGAAGTCGAAGAGGCAACGGCCAGGAAGTCGTGGGTCAAGTCGTGCACGTCGCGGGTAGTCGGGTCGATCAGCAGATCTTTGCCAAATTCTGCAACAGGATCGGGTCAGTGAGTGCTGGAATGTGACACAGACACAGACACAAATTGGAGTCAAGGGGGACGTACTGAGCGCATTATCGCCGGTTCCTGCGATTGGCACGTTAGTGATTACGGATGGGGTCGGGTAGGGGGGTCGCACCGAGAATTCCCCAACGGACCATGATGAACTGCGGTATAGGGAGGATACGATTCTTCTTTATCGACTCAGGGCCTTCTTTTTGTGAGGTGCTTGGAAAATAAATATGGCTGAAAGTGGGGGAGGAGTGCCCATCATCGCGGCAGATCGCGTCATCGTGGGCTGCAGGCACTAACCGCAGGCCAGATAAGAAATCAGCATCCTCCTCGATGATTCAGGCTGATGTTTATCCTTGTCCCTGCTCCAGGTGGACAGAACTCCCAAAGTCACCCTGCACAGAAATATTCGCGAAACTATTGTCTTCTGTTGGATGGACACACTAGAATGTTGAGCCGTCCAATGCCAGATGTTATTAACTACGCCTCAACCGGTCCCCCATGAACGGCTCAGCTGGCCAGCCCTGCATTGTACCCCCGTCGTCAACATGATCCCCGGACAAGACCAATGTATGCTCTAGCAAACACGCATCTGCCCCCATGGACGCCCCCGACAGCAACCGCGACCCCGTGCGCAGGACACTCCGATCTCCCACCCGCAGCAGATGCAGCTCAAACTCCCCCCGCGTATTCAGATGGCATACCAGACTGGCATCATCCACCGTGACCCGATCTCCCAACGTGACCAGGTCCGGCTCCGTGAGCAAAATGTGCGGATCGCCATTGGCAGCCAACGCGCAATCCGCCCCGATCGTGGCCCCCATGGCCCGGTAGAACCAGCACAGATACGCCGTGCCACCGAGTGATGGCAGGATGCCGATTCCTCCGAAAGAGTCGTCCATGATGCTATCCACCGTGCGCTAGATCTGCCATCATTGACAGTAGCTGCTGCGGTCATACGGGTACGAGCCCTCCTGCCGTCGACCCAGCAGGAGCCACTTGGTGGCAATGACCATTGCTAGGGATACGACCGTCTGTACTAACGTTACCGCGGCCATGGCCGTGGCCAGCATCCCGTACACGGCAAAGGGGCGCCACCACCGCATCTCAAAGGCCAGCAGATCAGTTTGGAGCAGACGGCCCAAGACGAACAATCCTGCCAGGGGCACCACCATGGAATACACTGCGGTGAAGGCCACGACGAGATTGGAGTATCCAAGGATGGATCCCATCCCCAGCACATGATAGTTGGCTAGGCCTTGGTAAAAGGCTCGCCCAAATGGCCGGGACGTGTCATGCCCCTGATCAGCAGCCTCAAGAAGACACTTCCCTTGATCTGCGGAAAGCGAATCGCATCGCCGTGCTTGCTGCCTGTCCACACATTGTCATCCGGGTAGAGCCCATTGCGGCGCAGCAATGACCCCGAACCCACCATGGTGCGCGTCCCAACCGTGACCCCCGGCAGCACCACAGCCCGGTCCCCCAGCATGGCCCCATCCCCGATGACGATGGGCTCCCTCCCCGTCCCGTCCGCCGTGATCAAATACGACTGGGACCCAAACACCACATCATTGCCAATATCGACCAGGTCAAAGTCCGGCGTCAGCTTCAGCCCAGTTCGGGGCCAGTAGACGCGTTTCCCCACTCGCCCGCCCAGCATGCGCACCGCCACCGATACCAGCTCATAGTGCGGCCCGACAATCCGAGCCAACTGGGAGATATCCCCCAGCGGAAGAATGGCCTCGACGACCGCGTGTCGCACCCGCTGGGCCGATGGGAGCTGACCATAAGAGCCACGCTGTGGTCGGCCACAGACCGCATCTAACGCGTGCTTCACGGCAACGACCGTTAGAAACCATATGATGGGGCCCGCGAGGGACGAGTAAAGCCGCATCAGAAGGAAGTAGCCGATCCGGGTTGAATTCGTAAGCCATAAGACGGTGTGTCGCAGCCGGTCTTCGCCTATGGTCGGATATCGACTCACGATGGGGAGCAGTCCTGCTAGGCGCGGCAGTGCAGACGCAAAAGCGACGACGATCTCCATCGGTGTCACGACCAATATTTGCCAGATCCAGTGCGGCTGTGGGATATGGGCAGAGGCAAGATCCCGGTGAGACTCGTCGGCATCGTCGACCTCCCAGGTACATGAGTTGGGCCCAATACAGGTGCCGGGAAGCAGTGTGGTCCCTGGCACAACGCTCGATCGGATGCCCACATAGCAGTTGGCTCCGATGGAAATGGACTGTAGCAACATAGACGTATTCCGCTCACTAGCAAACGGCCGACAGAGGCAATGCTCTAGCACGACCCCGTCCCCGATGTGAATGAGATCATATTCACCCAGGGCCGTGGATTCGTCAATCTGCACGCCCCGCCCAATATGTGTGCCCAGGGCCTGGTAGTACAGTACTCGGCTCCAGTTATAGCGGTTGAAAACACCCTAATCCCTTCTGTTAGCTCTCACTCGGAATCTCTCAGCATGGCCCAGGACACAGGGTCACGACATGCCTTGCCACACACTTGCAGCACCTTCTGTGTCAACCACCATCGCATATGATATGGTCCCCACATCGGATACATACCAGCCTTGTATCGACCAACAAGCAGCCATTTCAGGGCGATGCCCAGCAGGGGGCAGATAAATCCCATGGCCAATTGGACCGCCAATCTTACGAGGACGAGGCCAAGCACTCGCCCAAACAGATTGAGTCGGAGTGGAAACCGGGTCGCTACCCCAGAGAGAAGATAAACCAGGAAGGTCCAACGCAGAGCTTGAAGCATGGGGTAAAGAATAACCGAGGGGAGCAGGTTGAGGAACAGCACGAACGGCTGGGTGGAACTATACCTCTCACGACAGCCAGGTAACTCGTCAATGCTAGCCTTGTGCCTGACCAGGTCCGCAGTTGCTGCTTTAATGACGGCCGTCATGGCGCCAATGGTTCTGCTCCGAAACAGCGCATCCACTGCGAGAGGAGCCTGGAACTCCTGTCGGAGCTGAGAGATGAGCCGGCCGGCTCTCAGACTGTCCCCTCCGGACTCGAGAAAGTCAGTAGCGGGCGTCATGTCCTCAGGAGTGCTATTAAGCGCCGCGGCGAAGAGATCCGACACTTGCTGCTGGATAGGTGAGCTGGCGGCGGGGTATAGGGCATGGAGCTTGGCTTGCACGGCAGCCTCATCGATGACCCCGTGGGTGTCTCGCGGAATGGGACCATTCACCACTTCCAGGGTGCTCGGGATGAGATACCCGTGCATGAGGTCTGGGAGGAGGGCGAGGATATCATGGCCTCTAATTTGGCTTCTTCCGTCCCGAAAGAGGATTGCCCGCGGGTATCCATCCACCGCATGGGCCCGCAGGAGAATCTCGGACATGCCGGACGCTTGGACCAGATATGCCTCAACCCCACGCGGGTCTATCTCACATCTTCTATGAGGGATAGGGCAATGGAGAGGCGTGTTCACCGGCGGACAATCCGCTTCGTAGTGACGCTCGGCGGCCGCGATGTGGTCTGTCAGTGTCTGCAACCCCAATCGCTGACTGAGGTCGATGCGCCGTACCTTACTCTGGGATCGGGGCAGAGCGTCCATGTAGACCAGTACGGCGGGCCACTTTGGCTGGTGAAGGCAGTCCTTGAGAGCCTAGTGCATTTGTCGAAGGTCCGGCCTCTGGCGACCTGTTGGGATTACAATTGCCACGCCGACAACCTCGTGCAGGACATCATGAGGGGTGGAGAATGCTAGAGCATCACTGACACGGCCGAAGATAATGGACGAGGGATCTTGGGCCGCGGACATGATGGCATCTTCGACCTCTACTGGCGAGATGGTCTCCCCTCCGCGATTGATGATTTCCTTGGTACGCCCGGTGATGTAAAGCCATCCGTCCTCGTCGACATGTCCGAGGTCGCCCGTATGAAACCAGCTCCCATTGCTGAATGAGCTCCGATCGAGCCCGCGGGGAGTGAGATATCCCGGGAATAGTGGCAGCCCTCGGATACAGATCCGTCCCACTGAGCCAGGAGGGGCATGTTGCTGCGGATGTTGGGTATCGAAAATGGCCAGCTCTGGCCCAACAGCGAGACCTGAACTGCCAGTCCGATTGGCGTCACAGTCTGGTGGTGGTGCAGTGATGGGTACACATTCAGTCATCCCATAACTAGGTGATACTGTGCATCGAAATATGTTTTGCAGCTTTGCTGCAAGACTTGGGGATAATCCTGCCGCCCCGTTGCAGATGAATGTTATAGTGCTTCTGCTAATGGCGTTAGTTCGATGCTCCGCCTCAGCCACTATCATTTCGTGTAATGTCGGCGCAGCGTAGTACCACGTTGGGTGGTATTGTTCCACCACGTCCCAGAACATATTCGGATCAAAATATGGGCAACAGATGGTGGTGCCACCTGCCACAAGGGGAGCCCACAAGCTGCGCATCATGCCGCCACTGCTACTCTCAGCACAGGTTCTCCCGCCTTGATTGTGCTAACGATCGGATCTCCCTACACATGACGAAGCGGCATCATATTCAAACCGCGAGACTCAGGGGTCAATCTGAGACTATCCATCGTGAACGTTGCCATGACCAGGAGATTGAACATGCTGATCGGAACTAACTTCTTGGTGCCACTGGTCCCACTCGTGGCCAGAATAATAGCGAGATCATCGGGACCATTTGGGGCCGGCTTAGCCGAACAGGGTACGCCTGCTTGATTGACAGAAGAGACATCAAAGGTCAGGTCGTCCAAAGGTTGGACGGTGTAGATGAGCAAGCTTGGCATATTCTTGAATCGTGGTACATCGCCCTCAAGCACGAGCATGGCTTCGGCCTGAGCCGTATTCACATCGGCCATCAGCTCCTCCGACGCTGCTGTATATGCTATCGGCACGAGCGTATAGCTATGCGCTATAGCAAGTGAGGCCAAAGCCAGGAGTAGCCCATTGGGGAGAACAACCGCCACTCGCGCCTTCCTATCAGTGATCAAGCCCGGTAGCTTCAGGTCAAAATCCTCATTGAATTGCCGCACCTTCGCGTGGGATATCTCCCGGCCTGACTGGGGGTCAAGGAGTGATCGCTGCAGCAAGTTACCGGATATCAAGTCCGTGATATGGGGCGTAACACATTTCAATCGGTGCTGCACGTGGTCGATAGCCATGGTCCACTCCGGGGAGCTGCCATCCTTGGCTATTTCCGGCAGCCCTTTCCAAACTCTTTGATAGCATCGAAGAAGATCCTGGAACGGCCATGGCCCATCTTCCCTATCTAGCAAGTCTGCTAGCTGGCTTAATGCCTTCTCAGACGATAATTGTTGCAGGCCTTGCAACTCGTCCTTGATACTTGCCCTGTTGAGTGTGTCAGCATACGTTTAGCCCAGCCTGAGGCTCTATTCGACAAACAAGCTCCCCCTGATGACAGAGATGTAGCAAGGCTAGCCCCAGCTTCTAAAATCGAGGTTCTGGTCTCAGCAGAGGTAGGTGAGAACAGGGACCAAAATCCGCGGGGTATCGCTAAATCCATCCATATATCCCTTGAAGTTGTCCTACCCCCTCCTACATGCCAGAGGAGGTGACACTGACCCTCTAGTGAGAGCAGCAAATGCACAATGTACCATGCAAGCCACACCGCCGCCAGTGCCGATCACCATCTGCAATTGTTATCCAATGAGGATCCGGGTCATATTCGGGATGCAGTGTCCACCGACTAGCTCCTCTGTCGCCAGATGCGATCGATGTGTCATGGTTCATAGGCATGGCGCTGCTGGGTGCATGATCCTTGCGTCTACTCTCTGCAGATCCGATTCATGTGATCACTGATGAGGGCGCCTTGCATTTCATTACGTCTCTTGGGCCCCTGTGATTGATACGGAATTGACTACCGAGGTAATCTGTGACTGGGCCGGTTACTCAGCGATGAGAACGAGGATCTCAGTACACGATTCTCGATCGATAATCGGGGGGTGGGGGGGATATATGTGCCCTTTGTGGACCCCACGTTACTCCAGTCGGGGTTTTCCCAAACGTGGCCTCGGTCTTTGCCTGCCATCCATGACTAGAAGGGATTCGTAGATAGATGGTCTGCAAAGTCTAACTCCGCAGAGTCTTGTTAAGCGGGTCTTACTCTCGGAATTCTACGGGGTGGGAGATAGATTAGGAAGTCGATAGTAGAGCATCATGGTTACTAAAGAGTAGAGTAATTAATCATCACACACTTAGCAGGCTCTATTAGGCTAATAGAATATGATCTGATTTGACTTCACTTGATCATGAGATGTAAACCGTGTCGTCCTATGCTTTATTGTCTATATTATCCAGCTATCAGAACATCATTACTCCGCTTCTGCCCCTGGGGCGTCTACTTCCTCGGCAGGCTGTATCTGCTTCACCGCTCGAGACACTTCCTGTCCGATCAACTCCGATAACCTCGATTGGATATCGCCAATCAGGCGGGTCTGGAATCCATCAAGCTGGGCGGATATGCCTGCTTGGACATTGGCAATCTGGCCGAGGATCGCATCTTGGAGTTTATTAGCAGCCTCTGAGTACTGATCTTCCCTATCAAGGTTGCTTTGCCGGTGCGTGGATGTACCAGCAAGTGCCAACTCTCTGCAGCACGCTGTATCAAGATCGTTGATACGTGGTATGCGCACTGTTGTCAGTGACCTGATGGTTTGTTGAAACACAGTCGACTCGTGATTCCATTGTTTGATTGTCGCAAGACGTATCACGGCTGCGAATAATTCGAATGTGAGATCCTCGATGGCGACCTTGGTCCAATGTGGTATTTCAATCTCATCGCGAGACGCCAGTCGGTGGTATTGGGTGCATTTGTTGCCGAATCGAATCAGATTCTTCACAAGGGTCATCAAATCCGATGCAGCCAGATAGCCTGGTGTCAACCCGGCACGCTTGGTTTCGGACGCCCGCTCTTGTGTATTCTTATCATTGGTTTGTTTTCGCTGCTGTTCGAGATCAATAGCCACCATGTCACTGAGAGCAGCGGAGCTTAGCCCCTTGGTTATATCTCTCGGCAGGCCGGTGGTGAGAGCGTGAGGGAACGGGGCTGTCTCCTTAGAAGAGGGCTTCTTCAAAGATTGCGACTCATTCATAACGCCGTCCATACATTTCAGGACCAACGGCCCCAGATTCTGCTCGTTGTTAGTTAACAATCACTGGTATGACTGATCGTGATTGCCTACCTCCAAGATATGACTAATGCCAGCCCAAAACAACGCTTTGTAGAGCAAGTCCTCGCTGCGCCAGTCCTCGTCGTCCACAGTCAGTCTAGAAACCAGTCTCTTGATAGCTTCCAACTGTTCGTCAAAGGGAGCCACACAGTGGCATGCTGTTGTAAGACTGGTCTGGCAGACCTCCAAGGTCCGGAGGCGTGACAATCCCTTCCATCTGTCTAGCGCAGCCACCAGCAGCTTTTGACGTTCCGATACCTCTTTCGTGATGGTCTGCTGCGGGAGGAACAACTTCTGGTAGGTCCGAATAGCATCCTTGTCGCCTTTTTCGATTCTTCTGTAGGCTGTGGTCCAGGGATGGTCCTCATTTTGCTGGTACTTTGCGCCACTGGCTTTCAATACAGCAATGACACCCTTCGGACGGGGCTGTGCATTCCAAGCAGCCTGCAGCGCCGTCCCGAGCCTGCCGCCCACGAAATTGGGGTCGGCGCCACGTTCAAGAAGCATTTGGACCGTTGATTCGTTCCCTACTGATGACGCTGCCACGAGAGCCGTCCCGAAGAACCCGGCTAAGTGATCGACTGGAACTCCCCTGGACTGCTTACTGGTGCTTTGCCTTCCCGCCAATAATAAACTGACCACTGAATCATGGCCTCTGTATGCGGAAACATGAAGTGGGTTACCCAAGGTACCGTCCTCCGTTCCTGTAACTCGAGCCTTGGCGTTGATCAACACCTCTGCTATGGAAGCATAGCCCCGTGCAGCCGCAACATACAGTGCGGTTCCATGTTGCCCCTTTTCGGCGTTCACATCCACATTGTGTTTCAACAACGCCTTGGTGACGGTCCTATACGCTTGGTACACAGCAAGTTGCAAAACAGTTTCTCCCTTTTCACCCCGTAAGTTCAGATCCTTCGGCTCACCCTTGAGCAAGTCCTCGGCAATAGTTTTGAGGCGCAGCTTAATTGCATAGTAGACAGGGGATGCACGGCGCCATCTCTGGATTGACTTCTTTTTTCCGGGATCTTCTACTGGTGTAGACTGGCGATCGGGGTCGAAGCAGTCCAGCCAAGCCCCAAAGCTCTCTGGTGATTGAAACAGCTGGATTACTCTCTGCTGAACCAAAGAGCGTTCCTCCGCGAGACCCTGTGTCTTCTCCAATTGCCGATAATGCTCGAACCAGTACTCGGCTGCGTAGTTTGTTAATTTTGAATCAAGGGATGTTTTCCCGGTCGTATCGTCCGTTTCTCGGGATTGAATCAGGATATCCAGACAGCGTTGGAGGATTGTAACGTGTGCTTCCTCTTCTGAGCAAACGAACCGCGATATCGAGCTCTGCGAGCTTAATCGAAGCTGAGACTCCAAGTACTCCTTCGCTGAAAAGTGAGTAAACTGAAGCACCTTTTCGGAAGTTTGATGCTGGCGGTTAATGGTGACCGTCTGCGTTGACTGGGTCACCCACCTGCCAGTGCAAATGTCGTAGACAGCATCGACATCATGGAGCCCAACTGCTGCGGCGATCTCGTCCTGGGTGAGCGGCCGGAGCTGCCTCAGAAGCCAGACAAATATTAGTTTAACATATCTTTCATCGGCTTCCTTCACAGAGCTCAAATGCTTCTCATAGATGGCCACCATGCTGGTGGGGACGGTGTTGAGCTTCTCCTCTATCTTGTTTGGATCTTTCCGACAATCGCGTAATTCCTGTACCAAAGATGTTGCCCACAGAAAATTGCTGTTGCCTGTTAGCCAAGCGGTGATAGATCGTGGTGGGGGGGTCGTACCTTCCAGCTCCTTGGGTCAGTCTCGCGCGAATCGACGATTTGAGCGGTTTATCTAGATCACCTATACCCTCGCCCTGGTTCATAATCGTGTTGATGTAGTTGCGTATATCGATATCCAGTCCCTCTGTTACATCGATCTGGACCAGAATGTCCTTGAGACGACCCCGGAGGCATTCTCGTATGTCTTCCTCGTTTTTGCTGACTAACAGAATGTGAAGATTTGACAGGCCAGACACACCCAGACGCCGAATGAGATCGAGAAGGTCGCGTCGGTTTTGATCTTTTGACTGGGTTGGAAACTCATCCAGACCATCCAAGACAATGAACACGTCTTTGTGGAACTCGATTGCGGCAAGAACGGTGTGCAGGTACTCGATGAGAACTTTGGTGTCAGGGTAGCGGGCAAACCTTCGATCGTCTTCCAAGGACGTGGAGATTTCTTCGGGGAAACCCCCAAGACTACTGCCCAATTGCCGTAGGAAAAAGCGCAAGAGTAGATCGATGCTCATTGTATCGGGTTTATCGAAGCGAAAATACCAGCGTAGCAGTACCCTATCTCGATCTTTTTTGATCATTGTGTCTAGTTGTTCAATGATTGTTGAGCTAAAGAAGCACATCAGTGAACATGCCAGATGAGAGTATGGGATAGTATCAGCTCATACCACAGCGATGATTTTCCACATCCAGCTTCATGGCTCGTCAGCATCCTACACTTGTATGCGATGAGGGTGTTGGTCACAACGTACATTCGCCATAGAGCCAAAGAAGAGACTGCGGGTGGTCGACCCAGTCTCTATAGTCGTGACGCTCGAGCAACCACTTGCCGGCCGTGTGGGGTCCTGGCTTGGTCACAATAGCAGACCTGAGTCTCCTATGCTTGCTTTCGCTAGGAGCATCCTTTCCATTAGGAAACAGCCATTCAAGCAATTGTGTCAATATTTCCGCTTCCATCGGTCAGCAGGACACGCAGAAAATGCGAGGATTGTAGGAATCACGTACACGAAAGTGCCGTATCAATCTTTGCGACGCCTTGGATGATGAGTGACGCATTGTGCGACGCCTTACTCAACATGTCTTGAACCTCTTTGACTCGTTGTATCTCCTCTTCTTGGCCTACTATGGTCTCAATACCAGCTCGATGCACACACAAACATCGACTTACTCTCAAGCATCAGTTGCTGCTGCTCAGCCATGAGCTGTCGATACCATTTGTCCACCATCTGATCGTCATTTTCAATGGCAGTTTTCAGCGCCTTGAGCGGCTCATCCGTGAGCGATTTGAAGCTCTGGACCACTCGATCTGTAGCAGATATTGTCAGTCGCCCCTACCATTGCGTTATGGTAAAGGGATTATATTCGAACCCAGTCTTTTGGACGTCGCTGCTTCCTTGACCTTGGCAGAATATCTTAGCACGCCAATGTATACCTTCACGATGGCATTTCCCAGATCCTCGGCATTATTCTGGTGCACCCGGTGATAATGCGCCTCGATTCGGGAGTATCGAGCCAGTAGCACAGCGAGATACTGGGACGCTTCTAGAGTCCGCTGCATTCGTTCCTGGGTATTCTGGACGAGCTGCGAGGTGTCAGTCGAGGCCAACAACAGCATCAGGGATTAATGGTGTGATTGCCAACCGTGAGGCCAAAAGAGACCACCGCCCAGGCACTGGATGCATAGCCCGTAGGATCAAACTTGACAACCACATCACCCAGCGCCTTCACTGCCATCGCCGACTTTAGAATAGAGACGGATCGATCGTAGGCAATCTCTCTGCTTTTTGACGGCCAACGCTCCTGGTATACACTCAGTTTGCTTTTTGTCAATTCCATCACACTCTCCACATAGTCCTTGGGCAGCTTTCCCATGCGATTAAGAGTCTTGTTGTGCCACTTCTGGGAAAGGCGATTCCGATTGTCATCACCCACGTCGACAGACATCCATGCCTCTTCCCACAAATTCCGCTCGGGCTCCAGGAGGGTACTCGTGGTGGAGCCAGTTATGTTGGAGGTGGAGTTGGAGTTGAAGCTGGATTTGGCTTTAGCGATGCCATTGGACTTTTTGGGCTCCAGGGTGGGCTTTGTGTTCTTCGGAGGGGTGGGCGTCTTTGAAGGGGCCGGGGCCGGAGTCGGGGCCTTTGGTTTCGGGGCGGCGGCGGCGGCGGGCTTGGGCTTGGGCTTGGGCGCGGAGGTCACGCCCGCCGGGGATTTTTTGGGCGGGCGCGCAACATCATGGTCGAGCTTGGCCATTTGGTGACGGCTATTTCATGGTCTGGGGGTTAGGGATAGGTGGTCGATCTGAGATAGCAATGGCGGAACGAACCCGGGCGGTGTCAGGAGGGACAGCATGCGAGGCGTGGTGAGGGGAAAGTGGATTTATACCCCGCGGCAGACGGTGACTCGACAGGGTCACGCTAATGCGGCCCAGCGAGGCGAGGCGCCCGCATGATTGGCGGATGGCGATGCGTTGGCAGCGTGGCGCTGGTCAGCATGGGCCCGGCCGCACCGCCGGGGACAGTGAGACGCGTGATGTCCACGCGACAGGACAAGATCGCATGGCAGGCAGACGGTGGGGAAGTCCGGCATGGTTGAGGAATGTAAGGGAGGAATGGAAGAGAAGAGAGGAGAGAAAGAGAGAGAGAGCAAGCGGGCAGCCGGGTGGGGTCAGGTGGCTCGCTGGTCTTGTTACAGTATAGATACCGAGAGAGGAATCATTTCTTTCATTCTGTCTGATTTTCCTACACATTACATTTACACCTGCTCTTCCGTCACCTGGAACGACTTCTTGATCCCCACCGCCCGTCCATTCCTCCAGTCCAACCCAAACGTCGGGGTCAGCGGACTGGCGTTCAAGTCGCGCCGGAATGCTGTAATCACCGTCGTGATCGTCCGGGTCCCTTCCGGCTGTAGGTGCCACCTCCCAGATTCTTCGGGCTCGGGGCGAGTCCGGGTCTGCTCCGTCAGGCTGGACAGTAGTATACTACCCCGAGTCGTCTTGGGGCCCCGACCAGGCCTGTCATCTAATGCCTTGCGAAAGAGGGGCCGGAGGGTGACCAGGCTGCCCGCCGTGATCCCCAGCCCAACCTCAATAAAGGACCAGATGTCGATCGTAAAGGTGGAATCTATCGGCAGCCACACACTCCATTAGCCTCGACTCTCTGATGACGGGACTGGGATACCAGCCGGGTATAGAAGAAGAACAGGGCGAGCTATCTCGCTATCCGGCACTTACACAAAAAGTCCGTATCCTTGTAGTTTAACAGGCAAGGGATCCGAATGATCACGGCCGTACTCGCCCTGCACCGTCCAGTCAGCCACTGTCCATGCAGTCCAAGGTCATACGTACAAGCACCCCAAACTCAGCGTCGCGCCCAGCGCGACCTTCGTCCTTGTGCTGATCTGCAGCTGGCTGACCAGCACAATGGGCAGCAGCCCGAGCACAAAGTCACACACGGCGCAGATGCTGCTGTAGAGATATGCCACATCGACCAGGACATCCGTGCTCAGGCACTTGCCCGTCCCTCGCCTCTCCCAAAACTCCGAGACGGGGTGGCATTGTAAAAGCATGAAGAACCAGAACACCAAACTGATACTCGTCGATGCCCCCACCACAATCCACAGGATGATGCGCTGGGTTTTCTGGACCGACAATCGAAGAAGCGCCAGCGCGATGGACACCTTGGCGACCCCAGAGGCCCAGACATAGATGCACTGGCCTAACCACCACCACTGCACTGAGAATTCAGCATGATATTAGTATGCGGGACGATGCTTGATTTTGTATCACGTACCAACATGGCCCGACGGAGCTCGGCCAGGCTTGAGAAGTCCTCCAACTGCCGGCCAACCCCTTCCATGGACCCAGCAATGGCGCATACCGTGAGCAAGATGTCAAAGACCTGGGAACCTATCAGCCGTCTGGAGTCTGAGGATGAGGATAGACCAGTCACCCCGATCACCCCAGGGCGCGATTCGTGGAGTCAATTACCATCGCAACAACCATCAGGGTATCATCCCATCCGAAGGTTTTGAGCATTCGCAAGCGAACAAAGCACCGAAAGCACACGGTAATGAGCGATATTACCATAATCAACACCGCCACAGTGAGGATGCTAGCACTCCGGCCCTCTACCGGCATCATCTTGTGAAAGGACCGGCCTGACTGTCGCCCGGCGTCGAGGGTTAGACTCGTGGACGAGAATTATAGATGACGTAATGGCCAGGAGACACAGCTTTCCAGGTGCACCTTTGGCACCCACAGCCATCTTATAGAAGCTGAAAGGAGGTAGGAAGGGTGGGGGTACGCTATAATCAGAAGGGGTTGGCACGACGTCTTTTGGTGGTGGCGCAGATCAAAGTTTATCAAAGAATAGACTCATGTAGTGAGACGAGATGTCATGAGGCATTCTGTCAAGATGGGGTATAGACTCTGTCGCTGACCCTGCATGAAGCTACCGGGAGGATTAGGCGCTGAAACGGCGGAAGAACTAGGAAGAGTACACGATGCGATCGGCGGGGATCGACCAAGTTGAAACACGCTCAGCGGAACCACTTACGAGAAGGCAGGGCCTTCCGTTTCATGTCATCCCTCCAGCGTGACTAACGCGGCCGCTAAAAGGGGAATCGTGTCTTCTTTTTCCTAACCCAGCATGCGAAGGACAGCCCAACGACCCGTCACCATGGCCCCATAATTATGACAGTTCCAGAGTTGACCCGTTCGTGTCTAAACCACGAATGGCGAGCCAGGGAGAACACCAAAGCCGAACAACTCGGATTTAAAACCTTGGCCCGAAAATCTGTTATTTGAAGGAGCGCTGGGGCAATGTCAAGCATGGTGTGCACCTCCAACGCAGCGATAATATGTCTGGTCGTGAGGCAAAGGCAGATCGCAACACTGCCCCTGGACTGCATATGCAGAGGTAGGTCGATCTTTGCTTCTAGATTGACACTGCTGCCCCTGGCAAGTGTGTACCTTATACGTTACTAGCGAGGTGTGCAATGCGGGATGCTTCTTCGCCAGGCAGGACAACGGCCCTTTCCCAATAGGTTCTGGCATATAGTTCCTCCAAGAGATTATCCAGTAGTGGCCGGAAAGCATGATCTGATCAGGAACGATTGGGGACGATCTGGCTGGAGAACCCAAATTAAAGTTTCCGGCCCACCGATCCCGAACGACGAAGCCGTGAGCCTGAAGACCGGGTGGAGGCAGAATAGAAGTCCAGCGCCCTATCGGCCGATACTAGTAGGTAGGGGTGATTGGATACCATCCGAGCCATATCAAATGGTTGTAGGTGGCAGTCTACGTAGTATCTTCTCCCAATTCGCTGACCTCCACGCCCTCGGTCCTTGTCATATGTTAACTTTGCCCAGGGGGGTATGTATGGTCCAACTCAACCGTGGCCACGTTGTGTCCCGTCGTCACGGGGGAATTCGTGCTGGTGGCCTCGACAGGGTGTTTCCCTGGGCGGGTTGAAACGATTTCCCAACATAGGAGCCCTCCGATGTCTCTCTTCCCGACTTGTCTAGAGTCTGGACCTCTGGATGATGTGCCCGGCCGTTGCACTCGATCCGGCTTGGCTTGCTAACCCGTACCTAAACTTAGACTGTTGCTTCAGGGTGCGAGTCAGCATGCTGGGTCTTTCCAGGCACTACCCGGCAATGATAGGACGAGGGCATATGCCGAAACCTTGAAGTAGGTGGGGGGAATTTACCTAGTAGTCCTTAGTGCTTAGTCCTAGTAGTTCCTTTTCCAATCTCGACCTCCAAAGGTCTCGGTCGTCGTTGCGGGTTCAGGCTTTCAGACTTCCGAGTGAGGGCTGAAGGCTGAAGGCTGAAGGCAGGCCGGTTGTTTCATATCGAGTTGATGCTCCACTGCATCTTAGCACCAACGTATCGTCGTATCGGTGTATAGACTGTAGGGAGAGATGAACTCGCGACCAGGCGGCAGGTGAGGTGGTGGGCTTGGAAGTTGGAACTGGAATTGGAAGCGAAACACGCTCCCCCGATTGGGAATGGATTGGCTTGACCGCCTATCGGATGAACTGCCACATCGGGGAAACTGCTCCAACTGCTCCAACTGCCTTGACCGCCTTGGGAGAAGGAGAGGCAGGTCGTCAGAGGACGAACGGGCAGGTACCCGGGATGTTATTCACTCGTTATCACGGTACTCAACAGTACTACTAGTAGGTAAGAGAGCCTGGAGTACTAGAATGTAGTCATCGCGGTCGGATCGATCTCGCCCGCATGACTACTATGAAGTTCCCAATAGCCAATGCTAGAGACACTCATTATATATTTCTCCCTCTCCCATACTACTAGTATGGTAGCACCTAGGATAAATGTTGACACAAAGGAGACAGACCATCACCCAGCTCTGATTGTAGTCTAAGACTTGATTAGCACGTCCGGTGACGGCTAAAAACCGAAAAAGTCACTGCCTGCTCACATTCACCGCGTTGCCAAAGCCTTCCGTAGACAAGTCAGTTATACCTCCGACCATTCCCCTAATTGGGCATGGGCAATACTTCCTCTTCTCGTGTTGTACCATGGTTGACATGGCCATTGATTTCGGTACTTGTTAACATACTTTTAGTTCTGGAGCCACCTGTCTCCGACCTACCAGAGTACTATCTATTCCCCACTTCCAGCCCCGTGGACCGGATTCAAATGTATCGGCCGTTTATCCGCACGTCTCTGCCATGGGCAGCCTCGAACATGTACATGTACAGATAAGTGAAAAGTGATGCTACAAACTTTTAGGTCATCCCGGTTTAACCTTCACCGATACTCGGGTTCTAACCACACGTCCAATATCACCATATGAAGAGCTACTGGTCCAACGCCTGTGCTTGACACTGCCTCGGGGTCAGTTAAACTCGCGCTCAAAGTAGGAAGAAGACTCACCATCTGCCAATACATCCCCTTCCGGCGAAGCAGGTCGTGGTGGTTTCCCTTCTCAAGGATCCGTGACCCCCGGCCGTCGGAACCCTCGCCGAATACAAAGATGACGTCCGCCTTCTGAATGGTGGCCAAACGATGCGCTACAGCGATGATCGTCATGTCCCGTTTGGCTGCGAGCCGTTCCATCGCATCTTGGACCACCTTTTCCGAATGGGAATCCAGGCTCGAGGTCGCCTCGTCTAGCAGCAGCAGCCGGGGCTTTCGCAGCAGGGCCCGGGCGATGCACAGGCGCTGCTTTTGACCGCCGCTCAGTGCAGATTGCGCATTGACCCCAAGCTCGGTTGAGTACCCCATGGGCAGGGACGTGATGAAATCGTGGATTTCGGCATCTTTACACGCCTGCTCCATCGCATCAGAGACCCCTTCATCGGTCGTTTCCAGACCGAGTAGGAGGTTGTCCCGGATAGTCCCGCCAAACAACTGGGGTTCTTGCGCGACCAGCGACAGGGCACGACGATAGGATGGGAGCTCGATGGAGCGAATGTCCCGTCCTCCGAATAGAATGAAGCCTCCGGTTGGTTCGTAGAATCGCTCTAGCAGCGAGATGATCGTCGACTTGCCACAGCCAGACGCTCCCACAAAGGCCACAAACGACCCACTGGGAATCGACAAATCCAAGCCCTCAAAGGTTGGGGTCGAGCGAGCCGGATACTGGAAGGAAACCCCTTGAAACTCCACGTCGGCCGTGTACCGGCGATCAGTAGCGGGTAGCGTTTCGGCTCCAGGGTCCTTGGTAATTACTTCAGGAGTGTCTCGTTCCTTTAAGATGCGGTTCGCAGAGGCTTTGGCCTGCGCAATGTTGGGGCCAAAGCTGAAGAATTGTCCAGCGGACTGTCCTCCTTGGATGATCGCAATATACACGACAAAGAACGCGACCGTGTCATACTCACGTGAAGCGAGAAGCTGACCCCCGTACCTGCATCCAATGACCGGATTAGCATTGTACTATTCCCTGCGTTACAGCCCAATCCCGCGAGGGCTTACCAGAAGGTGAGCGCCATTGCACACAACTCCACGCTGTCAGAAAAGGCAAACACCAAAGTCCCAACCCATGCTTTTCGCATCGCCTTTTGTCGCTGCTCTCTGAGAAGGGTGGAATATTTTCGGATAATCGTATCCTCCATGGTCAAGGAAGTGACGGTTCGAAAGCCTTTCATGGATTCCATAACCAGCTTCGAGCTGTTCGCGTACACTTCAGCGTTCATATTCTCAAACATAATTTCATATCGGATTCGCATAAAAGCCGCTAGGAATAGAAAGGGCATTGCCGCGAAGAAGGTCACCGCGGCCAACTTCCAGCCAAATACGAAGGAAATCGTCACGCAACCGGTGACATTAAACACCGAAATGAGAGGGAAGACCCCCGTGGGACCGAACAAGTCCTGGAGCTGCTTGGGATCCGTGGCGAGACGGGAGACCAGGCTTCCTGACGAGTTCGGTTGGAGGTCAAAGTAGGATACAGGTTTCCGAAGAAGATTTAAGAAATAATCCTGTCGATAAGTAGAGGCCACGAACTAAGTCCCATCAGTATAAGGGCCCAGAAACCACCTCCGAGAAACATACCATGGAAATGGAGTTCGACGCCGTCCCGAGCGCATAGTAGCATACTGCCATCGCTAAGGCCAGGATAAAAAACATCAAAGACCAGAAGTTGGCAGCATCTGCCAGCTTTTGGCCACTGAACTGAAAAACCTGAACTAGCTTTGCGACGAGCCAACTCTGAAGGGCAAAGCCCGCTGTGGCTGCAATCAGCACGATGTCACTGCAGGGAATGGAGTTGGCAACCACTTACAACCCGCACCAAGTGCTCCCACCAGAATGCACACGTAAAGGATCCAGTGATGGCTTTGTTCCCTGAAGATAATCCGAAAGCTCTTGAAAAAGCTTATGCTCCTGCTTGGGGCATCCTCCCCACTCGTGGGATCGTCGGGGTCGGCCACCGGGTAGTGGTTGGCTTGGGGGTCTTCCTTCGAGGAGAGGATTTCACCTTCGACCTTGTTTTCGGAAACCTCGGACAATGGCTCTAACCGCTGGGCATAAACCAAGCCATGATAGACACCGCCTCGGGCGATAAGGTGCTCATGAGAGCCCTCCTCAATGACCGTTCCATGCTGCATTACCATGATGTGGTCCGCCCGACGAACCGTGGACAGCCGGTGGGCAATCATGATCGTGGTGCGCCCGGTCGCCACTTGATCTAGGGCGGTTTGAACCAGCTTCTCGCCACGAACATCGATTGAGCTAGTCGCCTCGTCTAGGATCAGGATTGGGGGCTTTTTAACAATGCTGCGCGCGATGGCGAGACGCTGGCGTTGGCCCCCGCTGAGCGTGATGCCGCTTTCCCCAACAGTGGTGGTGTATCCCTTCACAGGACCTGGTTAGATATATCTGACGCGAATGTGGGAATCGGTGGAACAAACCAATGGTAAACGCTGGATGAAGTCATCTGCATACGCTTCCTTGCATGCTTGGACGACCAGGTCCAACTTGATGGCGTCCGATTGATCCTCCCAGGGAGATCCAATGAGCCCATATGCGACATTGTTGAAGATGGAATCGTTGAAGAGGAAGGGCTCCTGTTGCACCAAACCAATATGGGAGCGCCACCACTTGACATCCAGGTCCCGGATGGAGTGTTCGCCGACAGCAATGTTTCCATCGTTGTCCTGTAGGTGGTACCATCGCTCCAAGAGAGCCACCACTGTACTCTTTCCTGACCCCGAAGCTCCGACCAAAGCGGTTGTTTTACCTCCCTGAAATCGAGCACTGAACCCGTCCAGCGCTTTGCTATGGGGACGTGTTGGATAAGCAAACGTGACATTATCCATGGTGATATCGGACTGACAAGACACGTCTGCGTCGCGGAGGCCGCCGGGGGTGGGACGCTCGGAGTCGATCATCCCAAAGAACGCCCCAGAAGCACTCACGGCTTTGGAGATGATCATCAGGGGGCTCGCGATGTTCCCCAGCACACCGACAACAATGAGGACGGAAAAGAAGACCCTGCCTGCTGTCAGAAAAGGTTCGTTAAATGTCCCGAGGGTGGTTTGACTCACGTAATAACGGTGTTGATATTGGAAATGTGGCCGTCACGGTAAAGTTTTAGCCCATACCAAAATGCTAAAGCGAAGCTAGAATAGAGCGCAAAGAACAGGAGGGCGATGTGAACGCCAGCCACCGCGGACATCCGCAGCCCCCGTCGCTGAGCCTCTTGAGTCCACTCAATGTACTTGCTCGCCAAGGGTGCTTCGGCACCGAGGGAAAGCACCGTACGGATGGAGCCCAATGCTTCTGCCGCGACCGAGGCATGCTGGCCGTCGGCTTGGTCCATGCTTTGCTGGGCTTTGATCAGGAATGGGACGGTGAGACTGTATCCCACGATGACAAAGAGGATACTGGCGCTGACCACCAGGGTGAGGGCCCATGAATACCGAAAGGCAATTGCATAGGCCGCAATCAGAAGAGCAACGGCCTGGAATAGGACGGCCAGTCTATCGGAGACGCTTTGTTGAATGGTGTTGGACAGTCCAGTGATGGCGTTGGTGATAGACCCTACGGGCATCTCGTCCAGCCTGCTGACTGGCTGCGCAAACAGGGCCTGAGCATACTCCAATCGCAACAAAGCGGATGCATGAAGACTGACGATCCGAAAGCATATCTATTGGCAACAGGTTAGCCATGCATGCGTGGTGTGTAGGTCATTGGAAACTCCCGCTGTACCGACCATGGAGATATAAGTGAGGACGAATTTTCCAATGAAGAGATATACAATATACAGACTAACTGGCCGGGTTAGTGACTGTCTGCTGAGAGCCATCGTACATGGGGTTCTTGCCTGTCCTGGTTGACGGTGGCCTTGAAGGTTTGTTCACTGACGTTCGTCCCCGGAATGAAATACTCATTGAAGCCACCAACCAGCTTACCAAAGACAATATTCATCAATGGAAGCGCCTGAGAGACATCAGTGGGAATCCCTGAGGGATGCCGACCGTTATTGCTCTTACCACTCCCGAGCCCATGGCACATACCAGGCCCAGGACGATGGCTACGATGCCGCCATTGCGAGCACCATAGGACAGGATCCGCTGGGACATGTCAGTTTTGCCACCCTCGCATACGTGAGCGCCACCCAGACATACCAGATAGCTCCCCCACGATGCGTTGCCATCGTCAGGGTTCTTCGCAGAGGCTGCCTCACAGCTTCGTCCCGGTGGCGGGTCGGGGTCCGTGTCGGGGGGCGTGGACACTTTGGGGACTTGGACACAGGACGGGGCAGCAGAGGAAGGCGAGTCCATACTCGTAGGAAGGACTTTCCGAAGCTCAGAAGCATGCTTTCGTGCGAGATGGCGATGGCTCGCAGGAGGGCGCGCGGGGGGGTGTTTGTACGAGATGGGGCCCGCCATGTTTCCGCATCCGGCCATGACAGCCCCCTGGCACCACGGACTTGGCAGCTCAAGCTCCACCCAAGCAGCAAGAATCTTGCTTTGGGCCCGCGAGACTCGTAATGCCCTCCAGGCCCAATGTAACACAATCTCGCCAACGGGGAAGGCCGACCCCGGTTCCCCGCGGGATGGCTTGGTGGGAGGCGCCTTGGGGCCGTGGATGCAACCCTCGGTGGCTTCGCCCGCGGGCTTCTTGGTGCACGACAGCTGATGCTGATAGGTTCGGTGCTTGGTTGGGGTGAAAAATTGTTCATCCCAACAACATCGCGTGATTCTAGTTCTAGGCCCGTCAGGGACGTCACGACTGCCATGGCGATGGTGGACGGGGGGCCTGACGGGTTATGACTCGTGTGCAGTGTATATAGCTCTACTAGTATGTCGGGTGTCTAGGCACGTGGGCTGACCAATTCAAACCATCTTTGATCTGCCCCGGACCAACGTGTATTATTGGCCTTGCGACAGCTGTCGGTGGTGTGCTGCGGCGAGCACACGGTAACTTCCCAGGACAAGGCCCCAACTACACGCATCAATCTTGACCACTCACACAACAACATGAACCCCCAACAAGGCATACTATATGAAGCACCCGAGGGGCAACAAAAGTATGCCGTGAAGATCGGAGAAGGACGCCTCAACAATGTCGCGGCAGTCCAAAGGGATGGCCGGATGAAGAACATCCCGCCGAAGCTAGACAATGCGGAGAAAGGACACAACGTCTATGTTTCGGTCAAGGAGACCTTGCCATCTCCTACCTCTCCCACCGAAGCCATCGATCCCTTTCGGGAAGAGGTTGCCAGCCTCTGTAACGCCTCGCCCGGGGACATCGAGGAGATTTATGCCTGCACGCCATTGCAGGAAGCAATGATGGCTCTGACCGTGAAGAGTCCAACAGCATACACAATGATGCACGAGTACCGCTTACCACCAGGCACAGATCCAGTCCGGCTGCAGGAGGCCTGTGATCAAGCCGCACAGGCCAACCCAGCTCTGCGGACTCGCATAGCAACCACCCAATCTCATGGTTGCGTGCAGGCAGTGCTGCGCGGCACTGTCGCATGGGGCGTGTGCTCCGAGGATGACGATGCCTTGCCAGTCAATATGCAGCCGGTGGCCTGGCGAATGGGAGGCCAGCTGGCCTATTTCACCATGAACCTGACCAGACACATACTCAGGGTGTGCCTGCATCATTCCATCAGTGATGCATGGTCTATTGCACTCCTCCTACGTCAGGTTGAGGCAGCCTATCGCGGAGAAGAGCTTGTGTTTCGACCCTTCCGACCGCTGGTGGAGTACATTGAGGCCACTCGCGATCGGGCGGAGGCATTCTGGAAGGCCGAGTTAAAGGATGCTCACCTGGACTCCATGGCCACTTATCCTGCGCTTCCATCCCCTGGATATACGGCCGACCCTTCCGAGTCCGTATGCCGCACGTTTCCTATCCAGTCCATGACCTCGGGTGGTTTCCCCGTCAATACCAAGTTGCGACTGGCGTGGGCGGTGCTCCAAAGCCTGTACACCGGCTCGGACGATATTCTTTTCGGCGCCATCAACGTAGGTCGAAGCGTACCGGTGCCAGGAGTCGAGGACATGGTCGGTCCAGCCATAACCAGTGTGCCTGTGCGAATCCAACTGTGCACCGGATGGACGATCGCGAAGACCTTGGAGATGGTGCAGGAGCAATGGGCCAGGAGTATGGAACTTGAGCATGTTGGCTTGCAGAACCTGCTACACATGGGATCTGGCCCTGAGGCTGCCTGTCGCTTCCAGACCCTGATGTCGGTGGAGCCTGGGACTGGGACTCAGCTGCCGGGCTTATTCATGCCGTATGATGCGAGTCAGCGAGCCCAGGAGCTGTACCCCTTGGTGCTGCAGTGCCGACCATCGGACACGACCATGGAAGTGGAGGCTTTGGTGGACCCCGGCGTAATCAGTGTCCGGCAGGCTGAACGACTGCTGGGGCAACTCAGTTATATTTATGAGCAGATCGAGAATGATCCAGCGATCACCCTCGCGGAGATTGACCCGGTCAGCCGGGAGGATCGAGCTGAGCTCATCGGCCGAAATATATCACGCAACCCTGCTTCTGTCCCGCCGTGTGTGCACGACATGATCTCGGAGCGAGCTCGGTCTCAACCGCACGCCGCCGCCATCAGTGCCTGGGATGGCGACCTATCTTACCAGGAGCTGGACGACCTGTCGTCTGGCCTAGCGGCGCGTCTGTCGCGATTCAACATCCGACCGGGGGTCTTTGTTCCCGTGCTGGTAGAGAAGTCCAAATGGGTTCCCGTGGCGATGATTGCGGTCATGAAAGCCGGAGGGGCCTTTGTCCTTTTTGATCGGTCATTCCCTATCCAGCGACTGCAGCAGATGGGACGGGTGTTGAAGGCGACCGTGGGGTTAACCTCGGAGGCGCAGGCGGATGTGGCGGCGCAACTCGGGCTGCCGACGATGTTATCCGTGGATCGACCGGCGGAAGACCCCGACAGCCAGCGTCGGGCCGGTGGACCCTCCCCCGTCACCTCCCACGACGACCCCATGTATGTGACTTTTACGTCGGGCTCCACGGGAACCCCCAAGGGCGTGATTGTCAACCATGCAGGGTATGCAGCCACTGCCCTGGCCCATGGCGAGCCCTACCACTTCACTCCCGAGTCGCGGGTGCTGCAATTTGCATCTCCCGCCTTCGACTCCTGCATCATCGAGCATCTCAGTGTGTTGATCATGGGGAGCTGCGTGTGTATTCCCACCGCATCCGACTGTCTCAGCAATCCAGCCGAGGCCATTGATCGTTTCCGGGTCAATGTCGCGTGTTTGACCCCGAGTGTGAGCCGGATTGTCGCTCCGGATCGGCTACCCGGGCTTCAGGTCCTGGCATTTGTTGGCGAGGCGGTTCTTGCGAGTGACGTGGCCCGCTGGAAGCCCTACGTTCAGGTCCGAAATGCATATGGGCCGGCCGAGTGCTCGGCCGTCTTCAGTGTGCTACCCCAGCTCCAGGAACATGACCCAACCAATATTGGCTTCCCGACGGGGAGTGTGGGCTGGGTCGTCCACCCTCAGGACCAGGAGAAGCTGATGCCGATGGGATGTCCGGGAGAACTGCTCATCGAAGGGCCGACGGTGGGACCCGGCTACCTTTCGAATCCTGAACAGACCAGCCGTGCCTATGTCCAGGCTCCCACCTGGCGGCAGACCTTTGATTCATCCACGCCCGGTGCCCTGTATAAAACGGGAGACCTGGTGGAGTGCACGGGAGACGGCAGTTTCCGGTATCTGGGGCGGAAGGATACCCAAGTCAAACTTCATGGCCAGCGCTTGGAACTCGGCGAGGTCGAGCACCATGTGTGTCAGTCTTTTCCAGGAGCCAAACAGGCGGTGGTGGAGATGCTGCAGTCGTCCCCTTCTCAGGACGATCCGCGGCCCAAGAATCTCTTGACCGCATTTGTGTGCGTGCCAGAGGCAGCGTCGTCACGCAACCCTGAATCGCTGTTCCTACCAGCCACCGACAGGTTCCGTGCCGCCTGCGCGACGGCCGAAGCTCGGCTGACTGAAGTGTTGCCTGCCTTTATGGTACCTAGAGTGACTCTGCCCATCAAGAGTGTGCCTTTAACCCCGTCGGGGAAGACAAACCGTCGCCTCCTTCGGGACCAGGCGGCCAGTCTGTCTTGGGCCATGATGCAGAATTATCGCGCCGTGGCAGGCCACCAACAACGTCCGTCCAACGCATGTGAGGAGGAACTGCGACAGATCTGGGCGCAGAGCTTGAACCGGCCCGTCGATCAGATCAGCACCTCGGTGAGCTTCTTCCGCCTGGGCGGAGATTCGGTGAGTGCCATGCAGGCAGCGAATAACTGCCGGATGGCAGGTTGGTCGGTGACGGTGGGCGACATTTTCCGGTACCCTACTATTAGTAAACTAGCCCAGCGGATGCAGGAGATAGGCAAACCGCAGCATTTGGCTCCAACGTTCCAGGAGGATCCCACAGATAAACCTTTCAGGCTGTCGCCGATCCAGCAGATGCTGTTCGAATACGATCCTCGTGGCAACACCAGGTTCACGCAGCATTTCCTTCTCAGGATCACTCAGCCGACTTCCAGCTCAAAGGTGAGAGAGGCAATGCAGGCAATCGTTGCCCGGCATTCCATGCTCCGAGCTCGGTTCAGGAGGATCAAGGATGGTCAATGGGATCAGTTGATTTCCTCGAACGCAGATGGATCTGTTTTGTTTGGCGAGCACTTTCTGTCGTCGCTCGACGACCAGGAGACTCTGCGTCGGATTCTCGATGGCAGCCAGGGTCAACTTGACATTCAACACGGCCCGCTGATTGCGGTTGATCTCATCACCACCGAGGCGCAGGAGCAATACCTGGGGATAATGGCTCATCACCTGGTTATCGATTTGGTCTCCTGGCGAGTAGTTCTTCAAGATCTGGAAGATATCCTCACGACCGGTACTCCGTTGCAGCCACCGTCTATTCCGTTCCAGCGATGGTGCCAACTGCAGCAATCCTACAGCCAGGAATCCCTGGATCCCAGGAAGGCTCTGCCGTCGGAGATACCGTGCCCGCCTCGGGACTACTGGGGCCTTGGCGATACACAGAGTACCTGGGGGGATGCCGTGCAAGAGACCATTAGAATCTCGCAAGATGCCACACAAGCACTACTCGGTCTTGCTAACGACGCCTTCCATACGAGACCGGTTGAAGTAATACAGACCGCCGTGCTCCATTCCTTTGTCAATGTGTTTGACGACCGTCAAGCACCGGCCATCTTCAACGAAGGCCATGGACGGGAGCCATGGAATGCCAATATCGATATCTCACGCACGGTGGGCTGGTTCACGACCTTGGTACCACTGTTCATCGATGCTCGGAAGGGTCAGGAGATCACGGAGATGCTCCTGTTAACCAAAAGCGGTCGTCGGGCAATCCCTTCCAATGGGTGGGAATATTTTGCATCGCGCTATTTGCACCCCGATGGCCCCAGTCATTGCCAGGGTCACGCACCAATGGAGATCCTGTTCAATTATACGGGACTGTTCCAACAGTTGGAGAGACAAGATGCGCTTCTCCAATTAGCCGCGCTACCTGATCACGACATCTTGCCTCTACCCTCTGACTTGCCCCGTTTCGCCGTCATCGATGTATCGGCCACCGTTGCCAATGGTGCGTTTAACTTAACTTTCATGTATCCCCGACAGATGCGACATCAGGATCGAGTCCACCAATGGGTCCAGGCCTGCCAGTCGACATTGGAAGCATTACCACAGCAGCTACAAAACCACTGTTATGTGACTGCTTCAGACTTCGGACTATTATCGGTCGACGACGAGGAGTTGGAAATGATCGTCCAAGACGTTGTTACTCGCACTCGCGCCGGGATCTCTGAGATTGAGGATATCTACCCTTGTTCCCCAGTTCAGCTGGATATATGGCTCAGTCAGTTGAAAGCTCCTGGACGGTACTGGTCCCGTTTGCAATGGCTGGTTGAGGCAACGGACAAAGGTCGCGCGCACGTTGACATCAACAAAGTCAGGGATGCATGGCAGCAGGTGGTCGATCGGCATTCAATATTGAGAACAATCTTTATTGAGGATGGCGCCAGACAAGGAAAACTTGTGCAAGTCGTTTTGAGGACCCTGGCCGCGGATATCCAGGTTATCGCGGCTCATGACTTGGGGATGGATGACAATGCTTCGCGGCAGAGACGTCTTACTCAGGATGGAAGGCCCCTACATCAACTAGCCCTCGTTCCTAATGAAGATGGCAATGTTTCGTGCCAACTCATAATTCATCATGTTCTGATGGATGGAGGTACTGGGGACCTCTTGATCGACGAACTTCACCAGGCCTATGACGGGCTATTGGACGGGCAACCTGCACCATCGTATAGTGCCTATATCGGCTACTTGCAACAGCGCGGTGACCAGGCCGATAAATATTGGATGAATTATCTGAGTGGTGCCAACTCGTGTCTCTTTCCGCCGCTCCAAGCAACTGAGCACGGGGAGAAGCAGGTCACGCCGCACATTGCATCCTTTACCTTCCCGAATGGAGATCAACTAAGGTCATATTGTCGGGATCGCGACTTTACGATTTCTAGTCTCTTGCATGTGGCCTGGGGGCTGGTACTCCGCATATATACGGGTTCGGATGACGTTGTCTTCGGCTGTCTGTCTTCTGGGCGTGATATCCCACTGCAGCAGGTCCATGAAATCGCGGGGCCACTTATCAGCTTACTCGTCTGTCGCCTCACATTGGGTGATGATGTTGAGCTTCTCGCCGCACTCAGGGATAACCAAGTTGCATATGCAAACGGCGTTGATAATCAGCAATACTCCTTGGCAGAGGCTATGCATTCCTTGGACCTATCCGGTCAGCCGCTGTTCAACACAGCGATGTCTCTTCAGAACGAGGTCCCAGATCAGGCTCGTGGTGGCTCATCAGACATAGCGATAAAGGATGATGGTGGCAGTGATTCGACTGAGGTAAGCGCAATTGGAGAATGACTCCGTAGTTTTGAGCTCTCCTATTTTTTATTGTATTGTTGTTGATGGCTAACAAACCAGTACGACATCGCGGTCAACCTCACGATCAATACGCCGAGCATTGATGGCAATTTGACCTATTACTCCGATATCATTAGCGATACCCAGGCAGAGCTCATTGCAGACACCTTCCAGTCTATTGTCATGCAACTCATCGACCCAGCCAATACGCAAATTGGCCATTTGGACTTGCTTGGACCCAAGAATAAAGACCGGATATTTGAATGGAATCAAAAGTTGCCCGATCCGGTATCCGGATGTGTCCACCGAGCCATCCAGGACTACAGTATGGCTCATCCGCAGACCCCAGCCGTAGCTGCTTGGGACAACAACCTCACATATGGAGAGCTTGATCGCAGTTCGTCATGCTGGGCTCAGCATCTGATTCACCATGGCGTGGGGCCAGAGACCTTTGTTCCAGTGTACTGTGACCGGTCAAGTTGGACCATCGTCGCCGTTCTAGCCATTTTAAAGGCCGGTGGTGCATTTATTCTTTTGGACCAAACGCACCCCAAGGAGCGATTGAAAGACATGCTGCAGAATGACTTCTCATGTCCTGTCATTGTCACCTCGGCCAAACATGCGGCAGCTGCCGCTTTCATTGCTCCTAAACCGATTGTCATAGAGGATATGCAGAGACAGCCTGTACCTGGTGCTGTACCACTCGCTGCAGTCCGCCCAACGTGTGCAGGTTACGCAATTTTCACTTCCGGTAGCACTGGCAGACCGAAAGGGTGTGTCATCGAGCACAGGTCATTTTACTGCGCGATTGAGGCCCAGAGAGAGGCGTTTGGAATTGACGATCGCTCTCGAGTCCTTCACTTTTCGTCCTATGCGTTCGACGTGTGCATCATTGAGATTTTTGCAACTCTTCTGGCCGGCGGATGTATTTGTATCCCCACCGAGGATGGCCGCCAGAGGATCGAAGATACCATCGAGAAATTCCAAATCACCTGGGCCATCCTGGTCACATCCATCGCCCGAACACTCGACCCAAGACGGGTTTCCCCCCTGGAAACGCTTGTGCTCGCTGGGGAGAAAGTGAGTAGACATGATGTGCGTCGCTGGGCACCTCACGTTCACCTCGTCAACGGGTATGGCCCGGCTGAGTGTAGCATGATCTCCACCAGTCAGAGCCGATCGGAGATCCTGCTGTCGGATTCAGCAAACATCGGTTGGCCCGTAGGCGGTGGTGCATGGGTGATGAGTCCAGCCAACCCACACCAACCACTGCCAGTGGGTGCCATTGGAGAATTACTCATCGATGGCCCAATTGTCGGGCGAGGGTACGTGAATCGGTCGGAGCAGACGGCGGCTGTCTTTCTATCGTACCCCGACTGGATGAAGGCAATGCGCGGGACAGGCAGGAATGCGTTGTACAGAACTGGCGACCTTGTTCGCCAGCTTCCAGATGGCTCCATCCGGTATATTGGAAGGCGCGACCGCCAAGTCAAGCTCCGGGGTCAGCGAATCGAACTGGCTGAAGTCGAATATCATGTGCAACGATGTTTCCCCGGTGGCAGTCTGGACGTATTTGTTGACCTGGTGGTGCCGGACACTTCGACAACAACATACCTTGTCGCCTCGATAGCCACACAAAAGTACAGTGATGACGAAACATTTGAGAGGAATGTAGAGTTAACCAAGGCCCGTCTTGTGAAGGAGGTTCCAGTCTTCTTCATCCCAAATGCCTTCATTCCCCTCCATGAGATCCCGCGTTTAGTGAATGGAAAGGTGGATCGACAGAAGGTACATCGACTGGCATCCCAGGCGCTTGTGTCGCAAATGAACCAGCCGACCAAGGATCCGGTGGAATGGAATCCGGGAAGCCTGACATCCGACGAGCAAACGATGCAGTCTTTATGGGCAGAAGTGCTGCAATGTTCTCCTAAGACCATTGGCCCTGATGACAACTTCTTTCTGCTGGGGGGTGATTCCATTGCAGCTATGAGGCTAACCTCTGCCGCGGGGGCACGAGGTTTGAAGTTGGCGGTACCACAGGTCTTCTTACATCCCCAGATGCGAGATCTGGCACAGGCTTTATCCTGCAACGCAAAGCAACTGTCCTCCGGAGGACTCACCAAGTCCGCCACCCTTCCTGAGCCGTTATCTCTTCTCCCTCCGGGGAAACGTAGTGAGGCTCACAGCCAAGCTATGTCTCAGTGCGATATTTCCAGCTCGAAAATTGAGAACATATACCCCTGTACACCGTGGCAAACCACGATCCTGGGGCTGGCAGCTGCGGTCCAAATGACCCAACACCGTCTTCGAGTCGCCCCACATATTGACGCTGATCGATTGAAGGCTGCTTGGCAGACAGTCGTGGCCGGTGAGCCTATTCTACGTACTCGCATGATTGAGGTAGCAGGGCTGGGATATCTCCAAGTCGTTACCAAACATGACGGTATACGCTGGAGTGTAAGCGCCTCGACTCAGCGATCACCACCCCACGGGAGAAACTGGCTTGGGAGCCCATTGCTGGGCTTTGAACTCTATTCGCCTGGTCGGGGTAGGCCCGTTGACCTCGTGATCTCAGTGCATCACGCCCTAATAGATCCTCATTCATTGTCCCAGACGCTGTCAAAGGTGCAGGCTGCCTATGAGGGTTCGCCAGTGGAGCTGTCTGTCGGGTTGGGCGATCTTATGACGTACATTGCTTCGCAGAAAGAAGCTGCTCTGGACTATTGGCGTGAGGGTCTGCGCGACGTCGACATCGACCCGTTCCCCTCGCTGCCATCTCAGCACACAAAGCCCCAGACAATGAAGAAGATGCAGTCTGTCGTAGATATCAAGCACCTTGGAGCCACATGTGACTTCTCCATGGCAATTAGACTAGCATGGGGACTTGTGCATTCGCAATATCAGGGCACGACAGACGTGGTGTTCGGAGTCCGTTCCAATGGGCGCAAAGCAAATGTCAATGGTATCAAATCCATGGTTGCACCTGCAACCACCATCATTCCATTCCGTCTTTCAATAAACCACGATGCGACCGTGGCAGAGGCGCTATCGGAACTGGAGGTGGTTGAAACAGATCTGGTCCAGTTCGAGCAGGTAACATTGTCAGAAATCGCGGCTTTGAGTCCCGAGGCCAAACAGGCATCCTCATTCCAAACTCTTCTCGCCATTGAAAGGGATGAGGACAAGGTCGGCACACGCTTGGAATGGACCAAGCACCGCGCTCCTGAAGATTTATTACATGTATATGCCCTGCAAATTGTTGCCAGTGTCGAGGGAAAAGATATCATCATCAAGGCGGCCTTCGACAACTCCGCCATCTCAGAGTGGCTGATGCAGCATGTCATGGATCAGTTCAGCCACATGCTTAAGCAGGTCCTCTTTCAGCCTGAGCGTCTGGTTGGCCATATTACCACAGTCAATCCCAACGATCTCCTGGAGATGCAACGCTGGAACCCAGATATTCCTCCCAAGGCGTCTGGCAGCGTGGCAGATGTTATCTATGAACAATCCATTGAGCGACCGTTTGCCCCCGCTGTATGTGCCTGGGATGGAGACTTTTCGTATGAGGAACTAGATGTCGAAGCAAGCAACCTGGCCAGCGTTTTGCGGCACCATGGTGTTGGACCAGAGACCTTTGTGCCCATATGCATGGAGCCATCGCGATGGGTGGTGGTGGCTATTTTGGCTGTCTTGAAGGCACGAGCTGCCATCCTTCTGCTGGACTTGTCTCATCCGCTTGCTCGCCTCCAGACTATTTGTTCCGACATCGACGCACCTGTGGTTATTGCCTCTGGAAGTACCAAGCTTACGGCGCAGAGCCTGGCTCGAATGGTTGTCAGCCTGGATGGGTCTATTGGGGCGAATACCACGCCCGAGGCAGACATAAACCTGATCCAGGGCGAGCCTCACCATGCTCTGTACGTGGTCTTCACATCAGGATCGACCGGAAAGCCAAAGGGGGTTATAATCGAGAACGGCAGTTTCCTCACTATGGCCGTGTCTTTCATGCAAAAGACTGGGTTCGGCCCACACTCTCGGATGCTGCAGCTGTCTAGCTATGCCTTCGATGTGAGCATGCTCGAATTCATGGCACCATTGATCGCAGGAGCGTGTCTCTGCATTCCATCGACTGCCGAGAGAAAGGACGGTGTCGCCGAGTCGGTCCAGAATCTGCAGCCGTCACACATGGTAGTGACCCCTGCCCGTCTCAGGGCCTTGACTCCGGCGGAAATGAACCCTGTACACACGGTGATGTTGATTGGAGAGACCGTCCGAGCCAGCGACATCGAAGAATGGTCAAAGGACATGCGCGTCATCAACATGTATGGCCCCGCTGAATGTACGGTTCTCTTCACTATGCAACGTGCGGTTAGCCCAGCACGAGCCGCCAATATCGGGGCGCCTGTCGCAGGAGCCGCTTGGATAAGTGACCAGCAGAATCCTGAACGACCGGTCCCAATCGGTGCAGTGGGTGAGCTGCTCTTGCAAGGTCCACTCGTAGGCCGCGGATACCACAAGAGTCCAGAGCAGACTGCTGCTGCTTTCATTCCTTGCCCGCAGTGGATTCAGAACCTCAGCAGTGGAAGGCACTCGACCGCTCAGCCGGTGTACCGCACAGGGGATCTCGTCCGGTATGAAGCCGACGGCTCCTTCCATTTCATCGGACGGAGAGATTTTCAAGTCAAGCTGCGCAGCCAACGCTTCGAGCTTGGGGAGGTGGAAGAGCAGGTGCAGCAGGTTCTTCCAGGTCGCTTCAGCGATGTACTTGCTCTGTTAGCCACGCCATCAGCGGCGGTCCAGACCCAATGTTTGGTCGTCTTCTTGGTCCCCAAGGAAGCCGGACTTAAATCTAGAGTGGCACCTTCTCCAGTTCCACCTCTACCCGTCGTTTCCACGGCCGAACTGGTTGAAGACATTGCTCTAACCAACCAGAGACTAAAGGAGGCACTTCCCGGTTACATGATGCCGTCAGCGTTTGTGCCCCTCGAGTGTCTGCCACGTACCAGCGGTGGCAAGACAGACCGAAAACAACTGCAACAGGCTATGGCGACAATGACCAGGCAGCAAATGGATGCTTTCGCCCCCAGGATCGTCGAGGATATGGCTGGACACACAAGTACCGAGCGGTTTCACGGCGTCCAGGTGCCTATAATCAACACAAATGTCGAAGCAGTTTATCCGTGTACACCGGCACAGCGTGGCATCTTGTTAAGCCAGCTAGAGAACCCCAACATCTATTGTCCCCATTTCATCTGGAGGATCCGTGCACCCTCTGGGGCAACGGTGGACATCGACCGGTTGCAAGACGCATGGAGGCAGGTGGTGACTCGACATCCTGCGCTTCGGGCTGCTTTCCGGCCAACACCGTCAGGGGATGGGCAGTTCGAACAGATTTTGCTTCGCAAGGTTGAGCCGCCATTGACAATATTTGAAGGCGAATACGAGAGTTCTGGTTTGAAGCCCCCACCTATCATAGCCAATGTGTCCAAAACAGTGACGCTGCAAGATGGCCAATCCGTGCAACACCACATGACAATGTGCACCTCTGTTGCAGGCTATGTCTTCTGTAGACTGGACGTCAACCATGCAATCATCGATACGATATCGACATCATTAATCGAGCGGGACCTGTGCCAAGCGTATGACTTGTGCCTGCCAACTGACTCTCCCAATGATGCCTACCAGGGATACCTCGAGTTTGTCCATCAGCAACCCATGAAGCCGGCACAGCAATACTGGCATTCCTACTTAGAGAGTTACAAGCCTTGTCAGTTGCCTTTGAAGGGATCACAGCACGCACATGAAGGCGCTGAGACATTGAAAAATTTCGAGGTCTTCTTTGAAGCCAGCGGGGCGAAGGTTAGGTCCTTCTGCGACGAGAGCGATTGGACCCCATCTAGCGTGATGTATCTCGCCTGGGCGCTGACGCTGAAGGCCTTCACGGGAGCCGATGATGTGTGCTTCGGAACCTTTTCGTCTGGGCGAATGGTCCCGGTCCCTGGGATAAACGAAGCTGTAGGCCAATTCGCCAATCTGTCGGTGTGCCGAGTGCGCTTCACCCGGAACGAGACGCTAGATGAGGCCGCATTGCGTCTGCTAGAGGAATACTATCATATCCTCTCCTACCAATCCTTCCCGTTGTCTTCGATCGCCAAGTCTGCTGGGCTGGCAATAGAGGACGTAGCGTCAACCGCAATCAATGTTCATTACGTGCCGGACGCAGAGCCGGAGGACGAGTCTTCCGTCCGTGTGGAATCACTTCACACCCACGATCCCGCCACGGTAAGTTCGACCCGGATCGACTCCTTAGCCTGGGTTATTTCTAATCGTCGGGTCGCCTCCATAGCACGATCTGACATGTTATATCGCTCTGCAATACCACGGGCAAATTAAGCTTCTGATAAACTACCACCCATCACGGGTGGCCCCGGCTCTCGTGGCGCAGCTGGCTGAGTATTTCGAATTGGCCATTAACCGCATTGTGGGTAACCCGCAGGCCCGCGTAAATGATATGGAGCTCTTCACCGATCATGACGAACAGCGCTTACGCAAGTGGAACCTGCCATGTGCGGAAGCCCCCGCAGTCACTGTGCCTCATATCGTTGCGCAACAGGCTAAACAACATCCACACCACATGGCTGTCTCCGGGTGGGATGGAGACTTTACGTACGGAGAGCTAGAACAAGTGTCGACACGCGTGGCAGATATGCTCAGTCATCGTGCAGAGATAGCAGGACACCCGATTCCGATTTGCTTTGAGAAATCGAAGTGGACGATTGTGGCGATCCTGGGGATCATGAAGGCCGGTGGAACCGTCGTGCCTCTCGATCCTAATGAGCCGCTGGAGCGCCTGCAAGACATCACACGTCGGATCCGTCCTCCCCTGGTCGTATCATCGGTGGCACAGGCACAGTTGAGTGGGATCCTAGCGGAAGATGTCATCCAAATTGATGAGAAGGTCGCGTTGCAAGGCAGTGGTAAGGGCAACCCTGGCTCTCGTCTACCAGCACTTGATCCTGATCAAGCGGCCTATATCATGTTCACCTCCGGGACATCCGGAGCTCCCAAAGGTGTCATGGTCTCGCACCGCTCCTATGCCACGGCAGCTGCGGGCCACATCCGCTCCTTCGGGTTGACAAATGAATCCCGTGTGCTGCAGCTGGCGTCCTACGCATTTGATGTGTCCATGATGGACATCCTCACCACACTGATTGCCGGAGCCAGTATTGCTGTGATTTCCGAGTCCCAGAGGAACCAGATGATAGTCACCGGGACTAGCCCCGCTTCTGTATCCCATATGTTCTTGACTCCGTCGCAGCTCAGTCCTCTCGATGCGACGCGGTCATCCTGGGTTCAGACAATTGTTCTCCTGGGAGAGCCAATGTCGGATTCCCATCTTCGAATGTGGGGCAATTCCTGTCGCCTGTTGAACGGTTACGGACCAACCGAGTGCGCGGTGATTTCGACCGTATCCCCCCCTCTTAATCCAACCGATGATGTTCGAAACATCGGTTGGGGAGTAGGTGTCAATTGCTGGATTGTGGACCAGAATGACGCTGAAAAACTGATGCCTATTGGCGCCAGAGGAGAGCTACTGCTGCATGGCCCGTCTGTTGGCCAAGGCTATCTCGACGAAGCGGACAAGACTGCCAAGGCTTTCATCCAGCCACCACGATGGTTGCAAGATCTTTACCCAGACCAGGTGGCCAGTGGAAACCTCTACAAAACCGGGGACATTGTGCGCTACGAAATAACCGATGGATCGCTCCGTTTTGAAGGGCGCAAGGATCGCCAGATCAAAGTAAACGGGCAACGAGTGGAGCTAGCGGAGATTGAGCACCACGTGCGACAGTGTTTCACACATTCCAGGGAAGTGGTCGTCGAACAGGCCAGGGTCCCAAGCCTTGGAGTAGTGGACAGTTCCGCCATGGGAGCACTTGGTGTCATACCACGACTTGTTGCATGTATCTGGGACGGGGTTGAAGGTGAAGGAATGATCCATGACGCCAACGCTGAAGTCGATAAGCAGCCCATCCTTCGTACCCAAACCCATGAATTCCAGGTGAACATCAGTGCTGCTTTGGGTAAGCTTCGAAAACGTCTCCCCGGATACATGGTCCCAGACCTTTTTGTGCCCCTTGCGCAGATCCCACGGACAACCTCGGGCAAGATGGATCGTGCCGGACTGCGGGAGTGTATCCAGGGCATCTCATCTCAAGAGTGGCGCGCATATACAGAGATGCAGCGACGCAAGCAACCCGTCAAGGGCGAGAAAGCCGTCAGATTCCACGCTATTCTCACCAGTCTGCTCGACATACCTGGGGAGGAGGTCGGCGCGGATGACAGCTTTCTCCACTTTGGTGGAGATTCCATCCTTGCAATGAAGATTGCCGCCAGAGCCAGAACTGAGGGGTTGGAGATTCAGTCCGGTGATATCCTTCGACACCCCACGATCCGAGAGTGGGCTCAGATAGCATGCCCGGTTGGGAAGCCCTCACATGCTTCTACCGACCATGATTCCTACTCGCTGGTCAATGATACCGTGCGCACTTCTGCCCTGGCATCCTATTCTGACCAGAGCGAATCATTGACTCCAAATGACGTGATCGACATTCTTCCGACGGTTGAATTTCAAGCATTTCACATCAAAAACACCACGCTAGTACACATGGTTGAGATGTTCCGCACTCCTGTAGATCTGACTCGTCTCAAGCGTGCATGCGCAGAAGTCGTTTCGCACTATAGCATGTTGCGGTCGGTTTTCATCCCCGTCGAAGGCCACATCTACCAGGTTATTCTCCGCTCTGTGCAACCAAAGATACAACAGGTGCAGTGTGAGAATCTAGAGGCATATATCACCCAGGCTACCCAGGCCAAGCCAGTGCCAATGTCTATTCAGCAGCAATCGTCGGTACAATTTACAGTGATCACCAGCCGCACTCAGGCTGACTGGGCATTCATGATTTCCTTATCACATGGTCAATGTGACGGGGCTTCCTTGCCTGTGCTTTGGCAGTCGATCTCGGACGCGTACAACGGCCATCAGCTGTTGCAGACGACCGACTTCAGGGATGTGGTCTATCAGCGACTGTCTGAGGACCACTCGCCTGCGCTCTCATTCTGGCGGGAGTATCTCTCCGGTGCCCCTCTCCCAGGGATCGAGGTCGCGGGTCATTTTAATACACAGGGGAGCGGTAAACATACGGCTGTGAGCCGTGATATTGGCCGCTTCACCCTACCAGCTGATGTCACGATGGCGACCCTGGTGCATAGCAGCTTGGCATGGATTTTGTGCCAACATGCAAATCGACGAGATGTCATCCTGACCCAGGTTGTCCATGGCCGGGGAGGATCCCTGCCGGGCATGGACAAGGTCATTGGCCCTTGTGCGAACTACTTGCCAATGCGATTCCGAACAGATCCGCAGTGGACGGTTGGCGATCTCCTGCATCATGTGCAGCGGCAACGCCTAGAAACTGCTCCTTATGACCATGTGGCATTTGGGGAAATTGTACGCCAATGCACGCAATGGCCAGAGGATACCACATATGGATGTATAGTCAATCACCAGGTTGTGGCATCGTCCAGCGGCGTCGACTTGGATGGGACCCGCTCGGCCTCCCGCACATATTGGTCTACCGGAAGAAGCGACAACGAAGAGCTTCTGGCAGGTCAAATGGCCGTGACGTCAATCGAGCGTGACACTGGAGTAGAGCTGTGCATCACGGCTGTAGGAGGTGTGATGGATGAGGCCACGGCCGAACGACTGGTTGGTCAAGTGGCCGAGGCGATGCGACTTTTCGTCGAGTCGCCCGATGGGTGCCTGAGCGACTTGGCCGCCCATGGGTCGGCGGCGAAGAATCAAGCGGCTTGCATTCCTCGGCGTCCATTCACGACTCACCCGAATTAGCTGGGGACTAATCTGTATGGAAAACCATGATAAAGTAAACACAAGGTCTACTTTGTTGGATGATTTGCGCTTGAATGAAGGATAAAAGAAGACAGAGTACTCTGTCAGAGACAAAGAGAGAGATTGTGTGTTGGGTGGGTGTTGGGTGCCGTGGTTCGCGACGGGAAGCCAGCCAGTCGGCCACTCGCGGTTTTGCCCATCGGGCCCGCCTTGGATGCTGGTCATGCCGGAAACGATACGAAATACGAATAAAAACAAACAAAAGCAAAGAGCAAAAGAGCCACAGAAAACAAAAGAGGCCGAAAAGCGGATAGAATCAAAGTAAAGGGAAAAAGTGAACAAAAGAAGGCAAAGGGAACGGCGGTAGAGTGGGAATTAGCGACCGGATATTGGGCAAAAAGCGGAACAAGGGTGGTACCACATTCTGCCATCTAGTGGAGGAATATATAATGGTGGGACTGTACGTACATCGGGACATGAGAGCTATAGTATAATCGATAGTAATTTAATCAAAGTTTACAAGTACTACATCCCATAGTAGGGAATTTGATTGTAAAGATAGTTTTAGCGACGGATTTAAGGATGAGCCTGATGGGTCTCAAATCAAGGGTGATGGGTCGAATTTTGTTAACATCAAGGTCGATACATGGTGGGGATGCCACCGATCGCAGTGCGAATTATATAGTGAGAAAATCGGACGAACAGACATGCTCCCCATATTCTCATTAGAATATATATGGACGCACAGTTCTGCCTATATCCTCTCAAACCAAACCAAACCGTCCAAGTCCACTTCCAAGTCCAGCCCCAACCGGACGGCCCTACCATTCTCGAGCTCAAACTCCGCCACGAACGGAACATCTCCGCCCTCTAGAAAGTCGCTCAGATGAGCAATATACTTGCTTTGGTCACAGACATGGTCCAACGTGAGCGTGAACCCGAAGGACCGATCCCTGGCGTCAATGAACAGCCGGTCGTCTTTCGTATCCACCGTCAGAGAATGGTACCCCGGGTTATAAAACTCGCCTGTATATGCGCTGAGCGATAGCTCCTGAGGCTGTGACTGCTCGGCCCCGGGACACAGCTTCTGTCGTAGCTCCTCCTCGCTGGGATCATCACTTCTCGTCCACTCCGCAAAGACAATGCTGTTCCAGTCTGGTCGGTCTGCGAGAGGCACCTGGAGTACCTCATCGATCAGTTCACGGGCCAGGATGTCTGCCACTGGGTTTCCGGCCTCGGAGTTTCCAAAGATAACCCCACCAAAATTATGCTCCGGGAGAAAGAAATGAGAGGTCCCGAAGCCGGAGATGGCGCCGTCGTGGCTGACTACCAGGTGCCCCCGGTAGTACCGAACTTCCCAACCGGCGGCGTACAACGTCGGCGAGGTGAGTGGATCCAGATGCTCGGAGGCAGGATCGGTGATGATTCGTGGCTGAACGAGACCCTTGTAGACACTATCGGTGATGGGTCCTTTGCGATTGATCATAGCCTGGACCCATTGGATGTAGTCATTCACGCTCGTCATGATAGAACCAGCGCCTTGAGCCTCGGGACAATCGGGCGTCGGAAAGCCATGGTATTTCTCATCATCGGCCTGCCAGGTATACCCCGTGGCGATGCGATCACCGAGTCCCCGGTCTCGAGCACGCTGAGGTTGCAAGTTCGTGGAGTCCATGCCCAGCGGTCGGAAGAAGTGATCCTCTAGGTAATCCGCAAAGGATTGGCCGGTCTTGTGCTCGACCAGATGCGTGGCCACCGTGTACATCATGTTGCAATACATGTACTTGGATCGAATCGGGGCGGCCACGGGCAGATGTCGCAGGTTTCGCGTGACCGACCGGGCATCATCCGGCTGGCGTGCGCGGGGGCTCATGTAGGAGAGGTCGTGACTGGTTGCGTTAGCGGTGATGCTTGCGACTCGGGCTGATGGGGGGAGGAGAGGATACTCACCCAGGCATTCCTGTCCGGTGCGAGAGGATGTCTTCGACCGTGACGCCTTGGGTGTATTCCTCACCCGGCATGACGAAGTCGTCGGGCAGCAGATGGGACATGGGGGTGGTGTACTGCACATCGGGATAGGATTGGTCATCGTCGACCAGCAGGGCGACGGCGGCTGCCGTTAGGGATTTGGAGGCGGAGGCGATGTCGAAGAGAGTGTCCGGGGTACATGGCTGGGGTGGATTGAGACATGCGTGGCCGTAGCCGGCCGAGGCGATTCGATCGTGGTGGACGAGCGCGAGGGCCAGACCGGGCACATGATGCTCGGCCATCAGCTCCTCGACACGGGCGGCGAATTGGGGAGAATTGAAGAGATCCATGGGGTTCTCGCTATCTGGCAAATGAATTCGAGGGAAACTGGTAGAGAGACCAGGAGATGAAGCAGATGGCGGAGAAAGCGGCCAGGCTGGCAGGGCCTCCAATCAGGCCCCCGATGCGAACCCCTCCTCACGATCGGCCCCGATTCGCCCGTTTCGGGGAGATCGTTTCTGATGTCACATCCTCCCCATTCACCGCAATTATTTTGGTCTGACTTTCACCAAGACTAAGTACCCCGGAAAAAAAGGAATGGGACGATCCCCCGCCATGTCTGGAACTGTGTTGAAGGTTTGGTGGGGTGGGGGGTGTGTTACTGGAGTTAGCGGTCGACGCGGCTAGACAGCAGGGCGACAGACCCTTGTGAAGGAACATAGGAACGTGAATTATAGATCGGTCATGTCGATCGAAAACATTACACTGTGGGTGTACATTACTGTATAGATGATACCTTAGGTCCCCTACCGCTGCCCATCCATTTGCCCCTCATGCACAAAGTATTCCCGCGTCACCGAAATCCCCACATTCGAGTCCTCCGTCGATGGGGGCCCCGTCGCCTTCACCAGCTCGTCCTCCGAGTCATGGCGGGACAATTCCCCCTGGCCCGTGTGTGATATAGACACGGTCGTGTGCTGTTTGCTGGCCAGCCCCGCGGGCCCGGAACCGGACAGCTCGTACCCCCGGCGGCCGCTGTATGTGCCGGTGCGGGAGTGGGAACCAAAAAACACAGTGCGCAGCACGGGCAGGCAGGACGCAATGATGGCGATTGCTGTCTCGATCATCGACACGGTGCACGTAATCATCTGCAGGTTGAGGGACGAGTAGATGGCTCGGATGACTGGTCCAGTTAGCCCCGGCTCAAAAGCGAAACAATGGAGGAGCGGGGGGATTTCAAGGGAGGACGAACTGCTCGTAATGACAACAATAACACCCAGCAGGAAGACCGAGATCACTCCGAGTTTCTGCTTCCGAGGCATCTTGAGGCGCGCGACCTGGGAGATGGGCAGGCAAATAACTGAATGGTTAGCCGAATGCAATCAATCTGCGGCCTGAAGATCCCTTACTGAACACATCACTGAAGATGTTGACTGCAGGAACGATTAGCACATGGTCAACCGCATCAAGGAGAGAGGTAGGGTCCGTACATAGAATCGTGAGCCAGTAGTTGATCGTCGATTGCTTCGCAGAGCACGTCACTGCCGGCCGGTCAGTATCTGATACCTGGGCTTGCAGTCCGCCCACTCACATTTTGGATCCGAGATACTCTTCCACTGGCGGTCTGGGGGATAACACTTGAAGACAATATCGAAGAACAGCACCAGCCAGGCGGCACCCAGGACCAACAGGGTGATGTTATAGATGGTCTGGTACTTGGTGCGGTCGGCGAGACGCTTGTAGAACAACACCATGCTGGCCTTGATCAACCAAAGCGAAGTGACATACAAGGTGGACCCCGGGATGATCATCTGTCCCGAGAAAATGGAGTCAGCGTTGGGGTGGATGCTCGTGCGCAGATCCAGAACTGACCTTCTGCATGCTGATCTTCTCGGCGTCGGTCGTATTGGCCATCTCGGACATACCTGTGGGGGGGAAAACGGGTGGTTAGATATCGCACGGATCACCGGTAGTTACTGTGTGTAGTAGATATGTACAGTGTAGACGGTAGATAGATGGAGGGCCATACCCAGGTTGAACATGTAGTGCTGGATAGCCAGGTCACCGATCAGGCACAGCGCCGCCGCCACCACGAAGCAGTCATCGAGGTAGAGCTTCTTCAAGAGTCGCCAGCGGACAATCAATCGACCCACGAGGAAAATGCACGCGACGACCGTGCAGATGTACCAGGCCACCTGGGAGTCGCAACGACAAAACAGTTAGCAAACAGCTTGATCTTGAACCGGGGACGCAGCTGGCTCCATACCACTTGGCCAAAATCCGGACGAGCCATGGCGATGGATGCGCGATCCTCCCAGCAGTCACGAAGGCAGGGACGTGCAGGAACAAAGAGGCATGTCTGACAGCCTGGGAGGGGGCAATCCTGCAGCTCAGGATCAATTAATAGCCATCGGACGACAGGAGACAGGTTCTCCTGGCCATGCAAAAATCCTCGGTAGGTTTGGGTGGTGGTGGTGGTGGCTTGGTGCTAAAGATTGAGTTTAGCTCAACCAGAATCAGGGCAGGTCGGCCAGCACGGTGAGGTGCCTGGATTCTGCCTGCTCGTCCGTGGGCAGCCGGCATCAACTTATCAAGATGCGACCTGCAAGGGCGATTCCCTGGGTCCTAGGACCCTAAAGTCGATAGTGCCCTTGGGCCGCTCCACCGGGGCCACGCTCATTGCCGGCAGGCAGAACTTCGGCGGAGACGCTTAGGGTTGCCTCTCCACCCGGCTTCGGCCATCGTCCGCGTTGTACCATCGTCCTGTTCCTGCATCCTGCACGACAATCGCACGATGGATCCACAGGGGGTAAGTACAGTGTACACTACCGCACTAGTCCCGACGCCACTAGAAACGTTCCAAGTTTCTGGAAGACCGTGCCAGCAGAATCCCTCGGTATGTGGCCGGCACGTCGGCTGTTGGCGCCAGCCCCGGCGAGCCAAGATTGCGCTTAATCTAAAACATGCTAATTTCGCATTCACATTAGGTCATACCACCAGGGTCACCACTCAGCACCCATCTACGTAAAGGAAAAATGAAAGGACGGTCGGGATTGATGGGGGAAATTATTCGGGCCCCGCGTGCACAGTGAATTAATTATGTACTACTCCGTACTCTGTATCTAGTCCTCCATCCCCTACGAGTCCAACAGTACGGGGTTCTGCACCACCGGGTACTTGGGGAAGTTGGGCTTGTAGACGGCTTGGCACCGTCCATTGTAGGCGCCCGTCGTGCTCGTCTCGATCGCGAGCTCGTTGCCCGGCACACCCAGGCGGGCCAGGGGGCCGTTGACAGGCTGAGCCTGGGACCATCCGGGGCCGGCACTGGGATCCTTGATCCAGGCCACAAACCAGTCGTTCATGTAGTCGGCGAGCTCCTGCTCCGCCGTGGTGACGTCGCTCAGCTTGGAGAAACACTCGTTGCCGCCGTGGAAGAAGGGCACCTCGCTGCCGTGGGAGGGGCCAATATCGGCGATACCCAGCACGTTCGAGTAGTTGCCGAACCAGCGGTAGATCCAGGTGGACTGCTCGCTCGAGCGCATGTCCACAAGGTAATCTGTGGAGCATAGGAAGCGGGCATCGCCGTAGCAGGCGCCGCTCATGAAGGAGACAGACGAGTAATCGGCAATATCGTACGCATCCAGCAGCTCGTCAGTAGGCACCCAGGCGACATCGGCGTCGAAGGTGTGGATCCACGAGGTGAAATTGGTGTTCTCGGACGCGTAGACGTAGGAAAAGAGGCGGCCCTCCTGATCGGAGTTACCAACAATCAGGGGTAGCGTCTTCGGGTAGTTGCCCTGGGCGAAGCGCTCGGTGTAGTTGGAGAAGCGGGTGGTGTTGTCGATGTTGGGGGCAAACCAGGTGTTGGAGGTCGAGTTGAAGTAAGTGGTCTGGAAATCGTAGGTGTCCGCCTGGCGCAGGCAGTCCAGGGTGAAGTCGCTGGCATCACAGCCGAGTGTGACACCGGCCGCCAGCATATCCTCGACGACCTGGGTCAGGGCCACCCCAGCCGGGGCATAGGCCGGGCCGGACTCGGCATTGGCCGACATCTCAATGGCACCGGCCAGGAAGGTGTCAGGGTGGGTCCAGAGGTAGTCATCGACGTGCACACCACCCGAGGAGTGGCCACCCAGGACGATGTGCGACTTGTTACCACCGAAGGCTGCGGGATGGGTCAGCGATCGATTGCCTTGTGGGGGGGGGGAAGATAGGAGACATACCTTCAATGTTGTCATAAACCCACTGCACAGCCATTTCGACATCAAGGATGCCAAAGTTCTGGACCTGGTCCTCGAGCTCGGGGGAGTTGGGCGAGGCGTAGATGCTCTCGCGGTAGTTGAAGTTGACGTAGATGACATCCTTACGGGCAAAGTTGTAGCCCTGCCATTGGGCATTGCTGTTGCCGCCCGTGACCATGGCACCGCCATAGACATAAACGAAGACGGGCAGGTCAGTGCCCTCCAGCGGGGTCCAGATGTTCAGGTTGAGGCAGTCCTCGCTCTGAGCCGTGATGGCGGTGCCGGACATGGCCTGGGCGCAAGAAGGGCCGTACGACGTGGCATCGAATTCTCCGTCAACGAACGAAGTCAGAGCCTGGGGCGCCTTCCAGCGGTTCTCCCCCGCCGTCGTCTCGGCAAACGGGACTCCCAGGAAGACATGGGTGTCGTTCTGCTCGAAGCCGTGGACGAGGCCCTGGTTGAGGGTGACGGATGGGGCCGTCGCGTGGGCGGCACCGACCAAGGCCATGGCGGTGGCGGTCATGCCCCAGGGGCGATCAGCAGGCTTGCACAGCAGACCCATGGTGTTGAGAAATAGAGCAAAGGAGAAGCACGAGGTCAAGACCAACCATGGCGATGAAAGCCACGCAGGGGGGAAGTATTTAAACAGCGCCGTGGGACTGCCGCGCCCGGAAGGTGGAATTTGCTCCGAGCCGACGGTTGGTTAGAGGCTTGGATCCCCACCGCACCGCCGTTCCATGCGATTTTCCGTCGACTGCCACCACTCCACCATCGGAGGCGAGGGGGCTAACCGCCTAGTCACAGGCTAGCATAGTTGGAGTACATCTAGATAGGCACCAAGTCGACGTGAGACGAGGCCAATCATCATGGCCCCATCCAGCGGAGACCCCTGCATGGTGCCACCTCTTCCCACGTGGTGGACAGAGCTTGGCATCGGTAGCGACTCTAGCAAGACTATCGATTCTCAAGGCCCATCCAGTCCGTCCAGTCATCCCATGTTGGTGCCTAGAATGGAGAAGAAAGAAAGCCCCCCGAAAGAACCTCGCCTTTGTAATATGGGGATGGTGAGAATATCTGACGCTGCCTTTTCATGACACACATGTCGGGAGGAATCGGGAGAGACACGAATTGTGCAGACAACCATCAGGCGCGATTTGGTCAATAGACGGGCTGGTGATGATATTGGCGGCGATTCTGCAGGTATCTACTTCGTTTGGACGGAGGAAAAGAGGGGCAGAAGAATTCTGCAGGATGGCCATGGCGCCACAACTGGCTAACAAAGCTTAACCACGCGCATGCACTTGCAGTAGCGCTAGAACACCGAAGAATAATTCGAAGTGGAATCATCTCCGTAGTGCATTCCTAGTCCATTCTTAGTCCGTCCGACGTTCTTCCGATCCAAACAATGACTCGCCACTATGATGCGTAGATAGCGGTGACTCCGGTAGATAGAGAGTGACAGTGAGTTGGAAAAGAAAGGGGAAAGAGACTCGATAGACGGGGAGGGGCAACCCGCCTCGCTCACGTGCTGCCTCGCCGGAGGATTCCCGCCATCACCACAACACCACAACACAACAACACTGCTCTACACCTCCTACAACTGCTGTTGCTGCAGCGGTAGCGGCTACGATTCCACACATCCTCCAAGGCTCCAATATTACATCCCGGATCATATCCGGTCTTTCAGCGCCCCTCTTGAAATCTGCCACGCGACATGTGGGATTCCATCGCCATGTGGACAGGGGTAAATATAGTCTCGTATTCGACTGCTCCACTCCCTCGTGGCCAACGGGTAACACCAACCATTGCGGATCGACAAGATATCATGACAAATCTCGACTCGAGCTTATCTCGTTGTCCATCCACGGACCAGCACGCCCGATGAACCACACTGTCACTGGCCGCCAAGCTGATCGCGATGGCCGACCCGGAATGCATCCAGAGGGACGGATCCGCACCGCTCGTCGAATCTACCTGATCCGGCACCCGGCGACCACCACTCAGCAAAGCCGGATACTCTTCCTTTTCCCTCCCATCGTCGGGATTGGATCAACAATCAGTGGAAGTCGCCAACGTGGGCGGGACTGCATGAGTCAGTCAAGCTGGTGCGCGAATGGTCACCGGTGACCATCTTCCATCAGCACGCACTCCTCTTCTGCTCAACTTCGGACCATCCATTGTTGGGACTGGCGTAAGGGGGAAATGTGGTGGGAAAACAACATTCATGCGTCATATGTGCTACCCCAAGGTGGGAAAAACGAAAGACTCTGCATGGATACTCCAAAGAAGCAGAAATGATCGCAGTTGCAGTGGAACGATCGGCATGTCGGAAAGGTCTCTCCGTGATGACTTATCTATAATCATCTTTTTAAGCGTTTACTCTTGCGCGAGCTGCCTTCCCTGCCATGCTCAAAGTCCTTGTCCTGAGTGAACCACTCCACGCTCTGAGGACCTATCTTCGTGTGGCAGACAATGTTTGGGCATTGCTATGGTACGCTGCACCTTTCAGGCCCGTGGCCGAAGATGTATCTTGGACAAGACTACCTGTTCCTTCTGATCTCCGTGACAATGGCATGCAAATGTTGAGACACGGTGCCGGATCCACAACCGATGCCGAATGCCTTGATGATTGCCGGCCAAAGACCATGACGTCTGCTGATAAATCCGATGGCTTTGCGAGCAGTAAGGTTATCTTCAGTCCGGCAGAAACCCCATCCGCACAGCCGTGGTGACCATCAGAAATGCAAATCCCGGTACATGTAGTGTGGGCGGACAGGTCTGGTCAGCCATCACAATCGACGGGCAGAAGATGGTACGGCAGATGGTACGTAGCTATGGACAGCCTGAATATCGATGCCAGATTCGCCAGGCAGATGTCCAGAGAGCTGTTGCCTCAGGCATTAATGTCGGGACAGTAGCCGCTAGCCTGTTTGGGCACGATGTGTGTTTTGACCGTTTGTCACTTTGTGCTCTTGGACTTGTTTCGATCCATCTCTCTGTCTCCTCCCACCTCCGATTTCCATTGCTTCTCACCACTTCCCAGAAGCAGACCTCCACTCTGCTAATGCCGGGCTATTTCTGTACTGCCATGTGAAGACCCCTCGTACACACTATTATGGCGGAGAACGTTTTCATACGGTCCCCCGGCGGGCATGTCAGCCTAGAGGTAAGTCAGAGCTCTACAGGGATCAGTTGGCTACTTAGTTTCCCCTCCCCCAGGTCGCCTTCTCTTTCTTCCCACTGTCAGCTTGCTCGCCGATCCCCGGGCCCAGCGCCCAGCTGTGATTGCCGCCCTCCAGGAATGGCTTCGGCCCACCGCGTACCTGGCCGACTTCGGCGACTTCAACCGCACCAAGCTGCTGCTAGCCAGTCGCCCACTCCCATCCAGCAGGTCCTAAATACCCCGAGCGTACTGTCTGTCCGCCTTGAGAATCGTGAGCTCAACGGGAACATTGCGCTGTTTGTGCAGTACCGTCTGGATCGTGCTGAGTTTCCTCCCCCGTCCGTCCAAGAGAAACCCGGCAGATGATCGAGGATCGAGTACACCCATCTTTTGTCTAAGCTCGCCTGATGCTTGATAAAATCCTGGCATATCAGCACTCAATGCGCGTACAATGAACTGTGAATCGCATGCAATTTCAACTAAGAATATCACATGCCCACAATACAGGGATGTTGATTGCAGAATCTATAGCCAATTGTGGGGATAATATGGCGATGGCTTAACCACCTGTTCTGGCGTCTCCAACGCCATGCGGATCTTGGAGGGGGACCAACAGGGGAAGCCAGGGGTAAAATAAGGAAGGTGTACCCAAGAAAAGAACATACTATCCAACCAGGGACTTGTGGAAAATAACAGAAGGACCAAAAATACACGCAGGCTCCAAAAGAAAAACTTGGTGGCCCTCGGAGCAAAGGAGGGCCAAGGCCGCGCAATTAGAGTGCAAATTATCACACAGCTAAAGAGAAGTACCATCATCGCTGCTCACTTAACACCAGGCTTGAATGGCCCGATACCTCCCATTCATACCTCGTGTACATCGTCAACTTTTTGACCGGGTAGATTGGAGTCCCTCACAAGAACGATGACAACCCGGACAGGCCACTGGAGCCAGATGAGTCGCCGGAGCTGGATGAGCCACCCAGCCCGCTCAACGCACTAAGCCCGCTCAATCCGCTGAGTCCGGCCGCGGAGGAGGACTCCGAGGAAGAATCGCCCGACGTCGTGCTGGAGGAGGAAGAAGTTTGTGAGGAAGTGGAAGTATCACCAAGCTTGGACTCCAGCCACTTCGACGCCTCGCCCGTGTTCATAATATAGCTGAAATGCGCGGGCAGGACAAGGAGGGTGCCATCGCAGACCATATCACCCGCAGCACAGTAGATCTTGACTTTGTCCTTGGGGAAGTTGCCGATTTGTCCATGTTCCTGGGCGTTGCGGGTGTATCCGAAAAGCACGACACCCTTGATCTTATCCTTGACGTCGTCGGGGAGTTGCTTGATCGAGTCATCCATAACCGCCGTTCCCTGACTGTCGGAATATTAGCGGTGCACTCCATGGCTGCCCAAAGTAAACGCGGAACTGACCTATATCCACCCGCCAAGATTTGACTATCGGGGCACTTGGAAGCAGCCAGCTTGAAGAGACTCTCGGACTCGCTGATAGCCGCGGGGGAAGTGTTGTCCGGTAGAGCATTGGACATGAGATCTGCCGTGTAGGCCGGCCCCACACCCTGACAGATGACCTGCCCGGCTTTGGCCATTTTCAGGTTATTACAGACCGCGGGTCCCGTGGAAATACCCTTTGTCTTTTGTGAGTTCTTCCATTCAGGGGAACTCGGGGAGGGGGTTACTTACGAGCAAGCCAGGCTCGGTAGACGCCCGGGCAAAGATGAAGATAATGGGTTTGCAAGAGCCTTGACGCAGTTCGTTGCCATCGGAGGAGACTGAATTGTTAGCCGGGGAAGCAACGGACGAACGAGGACCGCTTACACTGGCGTTCCGCGAGTCCCACAGGACTCGCAGCGGCAAGGCCCGCGAGGCTAAGGAGGAAGAGTCCAAGGTGCATTATGATGAGTGGCTGGATGGTGAGGATGAATATCAAGTCAATATTGTCGCTCATGGGCAGTGCTTCTAGTATTTATCTCCTGGACGTGTCCCACTGAAACCGGGGGAATTGCCATCTGAGGGCATTTCGTCCTCGATGCCCAGAGAATGCTCGGGTTCCGCCGTATCCTGTTTCAGGCACCAGTGGTTGGTATACGGCACGGTAACTCAAATCCAACTTTTGCAAACCGTGGGCCAGGTAAAGTGTGAAGCACGGGTTGCATGCCGAGGACTCTGAAAAGACCCTGAATGTAGGCATGTGCGGGAGAGTGGGTGAGTTTATGGCGCCGACACCAACGGCGTGTTTCACATCCCGGCCACGTTTTTGGGTCGTCCACTGAAACCCCATGGCTTGTCAGCCCGCAACAGTCTTCGAGAGAATGCCAAGGGTCACGTATCGAACGGCTTGTGCAAATCCTACCTGAGGACTTTGGGGTTTCATGTAAACAAAGCGCCCGGACCCAAAAATCAGACCGTTGATCAACCGGCCGATCTTCACCGCAACCTCGGATCATTCGTTGAAGGGTCGTGTTGGGGTCTCAGGACATCGAGGGCTGAGCATAATGCCGTTAAGCTATTCCTTGTACAAGGCTACTCCGGGCAAAAGGAGTGCAAAGAGTATAGCCGGTAGTGATGTCACGTCATTGTGTGCTCAGGGCGCAACATGCACAAGTTTTGTACAATGCATAGAGCCGTCGTCTACCTCGATTTTTTCTGAGCCTGGTCGATCCTCCACACTCGGCCAACCAAGCACAGTTCTAGCTTCATACCATGACTCGTACTGGGGCTAATCCCAAGGTATGTATAGCATACCGGATAAGCTTATTCAAACTACACAAGTCTAATTCATTGGTGTTACTCCTTCAGATCAATATTTGGTCTTACTCCCCCGCTACAAGGCCCTTGGCCGTGAAACGTACCCGAACAGGGCACTTCCTTTACCCGTTGTCTTAACATGGAATCTTCTCCTGATTCCACGCCTCCAACACGCCTCGAAATACCTCACCTAGCGGCGGCTCACAGTCCGATCCACACACTCTACATGCAGCAATTTAATCTCAGCTACAGCGGAAAGGTACTCCAAAAAAAACACGGTCTGTTTGGGAAGAACGTCATTGCCCGTGCCGTCCGAATCCCATTATTCAAGCTACAAGACCTACGCCACAACAATGACCGGCCAACGCCGCAACCCGATATTGGGCTGGAACAACCTTGTCGTGTATATGAAGGCTTCGACACAGTGGGCACCGCAATTAACCGGCAGGACAAGATGAAACCTTAGAGACATCACAGACGTACTTGCTAATGCTTAATTATAAGCTCAAACGTGATAGCACATAGAAATCGAACAGGATGTTCCGCCCTTCCCAAAATCCTCTCGGGCTAACCTTTACTTACTTTCTCAGAGGCAGGAATAAATTGCCACACATGCTAAAAACATCAAAGAAACCCTTCCACTTGCTAACTAGGTCAGGAATCTTATCTAGGTGATGATTGAACCCGTTCTATATCAACACAAGATACGTTACATCTTGGCATTAGTGAAAGAAGTCAAACGAATACATATCTAGTATAAGAAGAGAAAGGAACAAGGATAAACGCTTGATCGATACTTTCTTGTATGCGCTTCCATGTCGCACTTGACATTTGCCTAGAATAGGCGATCTATTGCTTGATCTAGAATATGAATCGGACAATCCAGAAAAAGGAAAATCAGGTCCTTCTTCCTAGACTTCCTCCACTTCCATGGCATGGGCTTCTTTCTTTTCCTCGATGGCAGATGACCCGGGGACCTCAGAAATATCATACGCTGCAAGGACTAGTTAGCCAGTGCCATTGAGAAACATATCCAAGGGAGATTGGGAAATCGGTACATACACTTGAACTTCCAAGCCGGGACACCATTCTGGAACAACACCTGGATTTCCTCTAGTGTCCTGCCTGAAGTTTCCGGTAGTAGAAAGAAGACCCACACGGCAGCCGCGACCATCAAGCTGCCGTAGATAAATCCGACTCGGGCGCTAAGACCAGCTGCATCGGCATTGAAGAGATACGGGAAAGTGAAAGTCACCATCCAGCTGCAGAACCAATTAGTTCCGGTCGAGGTAGCCATGAGTTTGCTGCGATTAGGGCCAGTAGAGATCTCCGAGGTAACCACCCAGACGGCGGGGCCCAGGGAGAGATTGTAGACGATCATGAAGATGTAGACCATCGCGACGATCGTGCGGTCCAAAGCCATTGTTTTATGGTTCGCAGTTCCCGTTCCGCCGACAATCGACAACACCACAGCAACCAGGGTACAGGAGAGCAGGAGCATGGGACGACGACCAAAACGCTCGACGCAGTATTGATTGAGCCACACTGCTGGCATAGGGACCAGGTACAGGCCCATTTGGATCAGGAAGGTATTTGTCATGCCGATGGCAGTAAAGAATACAATGCCGTAGCTGGTGATAAAGTTGATCCCGGAAGCTTGTTGCCAGGCTGTAGTGAGAAATGTCAGCATGGTTTGGAATTTGCAATCAAGGGTCGGTCCAAGCCAACTTACCCTGTAGGGCCATGCCTAGGTATGCTTTGCGACCGTCAGGGGTCCAGCGGAGCAGATCTCGCCAGGAACTTTCCACGCGGCGCTCTTCTTCAATCATTCCCGAGATGTGCAGAATCTCACTCTCAATCAGGTCGGGACGGTTTCCGTGTAAACGACGCAGAGCTGCACGGGCTTGCTCGATCTTTCCTTTGGTCAAGAGCCAGCGCGGAGATTCGGGGGCAAACAAAATCAATCCGGGGACCAGGATGACGGGAAAGACTAGCTGAACTGCCATGGGGATTCGATATGCGCCACTGTCGTTGCGATTCTTGGTAGCGTTGTCGACAATGACACCCAGCAGCAGCCCGAGGCCGACGTCGAATTGGTAGAGAGAGACCAGGGCTCCACGAAACCGGGCTGGAGCACAGTCGGCGACATACAAGGGCACCAAGCAGGAGATCAGACCCACGGCATACCCTGGTGATCAGTCAGTCAGGGTTATAATATGTTAGAGATGGCAGGCTGAGACGTACCGAGAAGTAGTCGCCCAACAATCAACAAAGCGAGCTTATCAGCAGCAACCTGGAAGACCACACCAAGTACCACAAACGTGCTCGAAACAAACAGGCCCCCGCGACGGCCAATCCGGTCATCCACCAGGTAGGATGATACGGCTCCGACGAGTTCGCCGACATTGATGATGCTGGTGGTCAGAGACTGGATACTGGAGCTAAGGATATAACCGCCGGTCGCGTGATCATAATGTCCATAGGCCTTAATAAAGGGTTCCATGACCAGGATACCTGATGCAAGATGTGAATCAGCGGTCAGCGTAGGTACCAGTACGATGTGCTAGAGCCAGGGCGCGCAGGAAGACCACCATTCAGGGCCCGAGCATCGTACGTACCAGAATAATAGGACGAGTCAAAGCCGAATTGGAAAGCTGCAATCGTGATGAACAAGCAAATGGCAATGGCACGCCATTCAGCCCGGGCGGCGGAGGTAGCCGACGTTTGATCCGTCATGTCGCCAAAGATAGTGAAGAAGTGGAACAAAGCCTGAAGAAAAGAGTAGAGAGAAAGGCATGCCCGTCCTCGGGGGCGCTCTTTATAGTTTATACGAGGGCGGCTTGGGGATGAGTTTATCCCACACTCCCCAGATTTCGCTTAGGCCAAAGCCGGGGTTGCGGAGAAGGCATCCTCAGCCGAAAACCTCGAATTCGCCGAACGCCCCCAATCCAAATGGCCGACTAGAGTTCACCGGCGCGGTCCGAACAGCAATGCTGATTGGGCGGTTTGGGCAATTAGCCTTGTGGCGGAATGGACGGGGATCCACTGGCGCGATGCAACGTGCAGCCGGCGTCGATGACTCCATGAGAGCCACCCGACAGGTATAAATCCTTAGCCGCCCCAACCCAGGCCTGTTCCGACTTCAATCGTCTCTCCCATTCTAGACCTACATCATGGCCACTGCAGTGCGTCAGCATTGGGTGCCCGAGGAACCTGGCCAGGCTCCCGCCTCGTCAATGACGGAACCCTTGGTCATCACCGTTCCGGCCCAGACGTCGCCCTCCCATCTCCAACGTGTCGTCGGTCGGAAATCAGCCATCCCCGGAATTGAGGAATTTCGGGGAATCCCGTATGGCATTGTACCGGCGAGGTGGCAGCATGCGGTGCTCCGTGATCGATTGCCTCAAGATGTCTTCGATGCGACTCGCAACGGGTGAGTCCATCCCAGCAACGGCGGATAAATACATCCAGTTGGGCCTGCTAACTCGGTCGGTTCTTCAGGCCACGCTGCCCCCAGCCACAGGAACCCAACAACAGCGACGAGTTTCAATCCTATCTAGAGTTCCCCAGCGATGTCGCGGAATCGGAATTCGATTGTCTCAACCTCTTTATCACCAGACCGAGTCCCGCGTCCCTGGCTGCGGCTGGCTTCGACGCCCATGCCGTCAAACTGCCCGTCTATATATATATTCATGGCGGGGCTTATAGCTTCGGTGCTGGCACAGATCCCATGTGGGGTGAGTCCTCGACATGAACTATTAGGCCAGCCAGGGCCAGATTCACTGACTCGCTTATAGATCCGGCCCGCCTTGTTAAGAGATCGGTCGCGATGGGTACCCCGATGATTGTAGCCACCATTAATTATCGCCTAAATATGTTCGGATTTGCGGGTTCATCGGACATCATCCACGCCCAACCAGACGTTCAACAGAAAGGATGCAATTTTGGACTAGGCGATCAGCGAATTGCCATCCTCTGGGTGCGCCAGAACATTGGCGCATTTGGGGGCGATGCGACCCGGATCACCATCGGTGGTCAGTCTGCTGGCGGAAGCTCGTCTCATGCACACGTATTGGAAGCAATCCGGGGGAAAGGCGAGCCCTTAGTCCAGCGCGGAATCATCCAGTCCGGGGCCGTCGGGGTGCTCGGGCCCATCCCCATGGCAGTCGCCGACGCACGGTGGGAGGCCTTTTGTCAGCATTTAGGAGCCCCGACCGGCGACGCTTCCTCCCGCATCGCATTCATGGCCACCATCGCCCCGTCAGAAATCCTGCGAGCGACTGGCCAGTTGGGTTCTATTGTCTGCCCTCTCGTGGTCGATGACTTGACTATCTCACAGAAGCCAAATGGTCGCTGGAGGATTCACTTCGCTGATAATGAGGCCATATCCCCGAGTGATACGCCCACCCAAGATGCTGGAGTAATCTCGGCCTTGATTGGTGACACAGACGTCGAGGTCAGCAAGCCCAATACCATCGTGGGTTACCCAAGGACAAGCTAACAAGAGACAGGCTGTAATACACTTGGGTGAGGTGGGCAAGATTCAAAGCTTTCCACACCTCGAAGAACTCTTAGCGGATCAAGTAACGTCAACAGAGTTTATGGATAAGGTTTATCAGGCCTATGGTCTTCAACCAGATGTGCCGGTGTCCGACCTTCGGAAAAGAGTTCTCCAGTTGTTGACGGACATACAGTTTGGATATCCAGTGCAATGCGCAAGGCAAGAGCTGATGGGCTGGGAGAAATCCAGAGACAAGGATTCAGGAAGCACGGCCCGCCCTACAGCGGTGCACTCATACCGCATGAGCGTGGGCAATCCATTCCCAGGGCCCCGTTATGGATTGGCTCAGCACTGTGTGGATTTGATCTATATATATGACTGCATCGCGGAGGCGTTACGAGTTGCAGATGAGGCTCTACCTGCCAACGTTGAGACCAATGCTGGCCTGGTGGAGCGCATCCAAGAGGATTGGGTCCGATTCATCACGGCCCCGTCGGTCAGTAGCCAGGCCGGCTGCGCAACTGTCTATGGTAGCGACAGGACAGTGTCATTGGTTCATATGGAAACAAATCAGGCTTGGACAGAGAGGCTGCGCAGATTCCATCTTCTGGAGACATACTGGGCTTCTGCGCAACAACTCATAAAAGCACTGGCGGGTTCGGGGCATGTTTTCTAGATCTATGATAGCCACCTCGCGGATATGAAAGCCCGGACTGATAGAATAGGCTTGGATTTGTTGCTTTGTTGACGGCCGCGAAGGCACCAACCACAGTAGCGTCTAGCTGTTGTTGTGTCCAACCCATCCTCGGTCTTCCGGGCCTATCCACAGGCCCGTATAACCGGGGACCCAGCGGTAACGGAGCATTTCCGGGTCCAGTGATGATTGCGGTACGCCCACGTATTCAGCCACGGGTTGGCCATCGCCGGGAGCACTTCCCGCGGAATCCTCCATGTTACACGACAAAGCTCGGCGCAGGAGCTTGGCAAAAGTGCGCTGGTAGTCCATGTTCGTGGCTGCTACAAACATGTCGAGGACTTGAAGGTTGATCGTGCAATTTCGTAAAATTAGATCGTCGGACTGTCGACCCAATTTCTGTGCCAATATGAGGAAGATGAACGAGGATTGTAGAAAGTACGTTCCGAAAAACCTGTACATCAGACACAGCCGTGGATCAATCCGTAAAATGTACCGTGCGATCTGATCCCGAAAACAAGTTAGTTATTATCATCGTTTTTGCCAAAAAGCTCTGATAGTTATCAGCATTTGGTGCAACAAAAGACACTCACATTAGCACAGGCTACAGCATGTTCCCCAGCCGCGAGAAATTCCGAGGATGCCTGCCATGCATGATCCTGATACATCCGCACCACATCCATTGGACCATGTAGCAGTACGAACATGCAATGATACATGTGAAAGCCATAGTAAGCCACCGTCGGGATCTCTAGGGCTGGAGAGAACTCATATCCTGGCTCCGCGATTCTGCAGAAGTCCGGACCCACTAAGGCGATGAATGAACGAGACCAGACGTCGAGATTTTCTACTATATTCTTTTGGATCGCATTCAGGAAGCCCTGTCCCGTGTTGAAAGTGGAATGATCGCTGAGGAAGCGATATTCCACTATTTCCCCCAATATCCTGGGTCTGGCTCAGCCCTTTGAATACTGGGGAAGCGGCGCTTATCGATGAATAGGCCAACCTACCTTGACAATGGGAGGAAGAGACCAAGCATATCCAAGCTTTGCACTTGATAGCTTAATATCATGGCATCTTGACTTCGCCAGTCAGGCCAAGGAAGTAGTGGACCGGGCTGGTTCCATTCTGCATCTGGGCGTGGGGTCGGAAGAAGGAGGCATTCATGGTCTGTGATGCGCGGGCGTGCATTGAATGACAAGGCCGTGTGCCGGTCAATGATATAGCTTGCCCACCACAACCTACCACGAACACAATATTAATAAAACCAGGATACTCCGCTGCCACTTATACTGAACACACCTTCTTCTCTCCTGCTTGTCGTCTTCGCTAAGATCAGGCACTTCCCTGTGTAAGTGCAGTTTCTGAACGATGAATTTAAGGAAAATTAGCCAGTAATGTAGGCTTGACTCCACCGACCTCTCACTCGGGGCAATACTTGTCATGATAAATGCCGTTAAAGCATCATCGAACACATGATCAGTATCGGGCAATGTCCGGGGATGGAAGTAGTGAATCAACTGGTTGAAAAGGTATCGTCCTTGGGCGGTACGTTCCTTTGCTCTTTGGCCGGTTGAGATGGGTGGTTGATCAGCCGATGGCATGAAACACGCAACGCCTATGCCACGTGAGATCGTCGGAGGCCGTCTATCGGGGGGACCTCGGAGGCGTACATAGGATTGAGAGCAGCAGAGTTGGGCTTGTTGGCCTGGGGGCATGCTGGTCGAGTAATCTGCTCCTTCGGATTAGAAGGGTATGGAATTCCCGGTTGGGAGACGCATAGAAATGTTCCAGCAGACGAGATGCCTCAAAGCGCGAAAGTTGAAACAGGGAAGAGCTAGTTAAAGCGGTGAGCATGCCGAGTTAGATGGTTTACACTAAAACCTTACCTATCCCGGTCCTCATCTGACGTCAAAACGCGAAGATCTCGAAGACAGTCTAGCACCGGGTAGTCCGGCCCATCCTGTACTCGGTTTCAGCACCACTCGACCCGGAAGTATTGGGGGCAGATGTAATGGGTCCCACCGAGGAGCCACATTCTGACAGCAGTTGAGGCGATTGCGTGGAGGCCGTTCGAGTGGGCTTCCTGCCCCTTTTTTTGATCGGGCGACTTGAGGTGCACCGGATTCCTAGTCCTGGGAAACTCAGAGCGGGGACACGGGACATGGAGTCGGAGCGTACGGTTGCAGCGGGCGCAGCCTTGGGACCGAGGGGAACACTTAAGCTTATGGCGATGGCACTGATCACAGGCAACATCTGTTTTTGCCTCAGTTTTGCCCCTGGCTGCACCTCGTTCCGCGCCGGAGTGAGACCATGGAGCAGCCATGATATGAATGATGGTAGGAAGTGAGTGAGTGCTGAGTCCAATGGAAAGGCGAAACAAAGCCGCGTCGGGGAGGCAGAATCCGCTCTCACCGCCTCCACGCTTATGGCGGACGATGGCGGCCATGCAGCAATAACACCAATTCTACTGCTCCGATCTCTGTATAAATTATTTAAGTACTTTCATTACTACCTTCCTCTTTACTATGATTTTTATGATAACCTAAATACTATTTCATCTGTATCTCTGATGTCCCTTCTAGTCTTCAAATCCGAGTGTTTACATCCTATTGAGCTGAGTATATATTTGCGGTCAGTATAGAATGAATGAGCTGAGAAAGCTCAATAAACTGCACTTTCGTTACTATTTTTTTCTGAAAAGCAGGAGCTTCAGCAATTCATATTCATTAACTGAATGATATGTTTATTAATTTGAGGTTATTTCTACCCAATCATGGATACACTCTGCCTAATCTTCACAATATAGCTAGAGGATAGCCCCTCCAGAATTTATCGACGCCGTGCAGCCTTTAAAAGACCTTATTCGATAGAACCCAACTTCCTTTCTTCTAAAGGGTACATGCCATTAAGATCGAGGAATTAGGACTGAGAGCATAGGGCTGCCGTTTCGCAGGCTGTTGGATACGAACCTGCGTCTGCCCGGTCCACAAGCCACACCAGACCATTTCGATCCAGAATGTGTGGAAGCTGGCTGTTCTCAGGTAGTCCGTAAATGTTCTTAATTCTTATATCAATGCGCATGTTCCCGTCCAGCCCTAGCCTAGCTTGGGGTTAGATAGAGGCATCATAAAAAAGAAAAGAATTCATACCCCATTAAGTTTCTGTTGACTAGTACAACTTTACCAGCCTAGTTCTTTGTCCATCAAGTACATCATAACTACCTCAGCGGGCCATACTTAAACAAACACCTGTATAGCCATAACTAGTGTTCTTCCCACTGAAACTTTAGGGGGTGTGATGCACAAAAGAATCTCCAGCAGTCAGGAAACCAACTGTTATTCTCCCAATCAGCCAGTGCGATATCGAGTAATCAGCTATCTTGATTGTTTGCGCAACTGTTATTGTCCGAAACCTTAATATTCTTCTGCTGAAGGTCTCTATGCGTCAATGTAGGCCGGTTGCCTTGAAGGACGCGAGCGAGGTATTTTTTGTAAAAACGAGCCCTGTAGTCTGTTGCGTTCGACCAAGGCTTCACAAATTCTTGAACGGAAGACTCCTCTATACAGCTTCCTCTGCCAAGAGCATCATATCAACAATTAGAGTGGCGAAATCTTTTATATCCTTAGGCCTGAGCATGTTCCATGGGCCATATGTCCTCATTTGGAGGTGCGTCCCCGGGGTTTTAACTGCAACGTCGAGGTTTAGATATCCCATATAGTCCACCGAGTGAGAGGCAAATGTAACATAAATCTGGTGTCGATTCTCGGATATTAAAGCAAGTCTTCCCATCGGTAAAACAGTGACTTAGTGTTGATCCCGCAAAACTCTGTCATTGGGGCTGTGAGCAATATCGACTTACTGGCCGTTGAGATCAGGAGCGATGAGACACCTTGCTGAAGCCATCCTACTATCTCCGCGGTTTCCTGCATGATTATCTCATTGAAACCTTTTTATCGCACTCGTTTCTTTGCTTCTACGATGTAGAGGACGGCTTGCGTGGCCTTCGACCGTAAGCCACCGTCTGTGATCGTGATGTACCCTGCTTTCCCAAACTTGGGCGAAAAGCTTAGGTGATCGACCGTCCACTCATTTTTGACATTAGCGATTAACTGTGAGAGCTCTTTTAGTAGTAGTATAAGGGCGGTATTCACGCTGGCTTCATCATCAGCATCTGGTAGGTCGTTATCGGCGATGAATGTCGGGTCGCCATCATCTCCGCTTGAGGTAGAGGCCGCATCAGTATCACCCGAAGCTGGCCCAGAGATCGCATCTAGTTCCGACTCACTATGGTCGTGGCCGGGCTTAAAGGAATCGACTATTATTCGTCCCAGTCTTCGTCCAATCGTTCTCCTCGCTGTGGATCTCGTCGGTGGACCTGGACTTCCTGGCTTCGCTCTGCGCTTGCTCTCGCGCAGAGTCGAAACTCCCTTTACCTGTACCACTTGTTCCTGCATGTCACGCGTCGGCTTGAAGGCGCCGGGCCAGGCATCACTGGACGGTCTCATTCCTGTTACTGTTTGGACGCCTTTCAGGATAGCCAAATATCTACTGAACTCAGAGGATTGCTCGACAATTTCCCGTGCTGATTCCCAATGTTTCTCTAGTCCGAAATCCTTCAGTTCTTTCACCAGCCGATGGCGGCTCTTGGTCATTGGAGAGAACGAGAGAAAAAGGGCATATTGCCTTTCATTGACACCTGACCCGGATCCTAGATAGCCAGGTTCTATGTCATGAATCGTTGTGGATTGTAGATTTGCCCGGGCAAGGAGGCACCTTAACTCCACCGAACTCTTTGGGATGCGAAAATTAGGGATACGGAGGCTTCCCTTCGCAACCTTTGGCTTTTTCTGTGGTCCCGGCATGATTTTCTTGTATCCGAGTCGGTAGTGTAAACTGAATTGAGAAGGGTGTTTAGCAGAAGACTTTCTGGTTGGCAAGGGTACCATCAACGTATGGTAGAACCGGTAACGACGTGTAACACCATACACGAAAGTATGGATGCGCACATGACCATGGTTCCGAGAGGAGCCTTCGAAATTCCCTCCATAACACACACTCTACCTAATTTGTGGGTCATAGGCGATCATCTCATCCTTCTACGTGTTAGTCCCATTGTTCCTTCCAGAACCATCTCATCTTTCCTTCCTGAGTGATAGCTACTCTCTCTATCCACATTTTGCTCACATCAAATACATCCTGGTTGGCTTTTCTTGTCCGACGATGTCACTTCGCAATCCCCTCAGCAGCCTGAAGATTTCTCGGGGCCGATTACAGGAACATGTAGTCGCGGGCGATGAAACTTTCGAAGACGCGCGAAAGGAAATGCAAGGAGATCTCAAGCGGACACACGAGCACGTAAAGGCTATACCGTTGTCCAGTCTTACCCGCAAGCAAGCTGCCCGCTATGATATCATATGCGAAACCCTGACGCTTCGAACGGATGCGGGCTATGCATCTACTGAGAGGGTGTATTTCAAGCCTTGGTCATTGCTCAAGCTTCAGCAACACCCCATCGATCACAGCGATAGAGAAACCGGATGTGATGTCAAAGCGAGGCTGTGTTTGACGACTTCACAAACGATCCCCGTGATGATCCTATCGATGAGGATGACTCAGACGAAGATGATACTGGAGCTTTCTTATGCAATGTCCTGGTTTATGAATTTATGCAATATGCCAGGGACGGGCAGCCGCCAGGAAACACACTGGAGTATCTGTCGGGCTGGTATGGGGGGTGAATTAGCCAGCACACATACATACAATGCCGCGATGCGGGATATCTACTGATGTCGGCTGATCCTCAGTTCCTTTGATCGCAAAATTCTGAAGAGTCGATACATGGATCTGGCCATGTTTAGTGACCCTCACAGGAATCCATTGGCCTCGCCACCTCTCTCTTTCGACGCTGTTTGGTACAGGTACTTGCCCCAAGAACTGCCACATATCAGCTTGATCGTCTCATACGGGGGCGTGGGCAATGACAACCTCCTGCGTTCGGAAGTCCTTGCCCTCGTCGGAATCATGAGGACCCGGCTTGGACAAACGGAGCTCAGAGAGCACACAATAGCTCCTGTAAGTTTGTTTGTTTCTCCCAACACATGGCTAGAACAATAAAGTCGGTTGCATCTTGATTCAGTTTCTTCTAATACCTCCCAGGTCCTCATGATATCTTGCATCGGCTTCCTCAAGGCAAGGATTATTCAGGCCTACTACACCAATGGAAGGCTCATGATGTTGAAAAGCCCCCTCCACGACTTCTCCACTCCAGAAGCCAGAGGAATCAATATCCCTCTTTTCCTGCTGTACATGTGCAGTGATTGTATCGGGGATACCAAGGCCCTGTCGCGGGAGATCCCACTGAATGAGGATACCAACCCCTAGGGACATGAGCTCCTACCTTCTTGTTTTACTTTGTACTCTCCCTACTTCACGTTGCTATTTGCTTCCCCCTTTTCTATGCTCTCTTTTTTCATGTTCAACCTATTGCAAGAAACGCCTTTCTGTCGTACACTTTTGCCAAAGCGTTTTAAAATTACGTTACATGTTTGAACAATTAAGCAATTTACAATTCGAGGAGCTCCATCTTCGTAGGTATTTCACGAAATTGAGCGGATATACCTCTTTTGCTTTATTTGCTAGTAGCCGTGGGAAACACTAATGAGGAAAAGCATCTTGAGATGGATCTATCTGTGTACCATGCCCGGTAGTCGGATGTACTATTCTGTGAGATGAAATCTGTGGATTTCGTGCCACCAGATGCTACCTTGGTATTCGATTATTATCCCTAATCCGTATCCCACCTTTATCATGATAGCGTCTTCCACAAAGAATCAATCGCCGACACTACCTCATCGGGTAGCGGTCCATTCTTGATGGCTTGGACGTTCTGCTCTAGCTGAGGAATCTTGCTTGCCCCCAGTATGATGCCATCTTCCGGCCCCAGGAGGGAGTGGTAGGAGAGCCATCGTAAAGCGGCCTCTGGCTTAGAAATATTGTAGGGCTCCAAGGTCTTGGTCAGAAAGTGAATAGCATTATGCATCTCTTGCTTGTCATAGAGCAACCGGCCGTGGGCACCCATGGTATTTCCTTCCCCAAAACGAGTTCCCTGTACATCTCCTGCTGTCAGCTTTCCGCTAAGGAATCCCATTGCCAGAGGACTATTGATGACGTGTTAGCCTGTGCAACACATTATATCTGATAGTGGCGTCCTACCTATAGGCATTGAAGACCACGCCATGCTTTCTCAAGGAAGGGATGAGTTGTTCTGCCTCACGGCTGACGAGGTTGTAGGGGTTTTGGCAAACGGTAGGCTTCACGTAGCCTTTTTGTTCACAGATATCCAAGTATTCAGCAAGCACCTCAAGTGGAAAATTGGATACGCCGAGCTGATTGTCAGAAATTGGTAAGCTTGGAGTCGGCCAAGGGAGTAAGGCAGACTTCCTACCTGATCAAAAAGCCCCTTTCGATATTGCGCATCGATCCCTGCGGCCTGCTCCTCCAGCGGAGTGGTGGGATCTGCGGCATGACAATAGAGTACGTGAACCTTCTTGTCCTGAGGAAAGTGCAAGCGGTCATAGCTTGCTTGCAGAGACTCTGCCACAGCTGGAGGTTCGAGCGTGCCACTCGCGTCGCGATTGAGGACCAGTATCTTGGTATCTATGGCAAAATCCTGGGCTGCCGCACCAGTTTCACCGAGAAGCCGCTCGGAGCCTCCTATGCGGCCTGTTGGGTATCGGGGCGCGGTGTCAAGTCTCGAGATTCCGAGGGACTTGAGAGTTTGTAGGAGTTCCTCAACGGACTCTCTTGTGGTCCAGTCCTGGCCGATGTTACCACCTCCGAAAATAAGCTGTGGATGGGAAGAGACCATGTTGGTTATCAAAACAATGACTTGAATCCGTTGAGCTATAGGATATTTAGGAGACGATTCCAACTAAACATGATGGCCAGCTAAGCTATCTGGACATCGCACGGTCTTTATATTCGGAAGAGTGGAAGAAAGGGTCAGGAGGGGCACTTGGGAGTGTAATGGGGGGCAGAGGTTAGTACTTAGCTGGTGGTCTTGGATATGATGAGAAGGGAGTACTACTTCCCGGGCGGAAATCCCCATCCGGCCCCACGGCGCCATTCGGATGCCCGGATGCCTGCCTGATCCGGGCCCGCTGACAGCCCGGCCGGAGCCATCTATCCACTCCGTACTAAGTTCTAATGAAGGACCATTCTTGAGCGATTGTTGCGGTACGGAAGTGTAGACAGTTTAAGCGAATTACTTCCCTTAATTTTCTTACAATCCTTCCTTCCTACTCTTATTCATTTTCCCATTTTTTTACTCTTACCCCTTTCTCGTGACTTTCGTCTCGTTCTTTGACTCACATCTACTTAATATTTGTTTCCTGTCCAGTGCAGCACCATAATACCGGGCCTGTCATGGTAACCGCAAAGAAACCTGCTGACTGCCATCACCTTACTGAGCGTCCGCTAGCGGACCCAGCTATACAAGGTATTCAAATCATATTGATTGGTATTGCAGACAGCGCAGGTGGCGTGTACCTTACCAAATTGGAGCACTCATGATCCCTATTGCTGGTGGATCTGAAGTCGGGGGGTCGCAAGATTGCAGTTATGCGACCGTAATACTTGACGCCTTCTCCAAGCCTTCCCGGACTGATTCCTGGACCAACGCCGCAACCTCACGAGGCATGCTCAGAAACGGCGAATGTGAAGAGTCCAGGCTTGCGGTTGTGATTGGACCCATGCCTGCAACCATGGCCTTTTGGATTTTCAGTGGCAATGCCATGTCCTGCTCGGCATGAATGTAGGTGCACGGAATGCCTTTCCATGGTTCGTATGTGTTAGGGACCTTGAAAGACTCTGTTGTGGTGGGAAGAAGCTGGGAGATCCAGTAGTCTTGCACGTCCCGAGGAAGGTCGTTATAAAAGAGATTGGCTGGATTGCTGATTTCGGGGTCATTCGCGTAGGTTTGGTCGCCCTAGAACATGCACTCAGTGAGTATGAATTCCCAAGAGGTCTCCACCCTCTCGCTAAACCTACCTTGAACTCCCAGAAGGATGGCGCGACCCCTCCAAAATAAGTGAATATCGACATGCCAGCTGGGACGGCGAAGGCCGCGAGATACACGATCTTAATGATACCCCCAGATTTTCCGGCCGCACGTCGCTCGGCGAGGCCCAAGCCTTGTGCTGCGCCCGAGGAAACCACACCACCATAGGAGTGAGCTATCACGGTCACTAGATGGCCATCATCCGCCAGCTTCTTGATGACGGCATGTAAGTTCGCCCTGTCATCCGTCATGGTCTTGGGCGGTTGCGATGTGCTGCCAACGGACGGGTGAGTAACAGCAACGGAATCCAGCCCGAGGCTCATTAATTCATCCCGAAGCTGGTTCAGGCAGGCTGGCAGATGCCAAGCTCCAGGGACAAGAACAATCGTGGAAGAGGCCATGAGGGAAAATTCGACGGATGTACGAGATCGAGGATAGCAAGGTTGATGACGGCTGGGACGGCGGGGGAGACCAATTAATATATATTCGACTCTCGGTCCTCGTATGGCTGGGCTCGTACCATGGTATCTCCACCTGATTCCGCTATCGTTGTCGTCGTTGGCGCTACTGGTTTAGCGACTCCCACCAAGGAGGATAGCACACACTAGAGAGCAGTGGCCCCCACGCTGCAAACCTCGACGATTCAATGCGGGACACGAAGATACCAGCGAAGTAGGGACTGCCCATCTCGTATAACAGGTAGTGAAGATTGTGCATTGGGGAGAAGGAAAGGTTGGTTCCGTACCGGAAGTATGTAGAATAGAGGCTGCGGCTGCCTGCATGCCTGGCATGCGCCGGGCCTGAACCTGAACTAGGTCCCTTTGGGACTAGCCCCGCAGTTAGGCTACCCACTTGGCCAAATCATCCACTCGTTGATACCGTGAGATTCGGAATCGCCTTCCGCCTGTGTTACTGTTTTCTTTTCTTGAGGCCTCACTGCCAAGATTGGGACTCGTACGCTAACCAATAGCGGTAAGTGTGTTACAGAGACATAACGAACGGTGGTATCATTCGTCTCTCAGCATGACGTCATAAATCATTCTATAATGTATTCCCTATTACTGAGGGTAATGACTCTGCTAGAATGTTCGACCACTATCTATTATATTATGGAAGACATCTTCTATATATATCAGCCATCCCAGACCCTCCTTCCAAGAAGGGTCTTCGAAAAAAAGTAGAGACAAGGAAAGGCAAGGAAAGAAAAGGCAACTATGCTTTGTCGACTATACCATGTCAGGGAATCTATTGGCTACAGGCAGAATAACTAGCTCGAGATACGTGACCAAAGGAAGGAACGTGGACCCAGAGGGAGGATGATGAGGTAGCCTCAGATCACGTGACCACAACCATTCACAGAATCTACCGCGGTTTCCCAGTCACTGAGAGTATCAGAAGAGGATATGGTATCTGGGTGATCTGGACCCAGCAAGTTGCGGCGGAGCTCTGCACACTGTTTTATCAGAGCAAGGGCATTCTTAACCTTTCCCTGGCCTTTCCATGTAAAGGCTAGATTGGCCATGCTGGCAAGAGTGGAAGGATGCTCCGGCCCTAGCACTTGCTTGCGTAGCTTTAATACTTGCACTCCCAGCTCTTCTGCTTTCTTCCATCGTCCCTGATTCCAGTAGGTCAATGCCAGATTGGCCATACTGGTAAAAGTAGAAGGGTGCTCAGGCCCTAGTACTTGCTTTTACAGCTTTAATACTTGTACTCCCAGCTCTTCTGCTTCCTTCTATCATTCCTGATTCTGGTAGGTCGATGCCAGATTGGCCATACTGGTAAGAGTGGAAGGGTGTTTAGGCCCTAGCACTTACTTGCATAAATCTAATACTTACACTCCCAGCTCTTCTGCTTTCTTCCATCATCTCTGATTCCAGTAGGTCAATGCCAGATTGGCCATGCTGGTAAGAGTGGAAGAGTATACAGGCCCTAGTACTTGCTTGTATAAATCTAATTCTTGTACTCCCAGCTCTTCCGCTTCCTTCCATCATCCCTGATTCTGGTAGGTCGATGCCAGATTGGCCATGCTGGTAAGAGTAGAAGGATGCTCAGGCCCTAGCACTTGCTTGCATAGCTTTAATACTTGCACTTCCAGCTCTTCTGCTTCCTTCCATCGTCCCTGATTCTAGTAGGTCGATGCCAGATTGGCCATGCTGGTAAGAATATCAGAGTGCTTAGATTCTAGTACTTACTTATATAAATCTAATTCTTGTACTCCCAGCTCTTCCGCTTCCTTCTATCATCCCTGATTCTGGTAGGTCAATGCCAGGTTAGCCATGCTGGTAAGAGTAGAAGGATGCTCCGGCCCTAGTACTTGCTTGCATAGCTTTAATACTTGTACTCCTAGCTCTTCTGCTTTCTTCCATCGTCCGTCATTAGAGAGATAACTACAAACATTTCGAATCAAATTAATGTATTTCACTTGCTTCTTCCAAAATCCAGCTTCTATTATTAATAAAAGAGCATGTGGTAGATATACCTGTTATATCTACTGATTTATATAATCATTATCTAGAAAGACTTTACTTAATTAATTAACAGTCTTTAATATTTACAGACTAAACTATTGATTCTTTCTCATCCAGTTCTGAGTTGCAAGATAGACTAATCAGTATAGATTTAGAGAACTGTCTCTGCTTCTCTCACTAATAAAGAAGAAGCTTTTAAAAAGATCAAGAATATCAGTTTTATTCTTATTCAAGATTAGCTGGAGAAGTAAGGATTGTGGAATATCATAAAAATTAATACAGATAAAAAATAACAAATAGTCTGCTACCAGCTTATTTAACTATTAAATTTATTAAAAGAAGATAAACCAAGTCAGAGTAACAGGATTCTGGATATCTTTATAATATATTTTATCTTTAAAATCTTTACTTAGCAGTTTAACCACATGCGGCTCCTGATCCTGTAAAAACTGAAGATAATTAGAAAGTCCAATACTATTTTTATTAATATATACCGCTGTCTGGGTAATTATGAGAGGGAGAAAGACCAGCTGTTTAAGAAGATTTAGAGTTATAATATAATCATTGAGAAATGTTTTCTCAATAAGTGAGTTCTTTAGAATTTCGATGAAAGACTCTGTATTCAGCTCAGTGACTTTAATAACATGGAAAAATACTAGTTTCACAGCTATCTTACAGCTACACGTGGTAAAAAGAATATAGCCCTGCTTACTTTCAGAAAAAAAGTCTATTAATATTATATTAGTAATATTATTTATACTCTGTTACAGACCCCTGCTAGCTAGAATGACTAGTGAGGCGGCTACGTCAGGCAGAAGGCAACGCCCGGAAGGGAGATAACTATTATCGGGAAAGAACCCCGAGCTGGGCCGTCATGTGTCACACGTCACGTGAACATGGTATACGGACAAGCATGTGGTATACGGCATACCATCATGGTCTATAACTACCGCATGGGTATACGGCAGACCCGATGGTATATGGAATGGTATACGGAGAATAGGATATATAAGGACACTCCTTCATGTACTTAGCTAGTTCTGTTCTTCGTGCTCAATAACACTGTCTTTAAGTAACCATACGTTTGGTAAAGCTTAGCGACAACACTCGTCCGCACTCACTTACGGATAGCTGCGCGGCACTATCTGGCCTTACTTCTCTTCTCTTGTTCAGGACCAGTCACCCCTTAGATAGTCATCAGTCTGACTTACCTCGATTCAGTTCGAAGGTACGTATTGGAACAGAAGCTAAGCTAACAGGAACAGGGAGAAGCGATCCTAGGGTTTGACATACTCCACATTCCCATATTATCTATATTATCAAAGAAAAAAAGCCACTTCCCAGCACTTTCTTAGCTAAGATAAGCTTTGATCTTTTCTTTCATCTCTGCCGGCTTTGTATCAGTCATTTTCAGTTTTAAGATGATGTTTATATAGGCTTGTTCCATATTCTCATAACTAGTATATATAATTCAATAAATCAAGTAATTAGGATCTTAATTTTACATATAGTAGGCTAGTTCAAGTGTGATCTGTATTTTTCCAACACTGTCTAGTCTGCAGATAATAATTTTACTAGGTCTGTTTTATTACAGAAATAATTCTTTAATTCTGATGATTTCTTCCTCTTGGCCTGCGAACCGTAGGTTCCTCTATAAGAAGACTATCCAGACTGATTACTTTAAATCATATGATTTTTTGTAGCAATAAATAAAAATTACTAATAAAAGAGTCTTCGTGTATACAGCAGCCGCAAGCACAGTATATTTTTATCATTTTTTATTTTTATACAAATCATAATAGTCATAAATACCATGAATAACTAGTAATAGAAATTCATCCATAAGTCTAGCAGTCTCCATTTCAAAACAGAGTATATCTAGATCCTGAGTAATAAAATCATAAGTCTTGACATCTTTCATGATCTGATCTCCGGAAGTAATTAAGTTATAATAAATATAAGGATTATCAGTCCTCCGCGCAGAATATTTTACTAACTGTGTCTGATTACATGCTAAACAGTTATGTTTACTATCCTCATGGTTATAGATTAATAAGAATAATTAGTCAACTTTTAATCGCGAAAACTCTTTTCTTATCTTTTTAATTTTATATAATATATCATTCAAAATTTCTCTAGTTAGCCTTTTCCCGGTCATATAACTACTCTCTAATTAAGACACAGCCTTCAATAAGACTAGTAGAAGTTTATTAAGCAACCTAGTGTGTTAAAATTGTCCGCCGTGCAGTATCTTGCCGTAGTCAAATTAGATAATACTACTTGAAGTGATAGTTAACCTACTAACCACAATATCACTAAAGCAAATATCATTTCTTAGGCTCGGGACTCCGCCCTCAATACCCACCATTAATCTGAAACCAGACCGGAAAGTTAGAAAGATAGAGACTATATATAATACTATATTTATAATAAATATTATTTTATAAATACTACCAGGCAGACAGGCCACTACTATATTATGGCTACCAATTCGCCTAAGTATGTAAACATTATGGTCGGATTCTGGCTAAGAAAATAGAGAATAAATATTATCTAGTATAATCTTTATTACTGCTAGTTCTAACAACAAGATATAAATCTATACAACCGTATAGTCGTTGTGCGTGAAGAAAATTTTCTGTATAATATATAAAAAAGTAGTAAGACTTTACTAAGATAAGACGGATAGTCTTTAATCATAAGAAGATAGAGAAGGCGTTAAAACTACAGGATTAAACATTATAAGAAACAGATCTTAGGTTAAAGTTAGAAAGGTCATCTGACACATGTAACTGGGAGGCTGTCATAATTAAGAAAACCAATCATAGCCTTGAGAATGTATAAAAAGCAAAAAGAGAAAGTAATATGTATTAATATTAAGTAACAAGACTAGTTTCTTAACATAATATTCATAAAGTGCTATAGATAAATCTAGAAAGATCATTTACTAGTTATCCAGATAAGCTCAAAGTCTAAGCTATGATTGAGTTCTGAGAGACTTTATCAGAGCATAATTATTATATATTATCTGAAATAATGCCTCTAACTTCTTGACACGCAGGATTATCCTGATTAGTTATCAAGATTCTGATCAATATAAAAGCGGGATATTAGATTAATGATAGATCCCGTCAAAGCTTAGAGGCGGTGGTTCCAGAGTAATCCCAGCATGATGAAAATGCCCCTCTGCACTCTGCTTCCTGACACTGACAATATCAATGCACCATTCTAGATATGTATCAAAGTTAAGCTCGGGGTCCTCTTTATATATCTTCCAGTTATGCTTAATAAAGGTCTTTAACTCTGCAAACATTTCCTCAATGGGATTGAGATCTGGTAAGTATGGAGGCAGATACAGCAACTTTACCCTGACTTTACTGCACATCTATTCCACGCGCTCGGTATGATGAAATGATATATGATCTATTATCAGCACAGATTTGGCCTCCGGCCACCTCCTGTAATGATAAAGCAGCTGCTCCACAAGAACTTCGAATATGGATACATCAGTAGATCCCTGGAATACACAGGTAAGTATAACACCATCCTGGGCATACGCTGGCAGTATTTGATATCGCTGTCCGCGATGAAACCGAGAGATTTGTACCGGTGTCACTCCAACAGGGGACCAGGCCGTTCGCCTGAAGCCAACTCGCTTATCACATCCCGACTCATCGACATAAATAAGGTGGTACGAACGGAATTCAGACAGGCTATGAAAATAGCAGTCCCGCAAGTCCGCATTACGCTCTCCAGCAATCCGACGAGCTGCTTTTTTAGACCATCCAACGGATTTGAGCGCCCTCCTGATACTGGCGGTTGTCACTACAGTCTCGAATTCATCCCATAAAAAAGTTGCCATTTCGTCTAGATACAGATCCGGTTTCGTAAGGAGATGCTCGCAAAGGGCGTCCAGCATAGGCGGGGTTACCGTTCGCGGTCGGCCGGCTTTGATTGGAGGTGCTTTGACACTGCCGAAAAGTCGCAGGTTCGAGCGAATATATCTAATGCTGCGCTCACTGCAACCAGCCACGCCAGCCATTTGAGCAGTAGTCAATGATCTGCTTGTTATCATGTCACGAATGAGCTCATGCTGAGATGCTGCTAGATTGGGAGCCATTTGGAATATATGAACAGCTGCTTATTTGCAAGAGTGCGAAAAGATATGAGAAAGGGGAGTGGTGCAGGAGATGATATGCGTATTGTCGTTAACGTTGGTTGCCTGTATTGTACTTCTATGTCAGTGTAAGAAATCGAAAGTTCCAGAATTATACAGTGCTGGTAACATACAAAACACCATCATAACTGCCAAGGTGCTAAAGATCTACAAGTGGGGCTTCTAAGCAATTAAAGAGTGTTTGGGGCGGAAGCCGATTTTGAATGTCTCGGTAACAGTCCCTGTCTCCTCCATGTTTCAGTCCAGACCCGCAAAGCTCTGAGTCCCTGCGATTGAATGACAGATGAGTCATGACGTCAATTCACACCACCAACTAGGAGCATGGGGAACGCATGCTACCACGGTTGAGAACCACAGAAAGCAGACGTGCCATAAATTCCATCGGACGGGAAACGCATCAGTCAAATACTGTGGGGAGCCATGGGAACAACTGACACTCCGAGCCGGGCCGCTACTTCCCGACCGGTCATACCGAGTTCCCGACCGTACGGAGTAGATATCACCACGAGCTGCAACATGATTGATAGGGCCATCCTTCCGGCCATGATCATCACAAGGACTGTCCCCTACCATCTTATCCTTGAAATTTGGTCGACGATCGCGTGTGAAATGACAGCACGGGGAACCGAGCTCTGAAATCAGCCCAATGTGACACGCCCCCTTAATACCAACCTTCTCTTCGTCAGTTGTCTGAAACCATTGTGAATACCGATCGTTCCAAAGGCTTCCTATTAAAGAATGTCCGAACTCATGGGTCTCACCGAGACAGTTGTCGATCAGGATGATCCTCTGCACGATCCCATGTAGCAGCGACGATCATTGACGGGAGAGTTCTCAACTCCGGCCACCAGTCCGGCAGGATGATCTGGGCTAAAGCCATCTAGCCATCCTTCTTTGAAGGACAACAACTTGGATCAGAATCCTCACCCGAACAACGAAGGCCTCGACGTGGAACTTACGAGGGGAGGGGGCACTCGTCGCATCCGATGATGCAGTATCTCTTGGATAATTTTCGCCAAGACTGCCAGAACCATTTCCCCGTCACCTTTCCTCCCGAAAGTTGCCCCGAGCCGAGTCAGGGTTGTTGTTTGGCTGGAGGGCCCCATCCCTGACTCGTTCCCAGAAGGTTTCTCCGTATAGTAGCACTTATCAGGTCAGCCACGTCACTAAGATTCGATAGGGACATTACATGCCTTGCAAAGGAATGTGCCTACGTTGATAAACTTTGCTCTCAAGAAGAGTCGTCACATCTGGTCGGACATGAGAATTCCCGAGCCACAGTGCCAATATCATAAATATGCGGACTCCTCCTGTATCGTCCGTCTTGTGAACCTGCGAGCTTTCTCATAGCAGAGCCATCCGGATAACTCTTCTTCAGACACGATGTATTACGATACGGTTTCCACTTACACCCCGCGCAAGGCCAAGGTTCTGTTGCTTCATGGTAGGTCTTTTAATTTCCGACATTGACACCAACTGACTTGTACCCTGCCAGGCAACGGACAATCAGCACATACCTTCCAGGCCAAGATGCGGTTTCTGCATGAACCAATTGCCAGAGCGATTAATAAAGCCCCTTCAATCACACATCGAGACGTCTACTCTGGAGGGGTCGATTTTGTATACCTGGACGCACCCATACCTGCGTCTCAGATCGACCGGGGCCAGGAGCCTCGAAACGGAAAAGAAGCCAACCCGGACCGACTTATCGACTCTTGGGTGTGGGGGGATGGGGATCCAGAGAATGGAGAAATAATTGGGGCGGAGACCGTGCTGCCACACCTAACGCGGGTTCTCGAGGGGCAAGGCCCATTTATGGGGGTCATCGGCTTCTCCGAAGGTGCGACGTGGGCCACAGTTCTCAGTGGACTCTTAGAGCGCGAGGCAAAAGCATCGACGGGATTCCATGTGCGTACCTCCTATCACCTCTGGGTCATTGTTTATACTGACAATACCCCCGCTAGACAAACCACCCACCGCTGCAGTTTTGCATTGCCTTCTCGGGCTTTCGGTTTGAGCACGAGTCCTACCAATGGATGTACACACCCAAGATTGAGACACCCGTTCTTCATTTTATGGGCACGCTGGACACCCAGGTGACTGAGCAGCAAACCCTCAGACTCATCGAGGCCTGTCAAAATCCGACGGTTCAATATTTTGAGGGAACCCACTATATCCCCAGGACACCTGAGATTAATAAGCGCATTACCGATCACATCCAGCAAGCGCTAGTATGGAGCCTAGGCTAACATCCGATATTGTCCTACGCGTGTGTGCTCAAGTCACCTCTGGAAGGGATCTTTGGCTTTGTGTATCTACTCCTTTCTAATGGAACAAATTGTGCGTGAGAGATGTACAGATGAGGTGCCATTTTGGTGAAGCACATAAGGGTGACATTATCTCACAGTACAATCAGACCAACATACAACGTCCAAGTCTACCTTACTCCAGACACAATCTAATTGGACGCTCCCCTGTCTTTTTCTTCATATGCCATCGAACGCTCTGCTTTATTGGAGCTCTTGCCCTCTATAACCCTAGCAAAATACTCACTCAGAGAGTATGTAGTGTTTAGATCCAGACTAGTAAATCAGTGTTAAGCCCGCCAGGGAAACATTTCAAAAAATGTGTGTTGGTGAATCCTAGGCCCCGTTCAGTTCTGCCGTTTGCTTTGTTCTACCACTCACTTTAGAATTACTACTTGTCGCCCAGGTGAAGCACACAGCCACCTAGACATCCCAATTGTTAATTCCATATCATTAGTCTCCCTAGTTCAAGCAGCCTTTCCTCTTGAACACTTCTCTACAATCCTCCAAGATAATACCTCGACCTTGAACCCACTCCTCCAAAACACTTAAGCTAAATAACCTTTACCCTCCAACAAGCTCTACCTCTAATCTCTCTCCGTCTATCCACCCCACAAATCCAGTCTAACAATGCGCTGGACCCTTGAAAATGAACACGTGGTACGCATCCCACCAACACCCTGTCCTTCAAACAAAACCTAACTCTCCCTCCACCAGCTCTGGCGCACTATTTTTGAGACCCAGAATCTCACTCTCGACCTGGACAAAATCGCCGAAGCATGGCGTAAGTCTCCTCCCTACATTCTACGCCAATCTCTCACGAACAAACCACTAACTGTATTAGCCGGTGACGACATGCCCACCGCTCGCGCCATCAAGGAGCATCTGGAGAAGTTCCGCCGCGGCTTGAAGTCAGGCAACTCGGTGACCTTCAGCATGGGTGGAAAACGCGCCGCGGATGATGATAGTTCTGGTGCTGTTGCGACTCCGCGCAAGAAACGTGCCACGAAGAAGAAGGTCAAGCAGGAGCAGGATGAAGAGGGGGAGAATGATGATGATTTTACTCCCTTCGGTGGCAAGGTGGAGGAGTAAGATACAGCGACGGCAATGAGGTGTCTAGTGGTAGTTGGACATTTGTTATTTCAGACCGATGAGGCTTTCATATGGAGGGTATTCGCAGGTTGAGCCGGGTTTTTATGGTTGTATCTACATGATCATGATCATTGGCATTGACATTGATGGAGCCACGGAAGGACATTTAATTATGATGTGGCTGCTTCTCCTGTTCAGTAATACGTCCACTCTAGTGACGAAAGCCTAGTAAATATTCCCAGTGATCCTCACGCCAATATGAACTAGAGGTCGATTCAATTCCTTTTTTATATCAAGCCATAAACTCCTCCTTAAACTCGGTCTTAACCTTGGGCTTCATCTCCTCCTTAACGATCATCAGGGCAGCGGAAGAAGTACCATCCTTCTTGACTTTCTTGATCGGTGTCATAGGCGTCTGATCTGCCTGGCGCTTCTTCGGGGTACTAGCCGGGGTAGATTTGTTGCTCGAACTCTCGGCACCCTTGGAAGAACTGGTCGAAAGCTTGTTGGCCTGGCGCTTGAGTTTGATGATGTGTTGCTCGACGGCGCAGGGGGTGCAGTCTAATGGGATATTAGTTCATGGTCTGGTGTATAACAAACAAGGCTGGAGGAGCACAACGTACCAGAGCCCATGTGGTCAGCGAGAAACTCATAGTCGAGTTTGACTTTGCCGCGCATTTGGTTCAGAACTCCGATAAAGAGCTTGATAGTCAGTTTTGAGTTGAACCTCTACTGTTTTTGTAGAGCCCGATAGCTTACCCTGGCGTTGGCATCTGAGGTCCAGAACATTTTGTTTGATAGGGAGTTGTTGTGTTGTGTGGTCGACGGCGTAAAGGGGAGTAGAAATGGTTGGATTGTGGAGCAGCGGGTAAAAGTGAGATAGTGACAATAGGAGAAAGAAATTTTAAGATTATAGAGAGAGGATTCAGTCATATGAAAAGTAAGTAAGGTTTAAGTGAATGGCTTTTATGTGTTGTATTAGCTACAGCTTTTAATCCAGAATCAGATCCGGTGCTAGTGAGAAGATAGAGCTGAAACTTGGGTTTATTGACATTATAATCTCACAGATGTATAGAGTATTCACGCCTATATATCTGTGGACTGGAACTTATAAGTTACGGGTAAATATTCACGTTGCCAGCAAATGGGAGAGATGGACACTGGTGTACTATACAATTTGCGAAGCGTGCTAGCGCTGAGCAATACCAGTTCTGGCCCTCCTAGGAAAGTTTCCAGCTCGAAGGCTTCTGATTGGTTCACGAAAACTACCAGTCTGGTCTTTTTTATTCCCCTTCGATGTCATTATTAGGAGCTTGTGATTTCCATACGTTCGAGCCCTCATTTGCATTGACTAGGAAATGATGCGAGAGGAACAGAGCCGAACAGCCTTGATGCCTTGGTGCCTTACGATATCTTCTAGATCAGGCATCTTCCCCGCATCGCGCTGGCCCAATCGGGTCAAGCTCCCCTCGTTCTCCGCATCCCCAACCGTTTGGACTCCATCTCCATCAACCAATTTGCAGACATGCTCGGGCCTCTATCATTGTAAACACACCATGAAGTCACACACACCTCGCTCGCCGCAGTCCTGCTCTCGCTGTAGAGGTATGTATGGGGCTTGTCTGTGAAACGGAGACACATGCTGATGCCCCACAAACAGACCGCCATCTCCGCTGTAAGACATCCATGCTTGCCATCATCATTGACCTCTACTGAGTAGACTAGGTGCTGGTGGCATTCCATGCAAGTCTTGCCAGAAGACCGGATCCTCGTGCAGCCCTGTGGTCGGCCAACTTCGCTTTCGATCGACACCCCGTCCGAAGCAGTCTTATGGTTTCCCGCCGGATCAGACATGGGTGGGCTCCAGAAGCAAGCGTACGGTGCTTGGGAAGAACATCAAGGCGTATTTTTTCTTTGCTAACTGCTCGCTCACTAGGTCGTCTGACGTATGTTGATATGACACCGCGCGTGAAGGATCGCCCGCCATCCGAACCATCGATCGAGGCCACTTCAGATTCTACAAGCATAGACCAGAATGAAGCCCCTGTGGCTAGAGATCTGTCACGACCGGGTCGTTGTCAGGAGATGGACTACAAACAAAATGATTATCATATTCCTCGAGAGATAAAGGGCCCCGGGCAGACAAATTCCGAGCCTTTGGATATTTTAACCTCAGCTGAGGACACCCGAGTGGAAGGAATTATCAGCCATGAAAGAATTACTTATCAAGAGGGGCTGTCTGAACGCAGCAGATATCCACAGGGGCCATTGCATGGTTTACCCGACACCAACTTGGAGGCTGCGTATCTGAACTGGGAAGAAGCCTGTTTGATCCGCCACTTTGCGGAGAATCTTGCTCAATTGGTAAGAGTGTCAGTCTGGTATCTCAACACTACTGACATAAACAGTTTGATACTAGTGATCGCGATCGTCACTTCGCTTTGTTTGTCCCCTAGCGAGCGATGTTCTGCCCCGTGCTACGCTATGCTGTCTTCACTGCATCAGCCGGACATTCGACTCGTTTGGCATCATGCAGGAAAGACACCAAAGATTTGACCTCCGCTAATGGGGTCCCGTTGCACTTAAATCCCGAAGCAGCCATCCGATACCACGATATTTGCATCTCGCACTTGCTGGAGATATCCAAAGATCCAAGAGAAGAATACAATGAGGATGTTTTGACCGCTGCTACAATCCTGCGGTTCTATGAGCAGATTGAAGGTTAGTTTTTCGTCCCGGGGTGGTCGTAAGAAAAATGCTAATTGAACCCCCAGCCCCATCCATAGGCAACCCCGACACATATCTCAATGCCATTCAGTTCATCGTTAACACACAGCGTGATGAATTTTTCTATACCTACCAAAATATTCACGGTCCTTCACGTGATTCGACTGTACACTCATCCCCATCTGTATCCTTGCGTCACTCTGCCTGTCTCAGTGCGATGCGTCAGGAAATATGGAGCGCGTTCCTCCATCAGCGGCCATTTCGGTTCCCCGTCTCCCCAAATAATGACTATAGTGTGTGTGATCAGGCAAGCGATTTTATATGGGCCAATAGGATTGGTGTCTGGGTGGCTGATTTGCTGATCTTTTGCTTCGGCAACTGTCAGCTTGGCCTAGAAGAACGAACACAGCGCTGGACGGCACTGAAGGCTGTCGAACAACGATGGAAGCAGGCGAAGCCCCCGGCCTTCAAACCCATTTACTATCGTGCTCGGGATCCTACCATCGGGAAATACTTCCCGGACATCTGGCACATGAACGCTTCCCAGATAGCCGGAGCTCAGCATGTAGAACTTGGCCGGGTCCTACTGGCAGTCTCCGACCCAGCAAAGGCCTCTCGACTGGGTATGGGTGCATGGTCATGTAGCCAAACCCTTGCAGGGGAGCTCCGGGACATCACGCGACGGTTGTGTGGATTGGCTGTCTCCAACCCGCCTTGCCCAGCGGCATGGGTCACCGCAATGGTGGGGATATCTGTATGTGGGGAGTACTTTACCGATGCTGGAGAACAAGAAGCACTGATTTGGCTATTACATCGGCTAGAGTATGACTATGCGTGGCCCACGGCAACGACAGTGAAGGCATTGAGGAGTGCATGGGGGAATACTACCTGATCTGGGCAGGAATTAGGTGTCGGGTGGTACCTTTGTTTGGCTGGACATGAATCCATGCAGATCGTAAAAACGGAGTCTCCACGGTGTCAGACATATCCAGAACGATGCCAGCATTGTCAGTGATTCCAATCACGACTGCAGTTGTTAGACTCCCCAAAAGGGAATTTTACCTTTTATGGCAAGTGGGGCATCAGCATTATCCGCATCGCTGGTTGGCTGAACGCCAAGTATGCGATTCTTCCACAAGAACAGTCTGGTTGTTCTGAAAGAGAAGCTTATTCCGCTTCTTTTGGTCTCGAGAGCGATCTATGAAGATGTCTGGATGGAAAGGGTTCGACTGTCTCGTTGCGACGGCTATTCCTCGCTCACGCCGAATCCATCATGTTAGGCCTCGTTATATTCGCCAGAGCAACCGTTGCGGCAGCGACTTACCTGCTCCTTTTGCACTATTCCGGTACATCTATGATCCCAAAGGGTTGCGAAGATACCCTGGCTTTTCTCCCATTTCTGGTCTGACAGACCTTCGCCATGTCTATCTGAGCGCATGTGGATACCGTTCCAAGGACTTGTACGAAGCTCATCATCGAGCACCCATTTTGCGTACGGGCCCCAACGCTCTTTCATTTGGCAACATCGAAGCCATCAAAGACATCTATGGTCACAGCACGAAATGCATCAAGGACCTCAAATATGTCATCCTCGGGGGCTCACACACGCATCTCTTCGACGTCGTGGACAAGGGGGAGCATTCCCGCAAGCGAAAGACACTCTCAGCCGCGTTTGCCATCAAGCATCTCGAGCGATGGGAGTTCAAAGTTGCTCAAACTACGCAAAGGCTCCTCAAGGCAATAGACGGACATTGCACCCCACCAATGATCTCCAACCAAACCATCCCAGACCAGGGGGACGTCACCTTGGACTTCAACAAATGGGTCTATCTGTTCACAATGGAGGCAATCAACAATACTGCCCTATCTTCGTCCCTAGGTCTTCTCGACAAAGGAACCGATGTGGTCACTGCCCAGAAGAAGGATGGAACACTATACCAGGCGCGGTATCGCGAGTCACAAAGTCATACAGCCATCGCTCAAGCAGTGTTCGTCTGGGACTACAAGTACTACCCCTGGCTGGCTCGACTATCCAACCTGAGCCCCAAATAGCGCGATGTGTGGCAGAAAGCCGATCCATGGAACGATGTGGTGTACCACCAGGCAACCACTCGACTGCAACGGTACCTCGCCGGCGAAAAGCTAGATGACTTTTTCTTCGCTTTAATAGACGACAAGTAAGGCAAGCCCAACAACCTAGAGTGGGGTGAAATCGTCGCCGAGATCAGCGCAATTATCAACGCGGGCGCAGACACCACAGCCATCGCCCTAACCCAAGCACTGGACTTTCTCATCCGGCACCCACCACAACTACAACGCCTACGAGAAAAGGTAGACAGCGTGCTCGATAAAGACGACACTGTCGCACCATACGACAAAGTCAAAAACCTCTCATATCTCCGCGCCTGTCTCGACGAATCCCTGCACATCCTCCCACCCACATCAGCTGCCCTGCCGCGGCGGACCCCACCCGAGGGAGCTCAAATCCTGGGACACTGGATTCCAGGTGACACCAGCGTCTCGATGCCCATCTACGCAGCACATCGGGACCCGGAGATCTTCCCAGCCCCGGAAGAATATCGACCGGAGAGATGGCTCGGCCCGGAAGCCCGCAAACGGATGGAGCCGTACTTTATCCCGTTCTCCACCGGCGCTCGAGGATGTCTTGGACGCAACATTTCCTACCTAGAACAGACGGTCGTGCTGGCATCGGTGGTGCATCGGTATGACTTTGCGTTGCCGTCGCCTGAGTGGAACATCTACAGACATCAAGCTTTTAACCTTATTCTGGGAGAGATGCCGATGAAGATTTGGCGGAGGGAGATCACTTAATAGGTCTTCCCGTGGGGTGTCTTTACATTCTGTTGTCGGGTTATGGTTGAAGTTCATCGATTTCGTGATACTGGACTGCTTCTTTAAGTATTTAACAAGTAAATTGATACATATCAGCGGCAGTCTGTAACGAATTCTCTCACTGTTGGCTTTCAGTTGTCGGCATACGAAGATTGGCCATCACCCAGCTGTGGTATTGAGAAGCACACACGTTCAAACACATTTCCATGACCTCAATACAGCCTAGATCGTGGATACACCAATCTTTGAAGACATATCCCCACTATCCACCCAATTCCCATGCAACCCCGGCCGTAGCCGAACAGGGAGCTTGATAACCGCCCTCGCTGTAGTGGGGTCCTTCAAATCAAGAAGATGCAATTCGCTTGCCATAGTATTATAGTTGTTCACCAGGGCCAGAAGATATCCGTCCCCTTCAACGGGCGATCCAGCTTTGGGAATAAAAACCGGTTCCTGGACTAGATGCGTCTTTCCAGGGAAGTAGACCTTTGTTTCTCTGGTCAGAAGATCTAGATGTGCTAGAGCGTTGTATAGAGGATAACCGCCCCCGAGACGAGGCGCTATGCTCTCAAAGTCAGTCCCTAATGAAGGGTCCATGAGATCGAAGAAGCAGTGGTTATGTTTTCTCGTGGCAAAGCGATCATCTATTCTGTAGAATTTGCTGTTGCCGGTATGTAAAACCTCCGGGTCTGACAATGTCTCGGTAGTTGTGTTTGGGTTGATCGTGAACCTCATCAATTGGGAGGTAATTGTGCTGGGCTCGGGGGCGGAACCTTTGCTATCTGGCCACCAGAAAAATACGTTCTGTTGACTGATGCCTAGATCGACTATGATGTTTCCTTTTTCGTTCTCGTACGCATTCAGTGTGTGGCCGGGGAAGGAGTTGTTCCATCGGAGCCACTGTACATACTTAATGAGTAGGCTGTTGGAAGATTTGTATGAGTAGCAGCTACCTTGACATCGCCAGGCTTGGGTCCTCGTCGAGGGATGACTCCAATGTATAATGGGGTTTCGGGGCTTCATTGCCAGTGCTCTCCGCCAGCCTTTAGACGATCAATGTCGCATAATTGTGGAATGAGAGGGAAAAGAACCTAAAGGGATCAGTACGTCGATCAGGTTCAGCCGCGGTTGGATAGAAGAAATTACCCAGTTCTCTGTCACTGCAAAGTCATGTATCATGGCACAAACTGGCGCCACAAGCCAGCAAATATCTGAGAAACCCCCATCTGGACCGACCTGGTAGTAGCAGATATCCGGCGTACCATCGCCTTTGGCCTCGTAGCCGAAGCAGATCATCTCACCAGTGTCAGGGTCAATTTTGGGGTGTGCCGTAAATGTCAAGCTTGGGAGTTGGCCTTCAAAGTCGTACAATCCTTTCGTCTCCAAGGTAACCGGATCCATGGCATATGGAGGGGAGTCCTCTTTCAAAGCAAGCAGTTGGCCATTAAAGTATATCACGTTTGCGTTGGCCGTACTGCGGATGTTGAATCGGACGGCATCGGTGTATTTATTTCGATATTTGCTTAGCCCATAGTTAGCTGTGGGATTTGGCAAGGCGTACGTCGCCATCTGTCGGCATACCAAGAAGGGCTTTCCCTGCCTCTCTCTCTCGAACAAACTTTTCTGTCCGGACGAATCGTTGCTTCCACGAGACTGTACCATTATTGATACGAAACGCACTAACATTACCATCGCCGTTGAACCATTACTGCTGTCAACACTTGACATAAGCCGAAAACAGAGAGTAAGCTCGAACCGGATCGTCTTCAATAAAAGGTGGCATCTGCGGGTCAAGCATCACCCAAAAGAGTGTACCATCGATATCGTCTGGAATGTCACCGTAGACTTCCAATTTGTGAGCCTCGCCCTCCACACGACATGGTTTCATGAAGGCCGAGAACTGGGGCCTGTCGGGAAAGTGGAGGACCTTTGGAGAAGTCATTGAGGCATTTGGGCCAGGGGCACTTTGTCTAACAAGATAATGTTTGTTGTTTAAGCCAGTGGCACCATAGATTGTAAGGATAGTGATACTGACTTGTAGCTCATGGAGTCACCTCCTCACTTTCACTTGGGATACCGTGGTTTATATAGGAAGGTGCCGTCGGCTGTGCGGGCGCCTGGATCGCCATGCTGCCTGTGATATATATCGTTGTCATTGGCCTCCAGTTCAGACCTGGTGACTCAGCGGAACTTTACAGTTGCAGGAAATCAGGCCATTCCAGCTGGAGGGTGCGAGACGATGAAAAAAAGTGGAGGGAGAGACTGCTTGGCTACGGCAGGCATTAGCGGCCATCAGGTAATAATGAATTTTTGTGTTGAAGTACACTCACCGCTGACCTTACTACTAGATGATTGTTACAGACCCCTGCTAGCCAGGTTACTAGCAGAAGCGGACTCGTCAGGCAGAAAGGTAACGACCAGGAAGGACTCGGGCAGCCAGCAACTCTTATTGAGTAAGATCCCGGTTGAGGTAACACCCGAGGCAGCGCTGTGTCACGTGACCATCTACCATCAGATCTACCATCGAGGGTATACGATATGGTATACGGAAGCCAGGAACGTGATTGGATCGACCCTCGATCTACCCTGAATGGTATACGAAATGGTATACGAAGGATAGGATATAAGGACGCTCTTTCATGTACTTAGCTAGTTCTGTTCTTCGTGCTCAATTCTAATTGTCTTTAAGTAACCTACGTTTTGGTAGAGCTTAGCGACAACACTCGTCCGCACTTACTTACGGATAGCTGCGCGGCACTATCTGGCCTTACTTCTCTTCTTCTGTTCAGATCAAGTCACCTTTAGATAGTCAACAACCTGACTACCTTTGATTCAGTTCACAAGGTACGTATCGGAACGGGAGCTAAGCTAACAGGAACAGGGAGAAGCGATCCTAGGGTTTGACAATGATGCTTATTATTACTCTACATACAGTACTTTATTTATTAATTATGGTATTAATTATGATATATCCACCCATTAACCTTAAGCTGTACAAGACTGAAATTATTGATCTGTTCTATCAGGATTAATCTACAGGTAATATTTCTTCCACTATATATTAGAAACGTGAAGCTAAAGAAATAAAATAATATTAGTAACTAGCTAAAAGATTTCTACCTACACAGGATAAAAAGATATAGTAGTTAACATGATTAAACACGTGATGCGTTTTCTTACTAACTAACTAGCTATTCACTATTAAAGCTAAATACTATATACAAGTCCGTGAATAAGTGTGATTGTATAGTCACTACTCTGATATAAAGATAATATATTAAAGATACAAAACTGAAAAAAATGAGTAATATTAATAACTAGTTAAAAGGGTTTCTATCTACGCGGGATAGTAATTAATATGATTAAATATATAACGTGCTTGCTTACCGACTAACCAGCTGTTTATATGGAATAAGATTTAAATAGGATTTATAGATAATACAGACTTTATTACACAAGATAAAGGCCTGACAGGGCCTCTTCGTGGTACTCAGGACTAGTAGCTATCTATATAGCAAAGCTAAGTAAGTCATCAAATGATATATATATAGCTTTATATACTATATAGATAGATATATTAGATAAGCTACGCGCGATCTAATCAGACTTCCTACTTATTCTGCCAGCAGTAAACACCAAGAAATCATTATTGCCCGATGGCTGCTAATGCCCGCCGTACCTGGCTAGATAGAATGACTCAGCGGAACTTGGCGGGTATTCTTACTCCCTGTTGCGTTGGGCCATCATCTAGCATCCTGCACTATCTTGAGATAACAAAGTATAGCAATTCTGAGCCGAAACAGTCCAGCTTCCGCTCCAGGAAGGGATATCAATGTGCACGGATTATATCAAGGCATATTGCCTAACCTTCCGAGGATTATGAGAGGCCTTTACAAGCATTAGTTTCCTTTTCTGTTGTAGCCTACCTATGCCGAGTGTTATGACTGCAAGCTTCAATTATGTGTCGGCTCAATTTGGACAACTTGCAGAACATAGCAGAATGATACCGTCAGTACAACTAGGATATTTCGTAGATGGCATCTTTTCCGTAATAGCATATGTCTCGTTGGCACAGAAGAGGAGAGGGATGAGGTCACCCATGCCTCACCAGTTTCGGCGAGTTTTGGTCGTTCACGGCAGGCGGGGATCCCTTGCGCAGAACTACAGCCACTAATTGGTTGAGCCTATCTTTGGCCACGATTGCCCGAATAGGCGAAAATGCTCCGGCTCCCTTGACAGTTGCCAATGAGGCCCAGATGGACGATCAGGTTCCCCCGACAGCTCCATTATGTTTCAACCCCCAATCAACGACCCTTCCCCAGATCGGCACCCCAGGTTGGAGTGGGAATTCAATTGCCGACACGGAGAATGGCGCCTCGGGATTGGAGCTCACCATGATCAAACAAGAATGCCGGTAATTGCTACTCGACCGGATGCGTATATAAATAGCCCTTATGACGCCTTTTTCTTCCAGCTACGCCCACAGTTACCACATCATTTTCCTCTCCCTCTCATCCTCGAGCTCTCTCCATAGCCGACGTCGAAAAATGGCCCAGGAACTTTCTGTAAAGCTAGACAAACGCTTGGCTGAGCATGATGAGTATGCAGACAACCACGCACTAGCGCTCCTATCAACGGAGGTCAAATATGACAATGGAAAGCTGCGCGATCTTGCGCACGATCCGTACGTCTTTGGGGCAGCCTTGCTAGCATCTGTCGGTGGTTTCTCCTTCGGTTATGGTCAGTACGGTATACCAGCTTCTATGGTCATCCGCCCATTCAATGCAGTTAATTCTTCTAGATCAAGGTGTCATATCCATAATTCTTGTCATGTCCCAATTCCGAGAGCAATTTCCCGAAACCTCGCCGGCCCATGCACACTATGGATTCAACGTTGGACTTATGACCGGAATGCTTGAATTGGGGGCATTTATCGGCTGTCTTTTCTTCGGCAGGCTCTATATGGACCATAAAATCACTTACCAGGACCATAAACTATACCTAATCGGCCTTAGCGGCTCGATTAACCTGCCGCTATACCCAAATAGAAGAATCTAAGTCATGTGATGGTAATTTTTTGGTCAGGCAGACGTAAGGGCTGCCACCGGCTGCCGGCCTGCGGCCCTCTGATCCTTAACTATGTATTTAATTACTGACATCACCTCGCGTAAAACAATACTGAATTTAATACTTGATTATATTTTTATACTGCTAAAATAGCTATTCTTATTAATTAGGGCGCTCTGATTGGCTAGACATCTGATAATGATTAATCAAAATATAATTCATTTTATAGAAATCAGCCTACGTAGGTTGAATCGAGGCAGGCAGGTAAGGGGGGTTAGGTGGTCGGCTGGGATCGCGAGCCCTCGACGGCTCGCAGGCTCGCCGGCCTCGCCGGAGGCTGAATCGTTGAAAAACACGATGAAATTGAAACAGCATCTATTTCCTCTTTAGGCGTAGCCGTAAGACCACGGAAGCTAGAATGAATTAGGTATAGTTTTTGGTCCTGGTAAGTGATTTTATGGTCCATATAGAGCCTGCCCTTTTCTTCCCTGCCGTTGCCGATCGGATCTCCCGGAAATGGGGGTTGACTGTAGCCACATTCTTCTTTGTAGTGGTGCCACAATTCAAACGGCCGCCTAAAATTACGATACTATAGTCGCGGGCCGCTTCATTGGGGGGATCGGCGTCGGCACTCTTGCCATGGGTGCCCCGCTGTACATTTCTGAGATCTCTCCTCCCACGTGGCGTGGGGCGTTCTTGGTCCTCGAAGCGATCAGTATCGTCATCGGTGGGATCGTCTCGTACTGGATCACCTATGGAGCTAGGTATCTTCCGCGAGCGAAAAAAGAGATATCGTCCGATCCCAGCACTTACATGGATATAGATCAATCCCCAGCGACTGGGCGTTCCGGCTCCCCTTCCTCCTCCAGATGTTTCCGGCCCTGGTTGTGGGTGCAGGTATTCATTTTTTCCTCTTCTCTCCCCGCTGGCTGGCCATGCGAGGCCGTGATGATGACTCCCTTGACTGCCTCTCCAAGTTGCGTAGGCGATCCCCGCAAGACAAAAAGGTGCAGCTAGAATGGAAGGGAATAGTATTAGAAGTCCAATTCCAGAAGGCAATTCTGGAAAGGTAATATCCAGATCACGCCCGTCGCCCGCTTCTAGTTGGTATGAAGCAATGGATCGATCTTTTCTGGCCCAAATACCTCAAGAGAACACTCGTAGCCCTGGCGATTGCTTTCTTCCAGCAGGCAAGTGATACTTCAACTCCTCACTCCCACTTCGCGGCATCAATTACTGACCAATGTAGTTTTCTGGGATCATTGCGTTTGTGTATTATGCGCCCACATTTTTCGAAGCCCTCGGACAGAGTAACAATATATCCCTAATTCTTTCTGGTTTGATCAATGTTTGCCAATTCGTGGGCGGTATTCCGATCTTGATGTGTCTTGATCGCGTGGGACGACGCAAACTCGCGATTTACGGCGGGATCGCCATGGCCATTCCGCATTTAGCTATGGCCAGGTTGATGAATCGATTCAGTAGCTATTGGGCAGCACACCAGGGAATTGGCTGGTTTTGTGTGGCTCTCGTTTGTAGGTTTCTAGTCTGGCTTCTTTCTTCCCGGCCGCAGCTGACGTCGGCAACAGACTTGTATGTGCTTTCATACAGCACCTCGTACGGACCGTTGGCCTGGGTCATACCCACGGAAGTGTTTCCCAGCTCCAAACGTGCGAAAGGGGTTGGCGCCGCTACCGGGATGATCTGGCTTGCCAAATTTATCATTGGCGTGGTGATGCCTGATATGCTCATCAAGCTCGGATGGGGGACGTATCTCTTCTTCGGCCTCTTCTGTGTCTCTGCGGCGATATTTTCCTTCTTCTTTGTCCCTGAGAAATCCAACAAATCGCTGGAGCAGATGGCTGCGGTTTTTGGGGATGAGCTTATGGATGAGGAGCGCAGGCTGCAAAGTCGCATCGCTGGGGAGGTGTGATATCGCGGCCATGTAGAAGTGACACATGTATAAACAAGACAAAGGCTGAAATTTTAGGCTGTGGGTTAGCGAGCAGGTAACATTATCCATTCAACCCCATTCCATCTTTTCTCGAGTTGATCATAATCGCCTGTAAGCCACTAAGCCGATGCACAATACATGCACTTACATTTTGAGTAGGACCCAGTTTCGACGGAGTCGGCGGGCTGCAAATGTCGACGCACAAACACTGGCTATTTCGAGGAGTGGTCAATGCAATGTACTGGCCATTCTAGAGCAAAGACGGCAGCAATATGCAGATCTGGTATACTTCCTGAGTACACACGTGCTTTCACGGATTTTGCTTTTGTCAGCGACAACCTGCATATTGTTTTTGCGTCATGGCGACCAGGGTAAGCACGCTAAACAGGGTTTCCCCACGATATATTTCCCCGCGGAATGCGGTAGGACCTCTGACCGAGATGTTGCAATCTTGAGCAGAATTTTACCGGAGCCTGATCTCCACATCAAGGAGAAAGCCCAACCTCGGAGACCACATCCCGTGGGTAACCATCGGACGGTGCGGGGAAGCGTGGGAAACTGACTCAGTCAAGGAGGAGAAGCCTGGAGCAGAAGGGACCAGTCCCGAAAAGGCAATCCGATGGGTAACTGGATTGGGCAGTGTTTGTTGTGTTTGCCCCGGATCCATTTTGGGAAGGAACACCAGCTTCACATTCCAGGCTCTCAATTCACCTTTCATTCTTCCCGACATTCGCTCCATCATGCCGACCCTCATCATAGTTCCTTTGGTAGGACTTGAGCCACATTATCCGTCCTCATGACGGATGCGTTATAACCCCGCTCGGTCAAACTTTGGAATCCGACTCCCGGTTCTGCTTGGCAGTGGGAGGGCCCGAACGGACTTGATTTCAACACACTGCCCAAGCCATGCCCTCGTCTCGGTGTCTTCAATCCAGGGACCGCTGTGGGCACAAGTGCCGGTTTTCTGAGCCGATAGAGGGGAGAAGAAAGATCTAGTGCTTCACGCGGCACGACCCGCGGCCTCTTGGCTGGTGAGCAGAAGATGTAGGGTTGGTTTGTCGTCTTCCGAGGCCCGAACTGCTATAACAAGCCTTGAAGCTAACGGTGGTGCTCTTGAATTCATTGGACTATAGATGGCAGAACGAATCAATGACACTCGGACCTGCTACTCTTACTTTCCGCTGACGCCATGTCCTATGCTTCTGTGATGGTCAGACGACCGGGAATCAAATAGCCTAATTGCCCAAGCCAAGCGGGAAGTCGCTACTAGGAGACCATAACCCTCGCTTCGGTCTCCTCCTACGCGGGGCCTCGCGTGGCATGCTTTCCCTGCATGGATACTTGAGTCATGTTATGTCCTATGAGACTGCTCTTAGTCTGCATTTCCCCAGAGTCTCAGTCCATCGCATGTGGGGCCTTTGGAGGGGATGTGGGGATGCCCTCGCGGCATTTGCAGTCTCTCAACCAGCCGGGAGGTGGCAGACAAGAGACGGCTCGCCTGTTGTTACCCCGACTAGTATCCTACACCGTCACTCATGGCTGCTAGAGTCTGTGTGGGAGGGTCTCGTCTTTTACCCGACGTTTACCTGTCAGTCATGCTGTCGCAGATGCAGGGACCTGGAACTCATAATCACCCCCAACTGTCTGGAATGTGCGCGGGGATAACATTATAAATACCGCGATGAAAAGCACATTTGAGGTTGTTCGGCAATCGACCAAGCATTTGCAAAATGCACAGCATCACTGGGCTCCTCGGCCTGCTCAGCGGCATTTCTCTTTGCAGCGCTGCTCCAACTCAAAACATTACCAGCGATGTCTACTTCTATGGAGACTCGCCCCCTGTCTATCCCTCGCGTATGTTACTTGCTTTGTCTTACATGGACCTATATACTAAGACTTTTACACAGCGGAGGGAACGGGCACTGGTGCTTGGGCGACAGCTTATGAGAAGGCAAAGAAGCTTGTTGCCCAGCTCACGGACGAAGAGAAGGTCAATCTTACAGCAGGAGTCAGCTCCACTACAGGCTGCTCCGGCGCGATTGCGGCGATCCCTCGTGTCAACTTTCCCGGTCTCTGTGTGAATGATGCAAGCAATGGGCTTGTGAGTATAGGTGCGAAACAAGAAGAAACGGCTATGGCTAACGTTTGCAGAGAGGAACAGACTATGTCAATGGCTGGTCTAGCGGCATTCATGTCGGGGCGAGGTATAGATCCCTCCCCCCTGAATAACAACTTCCGTTTCTTTAGCTAATGCGTGGCCGCAGTTGGAATCGAACGCTTGCTCACCAGCGAGCGGTATATATGGGCCAGGAGTTCCATCGGAAAGGAGTGAATCTTCTTCTGGGCCCTGTAGTGGGCCCTCTTGGTCGGGTAGCCGAAGGGGGTCGCAACTGGGAAGGGTTCTCGAATGATCCCTATCTTACCGGTGCACTAGTTTATGAGACGGTCCAGGGGGTACAATCGTCAGGAGTTGGCGTCTCTACTAAGGTGGGTGCCAATCAGTACTCTCAAGCCACACATCATGGCTCATCTCAAATAGCATTACATTGGCAATGAGCAAGAGACAAACCGGAACCCCGAAACTGTTGATGGTGTTGAAATCGCCTCCGTCTCATCAAATATCGATGACAAGACAATCCATGAACTATACCTCTGGCCGTTCCAGGATGCCGTCCGGGCGGGAAGTGTTGCAATCATGTGTTCGTATGAGCGGGTCAACAACTCATATGCTTGTCAGAATAGCAAGACGCTCAACGGTCTTCTGAAGACAGAGCTTGGGTTCCAAGGTAGGCTCCCTTGACTTGGTTGGAATGTGATGGTTGCTAATTTTGCTAGGCTATGTAATCACTGACTGGGGAGCTCAGCATGGTGGTATCGCATCCGCCAATGCCGGATTGGACATGGTGATGCCCGAGTCCACACTCTGGGGGGCCAACCTTACCACCGCTATTGCAAACGGGACTATGGAGGCATCCAGGCTAGACGACATGGTAACTAGGTGAGCCGTTCGCCACAATAGGTGTAGTATATAATGTCTAACGGAAACAGAATCCTCGCAACGTGGTACCAGCTGAACCAAGATACGAATTTTCCAACCCCAGGTGTCGGTATGCCCGCCAGTGCCTCCTCGGAACACCAGGCTGTCATCGGCACCTCACCTGACGAGAAGGGTACGTTGCTGGAAAGTGCCATTGAGGGCCACGTGTTGGTGAAGAATACCAACAATGCTCTGCCTCTTCAATCATCGCGGCTGCTATCGGTCTTTGGCTATGATGCCAAGAAGCCTGATGCGTTTGACCTTGCTGCTACGATCTTGGGCAGTAGTCCTCCCATCCAGAACTCCACACTCTATGTAGGCGGTGGCTCTGGATCGAATTCACCGGCCTATGTCATCGCGCCACTCGATGCCATCCAGCAACAGGCGTATCAGGATAGTACATCGGTGCTCTGGGACGTCAGCTCTCAAGACCCAAACGTGGATCCAACATCCGATGCTTGTCTCGTTTTCATCAACAGCTATGCAACGGAAGGCTATGACCGACCGGGCTTGACGGACGACTACAGCGATACCATGGTGACGAATGTCGCTGGTAAATGCAATAACACCGTCGTTGTAATCCACAATGCCGGCATCCGACTGGTTTACGATTGGATCGACCATGAGAACGTCACTGCTGTTATCCTGGCTCACCTCCCCGGCCAAGATACCGGTCATGCCCTAGCAGACATTCTTTACGGTCGGGCCAATCCCTCCGGCAAACTTCCCTATACGATCGCCAAACAGGCCTCGGATTATGGCGCCTTGTTACACCCATCCGAGCCCCAGACACCGTATGGACTATTCCCCCAGTCGGACTACACTGAAGGGGTCTACATTGACTACCGGGCCTTCGATAAGCAGAATATCACCCCGCAATTTGAATTTGGGTTTGGCCTTTCCTACACCACGTTCGACTACTCGGCGTTGGATATCCAGAAGACCAATGATACGAACTCTCAGTATCCACCGTCTGCCACGATCCAAGAGGGGGGAAACCCTCACCTGTGGGATGAGCTTGTCAAGGTGACAGCGGAGGTGCAGAACAGTGGATCGGTCGACGGGGCAGAGGTGGCCCAGCTCTATGTGGGGATACCCAACGGGCCGATCCGCCAGCTGCGTGGGTTCGAGAAGGTGCACATCGCCTCGGGGGAGACGGTGCAAGTGACTTTTTCCCTGGACCGGCGGGATCTCAGTACCTGGAGCGTGGAAGCGCAGCAGTGGCTGCTGCATCCGGGCACATACCAGATTTATGTCGGACGGTCGAGTCGGGATCTTCCCCTGACGGGCGAATTTTCTGTCTAATATACCCAAGGACTAGCTATCATCCATAGCCTCAATTATATCTGCCCAATTTGGACCATTCCAATCTGAACTACTAATGTCTACATTGGTCCCGTTCTGAAGAACAGAATGTCAAGTGCCAATCCGAGAACTAGGAGATTGGGCAACGAACGGATGCTGTCGAACTACCATGCATGTCCTTATCTCGCTACAATATCCCCTACATGGCGTGTAACTTGGCGTGCATTGAAGAGCGGGGTCGTCAGCCGAGGCAACCATCTGGGTGATGCTGAGTGATGTTGTTCTGGCCTCCGCTGCGGGGTTACAGCGAGGGGTGTCGGTCCATGGTTGCACACAACCACCATTTAAATCACCCCCTCCCCCCCAATTCCCCAGTGACACCGAATTCCATTCTGTCACCACAAATTGCCATAATGACTACTGACCCGCCGGAGAGCTCCAGCCCCAAAGGGTTCGGGGGACCTTACGCCAACCATCTCTACCTGGACGTCTTAATTGTGGGATCCGGATACAGCGGCATCTACTGCCTGCATGAGCTACGCAAGCTGGGTCTCAAAACGGTCATCTTCGATGCTGCACCGGACCTGGGTGGAACCTGGAGATGGAACCGCTATCCAGGTGCTCGGCTGGACTCGGAGGTGCCCGAGTATCAGTTCTCGTTTCCTGAAACCTGGGCCAACTGGAATTGGTCCACGAACTATCCCGCCTACGATGAGCTTCGCCGGTACTTTGATCACATTGAGAGCGTCTGGGACATCAAGAAAGACTGTGCCTTTGACACGGTGGTCGTGGGAGCCGAGTTCGACCCCAATGCTGGGCGCTGGCAGGTCACCACGGCCGACGGCCGCCAGGTGACGGCCAAGTATTTCATCGTCGCGACCGGCTTTGCTGCCAAGCGCCACCTTCCTGAATGGCCGGGCATGGACTCCTTCCAGGGAGAAATCCATCACTCCGCCCTCTGGCCCGAAGACGACGTCGACGTCCAAGGCAAGCGATGTGCCGTTATCGGCACCGGAGCATCCGGGGTCCAGCTGACCCAAGCCCTGGGGCCCGTTGCCAGCTCACTCAAGGTCTTTCAGCGCACGCCGAATCTTGCCATTCCAATGCGTCTGCGTTCTCTCACTGTGGAAGAACAAGAAAGAGTCAAGCCTATATACCCGAAGCTCTTCCAGCTCCGGGAGACATCCTTTGGCGGGTTCACATTCGACTTCATCGAGCGGGGAGTATTCGATGAAAACGAAAGAGAACGTGAAGCCTTTCTGGAGCGGCTCTGGGAGCAAGGCGGCTTCCGGTACTGGGTCGGCACATACCCAGACTATCTATTTGACCCCAAAGCCAACCGAGCGATCTACGATTTCTGGGCGCGCAAGGTCCGCGAACGCATCGACGATCCGGTAAATCGCGATTTACTGGCCCCGTTGGAGCCACCGCACCCATGGGGTGTCAAACGGCCTAGTTTGGAAGTCGGCTACTACGACCAATTTAACCGACCAAACGTAGATCTGGTCGATGTGAGCAGCAACGCCATTGAGTCGTTCACGGAGAAAGGCATCCGCATGACCGATGGTACGGAGCACGAGCTTGATGTGGTCTGCATCGCAACAGGCTTCGACGTGTCCACTGGAGGGCTTGTGAATATGGGTCTACGCAGCATCCACGGGACCTACCTGAAGGACGAATGGGCGACGACTGTGCATACGCATCTCGGTCTCACCATTCACGGCTATCCCAACCTCTTTTTCACATACGGTCCCCATGCACCCACGGCGATCTCCAATGGACCAACCACCATCGAGGTCCAGGGACGGTGGATCGTAGATGCGATCAGAGCGATGGAGCGGAAGGGGATCAAATCTATTGATCCGACGTTGGCCTCTACCCATTCCTGGAAAGACACTATTGAATCGCTATCGAATCGTACTTTGTTCCCGACGACACGGTCCACGTATATGGGGGGGACATTTCCGGGGAAGCCATTCGAGCAGTTGAATTATACAGGTGGAATCCCTAAATATCGTGTTGAAATTCGGAAGGTATTGCCCGACTTTGATGGATTTGATGTTGTTATGCAGTAGCTTAACTTTTTACTTTTACTCTTATGGATCTTACTCTTCCGTTTTCTTATACAGTCCAGTCCTTGCAGTAGTTAAAGGAAGACAATGAGGACCACATCCTTAGTTGGTAGACAGTAGTTCGATGGTTGAGGAGAGCCAAACGATAGGTTTTGATTGTACTTTCCAAGGTACGAGTTATGAGTGGTTGTGTGCTTAATGTACTGACAGAGTGGGATTTTGCTCCACCCTGAAGGCCGATGTTAATTAGAATACTCATTCGGATAGTGAATAATAGGTTGTATCTAACCCATCCCCTTTGGTCGCCCAATTTGCTCAACCCCACTCCCAAAGAATTTCCTTCTGCATGTTGTAGTTATCCCATTCGACTCTGTCTTTTGCTAAGCCTTAACCCACCCCACCCTGTTCTTGCCCCCCGAATCAACCTCGCGCTCTTTCCGACCGTAGTGGTCCCTCGGCCTAATTTACAAGTTCATCTCCGCAACAGATCGCCTTACAGCCGAAACCTGCACAAAGAGCCAGTAGCTTCAAACTATGGCCACATTTACCTGTCGAAATGCAATAAATTGCATGAGATATCAGGCATTGACCACCGGTTGCCTGCTGCTTGCGGCCTAAGGCGCGGGGATACGCCCGACCGGAGGGTGACCCGCCACCAATCACAGGGCACGGCTGCTATCAGATGGGATGATCAGATTAGATAGCCCCATCCCGAGGAGGATCACGGGGATTTGCCCGGATGCCATTTCAGCGAGTTCCACGCAGTCAATGACGAGTCTCCATCGACATTTTGCCGATACCGCCTCCAATTTGACATCTATTTGGAACGTCTCACCCACCGGTCGCTTTGTTTGTACCATTCAATTCCGTTCTCTGGGCCACGTGGGTCTCAATGTTCCTGGCGCCCTTGTCGGACGCGGACGGACCTCGTGGGCAAATCCGTCATGCCCCACTGCCAGCCTCTCCAGGCTTCGTCGCTTCCTGACTCTTTCTTCTCTTCTCCATCCATCCTCCTCCGTTTGCCATCCCAGCCATGCTGTCCCTCGGCTGGCTGTTTCTCCTCGTATATTCCGGGCTGGCCTTGGCGGGCCGGCCTCGAACCGACGAAGGCTGTGTGACGGCGGTGTACACCGCCCTGGGGTATCTCTCGTTTGCGGGTGAGCCCGCGGACGGCTTCTGGGAGACGCGCTGCCAAAACCCGCTCAAGGTCATCTCCATCTATGCCTCTTCCGATGTCTACTGTACTCCCGATGAACAAGCCGCTGGGGTTGGCCAGCTGGAAGGCTTCTGTCGTGAATTCGGCAACGTGGACTTGATTCCGCGCGCACAGCTAGCGGGGAATCTCACTCACGATGCTCTCAGTCGCATGCCCGTTGTTGACTATCTGGAAATTTCCAAGTCTCAACGCCTCCCAACACCGGTCCTTATCTCTCCGACCTATTACCGACGGACTTTCCAAACTATCGTACGCTTCCTCTGGGCATGCAGGGGGGAGGTCACCAGCTGATCATTCGTCTGAACAGGATACTTGGCAATTCGAGGTGTGGTCACACAATGCATTCGGGTAAGTCAGTCTTTTGCCACATTCCATGACTGTCTCTGACCGCAACAGCCTAGTAGGATACGCCTTCTGGGGCTTTATTTTACTGGTTGGCATCACCCATCGCCTGGTGCGACACCTCCTCCACTCGCTGGACGTTCGGGCGGGACAATGGTCGCGATCGCAAATAAGGTGGCTATGGGTGCCGTTGGATGGGGTTTATCACTGGGTGCAGACTCATCTTGTCGTATCGTCACCTTTATCTGCGCCACGGCGGCAACTCCTGTGGTGGACATTCCCTACGCGCATCGAAGCCGTCACCATTCTCTTGTTCTGGGTGATGAGCGCCGTCTTTTGCACTCTGGGATACCGTGTCGTGGAAGGAAATATCTAGTAAGCTCTTCGATACACCCTATGGTTTAGTTCATGGCTGACTGGCTATCAGTTGGCCTACGATCTCGTCCCAGCTCCTGCGTTATGCCGCTGATCGGACCGGTGTTCTGTGCTTTGCCAATATTCCCTTGATATGGCTTTTCGCCGGGCGCAACAACATCTTCATATGGGCAACGGGGTGGAGCTTTGCGACATTCAACTTGTTTCACCGTCACATCGCCTGGATTGCTACGTTCCAAGCCGTCTTTCACACGCTTCTCTACCTGGTAATCATGACTCAAAGTACGCTGCCTGTCCTGGTGTCTAAGAGCCTCTCTAACTCAATTACAGAAGGCAACGTAGCGAAGAAGTTACGAAAGCCATATCTGATCTGGGGAACCGCGGTAAGTGCTATCCGAGACTCAGCTGCCATCACTACTCACACATGCAGGCGACCGTGTTAATGGTCTTGACCTTACCCTTTGCGGTGCAGTGGTTTCGCCATCGGCTCTACGAGACCTTTCTTCTCATCCACATCCTCTTCTCCCTGGGTCTCCTGGTCGGTTGCTTCTAGTCAGTCCATACCTCCCTCGTCTACACCTATCTCACTAACATCTTCAGTCATACGGTCATCTTTGAGGGTCACAAGTACTGGAACTATCTCTGGCCCGCAGTGATAATCTGGATCGTGGACAGATTCCTCCGTTTAGTCCGCCTAGTCTATTGCAACATCCATGTGCGACTCAACGCAGGCTACCAGATCCAACGTACCAACAGCTCCGCGACATACGACCCGGCTGCCGACGTGATCCGCCTTGAACTCACTCCTGGGTCCTCAATGATCCGCCCAACCCCAGGGGACTTTTACTACCTCTACCAACCCTTCCGACTGACAGGCTGGGAAAGCCATCCATTCACCCTGGGCTACTGGTCCTACGAGACCCGTTACCAGACCTCGTCGCAACCTCGGTCATCCAAAGACCATTCCGTCGACGTCTCTCAAGTTCCCCTTCTGTCCGACTCATCCAACACATCAGACGAAATGCAATTAAAGCAATCCGATCAACAAGGTCTAAGATTTGTTTTTTGGATCCGACCTTACGACGGCTGGACCCGTTCTCTCCGCCAACAATGCACCCAATCCCCAGATCTAACTATCAACACCACAATCCTCCTCGAAGGACCATACGGAAACCCCTTCCCCCTCTGGAGCTACGAATCCGTCCTCCTAATTGCCGGCGGCACCGGAATTGCCGCCGTAGTCCCATATATACAAGGCCATCTTCTCCGCTCGTCCACAGACTCGGACCAACCCACCACCACGATGCAAACCCGCGAAATGCACCTCATCTGGACGACCCGCCAATCCTCCTTCATCCATCAAGTCGCATCCCGAGAACTAGCCCCCGCTCTGACCCGAGATGACTTCCGCGCGTCATTCTACACAACCGGGTCAAAATTCAGCCCGGCAGAGTCCACAGGAAACCACTCCGCTGGTGGTATCGAAAACAAAGTCGAAACATTGGAAGGCCGACCAGATCTCGAATCACTGATATTAGACCACGCCGAGGAGGCCCAACTGAGTGAATCCCCCGCTGCTGTTCTGGTCTGCGGACCTGCGGCACTGGCGGATGAAGCCCGCGCGGCTGTGCATTTGGCGATGAGAAGAGGGTATCGCCGCATTCGGTATGTGGAGGAGTCATTTACTTGGTGATGAGGTATGATTTATTCTTGTTTACTTATGAAATCCGGATATGTGGAGATGTAGATATGTTGTTGGAGGTCTTATCCTTGGAATCGACTGTGCATAACTTGCTTTGACACAATTCTTTTTGTTGATAGCCCATGTCACAGTGTTTATATTGGTCTACCTATTATTTCATGTTGATACCATTATTACAAAACTTCGACGGTTCATGTTGCCAGCTGGTGTTTGATGGTTACCTAGTACCGTAGCAATCACGAGCCATATCCCCTGCTGATTGGTGAGACCATGCAGAATACGAGAACCCCGCTGGACGATGTCACCTTTTCTCTCCCTTGAAAGAGACTCTCTTTCATAACAGCCCCGAGTCGTCAGCAGCCAGCAAACCTTACCCTGACTATATGATCCTCGCTCCTCCCTACTGATCTCGAAGCCACTGCCCTGACGCGTCGACCTACCACCATCACCACAATGTTCTCCTTCCTACGCTCACCACTCCCACCTCGGGTAAACCGAGCATCCCAGAACCCCATAATCTACGAGGATGGTCGTTCATCCGTGGCCTTCTACCCTCCAGACACCGACGACAACTACGTCTTCCGCACGACTCTCCCACCCCGCACCAGCAACAGCTCAACCTCCATCCTAGAGCCGCCGTTGCACTACCACACCTACCAAACCGAGACCTTTCGCATCGTCAAAGGCAGCATCTATCTATACCGCGGCCTGGACCCGAAACCCTGGAAACAGCTCACCGCCAATAACACCACCACCACCACAGAAGCAGAACTCACAGCCACCATCCAGCCCAAAACCTACCACCGACTCCAGAACGCCTCGGCGACAGAGGAACTGATCTTCGACGTACGACTAGCACCCGTGAACCACGCAATCGAGGAGCGCTTCTTCCGCAACTTCTTCGGCTATCTTGATGATTGTCGCGCGGCGCAGCAGACGACGAGTATCTTCCAGCTCATGGTGTTTTTGTATCATGCGGATATCCCGCTCGCGCTGCCGTTGCCGTGGCATGGGGTCGGGGTGGTGGTTAGTCGGGTGTGTACGATGGTAGGGGCGATGTGGGGGGTGTGGGTGTTAGGGTATCGGGTTTCGTATGAGGAGTATTATGAGGGGAGGAAGGGGATTTGAGGTGTTATAAATCATACTTGACCTGTGGTATGATTGATGGTGTTGGGTTATGGTCGGAATATAAGTAACTCAGGCGATTGATGAACCATAATAAATTGAATGGTCGAGTGTTCAGCAACCTGGGAGGGAGTTTTGCGATATAGATTCTCACTTAGACGTCCTTGGGAGGAAACCGAAAATGCTGATTGTAAACATGCACGATGAACGAGCAATCCATTCTTTGAAACACCCTCTCTATCATGGAAACTGCATCTTGTGCCGATTGTCTGGTCCGGGTGGTTCCTCATCGGAGGTTCATAATTTCCCCGCGGATAAATCCGTAACTCAATTCCAGTAATTTTCCGCGGCATAATCCTCAGTCTTGTTCGTATACTTCTTGACGACGATTATCCCTATCCACTCCCCTCCTTCCCCCTTTTCAGTGACTACACTTGCTCCCTCAATCTTGTCATAAGCTGAGTCTTATCTACACCATCATCAGATCTACTCAACAGAACCGCCATATCACTTCCCCCAAGTCCGCAGACACGATGAATCTCCACTCATTGACCTCCTTCCTCAAACCTACACGCCGCTGTACCGATGACGGGAGCCAAGATACATGCGAGAAACCAGTCAATTCTTTCTTGAAGAACGGGGTCCCCGCCATCATCCTTGGAATGTATGTTTCGTTTCCCGTTCGTCTTTCCCTGGGTTTGTGCTCGTGTCGAACTGACTGTTAACCTCCCCGGGGGACAGAATTTTGTTTGGTGCAATTTGCATTTGTTGCTTCCTTCTATGGCGGAATCGACGGCGCGATGCTCGCGAGGTGAAAGCAGCTGTTGAGTGGCATGGGAAGTGAAGCTTGCGTTGGATATGAAACTGATTTGTTGTATGATACTATACTATTCATGTGGTTCTATATTCTCTTCGCAATTGTATATGTAGATATACGTAGGACGTTTATAAGGAGGCACCATTGTCCCCCGACCCAATACATGCCGCTGAGTCGGCCGGGATGTGTATTCACTTTGAAACGACTGTAATTGCCCGCGGAGACATTCGAATCCTCTTTGCTTTCGTCCTCGACACTCTACAAGCCCACACGAATAGGAACCCATGCTGTGATTCATGTCAGAGCCGGGAGATCAAGGTACGATGACCATCATGTCGCTGCCACTGGGGACCGAAATAACTTAGCCCATCCCAGTGTGATGGCATCATCAGACAGGACACACGCCATGTTTCGACTGTCGTATGTCTGCCAGAATCTCCCATCTCCTCCATCCACCTCCTCTTATCCACTACCACCACCACCAATGGCTCCCCTGCCGCCCCACCTAATGTTTCTCGACGCGACTATCCTTAAACCCATCAACATTTTCATGAACGTGAACTTTGCCACCTATCCCATCGTCAGCGAAGCCCCTCCCTGCGGGATGATGCCTCCTCTTTCCCGGCTTCGTCAGTACCCATATCCTCTCAACCCGTCTAGAAGAGCTGCAGGCCATCCGCCGGTATACTCTACTAACGGTCTATCTGCGGCCAGCCTACACCTATAGCCCCTACCGGGCGATGAAGGGCTCACGCGATACCGACCGCACCTCCTGCACGCTTCGCGGGAGACGCTGAAGGTCTACCTCGACCTGGACACGATGTGTCCGGATACTAGCTCGCTGTTGATCCTATTGTTACAGGCAGCTGTACTATACATGAACTGGAAGAGGCTTCTAGCATAGAAGCTCTTTGGCGAGGCGATGCGGCTGGCAGAACAGATGCGACTGTTTGCCGAGGAGTCGCTGCAGCCACTAGTGCCCACGGAGCGCTGGCTGCGTCGCAATATCTTCTGGGCACTGCATAGCGCCTCGCGGTACTTTGGCATCATGTAGGGCTACTCGCTGATGCACCTGAGCTTCCACCTCTCGACCACGATCACAACCAAGCTGGACAAGGGGAGGGAGAGCAGCAGCAGTAGCAGGGTGAGTCTGCTGGCGGCCAATAGCTAGTCCTGGACCCTCGAGTTCGAGTAGCCACTCTGCGTCTCTTTCGATGCCATGCGCCACCTGTGGGAGATCGTTTCCAACCTGCTAACCGATCTGGCGTGCGTGGCGTGCCACCAATCCTTCAGCCAGTTTTTTAACACACCACGAGATATCTGTGAAAACCTAAACTATATACGGAACGTCTTCCACACACCGGTTCTCATAACCGAGTTCGGATTTGCCGTCTGCGATGAAACGGACAAGTCTCTACTAGTAGTAGCCCAGATATTCGATTCGCCACGCTCCCAATGCGCTATTAGTGAGGCAACACGGTGGTACCGCATGTCCGTTGCCTTACCTGGCTACCTACTAGTAGGTAGTTGGTTGATACATCCCGGTCTGCCGATGTCCTGACATGAATAGCTTCGCAAGTAACCACTGATCTATCTAATCTCGGGAACTCTTCCGGACTGGTAGCCCTGTTTCCGCAGCTCAGATACGAAGGCTCTAAAGTACTATTATCGAGCTATATGCCGCTTCTATCCAACCCGACCTTGTACTATTTACGAATCGTCTGCATACTATCGGCTCGGCAAGATCCGATAACCTCCTGCATGGGTAACATCTTCCAGTTCTAAAATTAGCATTGTACCTGCTTCACTATTTGCCGCTCTCGGGGATTACGGGCAGAATTCAATAATTGGATGCCGTGACACATAAATTGGCAATTCCCCTGACAGATGTCGTGATATCAGATCGTGATTGTGGGGCGATTGCGGTTCCAGATGAGCTGTCATAGTCCAGTGTCGATTTGAGAAAGCCCCAACGCTGCAGCTGAGGTTGCAGTTACCTAAGGGGTGGGGTGTGCAGCGGCGGAAGGAGACATGTCAGATGCGTCTCCTGAAGATCTTGCATCCTCCGGACCCTTTGAGGATCTGGGCGCTCCAGGATGCTAGTACATGTCCACCAATATTGGAAGGCTACAGTATTCATGACGTACAGCGGAGTTTTCGGAGGGTAAGCCTCGCCGAAATTGGCAGACCCTGGAGGCTGTGTCTCCCTGTAGGTATTGCAACATGATCTCCTGGCTGAAAACTGTCAAAACTTGTTCCGGAGTATCGCCACCACCATGGCTGTTCTCATGCAAGGAGCTGACCTGAAGGAAATGCCAGGCGATCTCCAAATGCACCCAGCAACAATATAGCCTATAGGTGAGTCCACAGAAGCTATAAAGAGAGCTCACGCTCACCAGTCACTTCCATCCATCAGCAGCATTAATCCAATCAGCCTTTCCAAGCCTCCTGCAATTCAGCTCTCTATCAGTTCATCCACCCTTTGAACCAACCATCCATCCATAACAATGAAGTTCTTCGCTGTTGCCACTCTCTTCGCCGCCACCGCCATGGCTGGCATTGTCCCTTCGGAATTTAGCTGGATCAGCCAAACCGGTCTCACGAACCTCAACAAGGCCAACGCCGAGAACACCTGCGGCGACAACACCGTGATGTGCTGCACTGGATTCACCCCGAGCACCGGAGGCTTCAGCGACAGTGATACCGTCTTGAGCAAGATGGGAAGACAGGTCCCTGGTAAAGTGGAAGGCGGCAAGAGCTGCAGCCCTTGTAAGTTATCCACCCTTACCCACGTAAACTAATCTCGTTCCCTCAAGCTAACCTGTTGATTCAAGGCGGTCCTGATAACAAAGGCCAGAGCGTTGCCTGCTGCACCGGAGGAGTAAGCCACCATATGTAAATCCTGACAAATGACCAGATACTGACAAGCTTCTTTAGAGCGGCAACCTGATCAACCTTCCCTGCATCGCCATCGGCAGCATCCTCTAAACGGTTTCGTATCGAATATTATAGCCGGGGGACACCCATGTCAATATCTTCCCCCGAGTGACCTTGGAAATACAATCGAATGTACAGTTGGATCTTCTTGCGAAGAGGATCTAGGATTGTGTCTGTTATTGCGCGCGACTGGGTTTGTGGGGCGTATGCCTCTTAATTTGTTCTTGTTCGTTACATTCTTTGTGCTTGCTACTCGCCTGTTGATGGGACGATGTGCGGGTCTATTGTCAATTGAATATAACAAATCAGTGAAGGACTCCGTTGTTTTGCGGTCGAGAAATACTTTCACATCAGCTGGTACGGTTATGCCACGCCATAGCGGCCATCGGGCAAAGTAGATGTAACCACTTAAAAAGAGATTCCGATCCGAAGTCCCACAGCAGTGCAAGTTCGATAGTTTGAGCGCAATTGGAACAATTGGAACATTCACATGGGCCATCATGGAATGTTTTCTAAGCTCCTATCTACACTTAGTTGAAAGATAGGGGTAGTTTCATAAATTATTGATAAACCTGGCACGAACCTGTCATGGCATTTGACGGAAGCGGACCCGAGGGCCCAATAATTCCTTCACACCTGCCGGTCGGACGTGCCTAGATCGATAGTGCATGGCAATAATGAATTTGGTCAAGCAAGCTTACTTAGATCTCATGAGCTGAGTCATGTTATATTTCCTCGGCCGCGATTTTGACTCCTTTCGCGTGTCTTCGATCCTCTAGAGTCCCGGGATACACATGAATGATAGGTTCAGTAAGATTTCACGGAGCATTTAACCACGGATCGTCCAATAGCTCTTTTGCCGTCTTCCTCTCCTCTGGAACCCATTGCAGCATTGACCGTATAAATCGTAGGAAAGCCTGCTTGTTCTGTCCGCTCAGATTTTCCTCCGATTCCTCTAACGACGTCGACGGGATAGAGACACCACCCGCACCCAACCATTTACCTGTCTACTTTTAGCTTCGCTCACACGTAGAAAGGCTCAACTGACCATCCTCGTCAAAAACATGGCGAGCCCCTTGACTGCGCTGGAGAAAGTGAAGTGGTGGCAGACCAAGGTATGCTACCATTTCAGCCACATGGTGGGAAGGTGAGTATTCCCCGTCCTCGTCGAGCGCATTGAACATATGCTTGTTTTCGAAGATATCCCAGATCTGCGTCGTAGTCAGCGCATTCCCCCACTCATAAAGTACAGTCAACTTACCATGACACCAAGGTTCCAAATGTCAGCGCTGAAACTCCACTTCATGTCAAAAAGCACCTCAGGGGCTTTGTATATATCGGGTTAAATATTGCCGGCGTGGAACTTGCCGATCCTCGCCTCCCCTAGGTCACATAATACTGGTGGGCCCCATAGACCATCTCTGGGCGAGGAAAGCTTCCGTGATTTGTATATCGTCCGGTTGCTATCCACGACCTTTCGCGGGCTGGGATTCTCTTGTTCAGCCTTTTCAAACTCCTCTAGGATTGATGCATCGTCAATATTGAGCATAATATTCGAAGCCTTGATATCTGTGACATCGTTAGCCAATTTCCAACAGGAGAAATTATCCAGATCAGGGAGATGTACCTGAGTGAACAACATTTGCCTCCCGGTGGAGAAAGTCGAGGGCCTGTAAGATACAAATCAGTGTTTCCTTTAGAAGAGGCTCGCTGAACTTGCAAGATCTAGCTCGCATTCGCAACTCATTGATTGACAAATGCATAGGTGGCTGCACCAAGCATCCGTGAATGCCGTTTGGACCGGAAATATCGAATGTTTAATACAGACCACGAATATAGGCACCTCCAATATGTGACGAGTCCAGCCTGCTTAGGTGTTCATAAGCATTGATCTCACTAGACAAGGCCTTTCCCGATCGACTGGTTGTCAAGACCTTGACAGCGACATAGTCACAGTTGCTGTATGAAATATAATTAGGCACCGTTGGTAATTAGAGTCAAGAATTAGCCCACCTCTTGTCATGACACAGCCATACGGTTGAGTAAGACCCGTATCCAAGCTTTCCTAAGACCTTGTATCTTGAATTAAGCAACTCTCCTATGCGAACAGGTAGAATTGCTTTGGTCTGTAGAACGGAAGCCTCTCCTCATCCATAGGCCTATTAGGATCGAGCCGAGGAGGTCGGGTGCCCATGAATCGTCTAAGTTGGATTTGTTTTGGTCGGGAAAAGAGGTTCGTCGATTTGGCAAGGGATATACGACTTCCTATCACGGTGAGAGTTCCGTTTCTTAGAAAAGGCGGAAGATACTGTGATCGATATATTTGCCAGCTAAACTTTGACATAGAGATGGTTGTAGTGCAGATAGGCTATCGTTATTAAAGAACGAAGGGAGACTCTGACGTGAGGTGCACTTGGGTGGTTGCGAGTAAGGAGAGGCACGACACGGGAACATGGGCGGCTAATAGCAACCCTACAACACCACAGCACTGTTTGAACCCGACCACGACCAACCCAACTAGGTTGTCTAGATGATAGAGGCATGGAAGGATTTAAAAAAATATAAACAAAAAAGAATGACCTACGCAGGATTCGAACCTGCAATCTCTTGATCCGTAGTCAAGCGCCTTACCATTGGGCCAGCAGGCCAATTGATGTGAATTTCATGCCGACATACAACCTATATGACAAAATACTGCAGCTCGACCAGTACGAGTTCCAAGGATGGACTAGAACAGACAATCGTGTGATATTGATTACTACACGCAAGATTTATCACATATGTGATACCTGTCGAGAATAAAATGCCCGAACCCACTGTCCCTGCGATTAGGTGAGCAATGGAAAAACAAAAGGCTGAGAGAACATCCGACCGAGATTGTGTTGTCAACGGAAACAGGACTTGCATCACAACAACATTTACGCTTCCGAAATATCGCGATGCAAGGGCTCTATAAAGCTTCAAAGCTTTTCCGTGCGCAGTCAAGATTATTTATAGATTCTAGGAAGGATTTGCGGCCTCTCAAGCAAGACTTCTCTGTGCACCTTGAGCGAATCGAATCAAACGACCACTTCTTTTGCTACACGTCTGTCGTTGGCTATACAATGAGCCACTGCAACTCAAAAAGCGATATGTTAGATTCAATGTTCCAGCTCTGCAGCAGATTGCTGGTCGTATAGCCAGCAGCCGGTGTGTCGAAATGACGAAAATACCTGAGGGGCTATACAATAAGGTGTTCTCTTTGAGAATGGAGAATGACAGGGAGATCCTGGCCAGAATTCCAAACCCCAATGCTGGTCATCCCCAGCATGTTGTTGCCAGCGAAGTCGCAACACTAAATTTTGTGCGTAATGCCGTTGCTCCCCTCTTAACTCACCTGCTAACGTTTTGGTGAAAATCACATGCAGCTTCGCAACGTCCTCGATATCCCGGTTCCCAGAGTTCTTTCCTGGAGCTCCCCGTCACAACCTAACACGGTGGGTGCAGAATATATCCTCATGGAAAGAGTCGAAGGGCACCAGTTAAGTGAGGTTTGGGATGCCATGTCTGAAGCTCAACGCTTCGGTCTGGTGAAAAGCCTGGTGCAAATTGAGCAAAAGCTTGTGGATATGAAGTTTGCGCTCCATGGCAGCTTGTACTATAAAGGTACATGCTGTCATGGCAGAAATGTCGTTGATCCCACTGAACCGGCAAAGGAGGTTATATCAGATTTTGTCATCGGTCCAACAACCCAGCGATCCTTTTGGGAAGACGAAAAAGGAGAATTAGATATTGATCGGGGGTCATGTATGCGCATCTAAATCCCGATCCATTGGTTTGTAATACACACTGATGCATCTTATGTAGGGGAGACTGCCCAGGAATACCTTTCATCCGTCGCCAACCGCGAGATAGCCGTAATTAAAAATTCTGGGCCCTAGCAAATCCAACAACACATCTTTACTATTAAGAGAAACACAACAGGGACGTGATGAACATGTACATCTTCTTGAACAGTTTCTAAGAGTGCTGCCTCACATACTACCACCACAAGAAACTCTTCGTCCCGTTCTGCTGCACCATGATCTTCATTCGGACAATATATTTGTTGATTCCTCAGACCCAACGAAAATATCGAGCATTATTGATTGGCAGGCAGTCTACACTGCCCCGCTCTTTATGCAAGCAAAATTTCCTTCGATCTTTGATTGCGATGACCCCTATCCATGGGGTGCTGTTCAGCCTAAGTTACCGAAAGATTTCGATAGCCTCTCGCAATCAGCGAAAGGGTTGGCTGAAGACACACTTGCCAGGCTTAGGCTGAAAAAGTTCTACAAATTGGCCTCGAGGAAATTCAACCAGCCTCTCGTCATGGCCATGGATGCCATGAGAAATGATGATGATCCCATTACTTTCGTATTTCATATTGTTGGACAATCTTCTCAGGACGGCCCAATCCCACTCAAGGAGCTCCTCATACAAATATACGAGACATGGGATCAAATCATGGAGCACCGAGGCTCCGCGATTCCATGCCCTATTTCTTTCTCAAAAGACGAAATTGACAAAAGCCGACGACTGGTAACAGAATGGGTGGACGCATATGGCGAACTTGACAGCCTGCGAGCGAAGATCGTTGGTAAAGATGGCTGGGTTTCACATGAAGAATACGATGAAGCCATGCGCAGGTGGGATAGCAAGAAACCCACATTAGAATTTCTTCAAGAACGACTAGATAAGTTGCTGCTACAGTAAACGACTCAGGATGAGAAGGGGAAATGATTAGAAAATGCGTGCCGCGAGGTATTTCCCGTAACCTGAGCTAGAAATCCTCGTACCATCCAGTATGTTTGAGATATAAGATGGTACATCTCACTTCAAGAGGTCAGGACCGAGAGTATCATATCAATTCCTCATGTAGCCACCCTCTACACCCGTCCTTCTAAACCCAGAATCCGCCAATTGCTTCCATGGTAAATCTTCCTATGCCTCCGATTTCCCTCCCCACCTACCCCACCCCCAACGGAGACCGAAATGGATGACACCCCTGACATTTCTTTGGGCCTCAGCCTTCCCAGCTTTCAATACCACAACGACATGGGATAGGCGTCACATAGAGGATTTTGAGTTCTCATGGACTCAAACTAAGCGCCTACGAAATTTGGAGCAGCGGTAGGACTGCCTGAGCCGCGAAGGTCTATGAGACCAGCGCGAAAATGAAGAGTGGAGAACAAATCTGGAAGATCTAATTTTACTAGTTCATGAAGACCCTCCAAAGTGGGAAGAAGTGGGCCGTGCTCCTCTACCGCCGATGCCGCTCTAGTCCCCCCGACCCCGGATTCTCTTCCTTCCCTGCATCGCTTGATCATCCGAGATCATCAACAAATCCCTCCTAGGGTACGCCATCGCGGTCCTATCCATGTCGAGCTCGCGCACACAGCAGACCCGTCATCTTGACAGGTCCGATCGCCCCTCTAAACGCCGAAAAGTGGCCATTGCATGTGATGACTGCCGGGCTCGGAAGGTCCGGTGTGACGGTAGACAACCCGGTAAGCTTCTCTTTATTCTGACGTTATTCGGAATGATCCAGCCTTCTCGCTGACTTCTAGCGTGCAGTTTGTGGGCCCTGCAGCAGGCGAGTAGACCAGTCGACGCAATGTGTCTATACCGGGGAGCTGGAGAAGAAGCGAGCGGTCCGAAAGTAAGTTTCTGCCTGTTAGATTCGGCACAAATGACCCGGGAGTATTCCCGATGCGGCCGGTTTGGGCTAACAGTGTTTTGGAAAAGTTATATTGCGAGCCTTGAAGATCGGATCAAGCATCTAGAAAGCCGGGGAAGGCCCACAAACTTGAGAGAAGGAGCTTCTCAATGCCATGACAGACCTGGCGACTTGCAAGTAAGTTGCACAGTGTCGTCCTCAATTATCACACAATAATCCGCAAATGGTGTAGCTTGGTCGAACTCACAGTTCCAGTTCCACGAGCCACCGCCACTCAGAGCACCCGTGGCTCTACCCATGCCATCAGAAGTAGATAGTGCCTCTCAATGCACCCCGAAAGCAAATGTCAGCCATATACACAGGCCCACTGTGTCCTCCCAGAACTCGCGAGAGCAGTCGCTGCGAATGAAGGACCCAACGGACAGTGTCAATGCTATGATGGGTGCTGTGGAAGATGAGCGCCCATCACAGGGCTTCTTTGGTAGCTCTAGTGCTGCTAGCTTCATACGCCAAATCAAGATGGCCGTGGATAAAAAGGTCCCATTGCCCGATCACCACAACCCAGACTCACTACTGGGGCTTGCTCCACCGAGCAGTCTCATGTCCACAAAGAAGCAACGGCTATCAACAGTTCCCGATTATGTTCTTCCTCCACGAAAGACGGCTGATGGTCTTGTGAGAGTATACTGGACGTTCGTTTTCCCACTCTACCCCCTCGTGGATGGGGTTCATTTGAGAGCTGAATATGAGAGGATATGGACAGGAGAAGCTCTTGAATCCGATGAAAACATGCTTATGTGTACATTCAATGTCATATTTGCGCTGGCCTGCCAGCTGGCCGATTTCATTCCTCCCGAGGAGCGAGAGGCTTCTGCGGATGCATTCTTCACTCGTGCAAAAGATCTTCTCCAGTTCAACCTTTGGAATGCTGGATCTGCTGCATTGATCCAATGTCTTCTTCTGATGGCCCAGTACCTTCAAAGTACCGACTCTGCCCATCAGTGCTGGATTGTCGCGGGGCTAGCGATTCGCAATGCCCAGGGTCTTGGCTTGCACCTCCCGCAGACAATTGCCTTTCTTAAAAATCCACAGGAGCAGCAGCTGGCTCGCAAAATCTGGCATGGGTGTGTCTTAATGGATCGGTGCGCCATATGAATCTGGGTAACAACTATTATGTCAATACTGATATTTGATAGGGTCATATCTATGACATTTGGGCGCCCGGCCATGATCTCCAAGGCGTCATGCGGATCCGTTCCCCTACCAGCTAATGTGGATGAAGAGTACATTCCCGCTGTGTCGGGGTCCGAGGTGGCGCAACCGGCTAACCGGCCATCGGTAATGGCCTTCTATGCAAAGTCCCTAGAGCTTTATAAGATATTGAACGATATCCTCCTGAGTCTCTATAGTCCCGGAACAGATGAGAGTCCAGAAGACATCTACGATTTCTACTTCGACAAAGGAGCAAATAATGGAGAGCGGACAATCTTTGAACTTGATCAGGCTCTTACGAAGTGGTCTCGGAGCCTACCCTCACACTTGCGAGGCGAATCCTGTTCCGGGGGTGAGTTTACGGTGTTTTACCACCAAAGTGTTGTATTACGTGCGAGGTATGTCTATCTGAGTTAATGCGATGATATGGCACTGATAAATCTTATCTTAAGGTTTCTTCACGTGCGAATGCTTCTCTTCAGACCTATCCTGTCTAGATACTGTACTTCGCGCGAAAGTGGGATCTCGGATCCAATGATCTCATTCCGTGATTCCTTCCCTCAGCGGGTTGCATTGCAATGCTCGATCATTTGCGTAAAGGTTGCACAAGAGGTTATCGGGTTGATACATGGTAATCTACCGGCAGATGGAAGTTCAGGCCCTCTTCCTGCTTGGTGGTACAACATTCTGTGTGAGTATCCAGACTTTCGGATAGTTACTATGGCTGATGAGTGCAGATGTTTACACGGCGGCCACTGTGCTTATAGCGGGCCGCCTATGTCCTGCCGTCCTAGACGAGGTGACCGAAGCTGCAATGTCTCAATCTTGGGATAGCGCTTTGGGGGTGTTGCGGAGATATCATAGCCATAGCACATCAGCCCGGCGGTGTGTTGCAGCACTTGAAATTCTTTACGATAGGGTCGTGTCCCAAGGGCCGCCCAACGATCACCCAATAAACCCCTTTCATAATGGCAGTGCACCTAATGACCTCGGCGATCTGTCCCTAGGGGAAGGCGTCAGCTCCATCTTTCTGGAAGGTCTCGATCTCCCCGACTTTCAAGATATGTCGTGGCTGAACAGTGTTCCGAGCAATTTATTCTGAGTTCGTCTCCTGGGACATTATACTATTATCACCGCTTCCATTTGTGGAAACCTCTACTGGGCACTTTATGCAGTCGATCACCTATCGCGCTCCGCGGAAGATGGGAGTCGTGACTGCGCGCAGACTAGGACGTGGCATTCAGTGATTATGGCTAGGTTCCACCCTGCAATATTTGGGCTACATCTATAATAGCATGTAAGTCACACGGCATGATCCTTTCTTATATCGATCCATTCATCACATATTTGAATTTCAATGTGTGACTTCGTCCTCCGTCTTTTGATCTGCTCGCGTAGCCACAAACTGAATCGCAATGATCGAAGGCAGTGCACAGACTCCGATGATCGCACACATGACACCGGCTGCGCCGGCCAGGCCCAATGAGTCAAACATCGGAGGGAAATAGAATGGTCCAATCTAAAATTATTAGCTACCAAGCTTTGGCGTCATATTACTCCACTTACAAATCCATATATGTGGCGGAAGAAATTTATGCACACACCGACATTCGTCGAGGACTCCTTATAACTGTCGACGGCGAACGATATGAGGATTGTCGTGATGATCTGATTGCCAAAGCTGGAGATTGCCGCCCCGACGCATGGGGTCACATTCCAGCTGGTCGCTTTTTCTAACTGGAAGCCCCATACCAGAAGGCCCGCAATGACGGTCCCGAACCCAATATAAGAGAGCCACAGACGGTCAGCAGGCCGGTGGTATCCTCTCTTCCTATGCATGACTCTCAGAAACCAGTCCGACATGGGTCCACTCAACTGCTCACCGAGTAGACACCCAATGATGATCGCGACGAACTGCAGTCCAATCTGCTGCGAATCAAAGTCGAACTTTTCACCAAATGCGATTGGCATCTCGACTATCAATGCAATGTTCCCGTAGCAAAACACAATCGCATGAGCGCATGCGGGAATCAGCACCTTAGGCAATCGCGCAAAGAGAAGCGGCTCGATAAACTCGCGAGGCTTAAGCGGGCGTGGGTTAATTCTGCGCGGGACCAACTTCTGAAAGAAACGAGGTCTTGCCATGCTTGCCACATGGTTATCGCGATCAGCCGGGACGCATAATGTCTCTTCACCTAGCAGCAGGTACGCGATGAACTGTGCAAAGTTGATCATGGCAAAAATCCAGTAGATCCACTCAAATCCGACATGCTTTGTGACGAAGCCCATGATGAACGGGCCGCCAGGGGTGCCAAGTGTGAGCATGAGGGTCCACCATCCCAACTTCTGAGCTCGCTTCTCTGGTTCACACAGCTCTGTGATCACGCTGCTACCGATTCCCATGGGAGGAGAGATAAGAATTGCAGTGAGCACTCTAGTCACCATTTGCGTCCCGTAGGTGGTACAGCGAGCTCCGCCAATATTGCAAACCATACTCCCAAGGACAGAGAACATGGAGACATGGTATCGTCCGTAGGTGGAAGTGATAGGTTTCCAGAAGATGGGGCACACCCCTAAAAGCAAGATCTGCGTGAAAGATACATGTAAGTCTAAGACGCTTCCTGTTTCAAGCATGGTTGTTGACACTGGTAAAAGACATACCTGAGCAGAGGTGAGATAAGATGCTTGTGGCACGGTCACAGCATAGGCCTCAGCCATCGCATCATAGGCCGGTATAATTCCCGCGGCCATGAATGTCGCTGCCATCGAATGAAAGGCGACCATTAGGATCTGAGTATCCTTTTTCCAAGCCGGCCAGTTTTGAGGGTTTGCAGGGGAAGCGTCCAACCCAAGGACCATGTTACTGGACTGTTGGTCCGGTGGCGTTGGAGGTATATCCTCCAGGTGAACCTGTTCATTGTCGTTTCCCTTCATGATTTCGGAGCGATACATGTCCGCATCTAAAGGATTGTTTCCTGCCATGGCTGGAAGAAGATATCGTTGGCTGTAGATCGAGGCCTTCAGGCCAAAGGTTGCGAATCGAATGAGACAAGCTAACAACCGACGTACCTTGACGGTTCACTATCCGACTAAGTACAAATCAACTCTACGTCGTTTCGCTGCCCTCAAGGGCGACTTATATCCCTGCGCAATTCCACACACAGTGAAACTCTGCGCCCCTTGCAGACCAGAGAGGTGGGGACTCGAGCTGGGCAGTCTGGTCCGCATCACTACAGTGCACATTGTATGAGCGACTGGACGCCAAGAGCGAACCTAATCGGCTGCTTGACCAATGAACCACTGATAAAAGGAATTGTTTCCGAATCTGCCTTCAGACGTGGTCATAACATCCTACCCGAGGTTATATACGCTGGAAACCTTGACGGGTCAGCACCCGACGCCATGGCCGCCCATCGGATGCGGGTCCGTTGATTTCTCCAACTCGTTAAGACCTGAAATATACCGGGGAGTAACAGGGTACACCAAGGTTCCGAGGTTGGTGATCCGGGGAACGGCGCTGATCCCTGCACCTTTTTGAAATAACTCTAGGTTTGAGCTTCGGAAGACTATCAGGTAGACAATGTAAATGGTTCACACGTCGGAGGCGTCTTGATGGATGACATCACGCCAGGGATCAACGCCATTTACTCTGGATCAGCCAGTGATTGAGCTTAATGAGTTAGGTGAAACCCTCTGTCACACCTGGCTGATGCGATTAATGAGACTTCTAGTAGCCACCCGGCACGGAAGGCGGCAATTATCAATATTCTACTGGCGCTCTTGTCTTCAGGTAGCATCGTTTCTGCGAGAATATCTCCACTTTTATCTCGATTGTTTAAGGCTCATCTAGACGAAGACCAAAAGGGTTGGACTGCGTTATATGCAGCTGCACCAGACAGGACATCTGAACACAACGCGCAATTTTAAAGTCCACAAGCCATAGCTCTTCAAGCTACTCCCAGCATGGGGGTCAGTGCCTTGGGAATTCGAGTCACAGCTGATGTCGGGGCAATGCTGCCCGAGCCCTGTGGCATCCATTTACCCGCTTTGCTTGGCTGTTGATTCCCCGCATTTTCCCCGGATTGTCCACCATCGCCATTGATGGGTTTTCGACGGTATGTCCCTGCTGTCACCCTACATGTATGTTTCTTGGCTTCATTGCTACATGCGATGCCAATCTTCTTTTCGGGGTATCCCGCACCGGCGAGATCTGTCTATCACAGTCCTTATAAGATGGCGCTATCTAGCTTCGTCAGGAAAGGCGCAGGGTCTGCACCAGCCTCTGTAAAACCCATTCGTGTGCCTGGAACTACCAGCCACAATGCGTGAACTTCTCCCCCTTACCCTAATCACCCTCTGGTTCGCCTTCGCCTCAGCGACCCTCCACACCACCCAAAACACAAGCACAATCACCCTCTCCAACGCTCGCCTCACCGCACACTTTTCTAAATCCCAAGGTCGGATCACTGACCTCTACCTCGACAACCAAGACCTGCTGGGCCCCCAATCTGGTGACACCGGAGTCGGCCCGTACCTGGACTGCTACTGCATCCCATCGGGCTTCTACACCCCCGGAACTACAAGCTCAACTTCCAACTCAACCCTCCACCTCATCACCGGCACCGACACTACAAAGACCCAATATGCCGGCGTTGTCATGGACTCAACCTACTTCCCGACGGGCCAACACTTCCAACAATACTGGTTCCTCCGGGACGGCGAAACAGGCCTCCACACATTCAGTCGATTAGCATACTACAACGCATCGACACCATATCTTCGCAATCTCCAGGAATTCCGGACTTTGTTTCGCCCCAACACGGATCTGTGGACGCATTTGACCTCCAGTGAAGTGCAAACTGCGCCGTTGCCGAGTGAGAAGGCGATTGCGGAGGAGGTTGTGGTGCAGGATGCGACGTGGACGTTTAATATTACTCCGAGTGATGCGTACTATACTCAGTTCTCCGATTATTTTACCAAGTATACGTTTTCGAATAGTGAGTTGATTCGAGGTGTTAATTTGAGGTGTTAATGGGATGAGGTGTTTATGGTGCTGATTTTGGATGCAGCGTGGAGGGATAATTCCGTTCATGGGGTTTATGCCGATGGTTCGACCTCAAATGGGACGACGTATGGAGCGTGGTTGGTTATGAATACGAAGGTGAGCAAGATATCGTTCGAATGATATCCCTGATGGGTTGCTAATCATTTCTTTTTGCTAGGATACTTATTACGGTGTATGTGGATACCGTCCCTTCATCTCAATCAACATACTGACCGTCTAGGGACCACTGCACTCGGACCTTACCGTCGACGGCATCGTCTACAACTACCTCGTGTCTAACCACCACGGCGAAGGCACTCCCAACATCACCTACGGCTTTGATCGCACATTCGGCCCTCAATTCTACCACTTCAACGGCGGGAAAGGCTCCGCATCTCTACAAGAACTCAAGTCTGATGCAGAGTCCCTGGCAGATCCGAACTGGAACAAAGAATTCTACAACTCGATCGCCAAACATGTGGTCGGATATGCACCCTCCAGCAAGCGCGGCAGTGTGCAAGGACAGATCAACCTTCCCGAGGGTGCCACCAGACCCGTCGCTGTCCTCACCGTGGACGGACAATACTTCCAAGACAACTCCGTAAACGCCTCCTCATACCAATACTGGGCCGAGATTGATGCGACCGGACGATTCAACGTGGACCACGTCAAAGAAGGCGTGTACCGACTAACCGTATACGCCGATGGAATCTTCGGAGACTTCGAACGCGATGGCGTGCAAGTCAAAGCCGGCAAGACAACTAACATCCAAGAAACATGGGTAGCAGAGTCCGAAGGCACCGAGATCTGGCGACTAGGAACCCCCGACAAGTCATCCGGAGAGTTTCGTCACGGAGTCGCAAGAGACCCCACACATCCACTCCATCCTCCAGAGTACCTCATCTACTGGGGCGCGTACGACTGGCAAACCGACTTTCCTGATGGAATCAACTTCACCATTGGGACCAGCGATCCAGCAACCGACCTAAACACCGTGCAATGGTCCGTCTTCGGACCAACCCCCAACGACCCGCACGTCGAATACGACACCACCCACGACTGGACGATCAACTTCCCCCTGAGCGAAGATGACCTTGCGCAGCGATCCACAGCCACCCTCACCATTCAACTCGCAGGTGCGAAGACCGCCTCCGGAAACACAGACGTATACAGCCCAAAGGAGCTATACAACAACCTCGCGCTGGAGAGCTACATCAACGACCAATCGGAGCCACTGACCCTACTGATCGGATTCAATCAGTCAAGTAGCTGCATTGTGCGGTCGGCAGTCAGTTGCTATCAGGTTCGCTCGCGCATGGAGTTCCCGGTGGATTGGCTGAAGGTCGGGAATAATGTTCTGACATTGCATCTGCCGTATAATGCGACGGATACGGAAACGGCGATATTACCAGCGACGGTGTACGTGCAGTATGATGCGTTGAGGCTGGAAGTTTCGTAAGGAAGGGGGCCAAACGTGCTGTATAGAGATTAGAGTAGTGTCCCAAAAATATTTATTGGAAGAGCACGGCCTAAGGGGCCCTATCTAGACGATGAAACCCCTCCAGACCGCCCTCCCCACCGCCCCTTGTGGCAGAACCTAGAGAACCTCGCATGAAAAACACCGGAAATAAGCGGATTTAAGAAAATACAGTCCTAAAAAACTTTCGTCGAAAAGTGTTCAAATTGGCGGCGGCAGAAAAGAGGACCATGCATTTTCACCGCCTCATGCGGCAGAACCTAGACGACCTCGCTCTGGAAATCATGGATTTAAGCGGATTTAGCAACGTACAGACCTGAAAAACTTTCGCTGAAAAGTGTTCAATTCCTTACCGCCTTTCTGGCAGAACCTAGTCGACCTCGCTCTGAAAACCGCGGATTTAAACGGATTTAGCAGCGTACAGGCCTGAAAAACTTTCGCCGAAAAGTGTTCAATTTGGCAGTGGCAGAAAATGGGGACTTGGCGTGCTTAGTAACGCCTAGATATAGGATTGCCTAGTTCTCCGTACTCTTTCTTTAGAATGAATAGTTTATATAGAATGGGAAGATGATGGATACGCTGATCGAATATTTCTTTAACTCCGGTGAAGATACTGGTTAATGTTGGGGACACAGAGTCTTCGTTCCGTCTGTTCTCCAGATGGCCAGCGGATTTCCGTTTTGGCCTACTGGTATGAACTTAACAGTTAATTATCTATGAGACTTGCTTACTTGTTTGCTCGTTTACATACCTCCAGGCTGCTTATCCTGCTTACCCTATTTACTCGTGCTCTACTGTTGTCATTCGATCCTTGGAGTAGTTGATATAGTCCAAGATACAAGTGATGGATGTGCAAAGTGCTGCTCATGGGTTAGATTATCCGCATTGAAAGTATTTATTGGGACATATCTCCCCGTCTGTTCGCCAAATAGACGCGATATATCTTTCTTTGTCTACTGGTCTGAGCCCTGACAGTATTTATATCCTGTGAACAAACCACCATTTGACTTTTTGTATCCGTTATTTGATGGGGGTTGAATACGAAATAATGCTGCCGCTGGTGAAACGAAAGACCATGACTATCAGCTATTAACTATGCTGGGTCAGCGAACAGAAACAGATCTTCTCAATATGGCACCGCATTCATCTAAACCATGACCATATCATGTAATGACATATTGTCATTCGCCCCCGATCGCCATCCCCATCAGCTGCGTCACCTCTCATTATTGGGGTGTAGACACGCCACAGGAGGCCAGCGAGCGGAGGTCCGTCCCAGAGTCAAGATAACCGAGGCTGGTCCGGGTAAGCCGGCGAATTGCCTGATTGCAGCCATCACGGGGTGCATAAGCCCGTCAGGGAGATATCGTGGACTCGCCAGGATATTTCCAACCTGGCCTGCGTTTTATCTATCATGCGTGTTGGGCATCGGAGCGCAATCCCTCAGGTTGGGAGGAAAGACGAGGGTCGATGAGGGGGGAAATCCGTGGACTCGGAAACCTTCACCGGGATCGGCCTTGCCCGAATAGGTAAAAGCCTCGGCTCATCGGCGTTGCTTCGAGCAATTCTAATCCGCTCCCCTTGATTGGCATCGGCCCATTTATTATAAGACCCCTAGGCAAAGTCCTTCCCCGCATTTTGGTCTGAAGCTTTGGTCCTACCCATACAGGACGTTGCCTTTTTGTTTGAACAAGTTCCGAATACTGTTACGCGCAGACGTTAGACCGACCATGTCGAAAAGCTTCACCCGCGCCGAGGTTGCGCAACACAACACGGAGGACTCTGTCTGGTGCATCATCGACCATCGCGTTTACGACTTGACTGACTTCATTGATGCGCACCCCGGTGGTAGTGTCGTTCTGAACCAGATAGCAGGCACCGATGCAACGGTCGATTTTTATAACCTCCATCGGCAGGAAGTCCTCGAGAAGTACAAAGACCTTTGCATCGGAACGATAACCGGCGAGACCCCTGTGGTTGTCACCCCTGAGCCCGGCAGTCTTAGCCAGGTTCCTTACGCCGAGCCCCTATGGCTCCGTCCCCAGTTCAAGAGCCCATACTTCAATGACAGCCATCATCGACTCCAGAAAGCTCTTCGAGAGTTCACCGATCGCTATGTGACCCCTGAGGCGCAGGAAAAGGAGAAGGACGGTAGTTATATCAGTCAGGACTTGATCGATCGTATGGCGGAGGCTGGAGTGCTGGCGATGCGTTTGGGCCCTGGAAAGCATCTGCATGGGCGGAAGCTGCTTGGTGGGGCCATTGACGGAAAGGAGTTTGACTACCTCAGTGACATGGTGCTATCGCAGGAGTTGGTGAGAGCTAATGCTCGAGGTTAGTTTGGCTCTTCGCATGGGTTCGACTGACTGGGACATTCCGTACTGACTCTTGGCAGGCTTCCAGGATGGAAACATGGCCGGTATGTGTATCAGTTTGACTGCCGTTCAGCAGTGGCTCCGTGATGAGCCTCTTCGACAGAAGGTCACCGAGGAAGTTCTGTCTGGAAAGAAGAAGATGTGTCTGGCGGTTACAGAGGCATTTGCTGGCAGTGATGTGGCCGGTCTTCGCACGACAGCAAAGAAGACCCCTGACGGCAAGCATTATATTGTCAACGGAACCAAGTACGCATGACATCTGCATTGATCACTAGTACAAGACGCTTATATGTTTTGCAGGAAATGGATCACCAACGGCATGTTCTGTGACTACTTTGTCACCGGCTGCCGGACAGAGAAGGGTTTCTCGGTGCTTCTAATCCCCCGCGATGAAGGGGTTGAGACCAAGCAAATCAAGACCTCTTACTCGACGGCGGCTGCTACTGCGTATGTCCAGTTTGAGAACGTGAAGGTCCCAGTGGAGAATCTTCTAGGTGAAGAGGACAAGGGTTTCATCGTGATCATGAGCAACTTCAACCACGAGCGGTTCATGATGGTCTGCAGTGTGGTCCGCATGTGCATGACCGTTGTAGAGGAGTGCATGAAGTGGTGCAACCAACGCATCGTCTTCGGCAAAAAACTGATTGAGCAGCCCGTTATGCGACAGAAGTCAGTAGTCCTTGCCAGTATATTCGTGCTGTGCTAACATAGTATCAGGCTTGCTCGCATGATCGCACTTTGCGAATCCAACCAGGCGTGGCTGGAATCTATCGCATACCAAATGTGCAACATGACCTATGCTCAGCAGTCGGCTAATCTGGGCGGGCCCATTGCCCTTCTCAAATCTCATGCCACCCGCTCGGCACAGGAGATCGCTGACCAGGCTACCAACATCTTCGGTGGCCGGGGATTGACCCAGAGTGGCATGGGCAAGTTCATTGAGATGTTCCACCGAACATACAAGTTTGACGCTATCTTGGGTGGCACGGAAGAGATCCTGGCCGACCTGGGAGTCCGCCAGGCGATGAAGAAGTTTCCTAAGGCGATGCTGTAGTGCGCTACACCGACATCTTCTGCCTGATAATGATCTTGCTTTTCTCAAGTGTGGACCCTGCGGGACAGGGCACGGTCTTCGGATCTAATTGAAGTATAGCGATTATTGGAGTCTTTCAGCTGACCGACATGTAAATGTTGTTGTACATATATGAGTCAAGCTTTCATGAACACTCCAAACTAGGCACTCTGCGGCCCATATGCTCATGTTTTCAAGTATCGTCGGTGCGCTTAGTGGCTCATAGGCTCTGCAAGCGGATGTCATATGCATCCACCGGGTCAATCAATTGAGAATGATCATGATCTGCCTCCTTTCCGTCCGCCTCCATCAGCAAATATCCGGGAGCGTAAATGTCAATGTCTTCAGTCCATGTATCACGGGCCCCATCGAAAAAGGGTATAAGTTCCCCTCGAGCTTTAGCACCCTCCAACCTTTCAATCACAGGCAGGGTCATATCCAATCTAGAGAGTTTTTGTCAGCTTCTTTCTCTCCGTCTAGGGGTTGAAGGCATACGCAGCATTCTGTTCGGGTCGAACTCCACCCTCCCTACTTTGTTTGACCTCTGACAAGGGCTTGCGGAGACCAGGAAAATAGGTATAAACTGGAAACATATAATATGCTCTGCGAGGGAATGTCATCAGTATCTCTCCGTTGTTTTCAAATTGGACCGTGGTGATCCGCCCTGTGTCCAGGTCGTTCTGGTCAACCAAAAACCAAGGTTCTGTACACCCTAGGAAAAGAACAGACCCATTCCTAGTCATGACAATGTTGCCGAAATTGGCTGTCTCTAGGGTGTACCACGGTAGGAAAACTGTCATTGAGAATGTTGTTGGTTCCGGGAATGTAGCAGGAGTCGGTTCAATGCCCGCATGAGGATTGGATTTGAGACAATGGCCCATTTCACCGTCCAAACGGCAGGAAAGAATATAGAGCTTGATCCATTTCGATCGATTAGACCTGGATGCTTCTGATAGAGGAGCTAAGCATATAAGTCTGGCTCCTACAGGATATGAATAAGCAATCCTGCTCAATGCTGCTTCGGGGTGTGCTTGGTGGGTGAGACCCGGAATCCGAAGGGGTGCCCTATTATGGTATAACTTCTCGTGTCATTAACATGGGACTTTTTGAGATTTGCCTGTTTCTCTGCTTCTACTCACATCTCGAAATTCCTGCGTTGCCTTCGCCCAGGTCTCGACGAGGTTCCGTCGTTGACGAACTTCATAGTCCTCATTAGCAGCCGGGACATTAGCTGTTTCGCGCGAAATCCAGTTCTCCTGTACCATATAATACAATTATAGCCTTGGTTCTTGGATGAAGGAATAGAGAAGAGAAAGAGCCTACGCTGACAAACAATAACCAGCCCCGCGCGTCTTCAACGATCTCATCCCAGGTTCGTCGCCGTACGGATCGAACGCACTTGAGGCGGAATTCCTCCAGGTCAATGGAAGGGTCTGGACGATAAACTCATCATTTTATTTGAATCGTTGAATAGAAGGAGGATACGAAAAAGAGTTGGGCTCAGGGACCAGCAAAAGGAGGCTATTGGTACGATTTGATCCAGTGGTACCGATAAGGCGCGCTAGTAGGAACTTAAGCAGATGAAATTTGGTAGACGGGCAGTTATTGTTGACATGTATCTTTAAAAAACAGGGACCACAGTCACTCTGCCTGAGGTTGGAGTTCAATTCATCTGCTCGGCTTTCTCAACCAACTCTAGTCTCAACTACACACTAATTTCTACACACATAAACTGTCTAATACCCATTCAGTAGCATGATCACAGCTGGTTGAGCTCTAACTGATATCAGTCGTTTGGTCAGCTGGCTGTCTAGTTTAGTTATCCTTTATTGGTGTCACCATCGTTATGATAAATACACTCTGCTACACCAGGCTTCTCGAAATAATTTGTCTTTCACCAATACACAGTACATAATCACAACTCGGCTCCAGCACCTCCAGTCCACTATCTGCTAATTGTAATTTTTATTCAGAGTCTATGGGTCTATCATTTCATCAAAAGGCTTTGAGAATATGATAGATGTCTGCGAAATATGTAATGGGAAGTGAACTACTATATTTGCATACAATGGAGACAGTCATCTAATATTCTGGCCTGTAACCGTCAGTTCTGTTCCGACAGAATGTATGCAAACTAAAATTCTTGATATTGTCTACACATGGATGCCTTCCCCTAAAGGATTCTGACACTTGTGTATGATCTAGACGAACGTCATGAAATGTGTCAGTTGAAGAGGCCCATCCAGGCTTCTGACTAAGCACGATAAACGACTCGGAGGCTGCAGGCTGCGATAAGACATCAGCCTTGCCCGGCAGTCACCATTCAACTTCAAAGCTCCATCACCCAGCCTTCCTGATCTCTCTGTTGTTGTAAATTATCTCCAACATTTATCAAGATGGCTGAAAGCACAGACACCCTGAGTCCGGACAACGTACTGGCGATCGCAGCAACGGCTCTGCGTGGGGATGGAGCCGCGCCGCCCAGTCTCAAGACGCCTTACGAAGCGATCGCTTTAGTAGGCCACGCGGCGATGACAGCAGTAGGCTTCCGGCTAGTTGGGCTTGGAGAAGACCATACGCTAAGTGTGTGACATGCAGACTTCTTAATGCGACAAAGCACTAGGTACTGATCACTTTACTATCTGCAGAGAACCAAACCGAGAGCCCCTCACTTCCCGCAGAATGGAACGCCAACACGGCCTTCGCTTTCCGATATGCCCACGCACAGTCATCGATGCAGTACCTGCTAAAAGTCAGTCGACTCGGAAATAATGCTGTCGTTTTTGCCCTGGCCTTAGGCGACGACCGAACCACCTCCTTCGATCTCCCGGTCAAAGACTACGTCTCTGAATCCGCTCTTCCGCTGTCCTCTACCACAGACCTCCAAACAGCACTCAACGAAGCTTTTATATCACCGGCGCGTATCAGTGACCTGATAGGGCTATTCAAGATCAACGTCATACAGAAGTTAGCCCCTGGGCTATACAAGGAGGGGTACGAAGATTCCTCCAACCAGGCACAGGAGACGGTGCGAGAAAGACAGCTGGAGAGACCGCCACGACATGATCCTCTGCGAGACGACCCTTTGCCCCAACCCGCTCGCCCTTATCCGTTTGATGATCCTCTGGCGGTGCCGCCCCGACGACCTGTCCCGGCGGGTGACTTTCCCCCACCAGGATTTGAGGATGAGTTCGAAATCCAAAGACCACCTCGGGGCTACCCGGCAGGCATGGGAGGAAGAAATCCCCTGACCATCGGAGACCGAGACCTATACCCTATGGGACTCGGTCCGAACGATCCTTTGCGAGGAGGCATTGGTCCTGGTCTGGGGGGTGGCGGCGGTGGTGGGATGCACCCCACCTTCGATGATCCCCTCTTTGGTGGACCACGAGGCCAAGGCTACGACCCTCAAGCACCTCCCGGATCGCGATATGATCCTGTTGGGCCCGGGCAAGGAGCGCCGTTTGGACGAGGGCAGGGGCCGTATGGAGGACGCGGGTTTGGCGGAGGGTTCGGGGGATTTGGTGGTGACATCATTTAAGCGCGCGGCTGAGCCTGAGCCTGGGGTCAAGGCGAAATTTGCAAAGCATTAGTGCACGATGTGATGACCGAATGAATGATTATGATTGATTGTATTTACATAACTTACGAACCGGATGTAACTTTGTTGTAACCATCCATTATTTACGTGATTGGCAAATTTTCAATGGGGAGAATATTTTTGATGTTCCCTTCGAAGCTCATGGTGTGGCGGACGCTGGAGAAGAATTCTGGGGCAAAGAGACTAAGAGAGTGTGGCTTTGCGAGGGAGCTGGAAGGGGGGAAGCCCCAAACAGGCGGCGGGCGGTGTGGCGCACGGGCAGGGCGATGAACGGGCCCAAACCTGTCCATGGGAACTTCCCACCACCACGGCCTGATGCACTGCTGCCACCACCTGTGACCGCTACCACCACCTCTACCACCTCCTCCTCCACCACCACCATCCCAGCTCACCTCCCTTTCCCTAAACTCCCTGCTCCCCTCCCCTCCCCCCCAACCTTTCTTCCCCATTACTAACACCCCCCACTCTCTTCCCTATATTTCTTCCATCTTTGAGCGACAGGTTTTACTGTCGCTTCCAGATTGTTTCTCTTTCAATTTCCCTTTTACATCTCGTTGCGTCCGATCGTGTTCCCCCCCCTCAAAGAAATCCACGCCTCCCTCACGAGACCTCCCCTCCCAGTTGGTCCGCCCCTCCTCAGTTGCAGTCAATCGTCATAATTTCTCTCCCCACCACCCTTGTTGTTACTTACGGTGGTCACTGCAATGGACAACAACATGGAGATCGATACGGCGCGGTCGCCCGAACCTCATCATCTCTCCCCGACCACCGATCCGGGCTCCATACCCACCCTCGACGGATGGATCGAAAACCTGATGACCTGCAAGCAACTAGCGGAGGAAGATGTGCGGAGGCTGTGTGATCGGGTGTGTGATGCTTTTGCCAGGCATTCTAGGTGACCTTCAAGATCCTAATCGTGGTTTGTTTTTTACAGGCAAGAGAGGTCCTACAGGAAGAGTCGAACGTGCAGCCCGTGGTATGTGGATGAATTTCGTTTGTTTTGGTCTTCCCGCGCTGCCCGGGCCTCTGGTGGCCCCGCGGCTGTTGCGACCGGTCGGACTGACCCTCTGGAACCCTCAGAAATGCCCGGTGACTGTGTGCGGTGATATACACGGCCAGTTCCACGATCTCATGGAGCTTTTCCGCATTGGTGGCCCCAATCCGGATACGAACTACCTGTTCATGGGTGAGTTGGCATCTTGCCGCGCGTGCCAGTCGTCCCCTTCACTCACTCACCCGCCCGCCCGCTAGGTGACTACGTCGACCGTGGTTACTACTCCGTAGAGACCGTCACGCTCCTTGTCTGCCTCAAAATCCGTTACCCTCAGCGTATCACCATCCTTCGGGGAAACCACGAATCCCGCCAGATCACGCAAGTTTACGGCTTTTACGACGAATGCCTGCGCAAATACGGCAACGCCAATGTCTGGAAATACTTCACTGATCTGTTCGACTACCTCCCCCTCACCGCACTTATCGAGAACCAGATCTTCTGTCTGCATGGTGGTCTGAGTCCGTCGATTGACACGCTCGACAACATCCGCTCCCTGGATCGGATCCAGGAAGTCCCACACGAGGGTCCGATGTGCGACTTGCTCTGGAGTGACCCTGACGACCGATGCGGCTGGGGCATCTCCCCCCGCGGTGCTGGATACACATTCGGGCAGGATATTTCGGAGGCATTTAATCACAACAACGGCTTGACTCTGGTGGCACGGGCGCACCAGCTGGTAATGGAGGGTTATAACTGGTCGCAGGATAGAAACGTGGTCACGATTTTCTCGGGTATGAGGAACCTCATCTCGTGTCTGGCTGGAAGGACATGGCTAATCGCAAACGCAGCTCCTAATTACTGCTACCGCTGCGGCAACCAAGCCGCAATCATGGAAATTGACGAGCATCTGAAGTATACGTTGTATGTGATGATCAGACGCGACAGCTTTCTGACGTGCCGGGGTTTACTGACACTGCCTACAGCTTACAATTCGATCCCTGCCCGCGTGCAGGAGAGCCCATGGTCTCGAGGCGCACACCCGATTATTTCCTGTGATTTGTTTGTGATAGACATTTCTTCTCACCTCTGGCAAGTTGAGGTTCTCCGACCCTTCGAAAGGGCTCCTGGGATGTTGGGACAAGGATACATCAAGGCGGTCTGCCTAAATAATTGTATGTCCGTATTTCTGGCCGTGTTGATACCATTCATGAAAATAAAAGACGTTTCGAGACTATATCCACCTTCCGGCGGATGGGATGATGGGTTTGCCACCGGGTGGGGAGGATGCGCTGTCGCTGCCTGAACCCGGCGAGCCATGTGCCTCAGGTAGATATCCACGCCCGATATGCGATTGGGTTTTTGCCGATGTGACAGGTCGCTGTTCGTTGTCAATTGCCCATAGACACCGCACCGTCCGATCATGCACAATTCATATTTCTATTGAGTACAGTTGTTGTCTACGTTTTCAAGAACCTGTAGACAAGTAGATGGATCCCCAAATTGCCCCTCATCTACTACCCGATCGACTACTGCACCTTCAGCCTTCAAGCTTGCTTGGTTTGGTATGTTGGCCACCCATTAAGCTTCTGCTTCTGCACGTGGCTTACGTCATTACTCGTCACTCGAAACGTAACCCATAAGGTGATGTTTTTCAATATGTACAGAGCGATAGCGAGTATTCACATAATAATCATGACCATAGGTATAGATATGAACGGTGGCTAAAAAGCACAACACAGGGTAGGATAATGCAACGAAGTGAGATGAACGAGATGCGATGCGATCAAACCCTCAACCCTTGAGCCTTTTTAGCCAATAATTCCTCGACTTCCTTAGCGTGGCTGAAGAAGTTGTCGACGAGGTTATCCCACATTTTGGGCTCGTGCTCGTGTCTCTTTTCGCTTGTCCAGGCGTAATCTGTGATTGTGAATGGACGGCTCGATTCGAACATGAATGCCATTGAGGCTTCGGAGATGCGCATGACTGGTGGGTCGGCTTCGGTGGCGGCTTTGAATTCCTCGTAGGCGACGCCGTGAGGGACCACTGGGGGCGGTTTTTGTTAGCTTGTGTCGGCTTTTTATTGGGTGTGGGTATATATTTGGGAGGGATGCTTACTCCCACATTCGAAGGAGACACTTCCGGGCTTGAAGGCGTCGGAACGACCGCCGTAATCGCCGTAGATTAGGCCCATGACTTCGGAGGCAGCGTTGCGGTGGTAATATGGGGGGCGATATGTGTCTGTCAATTCTGTGGTTAGTGAGGTTGAAGTAGGAAGCCCCAATTATGTGCATGGTACGTACGTGATGCAACATCCCATCGAGGCGAGAATATGAGTAGGTCGGCCAAAGGAGCCGTGGAATCACGAGACTTGGCTGTGAGGACACAGAAGATGGAAGGGTCGATATGGTCGACCGAGATGGAACCAACGTTGACGAACTTGGTCATATCATATTTGTATGGTACCTGTGGGGTTGGTCAGTTTGCCTCTGGCTGAATCGTTACGCAATTAAAATGAGAGAGAGAGAGCGTACATAGTTACCGTGCCAGGCAACCACATCAAATGGACTGTGCTTCTGCGTGCTCTTGAAGAACTTCCCTCCCAGCTTATACACAACTTCCCAATCTTCTTGAGTGATCTCATACTTAGCTGTGGGAAAGAGAAAGTCTCGTGCATTGGCAAGACCGTTGGCACCCAGGGGACCCAACTCGGGAAGTTCGAACTGACTGCCCCAGATCTCGAGGATATAACCACGTGAAGGCCCATCCGGGAGATCCACGCGGAAACGGATGCCGCGCTGGATTATGACGATCTCTCCGGGCTGAACAAACAATGGGCCAAATTCGGTCTGGATGTTTAGTGCGCCCTGTTGGGGGACTATGGCCATCTCACCATCCGAGTTGACAAAGGCCTTTTTGGTCATGTTAGCGTTGGCAACGTAGACGTGAGTCGCCAGGCCCTCGCGAAGGGTCGGCTCGCCCGACCCAGCCACGGTCTTGAGACCCGAGACGAAATCCACTTCACCACTGGTAGGAATGTCGAATGGGTGCCAGGCAAGTTGAGTGGGAGAGACATGGACGCGAGGGTTCAGCGGCAGAAAGTTAGACTCTGTGTCTTTGTTGTCAGGAAGATCGGTCTATGTTCTGTCAATATAGGCTCCCAGAAGACAAAGCTTCATGACTTACAAATCCCTGGTGGGCAACGGCCGGCCGGGCACGGTATAACCATGCCTTCTTGTTGCAATGTCTGGGGGCAATAAAGGCCGTTGCCGTGATTTGCTCGGCATACAAGCCGAATCGGACGTTGCGAGGGCTGTTTTGGCCCTGTGGAATGGTGCCAGGAACAGCCTCAGAGACAAATCTGATAGGTTATCTACATCAGCCAGTTGAATCGCTAGACGCAGGAGGAGCTTTGACATACGAATTGCCAAATCCGGCTTGGTACTGGTCCCATCGGTTAGAGGAGGTTGGCAGACTATTGAAGACACCACATGATACACACCTCATAGGGATCGTTCCGTCTTGTGCTGAATGATGGGATTGTGCCATCCTTTTGTGTCTCTGCCCAGTGGAAGATCTTCTGGTATTCCTTGGGGTCGGAGAGCTCACTCGTTGAGGGCATGGTGGCAGTAGGTCTCAGGGAAGTAGCTATGCAGTGAAATGGAGACTGTGAAATGGAATGGAAAGTTGTAGAGTCATGAATCGGTGTGTATCAGTCCTGGTTCTGGAGGAAAGACCGGACTGGGTTCGAGCAGGCTCATATACTTGAGCCGGTGGGGACGATCCGAGCGGGAAGACATTGTGAAGCAATTAATTAGACTGCTTTACATCCGAATATCCGGCCAGCTGATCTAGGTAGGAGGAGGTTGACCAGACTTTTGGAGGGTTGGACCGCTGGATGAGTCGCTGAAGCCAGAGCGTTTGAGGGAGGTTCGGCAGATCTGGAGAGCGCAGTGTTGCCGAGTCGAGCTGGGGACAGCGTCGCGGAGACCTTCGGGCGGCCGATCGCCAGTGGAGCGACCCCACATGAGTCAGCCCTGAGTAACGGTGGGGTTCTGCTTCGGCGCGGGGGTCTCCGGGTAGCACACAGCGTTGGAATTGCCGAAAGACATGCTTGCTTTAAGTGCCTGTTACAGGTGGTTACACTTCTTCTCTCGTTCGAGGTTCCTATCAAGGTGAAGAAGGGGTGAAGGTCAGTAGTAAGTAGTAGGAAGGTGACTATATCCCTCTCGCCTACTAGGGATCCGCCTCCGCCTCTCTACTTCATTCTAGCCAGATTTCACAGGATAGCCTTGATGGTGTGGTAGCCCTACGCCAGATGTTATACAGGATCTCCCTTTGGCCTGATCCAAGCAATTTCCAGTTGTATTGAGCATCCGCACTTCTATCAATTCAACAAACTAATCTTGCCGGCCGTCAAGGCAAATACAATGGGCATGTATACGCCCATACCCGCCCCCCTTAGTGCTTGAACATGCTCGACTCGCCGTCTAAAAGCAAACTGCGCTTCGGAGATCTCTTCACATGCACCCAAGGGCCCATAGGCGAATATTTGCTCCTCGGACCACGGGCTATTGCCGTTGACAAAGTGTATCCAACGCTTCCGCATCTCCTGGCCGACAGCTTTGGCTGCAGGATTGAAGGATAGGTCGACACCATCAAACAGGAAGAGTAGGTCAACGGCATGGTGAGCTCGGCTAGACGACTGCCATGGGTTGGGCTGGTCAACCACGTACTTGTAGACTCGTTTGTTTGCTGCCTGTAGCTTCTCGGTGACGACTTCCACCGGTAGTGTATACCGAACGTCGTGAACAAGGTCCAGAGCGCCTAGCTTGCAAGCAGTCGGGCGATCGGCGACAACATGATACATCTTGCGTAGTTTCGTGCCCCATTTCTCGTCCTGCTCGAAAGCCGCGGCGATGGCTTTGCCGTCCAATGTTTCAATTCCGTTCCTCCAAATAACTGACTGGTTGTGAGAGACTATTAGTAGAGATATCTAAAGCCGCTAGGGTCGCAATCTACCTCATATTCAGTATCACCGATCATGAGTTCGTCGACCAGCTCGGACTTAGCTTCCCAGCCTTGAAAGCCCTCATCCTCCTGGATCCACATGGTGTTCACATTGCACTCTTTCAACGCCTGTATAAGAGCTGGCACAGATGACTGTCGGAGCGATGACTGGCCTAACTCCTGTACCTTAACTTCCAGCGCCTTGATGAGAGCTTGACCTCTTTCAACGGGTAAGGGAGAAGAGAGATACAAGGATCCAGATGCCAGGACTGCCCTTTTGACCGGCGTACCGGTGAGTAAATGGACATGGACATACACCGCTCCAGCACTCTCCCCGGCCAGCGTGATATTTTCCTGAATGGTGCTGATTAGAACATAGTAACCACATCACCGCTCTCAATCGTACTAACAGGATCACCTCCAAAGGCAGAGATATTATTCCGCACCCATTCAATGCCCAATTTCTGATCCTTGAGGGCAAGATTCTTCTCCTTTCCATCGCCAAAGCTGAAAATATTGAGGCGATAGTTGATCGAAACGAATATGATAGGCTGTCCGGTCTTGATGGAATCCGCAACGATCTTGACGGGATCTAACAAGCCACCGGTCAGTCTCCGAGTATGCAGTCTCTTACATCTTCCTTACCGCAGATCTTGGACGCAGCGGAGCAAAAGGTCACTACTTGCGAGCCCCCTGTATGAAACGGTTAGCCGTCGATTTATCAGAAAATAGTTGGTCTAGTCCTCGATCCATACCGTGAATCCATATTAAAACAGGAAGAGATCTCTTAGCCGACGAAACCGGAGGACAAGTAATATCCAAGTTCAAGCATTCAAACTCATCCTCGGGCTCCTTCTCAATCTTGAAGTCTTCCGGAATGCGCAGCAAATGGCGTACGTCAACATCTACCTGTGGACATCTTGGCCTATAGAGAACAAATTCGACGTCAGTATTGATCAAAACTGCCTTTGTCATGCGTGGAAGTATACCCGTATCGAGACGCATCAACCACGGCATCAGCAAAGCCATCCACCGGCTGAGCCCGCTCAAACCGCGCCGGCACCGAGGCGTACTTGATGCCTCTGAACTCATGGATCTCCACTCCCTCAGTCTCCCTTTCAATACCCTTGAAAGTAGCATGGAGACCTTGGTGTTGGACACGCGGAAAAACCATATCTGCAACGTGCGATACTATGCTGAGGCGAGGGAGGATACTCAAGGATGGTGGTTGTCAGAGAGTCTACCTGGATAGCCGGTGGAATGGCGCCATGCTCCATGATAAGGGTCCTGGTTCACCCCTCTTGAACTGTTTAGCATAATCGCTCTCTTCGAACCGGCTGGCAGTTCTCCAGGAGATGCCGATATCCGCTGGCTTGGCTGTGCCCCATTCGTCACGCGTGGGGCTGCTGCGGGGAGATCCACCGGGAGCGAAAGTTGGTCTTTGAAGGTCTAACTTCTCGGTTCTTACCTTTGCTCAGCTCGCAGTGACGGGTGACGGAGAAATATTCAAGTCTATCGCAGTGAATGAACTTTCTTCTCACCAACTAAGTCAGCATTACTGCTGCAGTTGTCTGTTCAAGGGTATCGCATAAGTATGACCCAGATCATGCTCGAATCAAGCTCTCATGTCAACACATTAGTCTATGAAGATGATATTCTCTACCCAAAATTATCTATGCACATGAGTATGTATACTTCCTTTTGTTTCCTTCAATCATCGATCACTCTCCACCTGGAGATGGAGTCGGTTCACTTCTCTTCTTCGTAAAGAGAAACCCACCTAGGAACAACAGTATAGGAATACCAGAGAAACCAGTCAGCAAGGCCAACGCCCATGTCATGGTCTTCCATCCCGCGCTTTGCCGAATAAACCCCGCGAAGAACGGACCGACTATCGTTCCAGCAGCAAACGCTGCGTTGAGGATTCCATATGATAGCGCCATAGCGCCGCCCTTTCCAAAGATGTTTGGGTTTCTCGCTTCTTTTTCCTCCACAATATAAGATGCCTCAACCAACAGAGGAGGCATCAGCGAGGCTACACAGAAGCCAAGGAGGACCAACAACGCGCATAGCAAGACCTTCTGGCCCATGGAGTTGTGGGTGACAAGTCGAAGCAACACCAGAATTGGAACGGTTGCAAACAGCGCTCCTGCCGCCATGTAGCGTCGGACATTTCCATACTTGTCGTTGATCATACCGAATATCGGATCAGAAAGATGAGGAATAGACAAAGGGATAAAGATGAGCCCTTGACCTGTCTGGCCCCAGCCGAATGTGTCCTCAACAAAAAGGGGAAGGACACTGTCGAAGGAGCTCAGAAGGACAGAGAGGATGAAATAGGCCCAGATAGTGACCAGCATTCTGTCCGAGGCCAGGAGAGTAAAAACGGCGCTCGTCGCCTTTGGGGAATTTGAGCTGTCATATGATTTGGGCGACGCTTGTCCAATCGCGACCTGTTCTTCCGAATCATTTTCTGGTGCGTCGAAGCGCGAAGCTTCAGTGGCATCTTCTGACCCAGAGCCCTTTTCTATCGTTTCGGAGGGCGATATTTGCGGGTTCTCTTGTTTTTCTTGTTGAATCCACTTCACCGCATGCTTCTTCTCAATCATGACGAGCCGCAGAACGATGTCCACTCCAACCAGAGCAAATGCTAGGGCGAACACTGCATAGTATCCGCCACGAGCGTACACAACACCTCCAATTAGAGGGCCGCCCATAATTCCTATAGTCATACCCATTCCAAGGTAACCCATCGCTTGCCCGAGGCCTTCCTTGCCGACTGTATCGACAAGCAACGCGGCCCCGACGGTCCAAACGACCGCTGCGGATGCTCCTTGGAAAAGACGTCCTGCTATCCAGAGACCAATGTGAGTCCCTACGCAGAGTAGAGCCGTGGAGGCACCCAGGGCCAACAGCCCTGTGATGAGCGGCCACCATCGAGATTCGAATCGGTCAGCTATGTATCCCGCGATGGCTAAATAGAAGGGTCGATCAGAAAGACATTCTTTGATTCTTTGAACCGAGGTGACAATAACAAGACTCACGCGACGTTGCTAATAGAGCTGCTCCATACAGGGCCAAGAGAATAGATGTCCATGATTGTTCTGACCCGAACTATAATTAGCAACTAATTACTGACAAAACATAGAATGTGGTCCAAATAGTTAATCACCTTGGTCTACTGGCAACCCGACCCTTTGGTGCAAGGCAGTCGGCGCCACAGGAACGATCTACCATAAAAGTCAAAACGTCAGAGACATCAAGGGATGAACTAAACCATTGGTACATTCAAGCCACATACCAGTCCATAGAGCAGAACATCCTATGTATTACCTGTCAGCTTAATAAAGTTCCTCTAACAAGGGACGAAGAGCTTAGCATACCGTGAAGACCGCGAAAGCAACCACAAACATAATGAAGCCATTAGAAGACCTCCATTCAAGGAATATCGGTGGCCTATCTTCATTCTGTCTTGGCAACATGCCACACAAGTTCCACGCCATCTTATAAGGTTGTAGAGCTTAAATGGTAGTGTGTCCGCCACATTAGCGATATTTTCGGCAGCGTTTAGGCGACGTAAAGCTGGGAAATCCACTCTGTTGGTACAAAAGACTTAATCTGGCGAACTTAAGATGAAATAATTTAAATGCAGTGTTCGGAATAGCGGTCTAATTATACTTGATGGATGAGTGACTACTCGTCGAGAGAAACCTTGCCGATATGATGTCCTCGGCGCCCGCGGGTCCCGAGCCAAGCGCCGTACATTGGATGACGCGGGATCAGCGTGATCCAGATATTGCAGACAGGCTAGGTATCTTTGTTGGGGTTAACAGTCAAATAAAGATACAAATCATAGACTGTAACACCGAATGTTCGGCTTAGTGAATTTATGCCAGAAAAATGCTCATGAAGGGCTATTGCAGGTTTCAGAGTTGCCACCGTCTTCCTCACAGCTTGTACATTTCGCTGCGGCTGTGTGCCCCGTCAAAGATGCAAGTGTTGTCCAACGGCACGTACTGCCTAGTAATTACTTTGAGCGCCTCCTGTGCGACTAGTCCTCCGGTGAGTGAAGAGATGTTGTGCAGCTCTCCGCCTTGCGTCCTTCGGAGCTCTCGGGCAGCTTGAAGGATTCGTTCCCTTGCATCCTCCTCCTCAATGGCCGATGGACCTTCTGATTTGAGCATACCGAGGACGTGCTTGATTGCAGATTCCCACGCTATCTCATCATCTAAGGCCTCTTCTGATCTCTCTCCATCTTGGATGTCGGTTACAATGTTATCCAGGATTTGGAAGGCGATGAATATCGGAATGAGGGAGTCAGGAACACTCAGGTTGTTCCGGATGGCCTCCAGAGTATATGCTTCCCCATTCACTAGGGGAATGTCTCGGCCATGCACAACCTTGATGTGAGCCGCATTCTTGCAGAAGACCTCAATATCCTTGTCCGAAACTTGTATTGGGCGTGATCCAAGCTGTACCTCAACGCTTCGGACAATCTCAGTGACTTCTTCTATATCTTTCCTAGCCTTCGATTTGTAGATATTCTGAAGAGAAACGTAATCGGATGACTGAGCCTTCATGTCCGGCAAGGAGCCCGGCAGAGGTAGTACACTGTGTCTCTGGTGGAATTCGCGGACAGCCGCTGCAATGACCCAAAAATCAGCAGAATCTGGGCTCGGGCGTCTGCACTCTTCCATTTCGAAGATCTCACGGATGGAACTGCGTAAGGTAAATGGATTCAATGACTTCAAGACTGCCGCAACAGCCTCGTCATAGTTCTCTTCGCCACCCTCCGGGTTGCTCGTCCTTGCACTGGATCGAACCATTTCTCTGAACTCCGACTTCTCCTTGTAGTTTGACGGAACCTGGCCATCGTGCGCTTTCTTCCATAGCTCTAGGTGATGGAGCAGGAGCAAAACATACGGAACGTGACCATGTTGGTGGTCGTCCAAACTATCCAAATTGCTTATGCCAGCACCAGCTGCTGCCAACTCAGGCCAAGGGTTAAGGAGACGAAGGTCCTGCGTGCTCTCAGGATCCGGATGTGTCTCTACTATGGGAAATGCAGCTGGGAGCTGGAGAGAAAAGATGGAATAGAATCCCACCGAGCGTGTGTATAGTACTGGAATATCGAGATCTTTGGCAGCCTTGCGGAGGACCTCCAAAGACGACCGTTTCACCGGGCCAGATATCAACACTAGCTTATACTGTGTGAGGAACTCTGGGTCCCGCAGAAGCTCTGCGATAGGCTGATTTTCAACATTTGTTAGCTCTTAGGCACCCCGAAGCAAGCTGGAGTTGTCTACAGGACAGATATACCTTGGTATAGAAGCTCCCGTCTACGTCTGGGTTTAGTTCTCTCAGCAGTCGACAGGTCTCCTCAGCTCTGGACTTGCCCAGGCTCTTCTCTTCTAAGAAGAAGTTCACTCCGAGATCAGGCTCGGTGACAAGTGCGGGATCCACGATGGTAAAGCCTCCGATTCCAGGGAGTACAAGGTTCTTGAGCGTTTCCACGCCAACTACACCGGATACTCCCGTATTCTGCTTGCTCCATGGCCCATCGGAATTTACCAGAAGCACCTGAGACTCCTCTAGAGCTTTCTGACCGCTGGCTGCCCACAAGCGCAACTGGCGATCATACTTTCTCTCTTTCGAAGATGGCCCAACCAGGGCACTCGGAAAGGTCTCTGTCATGGGGGGCTAAAGCGGAGACGAGATGAGGATAGAGAAGGCGATTTTGAACTGAAGGTTGGGATCAAATAAACTGGAGAACAGTATTCCACCGTCAAGTCCTGGCTGAAAACACGACGGAGCACCCAAACCAGTATCGATTGTTGGTTGCTGAAAGTAAGAAGTGATGGAATACCCCCCATGTTGGGTGCAGTCACATGATAGCATCAGTGCACGGACCGTCCTGCTAGCCTTGTGGCCTGACTGCCTTGCTGCCCTTCTGCCTGAGGCCACAATAGCTATGACGACACAACCCCGCCGGAGTGGAAGTCGCGCATCCAAAACAATCAGATTATTGCGAAGGTTAGATGCTGCATTGCTCCTCAAAACGGGTGATTTGACTGATATCGAGTGTGTCAAGGTGTCAATTGCCATGCCATGAGTTTCGCAATCCCGCCTGGCTGTCTGCCCTCGCTGTAAGTGGTCCAATGGCCTGCTGGGGAGTTCTTGGGATTCTCTTCGCTCCCCCACCGCGGGCATCCACTGCTTGTGACGGTTCCCTCCCCGATTTTGCAGGGGCTCGTCGAAAGAGTTTCTTCCCCGGAATAGTCCGCCTATTAATCTCACGACAGAACCCGTCCCTGCGCTTTCTCTCCCACTCCCGTTTATCCTCGTCTCCGTCTTCGCCTACGATCACTTCGGTCGTCTCCTTCTTTTGTCCCCCTCTTCCCGGTTCCCTCCAGCCCCTCTCGTCGTCACTCCACCATGGCTAGCGTCATCGAAGCCGCAAAGCGTGCGGCCGGTAAAGCCGCAGTCGACAACCACTACCCTAAAGACGCCAAATTTGTCGGCATTGGCAGTGGTTCTACGATCGTCTATGTTGTAGAGGCCATCAAGGAGTCCGGAGTAGACACCTCCGCCACCAAATATATCCCCACCGGCTTCCAGTCCAAGCAGCTTATCATCTCAGCCGGTCTCACCGCGGTTGATTTCGATTCTATCCCAGAGGGCACAGTGCTAGATGTCGCCTTCGATGGCGCGGACGAGGTGGACGACGAGCTCAACCTGATCAAGGGCGGCGGTGCTTGTCTTTTCCAGGAAAAGATTGTGGCCCTCCAGGCCAAGGAATTCATCTGCGTGGCCGGTGCGTATATCTCACGCTGACTCAGTCATCTACACCGGAACCTTTAATAGACATACACTAACCCCACGCTTGTCAGACTCCCGCAAACTTCAGTCCCGCCTGCTCTCTGGCTGGAAGTACATCCCGATCGAAGTTGCTCCTATCGCTGCCCACCGAGTCCTCACTGCTCTTCGAGAGATTGGCAGCATTGAGCCTGCCATCCGTCTCAACACGGATATCAAGCAAGGTCCATTGAAGACCGACCAAGCCTTCTTCATCATCGACGCTCCGTTCAAGACCCTGCTTACACAGGCAGACGTGGCCGCTGGGAAGGACGGCAGTGGGAAGGAAGGCATTTGGGAGGTCCACGCCCTCTCCCAGGCGATTAAGCAGATTCCCGGTGTTTTGGACGTTGGTATCTTCTCCGGCCTGACCGGCCCTCAGGCCCAGGCTCTTGGAGGTGTTGGGGGCCAGAAGCCTATTGCCGCCTACTTCGGCATGCCTGATGGCTCGGTGTCCGTCAGGAAGGCAACTGCTTGATACGGTTGCTTCTAACGCCATATACGATGTGTCAAGTGACCAAGAGACTAGAGGAAAAAAGTACAATGATACCATGTAGACTGTAGCACGAATCGGACTGTTTTACGCTTTCTATAACCTGGTGCGTCATAACTGTGATATCACTGAACCAAAAGTAAGAACACCAAGTCTCCGCACGCCGTTCATCAAAACAAATATTTCATAAGACGACAATATACTCGAATTTATTTGGCACCCTTCCCCTTCGCTTCCGTCTCTCCAAGCTCACGGACGAAGATCTTGACCGCTCCCTCAACAACATCATCCTTGCCGTCCTCGAAACCTGGACTGATTGCGATCGCCAGGTACTTTCCGTTGCCGCTGAAGTCCACTGCAGCGACACTAGAGGGGTACTTCTGGTACTGCCTGATTCTCCTCTTCGCGATACCGTCCCAAAGAGCGACCACACCATCGCCGCCGCCAGACGCAAACGTACCGTGGACGGGATGGAACGCAAGCGCATTGACCGGGTACACCACATCCACATCATCCGCTGTCTGTCTGTGACACTTGAACGCGTATTTCCGGGCTTGGGACTCGGCAGACGGGTCGAACCATTCGACCGCGACACGTCCCTCGATACTCGACGAAGCGTATCCTGCGTCGTCGGGCATGCATGCCACGGAACGGGTCATAAACTTCAAGCTACTCTCCCTTCGCTGCCATGGCTCGACCTCAACCTTGTTCGGGCCAGTGCCCTCCGACTGAGCGGTGAGCATAGCCAGTGCTTTCAGATCGTAAATGTGAAGGGCGCGGGAAGCCATTGCGACAACGAGCTTCGTGGCGGTAAGAGACACGGAGAAAGGCTTGGATGGGAGAGGAATAACAGCGGGTGCCATGGCAGGGTCGTTCGCCTGGTGCACATGCAACGTCGAGTCCCAGGATGCGGATATGACTAGGTTGTGTTCCTTGCTGAAAACAACGCTTCGCACGCCCGCTTCGTGGCTGCTGAGAACGGTCTGAGTGGATGATGCTACATCGATTCTACAGACTGTCAGCTGAGAAAAGGTGGGAGATGAGCCGATGGCTAATGGACTTGAGCAGAGCAGACAGTAGACTCACTTCTTGACGTCCCAATCCAATCCAGCCGTGTAGATCTCATCTTCGGTTGCGCCAAAACACACATCCAACACCGGAGCACGATGCTCGAACTTCTGTAACAGCTTTCCTTCTCCTACTGCACCATTTTCATCGCGCAGATCGTACAGATAGACATTCTTATCCCAGGAGGAAACAATGATTCGCGTGGAGTCGGGATCGGGAGAGAACTTCAGAGCGGAGATAGCATCCGTCGGCGGAGACGCGACAGAAAATTGATCTGATAGCCTGTCAGCAAAAGCTAATTGATACAGAGTCCATTCGCGACTTACGTGACGCCATTTTTCCTGCTTGAATCAGCACCTAGCTCGACTTTAACCCGTTGTTGATCGTCCCGGTGTCATCCAAGCTTCACCTTACAGACCGTTTTCTGCCATGCCCGACCGCCCTGGAATATTCTCCCCGCCATCATCGATTGCTCCGACATTGACATCGAGCATTCCTTTGATCGAACACATTCTTGTGCGAAGACTCTCGTCATGCCGTTTGCGCAACTCGTGATAGGTCCTCCGGGCGCGGGGAAGTCAACTTACTGCAATGGCATGCACCAGTTCCTGGGAGCCATCGGCCGCAAATGCTCCATCGTGAACCTAGACCCCGCAAATGATAAAACGTCGTATCCGTGCGCGCTGGACGTTCGCGATCTTGTGACGCTAGAGGAAATCATGAGTGAAGATCAGCTAGGACCAAATGGCGGTGTTCTGTATGCTTTGGAAGAGCTGGAGGAGAACTTTGACTTTCTTGAGGAGGGACTGAAGGAGTTCGGAGGTAGGCGCATCTCTCATGGCTTCGGATGCTGTAGGATTAAATGCTAATTTTAGATGGTCTCATACAGATGACTATGTCTTATTCGACTGCCCAGGTCAAGTCGAACTGTTTACTCATCACTCTTCCCTACGCAATATATTCTTCAAAATCCAGAAATTGGGGTACAGAGTACGTCTCATTCTTCCTGCTCGCTCTATCCTACTACACCGTTGCTAACATGCTGGTGCGCAGCTAATCGTAATCCATCTCATTGATTCCTACAACCTTACACTACCGTCGATGTACATATCCGCTCTTCTCCTCTCCCTCCGCGCCATGCTCCAAATGGATCTGCCTCACCTGAACGTCCTCACCAAGATTGACAATCTATCCAACTATGCCCCTTTGCCTTTCAACCTAGACTACTACACAGAGGTGCAAGACCTTAACTATCTTCTTCCGCACCTGGAAGCCGAGTCTTCACGGCTATCGCATGAAAAATTCGGGCCGCTCAACAACGCCATCATCGATTTAGTGGAAGAGTTCGGGTTAGTGGGCTTCGAAACTTTAGCTGTGGAGGACAAGAAAAGCATGATGAACCTACTGCGCGTAATCGATCGCGCCAGTGGTTATGTCTTCGGGCCCGCTGAGGGTGCCAACGACAGCGTCTGGCAGATTGCCGTTCGAGAAGGCCTCGGGGCAATGGATGTTCGGGATATACAGGAACGCTGGCTCGATGCCAAGGATACCTATGATGACCACGAGCTGAAGCAGTTGGAGGAAGAGGCCAAAGCCAATGAAAAAGCAGCAGCTGGAGATGCGGGAAAAAATCCCGACGAAGATGATGACGAATACGACGACCTCGGCAGAGGCCCAATACCAGATGGCGGTGTAAAGATTATACGAAAGTCATGACATGAATCTATCCCAGCATCTATTCACACACTGTATAATAGGGTATCTCTAATGAAATGATTAGCAAGACAAAACTCCCCCATGCAAGGTACAGGCACCTAAATAGATGCCGTCCAATAATACCATATCCCATACTCATTCATCATCCTCACTCTCCATCATAACATCCTCATCCCCCATAACATCCTCAGCACTCCCAGTAAGCGGAGTACCTTCATGCGCATCGACCAACCCACCCAACAACCCCTCAAGCACTCCACTCTCCTCCGCGCCCCTCAACCGCACAATCTCCCTCCTCGCGCGTCGAATCGCCTCTTCCTCCGCCTTGCGCATCGTTCCAGACACGCGAATCACACGAAACACACAAGACCTCGAACTCGTCGGTCGTCTCGACCCATTCTCAGTAATCCCAGGCACCTCAGACATACACGTGAGGGCCGTCCAAACAAGACGGAAAGACGCACGCGGACAGCGGATAATAGCGGTTGACGTAGCAGGCGAAAGATATTTCACTATGAAACCCCAATTGATGAGCATCATGACATACCCAGCAAATCCATATTCTTCATGACCCCACCAAACATAAAAGACACAAAAAGAAGACAAGATGGAAAAAAACATACCACTGACAACCCCCGCCCCAGCACCACCTAGCCTCCCAACCCCATAATCACCAAACAACTCCGCAACTTCCTCCCTAACCATCTTGGCCAACAAGCTCGGCGTCAAGGCATCAGATGTGGGCGAATGGATCTGTAGCTGCGATTGTGATTGCGATTGCGACTTGGATAGGGACTTCAGTGCATTTTTCGCACTCGTGGCAGGCCACGTCGACGGATCGGGGTAGAGGATATCAAGGAGGAGGTAGCGGTGTTTGAGGCGGACCATTGCGCGCGTGTTTGTGTGGGTGGTTGTGGTGGTGGGTTGGTGGGATGAAGATTCGAGATATCCGTGTGTTGCAGCGAGTGGTTAGGGATGATTGAGGTTGGAATTAGGTTTGTTTAGCGATGGTGGAGACGTCAGGTCACTTTATGGATCGAATGCACGCGGTATTATCGGAGATTTAGCAATTGACGATGTGCATGCGTGGAGAAGTTAGAACGATGCGGAAGTTTTGACATCAATTATTGATTGACGATGTCAGTGAGCTGCCGGGCGGATTGGCGATGGGCCCGGTTTTCTGCCAAGCATGTGGGTCGCGGCCGCCGCTTTATTGCACTAATTACCGCGGAATAATTCCTGCAATACTTTAAAAATATTGACTGCATCTATGCACATTGCACATCTACAAATCATTCAAATCTAAAGAGATGCAGTGATCTCCTACACTGTCTACACTTTGAATCTACAGATCGGATTCTGCACATTTCCTTAATCGTTGCGTGATATTCATCAACCTTAACAGCGAGTCATGCCACATGTGCCACTACAGATTGTAAGTTGAAATAGATGAGATATGAAGTGAACCAAACCGATGCAGAAAGAAATAAGAGGCGAAAAACAAGCCATCAGAACTCCGACGTCAACAATGACGGATTTTATGACTAATCCATGAGATGTATGTGTATTAAGGGAGACAGGAAGAAAATTAGACGTTGACCTCAACACGGCCCTCGGAGCCACCCTTCTGGAGGGCGGGGAGCAGGTAAGTGATGTCGTCCCAGGGGTGTCTGTACAGACCAGTGCGCAGTCTCTTCTGGTCGAGGTAGTGGGCAATGAGACCAATGCTACGACCCAGGACGAAGAGACCGTTGAGAACACCCATCTTCATGTAGTCCTCCACTTCCTCGGAGGAGAAAGCGCCGCAGTTGCGCATCAGGTCAACGAAGCAGACGGCAACGCAACCGTCGACGTTGAGGATGAGGTTGTCCTTCTTGGAGGTGGTGACGGTCTCGACAGCAATGGCGTAGTCGAGAAGCTTGGTGCTGGGGAAGTTCTTCTTAGCGAACTCCTTGACGAGCTCGACACGAAGATCGGGGTTGTTGCGGGACTTGACACGGTGACCGATACCAGGGACTATGCACAGTCAGTTATACGTTCAAAATATTGTATCAGCATAAAGAAAGTACTCACTCAGCTTGTTCTCCTTGCGCATGGTGTCAACGAAGTCACGGGGGCTCATGCCCTTGTCGAAGGCCTTGGTGAACTCCTCAGCGGCGCCGTCCAGGGCACCACCGAAACGAGAACCAATGGTCAGGAGACCAGAGACGAGAGCACTGATGAGGTCCTTGCCAGCACGGGTGGTGATGATGGTGTTCATGGCACCAGACACGGCAGGACCGTGATCAGCAGTGAGCATGAGGACCATCTCCAAGAACTTGCTGGCGTAGCGAGGAAGGCGGCGACGGAACCACAGAAGAGACATGACACCACCGATACCGATGTCCTCACGGAAGACATCAGAGATGGGCATACCGGCGTAGAGCAGCTCCTGGCCACGGTCGTCGGAGATGGTGGAGATGAAAGCAGCGGGCTTACGGACGAGACCCAGCTCCTGAGCCCAGGAGTAGTCGATGGGGATCTTGGGAACCATAGGCTCAGGCTGGGGCTTGACAATGCCCTTCTTGACCTGGTCCTGGTAGACCTCCGCAAGGGTCTGGGGAAGGTCCTCGAAGGTCTCGGGGACGTGGATACCAGCCTCCCTCATGGCCTTGTTCTTGGCGACGGCGGTCTCCAGGTCGGAGTTGGCCGAGGCACCAGCGTGACCGAACTGAACCTCGGTCTTGAACATGCTAGCGCAGGTACCGATGGCCCAGGCGACAATGGGCTTGGTGATGGTGCCGTTCTTGACGGCCTCAATGACACGGTACTCCTCAACACCACCGACCTCACCGAGCAGAACCAGGATCTTGCACTCGGGCTCGGCCTGATAACGGAGAAGGTGGTCGATGAAGGTGGTACCGGGGTAACGGTCACCACCAATGGCAACACCCTCGTAAACACCGTCGGTGTTCTGAGAGATGATGTTGTTCAGCTCGTTAGACATACCACCGGACTTGGAGACGTAACCGACGGAACCCCGGCGGTAGAGCTTGGAGGCAACGATGTTGTCCATCATACCACCAGTGTTACCGATCTTGAACGCACCAGGCTTGATACCACCGACGGTAGCAGGACCAATGATGGTGATGCCCTTCTCCTTGGCAGTGACCAAGATCTCACGTGCGCGCTGTTCTGTGGTTAGTAAAGTACAACAATTGTTGCCTCGATTTGGGAACTCACTCTCTCGGGGACACCCTCAGCAATGATGGCAATGCTCTTGATCTGAGGGCACTCCATCAGCTCCATGGTGGAGGTGTAGACGGAACGGGAAGAGGCGAAGTTGACAACAGTGTCAACGTCAGGGTGCTTGGCCATGGCCTTGCCGACGTCCTGGTAGACGGGAAGCAGGGTCTCGCTGGTGCCCCAGTACCTGTGGATACATTAGTATCTAACTCTATGGGCACAGAACCGGGATTGCCATACATCTTGCTCACGAACTGGCCACCGAAGGTGTAGATGATACCGGCGACGGAAGGAGTGGAACGCTTGCAGATGAAGTCGAAGTCAAGCATACCCTGGACAGCTCGGGGCTGCATACCACTGTGATCATGGTCAATCAAAGCAATTGACCACCGCTAACAACCGCCACTTACTATACGAAGCATCTCGTCTTGTTGTGGAAGAGGGCGTTGCTGAGGGGGGTGAGCACACGGCTGGGGGGGTCGAAACGGGTGATGTTGTCGTTGGCGGAGGCGCCGCTGGCGGTGTTGACCAAAGGAGCAGAGGTAGGCATGATTGCTGAGCACTCTGTATGTCCGGTAAATGTCAGCCAACAATCAACGGAGGTATTGGATTGGAAAGGCATTAGCCCTGCTAGCAATTATATCACCAGCCCACATACCTGTCAACAGAGTTGGGAATAGGAGAGAGGATTAAAGGAGGAAGAGGGTATTATTAGGTAGGTATGGAGATATAGATAAAGGGAGGTAGTGACAAGCCGCTCCTGACTGAGACTGCGACCTGAGCACAAGGGAAGTGGGAGGATGGGAGAGGGACAAAAGGAAAGGGAGCTGGAAGGGATGCAACCAGATGGAGAAATGGGAGTTGGAGAGGAAGATGGAGTGGACTGATGGGAAGAGACGGGAGATGAGAGAAAAACAAGATGTAAGATAAAAAGAAAATGGAAACGGAAAAAAAGTAGCTAAAGGAGGGGACGATATCGGGAGCTTGATGGGGGGTTAGAAAATTATGGGGCCAAGGGAGAAAGGCACATACAGCAGCTGGTATGGGCGTATGGGCGTATGAATGGGGACGTATCGGTCGTACCATACAGTACCTGGACACCTGGCGCAAGCCGAGTCTTGGTCCAAAACCCAGTTGGGGAAATACGCGGATGGATCGCTGGAATGGTGCCGAATCACTATTGGGAACTCACATCCACTAGCACCGCACGCAGGGGAGCCGAATTGTCTGATAGAGATTGATCTTTACGGAGTCCGGAGTCCGGAGTATATCAGCGAGGAAGGCTGGATTCGAGAGGACTTTCTAATGCCCAACAAACTCCGTCGGGGGATTGACCGAAAGATAGCAAGAACACTGTCAGCTTCGGCTCGTCGGTCGACCAAGTTGAAAGGCAATTATCGGAGAATGTAATGTCTCGAATTCACAGCGAAAATGGACCGCCTAGGACTTACCATGACCACGGTACTCCGTATTACGGACATCCAGAAGGATAGAACCGGAGGTGGGCTGGTGGCCTGGTTGGGGCTACGCGGTGGATCCCACATCCGTCGTCTGGATCAGCAAACTGGAGGTCCCAATTGCAGCCAGGGACTGGGTCGATGCGTATGCACGAGGCCCGTAAACTCCAAGGATGCTGGTGGCCGCTCACCGAAAGATCAAACAGCGGTATATGCTTCTGGAATCATACCGGGCGGTACATCTCATTACGCAATCTACTGACCTTAGTTTCCCACATGCTGCCAGTCCCAAGGGTACTACTGTAAAGTAAGAATGGCACCGGGAGTAGCAGTACCTGAATTCCGTACGACGGTGTAAGTACGTCTTGTTGGCGGTGGTCAATCCCGTAGTATGGGGAAGCAAGCTGGGGAAAGAATACCCCCCATTACATCATCGGACAGGAGACAACTAAGTAGATGTCGGCCCTTTCCAGCTGGCACTCCAGCTGCAGCAGTAGTATTGACACGAATCCTGGTTGCGGACAACTCGGACGGGGGGCGTCAACAAAACGAACACGTACCCAACAAAAAGACGCAAGAGCGTCGGGGGAAGCCGTTCCGTAGGCTGCAATTCTTCATCCCAGGGGGCTTCAGTATTGAGGCTACAGCGTAGGGCAGATACTGCGAGTCAAATACTCACGAGAGCGCTCCCGAGGATCCCCAACGCCGCCAATCCCGGCTGACAGGCTGGGTCTTGGGCCGACCCGCTTTTTCTTACGGCGGCTCCACCGAATCTCAACAAAGTCCTCCAGCTGCAGCATGGCGCCGCTAAGCCCCTTGTATTGCCCGAGCTCGGCCCTGATCGTGGACCGTATCAAGCGGTTTTCTGGCGTTTTTTGGCGGCTTCAGATGATCATTCCATTCCCTCCTCATCTTCGGACCCCAAAAAATTTCCTTCCTAGTCGACCCCCCTCCGTCCTCCTTTCATCGGCCGTTGCATATCATCCCCGACTAATCGGCGCGCTCCTCGACCTCCGTTTGGGACTTTTTTTCCTCCCGCTTTGTTTCTTCTCTTCCTCTTTCCCCCCTCCTTCCCACTTCATTTCACTCTACTCCTCCTCCTCCGTTGGTTGGTGAATTCTACCAGACCACAAAAAAACAACCATCTTCGATTTCTCCCTCTCTCCCTCCATATCTCTTCCTCCAGGTATACACTCTCGCCCATCCGGGGTTCACTTCCCATATACACCCGCCCTCTTCCTCCGTCCGTTGCTCTTGCGCTCTCCTCTTACTCCCTCTTAGTATAATCTTACCCCTCTTCTCTCACCTATACCATCATCATGTCCGCCAAATCGATTCTCGAGGCTGATGGCAAGGCCATCCTCAACTACCACCTCACTCGTGCCCCCGTTATCAAGCCTACTCCTCTTCCTCAGTCCTCCACGCACAACCCTCCTCCTAAGCTCGCCTCCCTCCACTTCCCCGAAGATCTCGCCGTCAAGGATGTCCTCGACCAGGCTGAGGTGCTCTACCCGTGGCTGTTGACCCCCGGATCCAAGTTCGTGGCCAAGCCCGACCAATTGATCAAGAGACGTGGAAAGAGTGGCCTGCTGGCCCTGAACAAGACCTGGGCTGAGGCCAGGGAATGGATCGAGGCCCGTGCTGCCAAGGACGTCCAGGTTGAGACCGTCACCGGTGTTCTCCGTCAGTTCCTGGTTGAGCCTTTCGTGCCTCACCCCCAGGAGACTGAGTACTACATCAACATCCACTCCGTGCGTGAGGTAAGTAATTCGTCTGATCGACGTTCTCTGTGCTGCGGGGCTCAATGCTAACGGGCTACCCAGGGTGACTGGATCCTTTTCACCCACGAGGGTGGTGTCGATGTTGGTGATGTTGACGCCAAGGCTGAGAAGCTTCTGATTCCCGTCAACCTGAAGAACTACCCCTCCAACGAGGAGATTGCCTCTACTCTCTTGAGCAAGGTGCCCAAGGGTGTCCACAACGTCCTGGTTGACTTCATCTCCCGCCTCTATGCCGTCTACGTCGACTGCCAGTTCACCTACCTCGAAATCAACCCTCTCGTTGTCATCCCCAACGCTGACGCCACCTCCGCTGACGTCCACTTCCTTGATCTGGCTGCCAAGCTGGACCAGACTGCTGAGTTCGAGTGTGGTACCAAGTGGGCCATTGCCCGCAGCCCCGCCAACCTGGGTATGCCCGTCCTTCCCCAGAGCGAGAAGGTCAACATTGATGCCGGCCCGCCCATGGAGTTCCCCGCTCCTTTCGGCCGTGAGCTGAGCAAGGAGGAGAAGTTCATCTCCGAGATGGATGCCAAGACTGGAGCTTCCCTCAAGCTCACCGTCCTCAACGCCAACGGCCGTGTCTGGACCCTCGTCGCTGGTGGTGGTGCCTCCGTCGTGTACGCTGATGCCATTGCCTCCGCTGGCTTCGTCAGCGAGCTCGCCAACTACGGTGAGTACTCCGGTGCTCCCACCGAGACCCAGACCTTCAACTACGCCCGCACTATCCTCGACCTGATGCTGCGTGCTCCTACCCACCCCGACGGCAAGGTTCTCTTCATCGGTGGTGGTATTGCCAACTTCACCAACGTTGCCTCCACCTTCAAGGGTGTCATCCGCGCCCTGCGCGAGGTCGCCCCCATCCTCAACGAGCACAAGGTCCAGATCTGGGTTCGTCGTGCTGGTCCCAACTACCAGGAGGGTCTCAAGAACATCAAGGCCGTTGGCGAGGAGCTTGGCCTCAACATGCACGTCTTCGGTCCTGAGATGCACGTCAGTGGTATCGTGCCTCTTGCCCTCTGCGGCAAGAAGACCGACATCAAGGAGTTCGGTACTGCGTAGAAAAGGACAATGTTACCCTGATTTCTAATTTAATTTAATCTTCTATGAGAATTTTCTTTCTTCTCAATGCATGGCATGATGTGGTTGTTTACGCTATCTTGTTATTCTTATTGACGGTATTAACGGGTAGCCCAGCTTTACACTGCAGGGCAAGTGGAAGAGGGGTGACTCGTTCTGGAGTTGATGCTGCTTAGACTTGAGATAGTCGTTAATAGAACGATATGATCTATGACTGTCATTGCTTCCAAGGCCGGTAAACCGTATCAAAAGTCAAAGCCTGTAGCCTACATCGAAAGCCAGGTGCGCGAATTCCTAGCGTCTTCGCGTCTATAAGCACGGTAGTAGATACGAACATGCCGCATGCAAAACCGAACCACATAGTCTATACGATAATGTATCCCGTAAAATGAACAAGCCCAAGCCAGCTATATCACACGTGGACAAACAGATAAGACACATCACTCCAGATAAGGCAAGGCACACACACACACACACACGCAGGTGTCAAAAATTCCACCATCTGCCAACATCTGGTAAGTATATTGTATCACCAATACATACACGTATGTAACAGCCTGACAGAAGTCCAAATAAGCTACAATAAGGTGTGCCACACTTAATCGGGCCCCATCGATCCACAAGGCTGCAAGGAAGAAAAGAGAGATAAGAATAAACTATCAGATAAGGTGTGTCTTGTTCGCGTGGCACTAAAAAGAAAAGAAAAAAAGGGGGGGAGTTTTCAGGGAAGAGAGTTGTTGGACTTCCGTACGTCCGAGACGGGACGCGGATGGATGGAACCTATCGTATGTATCCCTATTGAACGGGACGGGCCTTTGCGTGATGGGGCCGGGGGGGCAGGGGAGTGGGTGAGATTTAAGTGTAGGGTCGGTTGATCCGGAAGATCCCTTCTCTGGTTTATCTATTTTAGAATGAGGGGGGAGGGGGCTGGAGTTGAGATTAGATCTGGATCTTATCTGGGTTTTTGTTTGATAATTTTTCTGTTTGGGGGTGTTGTGTTGGTTGGTGCCTGGTGGTGGTGGTTGTTTGGCATATCAGTGTTTCTAGCCGAGGTTTTTACGTGTTGCGGGTATCGGTGGGTTGGGAATGTAAATACTTGTTTATGATTGGGATTGTGGTTTCTACAATGGGATAGTTGTTCTTTGAGGTGGTAATTTGTTTATATTCATTGGTTGATTCTCGAATTAGGCGAGATTTGGCATAGTGGTCGCCGCGTCAAACAGGCCCTGGACGCCGCGGGTAAATAGAGACGCGCTTATTTTATATATCGGCGCTGCACAGGATCAGGCCTACGATCACTGTTGCGGAACGTCCTTCTGCAATGCCCAGAAGAGCCTGGTATTTCTCAAATATATATTCAGGCTATCAAATATACAGTTTCGTCCAGATTGAAGAAAGCCATTTGATCTTTGAACGTTCTAATCAAAACCAGAGTTGCTCAGCGCGCTAGCGCTGAGCAAACATGTCGATACCTTCGAACCTCAGATACCGTGTCATTCTTATCACTCGGACCACTGGATAGCTTCTCTGACTTCCTTGAGCAGACTCTTCACTCACTACACACTCAGTCCCTACCTCATGTTCATCTCAGCCTTCTAACGTCGGTCTCATGCCATGTACTGGGTCCGCGTCAGATAGGCGCCTGTCCCGCCCATTGTTCAACAACCGGCGAGTTTCCATCTACGCCTTCCCCTTTCACGAGACAATTTATCTGGATTAGAAAACCCTGCTTGACACAATATCAGACAGTCTGTAATATATTTTTGTTACTATGTTGGGTGACACCCACACATCCTTGACTGACGTGCTATCAGTGGAGAAGAGTGCGACATGCCTGAAGCCGACAGTGGTCGAAACCCCGAAGCCTTTAGACGTTGTCGTCTGACTCGAGATTGTCTAACGCATCTGTCTAGCCGTGATATGGGGAAACGAGCACAAAGACACTCCTTGATGTTTGGGTGCGTAGAAGAAACCATCTCCTTTCATAAATATGGAGATAGTTAATTGCATGTAATACCCTCTGGTTGAGCCTATCTCGAAAAAGATGAACCTTGGGGGTATCCTCTGCCGGTATGGAGCACAGCAGACGAAGTTGGTTAGCTGTAAAGCTTGTTTTCTTCGGCCTAATATCCCTCGTGGGAACGATGAAGCAGATCCATAGTCCCGCTTAAGACTTTCAGGACTTGGAAAGAGCCTGGCTGATGTTCATAGGTATCTGGGTTCTCCCGTGTCACCGTGACAAGCGAGTGTCTATTGCTTCCAAAGAAGGTCCAATCCGCATCACATATGGGAAGGGAATTCTGGAAGTGGTATGTCCCCAAATATTGGCAAGAAATATCGATAATCAGAGTGGAGAAGTTAACAGAGAGGAGATTGTCATATCTGATTACTTGCCCTCGTCGCGCCAGACAACGCAGGACATGATGATTGCTATGTTTATAAGTACATCGTGGTATGTAAACAGTCATTTCACGCTTTCGATAATAAATGCCAGACAAGACGTTAGCCCAAGATTATAAGGAGGAACAGCATATCCCTCCCGATGCCTCTTCGGTGATTTTTTGGTTATAGATTTTCCCGGGAGTTGGATGGTTGAAGCTCATGATTTTGCGGAGGTATAGTACAAGTGATTCGGCTTTAACCCGTAACAGAAAGACAACGGAGCTGAACTTCATTTCACCAGTCCAATTTACTCGCTGATCTTGGCAAGGAGCCTGACAGGATATGTTAGTGTGATGCATAGGATGTGGCAAAGGTGTACATACTCATGGTCGCGGAAGAGAGTGAACTCCTCCTCACCGACCTTGACGGCGCTGCCACCGAACTAAATCATGATACCCGTCAGCAAATGTGTCCAGTAGTAGCATATCCATCCGCATCCCGAACTAAAATGCTTCATCTGCTGCGTCGGATAATCGCGGATCAAGAGCAATCCCAACGTACCTGGGGGATCAGGACACGGTCACCGGGGGCGACGCTCATGGGAAGGCGCTGGCCGTTCTTGTCGAAGATACCGGGGCCAACAGCGAGGACCTTGGCCTCATTCTGCTCCTTGACGCTGCTCTCGGGCAGGAAGATACCGGAGGCAGTCTTGGCCTCGGGCTTGACGCGCTGGACCAGGACGCGATCCAGGAGGGGAGCAAGGCTCTTGACGTTACGGAGGAAAGACTAATTAAGAAATCGACACATTAGAAATGTCCAAAGATAGATAATTCATGAAATCAGGGATGGCAATCCGGTCGGAAGGGGATGGAAGTGCGGGCGCTGATGAGCGGAAAAGTTCAATCGGAGCTCTACAGCATCCAATATCAATTGCAATAACATACCATTGTGATGAGAGTGTGGATATAAGTGCCGTAGATAAGGAGCAGCGCAGAATGCAAGAAAGAGCGATGGAAGTGGAAAGTAAGTTGGGGACGTGGAGAGCAAAAGAAGAAGAAGAAGCGGCCGGGGAAAGAAGATCTGATCTGGACTCGCGAGAAATTTCCAGAATGCCAAGACCGACAGCTTCCATCCTCTCTGCCGAGGGTATCACCATCTTCCGCGCTCTTCTCTCTCTACCCATCAAACCACGGATTGGTTCACCCAGATGAGCTCGTGGCTTTTGCTCAGAGATTGTGTGGTTGGAACCTTCTCATCAATACCAGAATTACTTGCTCATCGTCCTTCCTTACAAGCTACAATGACATCGCGCTCAACTATAGCTCCCTTTCCCCGAACAAAAGCCCCAGATCATCAACACTAGCACATTCAATGACAAAGCTTCTAGGCGCTTCTTATTTGCATGACCTTCATACGGGTCCAGCTTTTAATTCGAATCATCACCCCATATGATACTCTCGCTAAGGCATTTTAACAATAACATGACTGCGGAGGTAGGTACCCCTTGGTTCTACCATCTTCTCCCGCGGCCCCGACCAAAGCCACCCCCGTATCCCATCTGAGGCTGGCCACCACCCTGCCCGCCAAATCCGGGTTGACCTTGTTGGCCGCCGCCTCCGCCGGGTTGCCCGCCCATCATGGCCTGCGCGTGCTGCATAAATGCCATGGGGTCCATGGACGAGGGATCTAGGCCTTGCGACATCATGCTCGTCAGCATGCCTTGCATCATCTCTTGTGACATGTCCGGCATGCCAGGCATAGGAGGGGGTGCGCTTCCTGGAGGCGCTCCAGGTCCTGGCTGAGGACCCCCCGGCATTGGCGGAAGTCCCATGGTCAAGAAAGCCTGCATATCATCCAATTGTTTCTTCTGGTCCCCAATCTCCTTGCGTAGTTCTTGTTGTTTCAATACATAGCTGGCCCATGTGAATTCGTCAAACCCGTAATTGAAATAATCCGTAATGTCGGAGCCTGGCCGCCTCCAAGGCTTATCGTCCTCTGGAAAATCGGTATCCATATCGGTCAACATGATTGGCTTCCCCGTCGCTGGATGGATGGGGTTCGCATGAACATCGATATTTGACGCATGGACTGGGGGGTAGGCAGAACCGGGCTTTTGAGGCGCCGCAGGCCTCACACTAACGGACACCGGAGTGGCAGCCTCGACTTTGGGGGTAGCGGTAGGTGTTATCGATTTCGATATTGCGGAGGAATCTGCAGATGAGGGTCGCTGGGACTCAGCGCGTAGGCTAACGTGACGGGGATGTTGACTGCCGACGTTAAATAAAGTGAATGGTTTTGATCGAGGTCGCAGACTCACGCTTCTGGAGGAGGGGCATCGGCTGGCGCTTCCGTGATGATATTGAAGTCATCCTACTAAGCTGTTAGAAAGGTTGCAAGCCAGGTGGCATGTTCAAATGCGCATACTTCATCTTCTTCTACCTCGACTTCCTCCTCTTCGCCATCGTCCTGGGGTCTGAAATCTGTTGCGGTATGAGAACCATTCTGATTCTGGGTTGCCGGCACCGCATCGGCGGGATCATAGAAATCATCGTCTTCGTCGTCCATCATCATGTTTGGGGTTTGCGACTGAGTTGAGGGATGACAGATGGGGAATGGGACGGAGATGCGTTTCTGTTTACGGCGACCCTGCGGAGATCGTCGGGTTTGGCCTGTTTGTTCCTGTGCTGTCGGTTGTCTGATGCTGATACACCGCGGTGTTGGAGATTGAGCTATCAATCCTGTAGAAAGGCGTCTATTAAGCGGCCCGCAAATGTGGTCACAGATCAATTAATGTTGATTCTTGATTGATCGTGTCTAGACCCTGCAGGTTGTCGTGTTCCCAATCCGGAAATCCTGAAGATCACGTGCCAGTACGTCAGTCGCATTCATGTGAGATTTGTCGACAGCCACGGCGCCTTACTCGTCACGCCCTTCAAACTTATTTTACAAGAAAATGTCACAATCCGAACAGCCGAGCCACAGCTCGACTCCACGATCTTTTACCAGCCAAACTGTCTCAGCAGAAGACCTGCTCAAGTCGCAGACAGTTGGTCTCGTTCATCTCTCCGACTTTCGCAAACGTCGCGCAGAGGTTCTAGAGCAAAAAGAGCGCGAAGCCCATGACAAGTCACTAGGAAGATTCACCCCTGGTATATCCAGAAGCGCAACTCCTTCTACGGGTGAAGGGACCGACGGGTGAGTCAAGGCGGACTCTCAACACACCCCTACTTGCGACTGATCGTAAAGCATTTAGTAACTCGACGCCACGAAGCGAGGGCCCGCCGAAGAAGAAGAAAAAGAAGCCCATCTCGAAGAGTAAACTGTCCTTTGGCGATGACGATGAGGAGGAGAATGATAGTGCTGCTGATGCAGCCGCAACGCCGCGTGACTCGAGCATCCCCCGTTCGGTCACCAAAACCCCCGTCGGCGACAGTTCTGCGCCGTCGTCACGTCGAATCACCCCGAATCCAAATGCCCCGCCTCCTCCGAAGGCAATGACAAAGGCTGCCTTGAAGGCAGAGGCAGAAACAAGGGACGCTCTCCGCAAGCAGTTCCTTGCTATGCAGGAAGCCGTGAAGAACACAGAGATATTGATGCCCTTTATATTTTTCGACGGGACCAACATCCCAGCGGGGACTGTCAGGGTCAAGAAAGGCGACCCAGTCTGGTTGTTTTTGGATCGGTGCCGAAAAGTCGGCGCAGAATTGGGCGTTGGCGGTTCCAGCGGCGCATCAAAGGGCCGCAAAGACAATCGTCGCGAATGGGCTCGAGTCAGTGTCGATGACCTGATGTTGGTCAAAGGGGAAATCATCGTTCCTCATGTGATTACTTCATCTCTGTTCTTACCACGTTGCGTTCGCTAACTTGCTTTAGCATTATGAGCTTTATTATTTTATCGCCAACCGCATACCCAGTTACTCCAGCACCGGTGGTTTGCTATTCGATTACTCCGATAAACCGCCCTTGGCTATATCAAAAGATGATCCTCTATCACGACCGAACAACGACGACATAGAAGGTGCCGATAAGGATCCCTCTCTGACAAAAGTGGTGGATAGACGCTGGTACGAACGGAACAAGCATATTTTCCCAGCTAGCCTTTGGCGAGAGTATGAACCAGGGCCGGAGTTTGAAGAGAAAATGCGGACGACCAGGCGTGATGCTTCTGGAAACACATTCTTCTTTTGAATTGCTGATATAGATGAGTGAGCTGAGATCATAGGTGTTGTATATGCATTAGATACCCAATAAAAACAATAGTTCTTTCCTACCTTACATTTTTCGATATTCCATACGGAATATGATCTTTCTGCAATTGGTTGCGCTGATTCCGGAACGGTGTTGTCAAGGTCATTCTATGCCTCCGCCACTCGACCTCTTGCATCCTCCAGACACCAACATTCTTCAACCAAGTGTTTTGGAATACTGTTTTCCAACGTCTTCAACACCATAAATATGGACTTCTATCTCCGTTGCAACTCTTTGAAATGTCGCGCCCAGTTGAAAGAAAGAGCGGTCGTTACAACCTGTTCGTAAGTAAGGTCACTTCCTGCAGCTCAAGGTCCTTGTTCCCAAATGAACATCATCTGATTATCAAAGACATATCTTCTGTCTTCACTGCGCAGGAAACCTTGGTCTATCACACCCCACAGCAAATGAGCGTACCTGCCCAGCCTGCCAGACTGTTCTCGTGAACCCTGACGACGCGGTAGCGACTGTCCTCAACCCCACGGAAGACTACAAGACCAGTGTGCTTAGTGGGCTGGATCCAAACACGATCATGGAGTGTGCGGGGCGGGCATTGCTCTTTTGGACGTATCAGACTACTCAGGAGATGTGCGTTATTATTATCCAAGACTCTCCTGAATCCCTACCAATAAACAACAGTTTTTACCAGAAATTCCTCGCGAAGACATTGACAGAGAAATACACCAACCTAAACACACAGTTGGACAAGGTTATACACAACGCCAACTCAGAGATCTCAGCCCTACAAGCACGAGTATCAGGTTCGTCTACACCCCCAGATTTGCTAGCTGTCACCGTCTGAGAATGGACCAGATATGCAGACAACGCAGGACCAACTCCGCAAGAAGAACCAGGAACTCGTCGATATGTACCGCGAGAAATGCAAGAAGTTCACGCAAATGACCAGCCTATATAGCCTGCTCAAGTCTCGGGCAATGAGATCTCAGATGCAGACCGCTGCAACAGATACTGTGTCACAAGCGCTGAATTCTCTCACAGCTTCGCGCAACGACCCATCAGGGCTTGCATCCAGACCTCCAGAAGCCTCGGGACCGCCCAAACTCCTCTATCCAGACAGTCTAACGTATACCCCGTCAATCAAGAAGGTGTGGAACAATTGCATCGCCATCAACGGAGCGGGACTGGCAGTTCCAAAGGAGCCAAGCAAAAAGCAGATACAGCTGCAATGCCACCGCCCAGTCGTCCTATGGAGAACCCGAGAAAAAGTATGCGCTGACAGTTCGATCCTACTTGAAGGGCCTACTAAACTTGTATAGACGACCAGCCAGCCGCAACACCGCAACATCGAACGCGTCTCGGGGGCGCTTCCCGTCCTTCAACTGCAAAGTCACAACTTCCACACGACAGCATAATGCTTCAGCGCTTCCAGGCTGAATCGGGACCGATGGATGCTCTCTTAGCCGCACAAGACCCGCTGGGTAGAAGGGACATTGGTATGCAAATTCGTGGCCAGAGGCGCGATACTACAGAAGAACCTCCTGGGATGAGATCCTTCTTCGACAGTACAATCATATAGTTCTCCGATGGGGCCTGCCGTAAGGTACGGTTGCGAGAAGAAGGGGGATCAGACACGAGTGCACTATTACCTTTTCCCTCTCGAGTCATTCAGCAAATACTATGATGGTTTGCATGAAATACTATATATATTATGTCGGGTTATCCTCGGCTACTCGAAGGTGATCTCAGTGCCCCTTGATCTGTATACCAAGTCTAGATCTACATATACATTCACCTTGTTGAGTGCCGATACCTTAACTCAATAGCATCTGACTTCTGGTCTGAGACACCCCAGTAAATTGCCACCAGGCGTATATGTGAATGCTCTCGCTTAGACTCTACGCAGCATAGCTAAACTATCCTGTCTATAAGCATGACCCACAATACATTAACCCAGTAATGGACGGTGAAGTGTCTATAGTGACACAGAATGTAGCATTGAATACTAATAGCCAAATTTGATCACTGTGAAAGTATACCATTGAATAAGTAATAGACACAGACCAATTCTGATAGTCAATATAACCATTCAGTGATTACTTGTCTCAGCAGACCCTCAGTAGTATGGAAGCATATTTTTCGACGAAACGGAAAAAAAAAAAAAAAGAAAGGACCACTTGGTCTACCATCAGTGAAGAGACTTATTAGCCAGGGCAACAATCCAGCCTGCAATAGCATCAGGAGACGAGGGTATCACGAGAGGGTAAATGCTGGAATAAGACATCGAATTGCAGAAAGCAGTAAAGGCAGTCAGAGATAGTAGCATGTTTTTATCTAGGGTAAGTTCAGAAGATGGCAAGGTTATAGTCGCGCCAGAGCAGTGGGTAATTAGTACGTATAGATGTTCATATTTCCCTGATAAAAGGAAGACTCGTTCTCGCAGAGGGGAGTTAATATTTTTGATATTGCTGGGGGTTCGAGGTTTATGGCCTGGAAGGAATAACTGTGTAGTTGCTTGGGAGTTTGTCAGGATGATACCGGTATTAGGTGCGATGATTATATCGGCCTCCTCCTCAGTACTTGAAGAGGGTGGGTGTTGGGTTTGAGTACCATGTGGTCTTCTCCAATCAATTGTGTCGGACTCTCGGTATACAATTGAAAGCGGAGGACTTATTCTTTCTATGCATTGTACCATACGTACATGGCTTTTCAGAAGTGATGTTGACAGGGAGAGTATTGGGCGCTCATGGTTCCCAGCTGGAAAACTTGGAATTTGCGTGGTAGGGTCCGATGAGGTAGAATGCGATTGATCGTGAGAATTTCCGGGGTTTGGCGGATCATATGTTGACTCCGTATGTATGGCAAAGTCATGTTCTTTCGCAGGGATTTTAGGATTCATGCTTTCGGCGAAATAAGGACTCTTTGCTGTTGTTTCTCGACTAATAGCCTGCCCCCTAGTTTCCATAAACCGTGATAAAGAGCCCAGATGCGTAGGATAGATTGCTCCAGAAGTCTTCTTTTTGGACGTCTTTGAAGAGGCCAGAGGTTCAAGTTCGCTATTTTGTTCCTGTTTGTAATCTGTCTGGCCATTTTCCAGCTTTCGTTTTCGTGTGAGGTATTGCTCGTCCGATTTGATGTCCGGCTCTGACCCGTATGAAGCTTCGGAGTGACAGGTCGGCATTGAGAGAGGGTCATCCGTCGCAGGACATTCCCAATGTGCTTCATACACTGAAGCTTGGTGCGTTGTTTGGGATACAGGTCTCTGAGATTCGAGAATGTCTTCTCCATCACAACGCGAGCTACATGCGGATGAAATAGGGGAGTAGCTTGGTCGTAGAGGTGTTGCTATGACAATGGGAGTCTCGTATGGAAAGCAATCTGATGTTGCAATATTATCCGTGATCTCGGTATAGGTTATCTGGGAAAGTTCACTGCTTGGGCTTGTCGCAGCTGAGATAGCTTGCTCAGAGTGGAGATGTGATACTCTTCCACCACTGAGATCAATGTCTGTATCGAATGAACCATTATCAAGGGTTTGTTCGTATGTGAGGGATCCCTTGGCAGTGGCTTTGAGCGACGATTGGTCCTCATCTGTTTCAAGAACTTGGTCTTTGCCCGCGCAATCACAAGGTCCTGGATATGCCGTGGAACTAGATTCCTCATGGCTAAAGAAGTATTTATATTGTAAGATATCAATGTCCCCCGATGTAAGAACGTCGTGTGGGTTGGAATCAATAGGACTGGGTAGGTCCTTGTCTCCAGGAATCGGCGAGGGGCCCTTGGATGAATAATAGTCGGCATCTAACGGCAGAAGAGGAGACAAAATAGAGTGACATTCCTTTTCCTACTCTGTAACTCAGCAAGGTATGAAAATTGCGGCGAGAATATAGATACGTACCAGAGTCGCATCCAGGGGGGTCCGAAACAGATTCTCAATTTCCGATAAAGGGCGGTTCCCATTATGCCTCGCATTCTGGATAAGTAGCAACGCTGCTTTGGTGCAATCCAGCTTCTCATGTATCGTCTTCTTGTCAATCGTATTCGTGTCGTGAATTGTATTACCTGGGGGATTGATTTCGTGATCACTGGAAAGCTCATCAAGTGGACGTAACGCGTAGTCGGCATGGGAGTACCCGAGGGGTTCATCCGGAAGCCTCAAGTCCGTATCATATCCTGAGCTGAAAACGGGAGCTTCGAGTTTGAGACTATCATAGCGATCCCACTTAGGAAGGATCTTGTCCCAGCAGTCATCGATGTTGCGTTTGGTGTCGCGAAGCACGGACGAAAGGAACCTGACGCTTTCTTTTCTGATATCCAGTTTTTCGTGACATAATCTCTTCTCGACTGTCTGCTGATGATGTTCAACCTGTTTCTGAATCGTGGTAACGGTGTCTGTGGATAACCGAAGAAAATCGGGGACAATTTTAGAAGCTTTGTCGATATACTCGAGAGGGTCAGGATCCAAATAATCACTAGCTATTCCATAGAAGCGGACGTAATGCAGTAGAGCAGGATCATTTGTTTGTGCCATTGGGAGGGCAGAAGTGTCGCGTGAATTGTGGCAAGGCACTGAGGATCACTGAGATGGTTTTCCGAGGTGAGAGCAGCGAGCTAGGCACGTGTCTTCAACAAGCCTCTTTGAGTGTACTGTGATTTGTATTGTATTAGACCGGGAAAATATACACCTAGTCGCTATGTATGCTATTTAAGTAATATCGACGATCCAGATCCCTGCTTCATGCTCTCCGAGAGCCAGCCCTCAGGTCCTCATCTAGAGATTGTGTATAATTGTTGAAACAGAAACACGCTAGCCTTGAAATCCCACAAAATATCGCTTTAAAAATCAGAAAATAGGCCCAATCAATCGTTGTAGTTAGATTGGCGGGAGCCATCTTTGTTGACAGGGGGCAGGTTGTACAATGCATTGAATTCTTCTTCCTGAGATTTCCCTGCAGGATCCAAAACAGGGCGCTCTGCATGACAGCAGACCCGGACAGCATGACGGCGGTGAGGCGCGAATCCGTAAGAGGCACTATGGTTCTGTTGAATCATCAGTCAATCGCCACAACATTATGCGAAAGACATTCTACTCACGGTTGTTCGATTGTCCCATATCGCGACATCATTTTTGTTCCACTGAAACCGAGCATGCATCTCTTGTGTCGTCGCAATAATCTCAGTGAGGTATCTGATGATAGCATCGCTTTCTGTCTTGGGGATTCCCACAATCTTCGTGACAAACCCAGGGTTGAAAAACACACTGTTCCAGCCAGTGACAGGGTTTGTTCTGATGAGAGGGTGTTCTGTGGTAACCGGCTCGCGGCGGACACTTCGACCAAGAGCACGCGAATCCGAAGCCTGCATGTCCGCGGAATGTAGGGCAGTCAAGCCCTTAAGGTACGTTTGCATATGGGGAGATAGCGCGTCATATGCCGCATACTGAGATGACCAAAGTGTATCACCACCACCTCCGCGTGGCGGACCGGTCAGGACCTTGAGCGATGTGTAAGATGGAGGTTGAACTTCGTACGTAACCTGGAATAGATCATCAGCCCGATTCACAGTCATATCCAACAATAAATCATACATCTGAGTGCCAGAGGAAACTGGGTGTGAACATTGCCCGCTGGTCAGTGGAGTTGTCTCCAGTGTATACAACGTGAACATCCTCCAAGCCCCCCTTTTTCGGGACAGATGTGGTCGCGTGCTAAGAACCAATTATGTTAGCAAGGCTGCATAGTGTTCAGATCACACGTGAAGACCATTTATACCTTATGTAACTTTCCGAAGTGACGACCCAACTCTCGCTGGGCATCGATATCCAGGTCATCCTGTCCTCGGAAGAATACAACGCCACGGACCGCTACCAAACGAGCCAAGTCGTCCTTCTGTGCGTCATTCAACCTCGCCAGGTTCACTCCATGGACTTCAGTACCGATTTTGGGCGTGTAGTCGAAAACATCAGTTGCATCTCGAAGTAGGTTCCGGAATTTGGCGTCTCCGTATAGACCTCTGTCTTCATATGAAGTTTCCTCTAGAGGAGACCAATGAAGATCAGGGAACGAGGGTAGGAGATCCTGATATTCATAATTGTCATGGCTCTTGACAACCGTCCGGCCCGGTTGATAACCGAACTTGTTGTCATGTATAGTTTCTTTCTTAGCAGCGGAAATGTGGCCCACTGATTGGGGTAGTACGGGATCTTCTAGTGACGGAGCCATGGTATCCCGGGAAAAATTGACCGTATAAGATGTGTTTGTACACAAACGATATTATTTTCGAGTATTGGCAGATAGAAAGAAGAACACTGGAATGATGGCACTGTGTGAGAGGCGCGCAGGCTCTGTTTATATGAAGATAGAAGCCCTGTGGAAGGAGTCGTCACACCCCCGTGTCTCCATACTCCATATATAGGATAGGCTGACACAGTCAGACCTGGCCTGGAAATCCGGACTGGCGGATATTGCACCATCGCTGGAGAATATCACCCAAGCGGCTGATAAAGCAGTTATCTACGGGTACAGACGGGGTCGGTTCCAGCAAATGTTTCCCGCATTGCGGGCCGCCGACGGTCAGCGTAGATCGCGTCATTTGGAGGCAAGGGTGTGGGGACACTCTGCGACACTCCGCGTCAGGCCAGATCCCCAGCTTATCTGGGATAAGCTGGAGGCGTCACACCGCTCCATAATACTATGGTGATCTACCGCCAATCAGCCGGTGCTATAGGGTTCTAGAAAGCCACTAGGGGGATGAAATCCAGCTAACATTCAGGTACCGAATATGGGCGAAAGAGGAGAAACTCCTGCTGAACAAAGAACGATGTAGGATAAGGTATATTTCATGCTGATTTGTGACCCGTGTTTTTACGGAGTAGGCTTTCAGCTTAGATTATCATAACCACCAGCGTCAGACATGATAGTATAGTAGTATGTAGGTAGATAGATACGGAACACCTGGAGTTCTGCAGGAAGTGGAGACGGGGCACCGACGGGGTGACGTTAGCCGGGCGATTAGGTGCGATCACGCCAGACTGCCGTCCTCTTGCGTTTGACATCGAACGGGCAGCTTGGCAATCGATCCCTACACCGCCTTCAAGCTTATCTTCACTGAGAACCACACTTATGCTTCGTAGTCAGGCCTGACATGCTATTCCGATGGTTTTCTGACGCCTTCCCGCCCATTGGCAGGTATGATGCACGCAGATCGACGAACCTGCAGACTGGTAGACTGTAAAATTCGATTACATAAACCAAATAGTATGGTGGTATATTGGCGAAATTAGGTATGCTTCATGATATTCAAATCCATTCATATGTTACACAAGTAGTGACCGGTGCCCATGCTCAAACTTCTAGAAACTTACGACCCGGAAGGCGGGCCCAGGACTACCTCTTGCACCTGCTCGGTAACTCCACCAAGGCGACTGGCAACTCCTAATATACCAGCCTCGACGTCACCTAAAACAGTAGCAAGATCACTTATGATAGACTTAGGCGTTCCAGCGGTTGGGCCATCTCGACTACGAGATGTCACAAAATCATGGATCTGTCGTTCCAAAGTGGACTCGACGCCGTGAAGGTGGTCTTCAATTTCCTTCAAGTTCCGCGTGTAGCGTTCCAGGACAACTCCCATTTCCTCAGAGCGTTGAGAAAAGTAATCGACCAGATTGACAGGTACCCCGTTAACGGACGTGGCGGTAGACGGATCGCTTTCAACATCGTCTGGAAGAGCTAGAGTGTTTTTTCGCGTTGACCTTAAAGCTTGTCCATCTGACACCTTCTGATCCTGAGACCACCACCCAGCACCACCAGAAGACTGGTACTGCAGAGGCAATTTCAAGGTGTCGATTGCGCGGAATGCAACTTGAGCCTCGGCTGCGTCACGAGATACAAGGTTGCGGAGCTGATCAATATCGCCAGCATCATTTTCAAGTGCATGCTGCATGGTTTCCAGCTTGCCCTGCACAAATTCAACGTCATTTGGGATCGTCTCACCCTGGCTGGCAATGGTGGGGATCATGTTCGCAACCTCGTTGCATATCTTGATCTGGTTCAGGACGAAATTATCAAATCTTTCCAGCTCTGCTTTGATCTCATCCGCACAGCTTTCGTATTTGGTCGTGGGTAAGATATTGCTGACATCGACCTTGACTCCGGGGATGACTGTTGTCCCGGTGGCAGCGGGGGGTTGCGTCGGCTGTTGCACGGTAGTGCCCTGGTTTCCGAACAAGGATAGAGTAGGTTTCTGGGACTGCTGCTGCTGCGCGCTAGTTTGATTGGCACCACCGCTGTGATCGTCGCTGTTAGGCACAAACATGATTATGTGTAAGAGTCCTACTTACAACAGGCCCCCTCCCGCTGCGGTAGAGCTTCCAAGGCCACCAAAAAGCGGCTTTGATTGCGTTTGAGTGGTGGTAGTTCCCCCTAGATTGCCGAACAGCCCTCCGCCGGCATTCCCGCCTTGTGTGTTGTTGGTCGTGGTACCGGCTCCCGAGAAAAGACCGCCTGACTGCGGCTGCGAGCTAGTCGCCGTAGCGCCCCCAAATAGACCTCCACTGGATGTGGTATTGCTCTGCTGCTGTCCACCTAGGCCCGAAAACATATTCGAGCCGGAAGGCTGGGACTGTTGTGTTGTGCCACCCAGATTTCCGAATAGCCCACCTGCCGGCTTTGGTTGAGCGGCAGTGTTTCCAAGATTACCGAACAGACCACCCGAAGTACTGGTAGTTGCTGGCGTAGTTGAAGTACTGGTCTGTGTATTGGCGCCACTGTTCATGCGATTCCCTGTTAGCCTCTTTCAATTTGAGTGGCTGAAAATCCGGGGAACATAGAACAAGGGATGTCAGGCATATATAACGTAGACCCACTGTAGCGACAAACACCAGGAAGGCGCAATAGAACTGTCAGAAGGAGAGAAAGGAAAACGTCTTACAATAAAGAATTGGCGGAACCGGTGTTGATGGATAGGCCGGTCGATGTGCCGGAAGGCTTTTGGGCGAACATGGCGTTCTGTTTCAGTCGCGTATAAGATAATTAACTTGGAATCGAGTGAGACGCGGAGATTGAAAGGTGTCAGGTTCCTTGGCTGCACCCGTCAAAAGCGCCTTGTGCCAGCACAATGTCCACTGGAGCTGTGGTAAGTAGCGACGTCGGAAAACAACAAAGTCGGAGCGATCCTCCTGGCTAGTGTTGGATGGGGAAAGATTCGCCGGGCCGAGATTATTCAGCCTTATCGATAACGACCACGGACTCGAACTTGGACTCGAAAGAAACTACGAACGATTGATGGAAGATCAAGTGAGATCGGCGATCAATTGCCAGACCTATTGTCGAAGTACTCGGCCCTGTGCTTTGCGGGGAAAGCCAATTCAATAATGTCGAAGCGTTAGGGCAAATCTCTCCAAGGGCTAATGTCATATCGTATCACGTCACAGCAGGGAATTCAATCGTCCACCGAGTTATCTGCTCATCCACAATTGTAGTCAGGTGACAACCTCTTCGGCTGGCTTTCGAGTCACCTGTCGAGTCTGCTGTTCCCTCAGATTTATGTCGTTTTTTCTTCAATTCCCTCAACTGAGTGTATGCAATGAAGATTGCCCAAAAGTGAAGGTAATCTGAGGATGTAAAACCCAGGAAGAAGCTTTCAGTTATCACTTAATGCATCTTTCCTATATCTCTACCTAGTCATCTAGATCTGTGCTAATCCATTGTGATCGTCAAGGGAACGCCAGTTGCAGGATGCTCGAAGACTCGAAGCCCATATGTGTGGCTTCGAGCTGTCACAATAGCGATGATAGACTCAGCTCAATCACCAATGTCCAAACCCCCAATTTCCAAGATCCAGAAAGCCCCAGAAAAGCCTCCCATCCCAACTACTTTAAGGGTGCAGAATGGTAAGTTTTGAGACAAGCTTGATTGAACTCGACTAATGGTGACACGCAGGTCGGCAGATGGCACAACACTATTGACAGATTCTGCAGACCACCACATCAGGACTTGGATACTGTCAGTTAAGACGCATCTGCATTCGATGGGATATACTGACTGTTCACGTATAGACCTCAAGATCTGCTAGAAGAGAAGGGATCACACCAGGAGCTATTGCCATACTCTGTCCTGCCTTCTGCAGAACCGACTTATACGACTACCATGTATCCTTTCTTCTCTCTTCAGGACCCTTCGACCACCTTGTTTCTATCTTCCATACGAGATCATCCGATAAGATTGGCATCGGCTCTGTCTCCGACCTCTGTGGCGACTTATTCCTTGGTGAATGCGATGACAGAAGCGTTCATAACGCCCCATTCAATGATCTATCCATCCGTATTGGGAGGGACTCATTTTCTCACAGGATCAGACAGCCTTATTTGTCTTTTTGATGTCTCTCGACCCGGAAACGACGGCCCTGTTACTTCCATGCCTACGATACCGAGTAAGCGCAAACAAGTGGTGGGTGGAGGCGTGGGTATGAAAGGAATCATCTCTGCTATGGCCATGGATCCGACGGGAGGTGGGATTCTAGCTGCTGGCACCTTTACCAGGCATGTTGGACTGTATGGATCACATGGAACAGGGGAATCCCTAGGCACATTCAGCATTGCCAAAACAGAGGCACACTGTCATATCGGCGGCCGTGGGATCACCCAACTGTTGTGGACCCCCTGCGGAAGGTATTTGTATGTTGCTGAACGTAAGAGCGATGGTGTCTTGATATATGATATCAGAGTTACCGGACAATTACTTGGGTGGCTCCAGGGTCGAAAGGCTTTGACAAACCAACGAATGAAGATCGATGTCGTCCCTAGTGGCGACGGCGGGTCGCATGAAATCTGGGCTGGAGGAACTGATGGATGCATGAGAGTGTGGGAGAACCCTGCGCACTCTGCTGGGGCACAAGAACCCAAGTGGGAATGGAAAATCCACGACGGTAAGTAGAAAGCATGACTAGGTTCAAGAGCCAGTCCGCGCTTACATTGCATAGAGTCTGTGAGCAGTACTGTGTTGCACCCACTGGGAAATATAGCAGCAACCACATCGGGTCAACGACATCATGACGACGGTGTCGCCAATACAGGCTCGCTAACCACTCACGTCGACAATAGCTTGAAGATTTGGTATATGCCATTCTTGAATGCGAACAATGTTATCGACTGAAGAAACCGAGTCAATGTCGCACGGAAGGCCCACATCTTTGGCATCTTGAGGTGGAACTATACTTCAGATTCTGAGCCTCTGCCAACCTTAAGACCCACTGCTCTACAAATCGAGTCCCAAGTGGGCAGTATGGGGTTAGCGTCTAGAGAGCCGTTACCACAGCAGCATCAAGTCCCAAATGTCCGCGTTTCGAGATGCCTCATTTGAGTTTGGAAGAGAGGCAACAAATCGACCATGCCTTGTGTTTATTCTGGCAAAAGCCATTTGATATATCGTGCATGGGATGTCAACATGACACAGAGATGTTATGGACAATTGCATGTTCATAGTCGGTATGGTGGCCTTTGACCTTCACACTTCCATGTTCATCGATTTCCACTCACGGACATTATGTACTTATTGGCTTTGCTGAATAAACGGGCCATATGGACTGTGAATGGATATCAATAAGAAACTGTCTGAACAGTTTCAGCATGAACAGGCTTGGGCCTGTCATTGTGTGTTAACCTTTGGGTGTCTTTCAAGGAGTTATCCATGCCCAGCCCCCAGGCCTGCCACACCACTTGAGAGGATTTATGTGTTTGTGAATGCTAGTTCCGCCTATAATGTATAGATCGTGAAGTCACGCAATTCACACAGCTTGAATTCACAGAACGTGAATTCACACAAGTGCTGTTGCCTGTTCTTTCGCCCCTATAAATAGTGCGGTTTTCATTTCTCTTCCCTACCTTCCCTTGAATATCAACACTCATTCCTCTGCATCCAACTTTAGTGTTGATCATCTTGCAGTTTTCACTGTCCATCTCGGCCGTACTCTAGGAACCTGAGATCTTCATTTACGTCTATCATCTGTTTCCTTATCACTCTTCTCTTAACATTCCTAAATTGCCCCTTCTTCCGTCAAGCGTCTAGACACAAGACTCGGGTTCCATTTGGTTCCCAAACAGCCAGTGTAGGTCTGTGTCCGACATGACCTCTTGGTCCTGGGAGTGCGCATCAGCTGGTCTAGTAGACTCTACAGAATTCGCGACGCTTGGAAAAGACTTCCTTGACGACTTTCTTGAAAAACTCGAGACAGACGACTCCCTGTAAGTTCCTATAGGCGGTTTGTCTTTCGAAGATGGCTCCTAACGTTTCATAGTCGTGACTGGCTTGCAACACCTGGCAGTGGAGGAGCAGTAACCACTCAAGATATTCACTATCAAGAGTCTGGTCTAGCGAACACCATGGTGCAGGAAGCTAGTGAACAAGGACATTCCGGAATCACCCCTGATACCTCGAACATCTTCCCCGATCAAGCTATCGCGATGGACCAGGCGAATCTAGATAATTACGGTATCTCGATGGCGTATGAAAGTGGCTCGGTGCCTGCCCTGGAAGATTATGATACCGCCGCGGTTTTGGACGAACTTGAGGTCTTGAACTCAGGACAATTCGATGTCTCTGCCATATCACAGGGTGGTATTATGTCCTCGGCACACCCCAGCATGTCGTCTCTGCATGCTAGCCAAGCCAATGAGCTACCTGCCAACTATTACGGCTGCGCCACTCCTAATATGATAGGGACTGTGGCTGCTTCTTCTCAACATCTTGCCATGAAGCAAGCTGGCAATGCCTTCTCGCAGCCATACAGCAGCAGTCCCTTCTATTCATATGGCACTTCCACGATGGATAATGGCTCGATGAGCTCATATGTGTCCACTCCTATGGAACAGACAGCACCCCACTTTGTTAATGTACCCAACACTCGATTCAATCATGGGCTTATGAGCCAGATGTCTACCCCTCCGTCGCAGCGAGCTGCTGCTGGTCTCGCCCAGGGATTTGTGACACCGATTAATCAGATTAACAGACCCAACACCAACCGATCGGATACTGCATCTTCGGGCAACTCGCAAAATATGCGCAGATACAATGCTGCTCCACTTATGGCACAAGCAGTCACAGGTGCTGCCAGCCACTTCATCACAATCCCTACGCCTGTGTGCCAGACTATGAATCCTTCGCAGCAGCAGGTCGAGGGGAAGTCTACCGGCAAGACCAAACTAGGGTACGTCTTTTTAGTCTCTTCTTCGAGACCACGAATCTTCTACTTACGATTCCTATAGTGCCCGATCACCCGCAAACAACTCATCAGCGTCTGGATCTGGACCAGACATGAACTCGAGCCCGCCTGCTTACCTCCCCGGCCAGCTTGGAACAGTCAATGGCGTTCAAGGCAGTGTCTCTGGAAGTAGCGGATCATCTGTAAAGAGATACACTTCCCCCCGTGTCAAGCCTGCTACTACCCCAGTGCCCAGTATTGTCCAAAACACCGGCGACAGAAATGTTACAGCCTCAAGCCCATCAGTTTCAAGCTCCCCAACCCCGGTTGCGGCTGACACGGCTACCCAGATAGCAACTGCTCTTAGATCACCGGCCTCGCTTCCCCGACCCAGCGTTGTTCCTGACATTGTGCAGCTAATGGACCCAGTGACATTCAACGTTGACGTTGAAACCACGTACTCTTCCCTGACAGAAGCTAGGGAAGCAAATCGAACCGCGTCTGGCCCTCGCGAAGACGACACTCTTCCTACAACAGACATCCAGAAAAGAGCAATTGTCAAGGCCCTGACAAATGCAATGCTGAGTACCAAAAGCGCGGAGGACAACCCGGGAATGGTTAAGCCATTTCACGAAGGCAAATTTGGCTCGGCAAGAGTCGAGGCCGTCTGTTGGGAGCTCCTAGTAGGAATCCAAACCAAGCAGTGTTGGTAATCTGCAAGCTAACACCCTCTCTAGGAAAGTGTCATTGCCAGGCATACCTCGGGCTCGTTGTTGGCATGCTATGGAATTAAGCGCAAGGGCAGTGGCGAGTCGATGACCTTTACTGAACGTATGACCAGGATCTTGCAGTGCCTGTCGACACAAAAGACGATTTGCAAACACTTGCTAGACCCGCTGTACATGCACCAGTTTGTCGATGACCCTCTTTCCGCTTATAAGCGCGTCATCGCAAATAAGACTCTGAACAAACGCAAAGGGGAGGTGATGAATGCTGGAAAGCAAGTGCTTGGAGCCAAGAGGACCAACGCCACGACTACGCAGAGCCAGGAAGTGAAGAGGGAGGAACCCAACAGTAGTATTAATATCACTCCGACGAACACTCCTGGAAGCGCTACGGTCAATAGAAGAAAGATTTTCGCAACACCGACAGCGACCTTCCGACAGACAGCCGCAAACCTCGCACGCCACGCGGCCAATAATAATATGCTACCAGGGACGATGGATGTAGGTGCGCATGCTTCGCTCGCTCAAGCCGCCCGGGGCTCGCCCTCGCTCTCGCTCGGAAGAATGCCCACTACAAATGCCCACACGAATCGCATGATGGGCGCAACATCGCACCCAAGACAAAACGTTGCCTTCAATTCTTTGACTCCAAACTCCCAGCCTCCATCTCATGTCAAACCGCTTGATACCCTCTACGATCCAGAGGCCATGCTAGGAAGTCTCATTCAACGCAATATGTCGAACCCCAATGCCAACCCAAACGCCAACCCCAACATGAACCCCGGCATGGCGTCCAGCGTGGCTTCTAACATGACTCCCAGCATGGCGCCCAGCATGAACCCCGGCATGAAATCTAGAATGAACACCGGCGTGAACCCAAATGCGAACCCCAAGATGATGCACGCCAACGTGAAGAACCCCAATACTCAAGCCAGACAACAGCAGCAAGCACCAGGTGCTACGACTGGCCCTCGGAAGAGGACCTTGTCCGATACAAACTTTGAAGACCAACCTCCGTCGGCCAAACGACAGCATTGACCTTAATCCAACACAAACACAACGGAGCAATATGAATGGACAGGATTACATTAGCAAAGACAAGAAACGCGACGGCACTGGTTGTCTGTTAAGACACAACTCTTCAAACACTTGTGAGGATGATGCCAGGTTTTACATAGAATGGAAAAGCGACAGCACCAGGTGCATGTTATGACACAACTTCCAACACTTCGACCAAGACGACGGACAGGCTTCGCATGACACGATGACACGGAGCGACGCCTTTGAACATGCCCCGAGCCATATCTGAGCTGACCTACGATCGAAGAAGAATGATAGTAAGAGAGCTTTTGCATCTGTACGGTGTTTTGTGATACTCGGTCGAGATATTATGCGATCTATTTCCGCTTGCGTTACTATTGGGATCTCTTACAACTCACTTTGCTCACGATTGGAAACCACGTCGAATTGGATTTCCATCCCAGGAATTTCGTTGCCGGACCCCTTCCAGAAGCAGCTCAGCAAGTCATTTTCTACATACCTATCGTGACTTTTGCCATTGGTTAAGATACGGACCAGGAATCACCACTCAAACACAACTTTTCTTGTCTCGGACCCCTTATTCTAGACTGCCTGTGTTATGCTCTTTCTTTACTGCTTCGGGTCTTTTTGTATTGCCTCAATTCACATGCGTGTTTATCAGGTTCTCTATCTTTTCAGGTTTCGTTTTTGCGCTTGTCATTAGACTGTCCTTCGGTTTCAGCGCTTTTGTCTTTTCAAACATGTATTACGGCTTACTCCCCGCCCGACGTGCATGTACAATAACAGATTGCCAGAATTTCTTCGCCGATAGCTAAGTAGACAAATCTTACGCAGGCTTGATTCCATAACGTTTAAAGGGGAAGTTCTCCAGGGAAGGCAATAGCTCGCCCCACCCATCGTCAAGCTTCCCTGTCTTGCCCGCACTGTTCAGCCGCCCGGAAACAATCTCATCAGCCTTTCGCTCAGGCTCAGTCTTCTCCTCTTCCTTATGTTCTCCAGTGAGCCCAGCCAGCACCTCACCCTCGCGACCCTTATACGACTCCAACAGACCCGGATGCGGGACCCAGACGACCCTCATACCGGCCCTCCGCCCAGCCTCAACACCAGGCACCGCATCCTCAAAGACGAGACACTCCTCCGGCTTGATCTCAGTTTCTCCCTTTGTGCGCAGGCTCGAGTTGATAGTCTCGAGGGCAAGGAGATAGATGTCAGGGAGCGGCTTACCCCTTCCCTTGCCAATCCGGGGATCGTCACCCAACACCTGCTGGGACTTTGGGAATGCGGAGAACAAATCTCCCAGATGATCGGACTTGAGCACGAAGTTCTTGCTGTGGGAAGATGTAGCCAAAGCAATGTATACGGGGCTGTCGGTGGTTTGAGTGGAGAGGAGGTTAGCGAGGAGGTCTCTGACTCCGGGAAGAGGCTGAGATAGAGGGAAGTATTTCTCCTGCAGGGCGGATTGCTTCACGCCGTATTCCTCTGGGGAGATGGGGAGCTGAGCCCACTGGTGAAAGATCCTGCTGGCCTGGTTTGGGTCAGTAACGATGTTGGATTCGGACATGGGCGCAGGAAATGCAAAACAATGTAAGCACCTATGCTATGTGTCTAATAAACGGAATCGAGGAATGACTGAAACAGGTAACTGGGAGATTGAAGGCTGGTCGGGCATACATCTGGCTGAGGACGACCCTGCAATTGGGCCTTGATAGACCAGGGAAGCGGAGGTTTTCCGTATTCTTCAAGAATGGCATTTGTGATATCGGTGTATTTATCCTCCGAGTCGATGAGCAGGCCATCCATGTCAAAGAGACATGCCCGCACGCGGGGTAAGCTAGGGGAGGATCAGTCAATTGTGAGTTATTTCGTGGGGTGTCAAGATCATACTTTGGAACAGAGCCGGACATAATGCAGGTAGTCTCCTGGGGTGAATAGAGAGGAGGTTACCAAGTTCTGCGGTGCTGGTTGACGGGGATGATCTCCCTCTGCACGTTGGGCGATAATAGATATCGGGGATCGGCAGAGGGGAAATTGCGGCCTGAGGCATGGAGGGGTCGGGCCAGCCACTCCGATTTGCCGACTCCGCGGCGAACGCGGAGTAGCTTCTGGAATCCTGGGATCTCCCGATTTCAGAAACGGAGAAACAAGCACCTATTTTCGATCGTTGGTTGGCACGAAATGGCGAACGACGCGAAACAAAATGCCGACAATGCTGCCAACAGCGACGCTGAAGAAGGGGAAGACGTCTTCCACGATGCTCGTTTCCCCGCCGAAGAAGAAACGGTGAGCTATCCTAAGCCCCTCACAAGAGAATAGATCCTCATACAGCCATTAGCGACTCCTAGAAGAATCACAGACCATCAAAGCGGAAGCCAATAAACTCTTCACGGCTTCCTGTTATGACCAAGCTATCTCCTGCTACGACCGCGCCCTCGCCTCATGTCCCAACTATCTCGACTACGAGGTTGCTGTTTTGCGAAGCAACATGGCCGCCTGTTACCTGAAACTAGAAGACTGGAAAGCATCAGTTGACGCCGCGACCGCCTGCATCAACCGCCTGGATAAAGTAATTCCTCCCTCGACGGGAGCATATGCAGACGATGCGAAGGGAAAGCAGCAAGAGCCGAGCGCCGAAGACGCCGTGATCGAGATAACAGGGGACGATGAAGAGGCTGAGGAGGAGCTGAAACGGCTACAGAAGCTGGACGATAGGAAACGTGACGTCATGCGTATTCGGGCAAAGGCGCTTATGCGACGCGCGCGGGCGAAAATGCAGCTAAACGGCTGGGGAAACTTGCAAGGGGCCGAAGAGGACTACAAAGAACTGGCTGGGATGGATAATTTACCGCCGGATGATAGACGGGTAGTCCAGAAGGCACTTCGAGAACTACCCGCGAAAATAAACCAGGCGCGGGAGAAAGAGATGGGAGAGATGATGGGGAAGCTCAAGGATGTAAGTTGGCGTCCCTCAAGGCCACCTGCTTGTCAGCATACTGACAGGATACAGCTGGGAAATGGGATTCTGAAACCCTTTGGGTTGTCGACGGATAACTTCAACTTCGTACAAGATCCGAAGACGGGTGGATATAGCATGAACTTCCAGTCTTGATGGCTGAGCGACTTGAGCATCACATTGCATTATGGAGTTTGGGATCATGATAGCCAAGTGCAGTATAATCGGATGGTAATCTCACATCTACGGACTTGTTTAGTAGAGGGAAGCATACAAATATAATATAGGAGACAACTGGAGAAGCAAGACGAAGACACGCTTTCCACTCCTTATAGCTTTCTTCACAAATAGACTGTGTGATTATGCTTGATGCGGCCAACCACGACAGATTGCTCTTTTAATCTATTGTGGCTAACTAAAGGTGTACACCAGATAGGCGCACACGAATAGAAATAGAGGAGCTTCAACGGCTTCATCTATGCCTGAGCGGCCCAATGTTCTACTTGCAGCAGTTTCAAGACTGACATCTCATTTACTTGATATCATTTTATCTTAAAGACGATTAAACTTTACCTCCCAGTGTGATGTGGACGTGTTATCATTGTGAAAACTTCGCAGCCCCTTTGGTAGCACTAGTATCGCACGGTGCCGCATGTTATAGTAAGTTAAAACATCTCCAAGATCTCATTGAGAATGATCATCGGATTGTTACCCAATAAATACATCAGGGCCAGCGGGGAGGATCTCTATATCTTATAGGAATATTCCTGCGATGCTGACTAGGCTGGATCGCATTTCGATATATAAGGCGGCCAGAGTCTAGTACTTGCTTTAAATCCATACCTGACAGTGATCCCACCGGGTGATATTCACTTTGGTCAGATAGTTCAAGCTTACTAAATTCGGTCACAAGAGAAGGAGGAAGGTTGCGACTTCCCCTTTTCGAAGCATCCTACCCTCGATCCAGTCTCTACATCCCATCTGACCGGAGTCTTCCATTGTTCCTCGTCCCACCGCTCCTCATCTATCACTAGTATCTACTCCGATCATTCTTACCAGTCCCTAAGATGCAGACCGCAAACCCACTCCGTTATCCCAATCCGCAGCCACTACCCAACTCTCTCAACCCTCTGTACCAGTTCTATCCGCGATTGGGAGGTGAAGTCACAGGAGCACTGTAGGTGCCAACGACTGAAAGTTTCCCAATAAGCTAATTACTCAGGTCTCCTTATTTCCCGGGGAACCGCATAGTGCTACGTCTGCACCGTCCGAGCAGAATGCAGACAGTTATCTGCAAAGTCATCCACGTCTTCGAACCATTTGATATCGCGTGCATAATATCTGTCACTCTGGAGCAACCGCCCAAAGGTCTGGAAGGGTTGCTAATTGTCAGGATATATGATCGACGCTTTGCAATCGCCCAAAGATTGAGGCATCGCTGCGAATACTGGTCTCATGATATTGAAGTGGGTTTCCGGGATTTCATACGTGACAGAGATTCATCTGTGTATTTTGAGAGCCCGAGCACCGAAGTACTAGATGGAGAAGTTTCTGAGCGCTGGTGCATTGGTCGGCGCGAAGCACGTTTTAACGCGGTCATGCAAAAGTACTACACTACTGAGTTGGAAACATATCACAAGGTCAAGGATCTTCAAGGTAGATATATCCCAGGGTGCTTTGGCACTGTCCATTTGCCATGGGAAGTACAAGGGAAACCGGGATACCCTTTGAGATGGTCATGTCCTGGACTCCTAGTTCAGTATATCACAGGGTTTCCCTTGGAGAGACTTGCATATTACATGCCACGTCAAGGGTGGCAATCTGTCTGCGAAGATGCTGCTCAGGTTGAGAAAATTTTGAAAGACCGAGGCTTGCAGGATCTTGACACCAATCCCAAGAACTTTGTCGTCTGGCCCGAGAATCCTAGGGGACCATTCAAAGTCATGATGCTCAATCTTGTGAGGCGAAACATCCCCAAAAATGGCACAGATGATCTTGAAATGAGGCCGGTCAAGCCAGAGCCAGACACCAAGAAGTTTAGAGAATCTACTACTCCAGAGATTCTAGACGGAGACTTTCGGATTCGTTGACAAGATCAAGTTTTGGCTGGGGATGTTCAGTTGGCTCGCAGAAAGCGCAAGTAGTAGTTAGATTATGTAGCTCTAATCTATGTTCGCCGTATGATTTGAGTCTAGCACGATCTACTTGAATCTATGTTAAATTTGTCCCATTGCCATAGGAAGGGCGCTGAGGATGACAAATTGAGGCTTCAAGCTCTCGCGAAGGATCCACGCAGAGGCACATATATCAGACTTAAGGTCACTCCAGAGAGGAAAAGCTGGATGACTAAAAATGGTATCTCGCAGGGCAGCTGGATACTCGGTTGCAGTTTTCCGCTTTGGGTATCTTGCTACGTTACCGACTTCAACCTAAATGCAATGCTTTGTGTCGGTCTATGTACTTCATATATGACTTGTGCAACAGGATTCCAGCTCCAGCTTCAACTATCTCTCTCAAGTGCCGAAGCACCTACCTAACCAACCCCAAACAACAGGTCCCATTAGACCAACCAAAGAAACCATAAAAATAATATATATCGAATCGAACCAACTCCCAAAAAAAACAAACCAACATCACCCATACAACTCCGCCCGACCAGCCCTGAACCCATCCAACTCCGTAGCCATATTATGCGGCTGGGTAGCTATCTCCACCACGCTTTGATGACGATACGGCACTCGCCTCGGATTCTCATGTCCCTCTAACCCAGCCGCCCGCAGTCGTCTCCTCACTTTAACACAGAAGTAGACCAGAAAGGCAGAAATAACGAGTAGAGGTATACCCAGACCGGCGCCGAGTCCTGCTCTAAGCGCGATAGTGGGTATATTTGATGATGATGAAGAGGAAGGATTGGTCATTCCTGTTGGTATCAACCCAGAGGGCGCTGTCAGATTACTGGAGATAGAGACCGTGGTGTTGGTGGTTGTAGTGGTCGGGGATTTCTGGGGTTGGGTTAGTTTTCTTTTGGTAGGTTGGAGGAGTATGAGTTGGGGGATGGATGAAAGGTTGATAGAGGATTACGCACCCGCATAGCAAACACGCGGACATTCGCTGATGGGCCACGAGTCATCGGTGCAGGCGCCTCGATAGGCAATGTTGAGTTTCGGACCGTAGCAGAGACCGTTGGAGAGGCAGGCTTCGCCGCGCAAACAGCATGATTTGCTGTTTGGGCAGGGGACGTAATTGGTGTCGGTGTCGCCGTTGGGCCAGTAGCATGTTGCTGTGTCTGTTTCTGATGCTGTTGTTGAGGGCGTTGTGGAGAGGAGGGGGAGGGTGAGGTAGAGGAGTGTTAATCTTGTTGGCGTTGGTGTAGACGGGAGGAGGGTATATAGTAGTTGCGAGGGACGCATTGCGTGGATGTGCGCAGCAAACTGTCGCACTGATGTTGGAGGGAGGTATGTTTGATACCTGGGAATGATGAGACGGGCCAGTTCGCAATCGCAGGGTTCAGGGTCGAGTTAAAGAAAATTGAACACCCTCGAGAGACTTTGCTATTATTAGATATAGCCGCCGGGTTGAGGTGGGAGTTGAAGAGACGGGCTGTGATTGATGGCGTGGAAGCTCCGGCCTTCCGTTTTGGTATATTTAAATGAGATTAGCATTTTGGTATGCATTAGTCGCTGTTGTTTTCTGAGGCGGGGTTTCAGCCTTGTTGTTTGTTTCAGGCACTGTCTGTGATGGCAGTGACTGAGGGGTGAGGTGGGGGTTGTAGCAGGGTTCATGTTGTCGCCGCGCTGTGGAGACTGACTGAGTTTAGTAGCTCTTTGGAACGCAGTCGGTCACTTCGTTTTGAAAAAGGGTTCTTTACCTCCTCTGAAAATCAGTGTGATTATTTCGAGAGTGTGATGTTGAAGCTGAGGGAAAGGCATGGGGGAGATGGTGAGGAAAACCAACACCACCATCATGACGGCGGTGCCATTGCCACGGACAACCCCGTTGTCAGCCCCCTCGGAATTTGTCTACTAAGCAACAAAGAGATGCGGTGGTATTTGCAAGGCTAATATTGGTATCGTGAGGAATAGGAGGATACCCTTGGCGAGACCAGGAAACAGCTCCCCTGATCTCTATGACTTGATCAACGCACTAATGAAAGTCTTTCCTTGTAGATTACCTCTAAGGTCGTTACGCCGTAACCGTCATATCCGTGCCTTTCGACCACAGTTCACCTTCCAAGTACTAGCGGTGGCATTGAATTAAAGATCAACAACCCGGGATAAGGAGAAGAGACCCTAGAGCAAGATGGGCCGGGAAAGGCGGGCGGAAAAGAGAACTAGGTTTTACGACAAGATATAATTTACAAAAAATTAGATTGAAGCTCATCCGAGAAAAATATTGGTAATTTGAGGCAGATGGAATCTTAATATTCAGAGCTTATACGCAGTAGGAACAAACATTTGTCCTTGGTAACTGTCCTTGATGACCTCAGAGTATGCCACTAGTTTCACCTGCTTCCCATATAACTGCAGTTTTTAAAACAACCTAGGCAGCAGTCGAGTTGACCGTGGTGTTCAAAAAGCTCGATCCCAGCTTGGTTGCCGCTGCCTTCTGCAAAGCTGCCACAGCTCCATCGAAGTTGGAGAACATCTGGCCAACCACCGATTCACCGCAAGCGGACTCCTTAAAAACTGTGGCTGTGGTCGTGTCGCGCTTCTTGAAGTTGATTCCAGGTGTAATCTCAACGCAGTTGTACTGTGACTCGGCCGCACGCAGCTGGCAGATCTCGTCTGTTTTGCAATCACCAGTGCACTCCGAGACGTCCCAGCCACGTCTCTTGCGGGCGTAGTAGTCCTGGAATACACTGTCATCGTTTTCGAGAAGTACCGTGACATTGTGCCAGAATGCCGGAGTCAGCTCAGCTGCGCTGTCAGTAACGGGTGGGTCAAGCAGTGATCCGTAGGCCTCCTTAGCCGAGTAATACTTCTCCCATGTAGGCTTCTCCTGATATGTGGGACTGGACATGTTGGTGATGTACTCGGTAAAGTCGAGAACACCGAAGGTGACAGGATCAACGGAGTAAACGCGGAAAGCAGGGTTACCAGAAGTGGGCGTCATGGCCGGCATGATGTAAGACATCATGGTGGCCGTATCTGCCGACTGGTCGGTGTAGTTCGAGTAAGCAAGTTCGAACTCATCCTTGTGAGTGTGTCCATAGAAGACCGCGGCAATAGTGGCGTCATATCGCTGGATGATCTGATTGAAGTAGTTGGATGCATCGTGGAAGGTATCGCCGGATCCCATGGGCATGTGGCCCATTAGCCAGACTCGCTCGCCTGCTGTCTCGGCCGCAGCCAGCTCACTTACGAGCCAGGCCAACTGTCCATTAGGATCAGTCTGCATAGACTTCTCGTAGAGCCAGAAGTTCTCTCTGTAGTAGAAGTTGGAGTTGAACGAGATGATTCGCAGGTTGCCACCGGGGTACTTGACAGAGTAAGCGCCATAGTCGTCTGCGGTACTGGCTGCACTAGATCCGATCCATTGACTCCAATCCGAAGAAAGAGTATCATAGGCCCACTGGCTCGAAATGGTCGTGTCAATATCAGATGGGGGAAATGAGTTAACTGGAGCAGTATCATGGTTGCCAGTGACACCATAGACCAGGTCGAAGTAGTCGGACATCCGAGTATTGTAAGCGTCATTCAGATCGTTGGTCACTTCCGTCTCATTCACCAACCATACAGCACCTTCAACAACATCACCTGTGAAAATAACGAACGATGAATCGGGAACGAGCTCCTTGATAGCCGCATACATGCTCTCTTCTAGCGTAAGAGGGGCATCGCAGTTGTGGTTACCATACTCGCCTGCAGGGTAGTCGGTTACGTCTGGGTCATCGGAGGTAGTATATGGACGACAGCAGATAGGCTTGGTGCAGTTGTAGCTATTAGAGATAATTAGCACTTGCCCTGTGGCAGTAAAGGAAGAAGTTACATACCTTGCACCAGTCTCATATGAAAGATCAACATGGATATCACTGATGTGAACAATCTGCAGAGGAGTTTCTCCACTCGGTGCTGGACGAGAGGCATTGACCGGCTTGGCAGAGGGGAACTCTACAGAATACTCGGCCACTGCAGGATAATTGCATAGTCCAAAGATGGTGGTGCAGAAAAGGACGGCTGTCTTGGAGGGAACGTCCATATTGCGCAGATCATGAGCCAAAATAGGACCCTCAAGACCAATTGCGCCCTTGCAAACATCATCGTCATCCACCTGAACTATCTATCAGTAGTGCTCAGTAAGACTGTTGACTCAAAAACACCTACGCCAGCCAAAATGCAGACTTCTGTAATCACATCCACGAAGTCATCATTTCCCAAGTGGGCAAGTGCCTGGAGTACAACCAGCAGAGCCTACAGACAATCACATTACATCAGTACATGTAGCGCAGGGTCAATTAATGCAACAGACCTCACAAGCTGCGCAAGTAGTAGCATCTTCGATATCAGTCAGAATCTCACTAACTGTCTCCCTCTTGGTGATCCTGGTCTCGGTAGATGCGAGAGCAACACCGAGGAGGCCACCAAAACAGAGCAATTGGGAGACTCTCATCGCGTAGAACCGGTATAATGCGGCGGATTGGAGTTGGCCTTCGTATTTAGGAAGCGAATGGCATGTTCTGCGCCTTATATAGGCACGGCGGTCATACCCTGCGGAACAGTGGTTCTCCTCCGGCCACCCACCCCTCGATCATTTGTTCCGTCAGGCATTTAATTCCTTAATATGCAGCTAGACGAAACCCCACTGAAGCCCATCCCGCATCCTGCACGTTCCTCTGGGCTCTCCGGTGATTGAGTGGTGGTTATATGACTGGTGGAGATATGGCAGCACGGGGGCTCGGGTAGAGGGGGGCATGCCGGGGCACTCGCGATGGCGATTGGCGGACAGGCTGTTTGGCAGGCGGCAGGAGTAATTAATTTCAATCTAAGTCTGCAGGGGCAACAGAGCAAAGCCGGGTTGTACGGGTTGGGGCGGAATTGGCTGACGCTAATGATAAGGGGTCCGGTGACAGGCCCGGCCTGACTGCCCCTCCTGGCTTGGGCCCGGAAGTGTTGGTCTTCCGGCCATTTCTTCAGCAGAATCCCGGGTATCGCCGCTGATAAACATGGGCCCAGGGAAGAACGACAGTCTTGTCAGTCCACTCAGGATCATAAATTTAAGACATACCACGCAGCGCATTAACCGCTATTCCTTAGTGTCCGACGCAACGAACCTCGGCAACAAGCCCTATCTCATGGCGTCGAATTCGCGCAAAGAAGCCAATATGATGTTGACGATCCATGCAGATTCAATCTGAACGAAGGACAGTAAAATGTGGGAAAAGAGGAAGATACGTCGTACATGTGGTTCATTCGTAGATACATGCAGGCAAAATCTCGATGGACTCGCATGACGCAGCAAGTAAAGATTGCAGATGCATTGCGCACAGGGGTAGTATGAAATCAACTGACAATTCTCTCACTATTCCAACGTGCCGACGAGTATATCACGCATCCAAGCGATGTGTAAGAAGTTGAAACCTGCGTAGGAGATCCTGCTGCTCGTCTTCTGACAGGTGTAATTGTCTGGTCAATTCATACCCTTCCTTAAGCCGTGCATTGACAATAGCCTTCCTAGTTTTCGATCTGACAGCCGTCTCGATCGTTTTCGCTATACCGTGAAAAGGATAAGCCACAAGACCAATCCCGGCTGTAGAAAAATCGTCAGTTTGGTTACTCTATTGGAATGGAAGTGACATACCCGACGGAACCTTAGTCGCCAGCCCAATGGTTCCTTTGGCAAAGCCTTTAACGGCTCCTAGCGCCCCATCCTCCCTGGCACCCTTAACCGGCTCGGTGAAGAAGCCTTTGAAGCCACCCGTCATACCATCGACAAAATTCCTGCCGCCCATAGTAGCACCACTCTTCCAATCCCGGACTGTACCATAGTCTTTGGGTTCCTCCCCATAGAGTCGAGGAACTTGCCGGAAGCCCTCCGCAGCAGCATGGGGTATGTCCACCACTACACCTTTGAAATAAGCTCCCGTAAACTTGCCAAACCCCTTCAGAGAAGCCCCAACCATACTCCCCGCCGTTGATAAGGAGCTTTTGCTAGGATCGCTGTTGGCCTGAGTCACTGTGGTGCCCGGACCTGATGGTTGTCTCTCTGCCTCTGGACGCTTGCTTGAGTTTGATGACGATGCTAGACTCAAAGGCGACAGGTCGCGCTCAGTACGGGCTCTTGGAGACTTTCCAGAACGACCGCGTGTATATTCTTTGTACGGGTCATATAGCATCGCTGCAGTTGATTTGATCATCTCAGACCCTGTACTTGTAGAGGCAGATATAATGCCGGTCACGGGGTCCCAACGTCGGTTTTCTATATAAATAGGATTGATGTCATGGCTGGATTGAAATTTCAGTTAACACAGATACTAGCAGAGTCCAGGATAATCAAACTCAAAGGGATACACACCACCGAACGTGTCCCGCATCGATCTTGCCATTGTCTATCAATATTTGAGCAGCTGCCTTGGAAAGGTTGATGGGTTGTTTGGACCGGGTGTAGCTCCATACGGCAGGTTGACTAGGGATTAGAGAGCAACGCATCTTTTTTAGGGGCAAATGACGATGGAATGACTGAACTGCTGCAGCAACTCCTGCTTCATATTGCATTTTCAGGGCAAGATCCCGGGCGGAATGTGCCACTGCAGGTGTCAAGCAGAACATAATGGCATCGGCCAGAACCTGTGCATTTAGTGATGCATAAGGAATGGGCCTGCTGCCAGCTCCAGCCCTCGCCACCATGTGACCCCAAAATGGCTGGCTGCGGCTTGTCAGCACGAACAGAACCAAGAAATTTCTTAAAGAGAACATACTCCCCAAAAAAGGGTACAACAATAGTCGGCCGACCATTGACAAGACCACATGCTGTTGTCCCAGCACCTCCATGGTGTACCACGGCAGCCACGTGTTGGAAAAGCCACTCATGTGGACAGTCATCGATGTAATAGATATTGGGACTCGGTGCACCACCTAGTTTGCTCCAACCCCGTGAGATAATCGCACGAACCCCAGTCCGTGCAACTGCTCCGAGGATGATATCGGTCATCTTCTGAGGGCATTCAATGACAATACTACCAAATCCTATGTACACGGGTGGCGGTCCAGAATCTAAGAACTTCTGTAATTCAGGTGGAGGCTTGTAGGTGGGAGGCTCGCGGAAAAAGAACCCGCAAACATCTAAAGCACAGATCAGTCATATTACACAATAGCTCGATGTTACCCATGGAATAATAACCAATATTTGCTGGCCAGTCCTGCGGCTTCGGGACCAGAGCTGGAGACCAGCAGTAAGTAAACGGAACCTTTAACGTTTCAGCCAGCCTAGGTCCTTCTGTTGCTGAGACCGGCTCTAAGTCGATGGATGCCCGCCACTGGTTGATCACATCTCCTAGTCTGTACGAAAGGACTCAGCCCCAGGTCTAACATTCATGGAAAGCAGACGTACCCCTGCCATGTAAGCCACTCCACAACACCATATGAGACCCAGTTTGCTGTCCTCGGGTTCATGTCTGAGGAGCTCAGGTTGGCGAGCGGGTGAGGGAAAGCCTTGGTACTAGTCCAAGGCATTGTAAACATGAGGTGAACCGGGATACTGAGCGCCTGCGCACAATGTATATGGGCAAAGCTGGGCGGATTTGCAATTATAGCATCTGCAACGATTGGAGCCTTTGTGACTGGATCATCTTCAAGGCACGACTTCCAACAGCCTTCAAGCATTTCAGCAACCATCGCCCTCTTTTTCTGTATCTCCCCGGCGCGCAATCCTTCCATCTTGGGTATGAGGCCCGGATTCTTGACCATAAAAGCCATCAACTCAGCTGGATCGCCACCTATAGGATAGAACTCAAGTCCCGACTGAGTGACGAAGTCAGCAAACACATCGTGTGTGGCTATCCGGACCCGGTGCCCATAATTTTGTAGCGCATTCCCCAATGCGATAAACGGTTGCACATCTCCTCGGCTGCCCACGATTTGTATCACGATATTTAGCTGTATCTCACATCCGACCGCCTGATCCTGCACTGACTGCCTCCAGAGGTAATCTGGGGGTGGATTTTGAAGGTCCTCTTGCTGTAGCTCGATAACTTTGGCTAGTGTTCTAGCAAATTTGGAGTCAAGATCGACATTTACGCGGCCATCGGCTTTGGTAATATCAGTCATGCTGGAAACCCTCGTGCTTCCCAGTCAGGGAGCTGACCGACTCACCTTGCACATCTGCTGACTCTACCACTAGCCTGTCATCAACATATGGTGAATAAAGCGGAGGCGCTTGCTCATCCACGGAAGCAGCGTGGCCATGACCGTGCTGAGAGGGAAGTTCCATGGTCTGATGTCGAGAGTAGCAAGTAAAAATATGCGATGCTGAAGGGTCACCCGTAGAAGATTCTTGACATTGTAATATATAGCGGGGGAATGAGGCAATAAGCTTTGGGCAACTTTGAATATGGAAGCCTGCTGTAGTTCGTATTCGCGATCGATGCTAGAATTGGACTAGCGCCTGAGCGGAGATATTCATAGAAAACCTCAGCCAGATGGCCACTGTACGCTGCGTCGCTAAGGTTTTCGCATAGTAGCCTTACCTAACATGTTTATGGGGCCAATGTCCCAACTGGTGGGATCGACATCTAAAAAGAAGTCTGAATTTTAATAAGAATAGCAAAACATTCGATGCCGAGTTGGGAAAACTGGGTACGGAGTAGAAGACAGCAAGCAGCACACTACCTACACCCCACACTCCCTACACCCCACACTCCCTACACCCCACACTCTAGCTGCACAAGGGTTAGCGGTCCGAACCTAAGCTAATACATTACTGAAAAGTTCTTTGTGTCGACAAGACCTTATTCTATTATGAGTTACAAGCAGCTGCCTAGGTAGCCGATGTGTATTTCGCGCAAGAGCCAAGAATAAAGATCAACTGAGAAACACAAGCCAAGCCAAGCCAAGCAAATTGCCGCGCTCCCCGCTGATCACCACTCTTAAAAAGATAAAGGGGCCTCCAACTGTTCTCAGTTTGCTACCAGACCGCGAAACCGCGCGGACATGATACTTCCCTTGACAATCTCTCATTATCCTGATAGTTAGCTCACTAGCAGAGCCACTACTAAGGCCCAACGTCAACCCATCTGAATGCTTCAACATATCGTCTCCTTCAGTACAGCTATTCTTGTCTTTCTAAACAGCTTTTCTTGCTCTTCTGTCGATTATCTCTATTCAGCGTAAGTTGCTGTCAACTCTACTAATCCCTATATATGTGTTTATAGCGCACAGGAAGTCGTAGAACATCATCGAGGAGCGACCACTACCGCCAGACACTGCGTATGTGAGATCAAACCAACATAAAGTCCCTCTGTCGGTCATCATTTATTGACCCTAGCTGCCTCGCCACTACGATTTAGAAAATATAATAACAAGTATTCTATCGCCAGAACCTCATTTTCATATCCTCTTACCCCATAAATATATTTCAAAGTGCAGTTCCTAATAAAATATTTGACTTCAGATACAGAAAGAGAATGCCTCACTTACAAACAAGATCCTTCAAGACTCAGACCCAGGTCCCCTTCGGACGTTTCCCTCAAACATTCATAAAAGCTGACTCATTAGCACACACACTTCTATAACAATATGAACCCAGAAGAACGTATCAAACAGACACGCTCGTATAATCCCAAGTGCAAATATTGGCAGTACAGACTTATTGTGGAGGCTTTGGAGAAGGCAGAGCGCCTGATCGACGATAAAATCGAACATGCCCAGTCCAACACATCACTGATACCTTCACTAAGGATTGATGACTATGCTCGTGATATAACTATATGATCCGCTTAAGTATGCAGACTTGGCGGATTTAGAGGCACGCATGGCTGCAGAACTAGATGCGTCTGGCTATGTATCGTCCAACGTCATCACACCAACGGAAAAATCACTGGAGTTCTTCAGGGAACAGCAGAGATTCATGGATAATCAGGATTACCAAAGAGAAGACCACAGAGATGCCCGTCGCATTCTCAATATTGCGAACCCAAGGGTGCCACGTATGAGGTCGATGAATCGATCTGCTGTCCTCAAGTTTTGGCAGCCAGTCGCTATCGCCCGAATCCTTGAGATCCACCAATCCCCTTACTTACGCGGGGCCATTCTGGGTGATTCCGTCGGGCTGGGCAAAACTTGCGAGACCATCGCTGTCATACTTAAGATCTGGGAAGATTATAATCAATCTGTGATCGATTCCAAACAACAAGGCCGACCCATTCCAGCAGGCCGACCATTCCTGGTTATTGTTCCTCCGGCTTTGATCTCACAATGGTACTCGGAGATCAACCGAGTAACTGATAAGTTCACAGCATTCATCTATTATGGGGAAGAGCGACCGGTGCAGGGAATGCGCACGGTTGGTTCCCGACTACGAAAAACTGACACCATTTTCGATGGCTCACCGATCAACGCCCGAACTGTGGTCATTACCTCGTATCAGACATTTGCATATCGCCACGGCCTGACTGCCGTGAAGGCATGGTATAGCGAAACCAAGGAGTTCTGCCCAAAAGTGCTTCTACGCTGTCCGGTTGAGTTTCTCTTTTCTCTCGATAGTTGCTTTACCGATGTAATCCTCGACGAGGCCCATATACTTCGAAACCCAGAGACCTCGCAGTCAATAGCGGTACACTGGTTAGAAGCCAACTTTCACTTGCTTATTACTGCCACTCCGATCTACAACTCTCGGAAGGATTTTGAGGGATATGTACCTCTACTGTTCCAGCCGTCGAGCTTATGGGATAAATTGGACAGGGCTCAACTGCAGCATTTTCGAGACCAGATATTCTATCTGCCTCTCGGACATCCTGCACGCCGTCTTTGCTGCACAGTACAAGCAGTCGAAGACTATGTCTTGGCTGATCGGATGCCGCCTAGCGTGGTAGGGAACCGGCTGCAATTGATCTTTAGCCAGTTGATGATCTGACGTACCTTATCATCACGTATGCCGTTTGATTCACCAAATACCATTGGAGATGATATCCCGCCAACCCAGCGAAAGATCTGCCGCGTGGAATACACCAAGAACGAGAGAGCAATGTTTCAAGCGGTTTCACCTGGTCTATATCAGGGATTAATCATGAAAAGCAAAAATGATTCCCAAAAATATATCTGGAACATGAACAAGTTCCGCCGGCTGGGTTTACTGATGTCCTGGTTAGGTTTTCACTATATTGGTAGTAACTATTATTATGCTCGTAACATCCCATCGGCTTGTGAAGAGCTATATGACGGTACTTTGGGTGCAAAGCTTGCAGATGCCATCGCTCTTCGGACTTTGGATGAGAGACCACTAAAGCCTGCAGCAGAACCGGGTGAATCTGAAAGTAATATGCAGAATCAGGCGGGAGTTTCCCGTACTCGCATTCTCGAATCTCTTCTGCGGGGATCGCCAAAGATGAGGGCCATGCTTCCCCTCATTAGAGACCAGGTCATTTTACATGATGAGAAGGCTATCGTTTGGACACAAGTTCCCGCCGAGCAGATCTATGTCGCAGCTGTCTTGAGGGAAGCTAATATGGATGCCGAGGTGCTCCATGCCGGATTGAGTCGCGACGAAAAAGCAGCTCTTCTCCACAGATTCACTGAAGTATCTGACAAGTGCATGGTTTCTAGTATGCAACTATAGAATGAATACGGCAGGGTTGAATTTGCAGTCACTATGCCGCAACGTCCACCTTTTCTCCGTTGGCCTTAATAAATCACTCGTCAATCAAGCAATAGGACGAGTGAGTCGCATTGGTCAGCAACGTCCTGTTTTCGTCTACGATTACAGTGTCAAAGGAGGCTTTGATAATGATCTTTCCCGCACAAGCGATCGAAAGGCTATTCCCAGGATTATAGCTGAGCTCAGTCGCGAGTTTGATATCGGAATAGGATGTGACGGGGCATTCTCAGTCAGTGGGTGGGTTATCCGAGACAGGGTTCTCCACAAGTTGGCGCCGGGAGAGAAGGCCCGGAACGATGATATTGAGGATGGTAAAAAAATCAAGAAGAAATTGATTGACTGTTTGGAGGACACAGCCAGATAGAGGAGCGGGCTCTCAGATATTTGCACATTGGACGGATGGATATGGCTGGCCTATCTGGATAAGATGAAAAAGAAAATGTTTCGCAGGCTCAGATGTGCCACCACAGAAATATTTCGCCAGATAGAAATGCCATCAGAACCATATCAATACAATTGTTCAGTTCAACTATTCTTGGCACGTAGTTACCGCGGGAGAATGTCGGGGTGGCACGTGCAACTTCCTCGTTCTTTCCCGATTGGGCTAGTGCCGAGTGTCGGCCTTCGGCTGGAGACGCGGCTGTTGCTGATGACGGTCCGGGATAGACTGACTGTCGACTACCCAACGCCCTCGGTTGCATGGGGACTCTCTGTCCATTTCATTTGGGGACAATGACCCCAGAATTGCCCTCAATTCCCCTTGATATACTGATGACTTTCCAGTGAGCTCGTCTCTTCCATCTGCGCTCCCGCCCCCCTCCGCTTCCTCTCGCGCGATAGACAGACCCCATTTCCCCACGCATGTTTACTGGTGATATTCGATTAGCAGTTCGCACCAGTTCGCCAGGCGGTGCGACCTCCTCTTGGTAGCCGGGCATGTCTATGCTTCAACCGGCCACCTCAGCCGCGACAGCCTCGATATCCGCTGCCCAGTCCCTTAATACGACCCCATCAATCGCTGCTCATTCCTCCTTGTCCTCCTCATCTCGCGAACTACTGTCTCTTCCATTTCGCGGACTTCACCAGGCAGAAGCCTTTACATTCTCGACCTTGCCGAGACAAGTTGCCAAGCTAGTTGGGCTGCAGGATATGGCGACACGATTCTGGGGTACATCTTCTGGTACGGGGCTGGAGACTGATGCAGTGGTACTGGCAACGCAGACAGCAGCCGAAGCTGCAAGAGATGGCGTGGTGGATGCTGCTTCCCAGGCCGAATCAAGTTTTCATTTCTCGGACATCTTGCAGGCCGTCATGAAATTCAGTGGCTTCTTTTCCTACTTGACGAGTCGGTGGTCATTGGCCTGCTTTACTGTGGTACATTTCCATCTATCTCGATGACTTATACTCTGACATGGTCATGCTAACTTATTAAGGCGCTTGTTTTGAACAGGATTACGATCTACGCTTCTACCCGTCGACAGCTTAACCTGAATTGGACCAGGCGATTGGCTCTACGCATTGTTCCTATATTCCTGTTCCTTTCACAGATCTATATCCTTCTTCGTGCTATCCGATGTCAAACGTCTCCCGATTACTCTATCATCCGCTACGGTACACCAGGGAAGCGCTTATTGTTTGATTACTCTGGGGGCGGAGGCTTCCTGTATTCTCTGGGCTCCACGTTTTTGCCGTGGGAAACAGACGAGCAGTCATGTAGTGCAGTTCATATGGGCCTTCCTACTAATGCCTCGGATATCTCATACGGTTCTTTCCGGCTGCTATGGCCGGTATTCATACGGCTGTGCATCAGTCACTTTGTGGAGACTCTGTCTTGCGCTCTACAGGGAAGGGCGGTTGTCACAGAAGCCGGCATGTCGATTTTCGAACACTCGCTTGCATTTGCCGAAGCGGAGTCTACAATCAGCCAATCCCTCGGTCTTGGTATCTTTGGACTTTCCAAGCAAGGCAATGGAAACGATATCCCTGGAGAGAGTGGACAATCTGCTCTTCATCTACTAAGCAGAGGACAAGCCGTAGAACGAATGAACGTGACCCCCGAATTGCTGCTTATTGCACTGATATCGTGTTGCAACAGTCTGACTTCCAACGCACTCGATGTCATTGGCAAACAAAGCCGCTACCGCTTGGTAAACACCGCTTTTTGGGGCCTCTGCTTCATGTCAGCTATGGCATGGGGCTTGTTTAGCGGCTCCTCGATTGGAAGCGACAGTGTCGTTCTTAAGTTCCCGACAGTCTGCATTGTAGGGTTTGTCCCACATCTCTTGATACTATCAGGCATCGTCGCTTGTGCCGTTATCTATGGACTTGCCCTGGTTGTTACGGCGTTCTCTCTCCCAACGCAGAGTCCTGGGCCCTTAACGCTCCGCGAAAGGTTCTCCCTCGCCCATGAGAATATGCAGGGTGCCAACCAAATCCAGAGCATTCGCCTCAATTGGCATGATGATTTTTACACCACATTACTCAGAATCGGATACACTGCTTTGACGGCCGCCAGCGAGGCGGTCTTTCTTAATGAAGGTAGACGGGTTGTCGCACGCAGAATGACATGGTTGGAACGTGATAGACTGGTGGAAATAGAGTCTCTCAGGCGCAAGCAATCATCGCGGCAACATCGCAGCGATTTCTCCGAAGATATGCTCTCTGAAAGTGGTGACTTGATGAACTTTGATATTCCTGAATCCTCAATGGAATGGGAGAGCGGGTACTCTCGCGAGAGGAAAATCGAAAAACCCAAGAATGGTTCGACATCGGTTCGTCCCCAGACTGACCCAGGTGGTGTGGGTGCGTTCAGGGGTGTGGTTCGATGCTACCATGGGTTTGCGTTCTTCCGTGGCATCTTTTACCTCGTGCTGAAGTGGATTGCTTATGGTCTCGACAGGGTCCTATACCGGATCGGTATCAACGCTCGCCCACAGTGGTTGAAGACTGCCATAGGATCTCACCGAAAGGAATCCCAGAGGAAAAGAAAAGGCGGCGGCTTGGAATCATTGGACTTTTGGATTTTGTCGGATGATGGGGTCTTGCAACTCCCGGAGAACCATGAGTTTGACGTAGAAAAAGAAATGAGAAAGAGAGAGAAGATCCAGGCTGCAGCTTGGGAGGAATCTGATGAACGTCGGCTGGACGACAAGCTCTACGGTTGGTGGAAAGCGGGAGGCTCATGGGGCAATCAAGACCAGAGCTCTGATTATGCACCGTCTGCTTACGACTGGGAAGACACTACCAGTGTCATATCCATGTCGACGACGAGCGACTCCGAATGGGAGGGATACGAATCAGACGGTCGTCGGACTCCCACTCAAAAAGATCCTTTTCCCGGTCGTTTCTCCCGAGAGGGCACTCCGGTACAAGAATCACTAGTAGATGTTGGCTCTTTGACACGTCTCTTGGATCCGCGTGACCAGGAAAGCAGACATGAAGCGCGCATTTTAGCTGCACACCTCGCTGCTGGCCGTGATGGTCGAATATTGACTCGTCGTCAGTTCCAGAAGCAAGTCGAACGCGAGCGAGCACAAATCCTGCTCACCTCGCGGTTAGCACAGCCTAACAAGAAGCACTCCCATGAAGACAAGCGCCGACCTACAGCAGAAGATGAATCAGAGATCCTTGAGAAGCTCATCCTCTCACGGAGATCCGAGATGCTATCCCCTTCGACGGCGGACGCACAAACATGGGAATCCGGCGCTTCTGGCCTCGGACCCAGTGGCCCGCCTTGTGTTATCTGCCAGACCAACCCACGGTCCATCATCACATGGCCATGTCGATGTCTCTGTATCTGCGAAGACTGCCGTGTTAGTCTAGCCATGAATAATTTCGGAAGCTGTGTGACATGTCGTCAGGAAGTCGGAGGTTACGTCCGGTTATGGGTCCCATAGATCTGTCTCGATTTGTCCCTGTGACTCTCTCCGTTTGTGTTATTTTCAAATTCTCTTATCATTGGATTGTTGGGGTCTTTAATTAGCATGCATAATTAGCGTGATCTGAATGCACAGGATTAGATATTGATTATTTGTGCTTTTGTTCTAGGGTATGTGCCTATGCAGCATGCAGGTTTGAAATGTCTATACGTGAACCCATTGACTGATGCTACCATTCGTTTTGCTGGATATGATTCCCAACTAGTGCCATGCATCTCCAGTACGGTACCTGGCGAAGAAAGTTCGCTCAACCCTATGCCCAAGTACAACGCCGCACCTAAACCGATCCACCGCATCTTGATCTCCTTCCTACACAGGCGTAGTAGATATCAGTAGAGGCTCCCTCCAAACCCACTCCTAAGATGTATATGAAATGCAATCATATTCGAAACACACAGTTCAAAATACGCGAAATCTTTATTCCGGACACATTAACTGCCTCCTCCAATTCCCCTAACAGTGCAAGACATAAAGAATAGTAAAAAACGCTACAGCCACACTGGCCAGGCTACAACTACGCTTTTTACAGAATCGGGTTTAAGGTCTTATTTACGGCTCTACTTACGCCTCTAATTAAAACTCTATTTGAGATCTTACTTGGAATTTACCTTCTTAAAGAATGACCATCAGACATGACATCTGCGTTCATCTTATCTCTGAGATTTCCTATGAAGAGTGAGTATATTGTAGATAAACAAGAGTGGTTGAGTGTCAAAAGCCCATGCAAGCAAGCAAGGACTATAAATAGCATTTAGAATGTACGCCGGCGACTCGTTACTGGTCTATGAGAAAACGACGCTATGTTTATTCTGGCTTTCTGAAACAGGGCACGGGGTAGAGGTATCCTGATAACTGAGAAGATGGTTGATTTTTGTAGGGGTTTGTTTTATGTAAAGGATGCGCTTGGTGTATGTTGTTGTATTTTGTAGCTAAGTTGGTGGTGAGTGGGTAGGCTTGCGGGAAAGGTCTCACGAATACTACTTTAGGGGTGTATCTAATAGCTTTAACCACAGAGAAATCGAGCACATTGAGGTAGAATTGTGATTAAAGTAAAATAACTCAGTCTCAGGTTTCGTTTTCACTCATGGTGTCAACATTCTATCACGGAGTGTTGCTAAGCATGTGTGAAAGTTCTCTGACAGTGATGGAATGCCTCCCGATTCACGGTCTGATTCACGTCCACTATGCTGCATAACACTATAGTGTTCTTGATGCCATACTTCTCTTAATACCGCCTTTTCCGTAACTGTTTTGTATCAGTTCCTTCATCATAACCATCCGTCACACCACAGTCTCTCATCTTGTTCCCAGTTTCTCTGAGCAAGTCTCTCGATACAGAACCTCAACTCAACTCTTCTCTCAGTATGTCATGCGATCCGTCACAAGAATCCCACTGACCATCCAGCATCTCACAACTGAACTGAAACGAAACCATGAACGCCGACGAATCCTCCCCACCATCCACCGCTCCGTCGACCAGCCACGAGAGCACCTCTCCCCAGCTCCGCCCATCCAGTAGAGCAAGCACCGCATCAGAAACCTCCATGGAATTCAACCTATACCTCCTCCGAACCGGCGACGAAGAAGACGACATCCAGATATGGGCTGTGCCAGTCCCACCATATGCCCACGCAGAACCGCACACCCAGGAAGGGCAGCCATGGATGGAAAATGCCGTTGCAGAAATGCCGCAATCTGACACTTTCCCCGTGGAAGCCGATGACGCTCTTGTTTCTGGTAAGTCGAGGAAGTATTTTCATATTTCCTGTTTCGTACGCTGGTTAGCTTTTGCTAAAAAAGAGGTGAAGCAATGCGCAGTACCAATCTTGGAGATGTGCCCACAGATACCAATGCCGCGGATGAGAATCCCCGTGTCGTCGTTGCTCATGACGCCGGGTACGATGGGGACGATTCAAGTGGCATAGAGGAAGAAAATGTAAATGAGGGCGAGGATAACTTGTTCTGGATTGATGTTTACTGGGACATGAGGAATGGACCGTTGGAGGAGGCGACCGGCCATAGAGAATCATGAGGTTAAAGAAAATCGGGAGCTCTCAGCCAGCTACCATCACAGCTTCTGTCCGGACATGGTAGCTGGCTGATAGTGATGGCTTCACGATGATGAACCTCTGATGTCTGGTGTTTTGGTCTTTGGTCACGTCTCTGGGAAGTGGTGGGTGTTAAGAGGAAAAGAATCTGTTTGGGGGAGTTGTGGGCTTTTATAGCTGGGTTTCTCGGCGCCGGTCTTGCTTGTGTGTTCACATTTTCGTTCACTGAACCTCGGCGCGGGTCTGGGTTATGATCATGATTGGTGTGATACAGAGTGGGACTTTGGGTGTATTTCCTCGGCACTACGATGTCGTTAGGTGAAGGTTTGAAACTACCAGTGATTGATTTATGAGTGCAGTTAGTTCAATGCACGTAATTTCGCCCCTGCATGCTCACCTGGACTGGACTGTGACACCTTCCTGAAGGAGCTTTCCTGGAAAAATGGTATTAGTCGTATATTGTAAAGAGGGCTGCAGCGGATGATCATGCCTTGTGCGTCAGGCCTGGTTGGGCCGGTTTCCTATAACCCCCCCCCCCCCCCCCCTTCCCCCTTCTCTTCCGTCGACTTCTCCCGCTTCAGAGCTTAAGGGGCGATGATCTGCACTGAAAGATGCAGAGAGCGTCATCGGTATATGAAAATATGTCAGTGGATATGACAGAGATTAATAGATCAGAGAGGTTGCTCAATTTGAGATCAGCGAATATTAGGGGAAACTAAGAACATGGAAAAAGCAGATAGTATCCGTATATCCGTCCATATTCTTGTTAGAAACCAGAAATGACAGCAATAAACATCCAGTACGGAACGAAGGAATTCACAGAACGCAAGTTGCCCAGGAGGATGCCTGCTATACACTCCCATTCTCAGTCTGGCCAAGTATCTCGTAGTCACATACAAGCCAGCTTGGGCTTTCGCTGTCCCTTCCCTTATAGAATGTACGCTGCTGCTGCGGCAGCAATGACCACTCCAGCCATACCCGCCTTGACATTAGATGCGGAGCCAGTTGAAAGAGGTGTGGATGGGGATGCCGACGACACGGAGCTCTGTGAAGGGCGCCCACTTGTAGACGAAGGCAAATGAGGAGTAGATGCCGTTGCAGATGCAGAGGGCAACAGCCTCGAAGGTGAGGCTGCAAGCGAGGAAGAGACTGTTGGAAGAGTTACCGCTCCGGAGCTAGAAGACACAACGCTAGTATCAACGGTAGAGGTCTTGGGCATGGACAAAGTTGTAGTTTCTGCAGCGCCACCCACTGGGGGGACGGATATGGGATGACCTGCCAAAGAGCACTGGCGGACAACCTCACTCGATACAGCTAATGGACTGTTAGCTTTGCTAGATTATGCAGGATAAATTTATGGGTGGCACCTACCAGACTGGTCGGCAAGGCTGCACGCCTTTTGCACGCACGGGGTTACGGTTCCGACCAGCTCAGGCTTCTGGCAATGGCAAGCAAAGTCCATCAGTTGTGAGCATCCATCGCGCTGGAAGGCGCTGACGAAACAGTTCAGCTGGGCGATAGAAGTAGTGTCAGCTTTGATCACCCTGCCACCAAGGTTTTGGCACTTACAGAGCATGCAGGGATATTAGGTAGCTGTGCGTTGGCCAAGGTGGTAACGAGTAGTATGACAATTGTACGATACAACTGCATAGTGGCAATGTTTGAGTATTTGTATATAAATATAAAAGAGATAAGTTTGTGGCCTTCGCACTGAAACGAACGTATTTATTCCCAAGAACCTAATCAGTGGTGGTTGCTCGACAAGTACACCAGGCTCAGGTCCAGAAGCAGCGGCACTACCTCTTATAAGCTGCAGGAGGCCACTGTTTCACCAGGCCCTGGAACCTGCATCACATGCATGTGAGCACTCGGGTTGAGGCAGTCGATCTTTGTCCGTTTGTTGGAAATGCATGGACACCCTTGGTAGAGATGTACGATGCAAGTAGGAACGATGTAACCGTCTGAGGCACAGACGGGTAGCAGTTACCCATATGCAAGATTATTTAAGATTCTTGTCCTACCCACCCGTTGATCTCTGCCCTTCTTGTCCAGTGTACTGGGCTGTTCTTGACTAGGCTGCACCAAGGCGGACAATAATGTCGGGTGAGCAAATAGCCATGTAGGACAAGTAAAAGTCCGCTGCATCCTCAGTGACACACGGATTCCAGGCCAAAGCGTGCAACAGCCCATGTCGTACTTCATGGAGAACCCCAAAAGCGTACTAGCTTTTATACCCAATGATCCTCGTCCCCAAAGTAGGATTGATCCACCCGGGGCAATGCCTTGTATATTAAAGACTCACGAGGCTTACCTGTACCGTGGGTCTCCTTATACAGACCGTAAAGTTGGAGCCTAGAGTGGTCATCTACTGCTAGGTACGCCAAATGGAATATTAAGATCCTACAGCGCTTTGAATGATTCAGTCCTTTGCGAGCCGTGAGCTTGATCAGTCCTTCATCTACTTGCCTTGATTAGACGTAAGTGTAGTGCTCCTCATAACTTAGCTGTATATGGCCATTTAGATGGCTTCGTGACTGTGTAGGTCTGCAAGCCAGTGATTGTCCTCTGAGATAATTCCTAGCCGTGATGATTAAACCTCATCGGGTTAAGTCGATAGATTTTCCACAACCAAGCCTTGGATGGCTAACTCCGGACTTCACTCGACGGTATGTATAAGGAAGCCTGCGGTACGATTAAGGGTTGCTAAAGTCTCAAGGCATCAGCCACAAACCACAAATGCGATGGCAACATCACACCGTCACCTTGTATGACCATGTCAGATTAAGCACCGACCAGGTGTTGCCCCTGCTGACGCAGCCGCGACATAGACATGGAGACTGGGTACAGTTCTCTTCGACAATGTCTGCGGGACATACGTTGACCTTTGCAACCATGCCACAGACTTTCGAAATTCCAAGATCCGCACCTTCCTAAACATGGTCTATGGACACAGCTCAGAAGAATCGAATAGTAGGACAAAGAAAGTAGGACCAGTCGCCTGAGAGCACTGAATGGAAAGCATCGTCTTACCAATCTGGCCACAAGAGCGCAAGCGGTACGTCTTCGGAGACTGGCCACCCTCGGGCCCTTTGTGCGGGAAGTTGTGGTACTCTTCGTGACGTATGGTGTGACAAGCCAGTGCCGTCGTGGAGACAATGTGTGTGATTAGGTTTGATTTCATCATTTACGGTGACAGCACATCCGGGTGGCAAGCCGGGAAGCCATCCAGATATAGCCCACCTATTCAGTTCTCTTGAGGGGCTTGCATCACCTTTGAGGTACCTTGATATCTGTTGCTACCGCATGTTTGTGCGTGATATGACGGTTGAGTCTTGTTTCACGATATTAGAGCCGAGAAAGTCTGGGCTTAGGCATGAAGGAGCATCGTAACAAATCCAGTGTAGGTCATTTATACGATAGTAATCCAAAGGGTATGTGCAGAGTTCTCCCAAAACGCCTGTCCAGTAAGTCAACCATACTCCCACCTTCAATAACCTTCGTTCCATGAACCAAACATATATGTGTAGCGTTCCTCTGGTGTCATGGTTAAGACATCAGTTCATCGATATATGCTCTCTGTTTGACATCGTCATCTTGCTTCAGCAGTACTGCGAGTACCTCAATCGGGGGCTTGAGGCCAAGCATATGTGCACGTCTCCACCGCTTTAGTCGAGCAATTCCGATGCAAGGCTACACAGACATTGTGTCAGTCTAGGACAATGAAGATGAGAATTGACAAGGACACGCATACCCCATATTGACTAGAGAGGTCAAAATGCCGCAAAATCCTTTCTCGTAGCGTGAGGTCCGCTTGGTGAACTGGTAGGGATGATCAGCGCCCTCGGTCGCAGGGGTTGCGTAGCCTTGAAATGTGTGATTCTCACCTCGAGGGCCTTTTCTCCTTGCTTCCTCCCTCTTCCAATACTGCCGCAACTGCAGTTCAGTAACCTTCCCCGCTTTTTCATCCTCTGATGACAGCGGTTGTTGGATTTCCGCCCGGGCCTGGCTTCTCACGGCAAGCTCTGCCACATGTGGCTGCGGAGACTCCGTGGGTGTAACAGGAACTTGTTCTGGCTCGGATATGTCTTCGACCGAAGATTCCTTTGATAGAGAGGCATCGAGTGTCTCGAGGTCTTTGGCTTTTTGGGACCGTATCGATGGCACCACCGATGGCTTGGTGACTCTGGACTTGGAGCCGAACGACAGAGTCGCCTGGTTAGAAGCGGTAGCGGCAGTGTTGCCTCCGCGACGACGAGTGGGAGGCATTTTGTAAGTCGATCCCAAGGTGTCAGATACCTAGAGTAATATATAATGATATAGAGCAGTCTGATCAGCAGCGTCTGACTTGAAGGAAAACCCGTGTCTAGGACTGGGTCTGGTCTGATTTGAAGTGTGGGGGAACGATGTCATCATAGTTGTTGCACATGGCAACCGCCGCTACCGGATTTACTTCGCCCAACTCAAATTCGGGTAAGTGGTCCACTGCGAGGGAGTATAGACTCTTCAGTTCTCAAGGTTCTTTCTAGCTCGGATTGCTCTCCTGCCTTAGTGATAGCTGTACCTGAATATGTATATCACTCAGCTTCCTTGGTGTGGTTCACTCGCCGAACTTGTACATTGATCCAGGTAGCCAGCTCCCAAGGTCCTGGATAGGTATTAAACCCATGGGTGCATGGCCTAGACCCCGGTCAATCCCCGGGCTTGCTGTACAATGACTTCAGTTAGAGAGAAATTGCGGGGTAATGGTACCTGAATTGACAAGATAGAATGACCAGTCAGCTAGCCAACATGCCCTGGCCCCTCTTGTATGCGAAACATACCATTTCCATTACGGTCAGTTGGAGGAGATCGAACAACACATTCAGAATAGCACTCTCGATGCCACGAGGGCCAGAAAGTCATGCAGGATCATTGTACGCATGTATTCATGTCTTTTAGCCCACCCGCAATTACATGCAAATATTGGCATGACTTGTGAGATTCGTAATTCTAGTCAATAGTTGCTGAATCGCCCATGCTCTTCACCGTGGAGAAGAGGTCATATGCATATGACCTGCAGCTTCTGAGCGATATAATAGACCGCTTGTTTCAGGAGCTACGATGCTTGATCGGGCACATACTAGGTCTACCCCGTACATGCTAGCAGATGAAACCGATGGCCAAGACCGGTGGTGGAGCGGGCGCATCTTTGGGGGGGGGCGGGCAGGGGCTCATGTCGGGATCCGTGAGGTGACCGTGTTTGAGGATGATCTAGGCGGCAAGGCTTTGACTTTCTGTTGCCGAGGATTTGCTTCGTGGTTCCACGCTAGATAACCATCGGAGGTCCCGAATCTTTTGTAGTATGGGAATTGACGTTCGGAGTACTCCGTTGGGAGGAGTCGAATCCGTCGTGAGTTTTCCGCGAGTACGGAATGCCGTGGCTCGTATTATTATTGAGCCGGGCGCAGATCGCTGACGAGTGACGAGTGACGACAGAGCAAGGGCCGGGCTGGCCCTTCCAGGTCGTCGGAGGCTCGTTGTGCACAATAGGTAGGTCCGTCCGTGGCTGCCGCTGGAACCTGCTTAGCCGCCGCAGATGTTCCCCATCACCTTCTCCCCTCCCCACATCGGCGCTTGTAAACAACCCTCGCTTGCTTTGCGTACGTCGTACCTGCTTCACCTTACTTCATCATAAATCAGCACCCCGCCTCCTACCCTCTCTACAAATTCGAGAATCCAGCCGAACGCCGCTCCGCTCACTGAAACCGCAATCGCCTAGCCTCACCCAGATCTGGTCCGAACTAACCTTCCATAGCAACGAGAGGGGGGTACGACGACTGCGCCCTCACAAGACCTTGGGCGCAGGGCTATTGAGCGGGAACGGTCACCGGAATCAGCTTCTATGAGACTCTCACCGATAACTAGGTCATCGAGGTCGCATACTCTCCGCAACACCCCCGGAGCGCATCCCTCTCAACCGCCGCATGCCCATGGTGGTGCGGTAGCAGTGCTCTCAGCATGGCCGCCTTCGTGCGAGTGTCGGGCCCGCCGAATGGCAATTTTTTGATCGGCTACCCCGGTATATCAGCGACAATGGTGAGTGCTAGCGATACCCTGCCCTTTTCTCCGACCTAAACAACGAGTACTGATCGACAGAAGCCACGTATCGAGGGCAAGGTCGAGATCAGGCCCAGCGTCGGCATTACAGCCCCCGTCAATGTGTCCCTTGTCACCATATCCCTCCATCGCCGCGAGACAATACATCCCTCCGCCGATTCTGTGACCAAGAAACACCTTGCGCCTCCTAGGAAAGAGATTACCGATATTGTGGGCAAGGAGATGCTCCTCTTCCGCTGCCCGGCCGGCCGAGAATATGAGGAAGTGATATCGATGGACTTGCCATTTGTCCTTTTCATTCCATTTGGGCGCGGTGGGCCGGATGCCTCGAGGAGAGTTCCTCCATCCAGCCTGCAGCTTCCCAGTCGCACTGCGGAAACGTTCTACGAGATAGTGGTCATGGTTCAGCAAGGACACTCGGACCAGAGGAAATACACATTCCCAGTACCCATATCACGATACGACACTCTATCCACATTCGGAATGTACAATCGCCCCGAGTCAGCAGAAAGGGTATCGGACCACCTAGTCACCTTGGGAATATCGTTGCCACGGTGGTCTTACGGCCCTCTTGATCCTGTGAGCGTTTATGTCAAACTATCACCCAACCTCGACTGGATTGGAAAAGCCCGAAAAGTCACGATAAGCAAAATAACAATCGGGATTGACGAGGAGATTATCTACAACCACGAGGGCGATGAGCCACAGCGAAAAGTGAGAACCTTGACGAAGAGGACGGAATCCATTGGGGTCAAACTACCTCCCACGGGCTTTTTGACTCATCTGGGCCTGGTCTTTCCGGCCAAAGATCTGCGAGACTCGAAAGGCATTCTCCCCAGAAGTGACGCGGCTTTTCCGACCTACGCAGTGAGCGGGTTCACGACTACTGCGAGCCTTTATAAGATCGAATATTATTTAACAGTAAAGGTACGTTCCCCAAGTCCACAGATGGAATTAGGTCTTTCTCTAAATCCATAGTACAGGCCCACTTGACTTCTGCAAGGGATATTGTCATTCGACAACCGATAGTTGTCTGTCCACTGGATCATGCGGGGTGCAAAGAGGAGATGGAAGCTATCGAACAGGCTGCTCGGGAAGCAGTTCATGTAAATCCGGATAACCCCATGCTACCCCTTCCTTCTATCGTGCGACCCAGCGACCCCAACTCTCTTCGTCACCTGGGTGTGGCTATTGTCGGTAACCAAAAGAAGCCTCTGATAGACTGAGCCGCGATTGTCCTCCTGGATCTACATACTCACCGTCATCAGACCAAGTGGCGCCAGGCTCGCTCGGCCACGGGGTACTTACCCTATCTTCCAGCGCCAGCCTAGGGTCAACATCAGATGCAAACGGTTATGGCCTGACTACGTTGTTTAATCCTTTCTCATTCGGCATGCTTGCTGCGGACGCAACAAGCGTCATTACGTCTTACGAATGCATGGACCACGGAGTTTTCTTGTTGCATGGTTTTCCTGGTAGCCATTTCTTTCCATCTTTTCTTGGCCGGAGCAAAACTGGGTGTTTGGGTTGTCTTTGCTTCACATCTAGGAAGGGGCTGGGGGAGAGGTTCCATTTTGGTTCTGTGCTCGTGCTTTCCCATGCATCTTCTAGCTGTGTATGCTCAATATAATATGTAAGATTTACCTGTTGAGGCTTGATTTTGGATGCGAAAGATGGGGGAACTATTGCAACTAGATTTGGTTTCAACAATACTATGGGACACAAGACAGACATATGTTCTAGTCATCACTCTTCATGATATTCTTTGTGTATTGCACTAGACCGACCATCTGGGATATATACACTCAGTAATGGTAGATGGTCCCTGTCAGACAGTGCAATGCTAACAGTCAGACTCGGGTTTTCCAGGTAACTAAGTAGCGCAGTTAACAACCTGCAGCCGCCAGTGCATCCGACGGGGTATTTTGAGCATACAAGGGTTCTCTTCAAATGTCCAGGGTAATCACACAACACCGGATCTTGTCTAAACACAAGGCCTCCAAGAAACATATCGGTAGTGCCAGGTGCTCAAGCCTCGTTAGTTTGCCGAGTGGAATCCACAAGCAGGTCAACACCGTTCCCCTATCTCCAAGAACTCCAGCGCAACACTCAGGGTAACTGGGTCGAGGTCGCGGCGATTGCGTTCTTTGTCTTCCTCAATATCTCGCAGACACTGCTTTAAGATCTGCAAAATGCACTGGTACTGTGGAGACGCTGGACCGAAGGTATTCAGTGCATTGGTGAGATTTACCGAGATCTACCGTGGGAGAAAACATGTAGTGGTTAGGGGTGGGGTTCTCATACTCAGACAACAAGGGTGACCAACCTGGATGAGAATCTCATTGTAGTCGAGAGTTGTCTCTGCCATTTTCAATATCTGAGCACCCCAATAGGAAGATATTATTGTGTATCAGAGTAAAATGCCGCACTGTACGAAGTAGTTCGTGCCCCTTTTTGACCCCCGCAATGATATGATCTGATAAGCCCAGAATGGTTTGGGCCACAATTCAGGCTTCTATTTTGCAACGCACAATTAACTCACTATCTATGTTTTCGAACAATCGAACAGAAGCTAGTCGTAAATTTGTTTGGTCTGATCTTGTAAAAGTGGAACCAGTTTAGATCATACGTTTATACTCATCCGTTCAAGGCAGCTTTGCACCATTAAGACGACTCGATCACTGATATGATCACCAGGGGAATGACGACACGGGCCTACAGGTTTGGACCGTCGCAGCGATGATCCAGCGCTTGTTTCATGTTTGGTTGGAAATGCATGTTTGGTGGCAGACCGCATGCTAAGATTACACTAAACCCCGTCGGTTCAGATTTTCTTATCGGAGTGGATATCGATCCGCCCGCGCAGCTTAACTTTCTTTCCACTCACGCACCCCTCGCGCGCCTTGCATCCCCGACCAGATACCCATCCAGCTCGTTCGATCGGGTCATTGACAGCTGGGATCAAAATGGCCGACACAGATGAGGCCGCCATTCATATGCCCTCGCAGGACTCGGGCGCATACATCGACACCGACCTCTCGGATGAAACCCAGGACTTTCGCATGTTGAATAGCATTTCCTTGTCGGTGCTGCCACGCGTTTTCCCTCTATAATGCTTACTATTGGGGTTGAATAAGCCATACTGATATAAGAAACACAGTCTTACAGATGGATCACAACAAACTCTCCCGAAACGAGGTGAAAAGGACTTCGAACCGAACCCGACGCTTTTCCAAGCCGACATCCTCTCCGCCTCTCGGCAGGCAATGCACAATGCCCTCTCATACCCCCGTCTACACCACCCTAAGACCCAAGTGATAGGCGTCTTCGCCCCCAATGGACCTACGCCTCCAAAATCCGCCCAGAAACTCGATACCATTACGGAGGATTCCGAGCCCTCGAAGCCCGCAGGCACGGGAATGGGCGTCCACGCAGACTCGTGTGTCTATGTCTCGAATCCGAAGGGGCAATATTTCAAGTCAATAGGACAGGCCGATCGGTGGAACCGCATTTGGCTGCTCCCGGAAGAGGCTCTGTATCTACTTGAAAGAGGGACCTTGGACATCAGGTGGCCGTGCTCGGAGGTCGGTTGTGCTGACGGCGATGGCACGGAAGACTCGGGGATCCCGATGAGCTTGCAGGCTGCTTATGCGGCTTTCATGGGGCGGAGCGGTCTGACCAGTGAGAGATTCTCGGTCTATACGGGATTGAGGCGGTTGGGTTATACGATCGTTCGTGCCCCCGGGTGGTACGATGAGGAAGAGGGCACAGATAGCAGCGAATCAGAACAGACGACACCGGAGAGGCCGCAGGCTCTCGGTCTAGCTGGGATATTTGGGCAACTTTTGCAATGGCTATACAAGCCCAGCCCCACGACAGCGTTGGGGCCTGTTGCTGGTCTTGGAATTCATCGCAGTTATGGTACGTTTTCTGGTCTGCTTCTCTCGTCGTCATGCTGATCATCTTCAAGACAACATATATCGGAGCATATCCATAATCCCTTGGTATGACCCGACTGCCTCTCCGACCCCGCCTCCTCGTACAACACCCCCCTACCGCGTTGTTTTCCACATCTATAAACCATCCACACCTTTCAAGAAGTCCGCCCCTCCGACCCCAGACTTCAGGCTGGCTGTTGTGAATGCTCGCACTCACACCACCTTCCCGACATCGTATCAGCTCGGTGCATTGCTCGAGAGCACGCCGCTCGACCCCCCCATCGGCGAGAAGATGAGTCGCCAACTATACATGCGACTCCGGCACGGATATAGGAACGTGATCCTAGCAGTGGTGGACGAGGGTGTTGTGAGCTATCTTCGGATTGCGGACTCGGCATTCGGCAAGGAGAAGATCTACAAAGAGAAGAACACGAGAGGAAACAAAGGACCATGGCGTCCACGACCGAAAGGGCGATGATGACGATAAGCTTCGATTGTACAATATGTGTCAGCTATGAGACCTGAGAAGGTCAAGAGCATGTCCCGCCTAGAATAGGGCCCTGCAATCCACCAAGGAAAGGATGAGGGCTGAATAAAAGAGATGGCGATAGATCTGCCATCATCTTTAGGACATCCGCCCATAGGTGAGAACGGATGTAGATGCTCAGATGGCCAAGCCAGTGGACATGTGTGTTGGCTGAACGAAAGCAAATGTGTGGGGCAAAAGGGCCAAGAAAGGACATGGCACAGCGTCTTCTGTCTATTCATTCCAAGATCTATACCCAGACCTCAACGCCATCCTACCGTACGTGAGGTGAAATTGAAACCACCGAACTCCATGTTATAATACATGACCATCGTTTCGCGTTAGTCGTAAATCCAAGGTTCAATGAACCTGCAACCATCAGCATTGCCCTTCCCAACACAAAGAAGGCTAACCACGTACATATCCCCGCAGAATCATGTATCCAAATAATCAGCCGCCATCAACAATTCCAGACACAACTCGGGCGGAATATCCATATCAGGGACATAAGTCTGATTCTTGTTCTTCTGGTTGTAGCAGAAATACTCGCACACCTTCTCTAGGACAACGCCACTGATATTCTCGAGCACACAGCGACCGGTCACGGATTCGGAGAATCGACCTATGAAGGACAAAGCTGTGAGTCACACCGTCCAATCTTGCACTGACCAGCGCGTGGATAGACACTTACTTGAAGGTTCCAGCATGCGGCGTATCGTGCCTGAGACACAGGCTGTGCTTCGAGGAATGACGAACTCGAATCCATCGCCAGAGACCAGTGTCACGTACTCCGATTGCGATAGTCTTGAGGCAGACATGATGGGATGCGCGGGTGGCGACAGAGGGGGAAGTGACAAAAAGAGGAAAGAAGACAGACGCGGCGGCGATAATGCCTGTTGGCTGCCTGGCTTTGGCTCCGGTGGTCCGTGCTTAAGCTCCGATGCCGATGCTCCCCAGTCTGTGTCGTCCTTCCACTCTACAATATCTCATAAGCAACTAAAAACAGTCAATTCCCCTGTGTGTATGACCACACTTGTGAGTGACCAGTATCTAATCTGCCATGTATTTCTAGGCTATACATATTCTAATTGAGATATAGTACCATTTCTGTGCGAGACTATATATCGCAAAAGTTCGTTGCTCCTTTACAGAGGACTATATAGCGTTTTGCTTGTCACACAGCAATAAGATAACCCGCGCAGACATCATACCATGCATGAAAGACATATACTACGCCTCCGGGGCGTAAAATTTAAGCCTCATGCTCACTCTCCTTTTGGCCATCATCGCCACCTCTGTCTCTCGCTCTCAACCAAATTCTCTCACCAACGAGCATACTCATCCACCACCGATGAGAGCACGCCATCTCAATTCACGCCTTCAGAGCGTCTGATTGGCCGAACATGCATGATCACAGGCGGCACATCCGGCATCGGCTTCGCCATTGCGGACCGTTTTGTCCAAGAAGGTGCATCGCGGGTGATCCTTGTCGGACGATCCTACGAGCGTCTCTATAACGCTGCAACTCGACTAAATATTTCCCCATCCATCAGGCGCACACAAAGCACAGGGACACAAGAAACCGCATCCATAGAATTCCAACGGCACCACCTCATCGAAACCTCCGAGAAGATCAACCTACTCGTCGGCGACATCTCCGAAGCGGGATCCTGGGCGCGTGAGCTCGAAAGGGTAATGGTATGTACAATCCAGTCCTGATCCCCTATCTCCCATTCATCTCATCCATCTTGCTGAACAACACCACCAGCAAACCACCAACCTCGACATCCTCGTCAACGCAGCTGGTCTCTCCATCTCCTCCATCCTCCCCAAATCTGAACCCCCCGATATCTCACGCATCCTACGCACGAATCTCGAAGGCTCACTACTCACCTCCCGAGCGTTCATCCGCGCCTCGATACGCAACCGCATGAAGAAGAACCGAGACACCAGCTCATCAAACCCACCAGCGCCTTCAAAATGCATCATCAACATCTCCTCCCTACTAGCACACAAATCCGGAACAGGGGCCGTTCCGTACGCTGCCTCCAAGGCCGGGATTCTCGGGTTAACACGGTCAGTCGCTGTCGAGGCTGCAGCTTCACTCAGAGACGTGTCCATTAGATCCAATGTGATTGTACCGGGGTACATTGAGACGCCCATGATTTCTGGTTCGTTCCATCACCCCCTTTAACACTATGATATTCACTGCAGAAAGCGGATTATCGGGGTTACTGATCTCTGTCATGCATGGATAGATTTTTCAGAAGGCGAGACAACCCGCTTGAAGGACTTGATCCCTCTGCGACGATTTGGTCGACCGGATGAAGTGGCTGATGCGGCTGTGTTTCTGGCTCAGAATGAGTATGCGAATAATTGCGTGCTTAATCTGGATGGCGGATTGAGTGCTGTCTGATCTGGGTTTGTCGAACGGGATACGTGAAATATATGGATAGACTTTGATGAGAATTTGGAAGTGCAGAGTTATAGAACGGGTCTATTAACTGCATTTTGTGTGTACGATCCGAGGAATGGGGGCGCAAGTTAAAGACACAACTTATATTCGCTTTAACTGTATTACTGTTAATCTCTATATCTAGGACAACAATGATGACCTGGTCAAAGCTGTAGACAATATATTTGCTACTACTACTACTACTACTACTACTACTACTACTACTAGTATTATCATTGTTCGTTATATTATTAGTCCTAGTATACTTTTTGAGAACTACATCATTCTGAATTCCATTATGGCTGTAATTATTTTATATCCTTTTATCGTTGAAATTGATATCATTCTATATTATCTGTTCAGGTGAAGAGTCATGATGGGTGTGTAGGCTTAGTTGTGCTACCTGAGGATCCTAAAGCATGGTGTCAGCAGAGAACCAGTATACTAGTTAACTAGTCATCGCTAGTGTTGAGCATATGTGAGGATGTAAAAGACGACGTACAGCAAGTATAGATTTGCTTGCTGCAGCATATATTTCCTTCCGGGATTGAGATATCCTAGAATTGAGAGTCTATCATGTTACAGGACTAGTAGTATTGGCAGCGAGAGCCATTCCTGTACAACCTAGCAGTAACTACTCATGGTTACATATCTTCATCCCAATTAGATAAGCATCTACGTACAGAGGCTGAGTAGGGATTAGTGAAAGCAATCTCAGCCGCTGACTGGCTAACGATTCCACTCGTTTAACTGGCGTATGTGACCCCTGCGCTGAATGAAGGTGGCTGCTGACGCTTACGACTACTATCTTCGAGACAGAGCACTCATCAAAAGACGTAAGTATGTAGTGTTGACCAACACGATGCATATACTTAGCCACTATTTACTGGTCAAGTCATATAGTCAGAGTGATGGCAGAAGAGACGTAAGTGCCTTCTTTGTTAGTCATGCAGATTCTGGAAGGAGCCGGTTCTTGCCTAGCTTTTAGCTTAACTACCCGGACCATTTCAGAATGTGGCTTCGTCTTAACCTGGCGTGATGTTACACAATATGTTAGCTTCGTGCTAAATTTCTTTTTCTGTTGCTGCCAGTGCTGCATGGCTTTCACGTGTGATGGGATGGATGGGTGATTCGGCCACCCCGCTCGAGGGGCACCAGATAAGGCTCTCCCTACAAATTTACTGCTAAAGTGGAATTGATTTACCGGCCTACATTGCGCTACCTCCCTACTTACTAGTGCATAGTATTGGATAGTGTCCTAGCGACGCTTCCTCGCTCGCTTATTATAGAGCCGAGATGACTCCGCCATGGTCGCTCTGATTGCGACTGTCATACTGTGCTTGCAGATACGTTGATGGATATCGACCAAGAACCCAGTCTCGCATAATGACAATCCCCGCAAATCCAACCCCCTCATTCTGGGCTACCGCCTTGTCATCTCTGTCCGAGAAGGACCGGCGGATCTTCAAGCTCTCCAATACATCACCTCCAGACACTAGACAAATCCTCACTGAAATATTGGCAGCGCTCGAGACACAGCGCGACCGATGCAAAAGAGACAAATGGACGACTATCAGCATCGGAGGAAAAGAGCTTGTCATTCGCGATGTGTGTGCCAAGATCGCCGTCAGTAGAAGCCTATCGACTACGACGAGCGGAAGCAACTCACGCCGGAGAAAGACCAGCACCGCTAACAGTGGAAGAATGTGTTGACCTCATATGTGAAATTGGTCGAACAACTCCGCTTACTATTGTCACAGATGCATTAGATGAGTGCAACTCTCAAGAGCGTGGCATAATTCTTCAGGCTCTTGGGGAAATTCGACGCCGGTGTCGAGATGTCGTCAAGGTATTCGTGTCTAGTCGCCATGAAACAGACATTGCGGTTCACTTTACGAAAGGAGAAGTCTTCAAGGTGACTCCTACCACAAATGAAGAAGACCTAAAACGGTTCGTCAAGATTAGGGTCGAGTCATTTGTAAAAAAAATTGGTCTTTTATGCATGATGAGCCTACGGCGGTGTTGCAGCAGCTTGAAAAGGAGATATCGGGGGCGCTCCTGACAGGTGCACAAGGAATGTGAGTAGAAGCCAAACTTGTTTTATCGTCACAGGCTTCCGATGTTAATATTAGCAGGTTTCTCTGGGTGACACTCCAACTCGAAAGTATCAGCGATACCGAACGAGTCAAGGACATCGACAGTATCCGCAAAGCATTGACTTCTCTTCCCCCGAAATTGAGTCAATCCTACGAAGTCATCTACAAACGGATTCAGTCCATGGGTGAAGGCCCGAGGACGGTCGCAGTGCAAAGCCTTCAGTGGCTATCATGCGCAAAAAGAAAGCTGTCTGTTTCTGGATTTTTCGCGGTTTTCAGCAGATCCTCCGTGAACTCCACCACTGTATCAGCGAGATGCGTCCTCGACTACTGCTGCAATCTGGTTGCTATAGACACTCTGGCAGATACATTCCGCTTTGCCCATGCCACAGTCCGAGAGTAAGGACTCTTGACCAGCCGAGTTATACAGGCAGATAACTGACAGTACACACTCAGGTTTCTTGAGACTCTAGCCGACTACTCTGTTCACGAGGCTAGTACAACCGTATCTAAGAGATGCTTGAGTACCTACCTTTGGGGTGAGTATTGTGAGGACGGCCTCTTAGACTATGCAACTAGCTACTGGCCTGCTCACGTAGAGCAGCTCAGTGTATCATGTCAAAAATCAGGGGTCCAGAAACTAGTCACCAAGTTCTTTACTGAAGAAGAACACTTAGAGGATTGGCTAGAACATCTCGACGAACGTCTAATTGAGGACGGGTTTCGTTGGAGTAACTCGCTTGAGAGGAAGCTCGAAGCATGCTTTGCTTCACCACCATCGGTCTTGTTTACAGTTTCCTGTTTCGGGCTTTTCGAGGTGCTAGATTCCCCCGAGGTCATTGCAATGATCGACGTGAATCAAAACAATAGACATGACACTTCGGGCCTGTATCTGGCAGCTCGCTGGGGCCACGTTGAAGTAGTTCGGAAACTACTTCATCTGGAAGCTGATGTCAATGCACCGGCATATCAATATGGCAGTCCACTCCAAGCAGCGTCATTCAGTGGCCATGAGGAAATTGTGAAAACCTTGCTTGATCATGGCGCCACTTTCTCTCCGTCTGAGAAAGGTGAATATTCAAGTCCGCTCTACGCCGCTCTAGCAAATGGCCATGAGAGTATCGCCGACATTCTGCTTGATGGTGGACTCAAGTTTTTCACACAAAGGCAGTTCACTGATGCACTAGATACTGCCAGCTTCAAAGGGTCTACTAAAGTCGTGGAGCGGCTTTTAAATGGGACGGCTGGAGGTTTCACACCAAATATCCGCCCTGACCCTCTCCAGGTCACTCTCTTCGGCGGCAAGACAAGGCAAGCAAAGCGTTTGCTGCAGGAGTGTATTGATGTCACGGAAGAGAGAGATACTTTGGCAATGCCCTCGCTGCCGCCATCGCTATTCATAAACTTGCCCTTGCGCAGTTACTTGTTGATGCCGGTGCAAAACTCGACGCTCGTGGACGTTTTGGGTTCCCTTTGCGGGCTGCCACAATTGCCAATCAACTTGAGATCGCGAGGTACCTTCTTGGGAAAGGTGCTGATCCTAACGTGAGAGATGAGCAGCTAGGTGACCCTCTCCAAGCAGCTGCCTCTTCTGGAAACTTGGACATGATGCTTCTGCTGCTGAGCCATGATGCATATGTGGATGGCTTTGGCGGCCACTTCGGTAATGCACTACAGGCTGCTTGTTTTTATGGGCATGAAGAGGCTGTTCGACTTCTCATTGAGCATGGTGCTGCATTGGACCGGGCCGATTTTGGGCTGGAGACGTGGCGGTATCGCGATGCACTGCAAGCCGCAGTACATGCGGGCCACGAGAGCATCGTCAAGTTGCTTTTGATGGCTGGCGCAAACCTAAATCCAGGTCGAATAGTGCGCTTTTACCCATGCGGTATCTATGAGAGACCGAAAAGACTTGCGTTGCCAGCCCCCAGGGCAGGAACCGGATGTTTAGATCACCCGACGGAGTTGGGACCACTGGAAATTGCTGCTCGCCGAGGCAACATCAACTTGGTTAGATTTCTATTAGAAGGGGCGAACTTGGATGTTGAAGATGCTGATGAAGAGGACAACGAGTACCATACTGGATCGGCATATACTGCACTGCAGATTGCCGCCTTCTGGGGACATCTCGCTGTGGTGGAATGTCTACTAGACTATGGAGCCGACGTTAATGCTTTCCGACAGACCCTCGGGACACCAATACATGCAGCCTTGGAGGGAGCTCACTTCGATATCGCAGACATTTTGCTATCCCGGGGTGCGGATATTGATAAACACTGGGACATGTTTGGGTCCTGCCTTCAGATATCTTCTGAAAGAGGAGATATTGAGACAGTAAGGTTTCTATTGGAGAGAGGAGCAAGTATTAAAGACCCAGGAGGCGAGAACGGCAATGCACTCCAAGTTGCCTGTCACGTAGGAAGGGTGGAAATGGTCAAGTCTGTGCTTGATAAGGGTGCGGAGGTCAGGTCGCCAGGAAGAAACATTGGGAATGCTTTGCAGGCTGCAACTGTAGCCAAACATTTTGATATAGTCCAAGTGCTTCTTCGCCACAGTGTTGCAGTGGACGATGCCGACGGTGATTCTGAAACAGCGCTTTGATTTGCTGCACTCAGTGGGGACAAACAGATGGTGATGTTCCTACTGCAAAAGGGAGCTAAAGTCGACGGCAGGTGCAGATATCAATGTTCCTAGTGGGCGATAAGGGACCCCGCTGATAGCGGTGATGGCGCAGAAGTGGAAGGAAACATCTCGGTTGGCTAGATATAAGTCGTATTGCTACGAGAAATGTCATCGCTGTGTTGTGAGAGTCCTGCTGGAGTGGGATGCAGATGTCGATGCCGAGGGCGGAGAGCTTGGAATGGCCCTGCAGGCTGCGGAAAAGACTGGGAATAAGGTGGGAATTAAGATGCTTATGGGGGATAGTGAAGTGGATGATAGCGACACAGGGGATTCTGTTTGATGCGGTACTATAGAGTTTGGTCGTCTTCGCAGGCCCTCACATTCTAGTTGGAATACTCGTAACACAAACACACCTTGAAAACGAGATAGAGGCATATAAGATCGGAAATAAAAGGTGTTTGGTCTCATCCATTCTATCGGAGATGCCGTGTGCATGCACGTAGCCTAAATAATTTTACATGGAAATAAAAGGACTGTTTACTCTGAGAAACCCCCAATTTTGCGCCAGATCTGCAAACCAATAGAGCATGAAAATGGCGAAGCCTGGACGAGATGTCGAGCCCGGGTCTACCTGGTATCATTAAATTCAGTCATCGTCAATGACGATGGCCCCTCCGATCCCATCGTCCAAGACAATGGGGTTGTCCCCATCACCGTCTGCGATGGACATGGCAGCTACACGCTTGGCCGGATTGTCGCCGTTGCTAAACCCGGCTTCGTCCGCATCGCGCTTCCGCTTGCCGATTCCATTGGTCGCCTCGGTAGCAGCAACAGGTGAGGGTGCCTTCGGCTTTCGGGGTATGTCAGGAATGGTGTTCAAAGAAACTGGTTTGTCTTCTGACGTGGAAGGTTGCGAGACATCTGACGCAAGAGCGACGAGTTCGAGGTTGACACGTGGTTCATCATCCGCTTCATCGATAACTGTGATAAAACACCCATCTTTGACACCAAGATCCACCAGTTTCTTAGGAAGATTGTCCTCCAGATCCGGGTCATAGATGGTTCCCAGTTCGCTAGCGATAGAGAACTCCTCACCATACCCCAACTGCAGCCGCAGAATGTCCTGGACCAGATCGTTTAATGTAGCACGTTGGGGGTCGATCTTTAGCCTGCCGTGGGCAACGGAACACACCGGGCAATTGGGATTTGGAGGCTGAAGAGCATCCGAGTTGATCGCACGGGCACCTGAGCGTTCGAGGAAGACCATTTTGGCCTGATCGTATTCCCCCCTTAGCACTTTGTATGCCTGCAGAACACAGAGACCAGCCGTCATGGCATTGGTGGTTGCGATAGCCGGAATGATATTGCCAGCCATTTGTTTCGTGTCGAACTTAGACTTTGGATCGATCCTGAATATTTTCGCCCGCAAATTGGCAGTAGCTGTCACGAAGTCTAAAGTGTCAACGTCATCCTTGTCGAAGACCAGTATGGGCTTCACATCGCTTTTAGTGGTCTCCTGCAAGGTCTTGAGCCGTTTACTCAACCGATCTAAGCTGTCCTTGAAGACGACGAAGTCTTCGGCAAGAGTCCAAACTTTCTGGTCGTTGCGTGAAACCACGGCCTCGATATTCGAAGATTCTTCCTGTAAGCTGTTGAAGTCCAGAGGCTCTGGAGGAATCCGCGTCTTCCACATGTCCTCCATTCCGCGTAACCGATCAATATCCTCTCTGAAAACCTTCTCGAACACCTTTTGTGCAAATTCATCAGAGCCCATGGACTGGCGAATATCTTTGAGGGCCTGTGCCTCTTTGCGCAAATTCTCGATCTCTTCCGCTAGCGAGAGTTAGCAGTTGTGATCGAAATTAGGATTCCAACCTACAATTTTCAGCATCTTCTGAGTGGTCAAAGTCAGTCGAATCGTCCTCGCTAATTCCGAAAAGCTCACTTCAACATGTTAGCCGTTACCCAAATTGATCCCATCCGAAGAACCTACGGCAAAAGGTAGCTCTTAGCCCAGACAATGCAGTGGATTGGCTGGCTAGGAGTGCTGCGGATGGTGCAGACAGGGAACGACTTGGGAACTTCCTTCGAATTACAATCATAACACTCCGTGACACCCTGGCACTCGTCAGCGGTCGCGCCTGGTTGGCAGGAGGGACACTGGAGTTATTGACACGGGCGCGCACCTTCTTGATAACCTGAACTTGGCCATTAAATCCCGTTGTCCCACTCTCGACTAGTGGTACATTGGCTGCCAGGCACATTCTGTTGACATGACGGCGAGCATCGAGATTATCTAAGGCGTTAAACACCACATCGAATGTCGCAAACCAGTCAACGTTGAACTGGCTATCTTTGATGTTTGCATGGTAGGCTTCGAGCTTTGCACCGGGTTGGAACTTGTGGGCCACTTCCTTTGCAACCTAATTATAGCGCCAAACACCGTCAGTATGTCATTCGAAAAGACAGAGCTGGACCCGGAGACGTAGGCAGTCTGGCGTTCGGAGGAAAACCGACGCACCAATGCTTTGGACTTCTTTATGTGTTCGAAGCGGAATAGAAATTGGCGATTCAAGTTGCTCAGATCGATTGTGTCAAGGTCAATAATGTGGATTTCGCCAAACCCGGAGAGGAGGAGGTTCTTTAGCAATTCGCAGCCGATGCCGCCAGCACCCACGAGAAGCACACGCCCCTAGATTCAAAGCAAGTCCATCAGTTAGCAGATGTATGCGCTGGTTGAGCTTGCGGGAAAGACAAGCCCCCGAAAGAACAGGCGTGGGGGGAAGCGTGAGATACCTCTTTGATTCGTCTGGCTAGAGTCCCGAGCGAGCGCTTATGATAAGTTTCCCGCGTCATGGCTGCGGCGCGGAGAAGGACGATAGATCGAAACGGAGACTGTCGGACTCAGAGCGGGAGAAAAGGCATCGCCAGAGAAACTCTCCGCGTGTGAGGCTGAAATTGACGGGAGGGAGGTAGGCGAGAGGAAAAGAGAGGCTGAAGTGAAAGTCGGCAGAAGCTGCGGCGGAGAGGAAAGCCGGAAGCAGTCGAGGTGAAGTCAGGAAGAATGAAGTGACGGCAACAATCCCGAGCCCACTTCAACCTCCGGTCCGGCTGGCTGCCCCCCTCTTCCCCCCATCACTGGGACGTTCCTGGCTGAAGTGATGCCGGGAAACAAAATGGGGGTTTGACTGCACTCTGGTAAGGCGACCATCCCAAGCCTTCCGTCCCATTGTTTCCCGGCCCCGAAGGGTGATCGTCCAGTGCTGGTGGCGGTCCGCGATCCGATCGCATTTCCCTGTTTGTCGCACCGACACGAGGCCATCCGACTATCAACCCGCCATTCGTCCCCGGCCGGGTTCTGGATGCTTCGGTCAAGGGCCGCTGTTTGGTACTTTCGCATTTGATTTCCTCGATCAAGTTGAGCCTAGCAGGCCCGCGGGATCCAGAACGCGACTGACCGATGCATCTCTCCGGCCAGCATGTGAGAGCTCACATTCCAACTTTTACTCCCCAACAATGGTTGGATGACTCGTGCATGGTGCAAGGCTAGGGGGATACTGTGCAGTAGCTCAATGCCCAGGGCAAATTAAAGAGGATGCCCATGGTACTCTGCAGGCTCTGGATCTCTCGTGGCAGAGCCCGAAATATGGAAGAATCGTTTGAAGGAAGAATTCCTTTGTTTCTTACGGCGGGGCCAGTAGGCTGACCGATCGACGGTCCTTTGAAGACACGCAATCCATAGGTACTGGCGCATAGTTTATCGTAAGAAAATCAGAGCCTCCTTCAACCGTTTATCTATAGAGGTTTCTAGGATATGATTCCTTATAACTAGAAATTTGGGGAGTCAACTAAGCTAAGGCAGCCGATGCCATTGAGGCGGGAAGCAGTGGGCTATGTACCAATTGCTCCGAATGATAGAACTTGAACTTGCAGCGAAAGATTTTGGCAATTAGCAGGTGGTCTCGACGAAGAAGAAGTGCAAAAAAAAAAAGAAATGGGACAATAAATGATAGACGCAGTAGCATGATACGCTGGTGGCAGCAGCCAACCTTCCATATCCCTGTTGGGGCAGGCTTAGCTTTAGTGGAGTTGGTGCAGATGAAGAGAGTACATAAACAAGTTAGTTATAGTATTTCATTTTGGCTATTCTACGCCTTGTGAGCCATGTTTCATCTGCTCAAAATCAAAAGTACCATACTAGGAAACATTGCCGTCTATTCTCCATCGTTCAACAGATGCCATGATTGGGAGGCCTGTTGCATGAATACCTGCTAAGCTCATAAGAAACCGAGCAAGTTCACCAGAGACACCAAGGCCAGACTGATGTCACTGATAGTACTTAGTCTATCAGATATCCAATGACGGGTCTTCTGATTGGCAGGGAGAAGGGTGATCCGAAAACTGAAGGCTGGCCGGCGGGGTTATCTCGAGACTATTAGCACAGTAACGGAAACAAGCTATGGATCATGGTGCCTCCCGATAGGCTGTCGCAGCGGGACGTGTGTACCCGATGCAAGTTCTTTGAACAGGATAGTCCGAGTACATGGATGCCAAGTATCGGACAAAAACCTTTGGAAAAGAAGCCGCAATGGATGTACAGCAGAGTGTCAGCGGGCAGGTAAAAGATCATGACAGAATCAACTGCAGCTCAGGAAAAGGATAGGAGGAGAGAGTATCTATCTACCCGAAATAACCTGCCAACGGTGGATCTTCCTACATAATATTGCGCATGTTATTATTCGTATATACTTCCAAGTTCCGCCGAGATAACGATAAGTCGCGACTAGCGATACCCTTGCTTACATAACCATCACTTATCGCCCAAAAATTGAAGAAAAAGTTCCCGATAAAAGGTTCAAGTCGATATCAGGTAAAGACACAGGCCACATTCTTGGCTTGATCAATGTACCAGGAACCGGTTCCCAGGACGGCTTTGGAAACCCTTTGCATAGATAATTGGTAGAAAAGCAATCAAATTCCAGCGCGCCCGTCTCCCAAATTCCGCCTGGGGATCGTCTTTCAACCTGCCTTTCGCCCGATCGCCCTTTCTGGCAGCACTTTTGGGCCAACGACAAACGGTTCACTGTTGGTGCCTGTCCTTCGTGGAGAAACCCCCGTTTTTCAGAGCGTTTCTCCCTCACGCTTTTTCTTCTTCTTTGTTCTTTGTCCCCCCTGGACGCAGGCTTGCCGTTCCCCCGTCTTCCTTCTCTTCTCCTCGATTTCGCTCTAGAATCCCCCCGACACCTAGTCCAGCAATAAGGGAATTGGGCAAGAACAGGCCCCAAGAAACAATGTCGGACGACGAGGTGGATCCCGAGCTCATTGCGCTTCTGCGCAAAACTCTGGGATTGGGAGGGTCGTCAGATCCCCGAACGGCAGACACAAAGGTGCTGCAAAATGCGCAATTCGCTTTTGACAATGCTATCGACGTAGCTTTGAACCCCTCCAAGACTAAAGAAGCTGCGGAGACGATATGGCGCATGATGCAGAAGAAGGAATATTCGACACAGACATGGTCGGAACACGAATTACACCCCAAAACGAAAGACGAGAGCACCGTCGACTTCATTTTCACTATGGACCTTCTCAACTTCAGTTTCTGGTCCGAACTCCCCAGTGAGAAGCGCTTCGCTGTCGAGTATCGAGGACGGAAGTGGACTGGTTACTGGAGCTTGGTTGCCGCATTGCAAAGGGCCCTGGACGAGGGTAGGTTTATCAGGTTTGGAGAAATTACGACAAGCTAACCGTTGCAGATATTCCTATCACCACTCCGGAGTTTTGGACAAAGGAAGATGAATGTACCGAGGATCTTCTCAAGCACGTCTTTCGCTCCGCCACCGATGAAGAGATTCCTTTGCTCAAGGAACGGCATCAGTGTCTGCAAGAAGCCGGACGAGTTCTTTGCAGAGTGAGCAATCCCGTTGTCTCTTGCCGCCTATGTCCGGTGCTAATGGACTACCTATCTAGGAGTATGAGGGAAGCTTCTTGAACTGCATCTACAACTCCAACTACTCTGCGGCTTCACTCGTAAATCTGCTGGCAGAGAGCTTCTCCTGCTTCCGGGATGAGACAACCTTTCACGGGCGGAGAGTGCGTATTTACAAGCGAGCCCAGATCTTGGTTGCGGACCTGTGGGCTTGTTTCAATGGCGAAGGGTACGGGGAGTTTCACGATATCGATAAGATCACGATGTTTGCAGGTAAGGCCTTGTTGCTTGTCCCAAATGACCTTCGCTGTTTTACCGATAACTAACCCAGCCCAGACTACCGAATCCCTCAGATGCTCCACCAGCTTGGCTGCCTGATGTACTCTCCGCCATTGGAAAGCCACATACGCCAACTGAAACCAATTCCCAGTGGCTCGAACTGGGAAATCGAGTTGCGGGCAACTAGTATCTGGTGTGTCGAGTTGATCAGAAGAGAAATCGAGCGCCGACATCCAGAGACCAGGGTGCACCCGACAGCTCACGGTAGCAAAACTGCAAAGACGTCAGGCACAGCGACACCATATGAAGAAGAGCACCAGCAAAAGTGCTCAACGCAGAAACACGTCAAGAAAGCGAGCATCCAAGAACCCTCTGGGATGGGTATGAACGCTATTCTGATAGATTTCTTTCTGTACGATACCATGAAGGAATTAGAGAAGGACGGACAGGAATCCATCCCGCATCATCGGACAAGAAGCATCTGGTATTAGACTTGCATCGGAGCATGATCGTCCTGCTGTTTTTGTCACGGTCGTTAAAACACTATACCCTCCTTTTACTCGGTCACGCATGATTTGATTCCGCATATGGGTTGCTGTTTGGGTGGGTTATAGGTATAGACTTACATATATTCTTATTAATACCATAGCATTGCATCTTTCGTTTCTACATCGGTTGTGGGATGATCTACATGCCTTGTTCTTCAATTGTTACTGTCCCACACATTGAGTTTCATACTAAACCGAAAACCAGCTACACTTCATCTCCACATGAGGAACCAATCTTTTCACATCCTGGGTATCATATCTTATTATCCTACAATATCAGTCCCTCATAACCTACATCCCATCTTCAAGCAGCCTGCGCACTTCTCTCGACCAGCTCAATACGCGCCATCATCTCCGCCTTCCACTCAACATAATCCTCACGACGATCCTCACTCAACCAATCCACACGATCCTGCATCATGGTTCCCAAACCAGGAAGAAGACCACGTCTAGAAGACTTCCCAACCACCAAAGACCCACGACCAGCAACCGCCGCCCTTCCCCCATCCTCCCCCTCCGCAAACCCCCCAGCCTGATCCGACAAATCCCCCTCATCACCATCCAACTCCCCAGCAAGAGGAATATTCTCAAACCATTCCCTCCTCTGGGCCCAACTCTGCTCCATAACCAGGGCAATCCACTGATCCACATCCTCCCGATGTCGTCTCTCCGTAGAAGGAAGTCCAAGACTAACGAGCGCAGTCTGACGCATCTCCGAAAATGTCTTCTTATCCATTTTCTTTGTTTCCGTTTCCGGAGCGTCATCAGCTGGTTGGCGCCGTCGGGCCAGAACAATGAAATACACCGCCACGATCAGAGCATTGATGAGTTCTTTGAAATCCTCATCTTTATCCTTATCCTTAGTCGTAATCACCGGCTCTAGAAACTCCATCATCTCCTCATCGATCTCCTCCTCGTGCTTCGCCGTCGTCTCAGAAATAAGATACAGAGTAGTAGACACACCGGCGAAAATATGCGGAGGGAGAGTTCTCGATATCGGCGGTCGAGACCAGGTACTCATTCGCGGAGCCGGAGTCGAGAGCGTCTTACAGACTGTTCGGATAGAGGTCATGACCCAGGCAGGTGCATCGGGGATGATAGTCGAGCCGGAGACGCCATTCTGGCGGAGTTTAGTGATCTTTTGAGGTCTGGGAGATGGTGATGGTTTGTCGGTGTCGTGGGTGAGAGCTCTCTTGAGAGAGGTGGATTTCGTAGGCGTGTTGGTTTGGAATCCGCGCGGAGTCGCGGTGATCTTCGAAGGGGTCTTTTGTCCCTTTCTTGGTGTTGATGGTGCGGATCCTGTTCGGGAGGGTGTTCCTGGTGCTGAGGTAGTCCCTGTGCGTGATGCGCTGGTCAGGCTGGTGGATAGGGATCGGTCGAGGAAGGCGTATAGCTTTTTGTAGGCGCGTGGGGGACAGGGTGGGTGGCCGAGGAGAGGGGGGAGTTTGAGGGCGCGGGTTAGTCTATATCAAGCGAGAAATAGTTAGTTTTAGTGGACTTTGTTGAAAGATGAATTTGGGTTGTAGCATGCCTCTTGCAGGCGATTTCAGCGCACGCATATGGCCGAGCGATCTCTTCTTCGGGCTTGAGACTGGAGGAGAAGCTGCGCGATTGCGCAACGAGCGACAGGGCTAGACTGAGAAGCTCTTGTGGGAGGTCTTGCGCGTGCGTCGGTAGCAGGATACCTAGCGCCTGCTCGACAGGCCTTTTGTTCATGGTGTTTGAGGTTCTAGGGCGCGGTGAACAAGGGTTGGTGGTTGATGCTATTCGTAGACGATTATCGGTTAGGAATTGAGACCGTCCAGTTCCAGAGTCGAAATATGAGCGTATATTCGGGGATTTCCAAGAACCGTATAGACAAAATTAATCCGCAGGGTATCTGGGGAAGTTGATGCTGGATGGGGTTCTACTTGCTGGGTCGAGTATCACGACCGTCATGTGATCAGCAGATAAATGCGCGCTCCGCCGCCGACTCGCGATGATCGCCGCAGGTCCGATAGCAGCTTCTGTACGCAGTGCCCCATTTATCTTTTCTACGCAGTCGCACCGCGCCCTCGTCTACACTTCTGGAGGAATCACCAACCATGTCTGTCACAGTGAGTATCCTGTCCCAATTACGACCTCCAAACTGAAGCCCCCCCTATTAACCAACCCCTCCCCACAGCTCCATACCACCCAAGGAGACCTCAAGGTCGAGCTCTTCTGCGAAGCAGTTCCCAAGACAGCCGAAGTACGTTACTCTCCCCCTCCAACAGACAATACTTCTACTCCTAAACCCACTCTCACTCCCTGTTTTCCATCCCCCCAAAGCAACCAACTAACCACCCCCACCTCCTTAGAACTTCATCGCCCTCTGCGCCAGCGGCGCATACAACAACACGCCCTTCCACCGACTAATCCCAGGCTTCATGATCCAAGGCGGAGACATATCCCTCGGACCCGCCGCCTCCTCCACCAACAACACCAAACCCATACTCCCATTCGAAGACATCCCGAAAGGCGGCACCTCCATCCACCACCCGGGGGCACTGAACCAAGAAATCCACCTTCCAGCACTGAAGCACAACACGCGGGGTATTCTATCGATGGCGTCCCGACCCGTGAAGGATCGTACCGCGCCAGGCGCTCAGGGCGCAACGGGGGCTACGATAAACGGGAGTCAGTTCTTCGTTACGTTTGCGGCGGCGCCGCATTTAGATGGCGCGAGTACGGTGTTTGGGAAGGTGTTGAATTTGACGGCGCAGGATGAGGGCGGGGATGTGTTGACGAGGTTGGAGAAGGCGAATGCCAAGGTGGATAAGAAGGGGAGGGTGGTGCAGCCGAAGGAGGGCGAGGAGGGGGGAGAGTTTGAGGCGTTGATGATTAAGAGTGTCACGATACATGCTAATCCGTTTGCGAAGTGAGGGTTGCCTGGCTAGGTGGTATATTTATATCGGTTGATGTGGAAGGAGGATTGAGATATGGCTCTGCATATGGCGACAGAACGACAGGTCTGAGTGCTGAGCTCTAAATGAGCAACTACACAAACGGGCGGCTATACATATGCGTCAAGCAAACTTGCTTGGAGGTTGTCGATTTCACGGTGACTCACTCCGCTAACTGAGCAAACCAGCGTCGCTCGACACCTGGTCATCGGGCGATTCGTCAGTCGAAGATGGACGAGGTGAGAGCTATCTTGAGGTATTGGGATTCCGAAAGTGCAATCCCGGGGATGGGGATTCTTTTAGAGATACCAGTTCGCAGGGTATGAGAAGATCGTGATCTATAAATGGTTCGTATATTATCCCACTCTAGAGGAATACATCGTCATTGAAACTTTTCTGCACATCCCATGAATATGACCCAAAATTTGGGAAACCAATTATAAGAAACCCCCAACCACACCATATGACAATGCCCACGTGCACCGGATATCTAGAAGCGAAAGAGAGAAAAAAAAACGATCATGGTTGGCCAAAACATCACCGCAATGCATATACGAAGGGCCAAGAGAAGTTCATGCACATCGTAAGAGACAAGGTCATCAATCGAAGAAGAACAAGGTCTATGGGTATACAGCTCATGACTTCTGTTCGGCGGCACCTTCGGCGGGCTTGTCGTCCTTCTTCTCATCCTCCTCGTATCCCTCAACCTTCATGTCCTTGAGGCCGAGCTCCTCTTCCTCCTCGTCAGTGCGGGTGTATTCCTCCGTCTTGATCTGGGGGTCAGCGGCAGGAGCACACAGGTCCTGGACGTAGCTGTTGGCCATGGGATCCTCGAGAGTGATGACGAACTTCATCTCGCCGCTAATAGCAGCGTCGAGACGCTTGAAGAAGCGTTCCCACTTCTCCTTGTCGGAGGAGGCCATACTGTCTCCTCCAGCACCGGTCGTATCATCAACGTCGAAGATCTGGCCGTGCAGCTGGTCACGGATCTCAGTCAGAAGACCTTCAACAGTGGTGAAACGTCCGCCAAGGGTACCAGGCTGCACGGTAACCTCGAGCTCCTCACTGTGAAGCGCGCAGGTGTCGGACTTGAGAATATCACGGGAAAGGTCGACCTCGTTCTCGATGCTGAGGGTAATCCGCTTGCCCTTTTCGGGCACCTCACCACCAGTCTTCACCTCACTGGTGCGGTATCCACAATGCTCACAAGCCGTGGCCCAGACGAAGACCTCCTTGAAGTAGGGAATATCGACCTTCTTCATGTTGACGAAGCAATCCTTGGAGCAGCCTGGGCACTCAGCAGGGAGACTGTAGACCTTTCCGGAGACGATTTCATCATCTTCCGGTTCAGCTTCGGCGACACCTTCGTTCTGCACAGCGTTAGGGTCGCCGGCGATTCCAAGCTCTTCGTTCTGCTCGTGGGTACGAGGGTAGTCGCGACGCTTGTACTTGTTGCCCGAGTCCTGGGTGGTGGGCGCAATCCATGAGTTACCGGTGGGGTCGTCGAGGGAGATCGTGAAAGGGTATCCGTCACGGTCCATGATCTTCTGGAGCTTATCGATGATGGGAACAAGAGCATTGTGGAGTTCGGGGGCCTGTTCCTTGCGCAGGGGTTGCTCACTGGAGAGCGACTCGTAGATAGTTTGGATGACACCCTCGACGGTAGTCAGCTGGCCGTCGCCCTTGGGCATTTCGATACCCAAGGTTTCGACCTTGAAGGTCGAGGTGTCACTCCGGATCACTTGGCGCTGCATGTCGGTCTCGTTCTCGACATCGAGGGTGTATTTGGCTCCCTTCTCTTGGATCTGACCGGCAGACTTGATGGAGTTGTTCTTGAAGTGGCAGTGCTCGCATTCGAACGACTCAAGGATAATGTCACGGAAGAAGGGCACACGGAGGAGCAAGAGTCTGGTAACACCCTATACGTGCGTTAGTTTTATCATTTGACTCGGTCGTCTCCTGCGATCAATTCCAGAACATACATTGTCGTGGCAGTTCATGCACATGCTCTCCACCTGCATAACACCGGTGTCCTCATTGCGCTCCACCAAATCACCGGGCTTCTGGAATTGCGACTCGGCCTGAGTCGTGTTATCGCCTTCTGCAGACATATTGGGCGGTGGGGCTATGTGTACGGGTGCGTAAGTGTAGTAAGAACGAGTGCTTGACGCCCTGAAGGATACAAGATAGAAAAAAGGGAGGAAAAATTTAGCCAGCAACCGCGGGAACGTTCCTTTACTTTCCACTATCGCCGCGGCGGGGCAATTTTTTTCTTGGAGGGGCTCCCGTTGGCATTAGTCAGCCCCCGGGGTTCGTTGGGCGACACAAGAACGGTGGGATCAGAAAGACATCACTGCAACCCTATTCTTGTAGTTTCATGCTTAACAATTCCATGGGTTATGGTTCTTTGCAGTCACATTCAGGTGTTCCCACATCTGCCCCGCCGATTTCTATGCCACACATAGCATTAATCCCCATTACCCGAAAGCGTTAATGGGCACGAGACCAGAAGTCTCCCTCCACTGTCTGTCTATCGGTACTGATGATGCAGTTAGCTATGTCAGATGTTGAGGGACTGGGCAACTTATAAGAAAAAAAAAGGGGCCGTCCCCCCGCAAAGGGACGGCAGTTCACCGACTGATACCACCCTCGACCGTTCGGCTACTGTATTCCAGGATGCGCAACTACCTTGCTATAGATATAGCTTCCCGAGTCTCATTGCAATACCACTTCTTATTGTCAGCAGAGTACCCTCTCTTCGTAGCTGACCCAGCCCGGTTCTGAGAGAAACCACAGCATCCAAAGCAATCGCCGCCAGAGAAACAACAGAAGCGAAGCAGACAAGCCTCAGCTTTGATCCCCAATTAAGAGGTCCCGCATTCAGCTCCTTGTACGAACCTCAAAGCAAACGGGTACTAGGAGAGGGCATTTCGATCAACATCTGGTTCGACCATAGGCACCGCGACGGGGAGGAGAGGGACTCGTTTTGCTTCAAATGCAGCGACTGCCGATTGTCGGGACTGTTGGTGAGAGTAGTGTAGCACAGGTCCTGTTAGCAGTAGTTGAACAGCTGACGAATGACATAGCCCAGTGAACGCAGTTGCAGCACGGAATTAACTCACGCCCTCTGAGCAGAAAACCGTTCCTTCGACTACCCCAGAACGACTCAAGTCTAGACCTTGGATCAAACGAACCATCTCCCAAAGTTCTTTTAGACATGCTCCCAATCATCCCTTGACTTTCCGGAGCCACATGGCATAACCTCTTGTGTGTGATACAGTGCCCTCAGGGACAGGTTTTTGTTTCCTCTCCATGTCAGACCAACGATGGAGGGCATATCTAAAACGGACAAATAACATCCCCAAAAACCGTTTTCTTCTCCCCGAGAGGAGGGACCACGACTGGAGATCATGGCCTATACCAGCGCCCATCATCTATTTGCAATCTGCATTACAAAGAGATGGTTAACACGGTCGATCGGACCTTCGATAGAAGCGCAAATCAGTGGCTGATGCCGTGATTTGGGGCCAGCCAGCCTCCAGGAGGATAGGAAGTACCAGAAGTCGAAAGGTGGAAAGCAGGGACAAAGTTCCCAGGTTCCTCGAGGTTGGAAGCATGTACGGGACAGCAAATGACTAACGACCATTGGAGGAATATGACCGCATGACGAGCAGCATCATTACATGATAAGACTGATCTTGTGTTGGAAAGTGACAACAAGCCAAAGGTCTGGTGGTATTGCATGCAAGGCAATAACCGTCCATATCATCCTGCTCAACAGTGAAAATGAACCTCGCTGCAATATAATAATCCAGATTATGCCTAGGCATAATCGAAAGATTATATTGGTTCCGACGAGTGGATCCATTGACATGTCGGGTTGATGATCGTGTGTGGGCTGTCTGTTGCATTCAAAGTGATCAACCGGCACATGTAATGAACGATGCCCGCAGTCATATTCGCAATGGTGTTATTATTGCCAGAGAAAGTTGCTCCCTGAGGCGGCCCTATCGCGAGGGTGCCTGACATGCTTCACCTGCTTTTTCTCCAACTTCGGTATCCAGGCATAGTGTGACAATCCGTAGTGATCAGCATGTAGCGCCCAGCATTGGCAAACCGACGCGTGCCCTGGTCAGGAGCTTGAAACGCATGATAAGCCGTCTTTTATCGAGGTTCTGGGCATCGGACACCTTTCACATCGTCAATTCCTTAACGGATCGAGTCAACTAATTGGCGTATCCGTCATGCGAAATCCGTGAAACTGTACCATAAATGGCATCGAACTGATTGATGGGTATTAGGGTTAAGTTCCCAAGTTTCATCTCACCACCAAACCGCGGCAGGCACGAAAGACTAGACTTGAGAAGCTGTAGGAGGGCAAGATCTGTATAAATGCCCGTAAAGGCAAAGAGGCGAGACCAAGTAGCAGCCCGGAAAGCACGAGAAAAAGCGTCCACACATCTGCGAGAATATAGGGTCCAATAGATGCTTGAGTTCCCGAGTATCACAGAATGGCTGAGTTTCTGAGATAAGAACAGACCAGTTCCTCCACTGAGTCGTTTGAGCCAGCCAATGCCACAACCGCATGGTTGCAAATAGGAGGAACCACCTCGGGATGGCGGAAAGGAAGCGCCTCAACTCGAGTCACGGGCCGACGCGACGCGACATCACGTGATGCTTGAGGACCCCAGTGACGTCATTTTCGTTGAGGAAGAGATACCATGTAGGTTGATGCTGTTGGGGAAATGGTGCTGTGTGGAAAAAGCCAGCGCAGCAGAGTTTCAGTACTGGCCAACTCCTAATATTAGTCTGAGGTGCGCTATTATATTTGATTGAGAGATTCTAATGCTCAAAAAGGTCCAATTGTCTCCAGCGCAAGATCTCTGTTAAGCACTTCTTAAAAGATTTCACCAAGTATCGAAAGATATAGTACTTGATCAGATCTACAGCCTGAACTTAAATAAAGATCTGGTTCAGACCTACAGTATGAACATTTGTTCCAGAAGGACTCTATCTCCCCACCTCCCTTAGGGAGCTGAAGCAGGGATAGTAGCATCTAGAATAAATTACATGAGAAGCCAAGAACGTAAACGAACGTAACTTGAGGAAGACCATAATTCGTGAAACTTGCTCGACCGTTAACAAGCCTTAGCTGTGAACTTCCCTTGCCAGGGCCTGACATTGTGTTTCTCAGTGCGCTAGAGCGCTTCAAAAACAATTTCTCGGTGACCGAAGCAGTCACTTAGGGAATCACGAAGTCCACAAGGTGGCGGGCCAAGCAGCAAGGGTAGCAGAGTCGTCAATTAAAAGATCATATGGATGGATGAAATCCATTTCATTCTCGGACCTGCCGAGAAAGTCCTGCATTGTCGGTTCCAGGAATGCCATCTCTGTCGTGTATCCCGTAGCAGGTAGCGTACCAACAGAATGAGGATCCATGACCTGGTCTCTAGCTACTACTGCAACAGAGCCCAGGGATTTCTTTAGTGAATGGCTGCAACTCCCATGATCATCGTTAATACTTTCAAAATTGGTTGGCAAGGCTTGCTTGACGCGCTTAAGGTTCTCGTAGAATTCGGCAGCAGCAAGATTGCCATGATCACTCATCCTATGCAGGATCTCAGTCGCGGTCTCAAGGGGCTCGAGGTCTGCGGGATTCCCGATGTCTGGCAGAAGGCCTGAAATTACCAGGGCTATGCAAGATGAAAAGAGATACTGGGCGTAGAAATAACCGTACATCGGTAGTGATCCATTAACCCATTCCTCTATCATGAGTGTATGCGAGTGTCGCGCGGCGTGTATGCATGCCTCACTTAACGTGATCACTGGTTGTGGAAGGTCCTCATTACCCTCCCGGTGGCTGCGTTGCAGGAGAGCATGAAGGAGAATGGGTCGTATAGCTAATATAACGCACTACATACTGTTAACGCAGGGAGCCACCACATAGGTAGTATGTTACTGACCTGGTTGAATTGTAAATGCAGAGATACGATATGCTTCGGTGGAGCTTTGTCATCTGGTCGTAGCTTGATATGATCTGGGAGTGACCTGAGCCATTCCTGTAAAGAAAGTAAGAGCTGCTGCTCTCGCTGTAAGAATGATTCTGCATGCTGCTTGCGGCAATAGATCTTATCAATCGTCTGGCCAATGATTCGCGACAACCGAATGCTAGCCACTGAGTAGGCAGTGTCTGAGAACTGTTCTTCAGCGGCAGGGCTAGCAACGTCAGTTGGCATATCGACATGGATATCTTCATCGCGTATTTGTAGAGGGAACCCAATTTTGGACGTGTACATGCGGTCGAAGATATAGATAGCCCACCATAGCCGAACTCGATGTTGACGTTCTACGGCGTCAGGACATTGCCGCTCGGGAATATTGTGGTTCAATCCAAGGATCAGACCCAGACGCATGGCGCTCCCAATCAACATATAAGCCGAGTGGCGTCTGTTTAGGAAGTATGAGTACAATGACTGGTCGATACTTTAGCATCGCTTATGATACAGTCGAGAGGGGAAGAGACGACTTACCAACAGGAGCAAACTTTCCACATGAATCACCCCCGGCCTCTCCGGCAAAATTGGGATTAAACTCATAGCTCGTACATAGTACGTTGTACCTGGAACTCGAGACGTCGGCGAAGGACCGGCCCGTGAAGAGTAGACTTCACCTAAAGCGAAGAGGGTAAAGAATTTGCACGTAATGGATGGATCATCGCGTAGTGACGGAGTACGATATACGGATTCGAGCTGCTCCATAGTCGACTTGGGTAGAAAAAGATGGTATACACGACTCAACTGGTTGGAAGCAATACGGACTAGTAGACGGGACTGTGCAAGGCCAGGCCATTGGGCTGCGCCTTGGAGCAAAGAAGACTCCGGTGTATACTGTGTTCGAGCTACATGCGCCGTGTTGGGGTTCCCCGTAAGGAACTGGCGCAAGCGTGTCGCAAATGCTGTGCATGCTGCATCGCCCATGTAGATAGGCGGAGCAGAAGGGTCGTATGGATAGAACCACGCCCGGTCTCCTAGAAGAGGATTTTGCACTGGAGGGTAAGACTCTTCTGGTACTGAACCCTCGGCAACACTAGCAGGTGAACTTTGCGGTGTACTGAGAGCACGTAGTTGTTCTTTTAATTGAGAGTTCTGAGAGAGAAGCTCGTCGATGTAGCTGTATTGCTTTTAGGTGGAGAACGATTGATAGATGGTGAGAGGTCATGACATACCTCTCTTGAACCTTGAGCTTGCGATCCCGTAGAGCGTATTGACACTCATCACCACATCCAGCCCGTCGACATCTAGAACAAGGTTGCCCACCAGAACACTTGACTTTATGCGCGTGACACCGATGGCAGCTAAAGAAGAGGATCAAGTTAGTGCGTTTGATGGGGAAAGGAGGTGTTCGGGATATAGTAGTGTAATAACCCACGCTATTGGCTTTTTCCTCTCAGGTTTAGCGTGATGTTTAGAGACGGGCATCGGGAAAATATTCTATTCCAAATGTTGGAAATGGCGTGAATGCGTGAAAGGGGTCGGCAGTCTGAACCTTCGCCGAAGAGGCAAGGCGAGGATTGCCTCTCTTATTCATCCCTCGGCAAATTGGCCACATGCCGATGTCCAGACGGACGCCATTGGGTGCCCGGAAACTGTTGGTAAGGTTCTACAGCACGATGAAAAAAAGCCAAAGGAGGTTAAGATGGATCAAAAGATAGTTAACTCCATATTCTAGCAGCAACACGAGGGGGCTGTTTCCTTTCCGTCATTTGGGTCACCGGCAGTTGATGTTGCTTTGGGTGGGAGTGTGGGAGTGTAAGGGGGTCGGCCCAGTGACAAAATGCCGATGGAATTGAGAACAGCCGAACTATATAATCCACTCGGGAAAAGCCATCAACAACCTACATCAGAAGCTCTTGTATGCCAAATTTCAACTAGATGACAGGATCATCTGACCCTGTACACCATGCTTTTTGAGAAATTATATTCGGATGTCCATTTCCAACTGGAGGATCATTCTGCCGAATTCAGTGTTGGAGACAGGATCAAGGGAACTGTTCTCATTACCCCACGAAAAAGCATCTCGCCACAGCAATTGAGCATATCTTTCGAAGGTACATACTCCAGTTTCCTGATAGAAAATGCTATCGGTTAACTGTTCGTCAGGCAAGGTCAACATAAATATTGACAGGACCGAAAACGCCGTACCACTTGCACCATCGACAGCATACCAGACATTCCTCCATATGGAAGAGCCACTTGAACTTAAGCATCTGTTACAACCTGGTCTGCTACTTCAAGCTGGATTAAGATACAAGATCCCATTTGAATTTGTGGTTCCTTCTGGGATACCGCATCAGATATGCCAGCATCCTTGTCACCACATGCAGGTTCGTCAAGAACATCTGCTACTTCCTCCGAGTATTGGACAACATGATATGACACCCGAAGCAATATCAATTACATACAGTATAAATGTCAGAACGACTAAAGGAATTCGTCGAGATGGAGTGTCAACAGTCGCTCAATGGGTGCTGCCATTGGCTATTCACTCACCGCGGCCAGAACGAGCACCTGTGCTAGTGCCAGAAGACAGCAAGTTCTACTGTCTCTCTCAAAAGAAGCGCATCACCAAGTCCCTGTTATCTCTGACCCAACAGGGAACTTTATCGGTGCGGGCGACACAACCAACAGCTATCCGACAACGAGAACCCGCAATTGGATACATACCAGTTGACTTACAGTATCTAGCCATTTCCCAGCAACATTTGCCACAGGTGTCGTTGATATGTGTTAGGCTGAATGCTGTTACAATATTCGGTGAGAAACCAGAAGTACATCTTCCAGAGGCAATGGGCTCTTTGGAGGGGGACCAATATCGACGCTTCCACGAACAAAGAGAACCATTAGGATGTTCAACCCCAGGACCGTTGGAGTGGCATAAACATTATCCAGACGACCAATCTACACTCGAAGCTGACACATCGAAAGAAGTTTATAATGCTTCGTTGAAGGTGCTTATCAAGCTCCCGGAGCAGTTAAACCTGCCTCCAACCTTCAGTTGCTGTCTTGTTTCGCGAATATATTCGTTAACAGTGACTCTTCAACTTCGAATACCAGGACAATGGAGCAAAAATCCCAGCATCTCAATGACAGTCCCGGTTCAGATCTGCTCGTAGACTTGGAACGGGAACTTTGATCGTTTTAACTGATGTGTGGATGGAAACAAGGACGTCTTCACAACCAAGACCGATTACTACTATATATATCTCTGTCTTTAGTAGCAAGCACAACGGCATTCTTCAAATTTAGCAATACACCATGCGATATCTAGTGCCTATTCTGATTTAATCTTTAGACTTACTCATATCCAGTTCAATAATACCCCCAAAGCAGCTGGAGATATACTTGTTTGTGTCGGGGTAGACGAGAAGATAACCTCCGGGAGGCGTCCCGCCCAGGGCGATTCATCAATTAACGACACTGCAGATCCGTACTTATATTGGACACCAGATACTATGTTCATCAGGAACTCCTATCCTCAGTTTCTTGTCACTTGATAGGTAGGTAGCCATGGACCATATACACGATAAGCGAGAGTTGCCATGGTCGAGAAGAGAAACCTAAAGCGCACTAGTGGCATGTCACGTGCAATAACTCGCGTTCAAGAGCTGCTTAGGTAAGCATTTCCAATCCATTCTCTTGACTTCAGGGAAGAATCGTAGGTGTGTAGATAGGGACATTTGGGGTAATGAGAGCTCTTTATGTTTCATATTATTCAGAATGGGCGAATCGATACGGATAAAGGAGGCATTTAATGCCGTGAGCGTCTTCCTCAACCCTGTCTTTCAACGAGGCATGCGAACTTCAACCAAATAGCCGTATGGGTGTGAAGGCTAACTTGGACTTTAGACAACGTCCAAGATCATAAGTCGCGCGGGAAGTCTCTATTGGAGATCCTTGGTGAAACGCTCCGTGAAGATGATACAGGTGCTGGATCTGTAAGGAGAGATGTCATTAGCAAAGCTTTGGACTTACTAGGCCTTGTTCATACCGCGTTCGTCACTCCAGTCAATGATGTCGACCCAACCAGCCAGCATGGCCAAGACACAGAAGATGCTGCACTGGAGGATGCGAAGCGACGCCGCCTCCTACTTGCCCTAGTGGATTTGATATCCTTGGAGGGTATATATCCGTCACTTTCCAGAGGACTTGGGGTACCTCTGCACCACAGGGTGTTCTCAGCTTTGCCCACGGGGGTCATTGCTCAGCAACAACACCATGCGCAGGAGAAGCCTGAGGATGAGTTCCTCCTCGAGAAAATATGGTTAGCTCTCTCGAGCATCATATTCGATGCACGGCCCAGCATCCAGGACGCCATCCATGGCCGGATTCTCAGCGATATGATCAGCGCAGTTTCAGACTTAGCTTATAATTCAACGAGCCTTTCTCACGATAAGGAGAAAGCCTATCGCCAGGATCTAGTCAAGCTAATCGAAGGGTATGTTCTGGACAACATGCGATATTGTATACCCACTAACTTGCTGCAGAACTCCAAGCCCCACGCTGCTATCGACTTTGTCTAGTTTTCTGCAGTCGGATCCTGCTCCATGGTTCAAGTCATTAGTCTCTGGCCAACTATCGCACATTCCTCTACGCCCCGGCGGCGTAGTGCAAACCATGGTTTTCCTGGCATCACAGTTTGCACCTTCATTGGGAGCTGAAGCTCAGACACAGGCATCCAGTGGCCCAGTCTTCACAGTGCAGGGAATAATGCAAACATCTCGCCTGTTGTCCTCAGTCCCAGAAGGAATGGACCCGGTCAAATACTTTTCCACGATCGCTCCGCAGCTATTGGCACTGATTGACGGGGATGACCCAGACCTAAGGAAGACTGCAGCATACGTTATCGGCAACGGTATTCTTGGTAAGCGAGCCTATGGAGCTCCTGGGACGATAGGATATTCCATTTTCTTAGAACCCATTTTCAAAGCTCTTACTGCGGGCCTTAATGCGCCTTCGAAACAGTGGCTCGCTCTTCCTGGTGGCGTTGAACATGACTCACTAGAGAGAATTGAGGTCACAGAACCGGTATTAGTATTAGCAGTCGACAGGTTGCGAAGTTTAGTTCTTCAGCCTCCAAATCCAGGCCTTGTGAAACGCGTGGTCCATCCGGTTCTTCTCCCGCTTTGGGGCCTGGCTTGCTATTCATTGGAGCATCAACATACGGCATTGCATGAGAAAATCTTGACCGTGCTCCAGACGTACTTTGGGATATCAATCGGACCCCAGCCGTTACAGAAACTCGTCGACAACTTACTCTGGGATGGCGGATCTACCTGGACTTATGGCTCTGATACGAAGAATGGGATCACGTTGCAGAAGCGCAGCACAACAGAACCAAATCGCAACATTGTACGACTCGTCGACATACTGGAGTCTCGCACCAAACTTTTTATCAGCCTGTTAGGCGCCGACCCCAGCAGCGAAGAACGGACAGCAGACATCTTTCTTTATGCGAGTGAGCGTTGGCTTGTGAAGCCTTCGACGAATACGCGCTCTGTGGAGAGGTGGCGACTATCCCGCGATGAGAATAATTTCAGCGACATGATCCAGAGGCTGGCCTGCGCCAAAGTGGCGGAAACGCTACTCGGAAATTTCCAAGATGCGCTTTCTCGTTATCCTTTAAGAATCCTCGAACTCACCAAGCAGATAATTGATAGCGAGCTGAACCGAGCTTATGTGAGAAGCAAGAGAACCATGGGAGGACAATCTGGGAAAGTATCGCTTTCATCACTCGCCAACATTGTTGAGCCAGACGAGGCCGGAAAGGAAGAGACCACAGCCGGAGCAGACTCTGCCGAATCACTGTCTGCTGTCTTCAGTCTACTGTCTACCGTTCTCGCTTCCCCCGAATTTAACACATCCCCTGAGACTCTACCAGTTCTCGAGGCCATCAAATCGAAGGTCGACGAGCTGATTCCTCATCTTCCATCTGAACTCTCCAAGCCAGCAACCACGGCATCAATGCTCGTCGAAATCCACATTGCAACCCCAGAGGGACAAACCACAAACAAACCATCGTCCGAAGTGGCAGACTTCGAGACCCATCGCCGCGCACTAACCAACCTCAACTCAGACCTCCCACCAGTACAAGCCGAGGGATTCTCACTACTCTCGGGCCTGATCACCAAAGCATCGCCCGTACTCGACATACCTTCCACACTAACTCTCCTCCTATCCATCATAACAGACCCCTCAGAGACCAACAGCAGCGACGAATTCATCTACCTCAACGCCATAAAACTCATCGGCACCTTAGCATCCAGACACTCTCGCACTGTGATCAAAACCCTCGTCGACCGCTACATCGACAAATCCGAAACCAACAGTCTAGACCAACGACTCAAAATCGGAGAATCCCTCCTCCGCGCAGTCCAAGACCTCGGCACCGCCCTCACAGGCGAAACCAGCAAAATCCTCAGCGAAGGCATGATCAGCGTCGCTGGCCGCCGCGCCCAGAAACCCGAAGCCCAAAAAGCACGACAACAGCATCTCGACAAAGAAAAGCGGAAACAAGAGCGCGAAGCCCGTCAAAACAAGGAACCTTCTATGCCGCCAGGATGGAGCATATCCACCGCCGCCGCCGCCTCCATATCAAAGATCCGAGAACTAACAGAGGAAGATTCCGACAACCCAGAACTAGAACCCCCGGAGCAAGCCGCAAACATCATCTCAGCCTGGGCAGCGGGGGCAGTCTCTGGCGAAGAGCCCGAGGATCTTCGAATTCGAGCATCGGCATTATCGATTCTCGCCAGCGCCATCCAAACGAACATCTCCGGGCTCGGGCCCTCGATTGTTTCCTCAGCGGTTGAGCTCGCGCTCGCAACGCTCACGCTAGAACCGGAGCTTGAGTCCGCTATTCTCCGACGCGCGAGTGTCGTTCTCCTTCTTGATATTCTAAAGGCTATGGATACTGCGCGTGAGACGGGCGGAAGTCAAGCTCTGGGTTTCGGGTTCTCGCTTTCGGATAATGCGTCGATGAGTGGTAGATTGGGTGATGCGCAGGATATGACTGGTGGGGGAGCAACGACGGTGGGGAATATTCCTCGCATGTTATCCACCTTGAACTTTGTGGAAAGTCGCGAATCAGACAGTATTGTCCGGGGGCATATTCGGGTGTTGATTGAGAGCTTGGAAGCTTGGCTTGAGAAGTCTTTGCTCTGGGGCATTGGGGCTCGGGATGAGGACGAGCCTCGACTGGAGCTGGGGAATCGGATTGCTGGTCTACGTATTAACCCTCTTTCTGACAAGGGCGAAGCTGCGAGGCCTAGGATTGAGGAGATTGAATAGTAGGGTCGCAGGTGTTTGTGAGATTGGGTGAATTATGTTAAGAATAGTGTACATTGCCCATCTCAGCAATGAAAAGTTTCAGATAAGAAGATTCCATTAACGCGTAAGATGTGTCGAGTAATTCAATAGTTGTTTCCGATCATGGATAAGAAACAGCAAGAGCAAGAATGACATCAATGAAAAATATGCAGAGATCTTAATACCACACCCGTCGAAGTTTCAAATCGAGCAAAATAAAAAAACTAGCTTGGCTTGAGATACAAATCAGGCAATTTTATTTTGCAGTAAATAGAAACCCAAGCACGTTGCAGCATGTCCGCCACGATCAAAGAAGATCAACAGGGGCAGGTGGCCAGCACTTTGTCCGTCAATACTTCCTTGACCTGGGAGCCGTGTTAAGATGCACTAAGATCCAGTTTCTGGTTCAACGAGCATATGGTAAACGACGAGACGTAGAATTAACGACGGTTCCCACGCCCGCGACCTCCACGCCCTCGTCCAAAGCCAAATCCACCCCGACGAGGGCCACCTCTGGTCTCAGGTCTGGGACCCTGGGCCATACGTGCTTTACGCTCCTCATCATTCATGTGGAACTTATTCTCGATTCCGACCAATTCACAGAACTGCGTCGTTTGGGGATTTGTATATTCCATAGGCATTTCTTCCGTAGAGATGGGTACGGCGGGGTCGTAGATGGGAGCAGTTCGGCTAAAATTGTCCGGAATAAGCAGCTTTCCTGGCTTTACGACGTTGTCCTCAATCCACTTCTCATGCTCGATGATGTGAGGTTTGTAGACCACGTCGCCCTTATCGGCGGGGGGTCTGGCGCCGGCATCCCCGAGATGAAGGTCGTTGGAGAAAGCGCGGGTGATCGCCAGCCACTCCTTGTCGTAATGCAGGCGGTATGGACGTTCCACTGGGGTGTCTCCCTGATCAGAAACGGCGTTAAATTCCACTAGTTGAAGGAAATCGCGGTTCGGAAGGCATTTATCGAGGGCAAGAAATCTCGTCAGGGTATTTGAGATAGCTTCTGGCAAAGGTCCATTGAGAGGGTAGGGATCAGGCTGAGGGCGTGCAAAACTAGCGGGAAGTTGGCTGCGAAGGTCTTCGGAAACCTCGCTCCCGCTAGTTGGCACAGCTGTTTGAATGTTACCAGTGCTGCTTTCAAGCACATTCGTGGCAGGAGAGGTCGAATCGGAGCCATCGTTTGTAGGAACTTCCGTCCTAGGCAGAACCTTGTTAGAAGTGTCTTCATCGGTATCACTGTCCAAGTCGAGGTCAATTTCGTCAGAGTTTTTCACTATCTCGGGCACATGCTGGGTCTTCTGCTTTTTGATACCCGGATGGTCGAGGATGCCATCCCTCTCAATGCCTGTTACTTTGCGGCTGGATCCGTCCTCATCGGTCTCAATCTTGCGCCATGTGAGGTTGTGCGTGACTTCAGGGGTAGGCAACTCTTGGGCTTTTGCCTGTTCTAACAGGAAGCGAGAATTTTCAGCTGCTTCCGTTTGAGCTGCGACAACATGAAAGTTGTTCCACGCTGCCAGCCTACTCCGGACATTCTCCATAGGTTTTCCAACAGGGCTCTCTGTCCTCGGCTGACTAGTATGCTCAGCCTCAGGTTGCGATTGGGGTTTCTCTGTACTCCCAATTTTGCTTGCATCTTGAGAAGGAAGGGCCGATACGTTGCTGGGAAGACCAGGCACTGCAGTACCGGCCGAAGGCATATCCTCCTTCAACAGCTCGTCATCGCCGAGCGTCGCCAGAGAAGCGAGTACAGCGCCGTCCAGCCCAAAAGGGTGCGGTTCTTTCGGAGGCTTGTTGACGTCATTTGAAGCAGCGGCAGCCTGCCTTCTGGCAGCTGGATGCTCAGGGATAACATACTCGCCGTGTTGAATTAATGCTGCAAATCTGACATGTAAATGAGCAGAGAACCAGTACGCAGGGCGCAAACGGTCAAGAACATGCTTAGCAGCCATATTCCCCAATTTGCCACTGATAGAATCCTCGCGAAATCCTCTCTTTTGTCTGAAGAGAGTCTCGTAGTCCCCACAGCGCTCAACATGCTTGGGCCAATCATGCGACAAGCCTAGATCAATCTGCGTGCGGATTTGGAGCAATTTTCTCACGTCTAACTCCCTGACGTGGTAAATACTTTGAATATCATCACGATTGTAAGGAAGTCGTTCAAAATGAGGCTTTCGATAATCATATCCCTTCCAAATCCCAGACATGCCTGCGATCCGTATAGGGCCACATCGAAGAACATTAGCTGCGCCAAGGTAGTAGATGTTGGGTGCCACCCAGCCTCCGTAGTAGAGCTCAAAAAGGTGGTTACCAGCTTCGTGATTACCGCCAATGAAGATAGTCAGATATGGAGCAGTGCGCTGTCCGCTGTAGTATTCGTGGAAATCACCCAACTCTCTGTACTTTTTTGGTACAGACATGCAAGCCAAATCGTTGGCATTTCGGACGGCCTGGGTTTGGAGTTAGGACAGCGAAGACAGGAAGGACATAGAAAGTAGGAAGCTTACCTGAAAGTCGCCGCCAATGACCACTAAGTCAACACCGTCCCAGCCCTTCAGCTCTGCTGCTTTCTCAATTGACGCATAGATATCGTGCAGACATCCATGTCCCTAAGAGAGTTGCCAAGGTCAGCCAGGGGAAGGATAGGATCGAAATAAATTTAGGGGTTGCATACGCAGCCTTCTAGAGCCACTCTGATGGAGGCGGAGTTAGAAGTTGGCACCTCCATGGTCTTGGAGGGTGCCTGTGTATCGGGAAACTAAATGAGTAGACTCGTGCGATGAAGTATGAAATGCTCACTTTCGAGGGAGGAGAAGAATGGGGGAAAAGGAATCCAAGTAGGATCGGCACTTGATGAGAATGAGATGAACTTTGGAACACGAAGAAGGGAATGGAGAGAGAGAAAGAGAGAGAGAGAGGGAAGAAAAGCCAGGTGTTGGGGGGAGGGGAGGAAAGAGGTAGGAGAGAAACACCGTGAGCCGTGAAGGTTGCGGCGGGAGTTTGGTTTGATTGCTTTGTCCCCGTCGGAAGAGCCCTTTTTATTTCCTCGATCCACCGCTCCCAGGTTGGATGAATGCCTTGTCTCCTGTGACGGATCGTCTTCTATTCACCCATATTTCTACTATTGGATACCTGGTCTGATATAGCCATGCCTCTCAGCGACCATGCGCCCAGGCTGGAATTTCTCAGGAGCTCTGCCAGCTCTCTGAATGCTCTCGGTCCATCCACCGCGGCCTATTTAATGACGTTGCACAATGGCATTATTTATGACGAATTCAAGCCCTTGAACCAGCGCCATCGCGAGGCATCGTGCGGTGCATGTGGCAGCATCAGAAGCGAGGAATGGACCAAGACCATTAATATCCCCAAACGAAAAGGCAAGCCCTCAAAGCCAGGCTCAGCGGCTAGGCCGGCCTCTGAAGGAGCTACAATTCTAAAATGTCTCCGTTGCCGTCGGCGCACCGTCAAGCCAGCTCGAAAGGAGGCAAGCCGTCCTACTATGCCCGCCAAATCTATTCCTACGACAGCATCTACGCCTGAGATTCAATCCTCTGCAGCCACGGCGCCTCGTTCAGGGCCGACCTGTGAATTAGCGGATCAAAATAAAGTTAATAAGGCCGCAGACAATGCCAATAGCAAAAAGCGAGCCAAGGCCAGAAAGCAGGGTGGATTGCAGGCACTGATGGCTTCCAAGCAACAGTCTCTCACAAATTCATCATCCCTCGATCTCTTTGACTTCCTTCAGCAGTGAAGGGGACCTGCAAATTTTCTTGCTGGCCACGAGCCCATGCCAAGGCCGGAGGATCGGGGGATTCCTCCGGGATGGTTTGGGCCTAGCGCGGGGTTGCTTTATCGGCCGGAGCTCCCCAAACGGCTTCCCGCCTGGGAGTGCCACTGTCACTTCAGTGTTGATCTTGAGCTCTTCCGACCTCCACTCTCCGCATCCCTCATCCCGCCTTTCTTGACTAGCACCAGTTGCCTCCAGCAAACCGTCACACCTGTTTCATCGACACAATGTCGTCTTACTCTGAAGATGACGAGCACGACCCTCAGGCGGACGAGCTCCGAGAAACCGCTCTGGTCACCCTGGAGACGCTGATCAGCTCTTGTAGCTCTCAGATGCAGCCATACATGTCGAACACCATCAAGTCGGCTCTTCGATACCTTAAATACGATCCAAATGTCGCCGAGGCAGAAGAGGACGAGGAAATGGGCGGCACGCAAGATGATGGCTCCGAAGATGACGTAACGGAGGAGCCGGATCTGGACGATGATGAGTTTGAGGATTTTGAGGAAGAAGGAGGCTACAGTGATATTGAAGATATGAGCTGGAAGGTCCGCCGGTGTGCAGCGAAGCTGCTCTATTCTGTTATTACCACCTATGCTCGTGGCCGTTCCTTGGACGATGCATCGTTGTTTCAGCAAATCTCCCCCGCCCTCATCGCTCGATTCAACAAAGAAAGGGAGGAAAGCGTCAAGCTCGAGGTCGTTTCTACCATGACTGCTCTGGTCAAGAAAACTGGTGAAGGTGCGATGATAATTACATCCAACGGATTCCTCGAAGCAGTGGGTGGTTCAAAGAACTCTAGGAAGAGGAGACGCCAGGACAGCGATGCCAGCATGATCGACTTTGAGCCTAGCATTGGAACCTCTTCTGCGATTAGCACCCCAGTCGTTGCTCCTTCGTCGCCAAAATCGGGCCCACAGGCAGAACTGGCTCGCTCCGTGCCGACCATCGTGCAGAGCGTTGCCAAAATGTGGAAGCAAGCTTCTGTACCCCTGAAGCAAGCTATCATTGTTCTACTCAAAAGCCTCGCACTCGTTCGCTATGGTGGTCTCGCGGACCACCTCCAACAGATCGAAGACCCTATAGCTGATGTTTTGAAGTCCTCTTCCCTCTCAGGCAGCTCATCCGCACCGGTCGGGGCTTCGGCTAGTGCAGGCACCCTCCAGACCGAAACACTTGGTCTTATTGCGGCGATTGCTGAGACGCACGCGTCTGATGCTCTGTTGCCCTTCCTCATCGCCCTAATCCCAGGCGTTATCGGTGCTGTCAATGACAGAAACTACAAAGTCAGCAGTGAAGCACTTGGTGCGGTCGAGCAAATTGTGAAAGCACTTACGCCGCCTCGAGTCCCTAATGCTTCCCAAGATCTTACATCACAATTGGAGAAACTGTATGATGTTGTTCACACTCGCATTACTGATACGAGTGCCGATCTTGAAGTTCGCCAGAGGGCTATCCATGTCTTCGGTGTGCTCCTAGCACGGACGTCTGGGGACAAGGGTTCATCTTTCCTCTCCCCTGATCGACGCTCCAAAGGTCTTTCTGTCTTGGTAGATCGTCTGAGGAACGAGACTACCCGGCTTGCGGCTGTCCGGGCCGTTGACGATGTTGCTGTCCTCTGCAGTCGTGATGTGGATGTTCCACCCACATGGGTTAGCGAAGTCACTACAGAGTTAGGCGCACAGCTACGGAAGTCAGACCGTGTCCTCCGAGGTGCCAGCCTGGAGGCTCTCCGCAGTTTGGCCATGAACCCTTACACCAGAAATCATTACGACGATAAGTCCATGAAGGACTTGGAGGATTCTCTTCTGCCACTCATCAGTGCAGAGGATTTCCATTTCCTCGCCCCATCACTTATCATTCTGGCGAAGCTTGTTCCCGGAAACTCTCAGCTTCTTGTGAACGAGAATTTGATTTCTGCGCTCTGTTCGGTCGTTCTCTCTTCCCTCGTTGGAACTGTCCTCAAGGCCCTGCTCCTGCTGGTCAAGGTTATTGGAGAAGAGGGTGCCGGGGCAGCATTGATGAAGAAGCTCTTACAAGATGTTGGGATCAGCGGCGACACGTCTGTGGTTGGTAGAGCTATCGGGACTCTTCTAGTGCACGGTGGGTCTAAGCTAGGGGTTAAAATGGAGGATTTCATGACAGAGCTACAGACTGCACAAGATGCTCAGCGTAAATGCCTTGCACTTGCAATTTTGGGAGAGATCGGTCTTCGCATGGGCTCCGGTTGCTCACTCACCCCGGAGCTTTTCATCACTCACTTCAACTCGCGGTCAGATAAAGTCCGACTGGCTGCGGCCACTGCTCTCGGGAACGCCGCGGCAGGAAATGTCAAATCATATTTGCCTATTATCCTGGGAGGGCTGGAAAAGGCCAACCCGGGAAGCTACCTGCTTCTTCATTCCGTGAAAGAGCTGCTCCAGCATCCCGAGATTGTTCGACCAGATGTAGCTCCGTCAGCTGTCAAACTGTGGCAGGCACTTCTGGTCGTGTCGGAAGAGGAGGACAACCGAGCCGTTGGTGCCGAATGTGTTGGTCGACTTGCTCTGATTGATCCGGTCGCGTACATTCCTCATTTCCAGGTGAGGCCCACTACCAGCGACGCTTTGGAATCGTATCATGTAGCTAACGCAGTCTGTAGGATTATCTCTCCAGCTCCGACCCCAGTGTCCGCGGTGTCGTCATTTCTGCTTTCCGCTATACCCTCTCGGATCCCCGAGACACGTACAATGATGTCCTGAGACCAGTTATCGTCCCTCTGCTGGTCAACATGCTGAGTGACCGCGACCTGGGCAATCACCGCCTCGCTCTGACCACTCTAAACTCAGCCATCCACAACAAGATGGACATTCTTCTGCCTCACCTCAATGAACTCCTCCCCGCCGTCTTCGGGGACACCAAGGTCAAGCCTGAGCTTATTCGCGAAGTTCAAATGGGACCCTTCAAGCACCGCGTCGACGACGGCCTTGAACTACGCAAGGTCGGTGCCCCTCCCACACTAACCTCCTCTACGAACCCACCGAAGTAGCTAACGAAGTTGCAGAGCGCCTACGAGACCCTCTACGCGTCCCTAGACTCGGCATTTTCCCTCAACCATATCGGCGAATTCTTCAACCGCATTCTATCCGGAATTGACGACGAGCAAGATATTCGCACCATCTGCAATCTCATGACCTCCAAACTCATTCATCTTGCCTCCGAAGAAACACAGCGCCACCTTGACGCGCTCTCGGAACGCTATACCGCCATTCTATCCTTCAAGCCCAAGGAAAATGCCGTGAAACAAGAACTGGAGAAGGCGCAGGAGGCTTCGCTGGGCGTTCTCAAGATCAGTCGCGAACTAAGCAAGGCGTTCCCGAATGCTGAGGTTGCCGGTGATCATCACAAATGGAAGGCCTACATGGAGTGGATTCGCAAGACCTTTGCGGCTCAACTCAAGACTCTCGAGATGGAGGCTTAGATTGTTTGCTTGTCATGACGGGTCACTAACTAGCCTACCTGGATTTAGGAAGGGTCTATAGCAACTGGAAAACATTAATGCATAGCATGGCCTTTCTTGAATTAATAATGGATGGATGAATTATGTCATTATACTACAGGCCCTCGAGACTTTCATTTTTAAAATGTAGCGCTTTGTCCTTGCCCAAGTGTGTAGTTATCATCAGGGGTAACAGAAAAATTAAACAGAGAAAGAGAATCGATGCATTAAGACAATAGAATTTGTACTGAATATGGGGGAATAGTCCGCTCGAAGTAGAACACAGCAGTGTTATGATTTTCCCGAACTCCTGGTATGCAGTCCGTTCACGCAGTTGCAACGCCGGCCACCCGATGTGAAAAATCAATAAACACCTAACTTCTGAAGCACACATCAGAAAGCAAAACAGTAATCCAACCTTATAATATCAAAACTCCGTGCAGCTGCACCCCAGGATATCATGAATCATACAATGCTAATGAAAGGCATGCTATGCGGTAATTGCTTTTTTCTTGAGCACGCCGAGTTTCTCAAGTTTTGCCCAAGCTCGGTCCATGTCGGAGCCGTCGTGTACAGAGGGCCTCAATTCCAAGCCGTCCAGGAGGCGAATGGAACCCCCGGTTCCTGCATATAGCATGAGCTCGAAAATACGCCGGCGGAGTCGCGTTGACTCATCCATGTGAATTAAGTATCTCTGATCAGCCAAAGGATCGGCGAGTGGAAGAGTGTAAGGATCGTTCACTTCAATCTCCTTGGCAGGACTGGGCATGTCGTCCTCGCCTACAGCGTCTAGATGTGTCATTTCCCCACTGCGCCCAAACTCGGCCAGCGCAGAGGGGATATCGAGGCCAACATGGTGTTGGTAGCCTAGTTCCTCCTTCATCTTCAGCTTTTTGACGTTCTCTTTACCATTTCGAATGACAGGCGGGTAGAACCTGACCGTGAGAGGGTTGCTCCGAATGTCGACCTTTTGCAGAGAGCAGGCCTTCCCTTTACTTGTCCTCCCGATATGGCTCAGAACCTGGCAAAGACGCCTCAGTCTCGTAAGATTGTTTCCGGCGGCTGTCAGTCGAGAGAGACATTTCATGCCCGCCAGTTCATTAACACCTGTCAGGGAGTTGAAGTTCAGATTGAGGACCACCACATTGGGAAAGCTCGAGGCAAAGTCATTAGGAAGCCCCTGCAGACTGCAGGACGCGATATCCAGGAGTTGCAAGCTCAGAAGGGGGGTGGAGGGCGATAGGCTTTGAAGAGAAAGTTTGTTGCATGAGAGGAAGACCTTCCGAAGGTCTTTCACTAGGCCCAAATCCACATCGAAAAAGCCACGGTTAACATCATCGCTCATTTGTTCCCGAGCAGAGAAGACTTCTAGATAACGGCACTGCTCAAGCCCAGAAACACTGCTCAAACAGTTCTGGTCCACGTAAAGGAGGTTTAGGGATGGAAAAGCTCCAATGTCGAGCGTGCGCAAGACGTTGTTTGAGAGTTTCAAGGACTGTAAACTAGGTAGGGGCGTGGTGATTTCGAGTTCGGTGAGCCGATTATAGCTGAGATTGAGCGCTGAAAGAAAGGGGAGAGAGCCAAAGCTGGTTATCGAATTAAGCTGGTTATGGCTTAGGTCCAGATCATGTAGGCGAGTCCTATCCAGATGGCGATGGTTAGTGATGACGTAGGCGAATTGAGATGCGATACTACTCACAAGTCTGCCCTACTGAAGTCGACTGTGGTCAAGCCATTATTCCTCAGCTGCAAGCTCAGTAGTCCGTTCAAGTCGAATATGCCCTCGATATTACTAATGTGGTTATCGTTGGCTTTCAGCTCTCTGAGATGTATTAGGCTGCTAAATGCATCCAGACTTTCGAGTTCGTTACCCGACACGTCCAGGTACTGCAAGTTGCTCAAGTGACCCCATGCTGTGAGATTCGACAGGCAGTTGTCCTGGATATTAAGCGTTCTCAGGCTTGGAGGCACACCACTCAACTGGCCAATATCGTTGCCGGTCACGTCCAGATCTTCCAGACGAGGGCAAAAATCGGAAAGCTTGTGGAGCGTAATAAGCCCCTTGTGCCGCAAGACTAGCCGCCGCACATGTTCCCAGTGAGGCTCAAACGGTTCAGCTTCAGTAATATGCTTGACCAGATCCTCAGTGGCCAGGGCAAATGTCCCATGAACCTGGCGCAGCGAAGTCGGGTGAGTACGTTGAGCCACGTAGCTCATTTCCAGATTTAGCGGTTGATCAATTTGGTGGACAGTGAAATCGGGCAGAGGACTTAGATGAAAGCTGTATGTTGTGTCTAGACCGAAGTTTTGGAGACAGATCAGTGAATTATTGCCATTGTTCTTGTCCGGCGTAGACGCCACGGATCCAGAGCCCCTGCGAACCAGACTCAGGGCATCAGCGGAGTTGCCACCACTTTCATTCACACTTGCTCCCTCTTCAGCGATAGCAGGATCATGCTTAGGCGGGGGGTCCCCGAGCTTGTGTCGGAGCTTTGTGGGGCTTTCATCTTCATCGTATGCAATTTGTGAGACAAGTGGCGACGAGAAGCTGATAGTCACGACTCGAGCTTGTTGGCGATGTTCCTGATGACGCCGTGACGGTTTTGACAAACAACCCTCATGGAGCTGAATCTCATGCTCGACCTCGCTAGTTGACTTGCTTGTCTTACGAACATCGGTCTCCCAAGACGTCGCCCTGGTTTCCGAGTTGGAGAACCTAGACGTAAAGGGTGTAGCTTTCGACTGGAGCGAGCTGAAATTGACCGAGGGGTCGCCTTCTTTGGTCTGCGGGGGTTCCTCCGATGGGCTGAAGGACTTATGTGGACTGGATGAGCTTTGGCGCGCGTTGTCTTCGCCTCGGACAGAAGAACCCTTTACCCGTTCTGGGGAGAGGGAGCTCTGCATCCTCATCATCTCTTGGAGTTCATCCACACTGAGATCTGGGATATCCTTGAATGGATCGTCCTCACTATCTTCGCCTTTCAGCTTACCCGGAGATTGTCTGGGCTTTTCTTTAACCCACTGGTTCCGGTAACGATCGTACGTCAGACCATTCACCTGCTCAGGAATAAGGTGAGACACAATATCTGAAGACAGGACACCTTTGGCATGAGAGCTTTGTGAAGAGCCCGTGGGAATGGAACGTGCGCTGAGGCTTTTGGCGGAGACATGCGTGTTTATAGTAAGAAGATCAGGAAGGTCGTCTTCTTCACCATCATCTGACGGGCCAGACATTTTACGCATATGCTGCACAGAGTCAACGCTCTGAGCGTTTGCGTCGGCCCCATCGTCCATCTCGTTCAATACATCTCCGTCCCAGATTGAATGGTTATCTTCGGAGCGGCTTTCATCTTGGTCGAGGTTCAAAGACATAACAGATGCGTTCACATCAAATTCTTGGTCATCATCCTCCTGAAATTTCTTTAAGTGACTTAGTATGCGAGGGTTTGGCTCCGTGGGCTCCCTTAATTTCCGGATATCCACCCCCTCCCGGCTCGGGGGACGCGAGAACTCTTCGCGTGTGGATTCATCTTCGTAGCTTCCACTCTCGTCCTGGTTTTCCGCATCTGATTCCTCTACACTAGAGAGACCGCCCGCAGACCTGCCCTTTGACCGGATAATATCCATGATTTTGGTGGCCTCGTTAAGGAAATCCTGAGTCGTGATTGACCCTTTGCGGGTTTCCGTATTAACACCATTAACTCTGACGACGGGGATCGCGTTCTCCGGCGGGGAGTTCTGATCGCCATGGTCGTCATACCCAGCACGCGAGTAATTTCGGCTTGACGATGGCCTCTTTCTCGAGAGCGACCGTATCTGGCTTGGCGTTGGAGTGTTCGGTCGGTGCGTGGATTGCGAACGCAGCAAAGGATCGTTGCCTTCATAGGCCACACCGTGTTGCATCAAACTCCTTTGCAATAACGACAGGTTATCAGGGGCCTGGCTAGGGATTTTCCCCGAACCAACATCTTCCTGCATCAGACTGTGTGACTTGAGGATTGTTCTGCGCCTTTTCGGGTTGGGATCTTTGGCCGGGGAGTTCGGCCTAGATCCTGATTCCGACTGGAAGAATTCTTCTACGCCTCTCAGCCCCCGATTCCCGGTGACATTGGTGCTTGAGGCCGTGTCTAGTATCCCCGCGGAGTTGGAGTTCTTCGTAGATCTGTTTGGTTCCGTACTATAACTTTGATTTCTATACGAGCGACGCCGGAGATACCGCCGTTCGACAGAAAGTCGCTGCGAAGGAGAGCGTTGATGGGGATCTAGAGCTTCATTGTTGAGAAGCTTCGGTTCATAAGGGCTTGTATCGGAGAAGTCGAAATGGTCCAACTCCCCGTCACCGAATCGATTGATACGAGGGTTCGCCGTGTTCCGAGACCGCGGCCGATCGTGCCTTCTCGTGGGCTCCCCTAGCGTGTCTTGTTTTGCGCTCATGAAACTCCTCGACTCGCCCTTACGCCGGGCCTCCTCCGACGGGGACACAGGTTCGTCATCCTCAGAAAAGCCGCCGAAGGTCTCTTCGAATTGGCTCATCCGTCGCATGAGCCTGTTGTTTGTGAAGGTGTCATGATTGCCGAACAGTTTCAGGGGACTCCCGGAAGATGGCATGACTTCGACTTTATCGGCCCCGCGTCGCGCTCCAACATGAGCCGATGATGGTCTAGGGAGCGTCGGAGGCTCGGTCACTGGGTTGGCCTTCTGGTAGAAAGGTGGTGAGCTCCGGATTCTCTGGTTGGCAGGAAGGAACGGCGACAATCGTTCGGAGGGAAAGGGTGGCGGCGAAAGGTGTAGCTTCTGAAAAGAGCCATCGTTCAGGTAGTCGTCACGTCGCAAGTTCGCAAAGGCTCCTCGTCCACGGAAATCCAGCGTTCCCATGGAAAGATCTTTGGGCAAGGAATGGCTCGTGACATCAAGTAAATCGTCCTCCGGTAGCGGCTCCGCGGGGAGCTCCGACGGTTGATTTAACAAAAGGCTATCGCTTAATCTTGAGTCAGGCCGTTCGTATGGTGGCAATTGTAGTCTCTCGAGTTTGTTTGTCACCCTTTTCAACGCCGACCTAATCACTTCCGAAGCAGCGTTGCCATCCATTGTGTTCGGCTGCGAGAAGGTAATGGGGGTTATATCTTCATTTCGCAGGTCCTCCAGGCCACTCGCGGTTCTCAACTGCGTGCCGTTCCAGGAATCATCGTGGCCGTCGGCCTGATTCAGCGCTGGCTCTATAGGTTCCTTCTTTACTTCCAGCATTCCGTTGTGTGATCCTTGTAGACTCCCTTGGCCCGTCTTAGGTTCCACTTGGCCAAGTCGTGGCGATTTGGCCGGCGATCGCGGACTTTTGGGAGAGGAATAGCCAGCACCTTCGCCGACACCATGTCGACCGTCACCCGGTGAGTCCTTTGAGTAAACATCGTCGCGTAATTTGGGGGATGTGGTGAAGTTCCAGATGCTATCCGATTGTTTTAGCCTGGAGATGGCCTCGTCTTGGGTTTTCTCGGTTCCTGGGGTAGGCGGTTTGAATACGCTCTCGAGTCCAATGGGGGCGAAAAGATCGCGCTGCTCGCCCGAGGGTATATCTCCTTGAACCAGTCTCCTTCGCCATTCGGGTGTTCCCTCGGTACCTTTGGCCTTTTTCGGTCTCACTTGAACGGTGCTTTGTTGTACAGACTGACCGGAAGCATTCGACACCGACCGCAAAGGTGATCTCGTATCCATCGCGCGCTGTTGTTTACGCCGAGATGGCGGGTCCGGTCGTGGGCTCTTCTTCGACTTGTCCGGAACGGGGGTTCTCAGCTTGGACGGGGTTTTGGGGAGACGAGGGGTTTTCGGCTTAGGCGGCTCCCTTTTGACGAAATGACAAGGCCGGGAAACTTTCTTTTTATTATCGGCAGGCGACGGCGATGGACCGACGGAACGACGCGCGGGAACTGGAATGCGACTAGGAGAGTCCTGTAGCTGTAAGCTGGACTGGCGGGAATGAGTGACGGATCGAGAGGGCACAGGGCTGGTTGGGGTCCCAGGCACAGGCACAGGTACCCAGTCGTCTGAGAGGTTGTCCAGCCATGGTGGATTGTCGGTCATTTTCGGGGGTGCGTTGCGATCACAGCGGCTGAAGCCCAGCTCGGCGCGCGTCGCGATTCACAGGACGCCAGGTTAATGCAAGCACAGCGGAAATTAACAGATGCGGGCAAACCATGGAGCTGGAAGACCCTGGAATGGCAATGGCATCTGGGTGGGTGGGGGGTGTATTGAGGAGCGTTCGAGGCGCGATGGGCGATGGGCGATGGGCGATGGGCGACCACGCAAGGAATGGCTGGCACCGGCGAGGCTGCTGACAAGGTTGGGGGGGAGGGGAAAGAAAGAGAAGTTGCAACATGGAAATCTACAACGATAAATTGTTATTCGTAGAGTGGAGTTTGGCGGCACCGTGACGGGATCGATAAGTTGGCGGGTGCTCGGGGCAACCCTCCATAAATCCTGGTTACTTCTGGCCAAGTGCGCGTGCCAGCATAATAATCAGAATCCCATTTATTCTCCTAGACTCTTACTAGTCAATTCCTGCTCGTCGTTCCCCACGGTTCCCTGGCGCGGATGGGTGTCGGGGGTTCCCCCCGTGTCGCCGTGTCCACCAAGATCGTGCCTCCTCTTTTTCTTTTTTCCGCCCCCCCCTGAAACGAAATGTGATGCATCCCAAAAGCCTTGCTTCGGGAGGGGGAAAAAAAATGGAAACTAGAAAAAACAAAAGAATTTGTCTCGATTCTCCCAACAAGACCCGCAAATTACGGACCGTAAGCTGCATGGGTTATCTCGCAGCAGTACAGCGCGCCCAGCACGATTGCCTCTGAGTTGGCACTGGATCCTCTCCAGCCAATTGCAGTACTTACAAGAACCATGGTGACAGGCAATGTGGACAGGCTCCATCCTATTTGGTCTTGGGCACTGAACGAAAGTACCCAATGGCCTGTCAGTGTCGATCCTTGAATCACTTATATTGCCGCGACGCAAGGAGTCTATCAGTCATGGTCCTGCTACTCGCATTTCTGCAGCAGACCTGCAAGGCACGAGCTTGGTGTTTCGGTCGAATAAGATTGAAAACCGCCGCTCGTGTCCAATGCGACGGTTGATGATCAAAATGGAAAACCGATATTTTGGTGTTCAATCAAGTGGATGTCGGCCTTTCCCGTTATCATTGCAGTATACCGAATACCAAGGGACCAATAACTTCAGAGCAACCCACAGAATAATGAAGCACAGGACTTCCGTGGAACTGAGTGCACCTCACTTGAGCCAATCAAATGTATCTCCAAGCATATATCATTCCTAGGCCATGCAGTTGTCGTGGTTGGAATCCATCAATACGGGCTAATGTTAGTACTATATATCAGTAGCTGATGAGAGCTACGAACCTGGCAAATGTTCGAGACACAGGCACAGACTTTTTGTGTCTAAAGTGCATCATCAAATCAGGAAAGGGACCCCCTTAAAGAGTATTCCGAGCACACAGGGGTGGCTCGAGTACGGCTAGGTGCAGAGGACGCATTTTCTTCGCAATCCGCAGTTTTACTCCCAGATATCTGATATGCTACAAGAAAGCTGTGGCAGATATTCTATAATCAAGTTGTTCTGAATTAACAGCAGGAAATCAAAGATTGATACATAGACTCTGGGCTTAGCCTCCAGGACCAGCCAGCATTTCAACCACTTCTGCAACACAGCTTACAAACCTTGCAGGTGCAAGTAGGTGACTGACATAGGCATCAGTAGACAGAGGTAATCCTATCATACAGTTCCCCAAAGGCTCACAAAGAAACGAACGGCCACTGGAGTATGAAAGACACAGATAATCCGAACTACAAATATTGATAACTATTAATATACTATTATCACGATATTGAATTCAGGAGAGAATCTGACCAATCAGGGCTTTCGAATCACAGGATTGATACCTCAGCTTCTGTATTTCTTTACCTGCTTGACTGCCGGGCTGCATCTACATGCCTGGGCCATCCTTCTTTTCTTCTAATAAATATATAGAAGCATTGCTAACTGAGGCAGTGTTACGGTTCCCATTAGCTAAAAGATTACATGGGGCACGACATACTCTCTGATGTATGCAGAAATGCGTTATCAGATGCTTCTTCAAACGCTTCTCAATGATTTGGGTTGTAGCTGGGCGACCGCAGGACCTCCTACTGTCTACTAGTACTAGATCACAGTCCCAGCGATTAGTCTCCACAGTCAAGGGTTAAGCCTTCATAGTACCCCATCTTGAAGGTGAACGGCCCCGCAACTTTCACCTATTACTGCTTGCCAATTTGTGCCCTCTGCTCGTCATGTTGGTCTGAACCCATTATCCAGGTATCCTCTGTTATCTATAATGGCAATCGTGTATAGACAACCCCTTAAATGATTCCCGTGCAGAAATGACATGCAGTCAGCCAGCCCATCTATAAAATCCAATGCATAATACTAGTAGAAAATATCACGTTCCATGTCTCCTAGCTATTTCTCCCAGCTTGAGTTTTTGAACGCTGCAACCGTGCGCCCTCTCGATCCTCCGAGCCAATTTGGAGCATGAGCCTTTTGCATACACGACAGCAACCACTGCTATCTAGTTCGATAAAAGACGTGTATAAATAGTATGTTAGCACCCCGTATGTAGACGGGGACACGCGTTTGGAGCGTTATTCCCCACCTCCTGCTAAGCGAATGCCGGTGCGGGTCCCTGTAAGAGCCACTTCATCTCGCTCTGAAACAACGGTTGATCCTATAGATGTCATAGATGTCTGTCGATCACTAGAGCCAATCCCTTTCGGTAGATGTTATATCTGCTCCAGGAATGCATGGATGTGACAGATGAATTTAATCGAGCACTGGATATTAGGGGATGAATCTGACAGTTGAGCGGGGGATGCAATGGGGGGCGTATTTATACCGTGCGGTCTAGCATGCGAAATACAAAGAACAACCCACTAAGCCATGTGGCAGTCTCTGCTTCTCCTTCTCCTTCTTCGACCGGCCGCGGCTCAGCTGTCGGGACCGGTCGGTCCCCTGACTTCTTATGCTTCCAAAACGGCTACCAAAGTCTGCAACATCATTGACTACGGCGGCTATCCTAACAATGAGACCGATATTGGATCGGCCCTGCTCAGTGCGTGGGATGACTGCGCCAAGGGCGGGCTTGTGTATATCCCACCGGGCAACTACTCGATGGCAACCTTCAATGAGCTCAAGGACGGCGTATCATCAGCTGTGCAGCTGGACGGTGTCATCAACCGCACGGGGAGTGATGGGGCGACAATGTTGTCCTTCCGCAACTGCATCGACTTCGAGTTCTTTTCAGGCAACTCCAAGGGGACCATCCAAGGAAATGGACACGAGTACCTTGTCAATGATGAGTACGGCCCTCGTCTAATGCGCTTTCAGGACATGAGTAACTTCTCTGTTCATGGCTTCGCCCTCGTCGATTCTCCTTCCTACTACCTTACACTCGATACGGTCAGCAATGGCGAAATCTACAATATTGTCATGCGCGGGCCTACCGTGCTGGGAGGGACTGATGCCATTGATGTCTGGGGACAGCATATATATCCACGATATCGAAGCCACAAATGGTGATGAGTGTGTGACTGTGAAGAACCCATCCTCCAACATGGTGATTGAGGATATCTTCTGTAAGGCCAGCGGAGGCATGTCGATCGGATCTCTGTCTACCAACACCAACATCTCCGACATATACTATCGTCATATCTACGCCAACAACGCGGACCCGTGCTTTATAAAGTACCATGGCGGCAATGGGACGGTCAAGAATGTCGTCTGGGATACCGTGACTGTCAATGGGGGCTCTTACCCTTTTTCTATTGATAGCGCTTGGGGTACCAAAAGGGAGGGAGATGGAGTTGAGATTACCAACCTCACATTCAAGGTACTGCAATTGCCCCTAATATGATCAGACCTATTGCTAACTTCTAAAACAATAGAACTGGGTTGGATACAATTCCAATGACTCACGGCCCTCCATTCGCTTTCTATGCACTTCGGAGGTGCCTTGCACAAACATCACTCTCGAGGACGTCTATATGTTTTCCGAGGGTGACTATGCCACATATGAATGCCAGAATGCTTTCGGGGAAGGAGCTTGTCTGAATGGCACTGCTACTGCTACTACATCAGCCGGCTATACCGTCGTACAAACGGTGACCAGTGTCGCGTATGATCTTCTCTTCTTCTGCCTTCCTACATACAGTGACATACTGACTCAAACCCAGCACATATATCACCTCCCGGATGGCCAATGAATTCAGCACGGAATTACTCGCAATCTCATCCTACACCATTCTTCCAGTGCCGACCAGTTTCTACCCCGGCCAGACCCCATATTCTTCCCTCTTACATCTGACCGGGCCTGGTGGTCTCATGACCGCCAGCTCGGCTTCATACAGGACAAGCGCCGTTGCGGCATCGAGCCAGCAGGCTTCTTCCTCGAATCTGATCCCCATAACCACGACTAGCTAAGCTCAAGCAGAACAAACCGGTATATTCACACCCGAGGATCCGACAAATGACTCCTGTGGTCCAAATTATGATCCGCCAGAGGTTAGCATACACCCCAAATTGTCGGATCACAAGCATCACAGTCATCTGGCATATCATCTCAAGAATAAAGCGCATTAAAAAGACGAAAGAGGTGACTCTAACCAGATAGTCCTGCCATGGCGTGTGACTATGCGACTATCCCATTCTTTGGCCCTGTGTCTCTGGAGCAAAGTGCCCACTTTATCATCCATATAGCTTGATCACTGAAAGAACAGTGTTCTCGCAAATATAGAGAAAAGCATATATACTTCCACAATAATCACTAATATGAGTTATCTTCGGCCCACAATTTGTTTTATCGACCAAGCATCAATTCTTCAACTTTTCATTTGATAATCAGATCAGATTCTATTTGCCAAAGGTGAAGCTGGAATCTCTTATCAACAACTACGCACGCACATGCGATCAGTATGTAGGAATGTTACATTAACACTTCTTGGCGATCTAATTCTCGATCATTCCATGCCACATGGAGGATAAAGTACAATATTCATCGCCGGAGCTATGGGACAGTTTTCAACATCAAACCCTGAGACATCTCAATCACGCCTGGGGACGGTCGGGAGAAACAGTACCCTTCACCTTGGCGGTTTCGGTCTCTCCTTCTCCCTTTTGGCTCTTGCCAGGCTCGTTCACGAACGGGTTATCAGTATCTGTGTTAGACAGGCCCTCCTGCTTAGAAGAGATGGTGGCCGAAGAACCTGGTTCCTTCCGGCTGGCGGGCTAAGGAACGTGAGTAGTCAGTTAGGTGTTGCTTGAAAAGTGCTGCAATTTTCAATAGATCGAGAACAGCCGCTCCTGGAGATAGCTCTTACCTGGTCTGCCTCCGAAGGCGCCTTTCCATCTGTTGATGGAGTAGTACCGGAGGACGAGGACGAAGAATCTACCTTCTGCTCCGAGTCGCGATCGGGCTGAGGAGTAGCTTCGCCCGCTGGAGACTCGGCCTCCTTCTTCTCTTCCTTCTCCACGTGTCCAGGTCCGTGAGCTTCCTCGTGGCCGTGCTGGGGTTTCTTCTTCACCCCGCCCTGAAGCAGGTAGTATGCTGTTGGGAGACCCAGACCAACAGATGCGATGAGCCTATTGGAAAACGGTCTTAGTCTCACGCGTTGAACGAGTGCGACTCAATTCCGGGGAGAAGGTAACTACCATGGCATGTCGGAGGACTTAGGAGCGTCATGCGACTGAGCATAGGTCCTGCGTGCGAATTGCTGGGTGGGAGGTCGTCGAGCTGCGACGCCGATGCCGGCACCGACGGCCCTAGCAGATGCGCGGAGCACATGAGGACGTGCGAGAACCATTGTGAAGCAGGTGGTAGCTAGATGAGAAGCTGAGATACAGTATGGGTCTCAGAAGCAAGAAGAGAGAGACGGGATGCAGTCAAAGAGACGAGCAAAATAGGACGATGAGGAGAAGAAAGAGAAGGAGGGAAGGAAGTATGAAGAAGAGGAGGCTGGACGGGGATGGTATGACCTAATTGAAGGCAGGACCGGCAGTCCTTACGTTGCAATCCGATGCATTCTGACCGGAGCGGCTGCTGCCGGGGTGGCTCACGTTCCCTGCTGCCCAGTCATTTACCAGTCACTTACTCGAGAGTTACCTGGCAACTGACGCTGCTCCTTATAAGAGAGCATGTACTTCATAGGACTAGCCCCGTAATTACCGCGAATGATGTAATTGCGCCGTGCGGGGAAATCACTGGATTTCGCCTTGACAGCTTGGACAGCATCCTCTAGACAGATGAAAATTGATCTCTCAGACAACATCAGGAATTCGTTATCTCCTACTACATCTGAAGCTCATATCTTCAATTGACCTTGTTGGTGGCAGTCCAAGGTCGCCGCATAGTTTGGGGGATTGGATGAGGATGGACCATGCACCAATGGCCGCATGGTCCGCCGTAGGAGCTTGTTTCTGCCTCAGGCTTTGAGATCAGCTCCGATAACAGTGGCAGCACCACCTGAACGAAGGCGATCCCTGATACATCCCACTTGTTGATCTGGTTGTCCCCCAAATCAACTACATCCCCAGTTTGGTTGTCCTTTTACAACCCCAGTCACTTCAAATCACTCTCAGTTCCCTACCTACTATAATCAGGTGTCTCTACCCGCCACCCTTCTTTCAACTATCCTAATCACAACGCTCAAATCTACTGCGGGGCTTCACCATGGCGGACCGACACTCCGTGCAGCTTAGCCTCAACAGTCTGCTCTCTAAGCTGGGTGATCCCGATCCGGACATGAGATATATGTCTCTGAATGATCTGCTCGGGATCCTAAACAGCCCCAGCTCTACATTTTTGGCCCACGACCAAGGTGGCTCATCAGCGCTGGCCGAGTGTTTATTGAAGGCCCTGGACGACCAGCACGGCGATGTCCAGAATCAAGCGCTGAAATGGTATGTTAAACCTCACTTTCGATGGATCCAATATCACTAACTCGTGCGCGCTGTCTAGCCTTGGCCCTCTCGTCCTCCGAATGCCCTTCGAAAGCCTCGCGTTGCTGCTTGAAAAGCTCACGAACCTAACAGCCTCCCAGACCATTGATACCTCCGTCCCGAACACCGCTTTGAGATACATCGTTACAGCTCTACCTCGCCCTCAGGCTGGGCAGCCCCCCAGTCAGGAGGCGACCATGGCTTACTCGGCTGTATCTCGGGGGCTCATCCCTCGTTTGACTGGCCCAACCCCATCTCCTACAAGTCGGAGAGGCTCCATCGTCAAGGGAATGCTGGAAAAGGATCCATTAAAGGGTTTCAGTAGTGACGCGATCGACGTTCTGATTCAAGTCGTAACTTGTTTTGGTCCTTTGCTGAAAGAACCCGAATTGAGCGCCTTGCAAAATTCCGTCATGTCCATCATCGATAACGACACGGCTGGTACCGTGGTTACAAAGAGGGCTCTGGCGGCTATTTCAGCCCTCGTCTTCCATTTCTCGGACGCTCAGCTTAGCGCTTTTGTAGGGGGGCTCGTGCAAAGATTCAACTCCACACAGCTTAGCACTGTTCATCGGCGTCACCTGATTGCGGCTGTTGGTGGTATAGCTAAAAGCGCCCCGGCTAAGTTTGGTCCTCATCTGCCTACCCTAGCCCCATTTATCTTTTCTGCTGTGGGCGAGGATAACCTACCACAAGTGAGTCCTTGACCCGTATCCGAAACTCTTCTCCATTTGCTCACGCTCTGACCTGTGCAGTAGTCAGTCCAGGTCCCAGCGTCGTTTTCCGTACGCTCGATTGCGTGAGGGACATCATCTTGCTAGTCTCTTTCAACTTATTCCTCAGGATGGCGGCTTTCCATGTAATATAGGATCTCGCCTTATAGACTTGATGAGCCTTCAGTCGTCTGGGTGCCATGATAATACCCCTAACGAGAAAATGCAATGATGCCTCCCCTCGTTACCACAAACGGAGTTCTATAGGGTTACATAGCAGGCCTTGCGAGTAGTAAATGAGTTGCGTTTCTTGGTCGGCTTCAAGCCAGCCAAAGGTAGGGCTACACGGATAGGTCTGTGTTCTTATGGGAATTTGAGATGTTCACAATCCGCCTGGATGTCATTGCAATATCTCTTCGGCTGCCGATCGTGGGCGCGCTCCTTCCGTCGTCGTGTGTCAAGCTGCCACTGGCGGTTTCCTACCAGCCAGGGCTATTTCAGTGACCTTGACGTTGCACTGACAGTCGCTGCTTCCACTTGCACAAATTGAGGCCAGGCAGCCGAATCACTCCTCCCTCCGACCTTCTTGTCTATCTTTTCTCTTCTCTTCTCCCACTACACATCTCATCACCCGTACCAGAATATTTACTGTCTCCATTACCCTGCATCTTATTCGGGACTACATTTTACCACCCCATACCTTCTCACCATGCACATGCTTCGCTTGGTTGCTTCTGGCCTAGGTCTTGTAGCGTGCTCGACTGCGCGCAATATCATCAACCTACAGCCTGACCATCAAGGGACACGCCTTCTACCTCTTAGTCATGGAAATTCTTCTGCTCAGGACCTTGTGGGGCGTGGTGCTAGCAATCGATGTGGCCCTGACGTTGGCAAATGCGCACCGGGTAAATGCTGCTCAACTGCTGGTGTGTTCTCCGTTATTCTCCTTGGTTAAAATCAAATATGCTAAGTTGCTACAGGTTATTGCGGAGACTCGAAGAACCACTGCAGCTCTCCCGACTGCCAGATCGATTATGGTCATTGCGACGCTCATATAACCCCAGGAGGTCCGCCTACTGACAAGATTCCCCGGCCTCTGAATGGCAACGTCCCCTATGGTCCACGCTTCATTCGGTCTTGTACTGTTCCGGGAACCATTGCTCTGACTTTTGACGATGGTCCCAAGGAATACACGCAGGACCTTCTTGACCTTCTCGACAAATATGAGGCTAAAGTGACGTTTTTTGTTACGGGAAACAACAACGCGAAGGGCGAGATTGACAGCCCTGGGATGCCTTGGGCGTCACTGATTCAACGTATGCACCGCAGTGGACATCAAGTTGCAAGCCATACCTGGTCGCATCAAGACCTCAGCAAGGTTACGCAATCGCAGCGCCGGGTTCAGCTGCTTTGGAACGAAGTCGCGCTTCGTAATATTTTGGGGACAATCCCCACTTACATGCGCCCCCCATATTCCAGCTGCACGGCGGAATCCGGCTGTCTGAATGATCTTGGCTCGCTCGGGTATCATGTCATTCTGTATGACATCGACACTGAAGACTACAGCCATGATAGTCCGGAGGCGATCCAACGATCCAAGGACATTTTCGATCGGAACTTGGACTCTCGGATAGAGTTTGATAGGCCCTGGCTCGTTATCGCTCACGACGTCCATGAACAAACAGTGCACAACCTCACCGAGTACATGTTGAAAAAGCTTATTGCGGAGGGTTACCGCGCGGTGACAGTTGGCGAGTGCCTCGGTGACCCCCCAGAGCTCTGGTACCGCAAGGATGACAATTTTGACGACCGCAATATACGGAAATCCAACAAGACCAAGAACTCGGATACCAAACCCGTGTCAGTTGACGGCATGTGTGGCGAGAACACCTCGTGTCTTGGATCGCGGTTTGGTCCTTGCTGCAGTAGCACTGGTTTCTGTGGAAGCATGTCTTCATTTTGCGGTGAAGGGTGTCAGCCCGATTCTGGGTATTGTGGTGACAATGCCACCGCCGCCTCTACTGGTTACTTTAGTTCGGCCAAAAAGCCCTCCAAATCGGATGCAGGGTCCCTGCTGCAGCTGAGCCCATCCGTGGCGGTTGTGATATTGTTGACCCTTATGGTGTTGATGGAATAAGCCAATTATAGAGGCTACGGCCCGGTCGGCACTTTTATATACGATCGCTTGGTTGTATAATGTTGGGGTGTGCATGCATTGCGTCATGAGGAGCCAAGGTGGACTTCATAACGCTATGGATGCTTTCCAGAAAAGTGGTGGTCTTGTACTTTTACTAGAGTTTAGTCTTACCAATATGATGAATGCTTTGGGCACGACTCGGTTGCTTCGTGAAATCAGTCTTGGCTGTGGAACCGCATCAATATCTGATGTTGACACTTGTAGATCTTCTCCAATACAATGCCGATGCTCGATAGGTCCCGTAACATCCTAGTGACGATACCGATCTAGTATGACATAAGGTATATAGAAGCAGCATGTAAAGCTATCAGTACAACAAGAATACCCCACTGGTACAGTGCAGTTTCGTAGTTGACCGTACAATATAAAAAATGCTTCATCGGTACAGAAGACCGAGTACAGACGCATCCCATCACTACGAATAGTGCCGAAGGTCACCGTTTAACTATCTTCAGCAACGGCGCGATCCTCGCCCTGCGACTCAGACCAACTCTGTAGGGCACTTTGCTCGTCGATGATATCGGGCTGTGCTTCGTTGGCCCTTTGGTAGGTTTTAAGGGTGTAGTTGGGGTTGTTTCCTGGTGAGTATCTGGGGTTTGTTCTTCTTCTTCATGTTGTTGGTGTTCATGCGGTTCCAGCTCAGGTTCTGGTTCTGCCTCTGGATGTGCTTGTGGATTGGGGGCGGGTTCTGCTGGGAGGGCATTCTCTTTGTCGGATTGAGGTTGTGGTTCCAGTGGAGGCTCGGTAGGTGGTAGTGGATCGATGGGGTGTTCTTCAACTGTGATCTTTCTCTTACGGCCGCGCTTTTTGGGCGCTGCTGCCGCTGGGGCCGGGGGTGTTTCTTCCTGGACAGGTGGGTCGGCGTTGCTGTTGTTGTTGTTGTCATCGGGTTGGTTGTCGTGAGTTGTTGGGTTGAGTGGTCGCTCATCTATCCAGATGACGTCGTCTTCGACATCGGACTCGTATGTTTTTGTTAGGGTTAAGGATGTGGTTTTGCCGCGTTTGAGCTTCTTCTTTTTGGGCTCTTTTGGTGGGTTTTTAGATGGTTGGCTTGTGTCTTGTAGGGGTGAGTCGATGAGGATAGGAGTTTGGTCGTGTTCTGTAGTAGCGAAGGGGTCGGTTGAGGTTGTTTCCGGAGGCACAGGGATTGTGGTCGTGTTGTTTGGTGCTGAATCAGTCTGATCTTGTTCATCGCGTGGTGGTTTCGCGTTCTTCGGTGGTCTTCCTGGCTTGCGCTTTTCGGGTTTATTGGTATTGTTGGTGGTAGTGGTGGCCGTCGCATCTTGATTTATTGCAGCACTAGGGTGGTGGGCCAATTCATCGTCATCGTCGTTATCAGGAAGGCTTTGCTTCTTCTTGCGGCCTCGTTGTTTCTTCTCGACGACTGGGATCTCAATGGTTACTGGACCGGCGAGCTCGTCGACGCTTCGATGGGATTGCTGCGCTGAATTGTCGCTCTTTGATCTGCTGACTTTTGGCGATACGACTGAAGAGAAGGGCTCCGTATCGTGTGGGGAGAAGGGGGTTGGCTGAACGGAGTTATGTCGTTGAGGGGATTTGTATGCGATCTCGGTCTGGACGATGCCGGTTGGATAGCTAGCGAAATCATTGTCAGGATAGAAACTCCCAGATGGGCGAAGGGATGACTCGAACATGTTGTATGATGCTCCTGTTGAGACTGAGTAGTTGGAGCTTGTATGTTGATTGTTCTGCTCGGTTGGTTCACGGGTATATAGGTTCGTGGTGTCTGCGGGCGGAAGGTCCTGTCCGGTCTCATATTGTAGTCGTTGGTCGGGTATATTGAGCTGCGGGTCTGCATATAGTGGAGGCTGCTCTGAAATGTTATCAAGATTGCCTTGGTTGATTAAGGCTATATCGTTAGGAGCGGGGAATTCCGAAGCAATCTGCTCATGAAGAGGTGCCGAATCTGTCTGCGCCGCTTCCATCGCAACAGCGTCCTGATGCCCAGTGTGTCCTACGTGATGCGCTTCTTCATCATCAAACAGTCGTTGCTGCGCAAGACCAATTTCCGTCATCATCGTGCCTGGGGACAATTACGCTTGTTAGTGTTTAAACTAGAAGAACTCCACGCAATTCTCACCAATCGACCCGCCTCCCACATCGCCCGGTATCCATCGCTCTTCTCTGCGCTGCTGGGAGGAGGATATACCCCGATGTGCTGATTCCTGGGATTGTAGGAATTGGTCGAAATTAATGCTCATGTGCGAGTCATGACCTGTCTGCTGGGCTTGGTAGTGTGCATCCTTCTGCACGTCAACGTGTGTGTTATCGGCATTGGGCCTTGGGGATGGAGGCCCCGCCAAAGGGTCGTCTTCATCGTCGGAGTCCTGAATCACACGCTTGGAGGACATTTATAGGGAGACGTAATATGTCTGGACAAAAAGAGGTCAAATAATCATGCGATTTGGTATCATTCGATCTGGTAACAATGATTTTGATGACCGCGTCCCGGAAATCTGGGGAGCGGAGCGACGCGAAAGCACGTGCTGATAAGTACTGATGCCTGAGGCATCATTTCCCTTGCGGGGAATGTCAACAAATGGGCGGTCAGAAGCGACAAAACGCGAACAGAATGATGTATCTACATAAAGGTATCTCCGAGTTCGTTACATGCCCCATTATTCCATGGTACTCTGCGGTCGCATCACACCTCGGCCGAAAAACTCGCTGACCACTGCGAATCGGTCCTTGGAACGTTGCAGCTCACCCTTGAAAAGATCGTGTTGATCTGCCGATTCAACCTGTCTCTTCCGGATGGCCTTGATCGTCGAGTTCTGCGGCGCGCAGACAGGGCATTCAGCATCTTCATCCACTCTGTTCAAACACCTTTGATGGAAAGAATGCTTGCAAAGGAAGTGCACTGTAGGAAGGTCTAGAGCGCCGCCACAGGACATGCATCGACGGGCCTGGAAGACGACTGGTTTGCTACCCAATTGTTCAAGCTCCTTCCTTTTGTTTTCGGTCTCCGTACTATAACTGGATATCAAGCGGCGATTCTAGGTTCATCATTAGATCCAATGTGTCAACGAGTGTGGAAAGTGACCAACCGTAGAGATCTCCTTGCGTTCCCGCTCAATGTTCTCGCTGAGGTACTTCTTCACGCGACCCATTGTGACAACAGCGTTGTTGCTCAGGGTTTGGATAACTTGAAGCGGTGTCATGAGGCCTCCCTCATCGATTTTCTTGAGAACAGCATCTAGCTCATCTCCAGCTTCCTCCAAGATTCGAGGGCTCGAGGCAAAATACGTGAGCGCATCCACATAGAGTTGAGGTTTCTCTGGCCCGTATCTTTTCAATGCCTTGATGGCACCCTGAGTATCCTTGGCAGAAGTGAACGACCTAAAGATGTCGGACAGGAGGCCTTCTTGCTCCCGCACCAGTGTAGAGCCCTCGCGGAAGCCAGACAGATCAGAAAGTAGAAGGACACTAGAGGTGGAGATCGGTATCTAAGAAGAGATCAGCACGGGTGAGTGAAAGCAGGCATTAGTAGTAGTCTTACATCCTTGCCCTCAATGAGCTTCTCGGCCTTTTCTTCCCACTCCACTTTCTCCGTAACATCTTTCTTTCGACTGGCAGTGTCGAGGTACATCTCGAAAAGCGTCGTATAGAGATCTACCTTCTCATCTTCTTTCAGGTTCTCCTGTTGAATAAGCGCCTCTAGAAATGAGATAAACTCATCCGGATGGCCCACAAAAACCGAAAATGCAGTCCTTGGTTTTGGGACTTGATAATCTGTTGAGGGCTCCGCGGTATTATCTTCTTCTGGAGGCACTGTTTCGACTTCCTCTGGCTTCGGCCCCGCGCTAGCGTTCATCAGAGGCAGAGGAAGGAAAGCAGCTAAGCTTTGTAAAGTACTGCTTGTTTGTGCTTGTGGTTCCGCCGGAGGCACTTCCACCTCGGTCCTGGGAGTATATTGGCCCTTGTAGTACTTGATGAAAAGCTCGGTTGTTTTCTCGGGGCAGTTCGATAGCAAAACTCGGGCATACTTCATCAGGTTATGGTAGGCCTACAGTTGTCAGCACTCAATGTTAGGACCATAATGGAGGGTAAGCACGAACCAACTCCGGGTCTAACCTCCAGATGTACTCGACGGCCTCTGCATATTTCTTAGAGTCCTCGATCAGGATATCAACCACTATGTCGTTTTCGCCGTATTTTGTAGCCAGGTACGCAGCTTGCTCATAGTAGCCACCTTGTCTACACATAGCGATTGCAGTTTCCAGGTCAAACTTGAGCTCACCAGGTGCTTTGATAAAGGCATCAAGCTTGCCGGTGTCTTTCAGCTTTGCATAGCAATTTAGGAGCAGAGTGGTATGGTCAACTGTAGCTCGGTCATGATCATGGAGTTCTTCCAGGTACTCGATTAGGTTGTGTATACGCTGTGTATCGAGGTACTGTGCAAAGGTTAGCGTCAAATCATCATACTGGGCCAGCGGGCGGTTGAACCTTTCGAATCACTTGGGAAGGCTCTGTGTTATCGATCGCTCTAAGGTACTGTTGCATAGCTGTATCATAGTCTCCTCTTTGGTAGAGGAAGTCACCATATTTACGGTAGATTGCGTTTTGCTGAAGAGTGTCGACGCCCGTTTTCTGTGCCAAGTTGATCGCTAATATGTAGAGGTTGCGCTGGTAGAGGATTTCAAGCTTCTGCTGGAGGCTTTTCTCGCGATATCGGTACAGCTAGTAACAAGAATATGAGTTACGGCTCATGTTCAGATTGATAGGAGCATACCTTTCCATCTGTAGTGAGGAGAAACAGATCCCCCCATTCGATGAAGATATTCTTCACGGAAGACACGAGAGACTCGGAGTGCGCGATGAACTTCAGATCGGTATCAAGCAGGGTGAATGTGGTCGTCTTGAAAATATCGTCGGCTTGATTGACACCGATATTTCGCAAAGTGTCTGGCTTCGAAGCCGTATCTCTAGGCGGACAAACCAGAGAAACATAGTCCTTAAACGTATTGATCAAGTCTTTACGGCTCTCGAAGGCATAGCTGGGACCACGGCCGTGTGGTCCGTATGTATATATCGCATCCTCCCGGGCAACAAGAACATCACCTGTGTCTTTATCCAAGCTCAGGCAACCGACAGCACAGCCCATATCGTCCAGCACGCGGGCCGGCTGGCCCTGTCCTCTACCGGAGATGATCAGGGCCAGGATGCGACTTGTCGTGGAAATATATAATGTCGATACTGGTCCACTCTGCACGCCAAGCCCCGTTATCGGTTCCTCTGATTCGAATACGATGCGCTGTCGCGCACCGCGGTCATGGATCAAGTCACCGCGAATTATCGTAACGGACCCATTCGCAAATCCAACTGCCACCTGCGACAGATCGTCAAGGACAGCGAAAGCCGATACCTGCCCCATAGATATTCAGCATTCATAACAAACATTCGGAGCAATTATCCATACGGGAAACATCCGTCTTGCATTCTGGACTGACGTTGTTGACAGGCATCGAGGGGCTCCGGTCTTCTTCTCGGGCTTGTCGAGAGCCCAGACCTTCACGACCGGCTCATTGGGAAGGTCTTCCGCTATTGTTACCAGTAGAGATGTCCCTCCTATTTGCCTGATGTGTGCAATGGAGCCCGTCTCCGATGCCTTGAACGACCGGACAAGCTTGAAGTTCGTCGAGATGATATGGACAAAGCCATCGCTGGATCCGAGAAAGAGGTTTGCAGAGCCGGTCGAGAGGGAAAGGATGTCAGACTGTGACCCATTTGGTGTTAGATTTGGGCGCAACGGGTTCCGGGGGGGGCAAGAGAGATCAAGGGGCGTACATTGAAGATCGAGGAGCTCTCCTCCGGGAGTTTCACCGGGGAGACGTCGAAGAAGTTGAATGCTTTCCACTAGATCACTTTGAATTAGTTCAGTTCGATCTCCAATGCGGAGATGAGATCTGTTCTCACTGATGTCAACGCCATCTGGAAGTGGCCCACCCATGGACCGACGACGAGGAAGATAGATAGGGTGGGATGGGATCCGAGCTGGAGTGACCGTTCGGCAGGTCCAGGTGGATGAGCTCCGCCGCACTAGCGCCGTAGCTCCGCCTAAACCACCCACGTCATCGGGGGCCTGCCAACCATTTGTCTATCATTTCCATTCACAATCCATAGAAACATCTCAATCAATCCTATCCCGTTAGTTCATGCTTCAATCCGCCTACTACGAAGCTTTGGTGCCTGTGTGGCCTTTGAGAATACAGGAACTAGGTCTATCCCGCTTACACAACCAACTGATATATATCTAGTATGCTAGTTGAATGCTGGCAATACTAGTTCTCACCAACTAATCCACTCCATGCAGTGTTTCTAACATCACTACACTGAATGCGACAGCCAAAAAGAGGTCAGTTAGTTCGAGTCGAGTCCTTAGTCCTCACCTAAACTACTTGAATGCAAGGTCCACATCATTATAGCAACGCATGATGGTGTCAACTCGACAATTCTCCCGTTTATACAAACAATGCCATACACTTTATCGTATCCCACACTTCTCATCCAACACAAAGACCTCAATTCCAAACAAGCGGTGTCTAGCTGATATTCGGGCCCCGGAACGACCGCGTATCTTTCCTAGCGCAGGATGGGAAAACATCGATTCTTCCTTACAAGTTGAAGAGGAGGCCATCCCTACATACAAACCCGAAAGATTTTATCCAGTCCACATCGGCGAAGGTTTCAATCGCCGATATCAAGTGGTTGGCAAACCGGGTTATGGATCAACAGCGACAGTATGGTTATGTCGTGATTTACTATAGGGCCAAATGATTCAATGTTTTATAGGCTCAATCTCACAGAACAGGGACCATTGTTATATAGCATTGAAGGTCTACATAACCTCAACATCACCTACGCAAGAAATCGCAATCTACAAACATCTGAAAGCCATCCAATCTAACCACGCAGGCCAGTCATGCCTCCGAGGGTTGATCGACATATTCCAGGCCCCGAATCCAGACGGACATAGAACTCATACTTGTCTTGTGCATCCACCTCTTGGGATAAGTCTCGACCAGCTCTTGCCGCTACTCCCTGATAAAGTCATGAGTAGCGCCATGGTAAGAACAACGATGCGAAATATTCTCGCCGCTCTAGCTTTTCTACATACCGAGGCCCGAGTCATACACACAGGCCAGTATTTCAATCATTTCTCCAAAGCCATCCTGATATTACAATAGGGTACAAGGCTAGGAAATACTAACTGTTGCAATAGACATACAACCGAACAATATCCTTCTGGGTATTAAAGACAATACGATTCTATCAAAGTTCGAAGAAGCATAATTCGAAGCGCCCGTGCCACGAAAGACTCTCGAGAATCGTACAGTGTATCTCTCACGACCATTCCCTATTTCATACGGGACACCTGTTCTCTGTGACCTAGGCGAGGCTCGACTCGGCACAGACAATCAACAGGGAGATATAATGCCAGACGTTTATCGGGCACCGGAAGTCATCTTGAACATGAGCTGGGACTATAAAGTTGATATCTGGAATGTCGGAATGGTGGTGGGCAACCCATTCAAATAAACCTACCAGTACTACCATGACGCTAACAGCAACCAAAGATCTGGAGCTTATTTGAACAAGGACATCTCTTCCAAGCCCGGAACCCCGAAGGTAGATTAGACGATGGACACCATCTCGCCGAGATCCAAGCCGTATTGGGAAGCCCTCCTTCCCAATTCCTGGCTCGAAGTGAGAGGAGCACACAATTCTGGGATGCTAGTGGTCAGTATACCCCTCTTCTCCCTCTGAACAACCCATATGAGGGTATCCGCCACACCTACAGGTCTTTAACATCGAAACCAGGTCAATGGAAAGGCCTAGTTCCGATCCCAAAGTACGACCTCGGGTCCCGGGAAGAAAGACTGGAAAATAGCGAGAAAGAGGATTTCTTACGCTTCCTTAGACGAATGCTGCGTTGGCTACCGGAAGAGAGAGCCACTGCAAAGGAGCTTCTATTTGACCCTTGGCTGATGCGTGGTCTCTTCAAATAAAACCAGACATGACCTTGACGTGTGTTTTCGTCCGTCAAGGGGCTTTTGGCTTACCTCTTCCTGTACTCTGTTTGATAGACCTCTATTGGTTATTCATGGGAACATGTGGGAATGGCTAGATGGCGGTACCAGCGATACTAGACCTCATAGGACACTACTATATTTCAGACGCTTTTAGAGAGCGAACATGTTCTAACCTATTTTTTTCTAGAATGTCTTCTATGGTGAATGCTCATGGCAAATAGGTATCATTGCTGTTACTATCCCGTACTATTCAAAATCATCTGCCATTAATGCTGAAAAGTTTTTATAATATATATAAACAAGGATATCATGTCGCTATGCCCCATATATGATGCAAGTTGCCTCGAAATATAGACCCAAGAACAATAGAGCATAAGGAAACGAAGAAGATTGCACGAGCGCCAAGTACGCCTGTCGTACATGCAGATGGTTTCAAGTATCCAGGTGCACTGCAGAGCGACCAAGGCCCGCAGAGGATGATGGCCTAGATTTTGCACTCCTGCACTGCTGGATTTCATTGTTGATCTCGAAGCTCTGCTGAAGCCAGCTCCCAGCGTCGGCAATGGCTTGGTTAAGATTAAAACTGTCTGCACCAGGGGCGAGACCTTGCCCGTCTTCAAAGGTAGTCGGATTGGTACCAGATAGGATAATTGGCAAAGGGCTGCCCTGAGAGTCGCCTGGGATGTCCTCTTGAGCAGGGGGATCGAGTGGTAAAATGGTAGGATCGCCATCTTCATCATGCTCCGAGGACGAAGACGAGGCTGTATCAGTACCAACAGACCCTGGCTCCATCCTGCTTGACATTGGTTCCTGTGGAGATATGAATTGAGGTCTGGCCTTCTCCGTACTGAATGTGAAAGGTGTCACGGCATCAATGATGCATTGAGTACTCATTGGCAATCGTGCAGTTCCTGGAGGCTTTGCCCGGGAATATCTACCAATTCGGTCAGAAATGTTCATCCGATGGAATGGCGTAATGTAGTTGGCAGGTGACGAAGGCTGATTGAATGCTTCTCCTTGATTGTGCTCCTGGCTCTTCAGATCATTCTGGAAAGACTTTTGTGCATGCAACAAGGCCGCCTGTGTGTTGAAATGTAGATCCGGGATTGTGTCATTATCGCATTCTGAGTTAGGTTTGAGCGCAGAAATTGTGTGCAGCGAGGTGACATGCTCTGCCATGGCAGGATTCACCGAAACCTGTTGGGCTGAAGGTAACCTATCACTGACATTTGCGCCTGCAGCATTGTTAGTTGATCTTAACTTCCGCGATTGTGAGCTAGCCTGGTGATCCGTGCGATCAGAATTTTTGGACACGTTCACATGAAGACTGTGCAAGTTCGATTCGGTCCTAGACATCTCGGCTTCAATGGCCTGCATCGAAGTCGTGCTTGGGGGTATTGGCACGTGCTGGCTCGATGTCTGGCCGTCTTTAGCGCTGATTGCCTTGTCTGGAACCTGATCGTTTTCCGTATATTCGCTATCCGGCGACGTAGCATCGTTTTCCGTTTGAGCGGAGCGTTTCCCACGACGATATTCAAACTTTGGTAGATGAGAAGTTGAAGTATCCACACAAAGTGAGTTCTGCTGGTGCTCCGAATCTGACACGGACCCTCGTATAACGGGTTGGGCTCTAAGATTCCTGCTGGTGAGTTGGGATTTAACACTGTCCGGAACATGGCTGTCAAAAGTAGTGTCATCTCGTGAGTTCGTGCGCGTTCTGAGTAGAGTTCTCGTTGTTACTCGATAGTCGGTCCCTGGAACTTGTATTGTATAATGCCGTTCGTCCCGATGCCGAGACAATATTGTAGCTGTAGGAGACGTAGGTGGATCAACCTTTCGAAAATCGATCCCTGCGCGATCCTTCCTTAACCAGCTTTGATCGGTATGTTGGAGTGGGGTCAGAGTATCCAGTTGCCCGCTGGCTCCAATTGCCTTCTTATATTGTATAGTCCTCTTTGTCGTGCCGCTAAAACTTGGCGTTTCGCCGCGACTATCTCGCGGTCGTTTCAACAATGGCCCACGAGCAGCATTTTCATGGGGTTTTTGTTCCGCTGAAGGGTATGGTGGATTAGAAGAAGGAACGGCAGACTTTGTGCGAGAGATGTCTGATGGGTCACGGTATAGGGGTCGTTTGCGCGGGATAGTCCCTGGGATCACAGGCCGCTCCAACTGAGCTGATTCTCCGCCTCCTTTCCGTCCTGAGCCGGCGACCCTTTGCCTGTCTTTCCTCCAAGGGTTGGCCCAACTGTTGTCCAAGGGTCCGCGAAGCGAGGCGGAAAGGATGAAAAGCGGGGTGCCATGGAGATAAGCCTGAGCGAGCTTTTCTATCCGCTGATCTCGAGCAGCACGGTCATTGTCGTCTAAGTCATCATCGGAAGCGACAAGGGAATCGGTGTCTAGATTGGGCGGGGAAGGCGAGATTGTTTCCAACGAGAGCGGGGAAACTGGATGACGGGGTGGCATCAGGGTGAAAGGGGGCGGTCAATAACAGGGATAAAGATTCCGATACTGCAGCAGTCCGGCACCGACTGCATCTGAAGAGGAGCAACAAAGAATGCGGGGGATTGATCCTCATAGCTCCTGGAGCAGGTGGGTGACGGGCATCATCATCATGCATGGATCGATCTTGACCGCATCGGCCAGCGTCCATCCACTCTCTCGGCCTGAACCACTTAACGCGTCTCCGGCGCGGCTACCCCAGCAACGCCCCCTGCTTAGCTAAGACATGGCACTTTCTTCACTAGGAAGGCCCCCTTGAGCCCGTGAATATTGTCATACAGAACCCTTGGAATTGGACTCGGCAAGTCGTCGCCCTTCAATCCACGCCATTGGATCCAATGGCTGGAGTTGCATAACCCGAATCCAGGTGAGGACGGAAAACACATACGAAGCAGCTCAGGGATTTACAGGAGTGTGCTGTTTGGCAAGACAACAACTGGGGATGCTCTTAGCGCCATCTTTGGCAGGGAAGAGGCGCAAAGATGCTCCCCACATCCCCGAAATTGGTGCTAAGCTGCTAGCAGGCATGAACTGCAGGAACTGAGCCGCATTTACCCTCGTCTCCGATGGCCTGGCCACAAGCTGTCCATGGCCCACAGTGACAACTCGGACATCCAATTTACTGTACGGAGTACTCCGTAGGCTCCGGGTGAATGCGCCGTCAACCGACTCACCAGCGATGCCTCATTTCCCTAGTGTGAGCATGCTGGGACTGGTATGATCCTCGCAAACTATTGAGGACGGAGGATTTATTCGCCAAAACTAGGCCAGCTGAAATATTTCCGACTCCAGTCGTTATTATCATATTATAGGCGAGCTAAGGACCACGCGCAGTTAATCCCAAAGGAATGGTCTCGTATTCATTCGAGAGGCTCATTATACAGGAGTATAGGGACTCATCCTCGGCCCGCTGGCGCTGGTGGTGGTGATGATGATGATATCGAAGATGCCGCGCTAGTCGCAAGGTCTACCTGTTTAGGCCACCAGACGGGTTTCCTATTGTTCCGCACTCCGCACGGAGCAGGTCAGAGGTGGTGGCGGCCTATCCTGAAACCGAATGCCCCTATTTAGATCGATCTTAGTTGCACGGAGATCGGAGGCTAGCAGGAGTGTAGTAGACAGTAGATGGATAGTCTATCTATCTACCTAGATGGATCACCGTGCGACAGTCGTATTCGTTCCGTTGCCAAGAGTGAGAGTGTCGCAGCTCCAGATGCACTTCCGAATTCGAGGACTCGAAGATATTGTCAACACCCGGGATCAATGGGAGAGCAATAAGGGTAGAGCGCAATGCTATGATTTGCATCCTAGGATCCGACAAGGATGGTCTGGCGGTGGTCCGACAAGTCCGACGATCATGGCTGGGGAGCGGGTGGAGCAAGACTGAAGAAGAAGAAAGAAAAAAAGGAAGCCCCCCTGGCCGAGGGAGTGAGTGGATCTCGCACGACTGACATCAACCCGCTCGCTCTGTTCTTCATTCTTCTCCATCCTGTCCTCTTCTTAATCACGCCGTTTGCCCTCGCATCTTTTCGACCCTTTTCCTTTCTTTCTTGTAATACTATTCTCTTGGCTTTTATTCCACCCCTTTTCTGAACCTTTCCCATGCTTGACGGTTCCAATTGATCATCGTGGTCCTGTTCTTATCCTCGTCTCGCCCACTCCACTCCGCTCGGCACCTTTTCCCGCTCCCTCTCTCGGTTTAATCGATAAGAAGAGAGACAAGCAATTGCTTGACCGCTGAGAATAAGAAGGATCTTGCACGAAGCGCCCGTCGCCAATTCTATCGACTATGGCTCGTGTACGGAGAAGGTCGAGTAACCTGGGGGCGGATATCCGGGGAGACACCACCGCTCCCGCCATGGCGACCATGAACGAAGTCAGCCCTATTGAGCCGGAAGCTCCTAAATGGGATCAGGTATGCATGTCCTGCGACTAGAGGATGACCCTCGCTGGGAATCCGCTCCCCCGCTCACTCCTTCATCAGGTCTTGCAGGCTCAAGCCGCCGAGAAGTCCTCCAAGCCGCATACGAAACGTCGCAAGAAGTCCCTGCTCCGTCGCTTCAAGGACACCTGTCTCAAGCATACCTGGGTGCTGCCTCTCGTCATGCTCGTTGTTCTACTCGCGCTGTATGCCGTGAACCCGACCGAGTCCAACCCGATGCACAGCGCCATCTTCTTATCGTATCCTCAACCTCCCAAATACCCTGGCGGTCCGATCATGTATGGAAAGGGCCCGAAAGACATCAGCTTCGTTTGCTTCTATATGGTCGTGCTGTCGTTTACTCGGGAATTCCTCATGCAACGCGTGATCCGGCCTTTCGCAGTGTATTGCGGGATTCGAGGCCGAGGCAAAACCGCACGGTTCATGGAGCAAGTGTACACCGCTATGTACTTTGCGATCTTCGGTCCCTTTGGCCTGTACGTGATGAGCCGGTCGGATATCTGGTACTTCAACACAACGGGCATGTTCGAAGGATTTCCCCATCGAGAGCATGAAGGGCTGTTCAAGGCATTCTATCTGCTCGAGGCTAGCTACTGGGCCCAGCAGGCGCTCGTTCTCATGCTTCAATTGGAGAAGCCCCGCAAGGACTTCCGGGAGCTGGTTGCACATCACATCATCACTCTGGCTCTAATCGGATTGAGCTATCGGTTCCATTTTACCTACATGGGTATCGCCGTTTACATCACGCACGATATTTCCGACTTCTTCCTTGCTGTGAGTAGCCTGACATTGTAGTCTCGTATTTTGTAATCTGTGCTGACCTGATCGTTATGTAGACCTCTAAGACCTTGAATTACCTGGACTCGATCGTCACTGCGCCTTATTTTGTTTTCTTCGTGGGCACTTGGATTTACCTCCGCCATTACCTGAACCTCAAGATCCTTTGGGCCGTGCTGACCGAGTTCCGCACCGTTGGACCGTTCGAATTGAACTGGGAAACCCAGCAGTACAAGTGCTGGATCAGTCAGTACATTACTTTTGCCCTGTTGGCCAGTCTGCAAGCGGTGAACCTCTTCTGGCTGTTCCTGATCCTGCGCATCCTGAAGAACTACATCTTCACCAACGTCAAGAAGGACGAGAGAAGCGAGGACGAAGATTCGGAGGAGGAAGAAGTCGCTGTGACCGATGCTAACAGCCACGCCACCCTTGCGACCGGTATCGACGGACCCACGCTGACTGCCCGTGGCAAGGAGAACCAGACTCCCCAGGTCCTGGTCAACGGCGAGCCCGTCAACTCCAAGAACTAGCTCGGTGCAGTTGCGACGGCCAAGACTGGCTGATTTATTGGAGATGCGTCTCCATCTACGACCCCCGCGGGCTGTATGAATTTCTATGGGCTTGTTTATATTGTATGAACGGACATTTACGACAGGCTTGTTTGGACCTTGTTCAGAAGATACTATTGTTTTTCTTCTCTTTCTTACTTTTGTCCGGTGCTTCTGGTCTACCAGACGTTTCCCTTGATGTGGGTCATGGCGTGCGAAAAAAAATGCATGCAGAGAGTGTGGGTTTAGTTACGAGTTCCATGAGTGAGCGGACCTGCCATGGACTTTGCAGGTTAAATAATATAATAATAGATCATTGAGCTATACCATTGAGCTATACCATACATCGATCGTATTCCTAGACGTTTTCCATATAGATATGTCCTACGATCAGCGACGACCTCAAACGACCCCCTCTCAAGAGTAAAAAACCACCCAGGACGTAAACGTATCGCCCCCCTTCCTTCCTACCCAGTAAATCCAAACCACACCAACACCCCCCAACACTAGGTAGAGCATATACCATCTAGACCAGTCACCCTCGTCCAGGTCTATGGCACCGTGGGCGTCCGTCTCCCGTAGACAGACAAGCCTCAAGCGCCAACATTGGAGGATTCCACCTCGGCAATACTGGACATATCTTTCGCATTCGAATGAACCCTCGAAGGGATATTTCGCGGCAGTGGTGGTAGGCAAATCGAGCAGAGGATAGCCATCGCCAATAGGGTATGTAGTGCCATCCATGGGCACTGTATGCCGGGACATACTAGAGCAAGGAACATGCCGTGGGATGGGCTCGTGTGTGTTCGCGGTGCGGTTGGATGAAACCCCGAAGGGACATTCAACCCCGCGACCATAGAGTACTCCAGCTCAGTATGTTACCCTCTTTCCAGAATAGGTATCGTCATGTAGATATGTAGTATCATGAACACCATGTGTCAGTACTCAGGCCAAGGGCCATGTATTGATATAGGAAGGCATAGTTGGCGCCACTAAGGAGTTTGAAGGTTCTGGCTGCATCCTCTGTAACTGAGGCAAGCCTTTGGAAAGGATATCAGGAATTGGTATTGTCATCTCGTCGGGCGCATAACACCATAGACATGTCTCCCAAGCATCAATATAAAAGGACCCCGTGCAACCCGAGGATCATCAAGGTGTACACTCCCCTGCACCCAACCGTGGGTTGGACATTGATTGATAAGCTCGATGGCTGTTTGGTTGAAACCAGGTAGTAGTACTACCTAAGTGTTATCGAGAAGAACTTAAGAAGAGCCCGTGCACAACGTAGTCAGGGTTCTGTAAATTCCAATATATACACTCAGGCCCGACTGTTCAAGAATCATTCCACGGCACAGGTCGATGGAATAGTAAATAACAAGCCGATCCGACACCACAACATAGGGTTGTGCACCCATATGTTTGGATATTGGTACATTTAGGTGCCTCTTCCTTGGTTTGGTGGCGTTGAGCTTCCGGTTGAGAAGGTGGCATTGCGGGGGAGTCCAGATTAACACTGTAGCGTGTTGGAGAGGAAGGAACAGATCTTCCCATATACATTGGGTGACGGGGTTGGGAAGGCATCTGCGCAAATTAAATTAGTATTCTCTCGTTTTCACGACGCGTATTAACGGGGGCAGAATGAATGATGGCCTCATGATGGATGGAATGGCGACCCCCAACGGCGAACGTATCGCAGAAGCAGGTTTCATGTACTAGTGACGGAAAGCCTGTTGAGAGAGCCAAATGTAGTAATGGGCAGCCAGACAAATATAGTGTTATACAGCTTGCCAGAATGAAATATAGTGACAGACAGCCTGCCCCAAATACTCAGGATCAGGTGCAGTGACACAAACCCGGTACTCACGGCGATGAATGCTTCCAGGGTACAACAAGGATAAGAAGTTGAAAAAATCTTGCTTTTCATTAGCTAGTAATGATGGATCCCTCACTAATCTAAACAACAGCCCATCTGATCATGCCATTGCCCAGCAATGCCAAACTCATGATCCCGGAGAGCCTTTGCTCGCTTAACAAGTACAGTACAGCGTGGTATCGAATGCTCTATTTATAAACTGAGCTATACTCCTTCGTAGTCGTCGTGAGAGGAGATATTGTAGGTCTTGCGCCGACACGCATCAACAACCCCATGCGGCAGTATTCTGGACTGAATATTCCCGATTTGTTGCGAGGTTGTCTGTCATTGAGAATCTTGACTCGTCGCTGGGGCTTTTTCTACAGCACTGCGTTGCACATTTGACGGAGACGGCCACAAATTGCTTTGCTACTAGAGTGACCAGCGTTGTGTGTCCTCTAGAGAAAGGGATGTGGGAAGATTTCGGGACTGTAAGATGTGGCAGAAGCGCGTCCCGAATCCGCCGCGCTGCTCGGCCAGAGTTTAACTGAAACTCTTCAATCAAACACGTGCTTCCGCACGTCCAGAATGATCGACGTAGTCGCGCATTTGCTAGGAGAGCGAGATTGAGGGACCGTGAACATCGCGTCATGTCCCCATCCACTTCCATAGCAATCGCATGAGTTGTTTCTGGTGGATCGGCTTCCCAATGTAGTCGTTCATTCCCTTATTCAGATACTCATCCGCATCCCCTTCCATAACATTCCCCGTAAGCGCAATGATAGGCATGTCAAGCCCCATGTGTCGAATCTGTCGTGTAGCCTCCACACCATCCATCACTGGCATGCTAATGTCCATGAGGATCGTATTGTACGATAAAGGCTGCTGCTTGACAAGCCGGACGGCCTCCGCCCCATCCCAGGCAGTGTCAACTCGAGCAAACCCCATGTTCTGGAGAAGTTTGAGCATGACCATCTGGTTGACCAGGTTGTCCTCGACTAACAGAACATGCTTGTGAGGGGCAATGTCATGGACCTTCCGTTCTATATCACCGGCTTCCTCCACCGGTGTCCCGGCCATTCTATTTGGCACAGCCACGTTCACGCGATGCATCTTGGTGGTCAGCCAGAAGATACTACCGCGTCCTTCTGGATTCGGTCGGTAGCCAACACTCCCGTCCATTAGTTCTGCCAAGCTCTTGCAGATCGACAACCCAAGTCCTGTGCCCTGGTACCGCTTTGACCCAGACTCGGCAAACCGGGTAAACGGCGTGAATAACGAGCCTAGAGCATCCTCGGGGACGCCGACTCCCGTATCAACAACTTCGGTCATGATATGGTACACATTGGGATCCTCCGCGTCGTTGGAGAAAGAATTGTGGACTTGAACATATCCTTTCTCGGTGAATTTGACCGCATTTCCGACTAGATTCTGGAGGACCTGACGATACCGCAACGGATCACCTTCAACCTTGCTCGGAAAGTTTGGCGGGATGTAGCTAGTTAGTTCAACACCAGGCTTGAGAGCCCCCTTGCAATTGCGCACCACCGCTCCGGTGACACCGTCAATACTGAAGGTTTCGGGATGTAATGTGAAAGACCCGGAGGACAGCTTTGAATAGTCGAGAACGTCATTGATTACCTGGAGCAATACAGAGGTAGAGTCCTCGATGATAGAGGCATATTCGCGTTGTCGATCGTTCAACTCAGTGCCCATCAATGATGTAAGTGCTAGGAGCATGCCATTCATTGGGGTGCGAATCTCATGGCTCATGTTCGCCAAAAAATCGGTCTTCAATTTCGATGATTCTTCAAAAGCCGCAATCATGCGGGTCTCCGCTGCATTGCGCTCAGTCAAGTCTCGGGTAACTTTGGTGAAGCCAATGTGACGGCCCAGCTCGTACATTGGCGTGATCAGCACATTCGCCCAGAACCGCGAACCATCTTTGCGGTATCGCCAGCCTTCATCTTCCACCTTGCCTTCACGGAGACAGACTGTAAGCTCCTTTCCAGGCTTATCCGCAACGCGATCCTCCTCACTGTAGAAAGTGGAAAAGTGTTGTCCGATAATCTCCTTGGCCGAGTACCCTTTCAGCAGGGCAGCACCGGAATTCCAGGTTGTAATATAGCCACGGGTATCGAGCATGAAGATGGCGTAATCCTTGACGGTATCCAACAAGACTTTGTAAGTGTCATTGACGTAGGAACGGCGGGTGTCTACCGCCGATTTAGTGAGGTCCTTGGTGACGTTGAGTGCCTCAAGGACCAGGTATAACAGATTAGATTTTTCAAAGATGGGTGTGATGCGAAGACTATAGTAGGAGCTAATATCGTCTATACAGATTTTGTCAATTAGTTGGACGTCCTGCGTCGTGATAGCGGCGCGTAGCGCGCCATAAAGAGTAGCAACATCTAGGGCCGGCAGTTTGCGAGGACAGACATCGCAGATGAAACTGCCGAGCAGCGCGTCCCTTGATAATTGGACGAATGCCACGTGGGATTCGGACACCTCCACGACATTTAACGAAGAGTCGAGGATGACGGTGGGAATGGGGGTAAAGCGATAAATTCGACTTAAAGCGGCGTCGGATTCCCGCAGGCTGACCTCGCTCATGCCATGGCTATCAACGCGCCGATTGTCGGGACTGGGAGGGGACTGCGTCGGCTCCCTGTCGAGTTTCATATGATTCCCCTCATCATCGTCATCGTCGTCCGGGGGTGTCGTTACCATGGAGAAGTTGAGAGGTTGGGGCTGGGTCTTATTCTCGATGTCGAGATGGAACAGCCGCTTGTTGAGGTCCATGGTCACCACGTATGGCACCAATGGTGGCTTCACACGATCTTGAGGCGGCGGGAGGAGAGTCCTTGCAGCATCCGGGACGGTTGAGCGGGAATAGGGCATGGATTTGAATGGAAGGCAACGGGGGGGTGTGACAGGATGGAACAGGATGAGTAAGGAAGTAGTTCGGAGGTCGAGCAACAGGAGGAAGGGAGGAGGACGGAGGAGAAGAAGGAAGAGGAGGCCGTCGGTTGGTGGATAGCGGTAGTGGTTGGTTGGTTGGTAGGTAAAGTGGTAAGTAAGTGGTCACGGTAGTGGTGGTGGTGGTGGTGCAGTGGTCCCTAGTAAGTACTTTACATGGTGTCAGATGGAAGAGGCCCACCGGATGGGACGAGGCGCACCATCGACGTCAACAGTGAGCGGGCAGCAGACGGAATGGACCAACCAGTGGACGGAAAGTTGGGCCGGTCGTCGCGGGGGGGAAGGCAAGTCCGGCTCTCAGTGGCCAAAGAGATCAGCCGCCAGCCCGTGGATCCTTTTAGCAGTGCCGACCTGAGACGGAGAGAGGCTGACCGCGGCCTTTCCTTGGGGAATGTCGCCCTTCCCTCGCTTTTCCCTGCGCGCCTCATTATTCCTAATTTCTATACCCTCCGTGTTTGACCTTCCGCCCGTGCGAAGCGAGACACAGGAAAAAAAAAAATAAAAATAAAAACTCTGCCCTCGTGAGATTCCGGTTTCAGGGTCTGGAATTCTTGGGTCCTGACCAAGGCAGAGCCCGCTCTTAGCCCTCTTAGCCCTTAGCCCTCTTAGCCCTCTTAGCTCCTTTGTTTAACTGGAACCCGATCTGACCTCATACCCATCCATACCTGGTGCGAGTCGTGCAGGAATTTAGGACGGGAGGAAGCCGTGAGAATCTTGTCTGTGGCCGACCGCTAAACCGATTCTTCCTCCTTACTACTATTTTATTATCATCTACTATTAAATATTAATATTAAGTATTAGTAGTAGTAGTAGCCCTCCCGGCCCGGATTCCCCTTGCAGTAAGGTGCTGGCCCGTATGTCATCGGGCGGCATGCTTAAAGCCTTAAAAGTCTTAACCCACCGTCATACTACTATTATCATGAAAATAATAATAGAACTAGAGAATAAGCATTCCTCACCGCACTAGCTAGGTCATCACTCAATCAACAACGCGCATTAATCTATCCCAGACTCAACTCCCTGGGTTGGGTGGCTGCTGCAACGTGTCGGGATCAGCGACCGGGAAGATCCGCTGATACGGAGTACATAGAGGTACATTACCTGGTGCCTATGGACATTGGTGAGGGTATATTTGCGGTTGACCGCAAGGTTGGTGCAGTATACTACTGCACTACGCGCTACGGAATAGATACCGGCGAGATATATCAGGTTTGGCCCTCCCCACCATTCCAAGGGACTTGCAGAACTTGCAGTCCCCGTTCAAACCCCCGTTCAAAGCCCGTTAGTCCTGGCTAGGCCCGACCATGCTGCGTGATGCTGAGGTGGTCGCACATGACCCGAACCTCATCTAAGATCCATCGCAACTCACAAGCCTAACAGTATCTGCATAGGCTATAGAATGACCGTGTCCACCTACACTGGGAGCCATGGATCATTGCTCCGTCAAGCCGAGTATCCTGTAAGTAGTTGCCAAGCTGCGAGTTCTGCCTGATGTCATCTATCCTACCTCCCGTGTCATTCGGGGTTCCCCCTGCAAATCCAAGAACAAACCGTGAGCAGTCGTTTATGCAGATGCACCCCCGAATCAAGATTGTCTCCGTTGAGACCTAAATTGAACGTTCACGTGGACTCTTCCAAAAGTGCCGAACCAGGTCTGAAGAAAAACCCAACTTGGATTCTCCGTGTCTTAGCATTGCACCCACTATCCCAACAGGAGGTCGGGGTTCGGGGTGCCATGGACGAAATTCGGACCGAGAGTCCTCCGTCGATCTAAAAGCACATATTTCATTGTACCCCGTAGGCTCGTCGGGTATTGTTTGGAGGAGATGAGATTTATATCCACAGTCCTCCATATGGCACAAGTACATATTGTCGCCTTGGGGTAAGAGGCGCTGGGCCTGATGGCAGCATCAAAGCCAACCATGGCCCCTGATGAGATGAGCAGACAAGCAAATGATGCAGAGGGTGAGCTTCATGCATGCTGCACCACTATCACATATATTGACGCCTCGGGCCCTTCCTGATCGGTCCTTTAGAGATTAGATCAAGTGAGAGCGACAATCCCATAGGACCTAAGCTCCGGGTGGCTCTGTACCGAGGGAATAGTGGGTGGAGAGAAGTGGAGCCGGCGTGGCCGATTCATTGTGCGATTCACTCCCGGAAGCCTGGAACCAGCCTGCGAGGGCATTGATCACCTCAACAGACTTTTCCCCTTTCCCTTTCGCTGCGAGGGGCTACGTCAGTACTAGTAGTTGGGGAGGTTCTTTCTCCCTTTCCTCCCCAGAAAGCTTCGGGGAGGGAAGACGTTCCCACAACTCTCGAGCATCCATCTGTCTGGCACCTTCCAAGTTCCACTTCACTTGTTCCCTCCAGGTGTTCTTCGGATTCCAGAAGAGAACCACTTTGTCTCCAGGATTATCTATCTAGTACTGTCTCGGGCAAGGGAGGGTGCTGTTAGTGTCGGCCCATGCCGGTCCAAGACTTGGTCGTTGGTTGATTGCAGCGGCAGCACTCCACCGTCTCTGCGGCCGAAGGACTCCGGACCAGCCAGCGTCCTCTATCTGCTGATTATTCCATGCTTCATCCGAGCCGGTCTCCCCAGCTTCAGACGCGCCTAGCTCGTTTCCTGCTAGATTGTGCCGGGGTTAGAGATTATTTTTATATTAGGTAGGCCAAGGGGAGGGGCAGCAGGACACCATGCCGGACGACGAAAAGAAGTCATCGACGATCCAGGTGGGCTCGCCCCATATTTCCTTGCCGTCTTTAATTGTTTCTCTTGTCATCTTCATCAATTGCAACCCCATCACGGCCCCCCTCACGTGGTCACCCTTTCCAGCGCGCCTAATACCACTTGCATCATCCTTTTTACGTGAGACAATCGCATCTGACACGTCCACTGTCCATTGCCATTGGCCCCTCGTTTCCTTCCCGCGGAAGATCTAAGGCTGACGATCGCCTTCGTACCTGTCTAGGAACCGTCGTTGAATGAGGCCAGCGATGCCTCCAGCATTCTTAGTGACTGTCGCGCACAGGATATCCTCCCATATGAAGCCGACGACTCCCCGTTTCCCGAGGTGCGCGCGGTCGTTCGACCGGTCGATGATAAGCAACTCCCCGTCAACACCGTTCGCATGTGGGTGATCGGGATCATCTTCACCATTGTACGTGTTTTCTCCGGCCTCGCAGAAATATGTCGGAATGGTGGGTCATTGACTCTCCATAGGTCGGAAGCGGGTTGAATCAGTTTTTCAGTTTGAGACAGCCCAGTGTAACGATTAGCTCCCTCGTTGCACAACTCTTGGCATTTCCGATCGGATGCGCGTGGGCGCAATGGATGCCCCTGGGCAGGCTCAATCCGGACCGCCATTTCAACATCAAAGAGCATGCCCTGATCACAATCATGGCCAATGTGTCGTTTGGGTCGGCAGCTGCCACTCAAGTGATCGAGGCCATGGTCAAGTTCTACGATATGCCGTCTCGCGGGGGGTTCGAAATTTTGTTGATGATTACGACCCAATTGTTTGGTTTTGGGCTGGCTGGGATGGCCGCACGCTGGCTCGTGGGTCCAGCCGCGATGCTCTGGCCGCAGGTGCTATCAAATGCAGCTTTGCTCTCGACTCTGCATTCGCGCCAAAATCCAATGGCGGATGGCTGGGTCATAAGCAGACTCAGGTTCTTCCTCATTGTGTTTATAGCTGGAGCCATCTGGTATTTCGCTCCGGGGTACCTTTTTACGGCCCTGAGTACATTTAGCTTCATTTGCTGGATTGTACCCAACAATGTTGTTGTCAACCAGCTTTTTGGCCAGAAGACCGGACTAGGCATGTCCTTGTTGACATTTGACTGGGCCCAGGTCGTCTACGCCAACCAGAGTCCCCTGCTGGTTCCATTCTGGGCGGGCTTGAATGTCATCAGCTCGTTTGTGGTCTTTTACTGGCTCATCTGCCCAATTGTCTATTATACAAACACATGGTACTCGGCCTACCTTCCTCTGCTTAACCCAAGCACCTTTGACAATACGGGCAAGACCTACAACACCACTCGCGTCATGAACTCGGATGGGACGTTCAACGTGGATGCATACCGCAACTATTCGCCCATGTTTCTCCCTGCCGGATATGCCATGACATATGGTGTGGCATTTGCAAACTTGACAGGCATATTCGTCCACGTCGCATTGTATCACGGGAAAGATCTGGTTGAGCAATGGAAGGGTAGGAACCAGAAAGACGTTCATGCCCGAATCATGGACGGCTATAAAAGCGTGCCGTGGTGGTGGTTTGCCGGCGTCACGGTACTGATGTTTGCCCTGAGCATCGTGGTCAACGAGGTCTGGCATACGGATCTCCCTGCGTGGGCGGTTCTGCTTGCGTTTGTGTTGCCTATCGTTTATATCATCCCCGTTGGCATCATAAAGGCCATCACAAACATCTCCAGCAATCAGCTAAACTTGATTACCGAGTTCATTGGTGGCTATGCTTTTCTTGGACGTCCGGTTGCGAATATGACCTTCAAGTTCTATGGTTACGTGGGTGTTTCACAGGGTCTTGAGTAAGTCTGTCCCTTTCGCATGGCGATTGATGGGAGCTGACCCCGTAGATTCGTGGCCGACATGAAATTGGCCCATTATCTTCACATTGCGCCACGGACGCTGTTTGTTGCTCAGGGAATGGCCACGCTTGTCGGTGCTATCGTCCAGTGTGGTGTGACTGTTTTTATGATTACACGGATTCATGGGGTATGCACTGCTAATGCTGCGGGGGGGTTTACCTGCCCTCATGGCGAGGTGACATACTCATCATCATTGATCTGGGGTAAGTGTGAATCTGCGTCCCCAGCCCCGCGTCCCTGAGCTAATCATGGTCAGGTGTCCTTGGTCCCGATCGAAACTTCTCCCCTGGACAGATCTACGGGAATTTGCTGTGGTTTTTCCTCGTTGGACCCGTCGTCGTGGTCATCACATGGCTCCTGGGCCGGCGATGGAACAAGGTCAATTATCTTTCTTGGCCTGTGGCATTCGGCGCCATGAGCCTTGTCCCACCTGCGACGGGCATTAACTTCTCCTCCTGGTGGTTGGTCAACGTGATTTTCAACGGCTTCCTCAAGCGGCGCAAGCCCGCCTGGTGGTCGAAATATAGTAAGTGAACTCATTCCGCACTGATTGAGATACGATGTTGACGAACTAGACTATGTGCTTTCGGCGGCGCTTGACTCTGGGGTGGCCGTATCTACCGTGATCATCTTCTTTTGCATCACTCTCCCGGCCGGGTCATTGAACTGGTGGGGGAACACGGTGTATGAGCACACGGCGGATGCGAAGGGCACGCCGTATAAGAGCCTGCCGGCATCGGGATATTTTGGACCAGCGAAGGGCACCTGGCAATGATGACATACTGCGTTGGATAAAGTAGACTAAACGTAACATCGTAAATAATGTTAAATATAATGATTGGTTACTGGGTATGTTGATAGAATATGTCGTCATGGGAGAGTTGGGGAAGGCCGACAAAGAGAGAGGCGCAGGTTCCTTGACATTCCATCCGCTTCTTCTGGCGAGGATCAATGTCGCCTCCTGTGGGGTAAGAGTTCGGCAACTGGAATCGGCAGAGCTGAATGTTGGTTGATGGGAGTGAATAATGAGGAGGAGGATGTTGCAAACTTGTAATAATGATGATAATAATGAACATGGGGAAATAATGCAAGGTGACTAAGGGGAGAAGTGGGGATAACTTCCCCAACTCCAGAAAAATAATAATAAAACTGGCACACCGGAGGTACGGAGTGCTGGGAGCCTGGGACAGACAGGCCGAGCATCCTAGCAACCTTCGCAGCCTCGCAGCCTGGCAGCCTGGCAGCCTAGCAGGACTAAAGGAGCGCCCCGGCTGGTACTAAAGGCGACTACGGCTGCATCAGCCAGGCCAACTCCAACCACGACCATCCATCCTTCAACTTCCCCCACTCACCCCCGGAATGGCCTGCGGTTCGAGCCGCCTTCCCTGGCCTCCTCTTCGTCCGTCGCTGCCACCATGACCAACCGTGACCCTGAGTTTCGGCATCAGCTGGGCAAGTTCCGACTCGATCCACTGCCCATCTCCTCCGTGTCCTCTCATCCCCAGCTTCCTCATCCTCACTCCATTCCCTCTCCGCAGTCGTTGCCGCCGCCGCCGCCTCCTCTGCCGCCTCAGCACCATCACCAGCAACAGCAACAGCAACAGCAGCCACTACGCCAACAGCCCCAACCGCCTCAACCGCCACACCCCCCCTTGCAATCGTCCCCCTCGCACCTTTCTCCTGCTCGCAGCAAACGTGTATCGACAGCATGTGATTTTTGCCGGAAAAGGAAAAAGAAATGTGACTTTCGATACCCCAATTGCTCTGCGTGTACTCGTGCTGGCGTCCGCTGTACCATTCCCCCACCGGGTCCTCAGGTCGCGGCTGCGTCCGTTCCTCGCGATCAGCTAGAAAACCTACAAAACCGCGTCAGATGGCTGGAAGAAGTCGTGCGCCGCAAGACCGGCATCTCTGTGGCCGATCGGCCCACGGGGACGGCCTTGGATAGCGAAGGAGATCCGGACTGGTGGTACCAGGTACCGGCCATGATGATGACCAGGGGAAGTCCGGCGCACTCAACACCTACAACGACGGCAACCGCGCCGTCCAGCAGCCCGGCTCCCACTTCATCTGCTGTAGGTACAGAGTTACCGAATGTGGGTGAGATCTTTCGTGACCATTTGGAGCATCGAAGGCCTTCCATCGCGCGCCCGGTCGCGTCCGCTCCTCGCGTCATCCGGCTTGCCTCGCTGGAAGAGGCCGAACGAGTGACCTCACAATACTTCGATAGCCTGGGGTACCAGTATCCGTTTCTGAACCGTGTCGAGTTTTTCGCCCATCTCCGGCGGATCTATGCGGGTGAGGTACCCGCTCCGGAGGTTCATCATTCGTATCACATCACCATAGCTACGGCCCTGTTGATCGGGTCTGCCGACGAGTCACAGGCAGCCGAGTTCTATCACGTCAGTAACGAGACCATGTCACTGGCCTTACAGAATGAGGACCTGGCGGCTGTTCGGGCCCTGCTGAGCGTGGCAGTATACACAATGTTTGCGACCACGGGTCCGAGTGTGTGGCATATCCTCGGGACCGCTTTGCGTCTCGCTACCAGCCTAGGACTGCACAAACCCCGTTCCGTGGGTAATGTGGTGGAAGAGGAGATGGCTAAGCGGGCTTTTTGGAGTCTATACAATCTTGATCGACTGATTGCCAGTACTCTTGGACGGCCACTTGGAATAGCGGACGAAGACATCTCTGTAAGTCTGCCGCGAGAATTCAACGATGACTGGACGGAGGCCCCCGGGGCTAGTGCCATGACCATTCCCTTGCAAGTGGTGCGTCTGCGCCGAATCTTTTCACGCATCTACCGTTACTGTAAGGCCTCCTACATTACCCTACCTTAGGGCTCGCAAGGTTCTGCCTACTGACCGTGGCAGTATTTAACAATCAATCGCCACCCCCTCCCACCGAGGTCGCCATTACCCTCAGTCATTTCCGCCAGGAATTGGATGACTGGCGACGTGCAGCACCAGTGTACCCGCCAGCGCTTCTGTACTCCACTAGCTACTACGATTATCTGTACGCAACGACACTGCTCCTCATGTACCGCCCCAGTCCGCGTAATCCGACGCCCGACGCAACGAGCATAGTGAGCTGCGGGGATGCTAGCATTCAAGTCATTCGGTCGTACTGGGACAGCTATTCTGTGGGTAAGCTCAAGTGGATCTGGTTGACTCTCAGTCAAGTCTACTTTGCTGGCATTACGATCCTGTGGTGTCTCAATCAAAATCTCCATTCTGTACGCGAGGGTCGTGTGGCTGCGTGGAAGCCGGAGGACCAGACAATGCGACGCGCCATCCAGGCGGTTGTTGTTTTGTTGGAGGAGTTTGGCAAGCGACGCCCAGGCGTGGAACGACTTGCGGAGACCTTTCGCAACCAAAGCACGATGATCTTCAGCCACTTGGCGTACCAACAGGAGCAGCAGCAGCAACAACAGCAACAGCAACAGCAGATTCAACAACAGCAGCCTCTAGCACCACCCCCATTACCACAACACCAGACGATTTTGGAACAGCCACCGCCCCCGCAGCCGCAGCATGTCTTGGTCGCACCACCGGTGCCACTGGCGCCGGTGCTAGATGACGTACTGTTGGTTAATGGATCGGGGACGGTGCCAATGTTTGATCCACAACTGGCTGAGCAATTATTTTATTCCTATGACTGGTTCCAGGAGGAGATGGCGACTTACTATACCCTTTAACTGTTTGGCTGGAATGGTGCTGAGGGGCATTTTGTATCTGTGCTTATGGCGTTGTGGTGGTTTTGTAGAACTGGAAGTGCCTCGTTACCCCGCTGTAGATAAACCCCAACCACGCTTATCTTCTGCCAACTCCAACTCCCACTTCCACTTCCACTCTCACATCATAGTCTCAGCCGCCATCATGGCTTTTGATGAAGCCAAAGCTCAAGCCTTCCATGGCACTGTCATCCATACCCTCAGCTCCTATCAACTTGAGATCCTCCCTGATACCTTCATTCTCATCTCATCCGCTGGCACTATCGAATCCATCCACCCATCCACCTCGGCAGCCTCCATCCCAAGTCTTCTCGCAGAGCACGGATACTCTGGATCTACCTGCACTGTAACGACTCTCCAACCCTCCGAGTTCTTCGTTCCAGGCTTCATCGACACCCACACTCACGCTCCCCAATGGGCGCAACGCGGCACCGGGCGGGGAATCGACCTGCTTACCTGGTTAGAGACCATCACCTTCCGCCACGAAGCTAAACTTTCCGATCCGGAATACGCGAAGTCGCTCTATACCTCCTGCGTCCGCGGTGGCCTCAAACAAGGAATCACCACCGCCTGCTACTACGGATCTCGTCATGCATCTGCTTCGGTGATCCTCGCGGAGACCTGCCTCAGCCTAGGTCAGCGCGCTCTTATCGGGAAATGCAACATGAATCGCCATGCACCGGAGTGGTACCGTGATTCATCGGTGGAGGAGTCTCTACGCGATACGGAGGACTTCATCGCCGAGGTAAGGGAGCTTGACCCGGCGCACGGACTAGTGACGCCGGTGATCACGCCACGGTTCGCGATCAGCTGTGAGGAGGAGCTACTGGCTGGGCTCGGAGAGGTCGCGTCCCGGAACAGTGACTTGCCAATTCAAACACATTTCAATGAGTCGCGTGGAGAAGTGGATTTTACAAGGTCATTGTTCCCAGAAGATAAGAGTGAAACAGAACTATATGAGCGACTTGGGTTGCTGAACGATCGTAGCATCCTTGCTCACTCTATATATCTTTCTGATGCGGAGATCGAACGCATGGCTGAGTTGAAGTGTGGGATCGCTCATTGTCCCCTCCCCAATGTCACAATGGATGAGTTTATGGTTGCGCCAGTGCGGGAGTACTTGAGACGTGATATCAAGGTTGGGTTAGGGACCGACTGTGGTGGAGGGTATTCGAGTTCTATGCTCGACGTGATGAAGGCTGCGTTTGTGGTGTCCACGGCGCGCTGTACGATGACGCAGGGGCGGGATAAGCCGCTGAGTGTCACCGAGGGGTTCTATTTGGCCACGCTGGGAGGTGCGAGAGTGTGTGGGTTGCAGGAGAAGGTTGGGAATTTTCTGGTCGGCAAGGAGTTTGATGCACTGCTTGTCCGGGCAGATGGGGAGGGAGTGATGGCACCGGTGGAGGAAGAGGACGGGATACAGGAGGTGTTTGAGAAGTTCCTGATGACGGGGGATGACCGTAATATTGGGCGGGTGTTTGTCAAGGGACGCGAGGTGCATAGGATTCAGTAGTAGTAGTAGTTGCTTACGTATAATGATGGGTTGTCAATGGAAGCGTTGCGTGGATGATTGATGGTGGATCATATGGGTCAGAGCCTGGGAGCCTGGGAGCCTGAGCCGGTGGGTGACTGGGTACGGGCGATCCACACCTCAGGCACCCATAAGGCTGAGGCCGTGAGTGAGCCACTGGCTTGAGTTTTGGTCCCCTGGCGGTTTCACAGCCTCGTCCACTCCACTCACGTCTCCTCTCTTTCTTCCCCTCCGAGGCAGGGCCTATAAGTCTCGCCCCCAATTCTCCCTCTGGAGTCTTCTTTCTCTCTTTCACCACCTCCATCCCAGAGGGTGCCTTTTCCTCTTGCATCTTTTCCCATGTCCTCCTAATCCTCCTAATTTTGACATCGCCATCACCTGGAATCTGTCCCTGGACACGATTACCGTTTGATCGCCATTCGTTCGCTTCACCTTTTATTTGACTCACTTAATCGCAAAATTAATCACACCATGGCAGAAGAACCTCAGGTTATGTCTATCCAGCAACGGATCGCTGCGCTCAAACAGGCGCAAGCTGGTCAAAGCGCAGGGATCGAGGCCAGCGAGCCGGTGCTTGTTCAGCCCACTCCGATGCCCATTCGGCCGGCTGCTCCCCCGCGACCCAAGACCTTCACCACCACTACTACCACCAACCACAACACCAACGACCATGCTGCTGGCAGCAATGGCTCGATATACAATCTCTCTTCCACTTCAAATAATGCGGTTCCTCCCCGACCCGTCCCACGTCCCTCTACGGCACCGGCACCAGTACCAGCGCCTGCAAAATACAAGACGCCCCCTCCTTTGCCAGCTCGCAAGCCCTCCGAACAACAACGCCCAGCGCTACCACCGCGCAGACCTACGCAACCCTCTCGGAAGGGCTCCCTAGAGTCCATGGCATCGGATATATCAAGATCGACAACCACCAGCGCTGGTAGAACAACAACTACGTCGGCTACATCATTCGATGCAGGCCCTGGCCGCTCCCTGCCCCCCGCATGGGGCGAGGCTGACTTGCCCCCCTTGCCTCCTAAACGACAGCCACAACCACTACCACGGCCAACGCTCACAACTAAGAGAAGCATTAGTAGACTATCTCCGCCTCGTCCGACATTACCCCTGCGGCGAAAATCTAGCCACAGTAACTACTCCACGGAAAACACAGATTCTGAGCGGCCCCGGCTTCCTCCCCGACTACCCTCTAGGAATACCAGCGACCACTCTCCGAGTATCAACGAAGAAGAAGAGAGGACCCCACCACTACCGGCTCGGAGGCTTCCCCCGCCTATGCCTTCGGACGCTACGCTGGGGAAACTTAAAGAATCCGGTTTCGCAGCAATCAACAAGAACTTTGGTAACGCGAATGGAGCGTCTTCAGAGCCGAGTGCAAATGGTGTGCCCCCGCCTGTCCCATTGGCCTCTCGTCCGGATCTTTCCAAAATCCAAGCCACGAAGCCACGTCTGTATGCGCCTAATTCGCTAGCTGTGCCGCCGACTGTCGGTTGCTTGAAATGCCGCGACTTCTCTGCCCCCGATGCCCATGCGGCTCGGTACCCACGCATGTCTCTCCCGACACACGATCTGGACTGGCTGGCGAGGGAACTCACGAGCCCATTTCCCTCATTGACGGATAAAGCTCGAGTAATCTTCACGTGGCTTCACCACAATGTCATGTATGACACTGTGGCCTTCTTCAGTAATCGGGTGCAGCCAGCCACTCCAGCCAGCACTCTGGCAACTGGAATGGCCGTATGTGCCGGGTATGCGGGGCTGTTCACCGCACTTGCTACTCACGCCGGCTTGGAGGCCAAGTCTATCTCTGGTCACGGCAAGGGCTTTGGATTTAATGATCCTGCTCCTGGCTCCGCACTCCCTCCTGTCCAGGCAGGTCATGCCTGGAACGTGGTCAAGATCGATGATGGGCAATGGAAAATCATCGATTCATGCTGGGGCGCCGGCCACATCGACGACGGGCAAACCTACGTCCAGGAGTTCAACCCAGCCATGTTCACCAACAGCAACGATGAAATGGGACTTCGACATTTCCCCACAGACCGAACCCAGTTCTATAGGGATGATGGGCGCCCCGAAATCAGCTGGCAGGAGTACCTGCTAGGGAACCCGACATCACCGCTGGGTGCCGAGCAGCCGTTTGTTTTCAGTGATGCGGACAAGCACAGCATTGGAGCGCGCTCCTACCTCCCGGCTGCCAAACAAATTTCTGTCTCCCAGGGAGGTCCTGTGCGCTTCCAGTTCGGCCTGATTTGCGAGCACTGGACGCTGGAGCATCACACCCGGGCCAAACCCGGGTTGTTCCTGCTAATGACCCACGAGGTGGATGGGCGAAAGGATGAGAACCTTTTGCTCACGCATATCCGGGGTTCAGGACCGAACGGCGGGGGAGATCTGTGGTACGTAGACGTGCCGGATGCCAGGATGCTGGGCGCGCCGGGCCAGAAGCTCGACCTAGCAGTGCTGACCAGGTTCGGGGACCGGGAAGACGCACGCGGGCTGACAGCGGAGGAATACCGGGCGCAGGTCAATCGGGTGGCGAGGAGTTGGGCCCTCATTGCGCGGTGGGAGCTGGTCTGAGCCGGGATCAGGCCGTTGGAAGGGCAGCCGGGTAATTAGGGCTGGCTGCCCTGCATGGCCCGTGTAGATTTCTTTGTTTCTTCTTTTTGACTTTCCCCCACTTGGAAGGGGTTTCTTGGCTCCATTGCAATTTGCAGGGCAGCAGACGTGGTCTGCTCCCGCAACTTTTTAATGATAATGATATTGTTCGTATATACACTGCACACGAGACTACTTGGAATTGCATTTGTCATTTGTCATAGTTGTCATCTGCCACTTTTCCCATTTTGCCTTTTTGCGAGAGCCATTCAGCCCGGTTTATTAATTTCTCAGAAGAACTACCTGATCTAATGACTCTGACTTTGGATACAGTGGGGGCGTGCCTGGCCCAGGCTCATTGGGGGAGCCAGCTGCGGACGGAGAAAATCCACGAATCAGTGGGGAGGATAGGCAAAGGAAAAACGGCGTGAAAAACCTGGAGCTCGTGGATCCTTGGCGATGGCTAAAATAGGGGCGCCGGGTAATTTCCATGGCCTGGTCGACCTCATGTCAGGTCGCTGAGGTGCCGGGGGGGAATGACTGTTGCGTCAGGTTGAGGGATTAATGAGCAGTACCCCGTAGGTAAGCGAGAGACGGGGGGTGAGGGTGGTCTGCAACTAAGCTAGTGCTGCCATCTGACGGGGGTTCTCAAGAATGAATTCTGTGCCAGCTCTGGTCGAGATATTCCGTAGTCGCTGGACTGCTGGAGATATCTCGTGGACTTGGTGGGTGTGATTGGCCCGGTTGGTGGCTCAACCCGCGCGGGCTAGCCGCTCTGGGGCAAGGGGATAAGGCCAAGACCCTGAAAGTCAGATTAGACCCGATTAGGCTCTGAGCCGAGGTGCCTGAGGGTCTTGCGGTCATGTGCTCTGGGGAACCGACTGCCAGGATCCGGGGCCTCCTCCACAATCCCACCCCCCATTTCATTTCACCTCCTCAAGTCCCAACGCTCTGAACCCTCTTCACCGATTAACCCCCAAACGGGTGTCAACTGTCAAGAACCGGCCCGAGTTGAGTGGTTGGCCGTCGCACAAAGCCTGCATCGTGCTGCTAGCATGATTGCCTCGCTGGCCTGCATCAATACAGATTTTCTTTCTCGGACCGCTCCAGGCAGGGAATCGGCCCAACCATCCACGCCATAGCCGGGAAAGGAAGACACGATGCCGATCCACTCAATCCCCGGAATCCTCCACTTTTCCCCTCCACGTCCACGCTTCCACGCCGCCATCCCCCCTCCCCCCCCCGACCATCGGGCGACCCGTCTCCGGTTCAGGGTTGCCCTTGCGTCCTGTCTGATGTGATTGTGAGGTCGTGGACGGCTTAGGCGACCTCTCCCACGCTTGCGGCTCCCTGCCCACCTAGGGTCACATTCGGGACCCCCGATAAGATGCCATGCAGCTGAGTCAAGATGTCATTGCCCGGCCGCCTGGCTGGTCCGGTGGACTCGCGACCGTTCCTTCGTTCGCCTCCAAGTGGCTCGATCCATGACCGCTCCATTCTCCAGACCATGTGCTGCCCCGGCTTTTTCCATGCGACGGATGGACTCACGGCCAGCCGAAGACCCAAGGGCTCCTCCATGTCAGCTTGCTGTGGACCGCCACTCGCTGCATGCATCCAATCGCTAGTCAGGCTGACTTAAATCTAACCGCATATGCTTGTCTCCCCGCTAGTAGGGGTCGGGCTAATTTCGCCTGGCATGGGTCTGCTTCCCCGTGCGACTCGGGTCGGGACATGCTCTACCACCCTCTAGGTTTAGCGATTCAGCCGGCCATCATGGCCGCTCCTGCGTTGACACCACGGCTTTCGCTCCTTTCTCAGTGGTCGGATCCTGGCTCGTCGCCCCCATTCCCTCTGGTGCCATCCCGGGTCCCCGTTCTTTAAATCCCCGTTGTTTCCCCCGGGTTCTCCTGTGTTTCTCTCTTCCCCTCTTCGGTGGTTCCCCGTCATTCTCACTCCTACTGCCGTGAGCGGAACCAGCTTGCATCATGGCCATCGGTAATCTTTACTTCATTGCGGCCATCGCCGTCGTGGGCGGTGGTCTGTTCGGTTTCGATATCTCGTCGATGTCTGCTATCATCGAGACCAAGGCCTACCTCTGCTACTTCGACCAGGGTCCTCTGGAATATAACGATGATGGTAGCCGGAAATGTCATGGTCCCAGTGCAAGTGTGCAAGGTGGTATCACCGCCTCCATGGCCGCTGGTTCATGGCTGGGTTCGTTGTTGTCCGGTTTCATCTCGGATATGCTTGGTCGTCGAACTGCCATTCAGATCGGTTCAATGATCTGGTATGTACTTGACCTTGCTTTTCTTCGTTATAATTGCTCCCTACTAACCACAGTCTCACAGGTGCATCGGATCGATTATTGTCTGCGCCTCTCAGAACATTCCCATGTTGATTGTTGGTCGTATCATCAACGGTCTGAGTGTTGGTATCTGCTCTGCTCAGGTGCCGGTGTACATCTCGGAGATTGTATGTTGCATGAGGCCTCTTGCTGCATGACTTGCTAACCATTTTAGGCTCCTCCAACGAAGCGTGGCCGTGTCGTCGGTCTGCAGCAATGGGCCATCACCTGGGGTATCTTGATCATGTTCTAGTAAGTTGAGCTTTACCGCACTCATCATCGCATCTTCTCACGCGTGATCCAGCCTCTCCTACGGCTGCAGCTTCATCGAGGGTACCGCCGCCTTCCGTATCCCCTGGGGCCTGCAAATGATCCCTGCCCTTCTGTTGTTCCTCGGCATGTTGTTCCTGCCCGAATCGCCTCGTTGGCTAGCGCGCAAGGACCGGTGGGAGGAGTGTCACGCTGTCTTGACCCTTGTACACGGCCGGGGTGACCCTAACTCCCCATTCGTACAACGTGAATTTGAGGAGATCAAGAGCATGTGCGAGTTTGAGCGTGCCAACGCTGATGTAACCTACCTCGAACTTTTCAAGCCCAACATGCTCAACCGCACTCATGTGGGCATATTTGTTCAGATTTGGTCCCAGCTGACCGGAATGAACGTCATGAGTAGGTCTACTGCTATGTACTGGGAGATCTTTGACTAACTGTCTCTAGTGTATTACATCACCTACGTCTTCGCCATGGCCGGCTTGAAGGGAAACAACAATTTGATCTCCTCCAGCATCCAGTACGTGATCAACGTCTGCATGACCGTCCCGGCCCTGCTGTGGGGAGACCGATGGGGTCGTCGTCCGACCTTCCTATTGGGGTCCCTCTTCATGATGATTTGGATGTACGCCAATGCCGGTCTGATGGCCAGCTACGGTCGCCCTGCTCCTTCAGGCGGCCTCGGTGGGGTTAGTGCGGAGTCTTGGATCATCGAAGGCCCGGCCAGCAAGGCCGTAATTGCCTGTACCTATCTTTTCGTGGCCTCATACGCCATTTCGTTCGGTCCCGCCAGCTGGGTGTATCCGCCGGAGCTGTTCCCTCTGCGCGTGCGCGGTAAGGCGACCGCCCTCTGCACCTCGGCCAACTGGGCCTTCAACTTCGCGCTCAGTTACTTCGTGCCTCCAGCATTCGTCAACATTCAGTGGAAGGTCTACATCCTCTTTGGCGTCTTCTGTACGGCCATGTTCATCCACATCTTCTTCTTCTTCCCCGAGACCACTGGCAAGACCCTTGAAGAGGTCGAGGCCATCTTCACTGACCCGAACGGTATCCCGTACATTGGTACGCCGGCCTGGAAGACCAAGAACGAGTACTCTCGGGGCGCCTTTATTGAACAGGTTGGCTTTGACGAGGAGAAGCGGGTGGCGGGTGGTCAGGTTGTTCATGAAGAGGTTACCACTACGGCGGAGAAGATTGCGTGAATATGAGAGGAGTGACCATGATTTGAACGAGGTTGATACGAATCTTAGTCCTGTATATTGTGCGTCGATAAAAATTTAAGTCTAATGCAATGTGAGCAAGCTACTTCGACAAAAGATCTCAATCATCAACATCCATCGCCTCCGATCCGTGCGGAGAAGCCATTCCTCTTTGTCGAATGGTAAGAAGCATGTAGTGTATAACCTTTCTTCATCCCCCTGCTCCCAATTAAAAGAATCCTTTCGATACTGTATTTAAGTTGGAAATTGGTAATCCAAAGAGAATATTATATGGTTGTACACACCCTGCCGTCGGGTTTCATTATGAGGAATTCAAATGTATAGCTGTCGGTCATATACCCTATGTAGGGTACAGCGTAGCTTCTTCGATTCTAGTCGTTTCGCCCGAACTACTTCTCCTAAGGTGAGCAGTTCCTGGATTTGTCCGAGTCCGATTCCTCTTAATTTGCCCTGGGCATATTTTAGGCCCTTGTCCCATAGCTCCACCCAGTATGGCTTAACGAGATCGGACTGAAGCCATCGCCTCCACTCTCCTGGCTCACTTAGATTATTGCTATATAAAATATTAGTATCTAATATTAGTATAAAAAGTTGATAGGCATGTTTCCTACCTATATAGGCAAGGAATTGTGCCAAATGCAGGTCCCCCGACCTTTTCCGCCGTTTGGCCTCAATAACAATGATGTTATTGGCTTGTACACTTGGACTTTTCCCGTACCAGAAACTGTAGTCCACAAAACCTTTAAGCATACGGTCTTTTTTCTTGTATCTGACTGGATGTTCTAGATGTGTCTCATGCTTCAAGAAAACTTGCTGAGCCATGGGAAGGCCCCGCAGCTCCCCATTAGCATAAATGAGTAAAGAGCAAAGGATTGACTAGAGGCGGCCGCATGCCTGTGCCTCGTTGGCGGGGGATACTCCATGACAATGATCAATCCAGTATAACTGCCCGTTTGATTAAAGTTAGCTCTATACCCATATGTAAGAATAGTAGAGCAATTGCCTACCAATGGTTCTGTACCCGTCATGATAACCATACTTGCTCATGTCCGGGGCATCTGTCCCGTCTCTATCCACTTTCAATTGAAACATCGTTTCGACTTGGGCCAAATTCAAAGATGTTACTGCCAATGTGCGCTTTTTGCGCAATTTCTGCTGTGAGTGCTCGTCCAGCAATTCCTGGAGCTTCTTAACGAAGTTCTGTCATCATTGTCTTCTTGTTCATTGTATTTGATGCCTTTCTTTAGGGCGATGAAGGCCTCGCTGACGCGATCAGGGGTCCAACGTCTATCGAGGATAGAGCAGAAATGGTGATAAACACGTTGGTTGTTATTTTGTTAGATCGATGATCGTGTTCGAAGTAAAGAGAACCCCGGAGAGTTGGCGAAGAGTACATTGGACGTCGGCCCGCCCAAATAGGCAGGCGCCAGGGGGCTCCGTCGGCTGCCTGCTAAATTTACACGCGGAGATCATTGATTAGCTGTTGGAAAAGTGCCATGGTGCTTTGGATTGGGAAACGGCACGACTCATAAGATAAATTTAGGAGCTGACTAGGAAGATGTCGTGGATTTCTCCTCTGATACTAGGATGGTTTCGCGGACGGTATCTGATCCGCATTGAATTTGAGAATATCTCGGTAGGAAATTGCATGGAGTAGTCGGATTCATCCATCTCAGTCAACAAAAGCTCCGAGGAAGTTACTGAGACCTAGGTAAGTGAATACCATCTCCCCGAGAAAGACATTCTTTGGGGAAGGACTTGGTTAAGAAGGCATTTCGCGCGGTTTCCATCCCACCACCGGCCAATGGTGAATGACGCCAGTCACGATGGCGGGATAAATTGAAGCTTCACCCTTTCCTCTTCTATTCATTATCCATCTCTCCACTCACCTTGTAGCACCAACTTTGATATCTACTCTAAGACCATATATCCATATAAACTACCCTCTCACCCTTCTCCAAATCCATACCTGCTATCCTCCATTACAATGACTCCACAGACTGCTGCAAGTTCTCCAAATCCCATGTCATCCAAAGAAGCAAAGTAAGACCCACACCTCACTAATAAATTCAGACCATCATCTCATCAATGAGACATAGCACCTCCACCACCATGAACCAACCCAATCCTCAGCCTTCCGAGACTACACCCCCGGTCAAGGGTACTATCAACCCCACAATCCCCAACGAGACCAACTCCACCAACGCCACGAATCCGGATCGTCGCAGCTCATCTGATAACTCTACCACTGAAGGGTCAGTCCCCGTTATTGGAAACGATCAGGACCAGTTCGGCTCCATTGACAACGTGGATGAGCTACTCCCCTCCCTGAGTCTGGAAGATCCACCCACGGAGGCTGAGGAAAATGTATTGCCAGAGATAACCGTTGAGCAGTGGTATTATCCCCATTCGGACTTTGATGAGAGATCGTTGCAGTTGGACTGAGCATGGATTGCGGAGAACATGGTGTTGGCGTGTTGGAGCCTTTACTACGTGTGGCTATGAGGGTACTTAAATAGTGTGTATCACAAGAGTGTTTGACCATCTCCACACGCCCCAGCACCTGTTCAAGCCACTATTAGCACTATATAGTAGAGTACTCACTCCACTCAGCCTAACAGATCAATCAAATACTGAACCAAAAACCCCGCCGACTTACTCCCACCCACAATAAAAAACCCTGTGCGGAACCAATACAGACAACTCGCGGGCTTGGTCAAATCCACCGAATAAATCATCACCACCAACGAAAGCGCAGTCCCACCACAACCCACAAGGTAGTAAAGCCCAGACAGGTCAGCCAACAGCCCCACGGCGACCAAGAACCCGACCATAAACACGCCCAACACCGAGGCAATGGTCTTAGTGGAAGATCTGTACCGCACAGCCATGGACTTGACTTCAGCCTGGACGTCATGTCATGCTGAACGTCCTGGTACGCGTAGATGGTCTCGTACATGATAGTCCAGGTGAACTCGACGAGGAACAAACATGCTGCTGGGGTAGAAAAGGGGTCCACACCCATCGCGACCGCAGGAAGGATCAAAGTCATGGCGAAGGGCAGACCCAGGCAGACGAGGATGAAGTCCGTGAAACGGTTACAGAGGGGGTAGATGGCGTGGTCATCCCCTGTGGCTGCGCTGGCTCGAGACAAGCAACTGGAGCGCGGGCCGGGATGCAGTGTGATGGAGTGGCCAACACAAGGACCAGAAGGCTTAGCATCATTTGTTCATGTTTTAAGATCTCCACCGCCATTTTCTTTGCTGTAAAATTGAGACAGATTGGCGCGGGCCAAGATCCCACCAGTCAGAAAGGAGTAGCTCTTGCCAATGGATGTTATCCTGTCGATTCATTCCTGCAATGACTGGAGGCCCCCAGCGTGAGTGATTAGCACGGTCAGGAGAGGCAAATCCAACAGTAGCTTGCTGGCGACGGCATTGGCATTAATTGCCACTAAGGATCTTTCTTTGTCTTTCAGCACAAATCCAGCCTCAACGTTTGCACCCCGTGTCCAGTGTGATCTTCGCCGCAGTTAAATAGGTGCATCGCTGTCCTGTTCAGGCTCATCTGGTCCCGTTGATTCTCTAAATCCAACGTCCATCAGTTATCTTCAAGCCCAGCAGCATACGAGCAAGAAAGGAAAACCATGGAGGCTCTAGCTGAGGAAGTCCAACGACAGGCCAAGGCCGGTGATGAAAAAAACACGCAAGCATATCTTGGATTCACTGAGCAAGCTGTATGCTTCCATCGAATCGCCAGATGACACTGTTCAGCGTTTCACCTTCTATGTAAGCAACCGCTCCCCCATTGCTCATGCTAAGTTTGGTAACATTCTCCCACCAGAACATGCAACTTGCTTGCATTCGCACTGCGATCGATCTGGCGCTGTTTGAGCGACTAACCCAAACTGATAGCCCCCTCACGGTGGATCAATTGAGTGAGAGTACAGGAGCCAATCCCGTTTTCATGGGTATGTAATTCTATTAGCAGTAGGAAATGGCTCAGTTCTAACCGAACAGGTCGGTTGTTGCGTTATTTGGCTTCCTACTATGCAGTCCAGAAGGTCGCCAAGGATACTTTCACCGCATCGACTATTTCCAGAACATTCTCCCAGCGGGGATTCCAAGCTGCTGTTGGCCATCTGTAGGTGCTATTGTCGCCTACTCTCTGCACCAAGGCGCTTGTTCTAACAATAGGTTTGCCATCCAGCTTTAACAATGCCGGCCCGTCCATCCAAGAGCTTCTAGCTTGGCTGAAGGAGAACGGATACCCCGATATCCAGGACAATGTCAAGACGCCTTTTCAGAGAGTCATGCACACGGAACTACCGGCGTTTCTATGGCTGCAACAACAACCGGAGAATTTGGCATTTTTTAACAAGCACATGAAAGCCAACCGATTCGGCATGCCTACCTTTTTGGATGTCTTCCCAACCCTTGAAAAGACCACCGGGTTAAGTGCCGACCGGGCTCTCTTTGTGGATGTTGGGGGAGGTTTCGGCCAGCAGGTCATTTCCTTTCGAGACAAGTATAGCCAGCTTGAAGGCCGAGTGATTGTTCAGGACCTGGCCCCGACCACGGCCAACGCCGTGCAGTATCCCGGCGTGGAGTTCATGGCCCATGACTTTTTCACTCCGCAGCCAGTGAAAGGTCGGTCCGATCTCTTTATTTTTGTAGTTTCATATCGTTGACAAGCGGACAGGAGCGAAATTCTATTATTTGCGAAATATCTTCCACGATTGACCCGATCACAAGTGTCTGGAGATTTTGAAGAACATCAAAGATGTTATGGCCCCGGATTCTTACATCCTCGTGGATGATATGGTTTTGCCCAACGTTGGGGTTCATTGGCAGCAGGCACAGTTGGACATGCTGATGATGGCTGCCTTGGGGGCTCGCGAGCGGACGCAGGAACAGTGGACCGAGTTGTTCCAGAGTGCCGGGTTGAAGATCAACCAGGTGCACACTTATACGGAAAGTTTGAAGGATAGTATTATCGAGGTCATTGCAGGATGATGCGGAATCTCGGTAACATCAGAGATAGTGTGCCTTTCTACTGTTTATCGGAGGAACTTGATTTGCTGCCTCGGCATATGGCCCAGCTGGTGGCCCCCAGATAGGTATATACAAGATCGTACATGAGTCCAACACAGCCGCTGCAGGTCAATCGGTTCTACTACTGCCTTAATCATAATATTCTTGTTTCTCTCTCCGGGCCTCTCAGTGAGCAAAAACCGGCGACAAGTTGGGCTGTTTCTGGTGGAAATTAGCTATACCCGGGAAAGAGCATTGTCTCATATAAACTACATGACATGAACAGAATCGATTGATCTTTTCACCTCCCGAGTGGATTGTCCGAGTCCGAAAGGATCGGCCCTCGTGCTGAGCCCAAGCCAGGCAACGCTAGTGGAGGCACCGGCCGATCGCTCCCCTTCCTTCTCCATCTCCCCACCCACTATTTCTCCTGCGTCCGATCGTCGGTGGACAGCGCCTGGCCTATTGTTCGATGCGAGTCATTGTCATTGTTCTCTTGCACTATTTCAATCTGCGCTACATGGATCACTGACTGAAACAGGGGCAACGGTCAGGGTGTAATCTAGCAGTTTGAATCACAACCTCCCAATTCACCACACCATCGCATACTTTGACCACGACGATCGTGTTCCAAAAAGCAACGAGTCTATCACCAGAAGCAAAATCGACATGTGCGATCACCATGAGCATCCGGGACAGCCTTTGGCTAAGCACAATAGCACAGCTGACGTGGAGCTTGATCGTTCGACTCAGCATGATCTGCACGAGACTACTCCCTCATTGGCGATGGATCCCAGCGCTTCCTTATCAGGACCCTAGTTCCAAGCCTAACTGCATAGGCAGTTCTCTTGTTCACTAAACTGAGGGGATATGTGCTAGTACTGTGGGTTGCCGGCGGAGTACAGACCGTCAGCTTGCAAATGTCGCAGTGATTAAGCGGATCGGCAGGCATGCTCATCGCCAGCATATATGCCCGACCCCCTGCTGTCTTGCAAGAGCTCACACACGCTACGCTTGCCTTGCTGCCACTGTCAACATGCGAGCCTCCTTACTCTTCCTTAGCGTTACGGCTGTTCTGGCCAGCCCGACACCCCCCAACTATGTCGTTCATGAACGGCGAGACGTATTGCCTAATGACTGGATAGAGGAAAGACGGCTCGATGAGGGGACCCTGCTGCCCATGCGGATCGGACTGACCCAGTCCAACTTGGATCGTGGCCACGACCTGCTGATGGAGGTGTACGTTATTCGTCTACTCACAGGAACGCAGCTGACAACTCAGGTCTCATCCGCACTCTTCCCGCTACGGACAGCACCTCTCGACGGAGGAAGTGCATGATCTGTTTGCCCCGTCCAGAGATACCGTCGAGACTGTTCGATCCTGGCTCGAGTCGGCCGGAATACCTCCCAGTCGTATCTCGCAGTCCTACAACAAGCAATGGCTGCAGTTCGACGCCAATGCAGTTGAGGTCGAGCAACTCCTGCAGACGGAATACTACATCTATGAGCACACCGACACAGGACGCTCTCATGTGACCTGCCATGAGTAAGTCGCATTCCTGACAACTATGGCACTGCTAACCTTACAGATACTACGTCCCCGAGTCCATTCAGGAACACATCGACTACATCACGCCGGGTGTGAAGATGCTAGAACTGCGCGGCACGCGCTCCAAGAAGAGAAGTGCCAAGAAACGGTCCTTTGGCGGCTTGCCTCCAATCCTGGGGGCACTGCCAATTGCTATATCCAAGCTTTTTGAAAACCCACTGGCTTACTGTGATTTGGCTGTGACTCCGGAGTGCATCCGAGGTAGGTTCATCGCTGTCTCCTCTCTTCCAGGCTAACCTTTCAGCCATGTACAACATCACCAAGGGAACCACCGCTACCGAGGGCAACGAATTGGGCATTTTTGAGGATCTAGGAGATGTATACAGCCAGGAAGACCTCGACCTCTTCTTCTCAGCTCTCGCCAGGTACCATCCCCTCGCTTCCTCCTCAGGCCTTACTAACCCTCCCAGCGACATCCCTCAAGGCACTCACCCCATCCTCGAGGCCATCGATGGCGCTGTAGCCCCGACGGATGTCAACACCGCTGGAGCCGAGTCGGATCTCGACTTCGAGATCTCATACCCGATCATCTGGCCGCAGAACAGCGTCCTATTCCAAACTGACGACCCCGTCTACGAAAATGACTACAGCTACTTGGGCTTCCTCAACAACTTCCTCTATGCCATCGACGGCTCCTACTGCAACGATACCTCCTCCCTGGATCCTCCCTACCCGGATCCAGCTCCAGGCGGCTACAAAGGCCAAAAGCAATGCGGCGTCTACAAACCCACTAACGTGATCTCGATCTCCTATGGCGCCTCTGAAGCTGACCTCCCAGTCGCCTACCAACGCCGCCAATGCCAGGAATTCCTGAAACTCGGCCTGCAGGGTGTTTCCGTGATTATCGCTTCCGGTGACTCGGGCGTCTCCGCAAGTGACGATACCTGCCTTGGCAACGATGGGGACGTCTTCGTCCCGGAATTCCCAGCGACTTGCCCCTACCTCACAGCAGTAGGAGGCACCTATCTACCCCTAGGGGCCTCTGCCAGCGGAGACCAAGAAATTGCCGTCACGCGGTTCCCCTCTGGTGGTGGCTTCAGCAACATATACGCCCGCCCCTCGTACCAAAACCAATCGGTTGAAACGTACTTCTCGAGAGCAGACCTTGATTACCCCTACTACGAAAGCGTCAACAACAACAGCTTCAATGCCAACGGCGGAATCTACAACCGCATCGGTCGCGGATACCCTGATATCTCCGCCATCGCAGACAACGTGGTCGTCTACAACAAGGGCGAGTCGACTTTAATTGGAGGGACGAGTGCGGCTGCGCCTGCATTTGGGGCCATGTTGACACGCATTAACGAGGAGAGATTGGCTGCGAATAAGTCAACGGTGGGATACGTCAATCCAGTTCTGTATGAGCATCCCGAGGCGTTCCATGACATTACCGTTGGTTCAAACCCAGGATGCGGCACCGATGGGTTCCCGGTTGAGAAGGGATGGGATCCAGTGACGGGGTTAGGAACACCGAGGTATTGGGATTTGTTGCAGGTGTTTATGGCGTTGGACTAGATAAGCATAGCTAGCTATTGATGTCGACCATAAGTAATTTGAGTTTTGTTCTCACATTGTAGGCGCTGACTAGAGCTTTCACAATGACTCTAAATCTTCATAACTTTCGTTTCTGTCCTCGGTAACAATAATTTGAATCAATCCGCTATTTGTTCCACCACGCAACCCAATCCAAGTATTGCCATTTTCAAGATGTGTACGTGTTATTCCCAAGAATGCGAGATCAGATCAACGATCGGAATGGCTTCTAGAGGTAGGAGCAGAGGTATCTGCTGTGATTCTTGCCAGGTGATGTCCAGTTTGATGAATTTTCTTAGGCCAGGTCGTTTATTGTCAATCATGCGGAACGAGGTGTGTCTTCCGTCGAGGTAAAGATCATTCCACTTAGATGCTGGAGTGATTTCTAGAGACAAGAGGGAAAGGCGAGGGGAATCCCTTAAATTCCCTCATATTTCCCCAGGGTCAGGTCTGTCAAATAGCGTCTTCATAACCTTTTCGTTCAACAACCCACTGATATCGGGACTGATATACTACTTTGATTCAAGTTTCCGTACGATACAATGCACCGTAATATATCATCTTCCAAAAATAATGACTATATCGAGTGGAAAGAAACCATGAGTACCGATTTTAAATCTTCGATAAGTTTCCTGACACCCCGAACAAGAATATCTTTTATAAGGCCAGTCTTGATCCCCCTGCTATCTAGGTTCTGGCCTGTGGGAAGTCTCCAGTCCAAGGCATTGCGAAGCGCCTTCATTCCACTAAGGCATTAACTTATGCAGCTTATGCAACTTGTGTGAATATGCAACTTATGCAACCTATGCAGCCAACCTATCCAATTTGTGACAGCCAATCAGAGAGAGAGAAGCATCAAGTCAACACCAGCCGGAGCAAAAAGTCCTCAAGATCCTCTCTCGACAATTCTCGGTAATGCTGATGCGTGCGGCGAAAGTCATCAACCTCACGTTGATCAGAGATGGAGGTTGATTTTCTCTGAAACCACTCATAATCGAAATACTCCTGAAATAGTAATCCCTCTAGTGTCTTCACTCTTGAAATGGCAACATATGTCAACCCGGGAGTGAAGTCAGGTTTTGCACCACTATCCTAAGCCACCCTTGAATCTTATTTATGATTTTTCCAGATTTCCATGGCTCGTCACTAGTATGACTGAGCAGCAGCACGTTGCATTGCGTAGTCATTTTGAGATACAGCCAGCCAGCCAGCCCATGTGATCCCACAACGGAAGTTGAAAGAGTTCATCATAAGAAGTGGATGATAGCACCCACCATAGATGGATTCACCGATGAGAGCAAGCATAAGTTCATAGCATGGGAATATTGCTTGTCACTCTTGTGGTTTGGACATGATGAACATGTTATGAGGGGAAACGAGGACATAATGAACCCTCGGAGGTATGTTTTATCTTTCATGTCGCAGATGCTTTCGACTATATGCCCAGCCAAGGAGCTTGCCGTTGTCGTGGTTTCCGAAAGCGAGCATGAGCTGTTCAAGCTTTGCACATTCCTTCTGGCTTTCAGAAGTGAAAGTTGGGTTTGGCAAAAGCACACGCGGGGTACGCTGGAAAGAAAAGCCGTTGCTCGAAGGATGTGTTGATCGGGAATACGTTGTAGTCGTAATAAGATGAGCAATAAAGGAAATAGCAGAGCTAATGCAGCCATCGACTCCAGCCAGATGCCACCACATGCAATGGTTTCCCCTTGATACCTATGTTCTTCACAGAAGAGGCGAATGAACGCCCTGCCCAAGCAATTTAAAGACATCCTGGAGGGGTCGACGAAGATGTGTAGCCAAACGCAAAGGTTAAATATCAAATATGCCTCGATAGCACATCTCTTTAAGTTGTATAGGTTTCCGAGACCAGGAATTTAACAAACAGCGATGATGGTTGCAATTCGGTCTTCTAGGTTGGTATTATTATTCGTCGTAATTCTGAATGGGTCAATAAATGAGTTGGCAGCCCAAACAAGACATGCTCTTCCCACATATCCGCTTGCCCTTGGCATCGTCTTGCTTTGGTCCACAGCGTGGCGTTGTTGAAATGCTGGTTGAAGCGATAACGCAGCGGACCTGTTCGTGTGCTCCAGGGTCAACCATCTATGGATATGGTAAGTCCTCATAGCGATGCAACGAGCATTGTAATAACCGCCTTCATGGAAGAAAACCTTGGAACAAGCGCCAAATCTAATTGACCCCGAAGTGTAGCCCATCATCACCGTCCTGAGAGCATACACAGCATGATAAGGGGAAAATGATCTCGTAAGCCAGATCATCAAGCGCAATCCACATGCTAGGACTGATTCTCGATCGGCAAGGGAAAAAGGCCCTCTACCGGTAGTCTTCACGGCTAGGTGGATATCCTTCTTCTGTTGCCCACTCAATGGCCTTCTCGGCATTGTCAGCATGGACTTGTTCCGTAGAAAGCTCAGGGGCTCTGAGATGACAGGATATCTGAGCAATAAAGGGAAAAGGACAACGGTTATGGCAGCCTTCCGTCTTGAATTGCTTCCGCAGAATGGGCTAAGGCTTTCTTGGTGCTTGCAACGTGCGCGGCATATACATCGGCAACCGGGGCAATCCTTGTAAGGATAGAGGGAAGGTCATCTTGGTCCCAAGGCCGTGTGAGTCTGCCCATTTTCATGCCCCCCCACTGTAATCCTTCCATCCATAGAGCTGGGCCCTTGATGCCGGAGAGGTGAGAAAGGGGGCCGACGCGGCACACTTGGTATCGAGCGGTATAGAAACTGGCTTTGGGAAATATTTCGTTCATCGGATTGACGATAGTCGAGGTAGAGTGAAGGTTAAATGCACTGATGGTTTTTGAGATCCACCACGCAAACCAGCCCACGGGTGGAGGCATCGAGTCTTACATCTTGGATCTTCCAAGCACCCGGATTAGAACCTTCTCACTACCACAATTATACAATAAGGTCAAGGGCATGGATCTGAAGAGGGTAATAGACGAGAAGGTTGCTGCATGTAAGGCTTAATCTCTTCCTCCTCGTCGCTGGGAGAAATGCCAATCAGCCCGTGAAACCTCTTTCGAGTCGTAGCAGACATCCGCAGGCACGAAATTAGTAGATAGGTAAATGGACGTGATGAGGGTTGTATCATTGAGTCCACATTGAATGATATATGAAAACCAGGAGGATTGAAACTCCGCGTGTGGTGCTCACTCTGCTGGCATAGTGTTTCCCGGAATACTATCGCGATGCCAACTTGAGTTGACGTGGCATGTCGGTTACTAGATATCAACCGATAGGTCTATAGTATACCCTTATGAATTATCATATAGGAGGCGCTTGCATGGGGACCACCTGCATTTCGCAGTGATCTGAGTATATAAGGGTATAGAAGAGTGTGATCTTGGTTGATGTGGATGGAAGAGACTGCTAGGGATGAGGGCCCTTTATAGCTGCTCATCTGCCAACAGGAGTATGGACATTGCAATCTTAACACCGTTACTCTCCTACATGTGGAGTCTCCGTAGGTGAGCTCCTGGCCATGTATTGCAATCCCCGATGTGGTCATCGCTATGTTTTTGGGGGTCTCCAAGTATAGTAGTAGACTGGCAGATAAGACCATGGGACGGCAATCACCCAATAAGCTTGGTTGTTAACTTGCCGGTATTCGACCCATCGAACAGCTTCATCCACACCTTCGGAATGTCCTCAAAGGTGGCCTCGATAACTGTCTCAGTCGCATCATCGACGACTATCTTGCCATTCTTCCAGGCCTGGATAAGCTCTTCCCGGGCTTCCTGGAAGTGATCCTTGTAGTCAAGATGAACCCGAGTACGGAAATGCGATTGATGACAACTTGCTGGGAAGGATGAGCGGGTGCCAGTTAAGTAGGTAGAAGGAGACATACGTAGAAGTTTTTCAATCCTACAGGATCTTCATCGCGGTTGTAATCGGCAATTGTGCCACTGTAACCATTATCAGGCAGATAGAGAAGAAGTAGAAAAGTAACACGTTCGAAGAACATACCAAGCAGCAATTCTTCCAAACCACTTCACTCGCAGGACCATCAGATCGAGAATATGACCACCAACGTTGTCTGTCACCACATTAACCTTACCCATCTACTATGTAGCAGAAGGTAAACAGTGCACTCACCAAAATAAACATCCACAAACCCCTCCGTTGCCTTCCACAACTCCTGATCAAACCCCTCTTTCTTATAATTCAAGCACACATCAGCCCCCAGACCCTCCACCCAGAGACATTTATCATCTGTTCCTGCGATTCCAATGACCTACACTGATTAGCCACATCTATTCCAGGTCCCAAAGCCAGGAAGAAAAGCTTACCTCTGCGGCCCCCAGCACCTTCTTAGCAATCTGGACCACCATCCCCCCCACAGCGCCAGCTGCACCACTAACCACGATCCTCTCCCCCTTCTTCAACTTCACTATTTCCTTCAGAGCATACAACGCCGTGATCCCCGGAAAGCCAAAGCTTCCCATATAGTGACTGATTCTCACACCGGGTGTTTTCTCAGGATCCAGAACCTCCACATCACTAATCCGGACAACCGCGTATTCACTCCAGGAGGTCGTGGCCCGGACAATGGCACCCGGGGCCAGAAGAGAGAGATTGCCGGATTCGAGCACGCGGGAGATTGTGTAGGTGCGGACCGGGGCGTGCAGGGTCATGGGAGGAACGTAGAGACGGGCTGGGTCAATGATCGCGGACATTTGGCCGCGTTGAGCGGGATCATTGGATATGTAAAGGGTCTGCACAAGGGCAGTGGTGGAGGTGAGAGGAGGGAGGGGATTGATGGCGGGGATAAATGTTGGTTCTGGTTGTGAGGCAGAGGCAGAGGCAGAGGGGGGAGGGAGGTTCTCGGGGAGGATCGGGGTGCTGGTGGGCTTGGAATTGAGGATCCATTGACGGGTTGTGGAGGGAATGGCCATTATGTGATGGTGGTACTTGTTTATATACTGAGAGAAAGAGAGAGTTCTCATGTGATAGTTGTACTGTGGACGATGTTGGTAGGATCTGTAAAAGGTGGTTTGTGTCTATTTATGTCGATGCTGCTCGGACATAGATACCCATCTGGGGAATACAGACGCCTGTCCGCTGCATTTTGATTTGTAAGATGGCGTAGTTCTTGACCGCCAACGTGCAGAGAATCTGGATTTGTAAGATGGATGGCGGGGAATCAGGCCATGTCGGACTTGAACCGATGTGCAACAGTATCAAATTTCATTTCGTTTGATTGTCCTTTAGCCTAATAGAGCCACTGATATGCGTATAACAGCTATGTAGGTAGTGCGTCATGCCGTACACCAAGGACTGTTTTGATCAGAGCTTTCCTGCGATGTTCTGTTACACCACTGCAGGCGTGCAGCACTATCCATTCAACTGATATAGCTGACCGGTCCACTTGGACGACGATAAGAAGTTAACTACCCGATCTTGGCATATCTTCAGACTGTCATAAAAGATGAAACTTTATATTCGTTTATTCTATCACATACTTCATACAGTGACCAGCACTAAACAACAACCTGGTGTCCAGCAGGCTTCTCCTCCTCCTCGCCGAAGATGTTGATATCCCACCGCGGCACGTTGGCCACGTAGGGGGTGTTGTACCGTCTGCGGTCCTTGCCCAGCTCGGACACCTTGGCAACCTCCTCAGGAGTAAGCTCAATCTCCTGGAAGTTGGCCTGGATACGAGATGCTGTCACAGACTTGGGAATGACGCTGTGGCCACCGACCTGAGACCAGGCCAGGATGACTTGGGCGGGGGTGACCTCGGTGCCGAGTCTCTTGGACGCCGACTCGGCGACCTCCTTGACCTCGGGGCGAGTGATCAGCAGAGGAACGTTGAAGCCGTTGTTACCGAAGGCCTAGTTCGTTAGTGTGAAAACAAAAGAACATAAGAGAGACCTTACCGAGTAGGCAGTGATGTGAATGCCAAGCTTTGCGCAGTATTCGATGAGCTCGTTGCTCTGCAGGACCGGGTGGCGCTCGATCTGGTTGACAGCGGGCACAATGCCAGTGGCCTTGATGATAGCCTCAAGCTACGCGGGTCAGCTTAGTTTTCTCAATCCGGCCAGCTAACTTACGTGGTGAACCATGTGGTTGGACACACCGACAGTGCGGGCCTTGCTCTTGGGGAGCTTGGTCATGGCCTTCCAGGTGTCGACGATAGAGACATTGTCGTTGATCTCGACATCACCGCCCTCAACGGAGCTGTTCGCGATGAGAGGGAAGTAGTTGGAGCCAGTCGTGAAGGCAACGGGCCAGTGAACCAGGTAGAGCTACGGAATTAGCAGAGTCGTTAATGGGATATCACAGCACGCACATCGAGGTAATCGAGCTCGAGCTCAGCAAGGCACTCGTCCAGGGACTGTTCAACAACGGCGGGGTCGTGCTGCGAGTTCCACAGCTTGGAGGTCTGATGCAGTCAGCATTGACAATAGATATAGATGAGGACAAAAGGAACATACGATGAAGATATCCTCACGCTTGAGGCCAGGAACATCCTTGTAGGCTCTCTTGATACCATCGGCAACCTCGCGCTGGTTCTGGTAGCTGTGGAAGTCAGCTTGTGTCCGTAGACATCGGTTGGGAACCTACATAGTAGCCAAATCCTATGTCATGTTAGTCACTGAGTATGGATGTTGATTAATGGAGAACTCACCAGGTGACGGTATCCGGCCTTCAAGGCCTCGTAGACGGCATCGCCGACCTGGCCGGGGGCAGACTGCCAGGTACCGAATCCCAGCTGGCTAATGGATGTCAGTGATGGAGTTTGCGCTGGCCTGGAAGAAGACATACGGGATCTGTGCACCGGAGTTGAGGGTAACCTTCTTGCCGAGAGACATTGTGAGAGAGCGTGCAGGTCAAGTTGAGCAGACACAGGATGAGAGTTGGAGGAAGGAGAGAGATGAAAGAGAGGAGGGCGAGCGCGTAGAAATAGGAGGGCTTCCAGACGGGCAAGGTCCTCCGGTGGGGGTCGCGACGCTTCCACCAGGTGAAAGGAGGAGGACCCAGGGCCGTGAGTGGCTGCGTCTGTTCTTCGATGGAGTTCTTGGGGATGCTCAACCGGCCTTACCCCGCCAGCTAGACCCCTCGGTGGGGCACGCGTGGGATGTTCTTAGAGTTCGTGATGCCAGACTGCCCGCCAGGCACGCCGTCCATTCGCCCAGACCAGCTTCAATGGCATCGCAGGCCACCATTGCGGTTGTCCCGATAGGAAGGTAGTCCAAGCATACGCTCTGATCGACTGCACCTCCCTGCAAAATGGTGTGCCTCATCGCGATATGCAGCTCGTCGTGGAGGGAGGCAATGATGTCAGGCGGCAGACATTCCTCCGACTGGGCCAAACATCCCAAACACGTTGCCCGAATGGGTAACCCTGCGGGTAATTTTCCACGAGTCAGAACGCGCACCTGCACTGACTAATCCACCCAATTAGCTTGACAGACACGTGATCTATGGAGGGATTTCTCGCGGCATCCAACACGAAGATTCCACAGGAAAACCTTTCCTGGTATGCAGCATGGTAAGAGCTCGCTTACAACCGCTTGTGGCTGCATGATCTGCGTTTCAGGTGGTATGCAACATCCCAAAATGTGACTGTCCGGCTTCCCGCACGGATAATTGCCCAGTTTAGCAGTCCAATCATCCGCTCGGCTTCCTCTCCGATCCCCGGCTAATTTTTATCCTTGCTTTGCTTCCAACTCAAATACTCCCTCGGTTGAATTGAAGTTCAACCGACAGTCACAGTCTGGCACTGACTACGGCATATCTTCGAGCGGAAGTTCATGTCCTGAGGTGTAGTCTTACACCTGACCAGATGAGCCCGGAGCAATGATTCGTCTTGGGTGAGGTGATCTAAGGGTTGGACTGCAAGTCCTCTTTTTGGCCACCGGGATGTGCTATAAGAGTGATCAATTCCTCGCGGGTGTCTCAATTACTATCTGGGCTCGAGTTACAGCACCACATATAATGTTGTATGCTGAAAATCAATCAAATTGCCACCGTGCGGCAACTATCCGGGACAATATCATTTGAAAACAGCCAAGCCAATCTGGTTCTCCTGGTCCACACACTCCACCAACAGAACATATGGGCCGAGCAGTGCCGCGGCTGGGCTTAATAAATGCTTAATATTGCGGCTTCAAATCTAATCTGGACGTGGCTGCTGTGAGTGACAGAGCACGGCCGTTACTACAAAGAGTTGTTTTTGATTATCCTGTTCGTGTGGGCGATTCAACACGCACATATACATAGACAAGTGTACACGATCAGGATATGGGAGGTGCTTCGTCCACCAAAGCGTGACTCTTGGGGATCAAATCCGGCGCTCATCTGACCCGACATGGATTGCGCAGGGGAATTTCCTAAGGGGCAGTTCCGAAGCCACATGGCTTCGTGAAGGTCACACAATGACCATCAGGCCTGATGGGGAGTGGTCGATGCCGTCGCGTTGTCAGCACTGAGCGGCCAGTGTTTATCTCGACCGCAGCCTGCGCCTTTCAACACACGTACGTCGCCTGGGGTCTGATCAACAAGTCTCATACTTCTTTCTCTGAGAGCATGCAGCTCGCTCCGCCGTAGTCATTCACTTCAGCGCGCCCACGAACTATCCCGTGGCCGCTTGCTTTGACCACAACTTCACCAGGTTAGCGCTGGTACAGACAGAGCGTTGTCGCTGCTTATTATGTGCAGGACATTTTGAGGACATTATTAGATTTCTCGGGGGTATACATTACGATCTGCTCGCTCTCATCCAATCGGCGCAAGGGGAAGATGAAAAGGTGAAAGCTAATTCGGCACCCCGCACATTTCAGGACTAAGTTCAGGCTTCCGTAGGCCCCTGCTGAGAGTACATGGAGCTGTTTTTCTCTCATGTCATGTCTGCGAAACTAACAGTAGTCTGATATGCATGTACAGGCACACTATACCACTACATGGTAGTATAGTCATGTTTTCTTTCTGGGTTCTCTGATAAACAAAGGAGCTTATCACTACGATTATTTGACACGATAGTCAAACTTTATTCATAAGTAAAATACGCAATCGTGGCCCGATGCTGCAAAGGCAATCTCGGCATACGATCAGGTGTCAAAGTCGTAATCTATTTTTGTCTCTCACTTATCAGCTATCGTGACGTCGCGGTACTGACTCCTGAACGACAAACTCCACTTGCCATCTCTCGACAGACGCGCGTACCGCATCATGATAAGACATCGGAGGATATTCAAGCAGCGGTGGCTGCACGAAAGATATACCCGCTTGCTAGAACGAGCCGATCCACCGATTCCGTACAGGTGCGTGGCATACACATGCTCTCTTGCCTACGTCTGCATGCGTTCGGATGGGCCCGACGCGGCGGAAATGACCCGTCGAGCTTCATTTGGTAATTCTCGTAGGGTGACGTACTCTCTTGACGAGTGGCTTCTTGGCTCTGCAACTAGGATCAGCCTGCCAGCTGGCCCTGACCAAAACGCCAGTTCCCCCGAATTATCTGGATTGTTGCGCCTTTCCTCGTCCTGTAGACCTGGTCCGCGACAGCCAATTCCTGCCACCATCTCAACGTTCGCGGTTGTTCCACCTCCAGATTGCTCTCCAGTCTCATCTGCAAGTAACGTGGCCTAGCTCCGAACAGGGAATGGTTGGGTGGCGCTAGGGATGGATCTGTAACTAGCGGGTCTTGGGCCGGGGGCTGGCCACCAATGACGGCGGCGTCACCTCCACCACCAGGCACATCCCGTCTCCACTGGGGTTACACCCCAACCGAGATCCTGACGATTAAATGGCCGTCGGGGGGCTAGGCTAGCCCAAGACGGCTAGGGGCGTCGCCAGCTGCCCCTTACGTGAGGCCATGGCGTCCAGGCGGGCCCCACCGGGAGGCCCTTTTGGCTTTTTGTCTGGCCGGCCATCTTCCCTTGGCCGCTCGGTCGCTGGCTGAGGCTCACGCACTTCCTTCCCTTGCTCTTTCCCTTCTCTTGTTCGGCTGCGCGCAAAATGGCGGATGACGCGACTTAAGCCTCGTCGTCGATTCATGCCTCCTTCGTGATACCCTCATTGTGTCTGCTGCCCCCTTTTTTCCACTCCCCTCCCTTCCCCCTCCTCCCTCCCTCCGGGTTTATATCCCCTCCCCTCGCTCCGTCGCCTCTCCACCCCCCGAGAGGCCATCCCGATGTCGAAGAGGCGGCTGTTTCGCTGGCCTGCCCGCCGCACCGCCGGCCTGGGATGTCTAGCACTACTGGTCACCTCGGTGGTCTCATGGTATCTCTATGGCGGACAGCCCGAAGAGCCCCAGCCAGGTATACTTCGCGTTGGTCCGTGTGCATCATGTCACCGTCATGCTGACCCAACTGCCCACCAGTCCCCCAAATCCAGCCCGACACCGACCACGAAATTGTGACTTCCCAACTGGCCGAAATCACCGCGACTTACAGTAACGCAACGAATGAAATTGGGCTCGTATTAGCGGCCACCGTCAGAGAAGACCTCACCTGGCTCCTCAATTACTGCAAGGACCAGTACGCTATCCAGCCACCCCAACCGCCCAATGCGCGATCATACTAACCGATTCTCACTCCAGCGGCACAATCCCCTTCATCTACACGACCGACGAACCCCCCGCCCCGCACCTCCTCGTCCCTCGTACGATCCGCGGCCGCGAAGCCGCCGCCTACCTCTCCTTCGTGGTCGACTTTTACTCTCAACTTCCCAAGTACACCATCTTTATCCACTCCAACCTCGATCAATGGCACAATGATCTCTTCGGCACGCACACCAGTCCGGCACTGAAGAACCTCCGACTTGAGGCTGTCGACGCGCAGGGGTACGTGAACCTGCGATGCGAGCACAACCCAGGATGTCCGACAAGCGTGCATCCCTGGAACCCGACACAGATCGACATTGAGAAAGACGACATTCGCGCATACTTCCCCCAGGTGTATCAGACGTTGCTGAATGTACCGCTGGATCAAGTGCCCGAGCATATCGGAAATGTGTGTTGCGGTCAGTTTGCGGTCAGTCGGGAGCGGATTCTGCAGCGCCCGCGCGAGGATTACGAGCGGATGTTGCGGTGGGCGGAAGAGACAGATCTGACGGACAGCTTTGGAGTTGGTTGGGTGTACGAGAAAATCTGGCATATCATTTTCGGAATGGACATGATATAGTAAGTGGTTTCTCACGTGGGACAGCGGGGAGTGTGCTAACAGAAATAGTTGTCCCCGGTACGAGCAATGCCGGTGTGATACATACGGATGGTGTGGACCGTTGGCGTCGGGCGAGACACTGCAGGCAGTGCGAGCGAAGTCATAATTTAATGGGATGATTGTTAATGCATGATGTATACTATCATGATTGGGGATATCAGGATGCATTATTGGTTTGGTTTGGTTTGATATGATTCTTGATCTAATTGTACAGTTAGATGTTCTTTAAATTCTTGGAACTATTGACGTCCGTTCAGGTATATACCATAAATCTAGTTTATTTCGCAGGGAGTATCATTCCATCATTCTTCCCGTCATGCAGGAGATCCGTTGCTACTCATGATTAATAGGCTGCTGATGCGTCCCTCGCACGGGTCCAGCATCCAACTCGAACGTTTCCCTCCGCATCGGACTCCCCGGCGCTTCGTGAACATCTCCACTATCCAATAATGGGACATCTGTCTCGGATGGTCGTCGGCGTGGAATTGGATGCAAGAACAGCGACCTCCCATCGGAATCAAGCGGGGGCGATGCAGACGAACGATCTCCGGGCATCAATGCAGCAGGAACAGGCGGCGAAGTCGACAACATGGACTCCCTATTTCTATCCTCATCCATTACCTCCACTGGCAGCGGCGGCGGTGACAACGGCTTCCGGGGAATATTACCGACCCCGATGGGATCACTATCCCTGTTCCTCCCGACCATAGTACTGGGTATCGGAAGTGGAAGTGGAAGTGGTTTCTCATATCCCATGACTTTCTCCTCATCCCGCACCACCCCAACAGCCGTATATCCATTCTGGGTATTATTCCGCCTGCGCTTGATTCTCTGCTTTCGAAATACCATCCACACGAGGAAGAGGATGAGTAGGACGACCACGATCACTGCAATGGCGATACCGGCTTTGGCGCCCGTGCTGAGTCCGCTGGATCCGTCTGTACAGGTGTATGAACCTTGGAAGACCCCGTTGTTGTTGCTGCGCTTATGGTTGTTGTTGTTATCATCGTCGTCATCATCGTCACCGTCACGCAAGGAATTCAAGCTGGAGCACCGGAATGAGCCCGCGTGGGAGTCAATGACCGTTTGGCCTTTGGCGTGTTTGAGGGAGGGGAATTTGATCCTTCATCAATCAGCCACCCCACAATTCAAAGAGTATCTATGACAGGAGAAATGGGACCATACTCATCAAACACGCCCTTCAAAATCAACGCCCCCTCGACCTTTTGCAAATCCTCAAACACCAAATCTCTTAGATCATCATTCCCTTCGATATCAATTTCCCCGCCGACAGTCTGCAGATCGGAGAGGGAGAGATTACTCAGTCTCTCATTATCAGCGATATAGATCTTTCCGTGCACGGTTTGTAGATCAGATGCGGAAAAGGATGTCAGGGATGAGACGTCTTGGATGGTGAGTCCGCCGTTGATGGTTTGGATGTTGGAGAGGGAGATGGATCCGGAAGCGGAGGTGGAGAGACTGAGGGTTCCGGAGATGGTGGAGCAGGAGGAGAGGGAGTTGGCGTCGGATTGGGTGGTTATTGTTATGGATGAGGAGCCTATTGTTTATCCAGTGGGTGTTAGGTTTGGCTAGAGTGTGGTGGGTGAGAAGAGGGAAGGAAAAGGGAGTAAGTAACTCACACGAAGAATTCGAGCTTGAATCACCCACCACCAAGACAGCCAGCGAAAAGAACAAAGAAAACGAGAATGGGAATAGGAATGAGAGTGGGGGTATCATATCACACAATCAACACTGCACCGTCCAGGTGCAGGATAAACACCAAACCAAGCAAAAAGAAAAGAAAGCAAACCTATAAGCCAAGGCTGTATATCCTCGTCAATCAATCAATCAATTAATCGTTATGACTCGCATGTACTCATTCATCCACCTCGTAAAAGTAATCATCAATAATGTCTGGTCGTGGGTAGTAGTAGTACTATCAATACACCCCCACGAGAAACATGCAGAAAGTAAATAGTAGTAATAGGTGTGTAGGTAGTGTGGGTGTAGTGTAGTGCAGGTAAGACGGGAAATATAAACTCGAAAAAGAAATTCCCGGGTGGTGGCGGAGCAGCTACTTGCCTCTATGTATTAAGTAGTAGCAGTAGCTGCTCCGGTCGATACTAGTAGTACTATGCATGTATGGGGAAAGAGATCGAGAGAAAGAGAGAGAGAAGAGGTGATGGATGGATGGGTCAGCACATGCTGCACCAAAACTAGGTACATGGACGGGACGGGATCAACTCGAGTTAATGATGGCCGGGATGTGATTTTCCCCTGGAATTGGGAAAGATATTATTAGTCCAGAGACATGATTGGACCAGGTAATCAGGCAGATAGATATCTGTAGGTAGGTAAGAGTATCTCCGAAGAGCTTGGACGGTTAGAGTATTCCGTACGGAGTACACAGGATCGGAACTATCCATCTTTCTTATTTGGTAAGAGTACCACAGGTATAATCAAGGCAGCGATACAGAGATATGCATCTCACGTATCTTTTCTAACTGAAAAAGCAATTCTCGCAAAGAATGAACCCATAGCAAGAATCCGAAAACCAAAGTCTGATACCGGAATGAAGAGAGTGAGACACTGACACCGCCCCGAAGGTGCCCCACCTAGCATTCAAGCACCACCAAGTGGACTGACTGACTTACCGACTCCATTTCCCATCCTGGTCGCTCACCATTACCTAGTTTTTAGTAGAAGCAAGTCTGCACAACAACTCTATCTCATCCCATCAGATAACCAGTCACTTCTCCTTAGAACCCTGATTTTCTCGATTCTTCTAATTATAGGCCTCAAGATGGCATCTCATTCAGGCACCAGAATTTTATCACGAAAAACCCTAGTTGGGAGGGAGGTGCTGATTGGGTGCGGGGGAAAGACCCCGCTTTTGGCCGCAGGCAGAGAGATTCAAGCAGGCCCGATCGGGTAGGGATGTCCGATGTGAAGTCGCTTCGGTGTTAGGGTTGTTGTTGCATGATGGAGTGATATCAAAGTTGTCTGTTGGTGGTCAGAACGGAGAGGATGTGGTGATTTGGCAAAATTGATTAGTGGGAGATGTTGTATGTTATGATCAACGTGCTCAGTAATATTCGGATAAAAGGAAGACTTGGATCATGTCTATCGTAACTCAACATGCATTCCCAAGTCTCGGACTGAACGTTTGAACTTAGAAGAAGATAGCATCAATTATTCCAGATCTTGTCCCAAAAGTCTATAACAAAATCACCGCCCTCATCGAGGAGCTCCTTGAAGCCCTCGTTCCCACCAAACTGCCCCAGATGCGACACAATATAGGCGATAACTAATTTCCTCAGAGGGTCTTGAGGGAGAGTCTTCTGGTATGCGAGTCGGATCCATTCTGTCACATTGCCGACATTGCTCTGACACACGTTAAACAGTGACAGGGTTCGGACCAATTTGTATAGAACCAGGTCCTTGAGCGGCGTGATATCGTACTTGTCAGCCAGAATATATAGCTCGGTATGACCGAGAAACACGGGGGAAAAGTTCTCCCCTGGTTCGTGGTTCCCCACCGGATTGTACTTGGGCATTGCCGAGGACCGCTCCAGCTTCGGTTTGAGTTCTGACTCAAAAACTGCGAGTATGTTGTGGAGATGTGCAGTCCGGATGTCTCTCTCATAGCATGGCAGTCTGTGGCCGTTGAAGACATCATAGGTTACAGGGTTTTGTCTCCTTGGATTTGGCCCTGACAGACTAAACATCCGAGTATCAGTTACATTCGCATTTACCATGTTCGACGTCTTTGGCGTGGCTATCGCAAGTTTCTCAGTCCCTACCGGTTCCGGTCGATCTTCCGTCGGTCTGGCCTGGCGGGTTATCCCCAAATAAGAGGTTGGCGGCGTGTAATCCCGTACGTAGGCGTATTCACACAGTCGAAAGAAGGTCTCCTCTTTGACATCGGACCAAACAGCCCGACGGTGGTTGGCCTCGACCATCTTGCCGTTGATGAGGTTATTGAGCGGGGTGGAAAGGTTGGCTAGTGGGCCCGAATGCACGGTGATCTCTTTTCCACGGGGACCGATCACGAAGATGTAGAGGTGGGATGTCATGTATCTAGGTAGACTGAGTTAGTTGGATTCGGAAAGGTCTGCTTCTGGGGAGGACTTGCTTGCTAAATTCCGTGGGCATTGTTGCGAGTCCAGCTGCCATGAGGATTGTAGATGGGAGTATGAACTGTCGGAGTGAGACAGGTAATATAATATCTAAGAGAGTATCAAGATGATTCGTAACTAGAGGTAAAAAAGGCCATACAATAAGACCATAAAGGAAAGGGTGGATGATCAGCCTGTCTACAGAGAGACAGAGGTGAAGTCCCAAACAGAGGTGAATTCTGGATGGTGATAGCTCCTTGAAGAGGGATGGTTGGCAGCCACGTCATGTTGGGTGCGGGGTCCTGTCGTTGAATTTGCCCTTGGGCCAAGTACAGATTACACTATATGCAGATGATGACTACATGACTACATGTGTGACAATCTCTCCGGTTCACATCTATATGGGCGCCTCTCTGGAAACGCCTCCACCATCTCGTCGTAATTCCGTACTCAGTGGAATCTTTTTAATATGCTCCTTGTAGTTGGAAAGATGCCTTTTCTGTCTTGGTCTGGACTGGGCTGTTGGGTCGGAGTTGTCTTCCGCGCGGGCTTGCTTGGTCTGGACTCCCGAAATGGCCGTGTGGGAATATTAAGGTTTTTATGGTGGTGAATGGAACAAAGAAAAGAAGGGTTGGATGAGTTAGGAGGGTAGATGGTGGGGAAAGACCTCTTATACTTGGGAAGGGTAAGGTGTTTGTTACTCGGTCATATTGGATTGTTTGTGGCATCTGCCTTCTTTTCATGCATCTCTTACTGACGTTCTAGTAGCTCTTATTTGCTATGATTTCGCGTTAGACCATCTCATCATCTAGACCTGTTTCCCAACATCATGAGATGGGTGTCTAAGTATCTGAATTAAGCTTGCACCCCCCTCCATCGATCCATCTTTGCCAGTTCTGTCCACTGAGTCTCGAGCTCTCGGATCATCCAGGTAGTCCGCCACCCAACCACTTTCTCTACCCGATGGAGGAACTTCAAGGATCCTTGTTGCTCAGATGGGTGACGCAGGCAATAGCCATCTATCTAGTCAGGACGGACTGATATGCCTAGCGAGAGTGGAGTTATCTCACATTGATGCAATAAATGGCAAGCCATGAAGTATGCATTCTCCACGGTTTCATTCGACGTTGAGAGCCCGATCACACTGACTAGATGGAATGCAATGGTTTTCTATATTGGGTTAAAATCGGATATCAGTGTATGAAAAGACGTACCTCTTCAATCCGCCTCAACCGTGCAAGCTCATAAGAACTACCTACACCCCAGTGTCGATGTGACGAGGTAAGGAGGATCCGTGAGGCGTGATAATATTGTAAACCAACCACTGACTCTCAGTCAGGACTGTTCAATGTGAATGCTATGTACATACCTGCTGGTGGGGACATAATCCACATTTCCGGAAAGGGTCGATTTTCGTCCGCACTCGGATCCTTGTATTGCAAGGGCTGCCAGCTAATCGGGCGCACGCGATGCCATTCTTCCACGCTGTCGGACAGATGCTGCCACTCGCTATCATCAACTGCGCTGCAAGGTGATCCCCAGCAGGACTGGATAATCTTTGCACAAAGGAAGATGATGACATTGGCATATGAAGCATCATCACGGCGCCGAAATACAGACGACAGCTCATAATTTGCTAGGTTGAGCTGCATTGGCTCGTGTTGCACCAGAGAAGCATAGATAGCCTGGCGGAGGAATTGCCAGCTTACCGCTTCGGCGAGACCCCCCGAAGAGGCAGACTTGGACATGGTGTTGAGCAGTCGGTTTGACCCGACCCAGTGACATTTCTCATCTGTTGCACGTTCGAGCTCTTCGTATATCCGAAGGGTGACCACTGTAATGAGGAGGTTGTCGTCATATGTGTCTTCTGGTAGAGCTAGTGCAGCGATGAGCAGCTCGAGGCACTGGCCGTGGTATTCGGAGGCTTCCCAGTCACTGGAGTCGGCCATAATTGCGTCGTGTCGTGCTGCAAGGCAAAGGACTGCCTTAAGGACCATAGGAACCTGCAGGGCGCGGCGGGGGACCTCGGTACTGAAATGGGACCGAAGATCGCATATGTCGGCCTGAAAGTATAGAAAATTAGCTCTGTGTTGTCCATGGCCGTATAGTTACTCACCCATGGTGCGATTTTCTGGATGAACAGTCGTAGTAGATGTGCTTCCCGAGAGCTCATCGGCGGTGAGCTGCTCGGACGGGGGCTCACCGAGCTGAGCGGTGAGGTTGAGCCCGTCCACGTGCTCACAGACGCCAGAGGCGACACAACATGAGCAACCGGAGGAGAAAGACCTGAAGACGATGGAGCGAGCGAATGATCCTCAAAGACAGGGGTCTGTACTGGGGGACTTGACGCCCCGACATGGGGAGGGCGGATGCCCTCATCTTGGGAAAATATGACTTCTGGGAAGGGCAAGTGGGCAAGTATGGAAATATTATCCGGAATATCGATCGCGGCTTCGTCGGAAGTCAGTTGGTTCTCGTCTGGGTTATCCGGCAAAGCATCGGTGCTGTTGTCCGCTTCCGAGTCGTCGGACGATTCTTGGACGAAGGTTACTAGCCACCAGGATTAGCAATGCCAAGGAACCGACAAAAGAAGAGCAAAGAACGAATAGAACCGTACATGACTGAGGCAGATCCACCCATGTTTGGCGCGGATCCCAAGCTAGCTCGAACTTGGAGGCTATGCCATTACTCTTCTGGAACACATGACGAACGGCTTTGAACCGAAAGGGCGGATCCAGGCGACAAACCCGTCCAAGACGAGTGCAGGCATTACAAGCCGAGGCGCCAGCGCGAGTAGTGCACCGAATATGACGAAGGCGACAACGCTCACATCCTCGTCCGATTCTCATGGCAGGCCGCGGGGCAGAGGGCCCTGAGCGTTCAGCGCTGCGGGGAAGGAACGACAAACGGACAGGGACATGGGCGAGCTAAGGGGATTCATCCAGCCTACTGGACCGGAGAGCGAGATGGATGTGACGGTGGCCTGATGGGGTGAGGATACGACAGAGGAGAGGAGGACGGGTTGGCTGCGAGGTGAAATGGCAGCTCGTCGGTTATTGATCGCTGCCATGCGGAGGCGCCTGGGGCCGGCAATTGCCCCTCCAGGCCTAGTGCGTCTTTCCCCGCATTTGTGGAGATTTCAATCCAGATTGGTCGATTCTTCATGTCATAGATTTCAAAAAATGTCCATTATATTAAACAGCATCCATGATCAAACACAGCCAAACGACGATGCATCGTTGGGATCCCCACCCACATATGTAAAGATCTCCGGGTACAGACAAAGCTGTGCCGTCCGAGTCGAGCTACTGTTCGAGCCCGCAACAGCCGTCGCAATTGCTCCAAGGGTATCAGGCACTGTGCCATTCTCAACCCACGCCCTCAGTGTTTTAAACACAGTATCACTAGGATCAAATCCCGGGCCTCCACCGCAGTGAGCTACCCCTGGCGCCAAATAGAACCGGTAATAGTCCGCAACATCCGGATCCCGATCCATGACCCGAGAGTAATAATCCACCGTCCCGTTGGTCGGGATCAATTCATCCTGCATTCCATGCCAAGAAATCATCTTTCCTCCGGCAACCATAAAACTGGTCAAGTCAGTGTTGTGTGTCCCGATGATGGAAGCATATTGATCGACGGATTCACGGAAGAGGTTGTCAAAGTCTTGTCGCGTCAGACCTTGAACGCTGAAGGAGGAGTTTCTGGCCAGGAATACCCTGGCCCAGTCTGCGCTGATACTAAAAGGGATTACCGTACAGTTGTGGAGAGATGTGCAGGTAGTAGTAAGTAGAGACGTCAGATCGGCATCGTAGTTGAGACCGTACCACTCGAACTGGTCCTCGAGAGAGATGGGGCCTTCCCACATGCCTCTGACGAGGTCGGCCATCCTGTCTGTGATAGTAATCTGCCCGTAGGGATTATTGCAGTTTACTGTTTGGCCGACGATGGAAGATGCTTTGAAATGGCACTGGCCTGGGAGCGAGATGATTCCGTCTTTCACGCCATCCAGAAGATCGCAAGCTTGGATTGCGGCGTCTGTGAAAGCATTGAGAACACACGCAGGTGGCTGTGTATCTGTGAAGAATGGTCAATTTAGTAGCTTCGAATGCCAGTAGGGCCCGGGAGAATTGACTCACCTAGAAATTGCGCCAGAAAGGCGGGCCAGTACTCGGCCAGTTGAAACCTATCCCAATTGATGGCCGGTGAACCCGCCACGATACCATCAAAATAGGTCGGAAATCTCTGGGCCATCATATGGCCCTGTCGACCGCCCGTGGAGCACCCGTTCCAGTACGAGTACTTGGGCGATGATTTGAAATAAATTTCGGTGGCCATCTTCCCGAGCGTAGCCGCCTCCCCTAAGGCTACGCTAGAAAAGTCCCAGAGAGCAGGCCAATTGGTATTGCCCTCGCTCACAAACCCCCAGTCTGCCGTCGAGGTAGTGCTGTTATGTCCCCCGTCAGTGGAGGAAGACGAGTATCCGGAGGCGACGGGAGAAATAATCTCGTCGAGACCACCGGCCGTCCATCCACCTCCACCGTCCATTAGGAAGCGGGTGTTCCAGTTGCTGACGTCAAGAGGAAGTCCGATATACGTATTGACAACGTCGTTCTGGCCGGGGTGTGTGTAAGTCAATGATACAAAGCAGATATCCACTGTCAACGGTATTCGCCCTGTCGGTGCTGATGTGACCCCATCGGATGCTGAATCGTCGGTCAGGTAGTTGCGCACAGCTGTGACATTAAGCGAGAGTATGTTGATGTTATTCAGTTCGAGGGACCTGAATGTGTCTGCGATGCAGGGCTTTGATGCTGATACAAGCCCCAGGCGGGCTGATGTTATCAGGAGAGCCCAGGCTATGGATAGAATGGCCATATTGAGTGAGAAAGGACGTCTGTACTGTTTGAAATTTCCGATTTGTTAGAAGGCAATCCAACAACCAAGATTGGATATGCCATGGTCAGTCATCTTATATGAAACCGACATCACCCCCAATACGATTCTTGAACGACTCGAAATATGCCTAAACAGGGCGATCTCATTTCGGGAAATGATAACGGCAGTCTACGCCTGATGTGCGTGACCCAGGTGACCAGAGATGAGCCAGGCTAGGCAGAAGAATAATTAATAATATTCGGAGACCAATGGACGTTTCCTCTACCAACATCTCTTACAAAACATGAAGCTAAGGTGAGATGCCGCGAGGGGAGATTCGGTCCAATGGAACACCATGGCAGAGGCAAAACATGGATGAAGACCCTCAGATCGCGGTATATTTGTCAGCTGATACACAGTTTAAGACGCCCTAAGTGCCGGGTGAAGAATTCGGCAATAAGTAGCGTGGTTCATGTGCTCGCCAAAGGTGACTTAAGAAGTTTGGGGGCCACCCGAGGCATGCATAGGGGTGATCCCCGCATCCTCGCTGAAGGGGGCTGCGGGGAGCAAAGCGGGGAGCACCACTAAAGGGGAAACCGCTTGGTATGATTGAAGACGCTTACTTGACGCCATGTATCTTCCAGAATGACCTGACGAATGAGGATGCAGCACCTATCACTCTACCACAGGCACCAAATGGCTTTCATGAAATCAAGGGAATAATGATAAATCTCTCTATAATCCCAGGCAAAGAGGACAGATCATCGCCACCTGATTATGTACATTAGTTGATCATACTCTACATGCCGGTTAGGCCAATTCATAACGGATGGTCTTGGCCTCCTTCAATTCCTGAGGCGGCAATTCCTGGGGCGGGGGCTGCATCCCGGTGTCGGTGTCCATCTCCGCAAAAGTGTAAGAGGCTGCGCCTTGGGGAAGCTCTGCAATCTCGTTTGGCTCCACCTCTGCTGCTTGATAATTGCCCTTGGAGTCGCTGGCTGTGTGCTCCTCCGGCATCGCTCCCCCAGCTCCGCCAGCAGCTACTTTTCTCTTCTTGCGAACGGCGAAAAAGGCAGCAGCAGCAATCAAGGCAACGCCGGCAACCGAGCCGACCACGATGCCGGCAATGTCGCCGCCAGAGAGCCCGCTTGAGCTTCCCCCTCGCCCAGTGTCATTCCCCGTGCCACTACTCGTCCCATTGGTACTTGACCCGCTGGTACTCGCGCTCACGGAGTTCTGCGCCATCATTAGATTCGCGGTGAAAGCATTCACAGCACTCATCGAACTGAAAAAGTTGGGATTCTGATCATAAGTCGAATCAGTCCAGTCAGAACCACAGACGGTGCCATTGCTCGTGCCGCTACATTGCTTCGCCACCGCCTTGGCAGTGCTCCGGAGGAGCGGTTCGATTCTATCGATGGTGTCTGGCAGGAAACGCGTCGTCACCGCAAGGCATGATGCGAGAAGCCCCTTCAACGCATATTCATCATCATCCCAAACTATGTCGCCCTCCCATCCCAAGTCGGGATTAAGATTGATCGCCCGTTCAACTATCACCCCGTCATCGACAAACATACTCAGAGTGGTATTTAGCAACCCTTCTGCCCTTGTTTTCCAAATCGCTGCGCTAGTCTATGAGTGTTCATGGTTAACTAGATCCCTCGCGCTCTACATCGTGAAGGTTTAGAACTCACCACATTGTACATATATGCTGCGCCGCTCAAGTACAAGCCATATGGATAGGTGTACTCGACCCTAGTGCCGTAATACGACGAGCAATTGCCACTGGCGGTCGTGTTTTCAACCATGAAATTGATGGTCCAGTTGCTCTCAACTACCATGTCACTACTCACACTCCAATCCCAGACTGTTGATGCATCGCTTGCATATCCAGCTTGATTGTCGCCAGTGGTGAGGTACGCCAAGCGCGAGGCCAGCTGAAAGTACTCCCCGTTACTGACGGCGTCCTTCCGTGATGAATTGGAAGCACTCAGATCATCATTATTGCTCTCGAGGCCGCCGCCGCATACATTTGAAAAGCCCCACGTACTTGACAAGGTTCCCTCGGCCTGCTCTGCGTATGTCAGCCAAGATTTCTTGGAAGAATCAGCTGGAAAGTCCATCTCAGCTGCCGTCACAGCGGCCAGTGCCCAGGCAGCATGGTTCATATTCGTATCGTTGTTGGATTCCTCCCATGATGTAGCGAGTTCCAGATCCACTTTACTGTACATGCGCTTGGTGATGAGGTCATTGTAGGTGTTATTTCCAGTTATGTTCCAGAACGGGATCAATGTCGAGTAGAGCCAGGCCTCAACGGTCGATGAGTTGAAGATCCACTGATTATCGTCACCGTACACAGGATTTACGTCACCACTTATGGACGAGTTTGAGAGTGTGTTGTAAACCGTGACTGTTGCGGCATCTTTGATTGATTCTAGGGCGGGCAAAGGCATAGTGGTTAGCTTATTCACGCCATCCCCCGTGGCGCCGGAACTCACGAGTGTTGTTGATGTTCAGCTCCAGCGCAGACACTCTGGTGGGTGACCCTAACAGCAGGCCTGCCAAAACCCCACGCCACCCCAAAAACAACATGGCTCCCAGAGCGAGGTGATGTATGGGGCGAAGAAACAATAAAGAAAGGAATCCACAAAAAGGCCAAGCGCGCGCGTCCGCCTTATGAGCGAACCGAGGGATTTATGTGCCACGGCGAACCGACTTCTCGGCAACTAACTAGCAATACAGGGTCTGGTCAGTTGTGAGCCAGGAAGCTTCCATTGGCGGGATAGGCTAGGGCGCAGCGACGAGACCGTGGACACCACAACATCCAACGCGATTTAGCCGGCCCACCCGAGTGCTACCCATGTCTTTTAGACTCGGTCCCAACGACTTCTGTATGGCTGGCTCGTTTGTGACCGAAGAGCCCCGTTGATTAGTTTAGCCCGATGGGGATCGGACAGGGATCGGGGGACAATGAATCGCTCTAAGGCAGTCAACGGTGTGGCTGGCCGATCTGCATCGCATGAAGCCGACCATTTCCCTTGACAAATTGCCTCTGCTAACAGGTCCATGGCCACTATACACCATTCATCATTTCTTGAGTCGAGTGAATGAATGCGCCTGTCTGACAAGGAGGGAAGGGAGGTGATAATTGGGAGGACGGAGCTATCCGCCTCCGAGTCCGAGGGGTTAATTTCCCACCCCTGCTAGAGCCTGGAGTTCCCCCCACAACGGCCCCCGAACCCGGGGTTCTACGCGAATTCAGTGGTGAACCTAAATGAAACTAACGCTACCCTAACGCCTAAACCCGGTCAAGCCTTGACATCGTCCCAAAGTTTCGACCAGCGAGGATCTCTATCCTTGACCTAATTTAGGCCACGGTCCTGATTCGGTGAGATCGGGACTCAGCTATGACCCACCGAACCAGCCGCACGTATGTGTTGTTTTTTGTTCTCTTTTGGAGGCTCTTACCCTGCCCATGGCCCCGTTGAGATTACCTATTATTAATCCAGTGACAGGATTCTCAGAGATACGGTACCTCATGCCATGTTGCTCTAGGCTGTACGACATTCATAAACCTATCTGGCGCAGGACTGGTGAATCTACACAGTAATACCGTGCACTATGCTCAGTAGGGGACCCAAACCCAAGACAGTCTATTTCTGCTTCCCCCCCCCCAGCATGCAGTGATGCCACTCATCTATGTATAGTACTGACAGAAGAAGCCTTGGGGTCAAGCCACTGGTTGCACCGCCGACCACAGTGGCTGGGAGACGCTGTTTGGGCAACGAGGCTGTCCGTTGGGCTGCGACCTCTGCGCTGTAAGGTAAAAAAACTAGCCTACATTACGGATACCTACGGATCAAGATGGTTCCCCCACAGGTAACCTCGTTGATCGCTTGCTTGCCCCGCAGCCCTTTACTCGGTCATGCTTCCACTCATCTGCACTAATCTGCATATCCAGAATGCAGTCGAAGTCGTTCAGTCAGCCAGTGAGCAAAACGTACTTGCAGAAACTTGATATTATCATTGTAAATCAAACATCGCTGTGTTTGGATTGCTTCGGTTAGACTCGGACACAATAGGGGCACCGGCGGAGAAAGCTGCTTATCAGCATCATCGGCCAGTGCTGCCTTCTGTACGAGGTACATGACCAGGTAACTGATTACACATCTCTGCTTGCTTCTCACTCCCTACTCCGTCTAGAATCTCCCATGTCACCCATCAACAACTGCTCACTGATCGCTCCTGAATCCTCCCGAATTCCTTCCGTCCTGATGCTGTCAGTGTTCTGCGCTCCTTAGCTTAAATGGATTCCCCCCAGCCGGGATCGGAGTTTCGGATCGTCATCGGGGAATTAATTCACGAGCTGGAGGAACACACCAAGCGACGAGACGAAATATCGAATCGTTTCATTCGTCGACATGACCTCGTCAAAGTCTGGCAGAATGAAAGCCGTATCCATAGGCTGCTTTACAACGACCAACTCACCCCAGAGGATGTGCACGATATCCAAGAGAACTTTATCGCCATCCTTTCCATTCTCGTATCCATTGAAGCCATTGATAGCATACGCAATTTTCGCAGCACATTTCCCATAGGTACCATCTCCGACCGGGATCTTCCGCTAGAGCGAGAGCAGATTGAAATGTTCCTTCCAGACCGCCCGGCACTGGTCCGCAGATTTGATGACGTTCAGTGTGAATTTTGTCCTGTGCCAATATGGCGCACGAGGTCATTACAATCAGTTCCCCGAAAGTGCCGATTGCCTTTCACGGATCCACCTACAAGGTTGGGCGTCGGAGGCTTTGGTGAAGTTGATTTGGTAGCAATAGCACCGCGGTACTGGAAGGTGGATGAAGACGCAGATTATGACGTTGCTTACAAGGTTGCCTGCAAACGATTCAAGTCCGACAAAGATTTCAGCAAAGAGGCTGAGAACCTCAGAATCTTGAAGAATAGTTTGACGAAACAGGATCATATCCTTCAGCATTATACAACTCTTTTCCATGATCCATACAACTATATCCTCTTTCCGTACGCCGAGAACGGAGATTTGAATCAGCTTCTATTGGACGGTGGAGGGTACTATCTGTTTCATGAACGATTTCCTCACGTACCACCAGTAGGAGATCCAGCAGTAGTTAAGCCCCTACTACATCAGTGCTGGGCTTTAGCGTCCGCTGTCAATTGGTTACACGGCGGGATTCAAGTTGATACTAAGAGTATAATGTGTGCACATTTAGATCTCAAGCCCGACAACATCTTGATCATGAGGGACAATGACTCCATAGTAGGGAAGTGGATGATCTCAGATTTTGGCATCTCCGCTGTTGAGCCTCATAGAGATGGCTCCAGGCCAGCACTCAGTGTCGGATACCGGTACCGACTATTGACTATCGAGACAGAACCTAAGCACCAAGCGGGAACGTACCTCCCCCCTGAAGCTATTCACCGAGGGGCGATGGCAGCCGCCGCTGACAAGGTTGGTCGTCAAAGCGATATTTGGGCCTACGGATGCATCTTCAGCGAGATACTTGCCTGGGCAATTGGACGAGCATATCTGGTCGACAAACTCGCAGACGAACGAACGTATGGTGCGACCAGTGATAGATTTTGGGAAGAAAGCTTCGGTCAAAATTTATCCCCCCAACCGACGGGATATAAGCTACGCGAGTCTGTTTCTGCGTGGCTTGACGAGGTCCGAGACTCACCAGAGAGGGTACTGAGGGACTGGGCACAAGCCATCAAAGACATCCTAATTACCGACAAGCAGGCTAGACCCAACGCAGAGAAGCTTGTTGGTTACGTCGAAAGAGTGTGCAGCTCATGCGATCTGTCTCCGGAGGTGATAGATGATCACCCATTGACTCCATATCACACACCTCCCCTTAGCTCGCCGAGTTCCGGCTCAACTGAGACGGGTCAGAATCCCGAAAAGACCAGCAGGCCTATCTCTCACGGCATAAATCCCGGTATTGCCAGATACTTGTCTCGAACTGCCCGTCAGGGCAAAGTACATGCCGCCGTGGTGTCACAGGACAAGATCGAGATATTTGGACTGAACCTTTCTCAAGACGAAGTCAGTCTGGTCAGCAAAATGCCCCTTCCCCCTAAATGGGAAGATGCCGGCGTTGTTATTGAGGGACAGTACTTCGCAGCTTGGGGTTATTGTAAGGCGGAGAAAAAGAGGGCGGTAAGTTCGCTTGTCATACTGAAGAACTGTTCTGACGCTATCAAGCTCCGGATCGGTGATATATATTCGGACTTCGAGCCCAGCTTGCCTGTCAACCAGGGGCTTCTTGGTTCAGTAGCTGTATCATGCCGTGGAATCTTTGCTTTGGTCCGGGACAAGGATATCGTGCTGCTATCCTGGCCGTGTACACCAGCATCCTCTGTGAACCGCCGTCTAATTATCCCGTTCTACATGGATCAAACCTTCACGCACGCAATTTTCAATGAAGCCGGTGGCTTGTTGTTTGGATGGGCGAGAGGTCAGAAACAGGAGTCTCTATACGTATGGAATGTCGAGGCTGAAATCAGCGATGTACCGGATTTCGTCGTTCACTATTCTCTTGTAGGTTTCTGTTTCCTGGGCATGGTGTGTTGCTGACAAGCCTAAAGCAGCAACGCTTCTATCTGAATACTCAAGTGATCCCCTACAGCAGTGGGCGAGGCTGCATCCTTGCGGGCGATCACAACAAATTTCTCGCTGTCTCCCTGAAAAACCCGAGTACAGGTTTGCCAGGCATAGAGCGCTTAGACGAGACTATTGATGTGGTAGCTAGCTGCTTAGTCGGCAATGACCAGCTTCTTGGATTAGTCAGTACGCGGGGTTTCCGTACTCGGTTATGTCTGCGAAGATATAAGATTGACCACGGTGGAGACGGGGATACTCTCATACTCCAGGACCAGGAACTTTGCAACATCAACATTCCCAGAGAGTTCAAGTCGACAGGTCTAATGCGAGCTTATCAGGAGGAAGGAGCGATAACGGTGGTTTTGTGGAACGGAACCAGCATCTTGATTTCCAAAGGTATCAAAGAGATCTGATGGGTATCATCGAAGCAACATATCTTACGAACCACACCTTCCATGGAGCACCAAATTTCAGACTAAATATCCACACATTTTACGTCACCTCCCTTGACCGCTTGTGTCTCCAACTGGCTCATAGCTTCCTTCTCCGGTCGCTGAAACAAGCGAAATGGTTTCCTCTTCCACCAGGCATCGAACCAGACAATCAACACATATATCAACCCTGTCACCATGGTGAGCGGCAGCCATGTGGCGAGGAAAACCCAGAAGTCCTTCGCGATAACAATCTGCCGGGCATCATTATCAAAGACAAAGAAGTTCATCCCATATAGGCTGACAATGAACGACCCTGGTAGGTAGACTGCCGACAAGAAGGTAATAATCTTGACAGCTGCACTATCGTCTACCGAGTCCTGTTGTAATTCTTTCAGATGGCTGATCAGATCGCGCAGTTCGTGATCGACCTTGGCAGTGTCAAGTTGGTTATGCAGCGACAACGTATATCCAGCCTGTTTCGTGTTAGTAGACATACCGTTCGTTGTGCGGGAAGTTGATGCAGAGCATAGAGCGCATACCAAATCTATTGCGTTTCTGATTCTTGGAACCAGCTCCTCACAGCTCTTGATGTGGCCTTGCAGCGTTGATTCCAGAGCTTCATACCCTCTAACAGTTTGCTTCATGGAGGCAGGTGACTGCATGCCCAGTGAAGAGGCGATGGCCAGTTTCAAGGTACTAACCAGATCAAGATTTCCGCGGCAACATAGCTCTGCGCGTAGGGCAGAATCATTCAAGTCGCGAAGGGCAGACACTGTATCATAACTTTCTCGGGGGGTGGACTCTTCGGGAAGGGCTACCAAGGCCTTGTCGTTCTAACAAGGTACACCCTAGTTAGCTCTGCATCGGGGACTTGAAAGATGTGAAGGTAAAACTTACATATTCTCCAAACCGATCTCCCAAGTGTCGAAGATACCACCGCCAATTACAGATAAAGGACGACAAGACAATGGAGTGAAGTAGGACAGGGTAATCTCTTCCTTGGACTGGGCCCAGATATGGCTGTGGTCTGGACTCTTCCAGAATTCCAAGCCTGCTCAGAATCCTTCTGTCGAGGACACCGGTCTCGTTGGGCTGCAATAAAATGAAGAGGTCGTATCCTTGCTTGCCTTGTCCTGGATGATGATGGTGATGATAGACTCCTGTGTGACGCCATGACCAAGGTATGAATTTGCGTTTCTTCTCTTCAACGTAATTGATCTGGTATGAGACATCTATCGGGTTCGAGGTCAGCCTCCCACTCGAATATGGAGCCAGGGGAAACGGAAGACTCACATGTATCGGTATCGCGAGCATCGACACATATATGGCTGCTTCCCGCTTCTGAGATGTGCACGTTCCTTCCGAATGAGAGCAGGACCTGAATAAAGGCGGGATGGACGGCATAGCGCTGAAGCAGGAGGGCCATCAATGGCGGGGAGATCTTGAGTGGGTCGATGGAGCCGACGGAGTAGATGGAGCTATCCGCATCTCACCAGGCTTCATTAGCTAGTGTCCTCCAGCTGAGATAAGGCCCGGCCTGAAGATAAGGGAGCAAGCGTACATGATCCTCACATTTACCCCACCTGGAATAGCCGGTTCCGTGGTGAGGGCCGAGTGGAGGGACTGTGGTGTGGTGTGGATGGTTGATCCGCGGTGGTCTGGATTGCGCTGTGAATATGGAATATGGGTCTCAGAGACTGGAGCAGGCAGGCAGTGTACTGACCATCGTAGACATCGGTCACTCGAACCCGAGTTTCATTCTTGTTAGTGAGTACTCTGGTGGTCCGGCTGGGAAGCAGCTTCTCCAGGCTGTCGATATTGATGAAAGCCGGATCGTGGTGGGCGGGCAGCTCGTGCAGGTAAGACCGCCACAGAGAAAGAGAGTCGCTGGCGGCCGTCATCTTCGCTCCTTGCATCTCCGTTCTCCGTCCCACGAACACGCATGCACTCTCCGTTTGTTATCTTGGCCCTTTTCGGTGGGTTGACAATGCTATCTTTTATACTCTCTACTCGAACCAGGAGAGAATTCTCAATAGAAAAAATTTTGCCCTCTGCCTTCGCTCCACTGCGCCTTCGAATAACCGCCAATCGGGGTTTGCCGGGAGTTGGCAAGGCTGAGGGGGTCTCGAAGCAATCTGAAGTATGTACAGCCTTCTCCCTCCTGGGAATCAGCAGCAGGCAGGGTGGCGCTAATTGTCTCGCTAACAGAGGCCTGGCGTCCCGGACAACCCCGTCGAAGCCCATCGGTCATCCTCGCTGGCCTCAGCCGCACCCGACTAAAACTGCATGGGATCAGCGATCGCAATCATCCGACCAGCCACCTGGCCTCCGTCATTCCCCCGTCTGCTGCGCCCTCGCCCGGCTCCTCAGTTCAAGTACCATATCCCTACAAGCCACCGGGTCGGTCAGCCGGGTCTAAGCAGGCCGATGTCAGACGCTCAGTCAAAACACATACTCTAGTTCGTCCTGTTTGATGAAGTCAGCCTTTGCGTGCCTTCGGAGAGCCTAGGCAGTAGGCAGACTGTCACAGCTTACCCTATCCAGTCTTATGCTCGCCCAGACAACCCATCGTTGGCGGCGGAGCTGTGTAAGTGTGAAGACCAGACGTTAGTCAACACCAGATTATGTCAGAATCGGCCCCAGAAAAACCCACTATCGCTTCAGCGTGGACGTGATGGCCATATCGAGTCTTCACATAGTTCTCGATATCGCTGGAAATTTCAATGTAGGATGACACATCGGAGGGGAGCTCATGTTGGTACATGTTGTTGGAATAAGCCATGGCGAAAGGCCCAGTTGATCACATGAGATCAGAGAGATTCACCTTGTCCTCGAAATCTCAGTCCGAGACGTTGGTTATATACTCCGGCTCCTTGTGCACCACTGCAGGCCACCTAATCCCCTACGACTACTATCAGGAGGCTCTTGACTTCTAGAGATGCCTAGGGATTCATTATATTTACACCGGGCACAAAAAGCAATCCGATGGCCCCCGCCGTCTCTCGGCTAGTCAGACGAGGCTGCGTGCCTTATCAATGGCCAATCAGCCGGGGAGATTTCATGGGAGGCCTTGAAGGAGTTCACGCGAGTGCACAATATTACTTTGCTCCTGTCACGTTCGATCCCCGTCATGACGCCTCGTAAAAAGAGGCGCCACATGCATACCGGCCAGGCTATAGCCACGCCGACGTTTGCTACAATAACACTTTCTGCCTACTCCACTTATCTAATAGGTTAAAGGTGTGGTTATAACAGACCCCGGCGTGGCTGTAGCCCCTCTCCTCGTAAATTAACCGGCCAAACAGTAGTCCGCATTAGAGTTCTTATCCATGTGCTTATACATAGACAGCCTGAATTCTCCGCTGTCTTTCTTTATTCCACCGCCCAACTTCGTTCTGCAGAACATACGACGCTGATTGACAAGGCCATACTTACCTTTGCATAATGGCCACCCAAGTACGGACTTCGGGAAGGCTCAAGTACGTGACCAATCGAAGGTGTTAAGAACATGCTAATGCCCTTCATTTTAGGCAGGAACTCTTTGGGTTCCAGATCTTTGTATGTACGGCCTCTTCACCGACTCGATCACTGTTAATGCGACCCAGTTCATCACCATCAGTGTGGTCATAGGTAGCGGCATTTATACCAACAATGGGACGGCCCTCACCATCGCAGGCCCCATGGGTTTGATCGTTGCAGCCCTGGTCATGAGCGTGGTAATCCTCTCGGTCAATGAGTGTGTGGCCGAGTTGACCCAACAATTCCCCGTGTACAACGCGATCGTCATTTATGTCCGCAAGTTTGTCGATGATGATCTCGGCTGGGTTATTGGGGTGGCTTATTGGTAAGAGGTCCCTTCTCGGGTCAGCCCCCTGACAATAAGTCATACAGCTTACGGAAACTAGGTACGCATATGCGACAACCTTTACTAGTCAGAACTCTATGGCTGCCACTCTTTTGGAATACTGGGGTTTGGGAACAACATGGAGAGTCCTGATTTGTTACGTGTTCGTTCCTATTGTTTTGTTTCTACTCAACATGACAGGCGTCTTTGTAAGTCGTGCTGTGGACGGGACCTTTTGGGTAGGGTTCTAACTGATTGCAGTGGTACGGGCTCGTGGAAACCGTTGGTGGCTTTCTGAAGCTGATAATAATTTTGTCCATCTCAATATATCTCTATGCAATAGCGGATGACGGTGTGTTACCTCTTGAAGTACCTACCTTCTGCATCAACTCACGCGTCCAGTGGCTTCGCCCGGCTTCGAGCATGGACAAGGCTTTAGCAGCGACGGGTCAGCCCTGTGGTTAGAATATCTCCGCGCCTGGCTTGGGATTGCTGTCGCACTGCTAATATCACTTCAGTTATGCTATTCCACTCACAGCATACGCCTTCCAAGGCATTGAATTGTATGCCATGACTGCGTTTGAAGCTCGAGATGGCCATGCCCTTCGGTGGCCGTCGCGCTGGACTGCGTACATTGTGGTGGCAGTGTATACCATGTGTACGTTGGGTGAGATTATCAACGTCAACTGGCATGATGGGGCCCTACCGCAGCTCTACGATGGAGTCGGGAATAGCACGACATCTTCCACTATCTCCCATGGTACCTCTCATAGTATGGTCATTATCGCGGCTCTGAACACCAAAAACAGGCATATGGCAGGCTTTCTCAATGGTTGTTTACTATTTAGTGTTTTTTCTGCCGCTAATACTTCGCTTTATGTCGCTTCTCGAACCTTGTGGGGTATTGCGGAGTCCGTTCCCAATGACCACTGGGTCACACGCCAGTTGGCCATCCTCACCAAGGACACGCGAGTCCCAGTTGTATCATTGTTGGTTTCACTTCTGGCATTTTGCTGGGTGCCGTTTTTAAATCTCGTGCATAACTCTGCCACATCACAGGTGTGCATTCTTGTCCCGTGTTCGACATGTCCGCTGACGTCTTCAGGTAATCCAAGTCATATTCACATCGTCCAGCAACGTCATCATGATTGTTTGGGCCGCTCTATGCTTGGCATTCATCCGATACTATCATTGGTATGTCAGTTCAATTCACCGGTATGAACAGCACTCAGACCGGCATAGGTTAAAGAAATGCGAACGAGAGCTGCGACATAACAACCATCTGAAATTCATCCGCCTATCACCGGATTATACCCCTCGAGGCAGCCTGCTTATCCTTCAACCCCTCCAAGCCTGGATAGGACTGATTGGTTGTCTCGTCATCTTTGCATTTTCCAGCGCGACGTGGTGGGGTCGGCATGCGACCATTACCGAGGTTGCAATGGCATATGGAACAGTAAGCTTCTAGACTCCTTATCCCTGATACACCTCCTGACTGTCAACAGCACATTGTCCTTTTCGTCATGTTTGTGATTCTGAAACTCAGATCGCGAAAGAAATGGGTCCCACTGACCAATAATTGGATAACATTGTGGAAGATATTGGATGGACTCTGGGTGCGCAAAATCGACCATTGGGAGCAGTCCACTTTTCATCGACTTCAAAGGGTAGTAGAAGCAATCTTGCCTGAGGCTTGGCAGACTCAGAACATGCAAAGCGATTTCCAGATGACTGGCCGCGTCCCTAACCATAGCGACACTCCCATGCCTGCAGAGACAAGCAGTGATGAGTCGCGGACAGCTTCCACTGGCCCACTTGATTGATTGTTCTGAGCTTCATGATCGAAGTGTTCCTAATCACTGCGGATAGATATAATATTGTATGTTAGTTTAACTTGGCACAATATAATGACGAGAACGAGAGATGAAAATAATGCATTTCCGCGCACGGCCAGCCTCTTTTTCCCAGTTACCTTGTCTAAGAGGTTGCTTGACTTGGGAGGCGCTACAGCCACACCGGCCAGGCTATAACCACGTTTTGCATTTACTCTATCTGTGTAATGATGAATCCAATTACAATGGAGTACATAGGAGTTACGAGTCATTCTATCCAGTATTCTCTACTGCAATATCATGACACACTTCCCTCTTAAAGTCTCTAACGTAGAAGACTTTACATGGGACCTCATACAGCATCTCATGTGGGGTCTCATTTAGGGCTTCATTCAAAACCGTCAAAATAACAGAGTAGCCTAAGGCATGCGCACGGGTCGAAGATATAAATACAATGCCTCAGGCATATATAAAGTCCTGAGTATTCAGAGTTTCTGTTAGTTATAAAAGAAAAAAAAACCAGTATTACTTGATAAAGCAGAAGGAAAGTGTAGTTGTAGTACCTACCTTATATCAATTGAGAAGCTCCTATGACTGACTACAGGGAGTATATTGATAGTAGTGAAAGGCGCAGACGGTTCAAGTAGTCATTCTTCATTAGTGTAATGATGGGGCGTATATTGCCCTAAGGAACTAAGCAGCTAGATCTATTCGTTGCTTCTGTTGTTGCGGATGCAGGTGGAGGAAGGAACTAGGTGGTTGGTACCGTTTCATGTACAAGGGAGTATATTGCTATCTGATTAAGGTACTGCTCGTTGAGTCACAGTTAGGGCTTTGTAAGTCCTGATTGTCATGTTTGATGGATGGTTTTATGTGAAGGAAGTTCATAGAGGTTGTAAGCTGAGTATCCGTATCTATAAGGTTCCAATGAGTCGATATAGTAGTCGATGTTACTGATGGTGTTGTATACGTTATCTCATAGTGGATTAGGGAAAGAGCCAGAGGAGCTCACCTTGTCTCGCGCCTTCCCAGGCCCAGGGAGAAGAGAGGGTATGTAGAGAGCTCAAGATCCTGCAGTTTAACAGTCCATTCATCCTTCATCTATCATCAATCAGCAAAGTCAAGCATTTGCGTTCACTCTTTCATAACCACATCTATCACTTAATCGGTATCAATTACTATCTTTCTTCGCGATGTCCGATTCCCAAGAAATCTTTGAGCGCTGGGAGCGACGCCTAAAATATTACCTCGAGGAGAACACCAACCCAGATAACGGACCAATCCGTGCTGGGTTTGCGAGTGGGACCATCCACGTCGAGACCAGCTATAATGAAGTGGCTGGCGAAATACGCCCAGTGCGGCATGACAGACTCACCTTGTCACGCGTCTGGGACGGAATTGACCGCCCAATCTATATTCTCATCACTGGGGCTCCGGAAGACGATCTTCAGGACCTCATTTTCACGTACCTTCGTGACATACAAGAGGGTTTTCTACCCAACAACACCTTCGTGCAGGGCGCCCAGTTGACGGGTAGGAATGTGATATGTTGGAGACATAGCCTTACAGGCGCTCGTCGCCCTCACGCTTCCATTATTCCTGGCCGTGAAGATGTCGACAGACGTAGGTTCCATCAAGATGACGAGGAAATCCATGCCATCTTGAACGACTATCGAGAGGAACTTGGATTCGGTCGAGTTGAACCACCTTGCCCTGACCGGATGCGTCCGGATGATGTGTATGTTGAGGAGAGCCCTTATCGCGGGCACATGAGAGACGCACCGTCAACCTCTGATAGCTCTGGGAGTATTATTGTTGGAATCGAAGACAATGGCGCCAACGATGTCGCCAACGATGTCACCAACGATGTACATGCTGCTCCACAGGACACCTCTCTCCCTGACACAACATCCGATGATGAAAACGTCACCCCACAGGACGCTTCTTCCCCTGACTCGGTTTATCATGAAGGCTTCCCGAGAACAGGCCCCGGGAATGGGTTGCTCAATGGCAACCCCTAAGTTGTGCGTCAAGGCCAGTTTCATGGTACTGAGGTGGCATAGATAGTCTGTCGGATTGATCTTTGTTTCTTGTTTTCCTATCACTATGGGGGGAGCTCTGGAGCTATGCGATTCAGGTTGATTGGAGGTTGCTTTTTAGGTTTTATGGGAGTTGTCAGTCCTTACTTTGTTTTGGTCGCAATGGCACTAGTTTTCTTGATATACTCACTCTACTCAATATGGTTCAGCAGTGTTGTGTTTGAATAGTTTCGTAGGACCGACGTATGCTAGTATCGAATTCACCTCACGGACTCGGAGCAAAAGTTGCAGACCTTGCGAAAAGCTTGTATCTATCTAGGTAAGTCGTCAATCTGGAATTAGAGCTTGTCTCGATGGCAGATCACTCTTGATTGATGGTTTGACGGAAAAAGTGTACCTAAGATGAATTTGATCAACCTGGTACCTGGTATTTTTCTGTGAAGATTAAGTGTATAACAGCGAGGAACGCGAAGGATATAAATCTGTTGGTATAAAAGAGGCAATAACTGATCGTGATTGATACTGAATACAATGAGCTTACTTTAAATCCTGCAAGGTGGACGATCTTATGCAAAAAGGCCGTTTGTATAGCTGAATTGCTGACCCGGAGGTAGAAGAGGCTAGACTCTATAATATCAAACTGCGAGTATTATAAATACTCCTTTAATGAACGGGCCCAGGTGGTCGAAAACGAAGTCTGCTAGCGATTATAGGAGTCCAGCCCGTAACGTCACTAAGAACGAACCCATTTGCTGAATTCAAGTCATCATCCAGGAAGCTAAACCACCAGAACTTCCTGACCCCTGCGATCATGTATGGTATACATCCGTGACGGTGATCCGGGGAGATCATGACATAATTATTCCGAGGGAGCAGTCCGCTGGGTGAACGACCGGTTATATCTTGGTTCCAGGCAACTCTCTCGTCCCAGGCTTTTCTTGAATATGAGTGGATTTTGATTGTCTCCATGGTAATGCGCGCTAGGCGGCTAGAGTCCCACGGTCCGTCCTGATATGGCCATGAACGGACTGCATGGATGGCGCGCCAACGAAGGGTTGGGTCCTGGCAATTGAGAGCGACGTGGCATAGGGGAGGAATCACGCCGATATCGATGGTGAGGCTGGTATGGTCGATGGCTTTGCGCATTATAAGCTCTGCGATTGAGATGATTTCTTCGTATTGCTGGTTGTAGTTGTCAAGCGAAGGATCATCCAAGGGTAGGAGACATGTGTCAAGGGTTAAAAACAGAGTGCGTTGTCTTAGAAGCATGAGATCCGCTCCTATTAGCTGGAATGGATTGAGCATTGCGTATGAGCTCTCGCGGAAGGAGTCGAATAACCGGGAAAAGTCAGTCAATTGGGACATGAGCTGCTTCTGCTTGGGCAGCAGTGGGCTAGTGTCCGTGGCTGACCGGGTTACAAACCGCATGATAGCACTCAAGAGGGGCTCGAGGGTCTGCCGTACCTCTCCGAGATTTCTGAATGCTGTTTTGTTGGCTAAATATCCCTCTAGCCAATCATCCAGGTCTAGGATTGGCTCGCCGGTTCTGAAATACGCCACCTGGTTGTCCATGTGCGCGAAAGCGGCCACCAGGCATTGCTCTACCGGTGACTTATCAAAAGCACCTGGAACAAGCTGTTTATGGGCCTTCAGCTTCTTGATAATATCCAGACCATTTCGGAGATGTGTGAAGGAAACTTCATATTGCCCTTGTAGTAATTCCAGTGTAACAAAAAGCAGGCAGCAGATCAGAGTAACCGTTGGCAATTGAGGGTCTTGAGAGGTGCTGCGACGTCTCAGTAGTGAAAAGGACCGTCCCAACTGTTCCAGTGCAAATTTATTCCAGCTTCCTTTGGCTGCTGATGGTTTACTGTTGGGCGATTCTCGCTGGACGGCGCTGAGGCCGATGACCGCATGATAAACCGCCGGTTCTGCATAACTCATTTGGAACACCAGATTTTCCCATAATGGAGAGCTGAAGGAGCCAATAAGAGCAGGCACCACGCTGAATCGATAGTAGGAATAGCAGCGCTGCTCGTCCGAAGTCATGGTCCAATAAAATCCGTTGACAATGCCCGGCATCACATCCCAGGTGGCCTTGGGGGCAACCTTTTTGGTTGGCGGTAACCGGTGCATGTCATATCCCTCACAGATTCGGCCAGTGGAGATACAATTCTTACATGCGTCCGGGGTCTCATCACATTTAATGCGGCGGATGCTGGGCACGAAAGTCGGTTAGTTGATTGTATGGGTCAAGCACCGAACGACAATCATACCGACAGGTCCGACATCCTGTCCTGGATCTTTTTGAGTAGGCTCTGTTTTTCTTGGGCTTTAGTTCGGACTTTGGGGTTAAAGCCACTGAAGTCATTGTTCACGGACAAGGGGAATTTGCTGCGATAGAAACAATGGAAGGAAGAGTCAACTAGGATGACCCCGGTTTCAGTGGCTGCTGCGGCTCAATCCCCGTGACGAAGACCAGCAGGGGTCTCTGCTCTCTAGGACCAATCATGGAGAAATACCGCCAGCGTTTGACCTAGTAATTTGCGAGGCGTTAGTGCTAAGCAGCACTAAGTTCGGATCCCAGCCAGGTAATGCTCGGCCGCGTTCTGGCTGACACTATGAAAATCGACGGACGGTCTTCGGTCGAGTTCCGCATTTCTGTTAGTCATTAGTGAGGCCTGTCATATTGCAAATGGATTCTTAGCCCATACCCTGGTGGTAGTGGCTATATCGTGTTGGGCAATGCAATGTGGATGGATGATCACTCCTTGTCGGAGATATGTTTATCCGCCAATCTTTACTTATGCCTAAGGCATCAATTGACAGCCGTGTGCGGGCATCGAGAAAGGGATACTAGCGTACAAATATGACATGCTAGGTATATGCCCATATAGAGATTGATCCTCTGAGCGAAGGCTCTATCTTGAGTACTATTAGTAGACTAGTAGCACCGGATCGCGGAGTATTATTCCGGGGAATTATGAGGCCGAGCTTCTATGTATAGTAGTAGCCACAGGTACTATTCTCATGTACCCCATAGGCTATGCATATTTTCACAGGCAGACACTGACAGGCTCCATATCTCTAGAGAGATTGTATACTAACCTAATCCATGGAACCAGATAGTCACCAGACCTATCATTTGCCGAGGAGTAAATAATTTTGGTACAACATGGAGTACTCGGTGGACAAATTTCCGTATTTCAGCATTCAATACTCGCGATACTTCCTTCCATCTCCTGCATTAATCCATAGCGTCAGGATCACAAATTGTGATAGATATATTACGACATCGAGGAATGGGTGTCTACAAAAAGCGGGAGATCTGCATCCTGGAGTGAGAAATCCTGTCCTGCTGAAACGAAGGAAAGGTTCGGGCTTGGCGCGGTTTCTGGATCCCGAACCGACAGAAAGTTGTGGAGACTGTATAGACCTCAAAAGCTTGAAGGGCGTTTAGACCTCAGGGACATAATGTGGAGCTACGCAGCAATCCGCGTCATCATCTAAGATCGGTGGTCGAGTCTACACTAAGTGGAGCCTCAAGCCGGTATCGCAATGGATCGGAGGGACCCTATTTGTGCTCCATATATTAAATATCGGTACTCGACTTCTCATGAAATGGACATCATGCTTCATCATTGTAATCTATAATTCATCATAAAGCAAAACAAAAAGATAAAGTGGTATAACGCATCAAAACGCACCAACTACCGATATGAATTCGTTGAAATGGCACTTTTCTTTAGCTTCGTCTATACACTGATCGTCTTGAACACGCTGTCAAATAGTTAGCATTGCGAGATTCTCAAGCTGAGAAGGATTGACTTACCCAAATCCAGCGCCACCAGTAGCCATGATCGTACCGGGCATCTGGGCCTGCCAGTGGATCTCCTTGACGGACTCCATGTAGTGCACGAACAACAGCTGCGGTGGGACTTCTTGCATTCCCGCCTCACGGTTCTCTTCCTCGTCCAGTTCCACAGCCAGATCCCAAAGAGTGACCGTGTTGTCGGCGGAGCCGACCGCGACGACACTGTCGTCCGTCGGGTGCCATTCGATACTCGTGACGGGCTCGCGGTGGAAGTCGAACGATGCAACGGGAGAAGCCGTGATCTGGGACGATGGCGCCGCAGCATTTGGCTTCCAGTGTCTCAGATCCCAGACGGCCCACTGTCCGTCATCCGCGCCTGTCGCGAGAAGGTGGAAAGTCTGGTTGGACCAGCTCATGACGTTGACGTCGGTGTTCGACACCTTGACGTCAACAGCAGGCTTGCGCGACTTGGACCGAACGTCCCACACCTTCACACTGCCATCACTGCTGGCAGATGCGAACACGTTCTTCTCGTTGGGCGACCATTGGAGCTCCTCAATGGACGACATGTGCCCAGTAAACGGACGAGTATCCGTCACCCAGCCACCTCCTTCAGTGCGCGTCGTCACGTAGATCAATCCGTCGTTGTCACCGGTCAAAAGCTTGCCGAGGGGCTGCAGCGGAGACCAGTCGAGGGCGTATCCCTCCGACTTGTGCATGCGGAGAGTAGACAGGGGCTTGGAGGCAGAAGGAGGGAGGATAGTGCCGGGAACATCGAAGCTGGTGAGGTGGGGAGTGACATCGTGGATCACGACCTGGGAGTTCTCCAGCATGGTCGCGGTAAGAGTCTGTGGGGGCTTGGAGTAATCGCCGGACTGGTTGGGGGTTTGGTGAGCACGAATGCGGTTGGTTGTCGAACCGAGAGGGATGCTCTTGTGCTCGAGGATGGCCTCGCTTTCGTCGTCCGAATCGGAGTCGCTCTCCGAGTCGGTTTCATTTTCCTTGTCCATCTTGCTCATGCCGCTCATCTTCAGAACCATCAGCTCGTTCTCCTTTGACCGTCTGCCCTCGGCTTGCGTGCCCGTCACGGCGTAGACGGTGGCGGGGTATGTTTTGCGGTTGTCGCCCAAGGAATCGCGCACGATATCGAACGATAGACAAGGCCAGGGGGTGCTGAGAGTGTGTAGCATGTCGTAGGTAGACGGGTCAGGAGAGAGGACCTCTCCGGGGGCCAGCTTTGTCCTGCCGGGGATGAAGGTCTGCTTGTCGACTTCCATTGCATCTGGATGATAGTCGGAGTCAGTCATGGCGTCGCATTGAGTGATGGGAGCATGCGACTAGCACAGCTCGAATATTTCAATGTCAGATAAGTACCTCTCTCCTCTTCCTCGCGCTCAGCATCCGGACGACCGTCCACACCCGCCTCGAGGATCTCATCCTCGCTCTCAAACTCGTCCTCGAATTCGTCCTCGAATTCCCCCACCTCGTCGGGAGGGGCATCGACAACGGGACGCCCGCCAGCCTTGAGGGCGGCGTTCTGCTCGTCGGACACGTCCGCGGATCTTTTCGACATGGCGAGACGGACGGGGGGAGTATGGGGGAGGAAAAGGCGGGCAACAGCAGCAGCAAATGCAGCACTAAAGTGAATAATGCCTCCAACAAAGTCGGGGAACTTTTTTTTTTCGGGCGATCGGTATTAAAATTCGGGCAGGCGAAATTCACGGGACAAGGGCGCTAAGCCTATCGGGGGCTAGGCGCGATCGGAGACTGGCGCCCGCTTTTGCTGGCTTTGGAGAGCTGCGGCTGGGTTTGCTCTGCTCCTCTTCGTCCCAAGGGGCTGTCCTCTCTGTCTGTCTGTCTGTCTGTCCGTCCGTCCTGTCCGTCCTCAGCTGGCTTGTCCTTCTTTCCGTCTTGCTGCTAGCTGGGTTTCCCGTGTGGTGCTGCTGTTCCTCGCCGTGGTTGGCACTGCTCTCGTTTCACTCCCTGGCCTTTGCTTGGATCCCGCTCCTGGTTGTGTTCTTATCTCCGCCATTCCAACGGCTGCGTGCCTCGACTAGTGCACCTGTCACATTGTTTCGTTTCGTTTCTGCAAAGAAAGGTGCATACCAATACAATCCCACCCCCCCTCCTCTCTCCCGTGCCCGATCGGCTCCCTAGCTGTCATGGCGCGTATATCATCACAGCCAACTGACAAATCAGTCCCCTAGATAGACCACTCCCTCCTGCCTTGTCGTCCGATTCCGATCCGTTGGATGGGTTCCGGGAAACCGGTGCTGTGATCCCAAATCCTCAAAATCGGTTGGTCTCAGCATCCATCCCCCGCTCCACCGACATCGACCGTGTTTACGCTGGACACTAATCCACGCCGCCCAGATATACGCCATCACCACAACCCCGTCTTTCCAAAACATGGATGCGTCGCAGCTACCCGTAGCCGGCGCTTCGGAGGTCGCAGATCAGGCGCATCTGGAGCAACAACCCCAGAGCCTCGATGCACCTGCTCCCGCAAGCCTTGGACTGGCGGGACCAGACGAGTTCACTACCACCAATGGCTACAGCAGCGACTCGCGCGCCCACTACTCCTCTCATGAATTCAACTCCCCCGCCCGCGACTACCACAATGAAAACGAGCAACCTCGACAGAACATCTCCCCGGTGACCCATCACTCACAGCCGCTACTGTCATCCCGACCTAGCTCCGAAATGTCCAATGGTTTGTCTCAACCCAACCATGATGTGAACCAAAAGCAGCCATCGCAGCCGGCCAAGAACAGTGTGGTGATCAAGGTTGGGATGGTTGGGGATGCTCAAATCGGAAAGACCAGTCTCATGGTCAAGTATGTGGAGGGCAGCTGGGATGAGGATTACATTCAGACTCTGGGTATGCGGCGGGATCCTGGCGCGAAAGAAAATAAGCCAATACTGACACGGGATATCAAGGTGTAAACTTCATGGAGAAGACCATCTCCATCCGGAACACGGAGATCACGTTCTCGATTTGGGATCTCGGTGGCCAACGCGAATTCGTGAATATGCTTCCCCTCGTGTGCAATGACGCCGTCGCAATTCTGTTCATGTTCGACCTCACGCGCAAAAGCACACTGAACTCGATCAAGGAGTGGTACCGCCAAGGTCGCGGGTTCAACAAGACGGCCATCCCTTTCCTGATCGGCACCAAGTACGACCATTTCGTCAACTTCCCCCGCGAAGACCAGGAGGAGATCTCGATTCAGGTCAGTGGAGGCACATGTGATATGTCCTAGCGCGCACTGACCACGTACAGGCCAAACGGTTTGCCAAGGCCATGAAAGCCAGTTTGATTTTCAGCAGTACCAGCCACAGCATTAACGTGCAGAAGGTAGGTCCGACCTCGTGTCTTTTTTGGGCCGGCGCTGACCGCATTCAGATCTTCAAGATCGTCCTAGCCAAGGCATTCGACCTTAAATGCACCATTCCCGAGATCGAGAACGTTGGCGAACCCCTGCTGTTGTATAAGAACGTCTAAGTCACGACAAAACGAGTGGGATGAACGATTATGTGTTTGGGACGACGTGATGTTGATGATCGAACTTTCCCTACGTTGGGCTGTAGGATACGGTGATCAGGTGCCGAGTCCTGGGGATCAGAAGCGACTGGTCTGTTGGTGTCTTCGCTACTTTCTGTCTATTTCTGTCTGTGTCTTTTCCTCATAAGCATTGGGATGCGCTAGGATTTCCTTCGTGTTGATCACTTCTCTTTGTTCTTTCATTTCCTTTCGCTTTCATTGTGTTAAATTCCCCACATTGTTCCTTTTCTCTTCTTTGAGCCCATCGCTGTCTCGTAGTGGACGGGCGATGGAGCAGGAGTGCTCGGTTTCATACAGCATTGGCCTCATATATTTTCTTGATTGTGTCATTGTCATTGCACTCTGTGGATATTTTCCTATGTTCGATAGTTTAATTGATCGAGGTCTGTTGCCTATGGCAAATACATATGGAGGTTTCCTTTTCCACAAACAATACTCATGTTATCATAAGATATCAAGCCATGCGGCAGCGGCTATCAATTTGTCCTTAATAATGCTTCAACAGCTCTTGCCAATATCTAGGGTCATTATCCGTTCTCCCTATCTGGGTTCACATCTGTTCATTGAACGATTTATGAGCTTTTCTTTTCATGTTCATTCGAGTAAGAATAGATGAATCCGATCTTCAACTGCATCTAAACGATACTGTGTCTATCCAACATCAGTATCCTGGTCATTATACTCGACATGCGCGGGTTTGTCGGAGTGGAGAGCCCATGGGCTTAATTGGAGTTGTTGCGATGTTGTTAGGGGAGAGGTAGGGAACGTTGTATTGTGCATTGTCTTTAACTTGTTATTTACAAGTATGAATAATGACGCTCTGTAGGGATTATAGCATTGGCTAACATAACTCAAAATAGACTACTCTGTATGTATCCTAGTAGGAAATCACCAAAGCCCCTCAACAAAATACTCCGCCAGATCCCCCATACCATTCTTCTCAATATCGACCTGGCCATTGCCCAAAAACCGAAATCGATTGCCTGAGATATACTCGATATTGAAGTGCTCGTCGCCCATGTTCTCGAGACATTTTTGAAATGGCTAGTGGTCCCGGGATAAGGCGCTGTGATTTGGCCTGAAGACTTCCCGTTTCTGTACCAGCTGCGGCAGGGATCTGACTAGGCTGTGCGTTTGAGGTATTCTTGTGTCCAGACGTTGTAGTCATTTAGTGTGGATGTCTTGACGTCGATGGATCTAGATGCGTGATTTGACCGTCGTGTGAGGTTAATGGGTGGAGAGGGGGGGGTTACTTGATATCCTCGGTTGCTATTTTCCGAGTCCATCTCAGGATGTAGTCGCATGTGAACGAGATTCCAGCTAGAAGTAAGCCATGACCAACTAGGAAGTTTGGTCCTGTGATCATGAAATAGTTGGGTAGGCCGTCGACGTGCACGGAGGAGAATGCTTCGGGGTTGTGTTTCCATTTCTCGATTAGCATGGTGTTGTGTTGTTGCGTCCTACTAGCTTCCATTCGGGTATGTATGTTGTCTCGAAGCAGGTGGCGCAGACAATAAGATCGAACGAATCCTCTTTTCCATCGGTAGTTTTTTTTCCTGTTTCTGTGATTCGACCAATTGGTTCCCAGCAAATTTGAGTGTTTGGGCTTGTAAAGGCTTCGAGATAGCCATGGCCGGGCGTAAGACGTCGACAACCTGGATGGAGTCTGGTATCATTTTGGCGGCTATGGATGGGTCTGGAATGTTCGTCATCGCTTTTTGCATTCTTTTAATGGACATACCAGAGGTGGGCCTTACCCTAGGGGCCCTGTTGCGCTGACAAAAATATCGGCTTCATCGTCCTTGATTTTGCCAACCTAAACTAATTTGACTTTTCATTTACCAGTGGTCTCATTCCAAAGCGACTCCACCACATGAGACTTGAACTCGATATGGTCATCGAGGCGCCATTTCCGTGCTGTATTCTTGATATAGTCTTGGATCTCTGAGCCTGGGGCATAGAAATGGGACCAGTTCGGATTCGGTTCAAAAAGAAAGGTGTGAGCGTCTGCATGGGTCAGCTATTACTCGCGACTTAGATCAGGATAAACCGTACGTGCGGGGACATCACTAATGTTCAGACAGTCTGTTAGCCACAGTCCTGCTCTAGTATGTGAATACACACCAAGCGACACCCGGGCATATATTTTGAAGCCACGTCCCTCCGACGTCGTGGTTCTTTTCATAAATCACAAAGTGTATAATATCCCCAAGTCTCATCTCATGCTTGATCTTGTGAGCCAAAGTCAAACCCGAGAATCCGGCTCCAGCACAGATCAGTATGATCCTCCTCGGATAATAGACATGCTGCTCCTTTATAGGCACCCAGTTCTTTGTGACCTGGCCCTGGGCGACCCGATCAGCCGGAGATGTGTGCTGCGGTCTATCAGAGAGAGACCCCATCGTTGTGATGTGCATGCTGCAACGAAGCAAACAACGGGACTCATCACTTTATAGACGCTGCTATGTCCGGTGATCAATAGAGAATGGTTGGTTACCGCCTGTCAGACTGATGTTATAATACGAGATGCATTGATAGCCTCGCACTCGCCTATTGGGGAATCCGGACTCCTCCGTATGTCCAGGCCCAGTTGTCCATAATCCAGGATGTTACACGGAAAGGATCTGACAATATCACTTGTCCAGGGATTCCAGGAGTGGTCAGGCAAGCTGAGGGATCGGCACGGTGCATTGGAACGGAAAGGCATGCAGCTGATACTCCGTAGTGCTGAGTGAGGTTGATGACTGAAGCCAGGACGCCGAATTACCACTTGGGTTTCATCGTCTTCAGAATGGCACGAGGTCCACCCAACGTGCAAGACCCCACGACCAGTTGAGTAATCAGAAATTGCTGAGAGGCCATCCTGACACCTGTGCATAGCAAGTCTCGCTGCTTGGTATCAGTGACATGGTGAGCTATAGCTTCCACTCTAGGCCATCACTCTGCATGCGCTAATGAACCTTGCTTCCTGCATAAGCAAAACTTATATAGCCATCGCTGATCCCATGCACAATCTTGTTGTCAGGAACGGTTTCGTATATTCGATTGGTCTTTGATCGCTCGCGGGAGATGCTACATGGCCACCTGTGTTAGCTAGTGCATTCATACGCCATTTTCGCAGAGAATAACGCTAGGCTTCATTCAACACTCACCTGACCTCCTTCTCACGCCATTCTCTTTCCCCGAACCCTCGGTCTGCAAACTATAGCAGTTGGTATGCCTGAATGCAAGTGAGTACTTTCTGGGGTCATCCTGTCTTCACCTAAAAGAAGACTCATTGATGTCAGCCATGGCGCAGGAGGTTTTGTCAGAACTCTGCATTAAGTAGCGCGGCTGATACACGATGTGCAACCAGTGCCTTGGTGAATGTGACACTGTCTACCGCAGCAAAAAAGATCCACGAACACTGATTCGACGTGACTGTTGACTGTTCCACCAGAGTCAGTCAGAGGGACATCTGAGTATCTCTAGGATGAAGGTATTAGACCAGAGAAAGGAGGAGAAGGTGTCAGTGAGTCCTGCTAGCCAGATATGCGCTAGACCACATCCAGAACAAGGAGCCGGTATCTTGAGTGACATTGAAGGCAACATGAGAAACAACTGACAGACAATAGTCGGCCATTTCCCATTTGACATTTCTGAAAGTTGCCAGGTGGCTGAGCTGTACAGATACATAAACGCGGGTCGAGCACAAACCTCCCCTGGACCTAGCTTGTCGAGTTTGCAGTTCGAGCAACACATTCTACTCTATACCTGACTGCACCGGAACATGTCTGCCCTAAGGGGGTCGAGGGGGCGGCTCCCCGCACTTGGGGTTGATTTCCTCTGCACAAACCTTTAGAGATCACGAGGTAAGATTTCCGTCCATTTCTCTCTACTACTTCCGTAAACCTCGAGATCCCATTGAATTGCACCCCGTACGGAGCTGTGGTTTATAGATCACTATATCTCAACTTAACGCATCTGATAATGTCATCTAACGATAACCAGACCCAATTGGCAATTAAACGGGAACCCTCTCAGTCTCCATCAGCGCTGAGGGACAATCTTTACGGACATCCTTTGACAGAGAAAGCAGTCAGGGAATTGAACACCGGAAATAGATTTCTGCTGCAAAGCCGAATGTCGATCGTTTCTACCCTGTGCAGTCAATGCCCAGCTAATAGATACTCAGTCCCATTTCGCATCCATCATTTGAATTCGCACCTGGATTCCTTCGCACGTGTTCAACACGTAATTTGAGAGACATCCAACGGTTCTCTCGACATGGAGGCCCTGATGTCTCCGATTTACGCCATGTATGCTTCCTCTCCTTTTCCCACTTTCGTACTAATATATCCCCAGTATCCACTTATAGGTTCCGATGCTTATTCAAGCATCGAACCCGAACACCAAATCGACGAGCAAAGGCCTCCCCCAAAGCGAAAACGCAAAGAATCCATCGTACAACGCCGAAAGTCAATGTCACCCCTATTGAATTTTTCAATATTCCGGTGGGATTATTTTCCGGACGAGAGACCCTCGAAAGTCTCTCGTCCTAATAACCTGAATCGACAACCGGAACATTGGCATTGAGTTTCTTAATGTGTTTGTCATCTCAGCTTACTTGAGATTTACCCGTTATATAGTCGCTTTATATATCCCATGACCCAACGCCTTTAAAGCTCTAGATGGAGGCTATACATGAACATGCGCTCGCGATCACACCCACCTGCGCAGGAGCAGGCGCAGGCTGCAGATGTTAGACAATGTAATTTGCCCGATGCTCCTTGTACATATGATCGGGACTTGTATATAGCTAGTAGTTTATGTAGAATAGAAATGGACTTGTTTGGATTGAGGTCATTTCCAAAGATCAGGGTTCATCGGGCGGGAAGTGGAACCGGATTTCGTAGTTGACCTTATCGGCTGCGTACAGGGGGTGGCAATCCAACAGCAAGAGCAATTCAATGACATTCTCACACAAATAATCTACCTGGTTTATAACTTGGCAGCTGTCCGAATATTCGCTCTTGTACTCTGGGCTATAATTATCTCCGAACACAGCCCAGTTATGCTACAGCGCTACCCAACCTAACAAGGAGTACGGTAACCGACCCCGGACATCCAATCTATATCCGAACCCACTAAGGAATTAGAGTCTCCAGTTCCACTGGCACTAACCAATCGATCCGGCATACCATGATATCTCCGCCCGGACATACATTTTAGCCCGGATACACTACTAGCAAAACATAGTATAAAGATGCCTCCCATCAACTTCAACACCACCCATCCACTCAAGCCAATTCAATCGAGTTCAATCCCAAACTCCTCATATCAAGTTGATTCAATCCAATCTACACACCACAGCACCCATAATTAAATCAAGATGTCCCCCAAACTCCTCACCATCATCCCCGCCACCAGCCAACAAGGCCACTCGATCCTCACCACAATCCACACCCACCCCACCCTCTCAAAAGAATACACCCTCCGAGGCATAACCCGCACCGTGACCTCTCCCACCGCCCTCTCCCTCAAAAACCAAGGCATCGAAGTCGTCTCCGCGGACCTCAACATCCCCGAGACCCTTTCCCCCGCAATTGCCTCCTCCCACACTGTCATCCTCATAACCAATACAACCTACGCCTCTCCAGACTTTAAATCCCTGGAACTCGCCCACACGAAATCCGTCGCCAAGGCTTGTCTTGAAGCCGGCGTCCAGCATATCATTTTCAGCAGCGCGGTTCCAGGAAAGGCTAATTGGGAGGGACGGCCCGTGGATGTGTTTGACTCGAAGGCCACGGCGGAGGAGTATCTTCGGGGATTGCCGATGAAGGTTTCGGTGTTTTGGCCGGGGATGTTTATGCAGAATTTTGAGGGGTTTATGAAGCCGACGCTTTCTCAAGCTGGGGAGTGGGTGGTCAATTGTGTTGTGGATGGGGAGAAGAAGTTACCCATGGTGGATGCGGCGGGGGATATGGGAGCGTTTGTGGTGCCGTTGTTGATGGGCGAGGAGAGGACGTATGCGGCGAGTGGGGTGTGGTCGTTTAATGAGATGGTGGAGGTTATTAGGCGGGTGTCGGGGAGGAAGGTGAGGTATGAGAGGATGGATGAGGAGGTGTATGCGGGATTTATGCCGGGACAGATGGGGCCCAAGGTGGTGGAGATGTTGAGGTTTTATGATGAAGTTGGGTATTATGGCGGGGATGAGGAGGGGAAGGTTCGGGAGACGTTGGAGGTGGTGGAGAGGAAAGTGAGTAGTTTTGAAGAGTTTGCGGAGAGGCGGTTGAGGGAGTGGCAGTAGGGGGCAAGCATTCGTGTCGTGCCTTGTCTGAATGGTGCTGCTTGGAATAATGGGACAGATGAGATGATCTTGTTACACCATCAGGGTGGGATGGTTGTTTCTTTGAAATTGTTTCGTTCTTAGTTACTGTATTTGTTTTGACTGCTTTACCGAAGAAGCTAGAAGTTCGTTATAGATAAAAACCCAGTCTTCTATCATATTCAATCGCAGGATAATATCATTTTATTGTTTCCTGCTTGCTTTCCTACTTTTCAGAGTATACATCTTGGTTCTCCAGCAGCTCTCATGTGGGTCTTTAATACTACGTAGTACAAAAATGGAGTCCCCACAATATGCGGAGTCAGTCAAACACTATAGCAATAAATTACTGAGCAATGACACCGACGAGTTGGAGGCAGAATAAGAAAGCCGTGAATGATAGTACATACGAAAATCCGCCAAATAACCTCTCTACCTTCTCATCTCATCCAGCAGTCACCAAAATCGAAGCAATGCCTGATACTATCCAAGTCAGTCCATCTGATATCCAGGTCCTTCAGACCCTTCGAAGATCCGAACACTCCACAGTCTTAAAGGTAGCTGTCCGTGGTGAAACAAGGCTTATGAAAATCGTAAGTATCCCAACTCTCGTCCCGATATTTACTAAATCCCACGAGTATCGCGATAGACTCCCATCCGAGCACGATTCTCCAGACCGCGAAATCAACCCGTTCACTTGCGAATCTTCAGCCTATCACCGACTAAAAGAGAAGGGACTATGCACAACAGGTGTCATTCCTTACTTTTATGGGATAATCACAAACATCCAGCCCGACCTCTGGCCAGAACTCTATATACGTTCTGACGACGGGAGACCTCTGAATGCAGTTGTCTTGGAGTATATTGACAACATGCACCAAATGGATCTATCTACATTCTCGGAAAGCCGTCTAACCCAGCTAGAACGTATCCTACACGAGATACACGAAGCAGGTGTGCTTCATGGGGATCCCGACCCTAGAAACATGATGGTGTGTGCTGGCCGTAATGGTAGACAAGACAGGGTGCTTTGGATTGATTTCGACTTGGCCCAGCTCCCCCCGGGGGGTTATCTTTCGCTGAGACAACAGATGTGGCTGCAAGAGGAGAACGATCTGATGGATTATTTTGTTAAATCGTTGGTATGTTCATTTTTTTCTGATCGGTGTGTGGTGGTATTCATAAACTAATTGTTCTACAGCCTGAGGATTACCGTGAGGGAAGGCTTAATCGGACCTGGAATTATTATTATACAAGGACGTGATAGAATTGATTGGATATTGCAATCATGAATGCTTCTAATGTTGCAATACTATCCGGGACTATTATTTAGTGAAAAACTGGAAGAATTTGCAGGTAGATCATGCATAACGCACAACACACAACTCCAGCTAGATCAAGCTTCTTATGGAAGGTAAGGAGAGGGCAGTTTGAAGCTTGAATACAGAGAGCCTAGGTAAGGATGGTGCTTGTTTCTGAGTAGGGTCATTTCAACTAATGTCTATGCTTCTAAACATGCATATCATAGCTATAATCTGGCAATGGCAGGTATGGGGACAAGAAGGGTAGTGAGTTTGGTGCCGTATTCTCCGCTCGGTAGGTAAGTACGCAGATGCTGAAGTCAAGCAGATGGTAAAAATTAAAAAGATCAAGCAGTATCAGCACCATCAGCACCATCAGCACCACCAGCATCATCAGTACCCTCAGCACCCTCAGGAAGCGCTGACTTAAACTCCTCAAACTTCCTCTCAGTCCAGTCGTACACATGATTGTATTTGTATTTCTTATCTCGAAATTTCAAGCGGAATAGGTTCTGGAGCCAAGTGTAGTCTGGCCGCTGGTTATACCGCAGCTTCCGAATGTACTCGAAATACTTCTTGAAGACATCCGAATCATCCGGTTTAATTGGATCATCCGAATTTTCCGAATTTTCCGAATTCTCCGAACCATCCGATTCAATCTTACACAAGTCATCCAATGGTATTTGTTCTTTCATCTGCCCTATGAGCTCCTCCTTCGATTGACTCCCAGTGGATTCAATGTCTTCCCAAGGCAACCGCTTGTTGAGGAACTCCATCATAATGTACCCGAAACTCTCCAGATCATCCCGGTACGTCTGGCCTATAATCATCAGCTTTGGTAACTCACGTATAAGAGAAGTAACCCACATTGGAGCATATGTGCCGCTTTAGACGCATAACCTATCGTACCATAGACTCGGTCCTCCCGGTTACGTCCATAGTGCATCGGATCACCCGGCGCATGCACCTTCTTGAGAGCACAGCCCAAGTCCACCAAGTAGATGGTGTTTCCATCATATCCTCTCCCCAGTATGAAATTAGCTGGTTTGAGATCTCGGTGGATAATATCCCGGGAATGTAAGAACTTGAGTCTTGCCAACACTTGGTCCGCGATCAGGAGGACTGTTCTCAACGTGAACCGTTCCTCACAGTAGTAAAATAGGTCTTTGAGGCTGGGTCCTAGAAGGGGCAGGACCAAGATGCGGTAGTCGTCACACTCTTGGGAGAAGAAGTGGACTTTGAGCATGCCAGCGCCTCTGCGCGGTTGGAGTCTGTCATAGAACTCTTTTTCTACCTGGAGTGTGTTACTCCTTTTGATGGGTGCGACCTTGACGGCAACATGTTGGTTGGTCTTGAGGTCGATGGCTGGCGAGGGTCAGTCAGTTGGATGGATGGCGGATGGATTGGGGGTGGAGAGATCGGTTACCTTCGAAGACCTCGCCGTAACTACCGCTGGCGAGATATCTTTCTAGCCGATACCGATTAGCTAAGGTAATTTTCTATTCCGGTTAGTGATTGAATGGAAGTGGTGGATATTCACCTACAATCTGCTTCATTTTGAGTGAAGGCTCTGTTTGCCGATATTGTGAATGATGGGGAGAGGAAAGGAAAAATCAGGGGGGCTTGGCCGTTTATAACGTCATTATGCATGGCCTGGATAAAGGCAGGGTACTTCTGAAGGATACGGCATAATGTTTTACTATATGCGGAGTTATACAGTGTGGGATTGTGTTTTACAACTGGTGGGCTGATGTGCTAACACACCTGTCAAAGGAAGCATGTCGAACTTCCTGGCGGATTGTCCTCAGACCAGCACCCTTGCTACTACAAGCCGCACCAACTTCCTTGTGCGAGTATTTTGAGTGCCGTTTATAGACCAGTGGGGCGGCCCCAAACAAAACAAGGTTCTCCTTTTAAAGGACAAGGACCCTTTTCCCCGCTCCTACAGTTGACACAAACAAAGGCCGATCCCATACACAACACAAAGCCGCCAGTCATACGAATCTACGAGCCAAATAAAGAACACTAGCAACAATGAGGTATGTTACTAAAACAACACAAAGACATCCCCATAAATATCTAAACAGAATACGACTTGTACCCCGAGTCTGAAGCTTTGCCTTCTACAATCAACAGATCAACCATACTAACATGGCAGACATCCCGGCAAGCGAGCAACCAAGGCGCCGAGCAAGGACCAAGCGAGTCATGTCCAGGCCACGGCTGCAACCTAGTCCTCGAACACAGCGTCCTCCTCCGAATGACTCTACATCCGATGGCGCAGCAGATCCCCAATCGAATTCACAGTCAACTAGCGGAGTATCCCGAACCAGTAGCAACCTCAGTCGACAAAAGAAACTACATTTCAGCAGGAAATACTGGAATTCGCTCCCAGTAATCCGTCTCACACACCGCGCTCTTGTGGAATTTCACTCTCGTCAATCAGAACTTCACCCTAAGAACCCGAATCCACCTGATAAATCCAATGAATCCGATGAACCCAATGAACCCAATGAATCCAAGAAACTCAAGAAGCCCAAGAAAGAAAGCCCTACACCGGAGGAGACTCTTCGCAAAACCGTCAAGTGCAAAACCATCGAGGAGTTCGCAAGGAGAGGCGGACCTGACTTGACTGAACTCATCGACGTATGTCTTCTCCTACTGCGCAATTCTCGAAAGCTAACCTTCCGACAGTTTCCTCAGGGTACCAGTTGGCAAAAATATGATCCCCCCGAGCCCAAAACCGCCTCACTTTATGACCTTAACGTGCAGGACCACTTGAACCGTAATGGAGTCGAGCAAAGCGTAAACCGGCCTCACAATTCCGGGAATCTGCAGCATATAATGAATAGGGAACGGAAGGACATGGAAAACATCACCGATCGGGCTCGAAAGAAATTCATTAAGGCGTGCAAGCGGTATAAACGCGATCATGAACGTCTAGAGATTATTTACCAGATTCTATTCGGTATTCCTGATATCGATTTAATGGAAGTACAGACCGCCAAACAGAGAGAACTCACTAACCTTGCTCCCTTGGTACCGAACATGACAGCGGCCAAGCCTGATGTTGTCGATGGCGCTCGTTCCGACGACCTGGACCAAAACATCATTAATAATCTCGAGAAGTTCATCGTCCCATTTGGAATCAGCAGCAATACCAACAGCAATAACGCAGAGGAGGACATGCTAGTCGTGCCGAACTTCTTTCTCTGTAACATGCTCACAGACGATGATCAATCTGCGGGAAGTCGTGCGGCCTTGCATTGTGGTTCTCTGGGGGCACGGGCAATGCACAAGATACAGTGTTATGGAAAGAATAAAACTTATGACCAGATGGCATACTCATATGTTGCGGTGGTTCTAAGAACTCGCATGACGCTTTATGCAGTTCATCCGATTCAGTCGCAGGTTCCCGGTCGAGAGACAGACTACCAGATGACACGGATATACGATTTCGAGTTTAAACCTACCCTGCGCGCCTTCCAAGAGGGTATTAGGGCGTTTAGAAATCTTAGAGAGCATGCAACTTTGTGGCGGAAATGGATCAGACCGGAGACAGGAAACGACGACGACAAAAGCGGTGGAAGTGGTGGCAACCGTAACGGCAATCAAAATACTAAGAGAGATGCGACTGGGAATGACAAGAGTGACAGCAGAGGGGGCGATGAAGGAGGCGGCGAGAGCAGTGGTGATAATAGCAGAGGACAAGAGACATCGTCCTCAGACAAAAGAAGGGGGGGATCGGATTCGCATGAGGCCGAAAGTCCTCCGACGAAACGGCGTAAGACAAAACTATGGTTTAACCGTTAATTTGTTGTCTTCTGTACATGAATATCATCACAATAATAACAATTGTCATAGCCCTGTCTTCTAGTCTGCAGCCTTGTCATCAGTATTCTAGGCGCATAGCCACACTACCGTGACTCACAAGGCTGATACCCTTCCCCATAGCTTTTCTCACCATTCACCCTCCTCCTCCTCTTCCTCTCACCCCTCCCCTTTCCATCCCAATTCCATCAAACATCTCATCCCACCTTCTCACCACCATCACCACAACCACAACCACAACCACACAAAATGACCACCACCAATTTAACCACCCCACCCTCAGCGACCACATCACCCACCTCACCACCCTCCCCCTACACGCCCGCATCCAAGCCCTCCACGCCCTCACCCCTCAACTCATCCCCAGTATCTCCCCAACCGGCACCCGCCTCATCACCCACCCCTCCTACACAGGCTACGCGCACCTCGACCCCCTAGGCAAACTCTACCTCGATTCCGCCACCGCGTGCACGAACGAACACGCCTCTCTTCCTACCCGCCTCCTGCACACCTCCCTCGACCCGATCTTCGAATCCATCTACGAATCCTGCTACGAGCAACTAGAATCCGGCCTGAAGGAGGGAACAGTCATCATCCCCAAGAAGGAGGACAATGAAGTTATCAAGTGTGCCTGTTGCAGGGGGGACCCGCACGCGGTGATTCTGATGGGGTTTGCGTCGGAACGGGCCCTGCTTTTCTTTGAGGAGGAGTATCGCGCGCTCTGGGGGGATGAACCTGAGACGGTGATGACGTATTCGAGTGAAGGGGTGAGGAAGTTGGGGCCTTCGAAGGAGCAGGCTGAGAGGGTTTTGAAGGGTGGAGTTGGAGTTGGGGATGGGGATGGTGAGGGGGAGGGGAAGGTGGTTGCTATGTTGTAGTGAGATGCTGGATGGAGTTATTTGTCTCCGTGTTGATATCTGGGGTATTTTCCGGGGTTAAATCGAGCTACCTACGTTCAATCATGCTGCTTCGTGGGCATAATAATCTACATCGATCATCGCAGCTAAGTTAGCGTCAAATAAACTCCGTACCAAACGGAAAAGCCATCTCCCATCCGTAGCATCAACGGATGATAACCCTCCGATAACCGGTGCGGGGAGAAGCAACGGAGCATCAAAACCCATGGCGGGGTTCCGGATATACCCTCTTCCCGGGCTATATGAACCGACTTTTCCTCTCATCAAACGCCATCACCACCCATACTATTCCATCCCATCAGTACGAGCACATCTACATCTACACCACACCATGGCTCCCAAACTCGCCATCCTCGATGACTACCAAAACATCTCCCCCCGACACTTCGCCCACCTCACCTCCCGCGTCGACATCAGCTACTTCCCCGAGACCTTGAACCCGCGCGATACCGCCCAACAGAAACAGCTCATTCAACGCCTCCACCCATTCGAAATCATCGTCGCCCAGCGCGAACGCACCCCTTTCTCTAGAGAAACCCTCTCTGCCCTCCCCAACCTCAAACTCCTCCTCACCACCGGCACGCGCAACCTCGCCCTCGACACCGCCTACTGCTCCGAACGAGGCATCCCCGTCGCCGGCACGCAGCGACGACCCCCAGGCATCAACTCCACCGTGCAACACACCTGGGCATTGATCCTGGGCGTCGCACGCCATATCGCGCGGGACGACGCAGCCATCAAACGCGGCCAATGGCAGGGATCACTCGGGATAACACTCGCGGGCAAAACCCTCGGATTACTCGGAGTGGGCAAATTAGGTGCCCAGGTGGGACGGATCGCGGTACAGGCATTCGGGATGAGCGTGATAGCGTGGTCGACGAACCTGACGCAGGAGAAAGCGGACGAGCAGGCGGCGGCGATGGGATTACCGGGGGGGAGCTTCAAGGCCGTGCAGGAGAAGTTGGAGTTCTTTCGACAGGCGGACGTCATTAGTTTGCATAATGTATTGTCGGAGCGGAGTCGGGGGATAGTGGGGCGGGAGGAGTTGCAGGCGATGAAGAAGACGGCGTTGTTGGTGAACACGTCACGGGGGCCGTTGGTAGATGAGACGGCGTTGTTGGAGACGCTGAATGCGGGCGGGATTGCTGGAGCGGCGTTGGATGTGTTTGAGGCGGAGCCGTTGCCGGTGGAGAGTGTGTGGAGGACGACGGCGTGGGGGAAGGATGGTCGGAGTGAGGTGCTTTTGACGCCGCATATGGGGTATGGTGATGAGCAGATTCATGGGTGGTATGAGGAGGTGGCGCAGAATTTGGAACGGTGGCTGAATGGGCAGGAATTGACGGTGCGGTTGAATTGATTGATTATTGAAACCTATAGTACTTATAGTTCTTGGACATATGTCTGCAGAAACACGTTGCCGCGCGACTGCGGGCGTTCCATCCCTCTTACTAAAATGTATGAAAACTCGAACATCTGATGTACTAGTAGTGTATAAGTGAACTGTTTTGCTGCAATTCCCGTTTGCTTACCCAATTGGGGTGCCGCCGCTTTTATGAGGGCAGCACGTGAATGATCTGTGTGCGCTCTGGGACACTCACGGATTGCTCACGGAGCACGCACCTGGGAACTCCGGTTGCTCCCGGATTGCTCTGGCTCACTCACTCAGCGATCGTGAGCAGCTCCCGCTTGCTCACTGCGGCAACCCACGTGACTAGAACAGGATCTCTAAATCATGCGCAACTAATACTTATTAAAATCTGAGATATTGATACAAACCTACGAAATTTGAGGGCATCATTAAAACAAGGGCCGTCAGCTTCTCTTGGTTTTCCTGACCCAAAATATTTTTAACACCAATTATTTTTTCATTACAAGATAGATTAATTATGGATGAATGGTGATACATAACCTAAGGTATTTCTCTTTTATTTCAGACATAAATAGAGCCCATCTTATCTGAGTTTATTAATTATTAATCTATCCTCTTATACATTTTCTATCATATCTCTTTATACCTTACTCTCTATTTAGTCTCTCGATCTCGTTCATGTTTACTGACAATAGCCATTCACACCTCTACTTCTAGAGCCAGCCAAAATGAGAAAAAAAGAAAGGCTCGTCGTGAACTCCGCCAAAAGCGAAGCTATAATACAGATATTCATTGAATTAAGAATGTTTAAAGATTAAGAGGTAGAGCTTTCCCGAAAATGAAAGAAGGCTACAGGAAAAGGGTACACCATTATGAAGAGTAAGTCATTAATCTTGAGTTCTAGAATATCAAGTCTTTTTATATTCTTATAAATTTTTAAAAGAAGAGAAAGGATTACCCGAAGACTATAAGATTAGAGTTAGATATTAAGTGCCGGGTTTAGAAGAGCTTAAAGAATTTATTTACTGGCATGTTAACTTAACTATGGGTAGACTTGATCCTGACAGATGTCTGACCATGAACTCAATCTTAGTCTAGGCTCAAGAATTTATTCCAGGATTTTATCTCGAGATTAAGAAAGAGATTTCTTATCAGGATAGACAGGATCTATACAGTATAAGTATACTTCACACTGGAAAGAAGTATGTAAGAGCTGTATAACTGATTTCTGAAAGTAGATTAAGCATGATTTAATTACAGAGAAGTATATTAAGAATATAAAAAGATCTAAGCATAATTTCAAGCTGAAAAGTTTTGAGCGTGCTATAGTCATTTTCTAGATTATTAATAATCTATTTTTTATGATTAGAAGATACCATGTCTAGTTTTATTTTATTACTCTGCAAAATCTGTGTGTAAGATCCAGAATGTTTTCTTTAATTCCAGTATCTGAAAATAAAGCCAGCAGAGGTCTTTATTATAAGATAAGTCTGAGTACAGTATTATCTGATTAGTTACTAATAATAATAGAATATTAAACTTGTCTTGTTCCGCGACACAGAGATCCCTTAGAAAATCAAATAGTATTTAAATCAATAATTTATTAAGAATAATAAAGACTCTGAGAACATTATATAAGTAATACACACAAGTATCCCTGCAGAGATACAAGCACAGATTAATACTAATAGATTTAGTATTATTATTTAGAACTATGATAAACTGATTTACTCTAGAATATTATATTTTCTAGACATGGCTCTTATTAACAATGCTCTTTTCAGGTTCTTAAATACAGTAGAAGTTTTTAAGCAGAGGATTTCTGAAGAAAAGGATGAATTAATTCTTCAGTAGAATAATAAGACTAGAGATTGATATATTATGAGAGGTACCTCAGTAACTGGAGTCAGCAAAGATCTATGGATAAAAGAAAGATATTAAGAAGGTTTAAGAAGATGTCTTGCTAATGCTGGCTATTTTATTACTATTATAATTCATGCCATGCATCGTGAGTTAGGAAAGGCTGTCTGAGATAGATTATTATAGTTTTTTATTATGATCTGTTTCTTGAGTCTAGCTAATACCTCGCAGCTAAGTATTCTTTAATACTTATAGCTCAGATTCTTACTTACAAGTCAAAATCTGTCTATAGTAATGACTACCTTGGGAATTGCTCCAGCGTGGATGTTGTCAATTTCTTGAAAGGAAGATCCTTGGATCATACTCACGTGGATTATTTTCAGGGCTTTAAGTAATTTTATAAGAATAGGCTTATTCATTGATTATCTATAGAAGAGGAATAGAAGATTAATAAAGATCCAAGTCTTATTAAGATCAGTGTAAAAATTAAAGGTATACAGTCAGTGGATCAAAATAAAAGTCTATAACATGAATATAATATCTAGAAAAGAAGGATTTATTTAAAAGTATTCCAGTAATATTAAAGTAACTGGGTCTGAAATCAACATGACTGGAAAATTCTGATCAAGGGCTGTAAACATCTTAATTATATTAAGCAGATAGTGAAGAAACAAGTATTGTACAAGCTTATGCCAGAACTAGGTTATCTAGTAATAGTAATCTTCTCTAATCAGAGTCTTTCATTCAATGAAAAAGCCAGTATTATTCATAATATTTATATATACTATCTTTATAAGCTTGATATAGTCTATCTTTCAGACAAGGAATTATAAAAAGAATAATACTAGATGCCTGCTTGTGGTGAATCCGTAGAATAGTAAACTGTCCTTTAATACTTAAATAAATCCTTTATTAATAAATCATAAAATAAATAAGTCTAATCAAAATACACATCTCCATAAGTATCATCTATAATATTTTGCTTCTAGATAAAACTTATTATCTTAACAAGTTAAGTATTGCTGGGAATGCTACACTTATCATAATAAAAAAAGTAGTAAGTTTGAAAAGTACTATACTAGTTATCTTTTATTAATAACCAGCTAATATTATAAGATAATGATATATCACCATGCTACTATCTGTACTAGCTATTATATTAAATATATATAAAATAATAGGCTTTTTATTATATACAGAATAAGAATCTTTATTCAAAGTACAGAGCTTTAAAGCTATATAAAAGAGTATCTAGTTCAGAAATCATGATCTTCAGAATGCCCTGATCCTTCCTGTAACCATATTTTTAAAAAAGAGTAAGATTATTATTAATATCTTTATAATATATATTATTATTATAAAGTAATATGTATGGTATCTAAAAAGGTTTATAAGAAATAATTATCTATTATACTAGATAAGAAGATAGTCTTAGACTATACTTAGTTAATATAATATAAACATCCATGCAAGTATTACAAGAATATTCCTGATTTATTATTATATAGATTAAAGATATTAAAAATTAAATTCTGATAATCTTCTATAATGTCTATAAAGCCCATATTTTTAATTAAAACTGGGATGTATAATATTATGCAGGAAAGACTATAAATATTAATATAATAAATTAAGAATTATTAAAGTATAATTATGTTAGATAAAGATCAGAATAGTATAGTTATTTTATCAGTTATACTTAATACTCCAGATCTTATAGATAATAATAACACGTGTTTAAGTCCTTTTACAGTATGTTTAACTTTCAGTGCAGTTAATATTGATCCATAATTATTAAAAATATCTCAGCCTTTCTTATCCCAGCTAAATAAGAAGTCTGATTAATCTAATATGTGTACTCACTGGGAGCAGAAAGAGCTTTAGGTCAGGATTAAGCAGCTTAAGATTAAGGACCTACATTAAAGAACTAATAATATAATAAAGCAGGAAATCCATAATAAAGATATGACTTTGTCCAGTATAAACAACATATCTATCAAACAGATATTATCTTATTTAATTAAGCTGTATAAGGAGTCTGCCTTATACTTAAACCTTAATGCACCTATTCTCTAAATGGAAGTAACTCTTCTTATATAAGGTAACTCCAGTATGTGCCCTGCAGAGAATAAAACTGTGAAGAAATCAGGACTAACAGGGCCTGTAACTAGAGCAAAAGCTTGCAAGTAAGCAGCTAAATTCTCTCAGAAATCTACAAATTTATAGAGCTTGAGGTATAAAGCTTTATCATACAGTTAAGAAGAAGATAAGTTACTTAATCTGTTTATAAAAGAGTTAGCTACTTTTAATACGGTGACCCCAGCCTTCTAAAAACATTTTCTAAACTGATTGATAAGTTTACTTTAAAAATACTGGTCTTTTATATAACCATTATTACAGTGGTTAACTTGATTAAGAATACTGGAACAGCTGTTAAAATATTAATAAATTATATATAAAACACATGTAATAAATTATTAAAATATTATTTATTAAAGAATCTAGAATATTGTCTCTTATTAATATATAATGTTATCAGTTAAGCATACTATAAAACTTTAAGGACTTTTACTCTTCTTAATATCTTTTTATTTCTCTTATAAATTGTAATTCCGGTTTCTATATATTCAGAAGGATGAGATTATGGGTAATAACTATCAAGATAGGCTTTTGATTATACAAGTTAAAGATAGTTTTTTATAAACTGTCTTATATTAAAGATTCTTCCAGCAGAAATTAGAATCTCTATATTATAATAATGCCGGCAGAAAGTCCTCAGGGTTTGTGGGAAGAAAACTAAAATCATACTTAGATTATGCTGGGAGAAAACTGAACCATGTATATAATAAGATGTTCTATCAGTAGAAAAAGAGCATATATTAAAATCAATGTTCTCCCAATACAGTAATTAATTTATCTGATGGCCTTATTTTACTAATATATAAGCCTGTATAGTCATAAACTACTACTATTAGAGCTGAGGTCTTCTTATAGATAACTATATATTAGCTGTATTATGATAATCTAAGAAAGATCAATAATCTGTGTTATATATATAGATCAGCATCTTTTCTTACTGTTAATTCTCAAGCTGACTCATTCATGCCTTTTCTGCGTGCAATGTATAAACTGTAATTCAAAAGCCCTCATTATTTAGACTACTCTATAAGCGC